ATATTCTTTAACCTTACGGGCTTTAATGGTTAACAGATCGACTATCTTATAGAATAGCGCATTTACTATTACGTTCTCTTAGCTGGGCTAATATTAAAAGGTAATATCGAAGTTAAATAAAAAGTTTACCTATCTTATTTATTTTATAAAAAGGACTCTTTTAATAATAAAATATAATAGAGCTTAATAGTTAATAATTATAAAGAACTTTATACTTAATAGCTTTAAGTAATTATACTTTATAGTTTAAATTATAATTAATAGTTCTTTATCCTATATAGGATAAACTTGCTTAATTAATAATATAATCTTTAAAAAGTATCTTATAAGCTTTTAAATGCTATTTTCTTATTGCTACTAAATGGCCCCACCGGTAGCATTTTAGAAGGCGTCGATTTTAATTCTAATAGGTTAATTAAGCTAGAAGAAGGCTAACACTAATACTTCGTAGGCTAGCTTCTTTATTAATTCAAAAGCTCTTTATTATTTACCGCCTATTTTAAATAATATACCCTTTTTAAATAAACGGTTTAAAAGTTTAACTATATCGTTAATATAGTATATAAATATCCAAATAAAGTTATATAGCCCTAAAAACAAACGGATAGCTTAAATATTAGTTAAGTCTTTAAATTTCTAATTAATAATAATATCTATCTTTTTAAGGTTTATTTAGATACCTTATCCAGCTTTTAAGATTATACCTAAATAATCCATAAAGGTTACATTAAAGTAGGATTTTTTTATATCTCCCTAAAGCCTGGTATTATAAAGGCAATATATTACTTCCTTACATTGTTCCTAATGCTCTTTTTTATTATCCGTAAAAATTAAAACATTATTAGCATAAACGTTAATAAAAAGGTCGAATAATTTATATAGCTAAGAATTAATAAAGTTTTACTACCAGGCGGGGCCAATCTTTAATCCGAAGGGTAGAACTAACTATTAAAACACTCCTTATTAGGTCCGGAATGCTATTAAATATTAGGATTTTAAAGCTATCCTTAATCTATAAAAAGTTTTAATAATATTAAACTTAATATAACGTTTAACCCTTTAGCTATTATATATAATACTATTCAGATCTAATGTTAAAATAATATAGTCTTTTAGGTATTTATTTTTCCATTAATAATCAATACAAAACTGTCTTTTGGTTGAATTTAGTTTAAGGGTAAAGAGGATAAGGGAGGCATTTGCTTCTATATAGGGTTCGATAAAGCTATAGGTTAATAATTTATTTATTACTTCTTTTTTTAATGGCAAATATTAAATTAAAGTTTAATATTAAGGGGGGCTATCTAAGGGGTTATTAATAATAGTTTTAAGAATTATATCGTATCCTAATTATAATAAGGGTAACTTATTAACTTCCACTTTTAAAAAAAAACCCTTTTAAATAGGTTAGCTCCTTAAGGATTAAGTAATAAATTAGCTTAATATATTTAAGGTTTTCGTTTTATAGAAAAGGAATATACTTATTATTAAAGGTTTTTTAAGTCTTTTCTAATATTGTTATAGCTACCTTTAAAGCCACTTCAATAAATTCAATAGGTATTAGTTCATTTAAGAGCACCCTTTTTTTCTATTATTTCTATTTAGGGTTTAATTTAATCTTTTTAATAAATTGTTAAATAATCCTTTTATTTTAAGATCGCTTTATCTTTGGGTTCTCCGGTTGGATGTTTTTTCGAAAGCGTGCAGCTGGTTACTTTAAAATAATATATTCCCTTTCTAAAGCGGCATCCTTCCGGTCGGCATCCTATTGGACAGCAGGGTCGATTTATTAATCGTTAGGAGACTTTTGCATGATTTTAATTATAGGTAAGAACAAGGTAAAGGGGAATAAGTCTTTTAACTAATGTAATATTTAACGGGTATAGTTTAAGGTAACTTTATTTTTAGCTAGCTACTTTAAATCAATTATAATATTATATCCAATATTAATAACCTAAAAGGTTTAATCTTTAAACCTTTATCCGTTTACTTTTAAAGTAGTGGTAAAATGTTAATTAACTATACTAATAAGTTATTCTTAATAATTATTTAATTATTATAGTTGCTTTAAAGTAATTAACCTAGCTTTTAATTAACGGTTAATACAGCAAGCTAATTTATAATTAATTATTAAATATATTTAAGCTTTAATATTATATAATATAATAGCTTTTATTTTAAAATTATTTATTTATATTTAAACAGGGTATATAAATTAAATAATATTTCGATTACTTTTTATATAGGTTAAGAATAGTTTATAAATTATTAAAAAGTCTTTTAACAGTTTGGCTAATTTTCCGATTTAGATTTAATAAAAGAGAAGTTAGTAAACTTTTCTTCACTTTCCTTGTTTTATACTTAAACTACATTCCTACTTTTTCCGAGGTAATCTATAATGTGGTATCCTATTTTACTATAGCTAAAGTAAATATTGTTTTCCTAATAGGTTTTCTTCTCTTTCTTTAAAAGCTTTATCCCTTTAGGCTTTATTATAATGCTCCCCTTATTTACGTTCCTTTTATTATTAAAGTTACGATTAGCAACGTTAACGGCTTATCTTTTCTTTTAGCAATTATAATAGTAATTATAGTTATATATTACCTTTGCTACCTTATTGTAGAAGCGTTTATATAGCATTAATGGATTAATACTAACTTCGAATACCTTGGTTCCAAGGTTGAGGTTAATATATTTCTATAAGAATTAAAACCATTTAAACTTAAGCAACTTTGACTTTAATATTAGGTTATTAAATCGAAAAATAAATTAATAAATATTAAAACCCAGCTTAAAGTAAAACTTATCTAGGGTATTTCATACCTGGGTAGTTTAGTTCGGGTTATAATAAGCTATTTCTAATATTTATACCATTTTGGCTAAACTGCTATACGGTTGGGTAATGGAACGAAAGCAAATTTTAACCGCTTTTTCAGCATCCTTCTTTAAAAAGGATATAATATAACGCATCCAGCTCTTCTTAATATAATATATTATTACATCTTTTTTAAGTTTATTAGTTAACTTTTCTAATTAGTTATTAAATAAGTCTTTATCTCCTAAAAAGGTGCCTGGATTAGCTTTATAGGTTTTAGCCTTTTCTATATATTCTAGGTTTAGGCTAATAGGGTTGCCCACTGGGCTAATTATTTCGAAGATAGCCTATACTACTATGCTAATTAGCTTAAAGTTGATTCCGTTGAAGGTACTTTTAATTATGCTTTCTTATAGTACCGGGGTTAAGCTACCTTTTTCCATTTAGGCTTAAAAAGCGGTAATTTATTTTTATAGCTATTGGATTAGGATAGCTTAATTAATAATGTTTATTTTGTTTATTAATTGGGGTAATTTTATTAATCCTTCGTTTGAATTAAGGTCTAATGGTAGAAGCGTTATATTTTCCGGTTTGGGGTTTAAGAAGTTCTAAAAGCTATTTTTAGATTTAATGTTAATTTCTTCTTCCTTAATAAAAAGGATAGGGTTCTAGGTCGATTATTTATTAATTGCAGAAACGTTAAGTATAATATATAATAATAGTTGTTAAAATCGTTTTAAGTTATTTATTTTAATTAAGGTTTTCTTAATTCTAAGGGGTATAGGGTTTAATTCTATCGGTTGGGTTTATTATAAGGTTATATTCGTTTATTATTAAGTATAGAACATAATAATAAAGGGGGAAAGGTTTAATTTATAAATTATAAATAACAGCAATTAAATATAGGTAATATATTTATATAACGCTTATTAATAAAAAGGAAAAGCTTAAAATAATATTTTAATTAGGTATTTAGGGCATAGCTATATTAATACTATAGACGAAGATTTTAAGCTAAGGAAAAAAGGAAGGAAAAATAAAACTAGAATACAAGCGTGCGTGGAGATATACACGTACTAACGGCTATTGTAGGTCATGTGACCTTATTGGCACGGGTCTCGCATATCTCCACAATGTCCCTCCACAGTGCGCACAGTGTTCCGGCACAGTATATGTCTGACACGTTCGTCACAACACCGCCGCAACTCTATATGTGGGACCTGAGTTGAACCTGCCCGCCTGCCTGCCTTATTGTAGGCCTCCTCATGCAAGTGCCCTTCTCATGACTCTGGATCAGTCAATAAATTCAGGATTTCTTACCAAGGGTCACGTAGCCTGCCTATTGGTTAGTAGTGGCTCGTGTTGAAAGTGTAGGTGGTAAAGGAGTCACTTCATGTATACGGTACGGGTCAAGGGTCACGAAGGCACCGTTCATGTATATAAGACAGTCTTCCCACCTCACTCACATCAAGTAGTTCAGTTGAATGTAACCCTCATATACCTTCCATTTCAGTAGCTCGAAATATTCTATGACAATGACGTAATCATAATATGTACTCGATCATTCATTAAATACATACCTTGTAATCCTCAAAGGGGTGTATACCTAACCTATACATAGAGACCGGGGTTATCTCAACCCCTGGATACATCGTAATACCCTGTAGTACAAGTCGAGAACAAGTGGCGATGCACCTTCTCCAAGGACACACGTAATATGGCACCGTATCTGTGGCCACGCAAAGGTACTGGTAAGCAGTTAGGAGGTTGCACTTCTATACGGAATCGGTCATGTACCTACCCTTTCCAAAGGCCACAGATGTACAGATGTAAGCTGTTCGAAGAAATAGAGGTTCCAGAAGCAATCGCACTGGGTTAAGTGCATGGATATTCATCGATGTGCCTAGAAACCCGATGTGCTCGTGATATTTTGACGCTGTCCTTAATAAGTGATACTCATCTATTCACCGCTCAGATATAGTTGGATAACGACATGCAGATATCTTCTTGGCTGTAAGGTGAAAGACGATACTGCTTGAGCGAGTGTCAGCTATACTGCTTAAATCCTGTTAATCATCATAACATTTATACTACATATACCGATACCCTTGCTTTTTTTAACCTGCCGCAGTTCAATACAACTCGAGCCCAATAACCGGAAAGCCAGTACCTGAGACTGAACAAGATGGCTTTCATGGCCAATGCAAAGCCAGCTGGTAAGGTGATGCGTCGATTGTTCTGTATGAGAATCTTGCTGATCAGATATCTTGGTTGAGTAACTACAGCTAATGGCTCAGCTAATGATACCCTTACTCACCACCATGACAACAGCATCTGCTATAATGCTCCACTGCTCCATGGAACCACCAAGTTCGAGCCATCATCAGAAGTGAGGAACATTATGGTCACGGGGGGTGCCGGTTTCATGTGAGTTAAATCGTACGCTTGTTCTACTCGCTCAAAGTCAGAACCTCTCACATACATTCGTGCAGCGCAGGATGGCTTGTCCGTCATTTGACTATTACCTACCCACACGCCTACCATATCGTATCCTTCGACAGCCTGGAGTACTGCTCGTCATTGAACAACACCAGGATGCTCAACCATAAGAAGAACTTCACATTCTACCACGGAGATATTACAAACCCAAAAGAGGTCCTCGAATGCATGAAACGGTACAATATTGACACAGTCTTCCATTTTGCAGCCCAGTCACATGTGGACTTAAGCTTCGACAACTCGTATAATTTCACTTACACCAATGTGTATGGTATACATGTCATGCTTGAAAATGCCAAAAAGGTGAGAATCAAGCGGTTTATCCATATATCAACAGACGAAGTCTACGGCGAGGTGAACGATAGTGACGATGACCTATTGGAAACAAGCTTATTAGCACCGACCAACCCTTATGCTGCAAGTAAAGCTGCGGCTGAAATGTTGGTCCATTCATACGCCAAAAGCTTCAAGCTCCCAGTTATTGTTGTGCGGAGTAATAACGTATATGGACCGCATCAATTCCCCGAAAGTAAGCACATCCATATATCCCAATACAGGACTGCTTGTCAACACAGAAGCAGAAATTATCCCCAAATTCTCTCTGCTTTTGCAACGAGGCAGACCGATGGTCTTGCATGGCGATGAAAGCCACAAGAGACGTTATCTGTTCGCGGCAGACGCCGTTGATGCCTTTGATACCATCCTCCACAGAGGGGAGGTTGGTCAGGTGTACAACGTTGGCTCATACGACGAGATTTCAAATATAAAACTCTGCACCCTGCTTCTTGAAGCAATGCACATCCCTTTCAAGACCCAGGGTGAGCTTGACAAGTGGGTGACGCACACTCACGATAGACCATTTAACGATCAACGGTACGCAGTGGACGACTCAAAGCTTCGGCAGTTAGGATGGGTTCAAAAGACGTCGATTCAAAAAGGGTTAACGATCACACTAAACTGGTACAGCCAATTCGGCGAGAACTGGTGGGGCAATATCAGTAACATACTAAGTCCTTACCCGACTATTGACAGATCATGTGAGGAGACATAATCGTTGCGAACTAATGAAGGATAAGAGAATTAATTTGGATTGTTAGGTATGTAGATAGCTGTTCAGCTTTATTGAAGGAAATACAATGATTTTCATTCGGGTTATGTCAGTTGTGTGTTGGAGGCAGGGTGATGTTGCGGCGAGTCACAGCCTGTGACGAAAGTGTACTGTGTTGAGCACAGTACACACTGTGTAGATGGTACGGTATAGTGGGGAGAGAACGCATGGACCTCTATCGATAATATCACGTGACTCATAACGGGCATTTCTCTTATGTATATCCACACACGTGTCACGACGGGCGCAATGTATAGTGTCATCGGTGAATATTGGAAACACACTATTAATTATATGGTGACGAAGTAAAGGATGACGTGCCAGGTCATAACCTTCGTCAACTAGGCTATATACGCTACAGTAGGCTGAATAGGCTTCCGGAGGTCCGGAGGGCCGAAGGGCTAGGCTACTGACTAAGCTACTGAATAAAGCTACCACTCGTAGGAGCCATGACTACACGCCTATATTACCTATCCCCTTAACTTCCAGCTCAACTCCGTGACAGTTTTAATCGGGTCTTAAGTATCATTTAACTTTGCTAACAGATCTACATGTAAAAACTTAATGTGACGAACGTGTCAGACGTGTACTGTACCGGAACACTATACGCACTGTGGAGGGATACTGTACATATACACGAGACCCTGTATCGATAAGATTACGTGACCTACAACGGGTGTTCGCCCGCGTATATCTCTGCGCACGCCTGTATTCTAGTTTCACCTTTCCTTCCTTTCTTCTTTAGCTTAGAATCTTCGTCTATAGCCTCAATACAGCTATGCCCTGAACCTACGATCGTGACACTTAAAACCCCTTAGCTTTTGCCGATGATCTATCATTTAGTGTACCGATAGTTATTTTCGATACTAAAGCTACTATAGTACATATGTAATATGTCTTAATTGGCTATGTCGGATTTTAGTAGGTTGCGGAGTTGAGCTGGAAGTTAATGGGATACATGGCTCCCGGTCTCGCCCCAGGTTAATCACGCGACTTCGTTACATGACAGTATACTACGTATAAACCAAAGTTGCCCCACTAGACACTCGTTCTGAAAGACTAGTGATCAATTGACTACTCTGTTGAGCCCTCTACTACCCATTTGACTGTGACTAGTTTTCTATTCGCTCTGGGACACCCATTCCTAACAGTGCCTGAGTTTTAACACTCGATCAACACTATTTTTCAAAATATAATACACACAGATCCACCCTGCATTCTATTTTAATAAAGAGTAACGGTGTTTGGTGATGTAAACTTGAACCAATGAAACGATTTTACTAATTAATACACACGAGTCTCCGCGTCTAGCTTGTTTGACGCCCCAGTAAACTATCCTCATTATACCTTGGTCCCATATCGCACCGCCCATCATGGAGCCTCTCAACCGAAACTTTCAGAGTACGCCAGCCGAGCAGCAGCGTATGCTCCCTAAGGATGACTTTGACGCCCCTTTGCTACAACACTATAGGAGACGCTCGCGGGCGAACAGAATTGAGCCCCCCTTCCTATGGGTTGAGTACGGGACATTCGCCTTGCTCGGTATGGCGATGCTATGGTCTTGGTACGTATTATAGGCACACGCTTGCTTCGTGACCTATGCCATTAACAAAGGCTACGGTACAGGAACATGTTTCTGGCCGCATCGCCGTATTTTCAGGATCGCTTCCGGTCGAGCAAATGGGTCTCTGAAAACTCACAATCGGCCATCATAGCCGTCTCGACATTTACGAATCTAAGCGCTATGATTATTCTAACTAATACGCAGAGCACAGGAAACTATTCTTCTAGGGTCTACTCGGGACTATATGTCAATTTCTTTATATTCGCCCTCTTGACCGCATCTACAACAGTCTTCCGGGACGTCTCGCCGAGCCAGTACCTAAGCTTCATTCTGGCCATGGCTGTCAGTTCTTCCTGGGCTTCTTGCTTGATGCAAAACGGTGCCTTCGCTCTTGCGGCGAGCTTTGGTCGACCAGAGTATATTCAGGCTATTATGGCCGGCCAGGGTGTGGCGGGTGTACTTCCGGCCGCCGCTCAGATTTTCTCGGTTCTCGTAACGCCCTCAGGGGAAACAATCTCTGATGGAGCACAGTTTTTGACTTTCGATGCGGAGATTTCGGCCTTTATCTACTTCCTGACTGCCGTGGTCGTTTTTTGCCTCGTGCTGCTAGCCTTCGTCCTGCTGCAGAGGGAACACAGCCGGCGAGCCGGGCACCAAGCAGCATCTACAGCTGGCCAACCTGACGGTGAGACTTTCGCTCACAGGCTGATTGACCAGATAAATGTTCTTAAAAAGCTATATTGGTGCTCTGCCGCCATTTTTACATGCTTCGTCATCGCCATGTTCTTCCCTGTTCTGACACCCAAAGTTCTATCTGTGACACCGCCGTCTGAGGCGAACCCGCTTCTGACTCCCGCAACGTTCATTCCACTAGCTCTACTGTTCTGGAATCTGGGGGACCTTGTCGGAAGGGCGAGCGCACTGTCACTGCCGTTCCATGGCCCTCAGGCTCTGCTCTTCGCCCTGAGCGTTGCCAGGGTCCTGTTCCTGCCGCTGTACACGCTATGTAACATTCATGGCAGGGGCGCAATCATTCCCAGCGATCTATTCTACTTACTCCTTGTCCAGTTCCCATACGGACTGACAAACGGATGGCTTGCGAGTAATTGTATAATGACCGCCTGTGAGAGGGTCGACACAGACAAGAGAGAACTTGCTGGAGGGTTAATGGTCTTGTGTCTCATGTGTGGGCTCACAGTCGGGAGTCTTTTGAGTTTTACTGTGGCAGGGATTTGATCAGGGTGTGCAGTTTTGTATGAATGAACACGTATTTACAGGCATGTGGCTTGCATGTATAGGATTCTGACTATGAAGGTTTTTTTCACACGACTTCCGTTGGACAGGAACTAGAGAATCCAGGCAATTCTTTATCAATTTATGAGAGACTGATCTTGAGAATTGCGTAAATGGGGGTAGTGGTGGGTCTTTATATATTATTTTCTGTGTTTAGTAATTAAGTGTATGCTAGCCTCAGCCCACTGGTTTAGGACCCATCTCCAAGTTCCTCCCCCCTCGGAGCCAGCATTAAGCTATGCTCATAATCCCTCCTACTTCTCATTCTGGAGCGTAGCATGCTAGAGGAAATCAACAAGGAAACCGACCAAACGGCCGCTACGATGCCTAAGAGTAAAGTTATATTCGATACCGATCCAGGTATGACCCTCCCCTCTCAAAGCACGATGACAAGTCTAACGCCCACACAGGTGTCGATGATACGCTTGCTATGCTGCTAGCTTTGGCTGCCTCCCCCAAAGAAATGCAACTTGTCTTGATCTCGGTCACTTACGGGAACGTACCTCTCAAGAGCTGCCTGAAGAATGTTCTTTCTATATTCCATGTCCTGGACAAAGAGCTATCATGGCGCAAAGCTCAAGGCAAGCCTGAGGGGTTCGCCGCACTCAAGGCATACAAGCCTATCATTGCCGTGGGGGCCGAGCATAGTTTGGAAGAGGAATATCTGAGAGAGGATGGCTTCCGTAAGTTACACGTGCTGAGGTTCATGGTGAACAAGACGACTAACCCGACTACTGGAGATGGGGTGGATGGATTGCATGGTGTTCACGAGACCGTACGTAGGCAATGCACTCCTCGGAATGCCTTGGCTGATTTCGGATTCTAGCACCCCCACCTCAGCCCAGAGGAGACATGGTTATCGCTTTTCGAGGATGGAGTGCCCACTCCCCATGAAGCTCCCTCTTACTACAAGTACTTTACACCCTCGAAGGTGCCAGCACACAAGGAGATCCTCCGGGTCTTAGCGGAAGAGCCCGAGAACACCATCTCCATATGCGCTATAGGTCCCATGACCAACCTCGCCATGGCTGCTGCAGAGGATCCAGAGACTTTCTTGCGCGCCAAGGAGGTGTGCGTCATGGGCGGCGCAGTCGAGGTTCCCGGTAATATCACGCCTTTTGCGGAGTTCAACACGTATGCAGATGCTATTGCTACTGCCCGGGTCTTGGCCTTGACTTCGGCCTTACCGTCCTCGACGATGCCAGTCATCCCTCAGACCACACTCGCACCATACCCGGAGAAGCTGTCGAAACGTCTGAAGCTGAAATTATTCCCCTTGGACATCACAACACCCCATCTCTTGGGCAGAGGCTTCTTCTACGATACAATCGCTGTTGCTGGGACAGAGAGCCCACTTGCTATATGGATCACTCATATTGTTGGCAGTGTCTACAGACGTATGGAACGCATTCGAGGCAACATCCCGGAGCCCGCGCTCCCCTTGCACGATCCACTTGTCATCTGGTATTTGCTCAGTCACGAAGATACGGCTTGGCAGTTAGCCAGAAATGCCCCGGAAGACATCCGTGTGGAAACCTCGGGCCACTGGACTCATGGGATGCATGTCGTAGATAAGCGTGGACGCCCCCGAGCACAGGAGGCCACATCTGACACTATTATCGGCGGCACTGCGTCAGACGAGATTCCTGATGACGACACGGTATGGCTGAGTGAGAAGAGGGGTAACAGGGTCGATAGAGTAGTTGGCAGTCCCGGTTTCGAGAAGTTTGCTGGTGAGCTAATGCGCCGCATATTCACCTAAAGGTGTAGTAAGTCGCAAACGAACTTACCTAGCAGGATAGGTACACTAAGGTCGTATACTTCTTACGGTCTCGGGAAACAACCGTCCGTGATATTGGGTGTATAATCGCCTGTGCCTCTTACGTACAAAGTGATCTATCCTTGTTGAATGTGCAGATCCTAGGTTAGGAAAGCAAGTCTCAAGATGTGCAAAATTGGGCAAGTACCTAACTGCAACTTTTGCCGATCCCCTACAACAACGTGTCAGATTAATCGAGCCAGTCGCCAGTTAATTTAGGGTGCGTATTGTTGTTTAGTAGGGCGTTGTGTAGTACTTTATATGGTGGATCCCTGGCGTTGGAGCTAACCTAGCTCACGCCCAACGTGGGGTTATCCATTACATAGACCCCTACATGTCAACTAATCAATCCGGGGAAGTATCCAATGGTGTAGCATAGTCTAAAACGTCCTTATGAAGTACTCCGTACCTAGGTAGTAATGACAGGTGCTCGCCTCTAAGTACTTAAATAGAGATACCCACTACCGGTACATCTCCCATGCATCTAAAGTACACGATGTACTGGTACATTGTGGCGACTCCTATCGAGCTGTAGACGCTTTTAAGATTGCCACCGCAAGTCGAAATTCTATTACCTAAGGACAATGTTAAGTCGGCACTTTCCGGAGGATTGTAGAGATGTGGGCTAAATACATAGACAATGGGGGCAGATGTATTTAGAGTAAGCAAGCTAGAACCTATAGCCCACGCACTGTACGTTTTTTGGGATAAATACCTCTCTGCAGTTACTTAGCTTAGATCTTCTCATCCAGCACCAGAACTCCCACCAACCCAACCTTGTAATCATGACCGTTTCTCACAGCTCTCAACTTTTGATTTTGCACCCTGCAGTTGAAATCAGCTCTCCAACGATTAGCAGCCATAATACGATCGTATGATATGATCGTATGCCCTTGCCATTACAACCATCTCCATAAGTGTCATCGCAGGCAGTATCGTATCAGACATTCATTTTGACAACCTGACCTTGGGACCAGGTCGCACATCCGCTTCCAATACAACCCTCGTTTTCTCAGGTTAGGGATCTTGTAGGTATTCCTTCTATTCACTACCTTACATCTACACGCGTCGGTTGTTAACCACACTCGTGTCCCATCCTAAAACCATTCCACCATCTAACCTGATAATACTAATACTTCACTAAGTGACCATGATTGCCACCCAAATCTCCGATATCTCCGAACCTCCCGTGCCACACAGCTCTGTTTCGGCAGATCTGTCGGCCAACCAGGCTGGTGAATCTTTGGCGGTGCCGCTCAATGAGACCGGAACCCCCAGCACTCGGACCAAGCTGCGATTATACGGTATCCTAGCTTCGCTCTATGTGTGTTGTGTTCAATCATTCTGGCTTTGCGTAATACACTGTAGCTAACAAGCAACCCATCCTAGCTTGCCCTATTCTTAGCTGCGCTTGATACAACCGTTGTCGCGCAGTCGATTCCAACGATATGCAATGAGCTGCACTCAGCGGCGGGCTATGTATGGATTGGCGGAGCCTATCTACTCGCAAACGCCGCCACAGGCCCAATCTGGTCCAAATTCAGTGACATTTGGGGCCGCAAGCCGATCTTCTTGGCAGCTATCGCCTTGTTTATAGGTGCAAGCATCCTCGCAGCACTGAGCAAAGCTATCTTTGAGCTGCTCATAGCTCGAACGGTGCAGGGAGTAGCTGCTGGCGGCATGATTATACTATCGGTTACAATCATCTCCGACATCTTCAGCGTGCGTGAGCGATCATTTTACCTGGGTCTCACAGGCTTCGTGTGGGCTATAGCTGGATCCGCAGGACCACTAATCGGCGGTGCCTTCACAGAATTCGTGAGCTGGCGCTGGTGCTTCTGGATCAACCTCCCTATATGTGGTATCACCTTTGGCCTTGCGCTTCTATTATTAGACGTTAATAATCCGCGCACAAATCTCGTCGAAGGCCTCAAGGCTGTCGATTGGCTTGGGACTGTCCTCATTCTGGCTGTCACGATCCTGACCCTGGTTGGTTTGAACTTCGGCGGGTCAGCATTTCCCTGGAACAGCTCAACAGTCATTACCTTGATCGTGGTCGGGGGAGCAACGACCGGCCTTTTCCTCTTCGTCGAGCATCGCTTAGCCAAGTACCCTCTCATACCGCTAGGTGTGTTTAAAAGCATAAGCAATAACGCTACTTTCATCATAGTCTTTTCGCATGGAGCTGTTCTTGTCGGCACAGATTATTACATGCCCTTGTACCTTCAGAGCGTCCAGCAAGCATCACCCATTCGGAGTGGCGTATTGATGCTACCTTTGATTATAGTAACAGCTGTCGTCGAAATCCTGTCGGGCTGGGCCATTGAACGTACAGGACGCTATATCGAATTCCTCTGGGCCGGATCGATATTTATGACATTGGGCGCCGGGCTATTCATACTCCTAGGAGCTGACACAACCACAGCGATGGTAGTGGGATTAGAAATCATCAGTGCCCTCGGCCGCGCGATGCTTTTCCAAGCGCCAGTGGCGGCTATCCAAAGCGGCGTCAGCCAGGAAGATACTGCAGCAGCCACGGCCACTTTGTTGTTTCTTCGGAGTATTGGCATGTCACTGTCTATTGTAATTGGTGGTGTGGTATTTCAGAACAGCATGAACGCTCGCCACTCGACCCTTGTAATGGCCGGCCTTGACGAGTCCGTCCTGGAGGCTTTGTCGGGTAGTAATGCAGCGGCAAATGTATACATCACACGGACGATACAGGACACTTCGCAGCGACGAGTGATCATAGAGGCCTTCGCCTGGAGTGTGAAAAATATGTTCATCCTGTATACAGCCTTCTCGGCCACTACCGTGGTGGCCAGTGTCTTCGTCAAGCATAATAACTTGGCTACGGAACACAAAGAGACGAAGACTGGGTTGGGGCATTTGAAGATGTCAGAACGCTCTGAATAGTCATTTGAGTGAGAGCTAGGGCAAAATGTAGAAACGCACCAAAGAGTCACCACGACACGAGCTGGGCATCTGGTATATTTAATAGAAGTGTTTTTTACTTTTGCGCAAGCTAGCTTCTTTTCATCCTCTTTTACTCTTTCTCTTGAGTGGTCCACACTAACTACCAGGGGCAGAAATATTGTACTTTTACGTACTGCCTACATCTGCGTCTTCTATCAGGGCCTGGAGGACGGACAACACTACAACACTAGGTACTTGGGCACCTAAAGTTCTACAGTTCATTACAGCGTCAATAGCTAATCAAATTGCAGGTTGTGTGTTGAGAGCACCATGCAAAGGGATTCAAAAACATCCAGATTGACGAGTTTTTTTTTGACACGGAATAAATGACGCGGTTAATCCCGTGCAAGATTAACGACCTTGATATGGGATATTACCCATTTCTCCGCGATATTTTTTCTTTCTTTTAAACAGTCTACATAATGACATTCCTTATTGAATGGGATTGGTACGAATATTCGTACAGAGGAGTGGTAGGACGTATTATTCTCTCTATTCAATACCCTACAACTTCCGAAAGGAAGGAAATGAATGAAATTGTGGGCTACGTAGTAGCCCCTATATAGATCTTGTATGAGGTCCGTGCCCCCTGACCCTTCAGACCTAGGTCCGAAGTATACCCATCCCGTACAGCAGGCGTACGGATTCCGTACGCAATTGCAGCCAATCAACTATTCCAACATTCCTCCTTACTTCACTCCTTCGTTATTTAGAGCCGAATCAAGCCAGAAATTCATAATTACCACGGAAATTTCCTCTTCTTATGTACTATGGGCATTATTCCACATCTCACGAAACCAAGCTCTTGGTTTTTGATGGTCTTCTTCCTCTTCCTCTTGTTCACATTCATTTGACGCCCCTGTTCCGATCGGCTTGGAAAGTAGGTCGTCAGGGGCGCCGCTCTCTACCAGCATACCATTATCTAGAACGAGAATTAAATCAGCGTCCCTAATGGTGTCTAGTCTGTGAGCGATTATGATAATCGTATGGTGAGTGAACTCTTCGCGAATAATGCGCTGCATCAACTCATCCGTGCCTGCATCTACGTTACTCGTCGCCTCGTCGAGAAGTAATATGCGGGAGCGATCTTTCAGTAGCAGAGCGCGTGCGAGTCCGAGTAGCTGGGACTGACCGTGCGACAGAGGCCCGTTTTTGAATCGCGCGCTCAAGGGGTCAAGCTCAATTTCTGGCGGCGACTCTTCGGTAGCTCTGTGACCAACAATAGCGGGAGGTTTGAGAATATCCCATAGCTTGACTCTTTCGAGCGCTGCAACCATTTCTTCGTCGGATGCTATACCCGTGGGGTCCATATTGAGTCGGATACTACCATCTAGGACGAAGACATCCTGAGGAATCGTGATTATCCTTGCTCGTATCACCTCCCTGGGTAGTGCGCTGATGTCTTGGCCGTCGATGGTAATAGATCCTGAGTCTAGCTCGACCAGACGCAGCATGGAGAGCAACAGAGTAGATTTTCCGCTGCATGGATCATATTTTAGAATTATGTTCAGCTTGCAACTTGGTAATTGGAATGGATTCACCTTCCCGTTCGTCCGCAGATGCCTACGCGCTGACCGGACTCGATCTTCTGAGAGATGCCCTTCAGAACAGTGGTAGTAGCACTACTAACCGTCAACATAGTCCAGCACCAAGGAGTCATAGATAATAAGGAGATGCTACTTACTTGTATGAAGCGACAACATTGTCGAACTCTATCGTGCCTTTATCAGGCCATTCGACACCCGGTTCCAAACACTCGTTTTCCTTGGCCTCGGGGAGCACAGCCGCATCAAGCGATTTGATACGAGAGACTGCCCCAAGTGAAGTCTCTAGCTGCGTCCATGCCTGCAGAAGACGTACGAGAGTGCCGGATATGGATTGAATGATGAGAAGGGCAATCCCGATCTGCCCGCCTGAGGTAGTAGTCCTGAAAATGACGGCCAAACTGACGACAAGAACAGAGAGACCAGCTACTAGCAAATCGAGAACAAGCGTAAGCCATTGTTGAACAGAGAGCATCGTATAATGAGCCCTTTGAGATACATCGAGATTACTAATGTTCTGGTCCACAGACTGTAGTTGCCAGCCAAATGCACGGATGTGGGAAATACCCTCGAGCTGCATGAAAGTGAGTCAAGATTGATTTACTGAGTCTGAGGGTCAGCCTACCGTCTCCAGGAAATTCGTAAGAACCTGGGCCCTCAGCTCGATGTCTAAACATTGAACTTGCCGAGAAGTGTGCAAGTATAGCATCTGCAAAAAGTACAAAACAATGATTAGGAAAGGCGCCCCTATCCCAATGGAACTCTGCGTGATGAACAACAACACCAATTGGGAAAGTAGTTTGGAGAACTCTGTTGCAGTACATTAGCACCGCGATGACCTTAGTTTAGATATTGTTACTAATATCTTACTCCAAAATGTGTTCATTAAATTGAAAGGTAGATCATGGTCTACGTAGTTTATGTCTTCAGTAAATCTAGAGTGAAATAGTCAGATGAAGCCACCGTAATAATTCTTTGTTTTGCTAACCGATTCAGTGTTTCTCCGGTGTCTGTGACGGCAAAGTACGACAATGGCGCCCTGAAGGGTTTATTCAATATCTAGTGTGACAGTGTTTCAGGACTTTGTAGGGTACCTTACCTCATGACGATCGTTAGTAGTCGGTGGTGAAGAGCCTTTCCGGCTTTAGGGGCGATGAGAATGATGGTTGACCTGGAAGAAACGTTAGATTTCAAGCCATTTGCCCTTCTTTCGAAGAGTTTCGGGCCGAGAACTAACCATATCACAGACCCTGTGGCGGCAAATGACAAGAGTGAAGACAGAGCATACGCAGTCATGTAGTACCCGGTATGGGAGCCGCCGGCTTCCGACCACGCTCTCAGTATAGAGGGCGTCACTGCTAGTGCAATGCCATCTATGATGTTACAGCTCATAAACAAAATGAATACGGGTAAGCTGATAGACTTGAAGTAATATACTATCAGACTAGTTAGCAGAGAAGAAATAATCTTTGGAGAGTTATATATCGTACAGTAAACCGACAGACCGCCATTGTGCCCGGGTGCAGTTACATTAGGTTCGGAAGTATGCATCGCACGTGGCCGGAGAGAGTCTTCAAAGTACACCGCTTCCTCAGTTTGATTGGAACTCGGCTCCTCAATCCGGATCCGGCTGAGGTAGCCCCCGGAAGATCGGAGGTCATCCCATGTGCCCTGTGCCTCGATCTTGGAATCGACAAAGACAAGGATATTATCGGCCAAAGGTAGATGTTGGGCTTTTAAGGCACAAGTTAGACTGCCGTTGACGTACTAAGAATCCCCCCCAACCCCCCTTTAGAAGAATTTGCTTACCGGCGTGAGTGATAAGAATCACTGTTGTTTTCAGTTGGCGGAGAAGACCATCTGGGCCCAGCAACCTCTCGACTACATGAACTTCAGTTTTCGTATCTAATGCGCTCAATACATCATCTAAGATGATAATCTCCGGCCGAGAGTAGACAGCGCGTGCAAGAGCCTTCATGTACGTGTTCAGCGATTGATATTTAATTGGGATTAAGGGATGACTTCACATACCACTCTTTGTCTCTGGCCGCCAGACAGCATAACACCACGGCTACCAACAGCTGCAAAGTCGGCGCCACTGAGTTGCTTAATGTCCTCGTCTAAGCCGCATGCGCATATAACAATCTGGTACCATTCATCATCGATCTCCTTCTCGTCAGTAAGATCGCATACCATCGCTTTGATGCTAGCATTTATAAGCCACGGCTTCTGGGCACAATATGCAATGCGCTTTGACGAAACGGCAATAGATCCGCTATCTGGTGCAATGTCGCCCAGGATAGCCCTTGCTAACGTTGTCTTACCTGCTCCGATGGGTCCGAAGAACACATTCAGAGAACACCTTATTAGCTGCGCGCTTACTCCATCTAAGCAAACACTCACGCCTGGGGCTGGTCGTAGTACCAAATTTTCAACTATCACAGCTGGAGGCTCACCAATTGCCGATTGAGGGTTAAGAAGGGGCCAGGCAACACGCTGATTCCTGATTACCCCCGAGTCACGCGACATTGGTTCGAGCAAGACACGCCTGTCGTCCCGATATGGCTTGAGAAGGTATTTCTGAATCCTAGAAGCACAACCATAGACAGTTGCGAATTGAGGGAAGAGCGCAAGTATGATATTGGCAGGTGTCGTTACTAAAGTAACGGTTGCGATGGCCGTGAAAGCCGTCCCTGGGTCTAGAGATTTTTTGCCACGAAAATAAGTATCCGCAGCGTAGACTATCAGGGTAAAAACTGGGGCTAAGATCGAAATCCCGTTGACTATTGCGCTTTAGCTGTCACTTTCTCCCCGTGCCAGTGCTGAGCTATCTTACCACCCAGGTTGATGAACACGATAATCCAACGATACGTCAGCCCTGTGACCAAGTCTACCATTCTTGATTCTTGGACTTTCTCCATCACAATGTCTGCTAAACCCATCTACCCAGCGAGTAAGGAGGAGCTCATAAATGTAAAATCATTGAAGTTCACGTACCATCTTGATTTGCTTAATATAATCGATTGTAGATGTCGTTAATCCGATGCGGTTCTGCTTTGCTTCTTGCCAATCCGCCATCGATTGGCTGATTTTCCGTCCAGACCATCTAGCCGCCTGCGAAAGTACTAGATGTGCCATATTGAGCTCCATTCGCTTCACCATAAGCACAAGTTAAGACTTACAAACGACGACAGCGACTGGAGTAAAACACCACCAGCCCAGTTGAGTCCAAAGCATAGCTACACCAATCAATAACTCCACCAACTGTGCCCAGATTTCCTGGGAAAGCCAAGCCCATTTCTCGACGTTATCAGTGTCGTTACTCATATGCGTAACAGCTGCGGCTCCATCGTATACACCATCACGCATTGTCAGACAGCGCGCATGGATGAGCCCAATGATGGCACCACGAGTTTGCACCTTGATTCTGTTGTGGCTCTGGTAGTATACACAAAAGGATACCTAGAGCCTAATTAGCATCACTTTCGTAGAGGAGACTAATAGATACCTTACACCCATTCCCAAGTAGATAACAAGCGCGGCAATGATGAGGTAATGTCCTTCTTTCGGTTGTCCTTGCTCAGTCACATATGTAATTGTCTTATTAATGAAGACGGGCTGGGAGTAAGTGAATATCACCATCATTAACCGAGGGATAGCAGTTAGTAAGAGGCTCCCCCTAAAGAGCCTGAGCAATGCCCAGAGCAAGGTACCTCCGCCACTTGACCCATGGCTAGGATCTGGTTTAGCTAGAGTCCGCTAATCAGTCTTGTTCCAGACTGATATGTATGGTGCGTGCCTACCCGTCTTTTCCCATATCTCCTCCATTTTCACACGTAGGCTTCTTGATTGGAGCTTATCATCGAGTCCGGGCAAGTCCGAGTGATTCATGAGTTTCGTGTTGCCCAAAAAGATGAAGCCATTGACCCAAATTAAAAATGCTCGATCAAGGACACTACTTGTCTGTTCGACAGACAGGCCTCTGTATGGTTCTCTAAGATAACTCCGTTTACTTCTCAATTCAATGATCAGGAGAAGCAACTTGACACAGAACGCGGCGGTAAGTACATCCGTAATAATAATCTCACCATGATGAAAGAAGCTTGATGGTAATAGGAAGGCCCCTTCTATCAACGTAGATGACAGCAAGTATGATATGAGCAGAGTGGAAGGTTTAGTTGCTCTACCGTGCTCAAGGAAGGATAGGGGGCATAGTGCTAGGGCGGCCATTAGAGACACAACATGTTGAATGATTATCTCTTCACCTTGGCTCGCAATAGTCGAGCAGAAGACCAACGCGGTGATGTCTAAGACTATAAGAGCCATAGCAAGTAACTAAATAGCTATTAGCGGAGCTTTTCCCTCTTTGCTGACATGAAGGCACCTACAAGTTTAGCAGCTCCAACATAATTCTTGCGAACTTTAATCGGGGCTCTGTAAAGTTTACTAAGCCTGAAGGGAAGAAGAGTTAGCAGCACAACAGCCGGCATCAACCATAATGCAACTTGTGCTCGAGAATTATCTCCCAGGATGTCCCAAGCAGAATTGGATGATTTAGCCGGAACGGTAACGTTTGAAGTAGGAAACACCCAGTCATGGCGGTCCACCACCCAAAAGATAGATTTCGAATATTCCATCGCGGATTGAAACAGCCCATGAAATCTGGTGACAGCTGGATAGAATGACCTTCCACAAGCCGCTCGGCTATGGAACTATTTTAGGTGTGGACACAAATCGCCCTACCCGGTCAAGTATGGACATTTTACGAACCAACATTTCAGACAACCTACCAGTATGGTTGGACTCAAGTGGAGACGAAAGGACAACACCCGGAACGGATACTTGCGTATGCAAGTTACGAAGGGGCTACGTAATAATATTACGTATATGTGCTGTCTCCAGAGCCGAGGATTCTATCCTTCGGGTCCTCCTTTTGTATACAGGTGACCGGGACACTAGTCTTGCGACCCGCTCTGTCCCAATACCCTTTTCCATGGAGTATCTTCTATCTTCACATCGTATATCCAACAATAGCTAGCTAAAGGTTGATTTTAAGGACTAGCTATATACTTAAATTACTGACCTAAGTATGGCTGACTATTTACATAGGATATTTATATAGTTATATTAACATCCCTTCATCCGTCTTTTCGTTTATTAGATGGTAGAAACTCGTTCTGATTCCATGGTCCTATGTCGCGGGATAGCTCTACTATCCTAGTATCCTGTTCTCGCAGGATCTACGATCCTTGATTCTTCCCTTCGAGACGTACTGCGTCTTCCCCGCATTGGCCGTCCCAATAGGTCACTTAGTGTAGGTCTGTAACACCTTGCCAACAGTAAACTCAATAGTCATATTGTGTGCTCGCGGGTATAGTGACATACATCCCTCTTCCAAGTTCTATCTCCCCGCTTGCAGTGTCTCTTTTCGGTAGGTGTTGATCATATTATCATACTTGTCTACTAGATGAATATATTCGTCTCTAGTATTATTGTGCCTTATATCTTGTTTTCCTTGAGCTATCTAGAGTTCTGTGCTTCATCTAAGCTGGGCTTAAATCTATCCTTACTCTTCAAATAAATCCACATCGTCTTATCGGCACATTTATATGTTCAATCCCAACACACTCACCATGGCGTACACAGAAGACCAGCAGCAAATTGGGCGTCAGCATGAAAAGTCTTCTAAATGGCTTAGACTAAAGATCGTACGTGAGCGCTCCAAGCCAGATCCTGACTTGGCGATGTTAGCTGCTCTATTGAAAGCCCACTGGCTTCTCATCACCTCAGCTCTGGGCAAGAAGAATGAGCAACGTCATTCGAACTTGAGACAGGGTCATAGATCAAAAGGAACTGCGTCTCTGTGGTTTGATACCGCGCAATTCTACTTCGCGGCCAATATGTTCGGCCTTCTGAAGGGTCAGACAACATGTGTGGTTTCCCCTCGTGTCCTCTTGTCCTGTATGAACACCTGGGAAGAAACACAGGCGTGGAGTCGGCTACTCGCAGATACACCAACTGACACTATGGGCGACGAACATTTCCGCCTGATGGGTCGCTTCCAGAGCTACGGTCATGCTGCACCTGATACGTTCGAGGTGATAGCTCTCGAAGCATTCGAGCAGCGACTGGCACTTTCTCGCAAATACGGCACTTGGTTCGCCGAGCAAGTTTCTCCAGGCTGGCAGCGTGGAAGTCCACGGAAATGTTACCTGGAGCGCTGGAACGGCACTTACGATCGCCTCGTCTGGAGCTTCGGAATTCAAGGTCATCATCGTGCTGATCAGATCTGGCACCTCATGAAAGAACGCCTTCCGCGCGAAAATGAAGATATTACGCGCGAGTTTCCGCAAGACATCACCGACATAGAGCCCGCACTACGCCCAGAGACCATAGCGGTCCGTTCATGGACCTTTCCTTACCACGGCTTGTTTTTCTCTATCTACGAAGACCGGCGTGGGAATTTCTTTCTATGTCACGCCAAAAGCCATGACATCCCTGCCATAGTTCGCCCACGACTAGCTACACTATGGAATGCGACGCTCGACCGACTTCAGCCGTATGCTGAGCGTTTACGTTGTCTTGCAGAGTTTGAGTGGCTCTGGTACTGGACCAACCCTTTCGTGCGCGGTGGTGCCACCACTGGTGGAGTGCTCTCGGTTTTCTTGCAAAGGTCCCTCCTTAGCGAAGGGTTGCACATCAACGTCCCTGATCATTTTGTGATGCAGGATTTGTACGCTCTTAGCAGCGATTGGCGCTTCTATGTCTGTGAACGGGTCGCCAAGTTGTCGTCTAAAGGGAAGCACGCCAGTATTACCGTTGACGAGCGTTCAGCCTTGAGCGTAGTTACGTTATGATATGTTTCTAGTCATACGAAAAACGTTTCTATGTAGTATGTCCTCGGGCTCTCGGGGCAACCTGAACTACAAGGGATTGACTGGCTATCACACTTGGGTGGAGTCAAGGGTAAATTGAGGTCCGAAGTTCCTTCTACATATTTAGCACACCGCTCAATTGCATGTCAGATAGAAACCTAGCTAGCTAGAGCACACGATACTACTCTGACTTGATCCCTTGCACGTCCTGCAGGGCCTGCTGGAACACAGCAGGACGAGACTGGCTCATTGACTCATAAACCTATCATTTGACACAAGAGTTCTAAGATTTCACCTTCCAAATCAACGTCGCCGCCCCAGTAACAATCACCCCTAGCGCCAATGCCAGATTCTTCCAAGCTTTAGCGGAGTCTTGCATGAGACTCTCGAGTACTTTCGCCACGACCTCTTCCAGTGCATTCCTATTCGGGTATTCCTCATCAGGGATGTCTTTGCCGAGGAACTTGCAGAGTGGCCCCCAGCCATCCTGTACTTTGAATTCAAGCACCTTGTCAGATCCCATGTCTTTGGTGAGACCTCTGAGCATGGCGTAATGATCGCGGTATGTGTCTTTTGCATATTTCCTGTAGTCCCCCCTCCACAGCCCCCCGTAAGTCAGACGATGCTCGTTCACGTTGACCCAGAACATCCTAGCGTGAAACCACACGAGGAGAGGGTGAACCCATCCGGCGCGCTTCTCCGCCGTGCTCCACGAGTTGATGACGCTGCGATGCCATGCCTCCACATCTTCACGGTAGTTGATAATGATCTTCGCCTCGGGGTAGGCTTTGATCAGCTCCTCAGCGAACTCGCATGCTGGCGCGTCTGTCACTGCCTCGCAGTGGCCGATGACACGATCAAAATCGCCACGTGTAATCGGCTTGCCTGAAGTTTTAAGGGACCAAAGATGAACCCAATTCACACAATCACGGGCATCGGCAATGTGGTCAAATCCATGGTAGACGTAATTGTATCCAAGCGTGGTGAGAGCAACTCGCAGAGAGTCGGTGGCGGTTCTTGGTAGGCCCAGACAAAGTATGTGCATTTGTTTGGTCCTTTTGCGCTCTTGAGGCTTCAGAGGGTAAACCCACTGGTATAGAGTGTCAAGGGCCATTGTGTCTTTGCTGGTCATGGGGATATAAAACAAGGATGAAAGAAACAATCCTTTAAGACTATTTCTACCTGAGAGACAAAAGAGTATGTACTAACTAAAAAGGAATTAAATAGTTATTAGTAAATGATGCCTTCGCAATCCTTTTGGTTTATTACAAATCTAGTGGTTTATTAGTCTTAAAGAACACATCATACACGCAAGTGAATCAACCAAGCAAGCTGACCAATCGTTTAACCCATACGAAAACGTCAATACACTATTACATGATAAATCAATAACGGTACGAAAATTGATCAAGAACACAACACTACTAAAAATCCGGGGAAGGTAATAACGAGCACAATCTGTGTGTACGTGTACTTGGATCATGGTCGGCCTAAACCAGCCTCAATAATTAAGCTCTCACCTGTCCAGGCTATCAAATTTGTGTAAACAATCGGCCCTTTGACAGCAAGTAAGAATATGCATTGGCTATTACCCCACACAATAAAACTGCGGGGTATAGACTTGTCTAAGGCGGTACCGAGGGGGATCCACGAACTCCGTAGGATTGACGTGTATCAGATGAGACAATACGATGCAGGGCATACCCAGCTAGTTCAGCAATGCCGATGTACTGAGACATACCTAGTAGTTAAGCGATGTAGCTTCTACACTAGGGTAATCTGTATAGCTCACCTACTTGGTTTAGTGTATGCGGGATCGCTGAATCTAACCACCGCTAAACAAAGAGCGGGACTTCCCGCAGCCCCCCCGCAAAAGCCTCAGCCGAAGTGCCCATTTTTACCACCTGCAGTGTGATGGAAGGCACGCCATGCCGTATATATAGTACCTACCAGTACTATAGCCCTACTAGGAACTCTCCCATCTACATAGTCAATCCAATCCAATCCATACAATGCCCTGACATGCAGTCTAACCAGTCGATCCACCAGCGCAATGTTACTCCTGCTCCTGCAACTACACCGCCGCCAAGACCGTATTCGCATGTACCTGTACGTTGAAACAACGCGTCGTCGGTGTGCAGGGAGTTTCTCGGTGTGTAACGTAGCCTTTTTTTTTGGGTACGAGCAGAGTACGAGGGGTGAAAATAGCGGGAAATTGTACCTAATCAAGCAAACATTACACACCATAATCTCACTTGTGTAACAGCACGCGTTGAATATCCACGGACACTGCACGGATAGGCGGTGAGAAGATGCTGAGAGCGTACATTACACACCATAATCTTACTTGTGTAACACCACGCGTTGAATATCCACAGATAGGCGGTGAGAAGGATGCTGAGAGCGTACCTAGCAGATAAATTCCGCTTTTTGTCCCAAATATACAAAGTTTCGTACATCGAGATCATCATTTTCACTAAGAACTTGTCTGAACGTTGCAACTACGGCTGAAAATTCCTGAAAATGACCTTCGTCGTTGCTTACACCAATCCTAGTAGAGACATATGGAAGTCCGAGCAGTCCGAGATGCGAGAGTTGGGGCATGGAGCTCACTGGACTGGTCCTGAAAGGCGTGCATGATTGTGTGAATGTTCTAAGCTGAATACATACGCAATAAAGGCTAAGATGTATTTAAGGGTAAATAGCTGTAAGACTGCTGTATAAAGTTGTTCACACACTGTGCATTGGTGAGATCAATACTTCTTGGAGTCACCTGGTACTTACCTTACTTACTTGTAGATCTTCTCCCGATGTAACACTAGAGCATCTACCTAACCTGGCTATCGTGGCCGTTTCGCAATACTAGAGACAGAACCTGCCGCAATGTTTAGGTAACATATCTGCATAGTATTAGATCTCTTGAAACTGCGCTGGAGGATGTATCTACCTAGATACCTTCAAATTCCTAATACTGAATCGATCGCCGTATTCATCTCCATCTTGGATTACTTGTTTCTATGATTAGGGACTATTAAATGGTATCTAAAGTTTTATTCTGCAATAGAAAAGAGCAGTCAACACTTCCTATTACAAGAGCGGATGGCGATGGCTGTGGCGAGGGTGATGGCTTCATGTACTAAATGTACTTCTTACATGGGGTTATAGGCACCTATGACAGGCCCCGTGCTTAGCATTGCCATTTAGGGCATACTTGTGGCTAACAGGTGCGGCAGGGTGAAAACGGGTATGCAATGGATTGGAGTCGCTATCACCCAAGAGACTCGCCCTAAAACTATTACCCCTTTGTAAAACAAATTCTAGAAGTTGTAACCAGATTCTGGCCACTTAGCATTCAGTGAGAAAAGATGACCACCAAGCAAACCGAACAGCATACTGCTGATGAAAGATCACATCTGATTGCATCCTGTGACAGTCAAGTGACGACTTCAGAGGACTACCAAACAATCGGTGATGTTGAGTCATTGTATGGAAGTGAACGCAACAGCGAACATGGAGAAGAAAGGTACAGCCGTGCTTTCGTTGCTCAAGTCGTGGGGGCACTATTGATAGGTGAGTGCCGCTAATATACATTCATGGCAGAGAATGACGCTGTGAAACTTAAGACGCTTATGAACATCAGGTGTTTTCACGTCCAACGTAGATGGGTCGCTCGTCCTTGCTACCCATCCAGTCATTTCGTCGGAGTTTCACGACCTCGAAGATTCAAGCTGGTTGTTTATCAGTTTCTGGCTTGCTGGTGCTGCTACCCAGTCATTGGTATGGAACCCTATGAATCACAGACCAAGGCGTACACTGATTGATTTTCAAAGTACGGAAAGATTTGCGACATTTATGGTCGAAGGACTATACTTGTCATTAGTTATGGCCTTTTTGCCGTTGGATGGTACGAGCCATCTTCCCTCACACCTTCGATCCTCTCTGTCTGACCCAAGTTTAGTGCTGTGATGTGAGTTATCTATCTAAAGGCGAAACAGTATGAAAATCAAAGTCTCACAATGTCATTCTGTAGCGGTCTTGGTCAGTCTATGTGGCAAATCATTCTTGGTCGCGCCTTATCCGGCTCTGGGCAGGCTGGCATGTGGGTTTTGGCAGCAGTCGTCATCACTGGTCAGTTACATAATAAGACCTTTCTTTGGCTCAAAAGGTACTCTTTTGATTCTAATGATTACAGATCTGGTCCCTCTGAGAGACGTTGCTCCCTGGCAAAGCTATCTAAATGTAATCGCAACAATAGGACGAAGTTTTGGGGGTCCATTTGGCGGGTGGCTTGTTGATGTAGTCGGCTGGAGATGGTACGTATCACTTGTTTCTTATAATTGAATAGAGCAAGCATATTCAAACGTGCTTTAGGTCATTCCTTGGGCAGGTCCCTATCTTTATAGTCGCAACGGTACTCTGTTTGGTTGTATTCTCAAGATTTCAGCCACCCCAGCAAGGAGGGGACTCAGATAATGCAGTCCCTCGGGGCAATCTATCTCAAATTGCAAGGATCGATTTCGTTGGGCTTATAACTCTTGGGCTAGGGATTCTAAGCCTCATGTTACCTCTCGAGATTGGAGGCCACAAGATTCCTTGGTCCCACCCTACCATATTCATCTTATTGGCGATTGGAACCTTACTTCTCGGATTGTTCGTTCTGGCCGAGACCCGTTTGGCCAGAGAACCTATCTTTCCTTTGAGATTGTTGCGAAGTCGCCAGGCGTTATTAGGGTACCTTATAGTGGGATGTATTCTTGCGGCACAGTCAGGAGTAAGTTTTGTGAACGGTGTGCAGAAGAAAAAGTGACTTACCCACTCCAGATGGTATTCACAATACCCGTATATTTCCAAGTTACCCAAAGGTCATCTAGCACGCTTGTGGGAGCACGTTTATTTCCGGCTGTTGCTGGTAATGCAATCGGTGGTATTCTTTCCGGACATTTGATCCGCAGGTGAGTCTCAAGCTCCGGAGACGCCGACGATCCCCAGCTTACATGATCCAGGACTGGACGATACAAGTTGTTGGCAATATTCGCGTCGTTAACCTCAGCTCTTAGCTATTTGCTGATGGTAATTCGGTGGAAAGGAGACACCAGTTGGGCCGAGTCATTATACATATTCCCAGGGTACTTAAACTCCCCCAAAATAGTGGCCTAACGTTGATACTGATCGAAGCAGCGGGCTAGGGTGTGGTATCATACAGAGTGCGGTGTTCATTGCCATTCAAACTTCTATCGATCCCAAAGACAAGGCACCAGGTATCTCGGGCTTCTTCTTAGCAACACAAGTCGGCACCGTCATAGGAACCTCTGCTGTTAGTGCTTTAATGATTGGGGGCTTGCAACAATCATTGAGGGCTAGGCTCATCGCGCAGGGGCTATCTCAACCCGAGTTGAACGAAGTGAGTCAAATTAATCAATTGAAATTTTACGATCTCGGCTAATCATGGTAACAGATTCTCAGGCAAGCAGCCACTAGCGTAGAATATCTTGACAAGACGACAAGACCAATCGCGAGGGCTATCGAGGCATCGTACGTTACTGGTCTGGAATACGGTCATGGTAAGTGTCCTTAAATAATCACACTGTACGTGGCTTACGAGAGAATACAGCCTTTTCCTTTGGTAGCTCCATCATTGCATTTTGTGCCGCATTACTACTTCGAGAGCGGAAATTGGAGTCGTGAAGCGCACATAACCGGCTTGCAATCTCTAAACCATCTCTTTCTGTAGCTAGAGCGAGAATCGCGGTGATATATCTGATCGCTTTCGCAAGTAGAGGTAGCAGTGGGAACTGGCCGTGTAAGCGCCCTTCCACTGTTGGATGTGACATTTGTTCGTCCCATTGAGGAGTGCAGAGTATTACTTTCTGTCAACGTATTACAGGATAGATAGCAGGCTACCAATACTGATTATGTGTAATATGAGAGCACTGGATTTTGCATTCATTCCATGTCAGAGCTATAAAATGGAGAGAGTTGAAGACTATTCTTGTACCACCCATCTGTTTTCTTTTCCTCATTCAAATACACACATAATACATCCCTAGGTTCTTATCACTGAAGCTTCACTTGTGGCCTTCAATCATATCAAGCCTAGAAACTTAACAGAATGATTATAAATGTCACTTACAACATATCAGTAGTGAAGTGTTGAAATACTAGGTTAATTATGAGTGGTAATATACGGTATAGTATATTGCCCTTGAGGAACAGTCTAGGTACAGTAGTGTAGGAGGGTACCTCCATTTATATAGACAGATGTATGTGGGTCGTTGTACCTAGCTACCGGCTTTACATGTCCGAGACATAATTCCAACATGAAGTTTAAGTTGCACAATATTCGCCACTCTTCAAGAGCTTGCTGGCTTGGGAGAAATGCAGCTCCAAATCATTTTCAACACGCATTTACCATTGAGCCTAATTGGTTGAAGGGCTTTACAAATTGTTTAATTCTATGCAGAAAAAGAAGAGACATATCATTCAACTTCAACCACCTCTCAGTCTCACCTAGTTCTACCGATGCAGGCAAAATACTCGCAAAAGTAAGGTGCGTCCACAGCCATGACACCACCACTGTCAAGAAGAGCAGCTGGTGGCCAGAATGAAGGGCCAACTCTATCAAGCAGACCTGGGTAGTTCGTCAAGCCAGGCGGCTCCGTGATGCCCCATGGGTTCCGGATGACTATGTACTGTCGGTTGCCGATGTTGCTCCAGCCAAGAATAGAATAGGCATGGTTCGCTACCAGGTTCGCGCCGCGGAACAGGTCACCCGATGCATGGGTCCAGGCGACCATCGGATCTTTCGTCCTGAAGTTGACAGAGCTCTGGCGCACCAGCCCGATCAGATCGTGATGGCTCTTAGTGAAGAAGTACTGTGGCTCGCGCCCATCTATTTGAGCCATTGCTTTGACAGGGTCACCATACGCGGTCTGTGTGATATCAGGGCGGTCAGGGCGTCCCCAGTACGGATCTTTTGCCGTAAACCACATTGCGAAAGCCTTCTCGTATAAGGCAGGCCAATAATCAGTTCCACCTGAAGAGCGACAGTAGATAGGCTCATTCATGGTCTTGTTGACCGGAACCTCGTAAGTAACCTTGAGGACTCGAGTCGCGGCATTGTTGCGACCGCCTTTGTCATGGAGCTCGACATCATGCCGGAACGGTTGGGCGCTGTCCTTGTCCTTTCGGTAAGGGGGTCCGTCGCCGCGGAAAACTTGGTGAATCACGGTAGGATCTGACCAGAATACTGAAGAGATAGCTGCAATCAACCAGGAGTTGCTGCACGCTCCTTGGATTGGCCCGTCATATTGGACGGTAGCGGGGCTATAGTCTGCAAATACGCTCGTGACATTCTTGTGTCGAGCTTCTAGATGGTTGATTTCCGACGCGAGGTTTTGAATGGAATTCTTGAAGTGATAGTTTTTGAAGACGACTTCATCGATATTTCGCCAAGCACACACGGGTGGGACGCCGAAACTCCGTTCGTCTTCTACACGAAAGGGGACGGCCAATTCGTTAATTGTCCTGGTGACAGCGCGGTTGGACAGGGTCTTGGCAATGGACCGAGCATCCAGTACCACATGGAGTTTGCCATTCTGGAGGCGAGCGGTCTTGACATTAATTTGACCGAGGGCCTTGAGGCCAACATACTCGAGGTCGCTGAGCTTCTGGATTCCGGAGAGGTCTGGTGTCTGAAGGTCCTTTTCCGGCAAGATTGTGATGTCTCGACGGCTGAGTTTCTCAGCACGTCGCTCTTCCACATTGAGCTCGAGACCGGCATAGAGTACTGAGTTGTTCCTCATATCAAAGAGCTCATCGTAGTCTGTCTGTAGAACGTCGGAGATGACCTTGGCAACATGCGTACTACCACAGTCTAGTCTGTGCCCCAGCATGGCCTCAACCAGCGCATAAGGATTTATGGCCCCGATATTGAGCTCAGAATCCTTAGGCGGCGGATCTGGTCGCAGCACCTGGCAAGTGGTGAGATTGCTTGCATTGTGACCTGTTACGAAATTGTAGTCTTCTGAAAACGTCTCAGATGAGCTTTCGGAGAAATCATCAGGACCAATCTTCTTGCCGGTCAAAGCTTCAAACAAAGCATACGGATCGACCTTATCCGACAAAGTCGATAATACGGCGATTTCCTTCGCCATCTCTAAGATTCTGAATGCTGGAACGGGGGATATTTTAGGGTTACATTCAACTGGTATACTTGATCCAAGTGGAGTGGGAAGACCGGTTTATATTACACGTGTTTCCAGCACTGGATAGAATTCTGGTGACACAAGAAGAAGAAATGGCAGCAGAGCGACTTGTATTGAAGATGAAAGACTTTGGTAGTACATTAGATAAATCCTATATTTCAGCAAACTGCAACGCTTTTCTATCATTCTAGTACATGGCACTTCTTACGGGCCGCTGACCCAGTGTGTCTGGCCCCAGCTAGGATAGGTCCCCGACCAAAACCCCTATGCCAGGTGTAAGAAACGGTCACGATCGCAAGCATGGGTGGGTGTGGGTGTTCTGGTGTTGCATAAGGAGAAGATCTAAGCTAAGTGCAGGATTAATTACTCCGAAGAAGTATTTATTCCGCCTGGTACAGTGTGTGGGCTACCCTAATCGCTTACATAGTACACTCAATACATACTCAGCCCAGAACCTTCTCCTGATCCATCTGGCAACATGGCTGCACTAGCTAGACTGTTATGCCAACACCATGTCAGACCAGGTCATACCTTGGTCGCTCTTCACCTTTACCCAAGACATACCAAAACATACCTGTCGACTTACTATCGTTGTACAATGTATGCTGACCTATGAGATTCATACTCCCATGACGAAAATCGCCTCTATCTCAATGCAGGTTAAGGCCGCGCCTGGTGACGACCCTTGTTTGCTAATCACTCGCTAATAGTCGAGTTTCCTTCCAAAGTGACTTAAATAGTAGGTAGGTATTACTGTATCTGTACTGTAGAACTGCAGGCTTCAGATTATCCACTGTATCCCGGCATTTACGTTGCTCGTGTTCAGGTTACAATCCCGGATAGACGCGAGGGGCTTCGAAATTGGAATCAGAGGTCAGACATCATGCGGAACTATGCTTGAGAAGTTACGTAATAACGAAATGTACTACCTAGGTGGGTGTACGGACAGATACGGCGTACTACGCAAGCGAGTACCATAGTTCACTGGCAGGGGGGTGTGGGCCTGCATAAAGGCACTGTACATAGTAAGTAGTGATGAACAGGGGTGAAGGTAACTACCTAGGTACACATATGCCTACCGGTAGTGTACTGCTACCTTGGCCTTTGCCAAGAACTGGGGTGGCCCAGCATTACGGGCTGAACCGTTTATGTGCCGGCAGGATGCGGTGTAGGGGCCCAGAAAGTGAAGCAGGGTACTCCGCACATGTAAGGGTACTTTAGTTAAAATCACAAGAACTATGTTTCTGAAATTGATAAAAAAAGCTACCGAGTAAACTAGCAAGGTGCGCTATTATACGTGCTGACATATATAGCAGTACTACTAGGTAGTTGAGTACCAACATTCTGCGTCCCGTAGACGCCTTAGTAATACTGCAGGCAATTGGAACTTGTGGTCTCATGTGTGCCTAAGTTGAACTGCCTTTACGTGAATGCAGTGCGTCAGACCCGAGCGGCGAGATTACCCTTCCAAAGACGCCAGTCAGGTATTGTCAACGCTTTGCATTGGTATCTACCATGTTTATAACAACCGCTGTAACTGTTGGGCTTCAGACATTGACTCTGCTTGCCGAAGGAGCTCGTACTTTCTCTGATGACCAACACGATCAAGTTCCCTTGGTGCAACTTGGCGCTGGTCATGATAATGGGGCGAAAAGGCCCAACATCATCTTCATTCTAACCGACGACCAAGATGTTCAGATGCAGTCACTAGACTATATGCCTCGGTTGAAGCAGCACCTGCTTGATAGGGGAACATTTTATAAACGACACTATTGCACGACAGCTATCTGCTGTCCTGCTCGTGTGACCCTCTGGACTGGTCGTGCAGCTCACAACACGAATGTTACCGACGTGAGCCCCCCGCATGGTAATGTTTTCCAAAATGACAGGCCACTATTTCTGGACTCACGGCTAACTAGGTGATCAGGTGGATTTCCTAAATTCTTGAGTCAAGGTTTCAATGACAGGTATCTCCCGGTGTGGTTACAGAACCAGGGCTACAACACCTATTACGCAGGGAAACTGTTCAATGCACACACCATAGACAACTATAACTCACCGCACGCAGCTGGATGGAATGGCTCTGTATGCCAACCAGATTATAACGATGTATCAACTTTTTGGCTGACATCCCTTTGTTAGGACTTTCTCCTAGATCCTTTTACTTACTCCTACATGAACAGCACATATCAGCGCAACAAGGAACCCCCTGTCAGCTACGAAGGTTCATATACGACCGATGTGCTTGCGGAGAAAGCGCTTGGCTTTCTTGACGAAGCTGTGAGCTTCAACGCCCCATTCTTTCTTGGGATTGCTCCCATAGCGCCCCACTGTAATGTCTGGGAAAATGCCCCAAGTGATGACGCGACGGAGAGCTCCAGAAAGGGCAGAGTCAGAGTAACAGGAGAGCTCAAAGATTTGGTGTTTACGCCGCCTGTCCCGGCCGAGCGTCACAAGGACCTTTTCAAGGACGTCAAAGTACCCAGGACCAAGAACTTCAATCCAGATAGTCCTTCGGGGGCCAACTGGATGCTACAGTTGCCGCAGTTTAACCAGGATAGCATGGACCTCTACGACCACTTCTACCGGTCCCGCCTTCGTGCCTTGCAATCAGTGGATGAGTTGGTCGAGAGTGTGGTCGAGCGGCTCCAGGAGCTGGACATCCTGGAGAATACGTACATCATCTACACATCTGACAACGGATATCATATCGGTCAACATCGGCTTCCACCGGGGAAGACGTGTGGTATCGAAGAGGATATCAACGTCCCGCTCATTATCCGGGGACCTCATGTCCCGGAAAATCATGTTACAGAAATTGTCACAACGCATACAGACATAGCGCCAACTTTAATCGGACTCATCGGCGTTCGGAGTCCCGTAGATGCCCAGTTCGACGGGATAGCCATACCCCTGACGCGCAATGCTTTAGAAGAAGCCGCGATGAATCGCCATGAACACGTTAACGTCGAGTTCTGGGGGATCGGGGTTAATGAAGGGAAGATTCACCCAACCGCCGAGAGCCTCTTTGCGAACAACACGTACAAGGCGCTCCGCATCGTGAGCGATTCGTGGAATCTCTACTACTCCGTATGGTGTACAAACGAACATGAGCTGTACGATCTTAATGTGAGCAAAAGCCATAGTTATCCCCCTCTCCCATACCATTTGTAACTAACACACAATACTATACTAACATGTCAACCCCAAGGCCGACCCAGGGCAGCTAAACAATCTCTTGACATTGCCGTCGAGAGCTACATCATCGCACGAGTTGAACGGTCACCCTATTGACGAAGTCGTTGCTCGGCTTGACTCATTGCTACTCGTTTTAAAGTCATGCAAAGGAGAAAGCTGCGTCCGCCCGTGGGAATCTCTTCACCCAGAGGGCAATGTGCACAATCTGGATGACGCGCTGTCTACCACGTTTGATGAATTCTACCTCCGGAGACAGGTCAAGGTGTCATTTGATCGGTGCGAGCTTGGCCATATACTGGACGCTGAAGGACCGCAGTTCGACGAAGTTGGAATGGTCTATCGAAACAGTTTTTCGTGGTCTGCGTGGGTTTGAATACCTATGAGGTATGAACAATGTTTGCGCATAGAGTAGCAAAGCTTCAAAGAAGACGTATTAAATGTGACCGCAGCACGCTAAAAATGGGAATTAGAGTGGGCGTTCTTCAGTCATAGCGTCAAGACATATGTTAGCTCCCAAGGCCTGTTGACTCACTTGAGTTTGTGGTAATGTCGTGTGGGTCTGGTCTTCGATTTCTACCTCCCAATTATGAAGCCAACATGTCCCATGTCCCTCGCGAGAGCGTTGATAAGTTATTGGTGTGTTTTCTTATGTTAGTAAGTTGTAATGTTTAAAGCGAGTCTTGTGGATCTTGTTGAATTTTCTAGTCCCTTTAGAGCTGCGAGCAGATAATATCTATACCTTTTACATCACTTTTAAGAAAGTATCCGGCGCTCATAGCTCCTGAGCTACTTCCTTGAACCTTTGATAGTATTAGGGTTTGAGGGAAACTACCAAGACACTTTTCTTTGAGAGTATAAACGCACATATAACTAGATTGAGCAGAGGAGGACGCTATGGCACAACATCATCCTCAGCATCATAAGTATGCATCTGTCGCGGAAAAAAAAGACGCCGTTAATCCGTGCAAGATTAACGGCCTTTACATGGCATGCCCACTCCGCGACAGCATCTCACTCATATCTTCCATTCCATCATTATACACTGAACGACAAAGAATTATCAGTCTTTGGACACTCTATACTAGCCGGATCGTGCTGTATACAAGCAACTCCTACAAGGTGAGTAGCTAGCTACACGAATAATCCTAAGTATCGTCTTATCATCTGCAACATACTCTGGATCCAACATCACCTTACGCGCATATTGACCGCGATGCCTTGGCTGGGCTCGTGAGCTGATCTTATTTGCGAACGATTTGATCAAACATAGTTGAAGAATGAAGCTGGCGAATAAAGGGACAACGACCCTGCGAAATCAATGATTGGGTGAGCAATAGTATCATCTCAAGACTCAAGTCAAACATTATTATCTACGTCAGTAACTTCTTTGTAACGACTTGGCTCACTTAGGAAAGAAGCAAATTAATAGCGTCTACTCTATCTTGCTATGTCCTAGATAATTGGATATGAAGTCAAGTTCTAAATGATACGTAGACAACGACGGACCGGGAGCCGGTTGTGTTGGCAAAGGGTCCACTCTAAGTCGCTACCCCGCAGAATCTGTGTCACATACTGACCGTGTACAATACCTACTGTACAGTACGGAGTAGTTACTCCTGTTTAAGCAACAGATTTGGGGGGCGGGGGGCTCTGCTAGATCTGCGGCCAAGATGGCCTACCTCCGCTGATGCAAGTTATACTAGGTATGGGCCTGTAGCAAGGAGCCTCGGGCTCTACTCGGGCGCCTAAGGCGGGGGTTTTTGGAGCCCAAATATATGTACCTGTACTTAGGTACTTAAATGCCTATGTACTTCAGCTTCGCCCCTCCCCCCCCATTTGCTCCACTTTGGGGACGTCTCTACTAACCCTTTTAATACCTAGGTACTCTGTACCTACCTCGTCAAGGCGGTGTAAAATAAAACTGGCGCTCTCAAAACAACGTTTTGCACATATAGAAGTGACCGTTTTTTCTTCCACTGCCTCGCTCGCCTACCTATAGTACTATGTACTTACCCACCTAGTGTAGAGGCAAACCTCCGTACATGTAGGTAGGTATTCTACACTGTTCTGCAGCTCTTGATTCCCCCGCCAACCAGAGGCCTTGAAACTCGAGATCTGGGGGAAATGAGAGACAGAAAACGACGAGAGAAAAGATCGGTCCCAGGCTAACTTCAGGCATAAAGATTGTTCATCCCCCGCTGTAATTATGTCATTACACCCTTCCCTCGCTTCTTAGTACCATAACTGAGAATTGACGTTTCATTGCATCCCGCTTCAGAATTTGACGTTCTACGGCAGAGTTACGTTTAAACTTTTCTCATCGATTGCATCAACGAACTAAGCTCTACATTCTATTAGTGCCAGCCATTTTGGAATCAGTTGGTCTTCTACTAACTAGTAGCTATCTTGGGCTGCCTAGTTGTGATAAAACGTCGGGACAGTAGCGCCTCATCTTACGATCCCGAATAATTTTCTTAACATCCTCACTGTAACTATTTCAGAGTCTTTGATAGAGAGCTATCAATCAAGCGTCAGCATCGAAGACCATGGCCTCTACCGCCATTTCCCCAGAGACGCAAAGCGATCTGGGCGAGTCTGCTCTGACAACCGTTTACCATGACACAATACGGTTCTTCCTCAATGGCACTCAAGTGGTGCTCGATGAAATCGATCCAGAGGTAACGCTTCTGGAATACATCAGGGGTATTGGCCTGACGGGAACAAAACTGTACGTACAACCCATTTATTGACTCTGATTTGGAAGGTTATACCGCAGCCTACATATCACCCTTGACATAAAAAAAAGAGCAATACTCACAAATTCTAATTTAGTGGTTGCTCCGAAGGCGGATGTGGTGCCTGTACAGTTGTGATCAGCCAGTACAATCCAACTACCAAACAGATATACCATGCTAGCGTGAATGCATGTCTAGCACCCCTCGCGAGCGTCGATGGAAAACACGTAATCACTGTCGAAGGCATTGGCAATGTCAAGAACCCACACCCTGTTCAGGAGCGAATCGCTAAGAGCAATGGGAGCCAGTGCGGGTTTTGTACCCCTGGTATCGTCATGAGCTTATACGCCCTGCTGAGGAATAACGAGAGTCCTACCGAGTACGAAATCGAGGAAGCATTTGACGGAAATCTCTGTCGTTGTACAGGCTATCGGCCCATTCTTGATGCTGCCCAAACTTTCAGTGTGAAGAATGCATGCGGAAAGAGCTCTGCCAACGGGGGTTCAGGCTGTTGCATGGAGAATGGCAGTCGTGCGGATGGAGGGTGCTGTAAGAACGGGGACATGGACAACAGCCAGCTTATCAAGCAATTCACGCCACCAGGTTTTATTGAGTATAACCGAGATACCGAGCTCATATTCCCTCCATCTTTAAAGAAGCATAAGTTTCGCCCACTATCTTTTGGAAACAAGAGAAAGAGATGGTATCGCCCAGTTACACTTGATCAGCTTCTTAATATCAAGCACGTATATCCAAACGCTAAGATCATTGGAGGAAGCACCGAAACTCAAATTGAGATCAAGTTTAAGGCTTTGCAATATCCAATATCGATCTTTGTCGGAGACATTCCTGAATTACGACAGTATAGTTTTAAAGAGGACTATGTTGAGGTGGGCGGAAATGTTATTCTTACCGACCTTGAGACTATCTGTCAAAAGGCGATAGAGCATTACGGCAAAGCGAGGGCTCAAGTTTTCGAGGCTGCATATAAACAACTCAAGTATTTTGCCGGAAGGCAAATCCGAAATGTTGGAACTCCAGCAGGCAACTTGGTTACGGCGTCTCCAATTTCTGATCTGAACCCAGTGTTCATGGCATCGAACTCTATTCTGATTGCTAGGTCTCAAAGCAAAGAGACCGAGTTGTCCATGGCGACATTTTTTACAGGCTACAGACGAACCGCCCTAGACGAAGACGCCATTATTACATCAATCCGCATCCCACTAACACGCGAGAAGGGAGATTACTTCAGAGCGTACAAGCAAACGAAGAGAAAAGACGATGACATTGCCATCGTCACTGGTGCGCTCCATGTACGCTTGGACCAAAAGGGTATTGTCGAGTACTGTAATCTTGTCTATGGTGGTATGGCCCCGTTCACTACTGCAGCAAAGAATGCGAATGCATACCTTGAAGGGAAAATGTTTGCTCATCCAGGAACCCTTGAGGGTACTATGAACTCGCTCGAGTTAGACTTTGATCTCGTCTTCAGCGTTCCTGGAGGCATGGCCTCTTACCGAAAGTCTTTAGCTCTCGGGTTCTTCTATCGCTTTTATCAGGATGTACTGTCAGAAATCAGCTTAGACAGTACACATGGTGACAGCGAAGTCGTTGAAGAACTAGAGAGGGTCTTGTCAACTGGGTGGAAAGATGAGGCGGCGACATTCGAATATGTTCAAGAGTTCGTTGGGAAAGCTGCCAATCACGTCGCTGCCCTGAAACAAGTCACCGGTGAGGCACAATATACCGACGATATCCCCCCTTTAAATAATGAACTCCATGCCTCGATCCTGTTTTCTACCCGAGCACACGCCAAGATTATCTCTATCGATTACTCTGCTACCCTCGATATTCCTGGAGTGATTGACGTTGTTGACAAGAACGACCTACACAATCCAGATGACAACCATTGGGGAGCACCAATTGCTGACGACCGTTTCTTTGCCGAGGATGAGGTCTTCGCTGCCGGCCAGCCAATAGCAGTTGTACTAGCGACCTCAAAGGCGAGATCGATAGATGGCGTACGCGCCGTAAAGATTCAATACGAAGATCTGCCCGCTATATTTACAATGGAGGAAGCTATTGAGAAAGATAGCTTTCACAATTGGTCAAATAGCATTCAAAAAGGTGATGTTGAGGATGCTTTTAAAACTTGTGATCACGTCTTCACGGGAGTGACGCGAATGGGTGGGCAGGAACATTTTTATCTTGAGACTAACGCTTGTGTGGCTATTCCGAAACCTGAGGATGGCGAAATGGAAATATGGACGAGCAGCCAAAATCCCACAGAAAGGTATAGTCTTCTCTGATAGGGAGCACTCATAGATTCTAACTTAATATAGCCAGGCGTACGCCACGAAGATCCTCAACGTCCAGGCCAATAAAGTTGTCGTCCGTGTGAAACGCTTGGGCGGTGGGTTCGGTGGCAAAGAAACCAGATGTGTTCAGCTGAGCACTATGATGGCTTTGGCTGCGCAGAAAACCAAACGTCCAGTTAGATGTATGCTCAACCGCCATGAAGATATGGCAATGACTGGGCAACGTCACCCCTTCCTTACGAAGTGGAAAGTTGGCGTCAACAAGAACGGCAAACTTCAAGCATTGGACGCCGATGTGTTTAATAATGCTGGGTGGTCCTTCGATCTTAGTGCAGCCATTTGCGAGCGCTGCTTAACCCATATTGACAATTGCTACTTGATTCCGAACGTATATGTCCGTGGACGCATTTGTAAGACAAATGTTATGTCAAATACGGCATTTCGTGGGTTTGGAGGCCCTCAAGGCATGTTTATCACCGAATCTATTATATCAGAAGTGGCCGATCGATTGGACATTACGGCAGAAACGTTCCGTGAGCTCAATTTCTACAAAACTGATGAGATGACACATTTCAACCAAGCTTTACAAGACTGGCATGTACCATTAATGTACAAACAAGTGCAGGAAGAAGCAAACTACGCAAAGCGGCGAATAGCTGTTGACGACTTCAATCGAAAGAACAAATGGCGTAAGCGAGGTCTCGCATTAATACCAACCAAATTTGGCATCTCTTTTACTGCCTATTGGTGCAACCAGGCGGGTGCGTTAGTTCACATCTACCATGATGGATCGGTATTAGTTGCTCATGGGGGCACTGAGATGGGTCAAGGATTGCATACTAAAATGATTACAATTGCAGCTGAAGCACTTCAGGTCCCTATGGAAACGGTATATATTTCAGAAACGGCTACGAATACCGTTGCTAATACATCTTCCACTGCTGCTTCGGTTTCATCCGACCTAAACGGGTATGCTATCTGGAATGCATGTGAGCAAATAAATGCACGACTAGCTCCATATCGAGAGAAGCTGGGACCTAAAGCAACAATGAAAGAGCTTGCACAGGCGGCTTATTTCGATCGTGTCAATCTGAGCGCCAATGGCTTTTATAAAACGCCGGAGATTGGATACACATGGGGCGAGAATACAGGCAAAATGTTCTTCTATTTCACTCAGGGCGTCACTGCTGCCGAGGTTGAAGTTGACTGCCTCACTGGAACATGGACTTGCTTACGCGCTGATATCAAGATGGATGTCGGACAATCAATCAATCCCTCCATCGACTACGGCCAGATTCAGGGCGGATTTGTTCAAGGAATGGGTCTCTTTACAATGGAAGAGAGCTTATGGCTACGAAACGGTCCTTCGGCAGGTAACTTGTTCACGAAGGGGCCAGGCGCCTACAAAATCCCGGGATTTCGCGATATTCCCCAGGAGTTTAATGTTAGCCTTTTGAAAGGTGTGACGTGGGAAAATCTCCGGACTATCCAGCGAAGCAGAGGCGTTGGCGAACCACCCTTGTTTATGGGGAGTACAGTGTTCTTCGCCATCCGAGATGCCCTCAAGGCTGCGCGTGCAGACTACGGCGTCAAAGCCACGCTAGGGGCCGAAGGTGGTGAAAATGATGGTCTACTCAGGCTGGAAAGTCCGGCCACCCCTGAACGAATTAGACTGTCTTGCGTTGACCCGATTATGGAGCGGGCTCGCGTGGTACCTAAGCAAGGCGAAAAGAGCTTCTTCATTGCTATTTGAAAAATCAATATGTGTTGAGGTATATTAGCGGCAAGTCAATGGGAGGAGAATTTGAAATCTTTCACGCACTCATACCACATATGACATTGTACCTGACCTTTAAGATTCAACATACCCATAACGGATATAATTAGCTTTAGTTTTAAACCCAGTTTCCTGTTTATACTATAGTAAATTTCTATATTCTCTATCTTATATAACATTATAGCATTAACCCTAAATAGATTCCTCGTTATCAATTGATGGCTCACTTGTGCCTAGGGTGGACTTTTGCTGCAGTGGTTGCTTTAAGGAAAGCCAATCCATGAAAGCCGGTCCTGTAATAGATAGAGCGGCGGCAGCAACACCAATGTAGAATGTCTGTACGATTGCTTCGTTATAAGCCGCAAGGGTAGCTGGAAGTTGTTGGGGAGTGACGCTGGTCCTTAAGGCAGATGGACCCTGAGCAAAAAGAGAGATCGCATCGACTTCGGGGGCTTTCTTAGCTAAATGATGAATAAGTTGATTCTGGAAGACACTTTGCGCTACAGCCAGAAAGATCGAAGAAGAGAGTGTTCCCGTAAATGACAGAATTGAGGTAGCTATGGCCATATCCTCCAATGGAACAGCTACTTGGCCAATGAGGTTGACATTCTGGGAGCCAATCCCCACACCAATCGCCATAATCACCTGATACCCAAGCCAGTGCCCTATGGTTGAGTTGACCTTCAGAGTACTGAGCAAACCAGCACCGACAGCTGAGAGGATGGAGGACACAATGAGCAACGGAACGAATTGACCGAGTGCAGACGCCAATACACCACCGACTAGAGCAAATATAACTTGGCCAAGAATACTAGGTAAGGTTCGAACGCCCGAGTCTGTAGCTGACGTACCCTTGATTGCCTGGAACCAGATGGGGAGGTAATAAGTGAAGACGAAGACAGCAGCACCTAACCATACACCATACCATATGCCGCCGAGAATATTCTTGTTCCTCAAGATACGGGGAGGCACAGTAGCCAAGTCTTTCTGCCAAAGCTCTACACACCAAAAGATGACACCCAATACGCCGAAAACGACGAACAGGGCGATGATACGAGCACTACCCCATGGATATTTTGAACCACCCCATTGCAGCGCAAATAGTAAAGAAATGATACATGGGATAAGGAAAAAGAGCCCAGGTAAATCTAATTGTTTGATTTGTTGCTTCCATGGCAAGCATGATCGAGATGGTGTGGGTGTCAAGTGTGGGAGGAAGAGGAAAATGAATAGCAACGTAACTGCCCCGACGGGCAGATTAATGTAGAAACACCAGCGCCAAGTCACATGGTCAGAGAAAGCGCCTCCCAAGCTGAGTTTTATTAGAATTTTGTATGCAAGATTGAACATGATGAAATGACTTACATGGGGCCAACCACACTAGCAAGTCCGTGTACGCTCGCCAGGATACCAACATAGATCGGTCTTTGTTGTAAGGAGACTGTGTTAGCTACAATAAGAATGCAACCAACGTATACACCTGCCGCTCCAACACCAGATATGGTACGTCCAACGATAATAGCGTTTGAACTTGGAGCCGCTCCAGCAACAAGAGAACCAATCTCTAAGACAAAAACGGCAACTAGGAAAACCCATTTAACTGAGTACATTGTGTACAACTTGCCGTAAAGCAACTGTAAGGCGGAGACGGCAAATAGGTACGATGACCCATACCAGGCCACGTCATTAAACGAGTTGAATTCTTTGGTAATGGCTGGGATCGCTGTAGCTAAGATACTGCCATCCTGTATTACAGTGGGTAGTTAGCAGACACATACCATAACTACCGCTACCAGAATACTTCCCAAACTTACCAGAGCCACCAGGAACAGGGCAAAATTGATGCCGATAGTCAAGAGCGCCACTTTCCAGGACGGGGGATAATGAGACTCGCCCCCATCTACAGGAGATATCTCCTCAACAAGTTCACTTTTCTCCATATAAGCCTCCTTGTCATCGCCTTCGACTACTTGCTTCACTCCTGGCCGAGGCAGCGCTCGAATTTCCGGGGCGCTGGTATTTCCAAGTGCTCTGGGGTATTGCAGCGAGAAGGGCAGGGTTGTTGTCTCGCCTCCGGTAGGTATATTGGAATTTCCCACGGCCGACGCTGTGGCCTCGTTAGCCGTTGGCGTTGTCATTGCACAAGCACAATGGCTGGAGAGTCGCGTAGAGTCTGCTTGCAATCTTGCAAAAGCTGTTGCTGTAAATGTGACTTTCTCTGGATCACTTTTTCATCGAGTAGCTATAACTCAGATGAAGGTATGAAGGTGCCTGTTTCCAATAGAAAGGCATCGACATTAATACAAACAAATAGGAACAAAAATTCAATGAGCGGCAAGAGAGCGAGAGAAATTCTCCGGCGCCCCGAAATGTGTATTCGGTGCACCGGACTCGGAGACAGCCCCTGCGCTTGGCGTTCGGAGAACCCTTCGCCGAACCTGCCACCTAATTTTGTAACCGATTTGTTACTACTATCGCCGAACCTTCATAGCGCACTACATACTCCATGTGTATAATGTGTTATTTTAAACGTACGGATAATCCGTTGGACAAGTTTTGGCAGCTATTGTAAGCCTGGAATCGATGTGAATCGCTGTGAGTCTGTCGCTACTACACCATCCATGCAAAAGGTAGAAACAACGTCATCAAGTCAAGACCCTGCGCGTCTACATTCAACTATATTGTGCTGTAACAGTGTTCGTCTAACTTTTCCTTGTGCAGTTGTATTGATTGTCTAGAATTCCAGTAGTCTTTTGGGGTGGGGGGTTTAGTAATGCATCAAGTGAGCGTTTAGTTGATACCCTTTCGGGCCATCTCGGACAGCCTGATTCTCAGATGATTATGCCTCTTTAACCATCAATGAAAGGCTGAAATTCTTGGTCCGAACCTCTTCAGTCTCGCAAACTGTTCTACAGCCATCCTCACATAGAGATGCTTAACAATCTTTTTAGTCTATACCCATATGTGTCCCGAGGGCACAGGGAACTTGGTGAAAAGTTAATGCAGCTAATATTAGTCTCTCTGGCATGGAAGAATTTCGTGCAGATAGATGTGCACAAATAAGCAGTATCAAGATTCCTGTTGTTACAATCATGAAATCCTATTAAAAGATTCGAATAGATCGTCCTCCACACTCAGCTTCATGCATATTGTTACTTTTTGTACTGTGAAGTTATCATCTCTCTGGATGTTTTCCTCATGTAGAACTAGACATTAGCAACGGGTACGCATATATCTTGGAAGGAGTCATTTCATGTACTTCAAATGACACGAAGGAACTATTTATATATATGTAGGAAAACGTACTCATTTCTTTCATAAAGTATTTTAGTAGGATTCGGTGTTCATGTATCTCCCTGTATCTATTTAGACGAGTATTTAGGTAATTTCGCATTTACTGTGTACATGTACTACCCGTGCCACACCCCCACCCTATTTTCAGCTTCGCAATTGCGCACCTACTAAGGAAGTAAATCGTCTCTTCTAGCAGGGGTCTTCCCATGAACCTGCCAAATCAGATACCTAGCGGTCTAGTGTCTGTATCCGAGTACATCACAACTTAACAACAAACCCTCACAGGTAGCACACTTTTACCTCACCAACCCAGCCAAGCTACCTTCAGCTCTAGAATTGACACGACGATGGGCATCTCCAAAGCATAACCCGCACGCCCCTCATTGCCATGCACAATAACGAATCAGCCATAAAGGGCACGTTTAAATCATTTGATATGATGTCATACAAAGTAGTTGACTGCCAAGGTAAACTCATGTCATAATACAGTCCCGCAGCACCCATAGCTCTTTCTAGTGCTAACACGGTTACCTATCCAAGTATATGAATCGTTCTTAGGGACTCTATCGCAAATGGCAATTCGGTTTCCCCCTCCGCCCTGCCCACCTCCTCGTTATCCGCCACCATCACCACCTTCTAAGCAACGGGTGCAACCCTCCACAGAGAAATCCTTACGTTCCGCGACCACTACTTAGGGAGGCGACCGCGTGGTTGAGGTTTCTATTCAAAACTTAGACTTGACAGTGAGAGACTTTTGTCTATCTACCCTAACGGCATCCCCAAACGCCTTGATCAATCCCTACGACATCGAACTCCACGCTATCAACTTCGAGAATATCATCGACGCGCACACTGACCCCGAGTCAGTCGTGGATACTGATGACGAGGGATGGCTCGCTAGTCACAAACAAGCACATCAACGCGCTATTGCACAATATGCGATGACTGCAATAACTACAGTACCCCTTTCTCAACGACACTTCCGTACGAATGTCGACCCGATGCATATTACCAAGGGTATCGAGACTTCTGAAGAAAGCCCTGCAGTTCCTGGTCCTGGTGGTATAATTAACGGCGCTACTACTAAGAACCACCCGCCTAAGGCTACCTTGTTGAAGCGTTGTGGTAGAGCGCTTTATAGGAAACGTAGCTTCTGGCTGAAGGAGTCCCAGGAGAGTTAAGCGGGTTGGAGTTTGGGCGTTTTGGGAGGTACTTTGCAGTGGACATTTAAAAGGTATAGTTGGTGAAGCGCAACTGTTTTGGCCGAGATTATCCGACGCTCAAACGGAAGTATAGGAAAATCCGCACATTTCGCAATACACCTTAGTCGAAGATTGAAGCCATGTGGTTCAATTATGCACAATCTACTCGACCGTGCATTCATGCCTTTCTCGCAAGACTTTCTATCACGATGACTGTCGAACAAGCTCCCCTCCTCGCCCCACCAACAATGATCCGCCATTTCTGAATGAACCATAATTTTCCTCCACAGCTCCTGATATCCTACAGACCGCTCGTCCCATCTCAATCAGTATGTCGTCTGCTGAGTCTGGTCCGGTCCCATCGTAGCAAATAAGCCCACCTAGAGAGTCAACGAAGAACTCGTCATCATGGAGTCATCCCGTCTTCGCAATCAAGTTCGCCCCGACACTAGGAAACAGCACAACATTAACATGGTTCTCATGGACAGTTATCTGCATGGACAAGGGCTAAGATCGGGCTTCGCAGTTTGGAAAATGGCTTGCACAATCTGTGATGTGAGAGTGTGTTGAGAGTGACTGAGAAAGGGAAAAAAGAAAACATAAAGATAAAGACCCAGGCGGGCATTACATCTCTGTCGTAATGGCCATCGCCATGCAGTTTCAAGCTTTTCAGCATACATAGCCCCTCTACGTGTAATGTATTCGCCTTCAAACCGGGAAGCTAGCGAATAGGTGGCACCTATAACTGTGTGTACAAAGTGCGCCACTCGCAAGAATAACCCCTCTTCACAAGACGTACTACGAGGAATGGAATATGCACAATCTGTAGAGCCCAGTAGCCCACCAAGACTATGCGCGCATAGTTGATCAAACACAGTATCGGCTTCCCCCTAGTGTGATAACATGTTGTATTGCAGGGCCTTAATATGCCATAGCATTCATTGCTAATTCCGGACACGGCCTTTGTAGCGAACAGGTATAGTTTATGATGATTACAGTTAAAAGCGTTAGTGGCCAAAGGTATAATTAAGCTTTTAACATTTTATATATATAAATATATGTTTGAGGGGGCTTGGTGAAGCTTAATTAATTTTATGCCCTTGTCTACCACGTCGTCTCTAAATCCTCCGACAATGAAATTTGGGAAGCCGTTTTCGATACTATCCATACCATCGATAACATTGGCTCCTCGTCTCCATTCTCGCTGACTGTTGGCGTTGGAAACGCGCGATTCGGACGATCGCGTAATTGCGGGGAACAGTTAAGGGCAGGGTGACAGAGGCGCCTAGTGATTGGCTCAGAGCTGCCCCGCGGGACAGGTGGGTCCGACAGCTTTGCGCCGGTGACCAGCCATTTCCCACACTCCACTCCATCTTAAGACATCACTTTCCCCAGAGCTCGACCTCGCCCTCCCATCCGTTCTCATCGCCATGGCCCGCACTCGAGCCCAAATAGCGGCCCAGAAGGGCCTCTCATCGCCGGCGCCAAAACATCAAGGTACTCATTATTCGCGGCGCCGAATGACATCTTCCGCTAATAGTTGACAGGAAAGCGCGGTCACCTCCAAGAGCAGCGCGCAACCAAGCGCACTGAACGCAATTGCCCACGTCCGTCTATAGCTAACGAGACGTTGTCTCACAAAGTATGCCTTCTATCCTTGCATTGTAATGGATCGCAAACTAAGTTATGTTACAGGATCCACCGGCGCCTGTCCAGAGCAGAGGTCGCAAGCGCAAGCAATCAGTCGACGCGCTCGAGCCCAGTCCAGACCCAGCCCAGAAGCGACAACGGGCATCCTCTACACCCCTTGCCAAAGACGCATTTGGCGAGCTGCTTTCAAGGAAGCGCGAGATCGATAACCCCGCGGAGAGCAACCTGCCCCAAGCGAAACGAGTTCGAAGAGCGAAGGCGCGGGAGCACACGTTACAAGAGCAAGCCGGATCAGATCACGCCGAATTCCACTTATATCCGACGGGCAGGGGGCTACATCGAGAGGTGAGACGGTCCTTTCCTTCCTGAGATCTCTTGCTAACGTATTACAGAATCTAACAGTATCCATCGAGCGCGAAGGCCAGAAGCAATTGCGTGCAGTTGAGGATTTACTCGAGCACACTTCAGACGAGTCCTCTCGGAAACGCCCACGAACGTCTCTTGGACAGCAAGAGGCGGCAAGCGGCGACACCGAGGATTGGCGAGATATAATCGATTTCTGGAGGAGAGAAGGGTACTGGCCCAAGAAGTACTTTGAACAGGATGACTATATAAGGAAAGATTTCGAGAAGGAATCCGAAGATAGCTGGCTTAAGGAAATGGAACGTTATGATCCAACCGTAAGGCTTCTTTTCGCGAAGAAGAAAGCCCCGACATCTCTCCGCCGCAAGCGATCTGGATCTAACAGTTCCACGACGCCGAGCCAGGATACGATTCCTGCAAGTTCTATGACGCCTAGCGATCAGAAGCCGAGAGAGGAGAAGAGTGCCCCATATAGGGATGCAAAGTACATTCTAGTTCTCAAGACGCAAGGGGTATTCATGGAGAAGTCCGAATTGGGCGTCACGGATGCGAGCAAGCAGCTTTGCCGGAATCTCCTTGATTTTGACCAGGCAGTTCCTAGTGGCACTCTCTTTGGGGATGATGTGTTTGAGAATGCTTGCAGAGACCTCGAGGGCAGGAATGAGGCCAAGATCATTCAAGATATTTCCCGACTACTTGTTCCTTCAGCACAAGCATTTGCTATATTCGGCGCTAAGCACCTCAAACGCCTCGTCGAAAGCGTCAACGAAGGCTGGAACAACTCGATGCCCCTAACCGGGACTCGTCCTCAGCCTGACTATTCCGTGGGGTTCAGGCGAGAGGCATTCACCGACGACCAGCTCACCAAGCTGTCACCATTTATTGGCGACTTCATCGTCGGGGACCAGTGTTTATTCATGGCCACGTACTACATGTACTTCCCGTTCCTAACCTGTGAGGTGAAGTGCGGCGCCGCGGCGCTCGATATTGCGGATCGTCAGAACGCCCACAGCATGACACTTGCGGTGCGGGCCATCGTCGAGCTCTTTCGTGCTGTGAAGCTTGAGGGTGAAGTCCACCGGCAGATCCTCGCCTTCTCCATCTCGCACGACCACAGGTCAGTACGAATCTACGGCCACTACCCGGTGATAACCGGGAAAGACACCAAGTACTACCGCCACCCAATCCGCACGTTCGACTTTACAGAACTGGACGGAAAGGACAAATGGACAGCGTATCGATTCACCAAGAACGTCTACGACACATGGATGCCCGCTCATTTTAAGAAAATCTGCTCCGCTATTGATAAACTGCCGAATTTAGATTTCGATGTCCCATCGCTTTCTGAGGCAACCGGGCTTTCCCAGGACTTGGGGAATCTGATGCAGTCGGATGCCGGCGCCGCTTCTGTGCCTGTGGAAGGAGACAGCCAGTTGAGCATCGCCGAGCAGCATGCGGTCACTCCAGACACCTCATTTACAAGGTCGGACGTGGCAAAGAGGAGGAAGGGCTAAGTCAAGGAGCAGGTGGGCCATTTGGGGAGTCGAGACCTGATGCCGCGAGGTAACGGCCAGGGACGATCATATAATCCCCGGGGTAGGCCATGTCGGAAGAAGTCAAACGAGCGGCAGTTCTTGTTCTTCCGGGAAGGGTTCCACCGACGCCGTACACTGGTCGACCAAGGCACAGCACATGGAGACTCTAGTCGACGCGCTGCAAGCTGAACTCCTTAGCACTTGCTCTCTCTGTTTTGCGCCAGCAGGCGATAAAGCTGCCGGTCGATCCAGAGGTGAGCCCTTCCCTACACGCGGACGTCGCCTCCACCCGTCGGGGCGTAAGCGCAGGGCCAGACGGCACTCCAGCATGTCGATCCGGCCTTCCTAATCCCGGCTGCACTGGCTGCCTCTCCCCTGGCTGCTGTTACCCTGCAGACCACCAGCGGCGAGCTGACCCGCACCGCCCTCGATCAGTTCACCCGTACCGCTGTCGGACCCTAGGTATCCAATCTACAACCAAGGAGCAGAAGATAAGACATGGAATCAGAGGTTATTACCCAGCCGAGGTAGATCTTAGACAACATCTGCACTTGGAGAGTTGCTAATTGGCCTGTGTAGCGTCGGTGTCGGTGACCCGATTTTGAGACCGCGGATAAGCTTCCCCTAGCTTATCCAAAGCCGAAGATGTCCGAATCATTACAATCACATGACATTGCTACAATCTTATCCCGGGAGCTACCAATTTTGAGGTCGCAGGGAACGACCAGATTCTCGAAATCACTGGAAATGCCGTTGACGGATATAAGTTAATGGGGCCTCCCGGGGATGGCGGCAGTATAGTTAGATCGATAGTACCAAAATCCGTTTGGAGACGTGAACTGGTAGGATGAAATGATAAGTGGTAGGGTATTCTGCCTGTATTGAGCGTCTGCACGCATCTCCCGGTCGCCGCATCCCAGATCTTAACGGTGCTGATCGATTGTGCTCATTGTGTGTGTTCTCTGTCTTGTCTCGCGGTAGAAATGTTTGGGGGGGGCCCTGTACCCCTGACATGGGTCTATCATCAGACATCCATTAGCCAATATTCCGGCTAAGATCATATTCCTTATATCTGACAATATCTCTCTGGCCTCAAGTTAACACAGACTGGAGCAGCTGCTTGCAGACACTCGAGGAAAATACCGGTCCATTCAACTTGGTCGCACGCCCGACGGCGGCACCCTCGCGTCGGCGTCATATGATTGCACGGTCCGGGTCTGGTCGGCCGTTACGGGCGCGTGTGTGCAGATGCTCAAGGGGCATACCCATGCGGTCACGTCCAACTCTTGCTTTGTGAGTCTCTTTTTCCCACTTAGCCGTTCCACCTCTTTTATTTGCCAGGTCCAGATCTTCCTTGATTGTTCGTATAACTACCTGCCGTAGTAACGGTTGAGGAGTCTAGTCCTGACAAAATGTTTACGGTATCTTACCCATATGTATTATCCAACCTAGACTATGCTCGAGAGGCTTGGCGCAAGATGTCCTCAGAATTGCTATGAAAGTTATATGCCTACGAGATGATCGATACCTCATACACTCGCGTAGGGTGCGCAGCAGAACTGAGCTAGGAGATTGGCTATTGGTCGGCTATGTGGTATCTAAGACTTACGTTACTACTATAGGTAGATCTGTGGTAAAAAGTGGTCTGTATTCAGAGAGTCCAGGTTGGGTCCTAGGACTAGGAGACTATGTACTTGTACACAAATTAGAGTGGGTCTTATCATAAGGCAACCTCCCCGGCGACCCGTGCTCCCACCACCTTCCTCTACCTAGATGACTGTCCCGGTCCTCGGAATCGCTATTTTGGTGTTTGGAGCGTTTCCGACTAATCTAACAATCCACGGCCCTTTTCTGGCTGCTCCTGCGTTCTCTAATACCTTATCAATGCCTCTAATCGTTTCCGATCGTTCTCAACGGCGCCCAATAGGCCGACGGGTCCCCGTCGTTCTTCCTAAATAGGTAAAGCTCTCCCGTTATCGGAACATCTACCGCGTCGTCGTGTTTCAGAGGGTCTTCTTGTCAGAATAAGCGAGCCAGTCAATTGGAGGTTCAGAAGCGTGTGCATTGTTGTTAAGAGCGCGTCTTGCTGTCTCTCTGAGATGTGTCCTAGTAAAATAGTGTGGCGGGTTGAATACCTGTCTGTGGCGATCATCATAGAGTTGTTGGAGTACGTAGTGTTCTCAAAGTCATGGAAATCGATTGCGATCCGTATTCCAGGCTTACTGGGCCTTGTTCGTTCGGTTCTTCCGCCGCAGCTTGGCTTGGGCGCAGGCATCACAGTCAGTCATGCTATCACTCACCCAGAGGCCCCTAATTCCGATTACCCCGCTACCCCTCGCCAAGCCTTTCAACAGCGACCAATCACCTTTAATCTAACAACTACAACCCCACGTCAACATTGAGCCCAACATTGAGCCCCTGCCGAATACTCCCGCTCCACCTAGCGTCGGGTGTTGGCTGCTATGTTCGCCCTCCACATCGACGGATACGAATAATGTCCGCTCCGTCGCCTCTCCACCGCCATCAATCCTCTCTCGAGGGCGTCATCGATTTCTCGGCTGAAGCGCCCTTGGGAACCAACCAGCGTAGCAACGCCAAACCTAGGTTTTATCGCATCGTCGAGCACTTTGGTGCTAGTAGTGCTATCGATAATAGCGTCCCACCACTATACGAGCTACCCCGACTTGTCCGCTGTACCTACGAGTATGCACTTTCCGACGAGTTTCGAGATAATTTCCTGCGGGCCTTCTTTCAGGCTACAGCGCTTTCGTTAACCGGGCAGGGCGATAACAACGACGGCGACCTCGATAACCTGGAGGATTCCCGCTCTCTATTCTTTGGGTTTGCTAGTTACCTCCTCGACCATTCCTTCCTACCTAGTAATTGCTTCGGCCTTTTAATTTCCTCGCTTTATCGTTACTAATATTTTATCTTAATTAAAGCTTCTATAAAAAAGACACCATAACCCTTACCTATATATCATTTAGCTATTAAACGAATTTAAGGAAGCGTATAAGGCTTTATTGGAATACCGGACAGGTTATCCTAGCTTTAGGGGGCCTATTTTATCCGCGATTACTATCGCTATATTATCACCCGCTACTTTAACCATAAGGAAGCGGATCGCTATATAGTGTAAAATGGCAACAATACCCGAAATAATAATGGAACCCTACTTTTAGAAAATATACTTATTAACGAACTAAAAGTAGCTCATATACTTCCACATTCCTTAATAAAAGCAAATATGGGCTACAAATTAGTATATATTCTTCGTAGCAAGCATATAGCTTATAGCTAATGTACGATATAAGGGCCCCTTTAAATAAGCAACATTTGGAATTCTTAATATATTTAACAATAATGTTATATATTTAATTAATAAAACTAACATCAACCAGCTAAATAATGCTATTACGCTTACATCTTTTATCTATATAGCTTTTAATAACTTTAAAATATTCTTCGAACCTATCCCAAACCAACAACCGTATACCTACCGAATTAAAACTTTCTACCACTGTTGCCTTATACGGAACCTAGCTTTTCCTATTATACGAACGTTTTACCTTACCGATAATCGATTAATCGATCCACCTTTGCCTCGGCTACTCGCGGTTCACCGCGCCATTGCACATATTCTACGCCTTTCTAGGGCGGGCGAATATATCGATAAGTTACTTCAAGATATGGATAAGCAAGGCATACAGGCAGATGGGTCGACCGAGCTCGACAAACTAGTAAAGCTTGGTTAAGGAGGGTGGCGGGACAAGACAGTTCTAAACGTCCCATGGTTCATCTAAAGGGTCCCGGCGAGCATGCGTGCCATCGGTGCAATTATCACTGAAGGTCGTTAGGGAAAGATACTCCCCATGTCTGGTTCCAAAAAATAGATATAGGCTTAGATTGAGTACATAGTGAAGTAAGGACTGGCTAGATACATAGGAGATTGTTTCTTATATAGATACCCCTTCCTTTACTTTATTCATGCTGCTGACACCGCTTTTCCGTCTTGCCCCTTTGGGTTTTCCGCCCCTCGTAAGCTCGAGTCTTGTCTGGCTCACTTTTCTTTCCATTATGAGACCCATGAGCATTTACATGATTCCTGGTGCATTCTGACTCCGGCTTATCTCCTGGTACAGCAGGACGAGTCATAGTTTAGCATGCATTGCCCACGTCATGTCTAGCTGGATGGCTTGCCCTTGTTCCATCTTGAGAAAACGTGGCAGGGACAGGTATACCTACGTAAAAGGTCAAAAGCAGCCCTTCGGCCACTATTGGCTCTATCTATAGTGCAGATCAAATTCAGGCGTCGCTGTGTGCAGCATGTGATCGATGACTTACAAAGGTTCCTTTTGGATCAAGGCAGAAATGGCCTCATTTATCCGCAAAGATCGCTCCTTGCATCCATTATAGGACTCTAGCATCGGTCATGCCGACTCCGATCACGGGCCTCTGCTCAGTCTGCTCAGGGGCAGCCCAGCCTGGCTCAGCCTGCTCACTGAGGCCCCACCATAAAGCAGCAGGTTGCTCAGGTTCCAATCCGGAAACAGATTGTGGGGATTCAAGATTGACGTGGTATAATGGTCTGTTATTGTCCTCTCATCTTCTGTCGCATCCCTTCCCTTTCTGCATGAACATGGCCACTTTCCAGGAGAACATTCAGGCAAAGGCGATGCGAAGAATGTAGACGATACCAGCAAACGTTCGGACTGGGTGACGAGCTACGACCCTAAGACCAACCCAAAGAACGTGGATGATACCAGCAAGCGTTCGGACTGGGTGACGAGCTATGAAAGCATGGCTGCGAGCCCAAAATACGGGTATTGGGTCAGTGTATACCCCTGCTTTGCTTTATTGGGTGTGTTGAAATACATCTAACTCTGTTCCTAGGTTCCTTCTGGACCTAGCTACCTGGAATTGGACTTTTCTCCCATTCATCACGATCATCTTGTCACCTTGGCTACGGCACAACGGCTGCACACGGATAGCTTGAGTGGATTCAAGAGGACGGTTGCTCGCTTCTTCAACCTGTAGTCCGGCCCAAAGGATTGTACATGAAACTATAACAGGGGCCGAATACAGGGCTTGTATAACAAGGGCAGTTGAACTGGGCTTGGAACTGAGGATTCTGATTACAATGATCAACTAGGGCTGCATTAGTCCTTGACCAACCAACTCCTTCTCGGTTGTTGGTGGCTTGAGGAGACTCTATATACAAATGATCTGCCAGCCCAGACCGCCTGGGTCTCTAGGGTCTGTTTCAAGAAGCGAAGTCTGTATAATCTCACTTTCCAATATTGCCCAATATTGCCTGCATGTCTTGGAAGGTTATGAACAGCCTGTAATGGTCCTTCGTACGGCCGAAGTGCAAGGCGAACTGCATTCTTCAACCGGCACAGAGGTTACACGTGTAACAGCTTGAATGTAGTTAACTGCAATAATCTACCATGGCTTCCATGGGCGCGTGGTTCATTTAAGAATGGGAGGAGCTTAAGGCGAGATCTTGTAACTCTTACAGCGTGCAAAGCCACCTCTACTATCTATCTCTATCCATAATGAAGCGGAGTGACACGTATGACATGGGTAGCCTTAGGTAGCATGAGTCTGGTCCATTTATTTATAATCTCCTTGAGTTTATACATGTAGACGAGGAATTTGGCACGAATACACTCCTTTCCCATTTTTCAATAGACTCCCCAGCATAATTATTGAAAGTCAGCTTTAGTTGTTGAGCCTATGCGCTACAGTTCCCCTAGTAATAGGCCTAGTTGCCCCTAATGGTACGCCGGGCTTTGAGTTCTATTCTAATACAAGAAATGACAGGGAAATACTCCGGTATACAACATGTCCTACAAATCAAATAATCAAATAATCAAGCATGCGTGATTGTCAAACCGTGTCCGTAGACCCCGCACTCTGGGCTCGTACCCAGCGCTGTGCCTTCGAAGTTGAGACCTTTACAAAGGTTTAACAGAAATAGAGGCCAATTTTATTGCCAACTATTTATCTACTTATATAGCAACTAGTCAATGAATGCGACATATTCCTCTATCACTTATTGTCACGATACTGGATGACCTTCAGCCGCGGGGACCGCTACGCACTTGTATTTATAGTTTAATTCCAAAGCTAGCAGCTAGGAGAGAATTCTTGTGTCCTTGTTCAATACCAATAAGTCAATACTAGAGGTTGGTCTTGGAGCTACGACGCCCATCGTTGCCCTAGAACCCCCAGTGGTCAAGGTACTTCTCAATGGTAGATCGTATGCCCTGTTTCTTCTTCTCGATAAACTCCAGTTTGTGACCTTTTACCCACCGAGGCATATGAAAATACGGGGGCGAAAGAGATTCAAGAAACCACTTCAAGTTGGCCAGCTCACCACATCCTTTGATTTCTGAGGGCCTGAGGACACCAGCTTGGATGAACTCATGATCAGTAACACGGGCGGCGATCCAATTAATTTTCCCTCCCCTATCGTTGGCAATATCGACATTATCAAAGCCCCCCAGCAGGCATTTACGTAGAAGAATCTCGTCCGGGTTGTCATCGAAAGGACCGGCCAGCATTGACCCTAGATTAGTTAAAGAGTAAAAATACTCTTCTGCAGGGCTGGCAACATGGGATAAATCGAAGTCAAGGATTGCCGTCAATTTATTGGAAATAGGATCGACCAACATATTATAAGTATCTATAAAGTATGTTAAATATAATATCAAGATAGGTGTTAAATAATCTTACCTAGATCGCCGTGGATAAATGTTTGGCGTGCTATCGAATTATTACGAACTAGTGGAACAATGCCTTCAGCAAGAAAGTGATCCAGTCTTTTCTGCAGCTGATCGTCCCAGCCGTTTAGAATTGGTGAGGTTTTGGAATCGTCAAGCTGCCATCGCATCATCTGAGCATACATATCTTCGAGAGTATTAAAAGGTCCTCCACAAGGTATTGAGGTTGGCCCGGTAATAATGTCGCCAGATTTGGCGAACGCAAGCCCACCATACCCAACAATGGATGCGGGGAGCGGGTAATCTTGGATCAATTTGAACATTTCTGCGATCTGTTTCTGGATCTTCTGTTGAGTTCCCAGGTCCATGTTGTCGAAGGCTTTATCTAGCTGAACACCATCCTTAAACTCTTGGATGATCCAACCAGGAGTTTCAGAGGTGGACCGGCCCCATGCAAATACGTTAGGTACCAACATTGTATCAAGACTGCCGAGAGCATTTCGCATGAGACACATAGCAGCGACCTCATTTTCTACTCGTACGTCCTCATTTAAAATAGCCTCAATATTTGAGATGCGGGCTACAACCTCGTTCATACTCGAGGGCAGTACCGTCGTCCCGGGTTGCTGCTGAGGAGGTGGCTCATTGTTGAATTCAAGTCGGGTCCCTTTAATAGGCAGGAGCTGAACTCGGTAAACAAAATTGTTTGAATCCCATCCTAACTTATGGAAAGCCGAGCACTTTTATTTAATAAGCGATGGATTTCAAAGGTGTAACTAGCTCTTTTACCTCTCTTCTGTAATAATCTCTAAGTAATGAAGCGATGAATTGCTCTCTTTGAGAACTTGATCTAATAAGCTTAAAAGCCATTTTCATAAGTGATTTAATTAAGTATAAAAAGTTCAGATTGTTAGGAGAGTATAGTACGTCTATAACCTATTTAAATAAGGATATAGGCGTAGATAGGGCGCTATTAGCAGGAAGGTGGAGATGCGGCGGTTGTGGTATAGGTGTTGGTTGTATTGTAGTCTACGAGAACTAAGGGAGGTATAGGGTGAGGGGGCTTGGGCAGTGTAGAATACTGCCGACTTCGGAGACACCTAGCGGTTACCCAATGTAGTAAAAGGCTAAAAGTTTAGGTGTAATTGTTTATTATTTAATGCTTTTCATTTTCTTTATATCTAAGATCTTATATGTTATAACGGCAGCCCGTAACCGCTACGCCAACAACCAAAAGGTCTGTAGTATGCTGTACTGGCGTACCCGGGCGGTCCGTACGTGTATATATAGCCTCCGAGTAGCCTGTCACGCCCTGGAGTACAGGGCGGGCTACGCCGGCTACTTGACATTATATTAGTATATATTAAGTTAAAAAGAAATAAAATAATAAATGTGAGGGTTGTCACGTTCAGTCAGACTAAGGGACCTTTACTGACTGACCTGTCAATATAAGCTAAGGTAGTAAGCCATTGTGACGGCTTATTATCCTGTATCCTTTTGTAGCGGGATCACAGGGGTTGAGCAGTCCCTGCTCACCCCCTGATATATTAGCCCGTATTAATCAATCCAAATTAACCATCAATTCTGACAACATCTCCCACTTAACTGTAACGGACCTGTCATACAGGCCTGTACCCGACATCGACTGTTGACTTATTGCCAAGAGTGGAGACCGCACGGCTCGAATGAAGATATATGCGGTTAGCAGGGATTTGATTGAAGGCTTCGCCCGACAGTTGAAATAGTAAGATCGTTGGCTTATGCGCCCTACTAGAGGTTTAGATTTGTTACGACGGAGCAGGACCTACCTTAAAATCTTTCCCGTTACGCCTGATGCCTCCTCCTCGCCCTAATATCGCTGATACCGAGTCCGACACCTTTTCATCGATTCCAGACGATCTGTTGTCAGAGTCGTCTATCTACTGTACCCGTATCAGATGTGTTACACGTGTAACCTCTGTACCGGTTGAAGCATGCAGTTCGCCTTGCACTTCGGCCGTACGAAGGACCATTACAGGCTGTTCATGACCTTCCAAGACATGCAGGCAATATTGGGCAATATTGGAAAGTGAGATTATACAGACTTCGCTTCTTGAAACAGACCCTAGAGACCCAGGCGGTCTGGGCTGGCAGATCATTTGTATATAGAGTCATCTCAAGCTACCAACAGCCGAGAGGGAGTTGGTTGGTCAAGGACTAATGCAGCCCTAGTTGATCATTGTAATCAGAATCCTCAGTTCCAAGCCCAGTTCATCTGCCCTTGTTATAGATGCCACCCAAAGTCCCTTCGACGAGCCCAGCTCCTCTATAACTAGCTCGTCTTCCGCGATTAAACCGCGATCGGTTACGTTAAATGTATGGCAGTATGGCCATACGAAGGTCGTTGGTGGTATTATTAAGCACCATGGTAAGAATGCTATATGGGCGTATGATGACTGCAACAAGGAGTTGTCAAATACTGGCGCCGCGAAGCAACATCTATGGTATGTCCATAAGATTTCTGTTGACGAATACACTGGCGAGGCATTACAACTTGCCAAAAAGAGAAAGAGGGTGCGTATGGAGGATCCAGGATCAATAGAGGCTAGATTTGCGAGGTCTGAATCTATTTTATGCGAATTTCGCGCACGGCAGAACAACCAGTTTCTACACGACGTCATCAATCAACAGGGGCTTCATGATCGAATTGTCGGACTTGTTACTATGCGTAACCTGCCTCATCAGGCGGTAGAATGGCCGGAACTTAAAGATCTACTACTCTGTATCAATCCCATGGTTGAAGACAAATGGGTCAAGTCACGCGCAACCACGCCAAAACTTATCTCGGAAGCTTATCGTTTCCATAAGCAAAAACTGAAAATTCTCTTACAGTCGTCAGAAACCAGAGTCCATTTTGCTTTTAAGTGAACCTCAACAGTAGCGACGTTGAATCCGAGGCCATCTTTACTGCTCATCTTCAAGGTGATGGGTAATGATGTATTATATTGCATTGAGGAACTAACTCTAAGTACCAAGGAATAGGGTGGTACGTCTAGTTATACATAAGGTGTGTAGGGGTCGATGTACCAGCCACCGGGATTACCTGCCTTCCTAATTCAATAGGTTCATTTGATTATTTGGTGAATTCTTGTCTTGTTGTATCTAGGTAATTAACACCGGGGGTTTCTACGCATCTTCTTTGCATGTGACACGGTGAATATTCAATTAAAATGTGAAAAAGGGTAGCGCACCATGATGGGTGTAGCTTGGCTCGTGTTATGATTGCCTAACTCCATTCGCCAATTCACCCATTATATCTAATGCTACAATAGGAAAGAAGATTGACAAATCTATGATATTCTATGTATGCGCAACCCTATCGAAACCCACAAGCAAACAATCCAGTACCATAAGTCCAATCCGGTTCATGTTGCTCCAACCCAGCCTGCCGGTATTTATTCGGCGTGATACCTAGTCATTTATCGGTATGCAATCGCTCTCCTCTCAGGGTAGTCCAGTAGCCGCCATTTGTCCAACGTGATAACCTCATGGCGGCGGGGTGCATCTAGGCGTAAATACACGCACTCGGAGCAATACCCACCGTAGCACCGCTCACGACGACGGAAACAACCACGGCATTCGACAGTTCGTGATTCACTATCTCGGTGCTCGATCCACATGGTGGATCCAGGTGAGTTGTAGATGACGGTGTTGGATCGATTGCCGCTGCTCCGATGACGGTCTTCTAACGACCGCTCATCGATGATAAGTTTCCCCTCATTGACGATGTACCGTAATGGGCGGTGACTCCGTCGCAGATCTCGGCCGATGTAATGTGCTAGCTCGTAGCCGTCCTTGTAGTAGTAGCGATCGTAGGGGTATGAGGGCATGGCGATAGCGATGCTCCAGATGGAGGCGATAGTCAGTTGGAAATAGGAGAAACAAAAATATCTAGGTAGATTAGTTTCTCTGCCGTGCTCCTATTATAGGACCTTGGTTCAGCGCTGAACTTGCTGTGGTAATGAGGTGATATGTGCGTTGAGATTAAGGAGAAACATGGGGGGAAATGTTCAAGGGCAGAGGGTTGGGGATGCTGTTCAGACGGAAACATTTCTCCGTATATAAACAGGTCTATATATGGAGACCTCAGCTCATGGATGGATGGTTGCCCGCGAACTGTTGTACGCGTGAGCGTTGCAGTAAGCGCCGAGCGGAGGGAGCCGGCAAAGAGGGATGGGCTGGCGTGCATATTACATTATGGCCGGGCGAGAGGGCGTTTACAGGCCTTTCCTCGAGCAAGTCATCGTTATGTGTCAGAACATGGATAATGAGGCTGAGCGATCAGGCACAGCATGCGTGCCGCACATAGAGATTGAAAGAGGCATATCCCAATGCCACAGCGTATCGCTTGTGGCTGCTCGGTGGCCAATTAAAACAAGCCTTCCCGGATGGAAGCCTAACAACGTCATGCTGTCATCAACCAACACTCTGACCGCTGTCCCTTCTTATGGACACGTGGTGATGTCCCATCTTCGCTCAATCACGCCGCAAGGCCACCAGGCTGCAGCCTGCCTGCGTTGGTTGCTAGGAGCTTCCTTTCACACGCTCCTTGCTTATTTTGGTTGACGAGAACTTGGTAAGTATCCCTGGCTACCTGACGGGCATTCTGGTTGGGTGTATCGCATATAACTGCATCTGCTTTTTGTGGGTTGTCTGCGCGTTTTACACTACCTATACCATACGCGCTGAACTGGTCGGCGTGGGTTAGGCGATAGACGACAGTGGTGTAGCCTTTGAAGGCATGTGCTCGGCACGATTCGGAGTCTGGCCGAGTCTGGCCAATTCAAGCTTCATAAGACTAGGTACAGAGGAAAGTGAAGGAGTCCACGATTGAAGAGAAGAGTCCGAGAGAGGTTGCTATTTCGCCTCGTTGGTTATCCAGTAGGCTGCTCTCTTCTCTAGGCGCTCCGCTCATGGCCGCAAAACGTGTACGCAACGGGCCAAATGTAGCCGCGGGGTCCGGCAACTACAATATAATTGACAACCATAACGCGCCCAATGAGCGCCAACACTGAAGCATTCTACTCCTAAACCTAACAGGTGCTTCCACTTCCATTACGTAGACCGAGCCTAGTCTGCTGAAGCAGTACAACTAGGAATTAGGGGGAAATTAATAGGATGGGAATTCTATATCAATAGACAAGGCCGCATCCCTACAACGCAGAGATGAAGAAGAGGAGGGCGATAGGATACCACATCATTACTCCTACAGCACAACTATGCCAATACTGGATGGGCAAAGATCAATTATCCTTAGGCTATCATATTTGCGTGCCATATTCACCTAGTCTACGTGTAAAGCGCGGTCGTGCAGCAAAGGGAATGCCCAGCGAGCACAGTTTTCGTGACTAGCTCGGGGCAGCAGAATGTATGATATCAACCACTTTCGCAATTCGCCGCCTAGAACGCCCTATACCAGCTGATCCACCAACGCCATTAAGAAACAAATAACCCCTCTCAAAACGCCGTAGATAAAAACTCTTACTTATCCTAAGCAGGTCAATCTATGCTGCACTTCTGGGTCGGCCTTTGGCTTTAGCCTTCTCTTTCTTCTCTTCTTTGATCTTCTTCTTCTTCGCTTCATTCTGCTCCTCATGCTTTCGCTTCAGTGCAGCTTTTTCCTGGTCTGTCTTGGGGATGGGTTTGAAGAAGCCCTCCAGTCGGGCTTGTTGTGAACTCTTACTGCCCTTCTCCAATCTGGCGGCGCCTGCGCGGACGCGATCCTCGTTAAATCCTTTATCGGTACATAGGAATTTGACTAGACCCTCGGTGTCGGGCTTGTCCCACTTGAAGTCGCATAGCGGGTCATCCGCTTTCCGCACGTCAGGCTCAAAGAATAGCGTTCGCGCATCGGCGAAAGGCCAGTCATCAGGCACTGTGTACTTGTGCTTAGGATCGTTGTTGATGAATTCCACCACTTTCTCGAGCGTACCATGTTCGCGGATAAGTTTTAGGGCGGTCGAGGGACCGATCTTGGAAATGGGATCTAGGTAATCGCACCCAAGCAGGATGCAGAGATCTACAAACTAATAAGAGTTAGCGGTGTTATTTGGACAATCCATGATGCGCGTGGGTACTTGTTTGCGATCCATCCGTAGCCCCTCAAGGGCTCTGTCTACCGATATCTCTTGAATGGGTTCCTTTCGTTGTTCGCTAAATGTCAAGTGTCGAAGCAGGATAGGGCTGTCGAAACAGAGAGTGTCCATGTCCTCACTGGCCGCGGCATAGACCTTGCCGGCCCTGGCAAGCACGGCACACTGGGCCTCAGCCTCGGTGGGGGCGACAATGTAGGGAATGCCCATCAGCTTCAAGAGCTGCTGACACTCGACATTATGCTCTCTGGTAACTCGAACGGTTCGTCGAGAGAACTTCTCCACATCTTCAGCAGTTCCTGTCTCCTTGGCTTCCTCGAGATCCTCGTTTGCCTCAGCTTTACGCTGGAAACGTTTCGCGAGCTCTCCAGACTTGAGCTTGGGGGGGGCGCCATCGAAGACATAAAGGGGTTTTATGCCGTTGTCGACCATGCGGAGGGTACGATAGAACATGCCCATAAGGTGGGAGGTGGTGTCGCCCGACTCGTTCATCAGCTGCTGGCCATCGGATCGGACGGCGATGAGGAAACTGTATATGCTCATAGAGCTAGGCGAGGGGGGGGGCGTTAACGAGAAAAGAGTGGGCGGAAAACGGGTACTGAAGACATACGCATCCTATAGATTTAAAAGTTAGAGTAGTAGGCGACAAATGGTGCCATGAACATACAATGGCAACCTTGCGACCAAAATGATTCTTAATATCGCCCTCCTTGATGGCGGCCGGCGCCTCCTCCTTGATAACGGAGAACAGGCCCTTGATACCCATTGTGAAACGCAAATTCGACGGACTATTGCGAGAAAGGATGGAAGAGTGACAGCGAAAGATAAGCGGCAAGTTTCGTTATTTGAGGCGTAGGACAAATGGTTTGATTGATGGAGAAAGTAGATGTTGGAGAGCTGGTGATGTCACGACGCCAAAGAGAATTCAAATAGGTCGTAGACGCGCTTTCTGCTCAAGACGTGTCACGCGACGGTGGGGTTACCTGTCGACATTGGTATTTTAGGTACCTGGGTACATACATATACATTACCTACGGTAGGTAGGTACCTACTATTACAGGTGAAGTTGACTGGGTATTGATTAGATAGGCGATAAGATAAGGCTAGGGAGATTACCCACCTCATCCTTCCTTATCACTACATAGGTACCTAAGTAGTCAATCAAACCACTCAGTATTGACGTACCTGGGTACCTACCAGTCTCTTTCAGTACTGATACCTGAGAGTGGATGGCCGAAGCCAAAATGCTTTATTGAATATCTCGACCAACAAGTGCTGTAGCCAGCTAAAGAAGTGAAGGTTGTAGGTGGTAAATTCAGTGGCCAAGGCTACCAAGGCCCTAGGCAACCAGTGCGCTAGGTACCTAGGTAACCTGTTTTTATGCCCTTTGCCAGGGCTCTCTTTCAGGGCTTCATTGTATGAAGGGAAAGTTCCCACCAAGGCTACGATCTTACAGAGATACAGCTTGGAACAGGTACCTAATAAGAGTTGTAAGATACAGGGTAAAGACTTGGAACTTAGTATCGGACTGCTAGCTCTAAATTCTTTCTAAATTCAGGACCTCTTTTCGACCCTTCCTAGCGTATACAAGCGACTTCATACCACAATCCAACATATAAAGCTTGTATCTTCTCCCGTACATCGCCTCTTGGCAGGATTCGAGATACCCGATCATATGTAGGATCATGTTGTATATCTAAACCTGGGGCTCTCGTCTCCGAGCTCGGCGAGCTCTTCTTCATTCAGATCGACATGCTCGGGCTTCATTATTCCTTGGTCACGTCGTTTGTTCTCTCGCGCATACGAGAACCAGAGAAGACCAAAGGCCAGTACTGCGAGGCCGACTAGCGACAATGCTACACTGTTGCCCTTAATGTACCTGGGCTGATCGCTGCTCGCACTAGATAGCCAGTTGTTAGTGATCACCGCAACTAGGGGGGCTTCGTAATCCTGCTGCGTGTCCATAGGTGCCGCGACATACTAGATGAAAGACGCCATGATTCCGCTGCTGTTACCAATAGTGAGCTGTAAACCGCTAGCAGTCGTGCGCTTGCCATATCGTGGGCTGTTATTTGGAAGCTATGTCCCAAAATCAGCTGAGTGATACAAGAGAGCGCTCAATATCGCGACGAGACAAGAACTCACCCAGGCTAGTGGCAACCCAACCAAGACATAAAGTCCCGTTGCAATCAAGAAGCAGCTTAGAGCACGTTAGTAAGTTTGTTTCGTGCATTTACACCTCATCTTACGCAAAATAATGCACGCCTGCTGACGTGTCTGACAACAAGATCCCATAGCCGATGATGCTGATATTGCCCCAGATTACACAGAAAATGGCTCGCATCTGTTTGCGGTCAGAAATATAGGCGATGGTCATATATGAAACGGCCCCAAGAGCGTAACAAGGGATTGTGAGAAGTTGAATCTCTGCTCTAGACCAGGAGCCCAGACCCTGAATAATGGTAGGAAGAAAGACGGAGAAGCCTAGAATTTGATGGTTAGCATCACGACTTCTTCACACACTATACGTCATCGTGGTCAGGGTAATGCTGACTGTAAAGCATCGTATCGCTTCCAAACTGCCCAACGCAGAAGACCCATACTCGCCAATCTTTGAATGCTTTCCTCATATCCTGCTCGCTGAACTTCTGCGCGCTCGCTGTATGTCCATATTGACGTTGTTGTCTCGCAGTCATGAGCTTCTTCTCGTTGTCATTCAAGAAGTATGCATGCTCTGGATCGTTCGGCAGCAAGAATAGAGTTAAGACACCTAGCACAATGGTAGGAATGCCTTCGAGAATCATGATCCATCGCCAGCCACTCATACCACGTGCACCGTCCAGGTGCCCGATACCGTAAGCGAGCAGGCCACCAAGTGCGCCGGCAATAGCTGCGCTAACGAAGAGATAACCGACACGCAACGCGAGCTCGCGCTTCGTGTAGAAAAAGGTGAGGTATACATTGAGTGCTGGGAACAGGCCGGCTTCGAACGCACCTAGCAGTACACGCAATGCGACGAGACTGCCAAAATTATGCACAAAACCGGTAGCCAACGCCAAGATTCCCCAAACAAACGCAATGAATGCGATCCAACGCTGTGGTCCAATTGGCTTGAGCACTAGATTTGAAGGCAATTCGAAGATGATGTCTGTAGATCTCGGTCAGCTATGCGCATATGGACATGCCAGCCACTCTCTTCACTTACATGTGACGAAAACGATCGAAACAGCTATCTGAAATTGTTTAGGTGTAAGACCTAGGTCTTCCTCCAGACCATAAAGTCGTGCATTACCGATGTTTACACTACACCTTGGTCAGCACCCACACAAATACATACTACCCTGCTCTCTACAAGACGGACCGATCCAAGAAGCTGAATGTGTCTAACACAATAGCAAGTCAGTTACTGAGTATATAAACATATGGTTTGCGCAGCTAGGGCCGATCCGGACTTACATAGTAACATGACAAGAGGCACAAGATGCAAGTCAAGCTTGCGCACAAGTTTCCTTTCGTCAACTCCAAAATCTGTGTCTGGGACCATCGGGGGGTCCAAGTCCTGCGAGGACTTGGCAAGGGCGACGGCCATTCTCACTCCCACTTTTTCCCACGTCCCTAGCTCCAATAGTCGGAAGACAACTTTGAAGAGTTTTGTCCAGTGGACGCCAGATCCAAGGTATAAATTCACAGCTTTTCTCTGAGTTGTTTATTTCTCCACCAAGTTGAGAATGCTAGGTCAAATCAATGTTCTGCGTCAACGTACTCTCCATTGTTGTAGAGCTCACCAATAAGCGTCTGGCAGGGACTATCAAACCAACCGCCAAAAGGTGGAGGTTCTGGGATAAGTAGACAAATAAAGGCGGCGAGCGGCACCCGAATTAGGACAGGTAGGCACTAGATATATATTTTATAGACTACGTAGAATAGCCTGGACAGACTGGGAGCCCCGGGGATGGAGAAATGCACTCAGCAACGATCTACACTTTATCGTTCTTCGAGGGATTGTAGCGTAGTTTTATGCAATGTGTAGGGCTATCTACTTACAATTGTTGTGCTTACATTACAGTGTAGGTATTTGGGCGTTGGAATGGCTGATCCCCTACTTCCGAGATAGGTAGGTGATGAGATATTACGATGGATAAGCTTAGATCGCGGCAGACAAAGACCGTTATCTGCAGGACTGGAGTCCGATCCGATAGTATCAATCATATACACTACAAGGGTATTCTCCATAACCTTTTCTAACAAACTGACAACATCCAAAACGAAGACAATGGGAAACATTTAGATAAGGGACTGCTTTTGCTGGAACAGTTCTCCTGCAAGCGAGGTAAATTGGATAGGGGATGCTTTACCAACTTAGTATTATGGCGTGTCTCGCAGACGGACTTCCTCAACCGCTATGGATCACACGATGGTGCCGGTGCACGTGATGTCATTAGCTAGGTTTGACTATTATTACAGTGGAGGACGAGAAGATAGGTTTGAGTAATTACCTAGGGCATCAGAGCATGTGCTAGCCTCGGAAAGGAGCTTAACGAATTTGAATCAATCCGGCTTAATTCAGCGCGCTGCTGCTGCTTACCATACCGGGATTGAGGGGGTAGGGAATAGAATTGTAGCTAGTATTTTTCCAGGTGAAAATAGTATTCGTAGGAAAGCCACGCAACTTATAAGCCTATTAGTTAAGAAATGATTTTTTAATTTAAAAATAATCTTCTACTAAACGTAATCTCTACTTTTCAAATGATTTATATTTGAAAATGAGTTTCATTTGAAAATGGTATGCCAATAAGCCATAGAATTAGGGCTACACAGATAACAATAGCGCTACAGGGCACCTACAGCCCCTACAGCCACTATAGCCCTTCGCAGTACAGACCTAGCCCAGCCAATCCAATCCACCACTACCACCACCTACTGTCACGATCGTAGGTTCAGGGCATAGCTGTATTGAGGCTATGGACGAAGATTCTAAGCTAAAGAAGAAAGGAAGGAAAAGGTGAAACTCGAATACAGGCGTGCGTGGAAATATACGCGGGCGAATGCCCGTTGTGGGTCACATAATCTTATCAATACGGGTCTCGCGTATCTATACAGTATCCCTCCACACCGTGCACAGTGTTCCAGCACAGTACACGTCTGGCACGTTCGTCACACCTACAATCTTTATCCACCAACAACACTTCAACAACTTCAGTCATCAATAACACTACGCGCTTTGCAATTTCTATTTAAAAAAAAGTGATTTCCAGCTTATCTCGCAATTCTACATCGATTGCACCTTTTTTTGAGCTAAAATACGCATTTGCTGATTTTTGGCACCTGCTAACCTTTGACAATATGCCGTTAGTACCACCTACCGATGCCCAATTTCCCACCTTCGCCGAAGGCTTCGAAGCCTGGCAGGCACATGCACTCCGCGAGGGCTTCGTAATTACGAAGTGTAACGCCGCTAATAAGATCGATGGTTAATATACATGATATACGATAAAGTGTATCGCTGCTACCGCTGATTACAAATCTATTGCTACGCAAAGGAAGGCTTTAAGCACTAAGGTTGATTGCTAATTCAAAGGTGTAGCAAAGCTTTATAAACATTAAAATAGTTAGACTTTTACCGTTAACTATCCTTACTATAACCACCTTCCCTCTTTATTTACACCTATTTACCGCTAAAAACAAATGACTGAACAAGTCCATAGGATTATTTAAAATGGGTTCGATAATCTAATCCCTTACTGCAAGATTTATAAGCTTATATTAGCTTTAGATCCTCATATTGCTATTACGAAGGATAACGTTAGTAACGTTATTACCAAGATTAGGCTTCGAAAAACAGGGTCTTTATACAAACAGCGCCACGATTATTTGTACCTTACAGCAAAATAACGGATAGCTTCACAATGGCCAGTTCAGAGTCTCCAGGAGTGGCAGGCATCGTGCACACCGGAAGGGCCAAGGGGGCGTTATATTTGACTTTAAGAATTGGTCAAATAGGTGGCAAAAGGGGCGGTTTCATATCAAGATCAACAGACAAGTACCTTTTTCAAGGCGGATTGGAAAACAGGTCACCAGGTAAGTCCTAGAGCGAGCGTTTTTGCTAGTAAATACAGTGGCAATTTGCTATTGGCAAGAGTTCTAAACGTGTGAGATTCGCTAACTTAGCTGTTTTTTTATGGGTGTACTTAGTGACTGATCAGGGCAAAAAAGCCTGTTTCTATAATCGCTGTCCAGGGTCTGTCTGCAATTATCCTCTTTTGGGTGGGAAAACAGCACCTCTATACGCTTGAACGGATCTTGGCCCAAGATCTCGAAAGAAGTGGTAAGGAGGCAATAATCAAGTTCCGCTTGTAATGAAGGCCAATTATACATATATACCTGTCTGCCAATCCAATTAGCCTCGCGTGAAAGAGATACCCTTGGATCGTAGGGAAAGGTTACCCGATATGTCACCCGCCCTCTACTAAGTATTCTTACGACATCTCATGCACTTTCAATTACGGCAGTATGGATCGCAGTAGGTCAACTAACCAATCAAATAGCAACGTGCGTTGAATGGCCACAGTTCTATTGACCTGTTACAGTGCCTCAAAACAGACCACACTGAATTGCTTCAGGACACCCTTTCTACTACATTCGACAGAAGTTGTTCTCATATTGATGCCAAGCCGTCTACAGTTATGAGTTACGTTCCATAACAATGGGATATTCATACCTGCTTAACTTGCTTGTATACTCAAGGTGCTAATGATACACTCCGCCGATAAGGTGAAGTCGAGGACAGAGCGGTGGTAACCAGAGCAGAGAAGAGACGACCACACATAAATAAATGAGCAATCGGACAAGGGAAGTCTGACAAAGTGGTATTTAAAACGCAAAGCCTGATATTTACCATTTTCATCACACCCCAACATCTATACCCAGCTCACCCAATCCAAAGTCATTAGCTCTACCGCCCCAGGTTTAAATTCCTAACGCCGTTCGACACCATACCAGCCGCATTATCAACTTAAATGGTTATAATATAGATAATGTGCATATTTCATTGCATAGTAGCTGCATATCTTATTTATCGGCAGGTATATCCACCATCGATGACGATATCGGCACCGGTCGTATATGTGCTGGCGTCCGAAAGCAGGTAGACATATGCACCCTTGAGCTCCTTCGCGTCGCCGTTTCGGTTCATAGGAATCATACTTCGCCAGAGGTTCTGCGTCTTTTCATCGATGAAGTCTGATAGGCCAGTGTCAATATAGCCAGGGGAAATGCTGTTGACACGGGCAAAGTCACGCCATTCATTGGCGAGTGACTTGGCTAGGTGGATGCAGCCGGCCTTGGCGACGTTGTAAGAGGTCTGCTCCTGCGGGAAGTTCGCAATGTGGCCGGACATAGAGGCCGTGATGACGAAGGATCCAGAGCCCTGCTTCTTGAACACAGGCCCGACCGCTTTGGCGCAGTATGCCGTGCCTGTCAGGTCCGTGTGGATGACCTCGTTCCACTCCTCGATAGTGCCGTCGAGAACGCCGTGATCCGCCGTCGCGCCGGCATTGGCTACGAAGCCGTCAATGCGGCCACCAAAGTCATTAAGCACGTCTTGCACAAGTTTCTCGCATGACGCAAAGTCTCCAACGTTACACTTGTAGGCCTTGGCCTTGACACCATAGTCTTTGGTAAGCTCTGCGACGTTCTTTTCGGCGCCGTCCTTGCGCGATGAGTAGGTGATGGCCACATCGGCGCCTAGTTCTGCGACGCCGCGTGCGGCTTCGATACCCATGCCTCGTGGGCCCGAAGCGCCAGTCACGATGATGACCTTGCCCTTGAAGCTCAGCAGGTCGAGCAGCTTGCTGGCAGTAGGAATTTGCTGAGGCATATTGACGGCTAGCTAGTTGACTTTTGAGAATGATAGGATATCAAAAGTTGGCTACAGATGCTAGGGAGGAAACAGAGAAAAGCAGAAAGACGGAGGAAGCTGGTGGAATAAATAAGGAGGAAACAGAGAAAAGCAGAAAGACGGAGGAAGCTGGTGGAATAAATAAGGCCGAAACATGCAGGTCAGCATCAACTTTATAGTGAGCAGCAAGCTAAAAACGCAGCAGTCCTTCATCTTGCTAGTCCACCACCGTCCATGGGATTTTTTTCTCGCGCGATTTCGGTACTACACAGCCAGAAACACGAGCCTATGGGAGGTATAGGTGGATATAGATGTGGATGTAGGTGGATATGAAGCATTCTCAGCTGCGTTTTTGGTGATGTCATCCTTATGTGGTCATGACAAAGCGCCCATTACGTAGACTAACTGGACTAACTGGACTGGCGAGAACTACGTGACATTGATTGAACTCCTTCATCCTTATCACTCCCGAGGATAAATTTCATTTCATGCGCGAAATGTGGATGACTAAAGACGTGAAAATACATCGAAGATTCGTTCTGGGAAGCAGATGGTGAATCAGGATAACGATGAACCTACAGTAAATACAGAGCTATCACTAAGCACCCCTGTCATGCAATTCACCCCTCATTGTCTGTCTTCTGCATAAGGGGCTTAGTAACAACCTGCAGTAGCGCCGTTCGAAGTTCCTAATCAGTAATTTCTAAGAAGACGATGGCTACATGATACTTATAAGTTATAACCACTGTCACTGCATTCCAATATGACCCGTTAAGTAAACTACTATGTAGGGAAGCATACTACGGTAGGTTAGTGTTGTAGAATGTATTTGGAAGACAGAGAGCGCGCGGGCGGTTAAGGAAAGGGGGCCGGGAGTGTTGAGACAGATTGTCCGTCCTAGCCAAAACACCATCATTCTCATAAATAGGAAATTCAGATAATGAGTGCAATAATATCTTGGTGTGTGGCAGAGACAGAGACAGAGTATCGAGTTTCGTCTGTTCTTTAAGTTCTTATTCGAACATGTAGCGAGTCCATGGCTATGTCTGGCTACGTTACAGTTTATCAGTGAGCCTGGGGGATAAAATGTAGCAATTTAGCGTAAGCGTAACCCCCTACCCTCGGTACAATTAATAGTTGGTCACTTCGACTTCTTGTTTATGATCCAAGAGGTGATCGCTAACAGTTTTTCCTATCTTCGCGTCAACTTTTCAATGCATCTGTAATACGACCCTTCTGCACATAAATATTTGACCATTTCTGTGCCAATCTAGGACAGAAGTAGTACTTCAACAATACACCATCTTCACTGTGTAGGTGTGTAATGGCGGGACCTTGAAGGCGAGGGCCAGACGAGGGGCCAAGGAAACCGTGCGGGGTTATTTGTACTACCCCGCATTCTCTCTGGTCTTCTAATAGGTATCATATCTTCTGTTTACTTCGTATGTTGGCGTGCAGCAACTGCTAGTCTGCCTACCTAATCTCTGTGAAGTGTTGGTTTCTTGGCCCTCTTCACCGCGATCGGGTCACATCGATGCCGATGATTCTGCCATCTTTGACAATGCTGAATGGCATATGCATGATACCCTATTTCAACCGGTCCACCTATCGGTCTGGATAGAGTAGAATTTAGTCATGCCCAGCTCAGTAATTCCTGAGAAATGCAATTCAGAGGACCCAGCTTACCACATACGTTGAAGAGCATATCATGTTTTAAAATAGGACAAGCATCCGAAAGTGAATAGCTTATATAGTCGCAGTAGACAGGGAGTTGGTTGAACAATACCTAAATATATGTCCCTTCACCATTAACTGTTTATTGTTTATTATTTATCACCTAATTCCAGCCCATCTTCATGCTATACATACCTACCTACTGTAAGTTGGTTTCTCTACCACGCATAGCAATTGTTCCATAGACCTAATAGTAAGTTGTGTCTAGTGTATAACCTTACATCCTTGTTATAGTGATAGCCCTTTGGCAACGACAGGATGCCTCTCGATATTAGAGACCTGGCCACAGCAAGGGCTTTCATGATTAGAGTAGGTACCTAGTTTATAATCAGAATGCACCCGGGATAGGCAGTCACGGGAGTTAAGACGTCAGGGGGCTGTGCTGTTGGTGAAGGCTATATAACTAGGTACCCTTCTTCACCCGAATCTGCCCAAGCTTGTGGCTACTTCCACATCCCAGCTTTGCATTCTCTTAGCAGATGATGGAGGCGAACAGGTCTTACTCACTGTGGGCATTCTATCACGTATAGTATGTGGTAGATGGCATGGTAGTGTAGGAGTGACCCACACCGCCACTGTCAGCCGGAATTCCCACCTCTACTTCCGTTTCCGCATAGGCATAGCAGTAGCCTATATCCCCAACAGGGCGACCTCGATGGTTTTGGAGAGGGTCGGGCCCAGCTTGGATCCCCGTTTTTTCGAATCCAGCACCTCATAATTGCACGGCTACAGAAAGACGACAGACAACTGCACAGGAACTGCTCGTCACTGGGGGCTGACCTTGATTCTACGCACACCAAGCCAGCACATTATGCAGCACTCCCCGGCACTTGCCGCCACGCTTCCGACTATACCAGAGACGAAACGCGCCACTAAGCAGCCAAAGAAATGTCCTGAATGCGGAGTCTGTTTCTCCAAGACGGAACATTTAGCGCGCCATATCCGAAGCCATACTAGAGAGAAGCCATTTTCTTGTCGTGATTGCGGGAAATCATACAGTCGACAGTTAGTTATGTTGAGAAGCCCCTACGACAAACACCAGCGGCGATCACTAAAATGACCCCAGTGATTCTCTTCTTCGTCATTCTCGAGCACATGTTCGCCGTCTATCCAATAAGTCGCCAAGGAGCATCACGCGCTCGTCTTCTCCTCGAGTCTCGCTAGCAGGAGACAACAGCCAAGTAGAGATTAACCCGCGTGGTGATTGCTCCGTACGTAGCGATTATCATGCGGGTTCTCGGAATAGTCTTACCTCCTCAACCTTCTCCCGTGGCCCAGCAGCATCAACTCCCGCCAGCTGGGTCTCTCAAGGAGACCAACCGAGCCAAGCTCTAATTGATGGGTCTTTACAACAATGCACTCTTCAATCAGATGCCGGGCCTCCCTTGGGTGGGCAGTATGTTGAAACGGACTTTCGTGCCGCTTCAGCGAGAGTTTTCGATACGCCTACCGACCTGGAACTGCTGGATATCGGCTTGAACGCTCATGAACCGGCCTGGTTACTTGGTAGTGATTTTGATCTCAACATTCTAGACTTTCCAATATCCAGTGTCATGACAGAATGGGGCTATTCGAATCACGAAAATCTACCCCCGCACCCAGAGGCATATGAAACCTCTAATACGCTAGGTCGTTGCAAGGGACACATGCCACTTTCTGACTTGGTACGCGCAGTCCAGTATAATTGGTATACAACGTTAACTAGAGATGTCGTCTCTCACGAATCTTCAGACCACCTCCAGGAGCAAGATCAGATAGATGAGGCATATAGGGAAGGTCTCAGGTATAAATTACAGCCATGCCCTTCTAATACAGCCCTTCCTTCCGCGGACTTCCTTGTGAGTAGCTCACTGCCACTTAGATTTGTCACTCACAACCCGCTAATTGCAAGCAGAACCTATGTATCAAGTTATACTTTGTGCGCTTCAATCCGGTCTTCCCCATTGTCCATGCACCGTCTTTCCGCCCTTCATCAGAGAACGCTATCCTCCTCTTGTCTGTGTGCTCTGTTGGCGCTCTCTTCATGGGCTCAGCAACCGCCGCTGCCCAAGGCAGGAAGATCTTTCAAACCCTGAATAAAGCAAACCTATCGTCAGTGAGTTCCCTATTTACCGAGGTTCTCCTCGGCGTCCACTAGTCTAACCGAATACAGTGGGATACCTACATTCGTCGCGATGCTAGAGAGTGGCGTTCGCTTGTCCAGGCATCGATTATCGGTCAAACATTTGGCATGCTCTCAGGCCAGCCAGATAATGTTTGTATGACAGAGAGCTTCCATGGAACAGCCATCGCGTGGGCCCGGCAGGGCGGCTTCTTCAAGATCAGAGCTGCCCCTCTCCCGAATTGCGATGAACCCGAGGCGAACAAAGGGGACCTTTGGAGACGCTGGGTAGATGCCGAAGAATCTGTCCGCTTAGTCTTAGCGCTCTATGTTCACGATTCAGAATTCGCAACAACATTTCATCATGAGCCGCTTCTTCGGCATGGTACCGGGAAGCTACCAGTTTGCAACCCAGATGAATTATTTTTCGCGCCCACTGCATCCGATTGGTATAACATTGTAACGAGAGATAGGGTCGCCAACTCTAAAATCACACATATCAATGCCGCCAACATACTGGCAGTGCCGCCAGTGATTATGACAACGCGCAAAGCACAAATGTTTGCGTATGCTTCCCTTGCTGGCTTAGTAGCCTCGATTCAGGAAAAGAGGGCCTCGCTTCTTGATGACGGAGCAAAGCAGCAATTCCGCAACCTGCTTCTGTCATGGCACCATGAGCACTACAAACACATCCAGGGACCTAGAAAGAACCACATCAATTTGTTGATTTTCTGGCACGCAGCCTTTATGGCTCTCTATTCTGATTTTGACATCATGGAACGTTCCATAGGTCGTGACGGCAAGCACGCTGCGCAAGAAGCACGGGAAGCAATCGTAGATTGGGCTGTCTCCCTAGAGGCTAGACGCAGTATCCTTCACGCTCTCTTGGTGCTGAGGCATCTAGAAATGCTGCCAATTGGACTCGAACCGGCTATCCACGTGCCCAAAGCTGCATTCTACTCAGCCATGATTGTGTATAGCTACATAAAGTGCAAGCCGTCCCCGTGTGTGCCTTCTGAGGATGAAGTGAACTTACCCGAACTACAAGTTGCCAGCTCAACTAACAGTTTACAACCAAATGGCGACAAGGTCACAGCAGCCATGTTCCCTCCCGTGGAACCTAGTATACTTTGCAATGCGATAGACTTGCTCCGACGCATTGGCCATTGGGAAATATCTCGCAAGTTTGCTTGCATTTTGCAGATCCTCCTAGATGATTTGACTAAAGCCTAATGTAACAACATACCACTCCTAAGGAATGCGCCAAAAACTTGGCTCTCTCTCATGTGCTTGTTGCATCCAACAAATTCTTCATACTCGCTTTCCAGATGCCAGGGGCTTGAAGATAGACAAAGCTAAAGGTGTCACGCACCTCAAACAGCAAACATTTTTCATGCGCCGAAGCGAGGGCTCTCATTAAACTTCACCCACAAATATGTAAAGGCAGGTTCCTTTGCAAAATGCGGGACACGGCAATGCAAATCATTATGTGTACACCTATTCTAGGGTCTTCAATGTAGCCCAATACAGAGAGCAAGGATTTAGAAAGATTATTATTACTAATGTTATCATCAAGGTCTAATTACTAATATTATATACTAATCACTAAACAACTAGGTAATAATCAGGGTAATAAAGTCATAGCTAACCTATAACCATGGACTAACTAACAAATAATCAAGAGTCTTAATAGAGAATGAGAGGTATGAAACTAACATTGGAGACCCCCTGGAGGAGGTGTATATGTGGGACGCTAAGCTTGCGGGACCGTGGCCACGTGGGGAGGGTATCAGTGTGTTGGCGGGACATGCATACAGAGCACTCTACGCCGACTCCGAGGTGAGAAAGAAAAACGGAAGATTTGCCGAGAATACCATGCGGAGTAGCCCTCGGTATTTAACAATGAACCGCGGAGAGGGAGTCGCTCTTGATGAAGCGTACATCACCGCCTCTGTGAAGTGAAATTACCTGTACCATTTAGAGATTTTGCCCATCTAAATCTGCTTTTGGACAAAGCTACCTACTGCGATAGCAGTAGCCTTACTCTAAGTACTCATGGCTGCGCAGCTGCGGAATCAGGGAGCTGCAGTGCCTGATCTGGTTGCAGTCGGTCACCAGCAGGAAGATGTTCAGGCTTGGAGAGCTCGCAACGGCATAGACCTTGCAAGCCAGATCAAGCTAGTCAAGATAGCCCATATGCGCTACCAACATCCAGACCTGGAAGAGATTGGGCGATTTCTGGGAGGTATGTCACATTCACAGACCCTAAAGCCTACAACTAACTTGATATTAGACTTCGGAATGACCATCGTTAAGAAGACTGATAGCGAGGTGTGGTTTCGAGGGTACGGTCTAGATCAATATGTTTGTGAGTTGTAGCATTATTCTTCTTTACGACTCGTAGAACTCACCTACCTCCAGATCACGCGCTCAAGGGACCCAAGAAGTTCTTGGGTGGAACATTCCTCGTCGAGTCATATGAAGATCTCGAGCGTGCAACTAAGCTACCGGGGAGTAGCGATATTCAAGAGTTAGTGGATGCACCTGGAGGCGGGTTTCTCGTTACAGTGCACGATCCAGAGGGCTTCCCAATGAACTTGATGCATGGACAGGTAGAGCGTGAAGAAATTCCAGCCGAGAAGCCAAAAAAGCTCATATATAACTTCGAAAATGAGAAGCCCCGCGTCCGTGAATTCTTAAGATTCAAACCCGGTCCAGCAGCCGTACACAAGGTTTGTCACCACACCTGATCAAAGGGCAAGTCGAAGACTGACCGAAGCAATTCTGTAGCTGGGTCACTACGGTCTGTGCGTCCAGAACTTTTCTGGAGAACTCGATTTCTACCTCAAAAACTTTAACCTTGTACCAACCGACTTCCTATATGTCGACGAACTTGACGGGACTAAGAAAGATGTTGCCATCTTCGCCCACATAGACCGCGGCGACGATTATGTTGACCATCATACGTTTTTCATGAGCACTAACAAGACCAGCCACGTGCACCATTGCTCCTTCGAAGTTCATGACTATGATACCCAGATGCTTGGGCACCAGTGGCTGAGCGAGAAGGGTTACGAACCCGTCTGGGGTGTAGGTCGACATATACTCGGGTCACAAATATTCGATTATTGGTGGGATACGGCTCATAACATGATCGAGCACTACATCGACGGCGATGTTGTCAATCGCAAAACCCCAATCGGCTATAGTCCGGCTGGTGATGAGTCGCTTGCTGTCTGGGGCCCAGAAGTGCCCCCATGGTTTCTCCACTAGCGATGACTTAGGTTGCAGAGTTGCAGTAACGGGATAACTCTTTTTTCGATGTGTATTTATGCAAGATGGTGTTATACAGATGTGCAATATTTCAGCTTGTGCTTTACTTGAGAAACATGTGTCATACTAATATCCAGTACCTTCAACCTGCTCCAAGGCCTTTCATTGCGCCTAAGTGAAAACTCACACTTGGATCTTTCATAGAAAAATTGTGATTAGGCAACATAGCTTAGGCTTATATAGAAATCCAGCTGAACCTTCGACCTTCAAATGGAATCAAGTCAATCATCGTCATACCGCACGCGGTTCACAAGAGTTCCGATCCCTTCAATTTCAACGCGGATATCACCACCATCTTCAAGCACGACAGGTGGCTTTCTAAAGAAGCCAATACCGGCTGGAGTTCCAGTCAAGATAATGGAACCTGCTTCCAATGTGGTGCCCTGCGACAGATAGGCAATCTGCTGACGTATAGTAAAGATCATATCACTTGTGTGGCCATCTTGAACCACTTCGCCGTTGTACATAGTCTTGATGGCTAACTTTTGGGGATCTGGAATTGCACTTGGCGCTACAAGAACGGGGCCTACGCAACGGTAAGAGTTAGCCTGCTCGCTGGCACATCATTTTTCGAAGCTGTTCAATAGCTCTTGTCCCTTTCCGGACGACAACCAGCAACGATTCCCGTTCTTTACGTACCAAGAGGACAGCTTCCATCTAGCCCTTTAGCAAAACACCACTGTGCTGTAAGTAATTGCAGCTTGCGCGCCGACACATCATTGGACCCTGTATATCCTAAGACGTAGTCCAACGCGTCTTCCTCGGGAATGTCGCGGCCTGTTCGTCCAATTACGACGCAGAGCTCCGCCTCGTAGTCACTCGTACCATCTTGTGCGACCTTTGGGATTGTTACGGATGCTGGGTACGGGTCGGCTAGAGCTGTCCGCGGCTTCGTGAAAAGAACCGGGACTTGGGGCAATGCAAACCCCCCCTCCTGTGTTTGGCTATATATTAGTAGCCGTCGTATTTACTCATGATCCAATGAGGAACGCTGAGGTATTTTCTGAGCAACGCATGACACCGATAGCTACCAACCTTCGCATGATCCTTATAATTCAAACCTAGACATCGAATATAATTGCAATCGGAGGAAGAGATAGGAGAGAGAAGCTGCGTAACACATTCATCAGCCACATGATTGATAAACCTATCGTCCATTGATGGCGGTAAATATCAACCAAAAGCCACGAGTTCGAATGAACATACCCGCTCAACCGTATACACGACGCCACTGATGACCTTTCCGTCGAAAACCGTTCCACGGATCAAATACGCCTTTATCTCAGTGCCTTCCACTGAGTCCCTACCAACATCGCGGCTCGTGTCCACGAGCTGGCCTAGATGCACTTGCTGGTCTTCTTTCGCAACAAAGCGGATGAGGTGTGTCCAATTGCCCATGTTCGTAATAATCTTTATCACTCTCGCGAATGGTCGTAATCTGTCTCTGCGTCTTTTCGTTTCTCTATCCGTTTTCTGTCTTTTTCCTTCTTGACACGGAACCCTGATGCCATGCGTGGTTAACATCTCTGTAATTTGAAAATCACAACACCCTGCGGGACACACACTTGGTCCCGCCACAACTGATTCTGCGGGGAAATAGTAGTGCAATACTCAACCCCTCAACGGGCTCTTACTTCCATCTACTAGGAGACTTACTATAGTATTGGTAAGAAATTTAACTAGGTATGACCGGTAGTGCTGTCGAGAACGATATAGGGATATATACTTCCGGTCTATGTGGTATTCTTTTGATTTTGGTAATCGCTCTTCAGTGGCTGTATAGGATAAGTACGCATTTGAGCGAGGGGATAACATGTCTTAGTCACATCGCTCCCACGCCACTCCGTACTACGCCCTTTCAATGCGCTGAGTTGCATTTAAAAATGCATAGGTTGGATTCAGTTCAGCCTTTTTTTATCAGTGTCTAGAACCAACTGAAGCTTACCTTCCGAAAGCGGGGAATATATAATCATGCAAGCCCTCAAAGTGTCAAACTAGACAACACGACAGTTTTTATCTAAACCTCCGAGTGAAAAGGGTCGCTCAATCCTTACGATGTCATTAATACTCTACACGCTGCACACTTATGTGCATATTTGGTATGCAGCACGTAGTAGCTTTGAGACAGTGTTGGTTGATCTAAATGAGGCTACCCAGCTCTCGCTTCTAAGATATATACTTATAAATGAAACTGGAAAGGTTAGCTCAACTAGTTTAAACTGCGTGGCTAGCTTTAATTCAAAGGTCAGACATGATGCTTATCATATATAGGCAACCTTCCAGCGTTGGTAATAAGAAAATGTCGTGCTAATTATCGTGATTCCTAAGTCAAGATTCGTACCGAAATGCCCTTTGTTCAGTAAGATTTACGTCGCTCCTCAATTAGGTTGGTGCCAGAAAATAATGGAGTAATTCTCGTAGGTCTCTGCGTATCTCACGAGAAAAGCGCCATGCGAATGCCTTTATCCCCATGCTTAACACAATAGACCAATCTGCCCCAACATGGGAAGCGGAAAGCGAAAGGCACACAATCACTGGGAGCATACTATTTGATGCAAGGAATATATCCATTAAATACTATCCTCAAATACCTCAATAGATGTATTAAGCCCAATGTCTAATATCTAGCTAGGATTTGGCCACTCAATATAATTGCTCGATAGCAGTACACCACCACCGCGATCCGTTTTTCATAGCACCGAGACGTTCGTAACGACTACTTATTTAAACACCAGCTGGGGTATTGCAGAGAAGAGCCTATAACACACGCTAGAGTCAGTAATGCCAGAATAGGGAAGGGATTTAGCTCATAGCCCATGTTTCGGGGGCATGTAGGAACATCGAGGCCCGAAACCTGCCTAAAAGGGAATCAAATGACTCTAGTAAACTAACCTGGCCAGCCTAAAGAATTCATGTGTTAGCATTGAAATCAAACAAATGAATATTACTTATGCTGCAGGTAGAGATACATACAATAGGGATAACGCAGCATCGAGCTCGCTGACCACTGGCGGCGCAAATACTTCGGAACTCAGATGCACTTGTCGGAATGGCGGGGACTGTCACGATTCTTGTTAAACTCGGTTTCGTCTCATAGATGAATGGAACGAAGTTCTTTTATGAATAAGTCTTACCACTGGCGCAATCGAGATCAGCAAGACCTAGAACGTCGGTAGAGCAGCACTGGGCACTGCTAAATAGGCCATTAGGGCAGGCATCATAGGCAGCACCACCACCAGGGTAAGGAGGATATGGTGTAGGGGTCGGCGTAGGTGTGGCACTGTAGGTGGCCTGCTTCTTTGGTGGACTAGGCAGGTCGAGGGGGCTGGCTGCGACCGCGGTAGTGAAGACAGCAGCGATTAAGATGGAGAGCTGCATTTTGACTATGAGCCTGAGTTGGCAATTTGGACGTTCTTCGATTTAGAGAACGGGCGAAGAATCACGCGCAATAACCTCGATACTTGAGCTCTGTCTCACTACCAGATGGTGCGAATGAGTTAGACGAAGTCATTAGCTGAGGACGACATGAGTTCTTATACGTGGGACGGGCAATTGTTCATATCCATTCATACAGCCCGTGATTATAGTAAGTGGACATGTCGATCATCAATCAGCAAGTTCCGTTCCATGGCAACCCTTCTGACAGCAGGACGTTAGTCCGTCCAGTCTGCATCGTCGATACACAGCGGGCTCATGAAGCGGTTTTGATACCGAGATGCGGACCCAAGGTATCGTAGCAAAATCTGTTACTAGCTTCTTCTAGCCCGTCCATTTTATTGATGGCTCAGAATCGTAATCGATCGTCAACTGGTGTGCCTCTATCCGCTCTAAGATCTTCCACTTTCACGCACCAATTTCGCGCTTGCAGATGCACCTGAGAGCACCGAGGGCACGATACTCTGACAGTACTCTGATCTGCATTGTATGTCAGGGACATAGCTCAAGGTAGAGTTCAAAGTAGAAATGATCACCTTTGCCTTGGTTGATTATCAATGCATTCGGTACCTGCTCCCCTCGAATTAATATTGAGAACCCTAGGGCACCCAATGGTGAGACATCTGGACAGATTTCGGCTGTTTATCGGTAACAATCCAATTGCCATTGCGCCGCAGTGTTATCTGCTTTACATTTGCGTCCAAGTAAGCAACAGGTGGGGAAAAAGCCGCACGGCCAAAAAGTGATGACGTCAAGCACTGCCACGCAGCCATTTTTATTCTGTGAGTCCCAGTCGGTAGCTGACCCAGCTAATGCAGATAGCAATTACAGATAATTACCTACCTAGGTACGCAGATTCAGGTCGCAAATCTACATCAGGCTTAGCACGGTACGCCGATACTATAATGAATATTACGTACTTACAGAGGTGTAGAGTCTCTCGCTTTTTTCTTGCACCACCTCGGCTGACAGTTAGCTATGATGAGGCAGATGAATATTAGCTAACTGCTCAACAGTTTTTCTATGTAGCCGATGAATATTGTACAGAGTTCTGAATAGAGGCGAATAGGATCTTCATCTGGTATATGCGCCAGACATGCATAGAAGCACCTGGCTACCTCTTTTCATGGGTAGTGTCGTGGTGCCAGCTCATCGTTTAATAGCACTTAGCTACAAAGTTTCGTTCTATAGCTAAGTATTACGCTAGTATACGACACAACTGTGAGCAAATTGGTTAATGAACGCTGTACTCCGTACGTTGACATGGAAAGCACAGTAGCATTAAACCCCAAGTCAACCTACTAAGTATATCGCTAAGTTTGGCGCCAGCGCAAGGAACCGGCAGATAAACCCCAACACTAGACACCTAATTTACTGTACAGATCCCATGACTAGCAACGAGCCGTCCCGGGAACGGCTATGGCAGTCTCTAAAACCTCCAGCTTATCAGATAGTAGTATATGCAACGACTCAGCCGCAGTGTTTGTAAGAGATTATCTTGTCGCCGAATACATTTCTATACTACCGATACTAGTAGTTCTCGAGTAACCTTCTCTGTTGTCACGCGAGGCGGTGTCAAAAAAACTAGTCCGGTCCACCTACATTATAAAATATAGCTTTAGAAATGCTGGTAGCAAGGTAAAACACAACATAAAAAAACACCTTCTACACTTTTAATTAAGCGTATAACACACCTATCACAAACGTTAAAAACCTAGCAAGAATAGGTCAGAATAGGTTTGAATAGGTTTGAATAGGTTTGAATAGGTTTGAATAACTTCAAAAACGGGTTAAAAAACGGCTGTTGAAGGTGTAGGTGGGTGGTGTTGGTGAACCGGACTAGTTTTTTTGACACCGCCTCGTCACGATGTTACTGCATATTAATATCTGTAGATCTTCATGGGGCATACCCACCTACTTAGTCTTGTCGATCATGATAAAGCTAACTGCCAAGATCAGCTGGGTGGATGGCTGCACTGTCATCTCTTGCCAAGGCTAGATCCCAGTCAGCGAAGGAATGGTCCGTCTCGCGTTCGCAGAAGGTAATTTATGCGCACAGCAGAGATCGTGGGAATAAGATAGGTATCGGGTATATCGTTACTTCTTCATTATAGCGTGGTCGATGGGGTCGATGTCCATATTTCTCTATCTCACCCGTCCAATCGTATCATGCTTCCTATGATTAGGAACGGGAACCTTTTGATAGTGTGGTCAGGGCTGAGCTTAGATTTCTTAGATTACCGCACCAGCCTTCCGTAACGGTTATCAACCATGCATTCGTGTGCAGGATCTACACAATAGTGTAGTGTTCCTGAGGATGCAGCCAGATAGTCATTGTTCTCGACTGTCTGCCTACAGTGGCTAGCTCCCGATATTTGCGAATCGGGGCCACATGTCCTCTTTCCGCATCGCTCAGGCCGTGTCCCAACAGGACAGACAGCGCCTTTGATATGACCAGCTCTCTCCTGGGCGGTGAACTTAAGTCAGGCAGTCCATTAAAGCCCTTGTCTGCCCTTGCAACATATCAACAAGGTTCATGTGATGAACAAGTTACGAGAAGTAAGACTGTCATTGCTGCGCGAAATCTAAGATGTCAGGAGGGAAGGCATTCGGACTCCTTCTGGCTGAATATGCTCAGTTTCTTTATCCTTGATTCCTGTCTCCTATTAGTAAGTAATATAATTCTCATGACAACTCTTATCAAACAATTTAGAGGTAATATAGCTATGACCTTATTACTTAAAGATTCAATGCCTAATGCACAGTCATCCCCCTTTCTTAAAAGTTACGAGACAATATCGCAAATTCCACGTATTGTCTTACTGCTATGAAGACAACTCCTAATGCTAGGGCCGTTTCTCGTACCGAACAATTGAACTCTTTAGGATATAAAGGCAACTGTGAATTGCTATGAATGTCACAGGACTGCCTAGCTGTATTCTTAAATCAATATACCTATTGATTATTATATAGTGAAGGAAGTTCTAGTTTTCACCCCTTATTCCCTTATTCCCTTAGGGTTATCTAGCGTTATATAGATACTTCGCTGTCAATCAGATATCTTCGGCTTTGAAAGATAATAGCAAATGCCATACGATTGTATCTAATATCCAATCCAACCACTGCCAAATGGCATCTGGTGGCTAGCCCTAGCATATCATTTTAATATCATGAATCTAAACCATGCTGTCAGCCTTTGTTACATCTAATTGCCTTACTTACTAGAGATCTGCTATGTGCAGAGAGCTGCCATACAGCAATCAAGATTGATAATGACAGTTAAGGGTTCATCTTCAGCGCTAGGATCGCCTCAGCTTTCACCCAGTCCTGTAACGTAAAATCAGCCAGCACCCGAACTGCGAATCATCTACGGATAGATAGCCGCGGTATATAATCCTGTCCTTGCTCGTGACCAAATAGCGGGGACAAGTGTATATGTGACTTTTCACTGACGAATACATGATCCGTAGCCATCATGCTGCGCGCTGGTAATTCATTCCCATTGTCAGCAACAGTAGTGATAAAGGCATCTCCCAGCGACTGTTGATGAAAGAAAGCAGATAAACAAACGACAAGACATTGATTCGTACAATACATGTTGTATGAACAATTGCTCTATCTCAAGCTCAGCGATGGCCACGTCTTAGGGATATGTGAAGATTAAAATTTGACTGCTGTTTACAAAGCAACTCTAAGATATAGAACTATGCAGTCGCCTGATTCTGAGCTGAGACAACCTGTGAATTACTCGCAGACGGTGAGAGTGATCGGTGATTTGAATTAAAGCAAATATAAGTAGACCATAAAATGTCTCAAAATGACTCAACTAGTTCGTTTGTTTGCTTTGTTGACTTATAATACCACACCCTCTAAGTTAGGCTTGATGATGCATTATCGAGGTTGAACGGTGGCGGCACCTCTAACAATGAGAGTAACTAACTTGCTCCTACAGTCTCTACTGACATCACACCACCTTGGTTGAAAGGTACCCCGTTTGAATGACATTTATGCCTCCTGGTGAGATCATGATACCCGTATCGCGCTTCACGGCTCGCTCAAATAACTAGTGATTGTCCTTGCGCAAAGCGTATCCTAGCCGTATTATTTTCATATGGGGGAGGCTTCTAAACAGCAAAATGGCGTAAAGAGAGCAATGCTTAGGAAGAATGCAACGGTTATGTTCACTCTGTCTACTCAATGTGGTAGATGCGTATCTATCTACCCGCTCCCGTGTATGCCTTTCACACGTATGTAGTTCTAGGTTCGGCCTATCCAATGGGCATATACCTTGTGGCGCTATGTACGCAATGTGGCTCCGATGCACTCCTCGCTGCCATGAACTACTATTGATGGCTTGATTTCTCCATTTCTCTCTCTCTCCTTATTCTCCGTCTCCCTCTTCCTCTGCAAGTGTGTTTTTATGGACGCCTCTAGTTTATTGTAACGGCAGCTGCGAATGTATGACTCTTAGACCTCATACTAAGCCTCCCGTTTGGTGCAGAAGTAATATTCAGTTGTGTAGCACCCTCCGCGTGCGCGCTTACTATGGCACCATCTGCCTGGCTACACAAAAAAGCATGATTGATGAGGACTTTGTGGTCATGTGTCATGATGTAGGAGACGTTCCAACCAGGTATCCGAGTTGAACAGAACTGCATGCCGTTGTCGTCGGCTCCGTTGTGAATCGACCCGCTGCATCCGCTGTGGTAGTCGTTGTAGGTGGTGTTGAGGTAGAATGCAAATGACTCGCCGCCCGTATATTTACTGATGCCGCCCGTGAAATCCGAGATCATGAAGCTCGGAGTATCTGTCGCTGTGGAACAAGGCATTACGGCTAGTCCGGCACCGGAGAATCGCGTAAACGATGACATCACGATGGCCGTGACGGCGGGTAATATGGTGTCGAAGATCATGGCGACCGTCCTGCTTGTATCTTGCAGTCCGGATGGTGCGGTGGGGGAGGCAAAGGAGGAAAGATGGATAGAGTTGGAGGAAACGGATATTGTACCGCTTTCTAAGACTGACAAAGAATAGTCGGTTTGTCGTGGGTCTGTGGCTGCTTACATTTATTCCTCATAATATGTATATAGTCAAGTAAGAATGGTAGGATTTAGAAATAAATCACTTTATTGTTGATCATACAGCTACACCAGTTTCTTGATGGGAAATAACGAGAGAGATGCCTCGCGATGGTTGCTCCAGGGAGTTATTATGCCATATTGCTTTAAAGCCAGCTCACCTCGTGACCTGCCAAGAGCTCAAATAGCCAATCAGAAATATAGGAATTTCGTAGACTTGTAGGTATTACTACGTACGCTTACTACGTACAGGTCAGGTACATAGGTACCGCGACATCGAACTTAGCGTCCAGCGCGTACTTAAGGACTCAGGTATCGGAGATCCAGTAGCAAGGGTAGAAAGAAACATAGCAGATGAATAATGATTAAGACTCGGTCTAGCAAGGTCAGGTTCGAACTGACAGACACTCATGCACCAACATTTTGCCCTATTAGTACTCATATCCGAGTCCTGCGAGATTGACAAACACGTGAACAAGCGACTGCTTAAACCAGACCACGGTCTTGCAGCACCGCCGAAGTGGCTTTCATGGCAATGAATTCTAAATCTACGACCGTAGGTTAGCAATCTGCAAACCGTAAAAAACGCGGGGCATGGCACGATTAGTACTACCTAGTACACCCCTTTATGTAAAGCTTCATATAACCAGAACTATTGAAGTAAAAATTGTATAGAAAATACTGGTAAACTCTACAGCTTCTGCTCTTTAATATGATGTGTACCATTCACGTGCGCGGCGTAAGGCAAGTAGTCTATTCTTCAATGAACGTATAAGAAGGTTTAAAGTGGTAGTATTGGTATACTGGGTCTTAGAGTGCACGGATTTATCTGTCCGGGCATTGTACGTGCAGTACATAGTATGAGTTGGAATGGGTAATATATGTAGATCTAGTATACAGCAATTACGGAATAAACAACTCAATGTTCCAAAAGTGTTGAGCACAGCATAGCATAGGGTGGTATAACCAGCAATGTAACTTGCGGTAACGTCAATTTCGGGCCACAGAATAACTGTCGACACTCTCAATGCTCGTTGTTCAGGCGGCTTGTTCAATCCCGTTCGCCGAGGTGCGCAAAATGACTACTATATATGATGAGGTGCTGTGCTTTGCGTTATTAGCATTTCAATTCCCCCGTCACACATGTTCTTGAAGGAAAGGATCACATATCATGTTTCGATGGATTGTTCTACATCTTTGCCATGATCGTCATATGTGAGTGGACTCGCCCTAGGTATGAAACCTCACACGAGCAAGATAAAAGGCTGTTCAAAGCAGTCGTCCCAGCCTTTCTTGCCGGAACTCCAGAACGACATCAGCAAATTGCGCGCCATTAGCGGAACTGAGCTGCCCACATCCCCCGCGCAGTCTTTAATTATATCCGCGATAAAGGCCTTCTCGAAGGCCGTTCCATTAACAGCGCCCACGCCCGCCACAATCAGCGGCCAGAATAAGCAGTTCTTAAATCGTTCGTGCTTGTACCCTTCTTTGAGATCTACGAGAAGACGGCTGTAGTGTGTCTGAGTTGTACGCGAGAGAGCCGCGGTGTCAGGCAGGAGAAGGACATGTTGTAGCGAAAGGATGCAATAGAGCACTACGGCGGATTGATGGATCCTCCCTACAAGGAGCCATTTTGATTGCGTCCGCGCGTTGCCGTTCGTTGCGGCGTAGAGCTCTGGGGAGAAGCTGAGAATCTGACCTAAGAGGGTTTGTGCATCTCTGTTAACCGATATCGAAGGTAAAGTGGAAGCCAAAGATGATGAGGATGATGATGACGACGCCGATGACAATGGTGGTAGTTGTGAAGACGGTGAAGGTACATTATCTATACCCTGTGTTGCGAGAGCTCGTAAATGATTAATTGTGATTAAGTTATAGAGCAGCGGAGGTGGGCAGATTGATCCGACGTAAATATTCCCGGCTTCACCAACGCTTCCCAATATAGCTGGCAGGAAACCGAAATTTTTGGGATGCGAGAGCTCAGTAACCTGGTCATGGCTTGGGCTTGTTGTGTTCGCAAAAATCTCCCCCCTTTTTTTATCGTGCAGAGTTAGCGAGTAGGTCAAGATGTTGGTCTATGATTTGGTTATACGCATTTGCGGTCATACGTGTATACCATGGGGTCTCGCGGTCTTGCAAGATTGCATATTATTATCACTAGGCTCAGAGGGATGAGCAGACTTACATCACCATACTCATTAGGGCATTGTGCATGTGCGGGTATTCTAGCCAGATTTTCCTGGCCCCGCCGCGAATCATCAGCATCTGCATAAGTCCTCGGTAATGAAATCGCCAATTGCTAGAAGGCTTTAATTGCTGCTGTAATCACAGTATCGTTATTAGCATATGGTGTCACCATCATGGTTCAAACAGTAGAGTTGGTAGAGGAAAAGCGTGAGCAAGGTACAGCTTACATCAATCATCATGAGCATCACGACGGCTGTTATTGTGATATCGCTAGCCTGCGTCTTTTCATGTGCAATTTCCTCGTTGAGCTTGTGGACAACTTGAAACGTCCACTACAGGTCTTTAGAGTCAGCATTCACTCGTGTAGGCAGAACGGGATCAGGTCTCGGGAGTTTGTATACTCCTGACACATTCTTGTGGCTTTGACAGGCAACTACTTCGTATAGCCTCCACAGGGGCTAATGTATTAAAAAAAAAAAAGACTCCAGGGGTAGCATACGAACGAGACGGCAGACCACGCTCGGGTCCGCACGCTTTTGTCTACATCTCGCGGAAGTTGGAGTATCTGATGCCCTAATGCTAATAGGATGAAGAGTCCTTGAATATGTGCCGGGAGGGACTGCGCAATCTTCGCTAGCGGTAACGCGGCTTGAGGCCCTTCGTGGAGGAGGGGGAGCGGTGAGCTTCGCTCATATATCCCACAGTTGTCTGTTGTCCATCTCACATATTAGCAATATATGTCCCGGCCCTCAACGTTGTTAGGTATGGGATGCCATAACATAGGAAGCGCTGAAGTGCGAAGAACTTAGGCTGAGAGACTTGCAGATATATGAGGCTTGAACACCTGCGAAGTTCTCGCTTGTTATGTCATATCTCATGATGGCATCTAGTGTCCTGGGCTGCTTTTGGCCAAGAAGGTACAACGTGTGGAATTCCTTCCAAAGTCTATCTTCGCTGGAGCATTTTCCATCTGTCACGAGAGACCTATCTGTCACATCGGCGTTCTTCACGTCGGTATTGTCTGATTTCCTCTTTTTGGTACGGGCAGAAGACCCAGCGTTGGGTCGCCGCCGAGTATGCGCCGTTACCCGTCCCGGTTGAACCCAGCGCAATGGCTGTTTCTCGTCGTAGCCCGGGCATACCAATCCGTGAATCCGGCAGCGGTCGCACACAGGCCGCACGGAATCGCAGACCAACCTGCGTCGGAGACACTCCCAGCAATGTTTCCGAGATGTTTCGGGTTGGGCTGGCTTCGAAACTGTTGCTTCCACCGGATGGGCCATTCCAGTACTTGGTAAGTACTTAACGATTACGGATTGTCCGAATGACTTTCATGCGTCACAGTCAGGAGGCTTCTAGTGATGCTAAAGCAGCCTGATTGATACGTTCAGATTTTAGTATGATGGGCGAATCGAGGGATTAATTCCACAGAAATGCAAGACTTGGCAACTTTGATATTGTGTCCTTGAGCAAAGCAGGAAATGACTTGATCCGAGAGGTGACTTGGCTGCTCTAAGCTTTTACGTCAACTTGTCATTGCACCAGCTCCCATGTTGACGCCTATTGACAGGGGCTGTGATGACGCCAAGCGTCGAACAAATATACGTACGAAGTACAGTAGGATTAGTTAACTCCAAGGACAGTCAATGGCGCGAGGGGGCCTCCAGACGGCTTCTCTGAGAGGCTCGAGAGGCTTGCATCGCCCCGGTCCTGGCTGTGCAGTGGAGCAGCGATGATCACTGCCTCAACGCTTCATGTCATTGGCAGCCCTACGACAACCTACCGAGGCGGTGCAAGAAAAAAAGGGAGAGACTCAACACCTCTGTGTTCAGTGCAGAGTCCCTCACTTTTTTCTTTCACCGACTCGCCTACTTAGAACTTGGTCTTATTGGCAATCATGATACGTGTATCTCTGACAATATGAATGGTGTGACCCTTAAGAACCTTAACTAGTATTCGCTCAGGCCAATCTTGCACAGCCAACCACAAGCAGTCCCGAGATAACACAAACCAGGTTGAAAAAACATCAATAGTGCTCGATATCATGTTGGAATATTATGAATAGCCGCTACGTAGCTACCTAACGCATGGAACACATGAAGCTATTGTTGTTGCAGCAGCTGTTCATGCGCTCTCGTAAAACGGCCAACCTAGATGTGTCCTTCGCCTAACTCCGGGGTATTATCGCAACAGAGCCCTAATCCACTGTGTACTAGATACTTATCTCATAATCCGCAACCGTACAGAAATAGATGAACAAAAAAGAATGGAAGACAAAAATGACTTGTTGTCCAGTCCTCTGCCTGGTACGCTAAAAGGGAGAATCGACGACGTCATCCCTACCGACTTTGTACCGTCCACTCTGCCTCGTGCCTACACGCCCTGAGCCGCGCTTCGGGGTACTCAGTCGTTGAAAGTCACCGGCAATGCTTTCTCGAGTCGGTCGACTCATCTTGTTCTTGCCAACCATGTTTACTTCGTTGGGAAGGGCAACTATGACATTCTGATCGGACCCAAACTTGAAGTCGTCTGCTTTGACGTCCTCGGAGTATCGTTTAATGATGTACGGGGCCTTTGCCCCACGTATAACCTTCTTCAGGTTCCAATCCACAATGTAAGGTCCTGTAGCCGTGATGATGGATGACTCCTCGCTTGTCTGGCTTGTGTTGAACCGAGCTGGCGTGAATGAGACACCTTGTCCCGTCTCGTGGTGAAACTGTGCCACGTGCTCAGGGGTGAGCGTAAGACGGCGCGGCTGAGGTTTGGAGTCAGCGGCGAAAGACTTCTCAAAGCCTAGCTTGCCCTCATTTTTGCCCTCTTTCTGCAGAGCGTCAATTAGGAGCAGATAAGTGCGGCATGTCGCTAGAACCCAGCGGCCGTCTGCGGATACATCTAGGCCAATGATGGGCTCGCCAAGCGCTGGGATATGCGTCTTTGCGTTGATACCGAGACGATCAAATAACCGAATGTCACCCTTGTTGGAAGCTACCGCAATATAGCCTTTCTCTGTAGTGGATAGGGCAGAGAAGTCATTCTTGGACGCATACTGCTTGAGCTGGGAATCGACCAGTTTGGTCCCAGATAGACGTGGATCGACTCGGAACAGTGCATTTTTAGACACACCCAAGAAAGTGGGCTCGTGAGTCATTTGAGCGAATTTGTTTTCAGGAGCAAACTCAAGGACGGGAATGTCGTCGTGCACATTCCACTCATCAACAACCTTGCCGTATTCGAGGTCCATACGGTAAAGTTTGTTGGGGTTGCTATCTTTTTGCAAGATCATATTGCGATCCTCATTGTGTAACATCACTTTTCTAGGGCTGAACAATTCGCCTTTTGGTGTCTCAACTTTGGAGATGTTGGTGGAAAATTCCAAATTATTGTTGGGGTGATGTTTAAAAACGCCAATCTTGGAGCCGCGGACAACAAATGAGCGATCATGCTTGTATCCAACAGCCAGCCCGGTATTAATGTCGTCATCCAGGGGTTGTGTCTCAACATCTTCTTCTTCTTCATCACTGTCGTAATGTTCGCTCCGAGGTCTGTCATCGTCGGTCTCATCGGTCTCGTCCGTTTCGGACGTTTCTGCTTCGTCCTCCTCGGGAGCATCTGCCATCGTCAAGTCCTCAAAGGCATCTAGAACATACTGGCGCTCTCTCTCCTTCACCTTGCCCCATTTCTGTTCGTTGAGCTGCTCCCATAGTGCCTGCATAAGACCTTCCTGAAATCTCGCGAGAGTATCTCGATCCTTAAATCTTAAGAGCCAGGAGTAGGCAGATCCGTCCTCGGTGAATTGGTTGAAAATGAAGGACAAGAATTCAAAGTTAAAGACGGGATTCATCTCAGCTACGACGGAGATGCCCAGCCACTCATGGTCTTTACTGGCGACATGTAACCAGTAGTTCCAATTTCCTATATCTGAGACTTGTGCGGCGACAGACGCATCCCTAAGCATAAAAGACCCAGAAGGGAAATCGAAGAAATGCAATTCGGCTAATTCGTGGGAAAGTACCTCCAAAGGCTCTGGCTGAGGCGGAGCAGTCGGTGGCGGCTTTGGGTGAGACGAGGCATTGACGGATGTACTGGCTTCCTCCTGTGCCTCGCACGATTGTCCACTAGGACCGATATCGACGGTTTCAGCAGCATAGGCAGCATCATCTCTCTTAACACCCATGTTGGCCTCGTTCTTTAATTGGAACATGGCGTCGGCCGATTCGATCGAGCGCGCGAGTGTCGGGCTGTGGATGGGGCTCGCTTGGGGGATAGGTTGTTCATCATCGAATTGGAATTGCTTCAGATCGGCGTCGGAGGCAGTGACATGCGGTCTGCGGTATTTTCGCTCGTACTGGCACTGCCTGGCGATACGCTCAAAGGCCTCAACCTGGGCGGACTGGGCAGATGGGTCGCAGATAAACTCGTAAAGATCGCCGACATCACCGCTTAGGTCCTTCCACGCAAGCACCTTCTCGGAGCGGCTCCGGCTCTCGACGCGGAAACGGATGGCCTCGTCAAGAAGGAATGTCTTTTCATCTCGTTCGGCAGTAAGGGCATCAATCTCAGCGTCCTCACCTTCTTCCTCGGCCAGCAGTTCAGCCTCGCCCTCCTCGTACACGCGCTGGACAACAAGCTGGTATTGAAAGTCCTGGCCGGTTCGGCGGATGCGGATAGCGGCATCCTTGAATATGAGCTCGGAGTATCCTTTGGGGGAGAGCGGTCGAACAAGGTATAGTTGGCCCTGAGGTAGCTCGATCATGGATTCCTGGCTGTTACTACCAAAGAGTAGTTTACCAACTGTAAATATCGTTGTTAGCAAAAGTCAAGGGCACAAAATGGTTCATGGCGTGGAAGACGTAGGGTATCCCACCCATTGGGCCTATGCTTGTGAGGGGCAGGAGAAGCTCACCATTCTTGAGGACAAACATGATGGCTGTTTGCCGATCTGGGTGCCAACAGACGACACGTTGTTGCTGCTGCTATTACTGTTGTAGCTGTCGTTCGTGTTGGCGTTAATAATTTCTTCTCTTTCGTACTTGGCGAGTTCAAGTATCCTCGGTGTATGGGGTGAGTACTTAGGCAAGTATGTTGGTAAGAAGTGGATGTGGGATGATGTAACGCTGAGGGGTGGGTGGTCCCTATGTAGAAGTACTCTGAAGTACCTATCCGGGCACATGCACGTGCGACCACAGGCAGCCGCGGTGATTATGATAGGGATCTGATAGGGGTTGTGCTGGCGTGTTCTGCTGGTGATGGTTGCTTCCACGTAGGTCTGGTGGCTACGGTAGGGCAGATACCGGTAGGGAGGTAGGTGGGTTTGTTTTTGTCTACCTACCTACCTACTTGAACGGTTAAAATCTAAGTATAGGTAGTTCTTTCTACTGGGGCAGACTGGGGCAACCTTTTCTGCAGCAGCCCCTCCTCTGCCCTCCTTTGTTATCCCCGCTCCAGCTCATGCGTCATTTGTACTTGTTCCCTGTTGATTGTGCAGAAATTGGGTGGGGGCCGAGTGGTTACCTACTTAGAGTATGTATCAAGGTAGGTAGGTACCTAAGCTCAGTACGTAGGTAGGCTCCGTAGGCTCATGCAAAGTATAGGTAGTAGATGTATGGACAATGCCAGATCTTCACATATGACTTGTAGAATAGTCACTGTAGTGTTTCACATCCAGAATCTAACGACTCTCATGATAAAGCAATTCTAAATCCTCCTGCTACAAGCAATACCAGCAACAGTACAACCATTATCCTTACGCCAACGCCAACGCCACCCAACAACCTCGCACCGTATCCCACTCAGGGCCACATGCCATCCCACAGGAACAGCCATCCACCCCAGTAATGATCAAACTTGCCGACAATATGTGACAGGCCGTCTCCCTCTGTGCCCGTCTTGTACGGGCGCGTGTACAACCCCCCTGTCTTAAGGTGGCGTTTCATGGCCAGATGCACGGAGAAACTACTGGGCTGGACGCCTACGAAGAACTCGCTCCCCAGCAACACTACATAGTCGATCAGGCCTTGTTGATCCCAGCTGAGGGACTCTAGCTCATCTAGCTCATCATCCGATAGTAGGTCTACCTTGGTAACAACTCTCATCTGCGCCATTTCAATGGCTGCATCGATGAAATTGTCTGCTTCTGTCAAATTCCCAGTTGCGAGGTAGGCCGTCCTATAGCCTCGTTTTTGGGCCTGCCTAAGATAGGCCTCCGACTGCGTGTCGTAGTGTGGCCAGAACCCCAGGGCGTCACTCTCGGTTCGCAGGTGAATGCCAAGAAAAGCGCCATCCTCGGCCCCGTCGGCACGAGCAAACGCGTGCATTTTCTCCAGCGTCTTCTTACCCAGTCGCAAGAACCTGTCATTGAGTTTCAGAATACCACCAAAGGTAGCAGCCATCTCAGGCCCGTCACGGTAGATCTGCCAATCGAACAGCACACCCCAGTTGAAACGGATGAGGCGCGGGTTCTCCTTGGTCGGGGGATGACCGTGCTTCTCGTCTTTCAGCCACCTGCGGAAACTCTGGCCAAAGCGATCGGTGTGTCGGTTCTGATCCATGGACTCACAGCCATCGCGATTTCCGAGATCCTTGGGTGTGATGTTGTTGATCATGGGAGACTCGCCCACGCCAGGGATATCCTTGACGTCATCGTAAAGCGTTACTTGAGGACAACTATTGTTGATGGCATCGCGGAAGTGCTGCTCATCAAACATATAGTCAAAAGGCAAGAAGTCGGTAAATAGATCGGCAAGGTCCTTTTCGCTTCGCTTCCGAATCTTGGGGATAGTTAGACCCGTAGCACCGGCCTCTAGGGCATACCGTATGCATGTTTGAATATAGTTCCTGATATTCCCAATCCCCCCGGAGTTGTTGTCGCAAATGTATACCAGCCCCTCGATCCATGTAGCTTCGTCGCAAACACGCTTCAAGGGCCAGCCGACGAAAGGTGCATCGGGCTGTGACAGGTCGACCTCATTTCCAGGGATTGAAATCAGATGGGGTGGCGATAAAAAGGCCTCGTGTCCCTGTAGAGGGGGCGGGTGTTTTGTCCTTGACGGGGAAGATGAGGATGACGATTCGGAAGGCGGCGGGGATGGGGAAGACGATGATTTCGGCTCGAACCAGTCGATGGAGGAAGGATAGGGACGGGTCTCAGGTGTCCTGAAGGTCCATACTGCGAAGAGAAGGACGATACAGAGCGTCGGGAGAAAGATGTTTCGTCGAGGCATGAAGCCTAGGAGAGAATTCAGATGGCCATGATGTGGCATCACGGAACAAAAGATGAGAAGGAGAATCAGAGGGTAGCACTAGTTGAATGGTTCAAGCGGCGCCGCGCCAAGGGTCAATTTGGGTCTAGCCCAGTAACGACAATGCTTGCAGAGTTCCTGTCGAGCCTGTCACTGTGGATTCGCTAGGAAGCCAAGTCCACAGCTGGTCGTCATTAGTGCTCCGAAACTCAAGGAGGTGCTGCAGGTAGATAAATGATTGATTGATAACTTTCAATGTTTGGGGAGGGAAGTGGGTGCGAACGGATAAGTAAAATCCAAGTAGAAGACAACATTCTACCAAGGGGAATGCGAATCAAGTAGCTACATAGGTACCTGCAAGTAGCCTGAGGTAGGTACATCCCACTAGCAACTTTAAGTGCCCGTTCAACGCTCCGCTCTGTTTAGGTATCTGATCTCTATTTCCTTGCTTTCTTTTATCTCTCCCACCTCTTTCATCTTAGTCATTTTTTTCTTCTTGCCTCACTCGAGCACTCTTACCTGTGACGCTTGTCTGCGAGTTCACTCTTAGGTGGTAACCTGCAGATATAGATGTAGTAAAGATCTTCCTACGTACTTGGGTACTTAAGTAGGTACCTAGGTAGGTATCCAGATAGTGATCGAGTACTGAGTGGCATCGCGGCGCCAGGGCCAAGATGGCTGGCGGGTGACCTCTGCTGTGCGTCTGACTTCGCAAAAGGCTCATATCTGGATGGACATGGACAACAGCACCCCATTGATGGACCACCGGGGGATAGGTGGTAGATGGCGTGTTAACAGGCCCTGTCTTACGCAACACAACCAACACATGATAAAACTCCACTGTCTTGACGGATATTCATATATATTAGAGACATCCTTTCAAGAAGACAGTGCCTCAGCATCGACTTAGAGAGGCCGCAAACGTAAATGTACCATCTAAAACCTTCCAGATTCTGCTCATCTTATTTATGAGTTGTCATACTTTCGCTTAGTTTAACACCCAGACGGTGCTGCTATGGTATGTCTCAGGGTACACGAGACACAGATTCCATTTCACTACTAATGTATAGAGATTTGGCGAATGAGTAGTTGCCGATCTTCGTCGGGGCCCGTCACTCAAGTCCCGGTGGATAGCCGAAGATCGAGACGACACGCACTAGGTAGACAATAACGCGTATCACAGCTATTTGAATCAATACGCTATAGGTGGTATAAGAAAGTAAGCGCTATTCGATTCGTGTCACGGTTTCTACGACGGATTCATCAGTAGTTCAAGAGTACCTTGTATCATGGTCCATATATCTCAACCGTTGGCGAGATAGTTAACATTCTTGACAGCCTCAGAACCCAAGGGACTTAAGGTCTTTCAAGAAGGTCATTGTAATGAGGCATCTTCCATCAATTCTAATTATCAGACTGTGCGACAATTGAAAGAAACCTCGCGCTGTCGGAAAGCCGCGGGCCCCAACTCTTTATGCTTTGGCAATCCAACCCGAATTGATGAAGAAATCAAATATCCTGCCTCCCTTTTGGGAATCTAGCCGGCATATCTCCTTCACCTGTTTCTTTTTAAGACTACCATTGCCCTTGAGTGCTTCCTTCAGCACTTGTTCCTTGATCATAAGGTAGGGCTTCGGTTGAATCCTGGATACCTTACACAGCTCTACCTCTTCTGGCGTCAAGAGGTGCATGTCAGGCGCGCTATCCTCGCTGAGAGTGAGGAGTTGTACGCCAGATATAGGCTGCGAGACAAACCGCGGTCGGGTGTGCGTGGAGATGCCGTTGGCGACAATGCCATTCATTGTGGGTTCATTGGCATGGCCATCTGTCTGTAGCCTGGGTTCGCCATTCGTAGGAGCATCGGGAGCACCGTGCGTAGCTGCCACAGTGCTGTTTGGCCCCGGACGGAATGGAAGCTCTGGCGCCACGAGGAGGGCAGCCCCGCTCGGCGGTTCAGGCTGCACGCTCTGTTTAGAACGTTGTGCAGACGCCAGTCTTTCGCGGTCCATGGATCCCATGGGTATTGTTTTTTGTATACGCTGCGCCTTCTCCTGCTCGTACTTCTCGCCGCTACGAAGATCGCCAATCTTGAGGTTTCTCCACTCTTGTAACTGATTGATGGCTTGGCGTAAATTCAGTTCATCAAGTAGCCCTTGACACAATGCCTCAAAATCATGATGATTCATCATGCGCGCAAACGGCTTGGCTTTGTTCAGTAGATCCCGCTCTTCCTTAGTTCTCTTCTTCTCGAGCCTCGTGTTTTCCCTATACTCGAGTAGGTTATGTTCGAAAATGACCTTTTTGCGATCCACGCGCTGTGTTAATCGACAGTTATATATGTCCATGACCGTCAGTTTCAGTTCCATTTCAGGCTCTAGTTCGCCCGTTCGAGGATTGATTCCGTCACCGGGATCAAATTGCATTAGCTGGACAGCTTCCTCAGCTTCGTTGGCGTATTCAGTTTCAAACTCGAGACGACCAGGCATATAACCTTGAATTTCATGACATGAGGGTACACTAGCTGTGGGTTTGGTCTTGGGCGGTAAAGGAGGAGCATTCTTCTGTGTTTCGCGTCGTTCTTCGATCCTGCGTTTCTTGCGTGCCTGGAATTGGTCGCGAGATATCTCTTGGGCTAACTCCATATCATCGGGCCGGCAGCGTTTTGGCAATGGGAAACATGGCGAATCGACATAGACTTTGAGATAATGATCACGAACCTCATCCTTGTGGCGGTAGCCGCCAATATGATCTGCAATATCGGCCCAAGAACCTAAACCGTAAATCTCGCAGCCTTCTAACAGTAGAAGTTCTTCGTCCGCACCCCAATCTTCATCAAATATGGGGATCGAATTCTGTTCGATAACTCGGTAAGGATGAGTGGCAGGTTGGTGCGAACCACTCGAGGCACCGCTTGCGAAGCATTGTACGCATAAGTCATACTCATTACAGGCGCTATGGGCACACCTTATGCGAACCTAAAACGCAACTTAATAAACTCCACTGAATGATAGCTTGCAGTCAATGCACATCTGATGCACGCAGGATAAAGTATAGAACATAGAGGAGGAGGGTGAAGAAGTGCGAGATACAGGAAATGTTGGCATCAGTTAGCCCTGAAGGAACCCGAAGCATCGGTGGAGAATGAAACAGTGAAGGACATACAGTAGAAGTAATATCCGCAGAACACACATCACAAACATACTTCACACCGCCCTCGCCGCCCCTCGTGGCGGTCTTCTTGCGAATAACGCCCATGTCCGCATCCAGGGCGACGGCGAATATCCCGAGGCAGGATGGGGGGACGGGGCAAGGAGGAGGCTGCAAGCGACACTAATGAGCGAAAGTGTCGATACCAATGAAATTATCTGGAGATCTGGTGTCGCGCTAGCCCGGTCGGTCTGGGTTGATGAAAGCTAGATATATGAAGGAGGATAGATGGGCTTGTTGATGGATTGGTGATGGTGATGATGTCGGGGAGCAATGAGATGGGAGGCTTGATTGTTGGTAACAAGGAGGCTGGCTTACCTAAGCTAGTAGGCACCTAATGCGCAGCGCGAAAATGTTACCCACATGCCATGTGCATGTAGGTAGGTACATAAGTACCTAAGATAGGTAGGTATCATGAGAGGGCCCAACCAGCCCGCTATTCTTTTATACCCTTGTAGCCCTTTTACCCCTTAAGTACAGTACCTAGGTAGGTAGAGTACCCACTACATGTATGTACCTAGGTAGTCTCCTACAGTAGACGCGGGGTTCTGAGCACTTTTTGCGGGGTACCTGATCCTCTCAATCCTCGTGAAAGGGCCGAATGGAAAGTCATGATATATCAAGTAGTAGTAGGGAGCCTCAAGGGATAACCCGTCTTTTCGCCCTTTCTTGTCACCTGCGCGTTTGTAGAATTCTTCAGGAAAAGTCACAATATTAATGTTTAATGGCTGTACTCTTAGCTGAAGCTTTTCATAACAAATCTTAAAAACCTTGATACCTGCCCAGGTGGGTTCAAACTTGTCAGAGATGCCTGACAAAATACTCGACGATATTTCTCATAGGCGATATAATCCCCTACGCGGATCATGGCTTCTTGTGTCGCCTCATCGAACCAAACGTCCTTGGCAGTAAGTCTATCCGCCGAGGGCCCTTGAACGAGAAACCCATCGTACCGTGTCTAATACAGTTCCGTCCAGAGGTCAGCAGGAGGGCCCTGGAATCAACAAGCTGCCTGAATATGACCCCAAGGTACGCTTCATTACTTGATACCGCTGTGGCACCCATGCTCACTAGATTTTTCCAGTGCTATTTGTGCCCCCGCAACCCAAGAGCGCAAGGCGACACCAACCCAGACTATAAAGATACCTTCGTGTTTGTGAACGACTACAGCGCCGTCAAGGAGGAGCAGCAGGACTACGAGCCGGAGTCCAAGTCCGCAAGCGACGGTGAGCTTGCTCTATGGAATCAATTTTCAGTTGCTTGCCTTTGCTTTGCTCGGCTCCAATTTCCCCTTGTTCTAACCATTAGTAGATCTCTCTTCAATTTTGCTTCGCGCCGAAGGTGTAAAGGGAAAATGCTTTGTCCTTACATTTTCCCCAAAACATCACCTTACACTTGCGGATATGTCTGCAGAAGAAACTCTTCCCATCATCCAGACATGGACGCGCATTTATGCTGCCCACCTCGCACCGACCAATCCACTCGCCCAGATTGCAGCTAATCTGGACTTGATGCGCACCGAGTCAGCGCCCGAAAGCCTAGTAGTCCCTGTGCCGACACAACAGTTACGATACATGCAGATTTTCGAGAATAAAGGTGCTGCTATGGGATGCTCGAATCCCCACCCCCATTGTCAGATTTGGACAACGAGCACTCTACCCGAGGAGCCGGCTGCAGAAGCTGTTCAAATGGCCAGATATCGAGCCGAGCATGGTGGCCGCCATCTTCTACAAGATTATGTGAACTTGGAGATGGAGAAGAAGGAGCGTATCGTATATCAAAACGCCTCCTTTCTCGTAGTTTGTCCGTGGTGGGCTATATGGCCGTTCGAGGTCATGATAATAGCCAAACGCCACGTTCGCGCTCTCGTCGATCTTACAGAGCGGGAACGATTCTACTTGGCCGAAACGATTCAAGAGGTCACGAGGCGATATGATAATCTCTTCGAAACAAGTTTTCCGTACAGCTCTGGAATTCACCAGGCGCCCCTTGCGGGGACTGACGAGGAGATCGAGAACAGCTATTTCCATATGCATTTCTATCCACCACTCCTGCGTTCAGCCACAGTGCGCAAATTCCTTGTGGGATATGAACTAATGGCTGAGCCTCAACGGGACATCACTCCGGAACAAGCCGCTGCCCGTTTAAGAGAGTGCGCGGGTGAACTATATAGGAGAAAGCTAAAATGAACCTGACTACAAGATTATATATTATTGTACACATAGTACGAGCACTCGTCGAGTTCATCTCTCAGTTTACATCCCACACCCTCCCAGTCTGCTTAGACATGTCCGTCTCCACATTCCTGAACTTCCACACTACATCTGCACGTAGAAGCCGTACTGAGAAACCATCCAAGTAATACCAACAGTTGCGAAGAAGAAAGGAAACAAAATGGGAGGGCCCAGATATGCCGAGCGATATACAGCCCATTCGGACGCGAAGTGGAAGAGGGCGACAACGTAAGTCCAGATAGCCATTTGGTATACAGGTGCGAGATGGAGGTTGTAGCTTGCATAGATGCGGACAACGGCAGCTAGGAATGTATAGGTACCGAATAATCTTGCAGCTAGAGGTGTGACCTGGTCGGTGGTGCGACCGTCTTTAGTGTTCGTGGTCGAAGCGGGGGTTACTTTATCAATTGAATCATCCGGGTCGAAGCGGGCAGACTTGGGCGGCAGAGAGGCATTCGGCACAAATTGCCCATTATAAAGGCGGCGGGAGTAATGCAAAGTGAGATAATTTTGCAATGAATTGCCGACGGAGATGACTGAGAGCTGTGAGAAGTGAGCGGATCAGTGGGAGGCTGGGATACGATAGGTACGCGTTTCTCAAGATAAGTTGCGCAGACGTCATTGAGAGCTTACCCCAAACATATAATAGGGCAAATATCCAGGCCCTGGAGGCAGGTAGGGTTTGAGGGCTCCTAAAATCGCCTCCATATCTGAAGACTTTCGGTTATGAAGATTGAGGGCTCTCAGTTTGCTAACTGCAAAATGTGTGTGGTACAACTATGTGTTACGAGATCTTGAGAAGAGGCTACATACAGGAATGTGTACCTACTAGGTAGGTAGGTAGGTAGGTAGGTACCAGTATTACGAAAGATGTACATCCACCCCTGTCCGCTTCGATCCATTCTTGTTGGGTCCCCAGGCTCGGCAGGCTTCAGCGGTGAAAGAAAAAGGCGTCACACCGCGCCGCCCCTCTTACACCACCTATTCAACCACCTATTGAACCACCAATTTGAAGCTTTTCCAATATGACTCGCCCGTCTACTCCTTTGCGAAGCCAATCGAAACATGTCGATGCACCTAAAAGAACGGAGCTTTTAACGTTAAAGAAGTTCCGGGACGCGAATAACCTTCCGTACACTAACGAAGACCTATTCAAATACGTTGGAATTAACCGCCGTACGGGCTATCGTATATTTAAAGACCAACTGCGACGATTTCACGAAACAGATTACCGTGAGACTCGCGGCCGCCGGCCGGCGTTAACGGACGACCAGGTCAACCAATTAGTCGGGGTTTTGAAGGCTGGAGGCTACGAAGGGCGTGCGCTACCTTGGGCAAACCTTTGCGATGCCGCCGGCCTTGAATTTCCAACCCAATCCGAACCGCCCACGACCTTTACAATACGGAAACACCTTAATAAACGTGGTTGGAAAAAGTGCGTTGCATGTAGCAAATTCTGGGTCGATTATAATATAGCCTTTCTTCGCGAAGCCTTCGCCCGCGAGGCCTTAGCTGATCACGGGCTAGACCTCGCGTATTGGCGCCGTATTCGTTATTCCGATGAAGTCCATTTCAAATTCGGACCCGAAGGCAAAGTCAACATAGTCCCGCAAGCCAGTGAGCGGTATTGTACCGACTGCATTCACCATCGTCAAAGTCCTGCAGAAATCTGCCTTTCAGCTTGGGCCGCAATTGGCTGGAATTTCAAAAGCCAGCTTATATGGTATACGGTTAACAACGGCAACAGTGCTATTACACTACAGGCCTACCGGGACCAAATTTTAGAACCCGTAGTTAAGAAATGGATCGATGAAGGTCACGACTTTATCCTGGAGGAAGACGGCGCTTCCGGCCATGGCGGAAATTCCGATAATAATATTGTACGGCAGTGGAAGGAGAAAAACGGCTTAAAATACTTTTTCAACTGCCCTGGTGCCTTTGACCTAACCCCTATTGAAAGCACCTGGCGTGCGTCGAAAGGTCAAGAGAAACGGCACGCAATTCGGGAAGTGGAGGCCCTTCGTACAGCTGCAGAGGAAGGTTGGGAAAAGGTATCGCAAGGCACAATTAATAAATGGGCCGAGGCAATGCCAGAACGGCTATTAGCTGTAATTAGTGCTCAGGGTCAATAAGCTGGCGCCTGAACTTCTGAATACCTAGGTAGCTTCAAAAGACAAGGGGGTAAAGTAGGTGAACTGGTGTGGCTGCTTTTGCTTTCACAGCCTCGCCAGATTCATTCAATGACCTCATCCCTGGAGCTCTCGAAAGGTACTGATAGAGAGTGGACGGCTGTAGCCAATGCTTTATTGAAGAGTTTTATTGAATATCTCGACCAGTGAGTGCTGTAGCCAGCTAAAGAAGTGGGTAGGGCCCCAAACCAGCCTGCTATTCTCTTATACCCTTGCAGCCTGTTTGCACCCTTACTTACACTAGGTACCTACTTAAGATACATTAGGTACCTGGCTGGTATGTACATAGTATAGGTATTTTTGTACTTGCTTCATTCAACAAAAACTTCAGGTGCCCACTCGCCTGAGTATGTACATAGTGCTTCTCAAGCGTTTCTCGCCCCTCTGAGACCTAAGACCTATCCATAGCACAATTGGCAATTGCTCGTTTCGAATAAACCGACATCTGCCACGATCATACCGCAATCGCTCTGTGCGGTGTATTGTGGGTAGCGAGACAAGACGGGTATGCATGCAATTCACAGTGTCATGGCCGCCGTGCCACAGACTGCTCAGCTTGCCCTCGCAAGTCTGGGAGGTCTGTGGCTAGGCTTCAAAGTCCTGAGCCTGCTGCGGCTTTTCTTCAGTATGTTCGTACTTAGCGGCACTAACGTGAGTCTACACCGGAAACGAATACGCAATCATAATTATCTACGTTGAAGCTGGTGCTGACCCTATCCGCCCACTTGCAGCTCCGAAAATATGGCGGCAAAGGAACATGGGCTGTCGTTACCGGTGCATCTGATGGTCTGGGCAAGGAGTTTGCGACTCAGCTTGCTGGCAAGGGTTTTAATGTGCTTCTCGTATCTCGAACGCTGTCCAAGCTCGAAACATTCCAGACCGAGCTCCAAACCAAATATCCGAGTCAGCAGACCGACATTCTCGCGATGGACTTCGCAGCACTTGACAACGAGGCCGATTACGCCCGTCTCGCAACCCGTATCGCTAGCCTCGATGTTGGCATTCTGATCAACAATGTGGGCCAGAGCCATAGCATTCCTGTTGCCTTCACGCTTACCGACAACACCGAGATGGAGAACATTATCAATATCAATTGCAGGGGAACTTTGAAAGTGACGCGGATCGTGGCTCCAGGCATGCAGAAGCGACGACGCGGCCTCATTCTTACCATGGGTAGCTTTGGCGGCTGGATGCCCATGCCCATGCTCGCCACATACTCGGGGAGCAAGGCTTTCCTTCAGTTCTGGTCGACTGCGCTAGCAGCCGAGCTCAAACCAGACAATGTAGACGTGCAGTTGGTTCTGAGCTACCTTGTTACGACGGCGATGAGCAAGGTGCGTCGCCCTAGCTTGTTCATCCCGAGCCCAAAGCCTTTTGTTCGTGCGGCGTTAGGCAAGGTGGGCGTGGGCGGCTGGCATAGCATGGCTTACACATATACGCCACACTGGACTCATGCACTCATGGCTTGGTTTGTTGAGAACACGATCGGCATTGGTAGCTCTATAGGCCTCAGGGTCAACCGATCATCACACATTGACATCCGCAACCGAGCGTTGAGAAAAGCGGCACGGGAAGCTAAGAAGAACTAGAGAGTAACCCGACGTCTGCTGAAATATTGCGATAGTGCCAAAGTGGCATCAGCGTTGACTTTTGCATTTCATCAACGTCAATCTTGAAGGACTGGTTAAACCTCTCGATGGCAATTCGGTTCAGAAGTTGTGTCGCTGTTAGTATCACGGAGGCAATTAATTAATAGGTAGGATATAGAAAAATAGATCGGGAGAATACATGTTTAAGGTGCGCGTTGCTAGACAACTAGCTTTCATGATAGTTAGGGGTGGGTTATTGTGCACAACTCCACATTATTTCCTTTGTGAACTCGAACTGCCCTATGCGTGATTATTCTTCATAGAAATTCATGTCTTACGAGAACAGCCGTCGGCTGTGCCTGTTTATAATGTTATATTCATGTCGAGGCGATCGCCGCATGGTACTTGAACATGAATACCTACATACCTACTTCCTACATATGAGGCAATATCCTCCTGTGTAGGCTTCAAGCATGGAGACTGGAACGATTAATACAATTCAATATGAAGAGAGAATGGACGGCCGTAGCCAATACGCTTTATTAAATATCTCGACCAGCAAGTGCTGTAGCCAGCTACATAGCAAAAAAGTGAAGGTGTAGGTGGGTAGGGATGCTATGCCTTTATACCCTTATATACGTAGTATATTTGCACCCCCTACAATACCTTAGGTACCTATTCACAGCAAGCTTAGCAGATAGGTATCTAATACCTGGCAAACTTAGCTAGGAAGAGGCACCTACCTATCACTTAATGAGTGGCGTATCCTACCCGAGTACCTTCCAAGGTAAGCTAGGTAACCCTTGTACCTACTGCTGCACATAGGTAGCTCGACACGGTGCCAGCATTGGCGCGCGCAGCCTAGCAAAAATATCCCAAAAAAAAACCAGCCTCTTTGTATCTTCTTGCTTGGACTGTTGTGTGTTGACATTGGCCTGGACCACTGTTACACGTACTGATACTCGGACAATTGCGCGCACCATCACGAAGCTGCTACAAGGCGCGCAGTCTACAATTCAAACTCGGCCGCCCTTTCTTTCCTGGTTGCCCTACCACAAGCGCGACCACAAGTGCGACCACGGCGTCCCTCTTGACGCGTCTCTTGTTTGTCATCGACCTAGCTTCATCCTAGCTACCAGCCAAGCTTCTCCAGTCCCATTGATGATCCGATAGCATCCTTCTCTGGTTCAGCTGCCGCTTCGGCTTGCTTCCCCCTCGATGCGACATCCTCTTCACATCTCATCTCAGGGGCACTCGTTGATGCTTTAAAGTCAGGACGGGTTATATCCCCAGCCTCGTGCCTCACCGCTGCCATTGCCATCTGCCCACAGTCGTGCGCCATGTCCTTCCCTCAAACGCCAGGGCCAGCTCTACCAGGTGCCTTCCTCAACACTCCCGCTGTCGCATCACGCTTCAACACCAACACTCAGCAAGACCCCGTTCGTCGTCGTCTCTTCCCTCAGCCTGGATCGCGCCCAGACATTGGCGCTATTGATAATCATGCGAGCTTTGGTGCTAATCCTGGCTCCATTGTCAGCCAGAACGCTAATGACGACGACTCTTTGACACGAAGCTCGCAGCCGCCCGCATCACCCCTATCTCCACTTGCAAAGGCCGCCGGCTTCATAAATGATGCGCTGACGATAGATGAATGCTATCCCGAGCTGGATAGATATTGCAGGCGTAAGTTCCCCTAAGCCCTTCACGCAAGAGTCGCTTTGGCTATCATGCCGTACCTCTGGGCCTTTACTGATTCTATCTCAGAAATATCCTCCGAATACAATCTAACAACTATCGACTCTCCATGGGCCCCGTTCCAGCAGACTCACCACTTCCAAATTCCACAGTCAGTTTTCGAACAGTATGACCGTGCCGAAGTCGCCACTTCAATGGGGCTGTTCGCCGAGCTCAACCACGCCTGGGTCGCCATTGATAATTGCTTATACCTATGGGATTACACGCATCCTAACCCTGAGCTCGTTGGGTACGAGGATAGTCAGCATACCATTACTGCTGTGAAACTCGTTGCGCCGAAACCAGGCGTGTTTAATAGCGTCATTAGCCACATTTTGGTCGTTGCCACAGTGCAGGAGATGGTCTTAATCGGTATTGCGGCCAGCGAAACTGCCACAGGCTCTACGAGTATACAGTTATACGGCACCAAGATGTCACTACCGTTGCGCGGCGATACGCACCTAATTACAGGTTCTGCAACCGGACGTATCTTCTTTGCAAGCCAGACTGACACGGACATATGTGAGCTGTACTACCAACAAGAGGAAAAATGGTTCTCCAGTAGGACTGGAAAGATCAATCATTCGTATCCGGGTTGGAGTGCCGTGGTGCCTAATCCCATGCAATGGCGCAAGACTCATGCCGAGCATACTGTTGATCTGGTGGTAGATGACAGCAGGAATCTGCTTTATTCACTCTCCAATACGTCCACGGTTCGAACTTATTACATCGAGGCGCCCGACAAGTTGACCAAGGTAATCGAGAAGACCAAGAACGATTTCTTGCGCGATATTGCTCACGCCTTAAGCGTCGGGTCTCCTCTACTCGGCGAGCACATGGAGATTGTGTCGATCTGTCCTGTGTCTGCCACGGAGGATAATAAGGTACATCTTATGGCCGTAACCAATACGGGTTGCCGCTTATTCATGAGTGCTACTAGCGCATCATCCTACATGCCGGGGTCTTCAAATCAAGCCCCTCAGAGTATGCAACTACAATCAATCAAATTCCCCCCTCCCGAGAATGGCCAACGGAGATTCAAAACAGATCCGTTCAACGGCCCGGGCGAAGTTCGTAATGTCCAGTCCAGGGCGCTCGAGCCCAGTCGCCGTGGAGTCCGGTTTCCACCTGGTTATTTCTTAGACTTTGTCCGTATGGCAGATCGCCCTGATATTGACCAGGTATTCATATCGGCTCCTGATAGTGGTCGTATCAAGAACGGCAGTCGAACACAGGCTCTCAAATACTATGAGCACGCCAGCTGGATAGACATTAACAGTAGGGCTGAAGATATTGGTCTCATCACCAAACCATTTGCCGCGACAAATCAACCAATGGGCTTTGGAAATGAACTTGCAGTCCAATTCGACAATCCAGATGGGGGCGAGTTTGCAATTCTTACCAACACAGGTGTATATATTATGCGACGTAGGAGATTCATCGACATTTTTGCCTCAGTTATCAGGAGCACGGCTGGTGATGAAGGATTGAAGACAGAGGTAAACAGGTTCCAGAGTTCCTACGGCCGCGTCGAAACTATTACAGCCGCACTTGCTGTAGCTTGTCGTCAGGGCGACAGCGGCCGCTTTGGTGTTGGGCGTAGCGCCATTGATCAAGCCACACTAGATCGCGCGAGACAGGTATTCATCAACTTTGGTGGCAATCCTACCCTACCCGAACAAGACGGACAACCTGCAACAGTCGAAATGGTTCGCCCATCGTCACGTCACGGTGCTATCGCACTGTACCTCAGCCGATTAGTTCGGTCTTTATGGAGATCGAGAGTTGTCTTAGTCGGCTCTAATGAGGCAGGCGGATTAGTCGTGAAAAGTGCGATTCCCCAGCCCAAACTAAGAGACGTACAAGATAGCGTTATTGCGTTGAGAGGGTTTCTCAGTGATAATCGCTCATTTATCCAAGGCCTCTCGGGTGCTTCAGACTTGCAACGAGCAGCAAGCAAGCAGGAAGAGGTTGCTTTGCAAGGGGAGCACCAAGCTATGCACGCCGTGGAAGTTCTTATGACAGACATAACAGAGGGCATCTCATTTGTCATGACACTATTCGAAGAAAGAGTTTCCGACATATATGCAAGGTTGGAAGGCACATCGCAAGAAAGTCTTAAGAAGCTTACCTATGAGTGCCTCTTCTCACAGACACCAGGGAAGGAATTGGCTAAAGTGCTGGTAAAGGCGATTGTGAACAGAAACATCGAAAACGGATCCAATGTAGAGACTGTAGCAGATGCACTACGGCGAAAATGCGGCAGCTTCTGCAGTGCTGATGATGTGGTAGTCTTCAAGGCCCAAGAGCAGCTTAAAAGAGCTTCAGAACCCTCTTTGAACGCCAACGTATCACGCACTCTTCTGCATGAAAGTCTAAAGCATTTCCAGAAAGTCGCAGGCAGTCTCTCACAGGCCAATCTTGAGTCAGCTATCAAGCAATACATTCAGCTTCGATACTATGCCGGCGCTATCCAACTCTGTTTGACTGTTGCTGATATGAAAGATCGAGGAAAATCGGCGTTATACTGGGTCAATGATGGAAAGCCTGCTGGTGACCCTAGAGCGAGTGCGTTTGATCAACGTAGGGTCTGTTATGATCTCATTCACCAGGTGCTTCTCGATCTAGATGCTGCATCAAGTAGGGAGCCTGAGGTGGTCGACAACAAGCCGACTCTCATTGCAACTAAACGCGCCGAAGCCTACGACGTCGTGAACAATTCTACTGATGAAGTTTTTCACGTGGATCTCTACGATTGGTATATAGAGCAAGGTTGGACGGAGCGTCTGCTTGCGATCGACTCTCCATACGTCACTGCGTTTCTTCGCCGGCTAGCCTCCAAAGATGTCATACACGCCGAGCTTCTTTGTCGCTTCTATACGATGCGTACAAACTATTTCGGTGCTGCTCAAGTACAATCTGACCTTGCGCAGTCCGATTTCTCTCTATCTATCAAAGACCGTCTCCAACTACTAAGCAAGGCGAAGACCAATGCAAGCGTAATGACAGCTGGTGTCAGCCGCCAGGAACAGCAACTTCTCAACCACGATGTTACGGAACTTTTAGATGTTGCAAACATCCAAGATGATCTGCTGGAACGCTTAAAGTCGGATACTAGGATCCCTCCCGAGCGACAACCAGAGATTCAGAAAGCTTTGGACGGCAAGATCCAACCTTTGTCTGATGTAAGTTTATCTATGCTGAGGTCGAGTTGAAACACCATTTTAGAAATCCCCGATCGCTAATCTATGGGTAGCTCTTCAATCTATATGCTGACCAGGCTGGGTACTATGACCTATGCCTCATCATTTACCATGTAGCGGACTTCCATAATCCAACCACAATTGCGCAGACTTGGACAAGCCTGATTCAACAGACGCATGATGAGGTAGTTGACCAATTGGCGGCATTTCAGGAGGAAACGCATAGAACGGGTGTAGCGCCAGGAGACCCCCCACCACAACCATACGAATCCCTAGTCGGCAAAATCGAGGAGATCTGCCACCGTTCCAGCAAAGACTCATTTATATTTCCAGTAGCTTCCCTCATGCCAGATATATGCCGTTATGCGGTAGAAAATGCTCAGGACAACCGGATAGGCGCTGATGTGAATTGGCCCGTTGATCTCTTTCTTCATCTCGCTGTTAGCCACGACCTAGTAGTCCGGGTCCTTGAAACCATGTTTGAGGCACAGGAGATACCGTTTCGTGGCTCTGCGCGAGCGAGACTGGTGGAATGGATATGCCATGCTGTGAGCCAGTGGATTCGTGAACTCGGCAGACAGGGTCGGCCTGATGTGAGACTAGAACCTTGGGTGGGCGACTTGATGGCAGAATGTGATAACTGGGCGTCTGCAAATGTACGAGGGGTTAACGAGGGAGGCAAGGACCCTCGGGATATCGCGAGAGAGGTAAAGGATGTGAGAAGGGCAGTGGATGGATTAGTCATAGCCCCCGTGGGCAGCCGGAGTATCGGATTCTTCTAGATCAGCCAAGCACAATGCATAATAACCAGGCTAACACGCGACCATGAGAACGAGAGGCATCTATCGTCATTTTTGGTGCGTACCGTGGGCCCTGGATGAAGGGGCTTGGCTTTAGACAGAGATGTATGTATAACTCTCATCTCAGAGCAAAGGATCGTGGGTAATTAAAGACTATTTGGCAGGAATATCGCAATATACCATACAATCCCTCTTACGGTACTTACATCCTGTGACTCGAGCTCTTACCCCTGGCTACAATCGAAGTGACCTGTGTGTAATCGTCAGTCTACCTAAACTACAGGGAAGTAATTATGAAGGTGAAGAAGAGAGAGGTTCACTGGGATAGCTAAAGGTACCTAATGGTACCCAGTCGGTACCCCAGTCCCATACCAAGCTAGTTGCACCTTTGCCTAATTCGGGTTAGATCTTCCTCTTACAGCTGTTGCCAGTGGCCCAAGTTCGTTTTTCTGCCTGTCTCCGTGCGTGGGTGCGCGACAGGTCAGTCGATGTCACTGTCGTAGCATCGCATTGCGCACTGCCAGGAGCACACGCGAACATCCGAGGCCTGTGGCTCTCGGATACTACCGCAGTGGCAATGACTGTATTCACTAGACATGTGGCTCGCTTCAAATTGCCCACCGGGTCGGGTCGTCGAACCAGACAAATCTTACATGTACCCCAGATGACGCGCCGTGTTTGGCCCCCACTCCAACCGGCCTTCTCTTCCACCTCGCGCGCTTTCCGGGAGTCGGCACCCATCTCTGGCTCTGAGTCGCCCCCAAAGCCTGGGGATGCTCCACAGTCTCTCTTCAACAAGGCGATAGAGTCTGCCGTTACCACGTTTGCGTCGGTGCTGGTGCTCGGCGTGGGGTTTGCTGCCGCCGGCTATGTCTACCACAAGGCCTACAAGCATATGCAGCTAGCTAAGATGGAGAACGCCTTTAAGCCTGGCGATCCGGTCTTGGAGCTGGCCGCCTTTGGAAAGGAGATACCTTCTCCACCTATGCCCCAGCATTGGGTACAGCGTGAAGAGCAAAGTAAGATCGATGCCATCATTGACGGATCAGAAAGGGGCCACTACTATCTTATTATGGGTGACAAGGGCTGTGGCAAAAGCAGTATGCTGCTAGAAGGCATGCGAAAGATAGAGGGCGAAGGCTGCGCTATGTTCGAAGCTCATTCTGACCTAGAATTGTTCCGGATACGACTCGGTAAGGCTCTTGACTACGAATTTCATGAAGACTACATCGGCGGCTACTTCAGCGAGCGGGGACCGCGGGATACCACCGCCCTTCTCGATATTGAGCGCGCCATGAACAAGCTGGAAAAAGTCGCTCTCCGGCATCGCGAGAGGAAGAAAAAACCTCTCATCATCATTATAAACCAGACCCAGCTGATTCGCGATGACGAGGACGGGCGGGATCTCCTTGAACTCCTCCAGCAAAGGGCGGAGCAGTGGGCCGCTGCGAACCTTGTCACAATGATTTTTAATACAGACGACTACTGGGTGTTTGAGCGCTTCAAACAGCTAGCAACCAGAATGGAAATCATTCCTGTGATGGACTTGCCCAAGCAACAAGCACTATCGGCATTGCAGCGGTATCGATTCCGCTATTTCAAGGAGATACTCGATAACCAGATTCTGGAAGATGTTTATGACCGTGTCGGTGGGCGCCTTTCGTTTTTGAACCGGGTCGCAAAGTCCCGAGATATGCTAGGCACGTGCGACAGTATAATGGAAACCGAAAAGACGTGGTTCCTAAACCAATGCTGGATCCTGGGCTCCGAAATGGACGATGATGTGATGGATCAGCAAAAATGGGCTGTAAGTTCACCTTCTTCCCAACCTAGGCTATCAAAGGCACCCTGCTTACGAACAAAACACAGTCAGCGGCGATGGTACTCGCACAAGCGCTTGTAGACAAGGAGGAGGAGATGGATAAGACATACGATGCTGAAACTGGACATGTCCTCCCGAGCTACGCAATGCATAAAGCCCAGCAGATCATGACCAGATCTGATTTCATCCGAGAACTCGATCGATTAAACCTCTTCACCATTACCAGTTCAGCGCAGGTTCGCGCTAGCTCTGTGCCGATGCATCGAGCTTTCAAGGAGATCTGTGCCGAGCCCGGCTTCCGGCAATATCTTACGGATACGTTAGATCGAATCGCGGATATTGAAAGCTTGGGCCGCACACGAGAACTGGTAGCCAAGGATCTCGTATTAGGTGGTATGTATAATGTCTCCAAGGCCCCAGGTGTAAGCGGCAAATTTGAAGTCAAGTTGGAGCAAAAAGGAGAAGAACATGAAGGCGAGACTTAAGATGTTGAGATTCGACGAACGAAGGTTGTATCGATTATCTAATGTGCTGATGACCAGCATGCTCTCGTTTGTATGTATTCATATGCTGTACAAATCGTCTCCATACCGACTGTACATTATTGTGTGAGTTTAAGCGATACAAGCGAGGCTTTGGAAGATATAGATGGTCAGGGCTGCCTTCTCAGGCTGTTTTCGGATAGATAAGAAACTGAAATTTTATATATTATATTATGCCATCACAAGTGAAGCTCTCTTGGTATGCGACAACCTGGCCTATTATAGATCTTCTCGACTCAGCGGCGCAACTTGGAAATAGATATCTGAAAGTGTTCAAACCATACCTAGGTAGAGACGGCCTCCAGTCCCTCCCATGCAAATAGGAGCGTTACATGTCATTTCCCTTCCCACAAGTAATTTTTCATAAGATGTCTTTAGCTGCATATGTTGAGCCTTATAATTCACTGTTAACAAATCGCAGCGTTCATTGCTGTGAACCGAATTAGATGCCGGGCAATCATAAAACATCTAAGTAAGTGTCCGTTGAGCCTTTAGCTTCACCTAGATATATACCAACCACGCTAAATATGTTCTCATTGAACGTAGAGTCTCACGAACTATCTTACTGGTGGCTTCGTCCTCTAGTTTGTACAGCTCAGCGTAAAATGCGCGGCCAGTACCTGCTGTGAATGTGGGGTAAGCAGCCTTTTGAAGAAACATCATCCATATGGACTTGTAGTAATAATATATGCCTATAACGTGATGTCATGTTGATTCGTGTGGCACCCCGCACGAAGGGCGACCTTCTCTTCCGGTCTCCCCAGCCGCATATCACATATCGACTGTGCTGGGCGTGATCGCGACGCGTCCTTGGCTTCTTTGAATGAGCGATACCAATGCTGGGTAATCATCATGTCGTCTTTCGTTGATCCACCTCAACATACCAGGGGGTATAACACGCCTGGCACCACCCTGCACCCCTCGCCAGTGCCATCCACCGTTTCATACCAGTCAGTCCCCGAATATGATTGCTTTCTCCCGTGGGCAGGTTTCGAGCCTTATTCCTCGTGCATGCTCCCGAAACATGGGCTGACTTCTTACTCTTTCTGGGAATTACTGACTCCAGCGTGTCAACAGTGTCCCTTTCCATCGTGGGCTACTTGACGTTGGTATCTTTAGAGACACTATTCTTCCTAGCTTACGGCTACATGCGCCCCTGGCTGTCGTGGCATATGGCATCGGTAGGGCGACAGACAGCGTCGAAGCCAAGGATTGGCTATGGCCCATCGCGCCCATGATAAATGGATGGTGGAGTGCGGTTGGGAGAAAGATGTACCGTCGCGGGCTGACATTTAACCAAGCATTTGGAATACTTTCGCGACCCGAGAGGCTGCTCTTGACGGGCGTTACTCTCTGGGGTGGCCGGCTCTTCTACCGAATTGTCAGCCGAAGCATCAAGCGGCGACGCCAGGGTAAAGAGCACGACGACCCCAGGTACGACGCAGAGAAGCTACAGGAAGGGTACTGGAACAAGGCGCTCTTCACATTGTTCCTCCCCGAAGCTCTTATCCAAACCGTCATCACCCTCCCTGTCACAGCGCCCTTCCACCACCCAGGTGCCGTCCTCACAGGATACCATCCTGCAGTTCAGGCCCTAGCCGTTGGATTGTTCTGCGCTGGCTTCACACTTGAGTTACTGGCAGATACGCAGCTGGAGCAGTTCAAGAGCTCCGCACGGGACTCTACGTCTGTGTGTAAGGAAGGGGTATGGAGTTTGGTTCGTCATCCCAAGTAAGTACTGAGATGACTCTAGTACGTTATAAGGGTGGCTTTAACACGTGCCAGCTATCTTGGAGACGCCCTCGTGCATCTTTCGTTCCCGATTCTGCTTTACGGATCCGACATGCTTGCCCCCGTCGAGCTATTGGGAAGCATTACGAATTACCTGTTCCTCCGCTATGTCGGCGGTGACAAGCAGACAGAGCGCCACCAGGCGAGGCGGTATTCTCAGTCGAGCCCGGAGAAGTTTGCAGATTTCCAGCGGCATAGGGAGACGCACAACTCGTTCTGGCCGAAAGCTGATGTTGTGACGAACCGGTGGCTATGGACTATCATCGGCGCTGGTGCTGCCGGTGCGCTTGCAGAACAGGCATTCCAGTATCTGTTCTGAGGTCTATATTAACATTGTAAACTGTTGAGTTGCTTAATTTCCTTTTGTGTTTTCTCGCCGTATCTCCATAAGCAGTACTTGGGAAATTGATTTTGGCACGCGGCATACCTACCATTGGGTGCAAACTGCTACAAGGGTATACAAGGATAGCCTACTGGCTAGGGCCCTGGCCACCTACACCTTCATTTCTAGCTGGCTACAGCACTCGCTGGCGAGATAATCAATAAAGCATATTGGTTACGGCCGTCCACTCACTCTTGTTCAGTAGGTAAGTATATTGCTAGGTATTGTGAGAGATGTACATTATGATACCTAGCTCGCTACCTAGCCTTCTATGATATACCTACCTAGAGGTACGATTAGCGCTATTTTAGTTTACTACTATAGTGGATAGGCGCGAAAATAGCGGACTATGGCTTATTTTTACGGGCGCTCACAGGAGAGAATCTGCAAATCACTGTTTCATCCCCTCCCTGTCTCGCCTGTGTCTCCTGCGACAGGGATACTTCCGCTATTACATCCCACAAAGTTGCTCCATCAATACCAAGGCTCCGTTCGAGATTCCAGGATCCTGATGCAACCAGTGCCATTTACTAGAATAAGTCTCTTGAAACCATCTACTCATGTCTCTCATATCGATCTCCAGCTTAGAACGCATCACTGCATCTAAGCTAGCAGAAATGCTCCTTGCCGCCGGTGCATCTAGCGGACAAGGTATTGCCGTAGTAGATGTTCGAGACAATGGTAAGTCCTGATGAGTCACCTCAATCATTCACTATGCTGACTATTGCGTTTTTTTACCCACATCATTCTTCTATTTCTTTCTCTTCTCTTTGCCATCTACGCAGCGGCTTTCACTTCTCTAAGATATTTATAACGGGTTTACGGATTTCAACTATTCTTGCTCTGTGTTCATGCGTTCTCTTTTTTTTTTTTTTTTTTTTTTTTTTGCTTGGCGTTGTCCTCAAGTTTAGAGAATCGGTTATATCAATAGCAAAGCTGACGTTCTATCTCTGTCATAGACCACATCGGTGGCCACATCCGTAATTCGTTGCATTTCCCAAGCAGCAGTCTCGATGCTACCATGCCTACCTTGCTACGAAAGCTCGCGGATAAAGAGACTGTAGTATTCCACTGTGCTTTAAGTCAGCAGCGCGGTCCTAGCGCCGCTTTGCGGTATCTGCGCGAGAAGGAGGCTGCCACTAGTAGTAGTGGTGGTACTAATGCTACGGAGCCGGAAGAGAAAAAGCAGAAGGTATATGTCCTTGACCGAGGGTTTGTAGGATGGCAGGAAATTTATGGCCCTGATGAGCGACTTACTGAAGATTATCGAAAGGAGATTTGGGAGGATGGATATTAGGAGAGTTTAACTAAGCTCTCATACGAGTCCATTATGTTGCACATAAAAACAAAGAAATCAGAGTCTGAAAAAAACTTGTTTCGTTAAGCATTCCACTACATAACGTACGAACAAGGATAAAAATGTGAATGTAATGTATTAGCTGTTGAGGGCATTCCTCTTCCTCGCTCTTAGTACACTTGGCTTGTTATGATATCAATAACTATGTCATAGATTCGTCTCTATATAAGATATGTTTACGTGCCAGATAAAGCTATCTCGATTTCCCAAAATGGTCCGTGAATACTTACAATCACCCTTTTCGCATCTCTTCCTCTTTTGTATTTTGCAAGACAAAAGACAACGGCATAATTTCAACTAATGTTTATTTCCAAGAGACTAGCTGGTCTTATCACCACCTACCGCAAGTCAAATGACCGTAAGAAAGCACAAGCAAGTCGAACCCGAAGAGTTTCCATTAGTGAACTTCCACGGCTCTCTTGTCCAAGTTCTATTGATATCAAGCTATACTACATTAAATTAGATGGTCAATATTATTGGAAACGCTTAAGTCATATATGTGAACAATTTTATAGTTGAAACTCTTCAATGGCTTGCTTTGCACATTATATTATTACCTTGACTACCAATTACTCTCTTCTTATTAGGTGATTGGGCTATCCAAGAGGTGTGAGAATTTTTTAAACAGCTAGTTCAGGATGATTTAAAAGGGAAGGAGAAAATTTTACATTATTAATGTTAAAAAGAAGACAGGGCTTTAAAAGAGATTCATTATATAGTTAAACAAGGGGTAATGTAAGAAATATTAAACTGAAAGAACTAGATTGTATAGATGATCGAGGTCACTTAGGGCATTTTAAGATTCCGGGCAACAATGGAAATCCCATGGCTCTAGTAGTTTTTCTTGAGAAGAAGTGAGGCTAGCGATGTGCAATGTACGAATTTATACTATCACTTTCAATGTGTTATACACATGTACAGCTTGCCATGTAGCAACAAGCGAAATACAGGTATTCATGACCTTTAAAGGACAGGCAGGCAGTATGACTTCGCTTTTGAAACAACTGCATATAGTATTAACTTAAACCACTAAGGTTAAGAACAAATTAATTAACTAAAGGACTTTACAGCCCTGCCAGATCACTTGTAAAGGGAGAATGCAGATAAACTGACAATTTCCGTACGTCTTTTAACCTCAGTAGTACTTACCTCTAACACGAGATAGACATCTAGAAACAGAGAGCCATTCAGGGGTAGATTGTTATCACACGTGAAAGCAGAAGGAAGCTAACATCGAAAGGTGGGAGAACCGCAACCAAGGGGGTTTCGTATGACAATCGTTGTTCATAAAGGATTTTGAAGCCTTTATGGCTAGGCTAGGGCTATATACAGCGAGTCTCTTTGCCTGTAAACAGGATCGTGACGAAAGCAGTCCTAGATTACATGAAATTAGTTTCACTAGCACCTAGTCATAGTATCTGCGATGACAAGTAAGCCTAGTGTACATGTATTGCCCTTGGTAACATTCTAGCATACAGAATGGGGCATATGGATGATTTGTCATAATGCCTTAAAGCTTAGCAAATCTATGTGCCGGAGTCGGACTGTTCACTACTTCCGACAATCAATGACTGACGTAGAAAATTGGGTATAGAGTCGGCCGATGAGCTCGGCGAAAGCAATGTACGCTTCCGACCGGGTCATTCAATGATACTGCTAAGACACGTGGCCTGGAGCATCGAAATGTGGCACGGTATGATCAGTGGATGAGGTGGACCTTCGATTGCAACATCGAGTTTAGTCATTGCAACATCGGCCTTATCGTAAACTCCATATCCGATGAGTGCGCATTCTCCATGCCTACTAAGGCGGTTTTGTATATTTCACTTCATAGCCATTATCACTTATGGAATACAGCTTTGCTTTAGATTTAATAGTAGATAAAATCACTTAAACTTAGCTATCCAGTAGGATGAACAATCTTTAGCAACTCTTAGGCAATATTTTTGACCTTGTTAGCTAAAGTATCGCATTTGCCCTACCCTGCCTATGCCGCAGCCTGGAACCAATGATACGACCTTCTCGCCAAGCTCAGCAGCGCTAACTCTAGTAACGCGTGATTACTGAGTATATTATAAATGGAATAGGTTAGCCTAACAGCGAACCCTACGGGACACAGGTATCCGACCACTACGCCGCCCACTTTCGGCCGTTGGCACGGACGAGAAGTGAGTATGGATGTTTTCAGGTCGTTGGGGTATATATAGAGCCACTTGGTCTACATAGTGCACATAATCGTAATTTCATAGGTCTCATCAACGGCATCCGGGCCATATCAATATTACCTGTGAGAAATATTATCCCCGACGTTAGCTATCTATCAAAGCTCATCTGTACATAAAATGACGGTTGAGATCCCTTCCCCAGAGTGCCGCTACTGGCTGCTTACGATGCCTCGCACCGCTTCTAATATGTTGGTTCGTGTCCTGAACCTAGACGAGCAAGGAGTCCGACCTGCTCCTTTCAATGGAGGATATTTTTTCTTCTCGAGCATGGCTTCGCGATTAAAATTATACAACAAGGCATCGGAGTGGAACCTAAAAGACATCGAAACGAGCCTCAAGCAGTCATTCGACGTGCTTCAGGACTACCTCGAGGGTGCTGAAAAGGACGGCCAGAAAGTTTTCGTCAAAGAACATATCTCATTCTTGAACGATATAAGTCTCGAGTATGAGCACATGTACGGCACATTGCCTGGGGACAGCTTACCTAGGCCAATGCCGGCGCGAGGGTTTGCTGAATCGACTCGATCTCCGCTTAATCAAACAAGTCTGCCCGATGAATTCCTCAAGACTTGGTATCCGACTTTTCTCATCCGACACCCGGCCTTGATGTTGTCGTCGCTGTACCGTACTGCTCAGGCAGATATAGAAGTGTACGGCAGCAAACGTGCCAACAAGGAACCATTTGAGTTTGAGGCCACTATGAAGTTTGTCAAATCTCTCTTCGACTTTTACTCCAACTATTTCGGAAATGATAGCAAGTGGCCAATCGTTCTCGATGCTGACGATGTCATCATGTACCCTGAACTTGTAATGAAGTATGCTGGCCTTGTCGGACTTTCCCCCGAGAAGCTTCGATTCTCATGGGAAAAAACAAGCAAAGAGGATGTAGAGAAGATGCACAGCGCTGCTAAGATTATGCTTAGCACAATTAACTCCAGTACTGGGGTCGACAAGGGAAAGGTAGCTGGAAATATCGATATTGATGTCGAGGCTGAAAAGTGGAGGGCCGAGTTTGGTGAAGAAGGGGGGAATAAACTTGAAAAATGGGTCAGAGACGCGATGCCTGACTACGAATATCTCCGATCACGAAGGCTGACGGTATAGGTAATTTGACATGTACTGAATAGTCCCTCTTTCAATCAACTATCTATAGAGAATATGTAGCAACAAACAACAGAAACACATAAAACAAAATGTTCTTCCATATGAATAGCTAGATATATTGTGACAAGGGCTCTACTGTTTGGACCTAAGGGCACGGAACTTGGTCATACTTATAATAATAATGCTCCAGGGATCTTAAGGGTCCCGATTTTCTCCTTGAATATAAAGCATGGACTAGGCGATTTATGTTCTTTGAGCATCATATAATCTAGGGCTTCTTTGCTTTTTGACCTTCTTCTGCTTAATGGGCAGTTTTTATGCGGATATAGTAAGCTGCCCTTGCGACTGATTTTGGCAAAAAGGGGTCGGCCTTAGTTATCCTGCACTACCCCCTGCACTTTGTGTAAGTCTCCCAAAGGCTCTTTCCCATAATAAGACGGTTGTAAAGTCATTTAAGTGTTCACTGGAGATAGGATTTGAGCATGTGTAATGTCGTAGATGGTCAATCCTACAGAAAGTGATGGATGGTCTAAGAAGAGGTAGTGAATCTCAACAGGTCTGTCAATCGAGCCTGCTGGAAAGAATATATCGAAATAAGCGACACAACTAAAATCAGCCTCAAGGTGAGAAGATGACTTAATTGTAGGCTTTGATTAATAGCATTGGGACAAAAGCAAGGTTGTTAATCTTGGGCATGGCCTTTTAATATCGGTATAACAATGGCTAATTCGAGACCTTGATCCCATTTTTAGTCAACTAGTAGCAGGCAATGTCCTCAATACTCATTGCTCTATCTACAACCCATTACCCAAGCGTTCTCTTGATGATCTCAGCAGCGATCTCGGCATAATCTGGCCTAGGATGATATTGGAGTGCGATGTAAAGGTTCCGATAATCCAGATTATGGGCCAACCCAATATAGCCACCCTTGGAGTAAGTTGTGAATATAATCCTTGATAGGTTTTACATTATGCGCTTCCATCAGTACAGTTCCCCCGAGCAGCTTGGGAAGTTGCCATCATAGCTTCGAATTCCTAGCTGCGTCTGAATGACTTTGAATGCTCTACCCACAAATCTACTGCCGCTTTCGTCTGCCTTAATCCCTCTATCTTTAAGTTGCTGTCGTGCTCTGCCCAGCTGTGGCTTATACTGTGGCACCCGCTATTTATAAGGCGCTCAAGCAATGGTTTACAATTGTATTTCCTATTGGTTATAGCCATTACATCTTGTTTCAGGGCGATCCATAGTTGATTAAGCGACTAGTAGACTTTCCCATAGATCGAGTGATAATTATTGTATAAAGTTTCATAACAAGAGTCGAAATAGTACTGTAGGTGATGGAGTAAAATTGTATATTGCACTGAGGAATGAGTCTAAGTACTAAGGAATGGGGTGGTACATCTAGTTATATAGTAAAGTGTGTATGGGTTGAAGAACCAGCTGTGACAAGGGCTCTTGTAGAGGGCTTGGAACTTAGTCATATTCATTAATAATCTACTAGGGGTCTCTAGGGCCTTGATCTCTCTCTCTCTCCTGGAGTGGGAGATTCCTTAGCTATTTATGCTCATTCAGGCCTCATACAATCTGTGACTCCCTTCTGTCTGTTGGGCATTCATACCTTAACTGTTGGTCTTCTTGCAGCTAACAGATTGTTCTTATCCAATCGCTTATAGCCTCACTTTCCTCCAGGGGTAGCGTCGGTTATCTTCGGGTCTTTAGGTCTCATAGGACTGTCCGTGTGACACCAGCCACCAGGATTATCTGCCTTCCTAATTCAATAATAGGTCTTTTTTTACAACCTTAGGTTTAATGTATACTTCTCAAACCCCCTACTACAGCCTCGTGACAACGATGTCTGCATTGCAATTCGCGCACCTATTATAGCCAATCTAAACGATTCGGGTGAGTTTCCCGGTTGTAATATCAAATACTAGACCAGAAACAGTGTCTCGTAATTCCTTTCGTATAATAGGAGAGTTTTTGATGATTTCAACGTCCTGGCGAGTTCTTTCGACGATGCTATCACTCGAATGTTAACAGACTCGAGTCCCTTATCAATCAATCAACTCGACAAGTTTTCCGTATTGAAGACACTGATAGAGTCCGAAATCATGGATCTTACTCACTCATGCGTAGTTCCCACAGAATAATCTTTCAACACTTGACCGTCGACGTCTGCGTTGTGTGTCCTAATATGTGCTCGGATTTGATCATCCGTCATATAGGTTGCGCCACAATCTAGAGTTTGGTTAGCTCTGTTATGTGTTCGGCATACCCCGTCCAATCTCGCAATTTAGGCTAAGGTATGAAGGAAACAGCGCATACCGGTATGTTTGATCACAATAAGTTCTGTGAGCGTAGTTAAATTGTCGATAGCCGCAATGTCTATCAAGTTCCTTGCTGGAGTTCCTGAAGCGGTTCGTACGATAACAGCCTCTATAGTAATCATATCAGCAAACGTTTGTTGGACTTGTCGGGTTATAATGACGTCTTTGAACTTACCATCTGCATCCGTGAGCCCTAGAAGCTCTGCAGGCTTGATACGGGCATCAATGCAGGAGACTGCTCAAATAAATTAAGTGAGTTGAAGATCGAAACGGCGGATCATCGCATTCTACCATTGGTCAAACTGATACCTACAAATCATTTTCTTCGGCGTGAAGCCAAGATCGGTAAACAATGGGATCGGTCTATGGCGGTGCTCAATATAAGCTCTATGAACCAGTATGTTAGTCTAAGAAGGACGTTAATTTTGATTATGAGTAGAGCCTTACTCATTTCGCTTGAGGAGCTGTTCAGCAAGAGAAGCCATTGCTGCAAGAGGATTCGTATCAGGCCGTAGCAGATTGAGATCTATTGAACAGTACAATGAGTCCAGGAAATTGGGTGTATTAATTATTCAAGCTCTGCTTAGGTGGTGACGAGCTTCCCATATCCATGAAAAGGCTCGTAGAGCACGGTTTTTATATAACGAAAAAGATCATACCGTCTTGCTAATCCCTCACTATGTAACAACGAGCGATTGTAATCGCTTCTTTTCTGATATGGTCCAGATTCGGTCACTCGCTGTTTGATTACACATGACATCAAATGACGGAATAGTCAGTGTGCATAGCCATCGCAAAAGTTGTGTTGTAGTGAATGCTTATTCCCATGTAATTCAAAAAGTGAGTCTGTATTGTACTGCCAGCTTACCAGCATGGATGTCACTCCGCGGAGGGAAGAACAGGGGATGGAGGCGTTGAGTAATCAGCGTTTTGGCAGGATACGTCTGGCCGGTTGGAAGGGAGCGACTGGTTTAGTCACCTGCCCAGAGAACTTACCTGCCTTAGGGCTGAGTTGCGGTGTCAAAGCCCGAATGTAACCATCCCTGTTCGCCCAAGCAGAAAACCCTAGCGGTCAAGGGTCGATTGAGGTCGATTGATTATAACCCCCAGTCTCCGAGAGCCTCCGCCTTAGATTTAGCAGTTTGCACTGCAGTTTGCACTGCAGTTTGCACTGCAGTTTGCACTGCAGTTTGCACTGCAGTTTGCACTGCAGTTTGCACTGCAGTTTGCACTGCAGTTAACGAACAATAAATCATCGACTAACGATACATCAGCGCGTACTACGAAACATGTAGCTGATTGCGATAACGAGTCTACATTATGAATGCTGATCGATGGTCGGAGGCGGAGGAATGACTGCAGTAGATTGTAGGGATGTAGGGATACCTACTTACTATAACTGGGAAAGGCTACAGGTAGCGCATAAGTGAAGGTGGATTTCGAGAGGGGCCCGCGGTTGGTGGAAACCCTTGGCTTACCCATCATCGTCACTAAAACCTCGGCTTGGAGTACATGATGCTTACCTTGATCGATCTACATAGTACACGAGTTATTCTAATCACGTTTCCATAGTGTACGAAAGAGTTGCCTATGTACATACGTAAAGCTATACGCATATGTGGCTTCTAAATATGCAAAATTGGAGATTCCCCTCTATGTACATAACACGGGCAGTACCATTCTGATAGGCATGGGATGGAATGCTGGGAATGTAGCGTCTTAGATACCTATCCCACTAGCAGAGAGATCCAATCGCGACCAGAGAGCCCTTCAGATCTACAGCGTCTCCTGGTAGAGGTCAAATTCGGAGGCAACGACAGTGTCTGCCTACCGCTACCTTCGATAGGTATGTAGTCTTCTTGACAGGTTACCTCTCTCGCCTCTTTACTATGCTAGGTGCTATTCATACAGTATGCGTGCGTAACATAGTAGAGATGGCTTCACCATAGTACGTACCACGTGTGTAGGTATGCCAAGTACGCTAAATAAGGATAGCCAATCATTGGAACAGAAGCGTTCGACCTGTTGACAAGGAGAAGTTACCTATATAACAAAGGATGGTACCATCAACAAAACTACCAAGTACGTGTCTTGCTTGACTCACCCTCGACATCGACTTACCCGTACTCATCTGGTTGCGAATAGCGCCTAACCAAGGTACCTAAATACATTATCGTCGACATGGCAAGCAGCAGTGAGGCAAATGCTACGGTATCCCAATACCTAGACGATGAGCGTTTTCACCAGACCTTTAGGCTACCTTCTGGTGCCAGCCGAGCTACTGAATTCAAGGTGACCTACGCTGATTTCGGCCATCGCAACAATGAACACGTTTTGCTATTCTGTGGGCCGTTGCTAGGAAGGTGAATGCAGCCACCCTTCGTGTATGCAGTTTTCGCTACATCTACACTTGCTGACTCACTGTGCTGAGTCGTCTTTTAGCCGCTATTTGCTCACCACCAAGGACAAGCTTGCCCAGGAGAACGGCATTAGGGTTATATGTCCAGACCGACCTGGCTTTGGCGGAACAACAAGCGACGTGCCATTGTCCGACCGCGTCCGTGTCTGGCTGGACATCGTCGAAACTCTGTTGAAGCATCTCGCTATCCGCTATGTCTCTGTAGTCGGCTATAGCGGCGGCTCTATCTATGCCATGAACGTGGTCTTCCACCTACGCCACCTACTTCATCCAGTTCGTCCCTACGTGGCCCTATTGACACCCTGGGTTCACCCCTCCCACTCGGGTGTCTCAGCTCTTAAGATTGCTGGGCTCTTGCCAAATGGCCTCGTCGGTAGCTATGACAGGCTCCTTCAGGTCGTTGGTAACATGGGTTCGGCCTTCCAGTTCAGCAACATTCTCTCTGGACTGGTACCATCTCTAAGTCAAGTCACCGCCCCTTTAGACCAAGGTGTTGATCCAGATGCCGTCGCCCTAGAGGAGAGCTTATCTTCGGAGCTCTTCCGTCGAATTACGAATGAGGATGTCAGTGGCATTAGTCAAGACTCTCTTCTCCTATTAAAAAGAGACGCTTACCCGGGGTGTTGGGGCACCTGGAAAGATTACGACACACTTGTTCCTCTGTTGGCCGAAGCCGAGAGGAAGCGACGTACAGTCGACTCTGACATAGTCCCACCCCTAAAGGTCCACGTCTTCTTTGCAGAGTCTGATGGCATGATTGGGACCAAAAGTGCCCCTGCATGGTTGAATCATTGTTGGAGACCAGAGCAACGTGGCGACTTAATCGACTACTATAGTGAGACAATCCCAAAGACCAGCCACAATAACATCTTGGATCTCAGATATGGTGTTATGAATCAGATATTTCAGGAGATGACTAATTGGTAAACTTACTCATTATCATCGACTAAGAAGTGAAATATTCGCAGAGTACTATTAGATTAATTATCATCACTTATGTACGCGTGCCTTGTAGTCTTACAACCCCCGCAGGAGAGTAGAGGCAGCTTAGAAATCAGGTAAACAAGGGCGAGGGCCTTCCCGGAGTGTCTAGAACAGCCAGGAATCAATGCCACCAGACCCTTATCCCTGTAAGTTTGATCTATCTGATATCTAGGTGCTACCTACTTATGACCTAGCTTCACTCAGGTGCGATATACATGTACTCCTGACACGACCTTTTTCCTGAGTTGAACCAATCACTGTCTGTCGAGCATATTGATTCAAAAAGCTACCTTAATTCCAGCCACCATATAATTAGGGGGAGTTGATCCAGCTCGTTCCTTGGGTGTTGGTACTAGCCAAAAATTGGGTTTCGGATGATATCAAGGTTGAAATTTTCTCCTCAGACCACAATAACACTGGTCTCTCCAGTTAATGGGTGTACAATCTTGTTGAACCCTGCAAGGGTGAGAGCAGCAGGACCCTCAACGATCATATTCTCCTTGAAAGCAAGCTCTTTTAAGGCTCACCAGATATCTTTCTCATTACATTCTACGTCGATGTCACCGGCCATCGCATCGGCTAGGGTATGTTGATGTTTTGTCTCAACCACACGGCCGACGGCCATAGAATCTCCAAGTGCCTTCGAGTTAGTTGCCGCAATACCATAGGCCTTGGTACGTGGACTAAAGGGTTTAACGACTGCCTCAATGCCACATATAAGCCCGCCACCACCCATGGAAACGAAGATACTGTCTACCTGCTCGCACGGCCCCATAATCTCAAGGCCGATTGTTCCTTGTCCTGCTATAACATCAGGATCGTTGTAAGGCAAGATGTAAGTGTACCCTTGAGATTTAGCAAGTCGCTGGGCATGCTGTTCTGCCAGACCAGTTTCACTTCCATAGAGAACCACGTCTATGCCATATATTTGAATCTTTTCCAACTTTTCGGGCACCACAGTTTCTAGACGTACGACAGTGAGGGGCTTGGAGAGGGTTTGTGCTGCATACGCGGCGCCAATTCGGTGATTTCCCGTAGATGTCCTGATCAATTGTCTGTGGCCCGGCTGCACCGACAACTTGGACACTTGGACACTGTGCCTCTGAGCTTGAATGGCCCTGCTGTATGAAAGTCCTCTGGTTTGAAGGGGGTTTTGTGTGTTACATTGTTTGCGGCTTTTCTTGATGGAACTAGAGAGGTTTAATATATGTGCTTATAAATGCGGCTCACCGAGCTGCCATTTCAAAATATGAGTCCATAACCACGGAATGGGAAAAGAGGTATTAACACTAAGGCAAAATATTAAGGAAGCATTACCTAGTACCTGCTGGCTAATAGCAATCGCGTATATAAAGGCATAGCTTAAGTCCTTGTTTTCGTAAACTGCAACTCTGTGTAAATAATAAGGAAACGGTTTAAAAAGTTTATCAAAGGAAATATCTTTAGATTATGACTTGACGCTATCATAACTCCACTGGTATCGAGATTTACACCCTTTACCAAGGAACCTCTCGAAAATGTCCCTTTTCAAACTCCCAAAATGTCCCACCGCGAATTTCACCTCGGTTTGACTTTAGCAATCGTAATACTACTTCCGCACATTCAAGAGGGTCTTTATGACCTTTGAATCCATTGAATCCCGTCTTGCAGTAGCCTGGACTCGCAAGCCAATACGTAATCTTGTTGTCACTTTCGGCATTGCCATCCTCTGCAGCTTGTAATTGCACGGTGAGCATGTTTAAGGCAGTCTTGGTGATGCAGTAGTCAAAAGAGACAACAGGCGGGAGCTGCGTATGTGTTTATCAGATATTAATCTTCCTATGTGCGTGGTACAAAGGGGGATTCAAACCTCTCTGTTCACAGTTCTCTGAATACTCCCACGAGTACTAGAAATCATAATCACTCTTGGCCATGGAGCTTTTCGAAGCAGTGCTGTAAAAGTGCGGGTAACAATATTGTTTGATGTTACAGCATTGTTAAAATTCGAGTTAGAGATCTCACGTGACGCTTCCATCTCAGTCGGGTAGGAGGTATCAAGCCTGATAGCATTATTGATTAAGACTGATCACATTAGCATGGGTTGGTGTAGAGACGTAGATAGAAGTATGAGGCTTACTATCGAGTTTTCCAAAACGCTCTTCCATGATATTTGCCGCAGTGGCTATAGATGCATCGTTCTCAATGTCCAGGGGAACGGTATATAAAGCAGTGGCTACTCCACCCATCTGCAAACGCCTTACAGCATCTTCGCCAAGACTGATATCACGGGAACCAATGACCACAGTGCTTGTTGGAAGAGAGACGGAAATGGCCTGAGCAATAGCGAAGCCGATGCCACGGTTGGCACCAGTAATGAGTACGACAGTCATTTTTACTAACCAGCTGTAAGAAGTAACTAATACAGGCAATCGATAAACGTTGTATGGTATGGTAAGGCAGCCGTAGCTAACTCGCAATACTCTCATCGACATAGCTACTATTATATAGCTCTATGCCATTCAGAAGTGACCCCGACGGAACTCGGGTGTTTCTGTTAGCTAAAGTCCGGGCTCGATTTGGTGAGATCTAAGTCGGCCAGTCAGCCTATACCAACCCAAAGCGCCAAATCACCAAGAGGTCTCATGCATTATTGGATGATGACATACGAGGTTATAAGTGGTGATTAGTAGGTTATATTGCCTTGAGGAGCAGTCTAAACACAGTGGTGTGGAGGGATACATCCGTATAGACATGTGTGTGGGTCATTGTACCGTGCTACCGGCTTTTACTTGCGTGAGACATAACTCAACATTGGAGAGGTAACACTTAGGTCCTAATTCCGTAGATGAAGCTTGAGCGTTGGAAATTTTAACGGAATAAACGACGCCGATAACCCCGTAAAGATTAACGGCCTTTATATGACAGGTTTCACTACTCCGTGATAAAAATCGTACGTCTCTTGGGATTTTATATATGGGTATATATTGGAGAGGTAGTCTTATACCTGACCCTACTGAATAAATAACGTTATACCATTATTTTGTAGTCGGTGTGTGATTGGCATTATCATTGTCACCAGGGCAGATAAATGAGCTTGGCATAGAAGCTATTCACACTACAATAAACCGCTAGGACTGCCTAGGGTATTGTTAGCTATCTAATTCCTTCCTGGCCTTGGTGATTTGAATTTAAATATATATACAATTGGACTGCCAGTCCCGATCGCCTAGGACTAACTGGCCTGTGTCAAGAACCCAGGTTTACATAACCGTACTTTCAATATTCCATATGGCTTCAAGGTCATGAAAAGACTGCATTGCGCCCAGAACCGTAGGCGAATTGCATGTCTGGCAGTACGCGCATGTAACAGCGAAGGCTCCGGGTCAAGAACTAGATTGGAGTGAGATGTGCTCGTATTCGGAGGCGGACCAGCGGACCTAGCTGTGGCCGGAGGCCTCGCGCGCCAACTCCATACCGCCGTGGTGTTCAACTCATGGTCGTGTGCTGTATTATTGTGTGCGAGGGTGGAATGTGGTAGTTTCTTGGAACTAGAAGCTGCTGAAGTATGAAGCAAATTTTGGGGGCGGGGAATGCAAGTGGGTGAGCTAGATTATTGGGTTATATGGCGACTCTGCATTCGAGACCGACTGTGGTGAGATACCAGACATAATTCACTGTAAATATTAAGTATTCATACCAGTGGTTAAAACCTAAAGACAAGGGGTTTCAACAGTGATTACTGATCCTCGGCATCTCCCCAGACCTAGGCATTTGAAGCCTAAAGCAGTTTCTTCTGTTTACTGATCATGGCTTTAAATCACATTATTCTAGCAATAATGTTGAGTAAACTCTACGTTGCATGAAGTCAATTGGCACACTATTCGAGAACAAATTTTAGCTAAGTAATCAGATATTGTGATATTTGAATTGTAAATATACGCAATGACTGACTCCTCCATTATACAATGAACTTTATTATATAAGAGAGAACACCCAGCATTAAACCACCAGATATCAACCTTTCGAACTCCCCATCAGCACTTGATTTATCTCACCCTAATCCCCTACAATGACTACCATTCGCCTTATATCAGTAATAGGCGCAACCGGAGCGCAAGGAATTCCCGTGGTAAAAGCTCTGGTGTCGTCCGGGCAATACACGGTCCGAGGTTAGTTTGATGGACTCATTGATTCTCCTTCGGGCAGATTTCGGGTCTCATATTCCGAAAATTGAGTTAAACCCTTCCCCTATCTGGCAATTACTGACTCCAGCATGTGTGATAAAGCCCTTACCCGAGACTCAACAAACGCCCGTTTCAAGGAACTCCAATCTTATGGACCTGTTGAGCCCGTCATCGGTACTTTCGCCTCGGAATCTGACCTTCGCAGTCTATTCCGTGGCGCCTGGGGTGCTTTCGTCAATATTGATGGGTTCAACAGCGGGGAGAAGTCAGAAATCTTCTGGACCATCCGTGCCTGGGAACTTGCTATTGAGGCAGGCGTTCAGCTCTTCGTTCTTGGTAATTTGGACTATGCGTACAAGAAATCTGGATTTCGTCCACAGTTCCATGCTGGGCATTATGACGGTAAAGGGCGTGTGGGTGAGTTTATACTCTCCCAGAATAGGGATACGGAATTTAGGACCCTGGTCAAAATGCGCTCTGCACTATTCACCACCGGACCATATATTGAGATGACCCTTGGAAAGGCGACTCCCTTTGCACCCGTAGTGGAAAACGATACAGCTGTTTGGCGTATCCCACTTGCAGGTGGTGCGGTGCCTTTTACAGCTCTCGATGATTGTGGCTTTTATGTCAAGTATCTCTTCGATCACCCTGCCGAGGCAGATGGATTGGACCTTGCCGTAGCGTTGGATCATGTAACGTTCACCGAATACACCCGCGCTTTCACAGCTGTGACAGGCCATCCAGCTCAGTGGGATGATGTCGATTTGCAGAAGCATCTCGAAACAGTTTTTGGGCCCAAAGTCGACTCCCCCGCCGGGTACAACGCGGATCCGAACGATCCAGCGACGATGACACTGCGCCAGAACTTCGGGGCATTCTTCGAGGTTTTCAGAAACTCTGGTGATAACAAGGGAATTTTGAAGCGAGATTACGAGTTTCTGAATCGCATTCACCCCGGAAGGATTAAGAGTGTCGAGGAGTGGCTGCGAAGGCAGGATCAGAAAGGGCCTGGAGATCTTTGGAGCCGCACCAAGGAGCTGCATCACGTACTTAAGATACTGGAAGAGGGAAGAACTGGGAAAATCTGATACTGTCGAGAAACCGGCGCGCATGGCAAGCAATAGGCAATGAGTACCATGCGAAGGTGCTAGGAACTCTGATAAACCTATCAAAACCAACTACTCTTCTCGCTATTAGTGGTTCTATTGACTTGAATAACACGTGAGAAGACTATTGCAAACTGATATATCAACAACTAAGGGACACTGGGATCAATTTTGTAGATAAGGGCAACCCGAGTTATGCATCTTTAGCGCTCGAGCCAATGTCCTGGATAGATGTTATCTATCCTAATTTTTACCAGCTAGTATAGAAATTAGTTGAAAGATATTCATCCAAGACCTACACCTCCTTTCCAGGTACGAGATCGCGAGGAAAACACTAAGATTACTCGGTGAAGGCCGTGGCGCAGCTGTAAGCATCAACCACTTTATAGCCTTGGCAAAGTTCCAGCTGGCACTGTTTATCTTCCCCTCCCATTGAAGTCAGCCGTTCGCATTCCGTCTACCTGCACGTACTTACTCTGTCACAACAACGGCTTGCCTGCTTCACGATTTCAGAACGTCAAATTATTTATTATCGTCATGCTGGTTTCAATTCCTTTTTCTGAACCTTCATGGCTGATGGGACTGCCATCAGCATACTACACAGATTCCCACCACAAGTTCCAAAAGGCTATCCGTCCGTTCATCCAGAAACACCTTTTAGACAATGCTATTGAATGGGACAAAGCCGAAACGGTTCCAGACCGTGTTTTTCGTGAATTTGCTGAGGCGAATATGTTGTTGCCGACGCTGCCGGCCCCGCTGCCCGTCGATTGGCTCAAGCGCCTCGGCATCTATGAGCTTCTTGGTGGTCTCAAGGTCGAAGATTTCGATTATATGCATTCCCTTATCTTCATTGACGAAATGGCTCGTTCGGGTCTCGCTGGTCCATCAGGCAGCCTGACGACAGGCTTCGCTTTCGGCATCCCGCCGATTATCAAGTTCGGAAACCAAGCACTTCAGGAAAGGGTCCTTCCCGACCTTCTCACCGGGAAGAAGAGATGCTGCATCGCCATTACTGAGCCCGATGCAGGCAGCGATGTTGCGAGTATCACTACAGTAGCTGTGAAAAGCTCTTGTGGCAAGTACTATATTGTTAATGGGACGAAGAAGTGGCATGTTTCTCTTCTTTCTTGTTCCCTCCCTCAACCCTTCTAGAAAAAATCTTCTTACCCCTCGCTTCGCCATGTTTTCCCCGGCTTGTATAAACCGATAAGTTGTGCTAATGGGGGTTAGGATTACAAATGGCATCTGGTCAGACTATGCGACCATGGCAGTGCGAACAGGACCCCCTGGATCCGGTGCATCAGGCTTGTCTTTACTTGTTGTCCCGTTGAAAGGCTACCTAGGCGTTAGCATGCATCGCCTCAAGGTGGCTGGTCAAGTGTCTGCCGGGACCACGTATATCGAACTCGATGACGTCAAGGTTCCGACTGAAAATCTCATCGGCGTCGAGGGTATGGGTATGCGATATATAATGACGAACTTTAACCACGAGAGATTAGCTGTCGCTATAGGTGTCACGCGACAGGCTAGAGTTGCACTTTCAACCACTTTCGAATATGTTATGAAACGAGAAGCATTTGGAAAACCGTTAAGTAAGTGGTATCTATGTAATCTATCTTATGAATTAGCTGCCAAGGATACACACTACACATGGCCAACTCTTTAATATCATGTTCTAAAGGCTGACTTTCTGATAATATTGCAGTGGACCAGCCCGTTGTTCGCCACCGATTAGCCAAAGCCGGAGGCCTCCTAGAGAGCCAATGGGCTTGGGTGGAACAGTTCGCCTACCAGATGTCGCGAATGCCGAAAAATGACGCCGACCGCGAGCTTGGAGGCAGTATGCTACCCCTGAAATCATCATCTTCATGTTATTAGCGCTTGAGGCTAGAATTATCTGTTGGAGCCGCAAGAACGTTGCAAGCGCATACACAGCTCCCAAAACCAGCTCCCTCATTCCCCGAAAGAGTAATTACTGACTTCGGCGAACTATAGTGACCGGCCTTCTCAAGGCACAGGCCGGTATGATTTTCCATGAATGCACAAGTACAGCCGTCATTTTGTTTGGAGGAAATGGCTATACACGCAGTGGTCAAGGCGAGCTGGTAGAGAGTATGTATCACATCTTAAACTGTCTGAGATACTGATAAAGAGATACAAATGGTCTAATACTTGTACTTAACAGTGATCTACCGCGAGGTCCCTGGAGCAAGAATTCCTGGTGGCAGTGAAGACGTCTTGTTGGATCTTGCCGTACGCCAGCTTGTGAAAATATACCAGGCAAATACGAAAGCTCTTGAAGCCAAGGCAAAAATATAGATATGCCAGATATAATGGCTTGGCTTTGTATAAGACCTAGATAGGATTCCTGTAGCTTCACCCTGGTTGACCCTCAACGATATCCATTATTCTAATGATATCACGTCCGCCACGCTGTTTCGGCGTTTCCTTTATTGCGGCCAAGCCGATATCATTTTCCACTCTACATTTCACTTGTGAGAAATGGATACCTCAACATCGCCCTAATGCCCCTCAATACCGGTTGAGAGAAATCCCCATATGTACATAGGTAGTATTTGAAATCGGATTTCAGTTGTGCATCCACCACCATTCCGTCATAAGCGGGCTAATATACCGCCCAGCCCTAGAGATATGTTAGAATAGGATGAGGCTATAGGTCTTGAAAGTTGGCGACACTTACGCCACTAGCACTAATCACTTGTCCAGTGATCCAAGCACCGTCCTTACCAGCAAGGCCGGCAACAACGTTGGCGATCTCCTCGATAGTGCCTAGTCGGTTCCCAAGGGGAGTGGTTGCTTTCTGCATCTCTACTATATCCTGAGGGATATTGTCAAGAAGCTCACTTTGGACAGGACCAGGGCAGACGCAGTTTACAGTCGTACCGTTGCTGCCGAGCTCTGCTGCCCAGCATCGCGTCAGGCCCTCCAAGGCAGCCTTGGAGGCACAGTACAGGCTCAGACTTTTGAATGCACTCCTCCCGCCCACCGACCCAACATTGATAATGCGTCCATTATTGGCTAGATATGGGAGTAGCGCTTGCATTAGCAAGATAACCCCCCGGACATTGAGATTAAATACGGTATCGTAGTCGTTGATACTTATTTGCCCAAGATCTTTGACAATCTCCACCCCGGCGTTGTTGACGAGGATGTCAATTGATGGAATACTGCCATTCCATGCTAGGAGGGAAGATGTCACTAATTCGGGTCCCGTGAGGGAACTTAGATCTGCTTGGATGCCATGTGCGGAAGGTTTGTGAGGGAGCGCTTCAATCTTGGCGCATATCTCTTTCACTCGCGTCTCACTTTTCGTTGAAACGTAGGTAATAACAACCTTATTTTCACATCTCAGTTTAAGCATTATGATAGCTCTATGAAACTAATCGTTCAACTTGGGACTTACTGTTGCTCCGCGTCTCGCGAGTTCCATCGCTATGCCTTCGCCAATGCCTCTCGAACCGCCTGTGACAAGAGCAACCTTGCTAAACAGAGGTAGAGCGCAGTCTGCCATGATGTAGGTGTGAATGAAGTTGTACCGAGGAAGCTAGTATGATTCCATCGGCAGCAAAGATGAAACGGTATTCCAATTACTTATACAATTTTGTTATCTGTGTAGAATTTCGGGGTTTCTATGAGGGTGACCTAACGCCGATGGGCGGTACTTTAAACTCCGATGCGGCGAGAATCACACACACGATGCCGCATGTTGATCAGTTAGGTAAGTTTGAGGAGTTGATGAACTTAATTTCGTAGCCTTGGCGATCAATAGCCAAGCCAGGTCTTCACTGTCGTGACTGTACGACGTAGCAGCCCTTGCAACTGTCCACATGTGGTGCCTTGGGTTCGGTTGCCCCCGAAATTCAAAGATACCTAATAAGAACGCCCCAAAAAGAACGAATAAAAAAGGGGGGGAGAAAGAAAAAGAAAGAAAAAGGGACATGCACTTGATTCAATGATGCTTCAGTACCCCAATTGCCTAGAGGAAAGGACCACTCAGCTTTGTTTCTATCTGCCCTCAATTCGACTGTCTCAGTATAACCGTTACTATACTTCTTCCGGGTAGACTCGCGCTCGCTGTGGCATTGTTAAACGAAGCCGCAATCTCATCACAATCATGGTTATTATCGGTCAGGAACGCAGTGGTGCCTGCAGCAGTAAATGAGGACCCCGCAGTCGTCTTGACCTGTACCGATACCGCAGACGTTCCGCCGTTAATGAATACGACGGCCACGGATCCATCGACATTCTGGAAGGCCGTCGTTCTTACACCTGACGGCGCGCCGCGCACGCCCACCCGTACCGCCCCAGGTCGCGCGTAGCGGCTGAACTGTGCAAATGCCCACAAACGCTTCGACGGGGTAACCGTGTTGCCGTCGATGCGGATGAGCTTCGAGTTTGTCGTCCCAGTCTGCGCCCCGATCCAATACAGATACGCTGACGCGTTTGCATTCGCGACCGCTGTGTGGATGTTATTCGCCCATGTCATCCCCTCGCCGGCCCCGCCGGAGCTGTAGAATGCCCCCTGCCAGTTCCCGTTCAGATCAGCTGCTTCAGTTTGCCAAACGCGGTGCCGTGTATTCATCGGTGAGCCTGGCGACGACGTGTATGAATGCGCTGTGATCGTTGAAATGTACTGATCAACCGACGCCAGTTGCCCTAGCATTCCAACTTGGCTATTCCATCCTTCGGCATCGCAGCATGTTATGCCCACGGTTAAATTCGCCTTTTGGAGTGTTGGGCCTAGAATCTTTATGAAATCTGCGGCTTGCATTCCGCTGGATCTCATCGAGGCGTAGCTTGTGCTGTGCGGTTAGATGCTCTATGTCAGCATTGGCCTCAATCTTGAGAACATGAGGTCACTTACGTGAGTTCAGGTTCATTGAGGAAACCTACATGCGTAATCGTCACGTTAGCTTCGAGGTAGAATTTGATATATTGGACCAAATAGTTGGCGTAGGCTTGTCTCCAGTCGCCACTCGAGCAGCTGGCACCGCTACCTCCGCATAGTGACCCTCCGTTCGCATCGTTGCCATTGGTCTTCATATAGCCTGGCGCACTCCATGCATCGGCATAGATGGTTTGGACACCTCGCTTGATGGCCTCTTGAGAAACCCAGAGCTGCTTATTGTCCGACCCATCCCAAACATATTGTGGTGTGCTTGATGGGCCCCCTGGGCTCTTTGGTTGGATAGAGACCATATGGTCAGAGCTCATATCTGGTGAAGATCCAATCCCGTTTCGCAAGATGGATAAGCCTGCTCCATTTGTCGTGCTGAACAGCAAGTCAAGAGTATATTGCTGTTGAGCCTCGGTTAGTTTCGATATCTGCACCGCTCTTTGAAACGCCTCGGAACACCCAAAGCCATCGATAATCTGATACTTCTGATCCAAATTCACTGTTATAAAAGCACTCGACTGTCGAGCTGCCAGATTGTGGTCCGCAACCACCATGAGGGGCAAAGCCCCCACGACCAGACCAAACCAGGGAGTCATTCTAAACAGTTCTTGTTGACCGGTTGGCTAACACGCCCACTTACAAAAGCAGCAACGGTAGCATCTCCAACCTAGATATACACTTATATGAAAGACGCAGGCTTTGGTATTGACTAGCCGGTGGTACGAATGGAACCTACATTGCCGACCAGGTTTCCTCCCAATTGTCCCCCCCCTCATTAGCCCAGTAACCACTACTCGTCCTTGGGTCATTTTGCCGGGTCTCGCCGTGATGGATGGTTTCTTATCTCATGGCGGCATTTCATGTTAAACACTATAATTGACCTTGAGTCGGTTCCCTCCGTATTCATAGAAACAGCGACGGAGCAAAGAAGGCGGCTAAATGCATTGGCAAGCTTGGCAACGCATGTGATATATGAAATACTGATGGAGGAATGACCTATATTAGCAGCTGGTCCCAATTTCTCGTCACATACAGAAGGGCACGAAGCAGGCAACTACGTGAAAAGTTAGCTTCCACGAGGCAAAACTATTACCACTATTCACGCAAACAAGATGGTGTTCATGGTTGACAGAATTGTAGAATACAACCCCTCATTTAGTGTTATATAGGCATACATATATCTCTTTGCATGGCCACTTGAATTCTTAGCCTATATCCTCAATGGTGGCTCCATTCTTCATCGAAAGTATGTTGGACAAGGCTAGAAGAGGCTACCAGCAAGCAAGGTTAGAATAGCCGGGACTACACAGGCTTAAAAACTGCCTTGCCTTTCTTCTTCCTTTTCAAATATTCTCTCTCTTTATCTTTCCGCCACTCACAGATCTCAGCAAACTCACACCAATTACATTTATATGTTTCTTCTATGCTAACACCCTGAGGTTTTCGCTCGCCGCGCCTATGATATACGCTGGAGTTAGTAATTGCCAGATAAGGAAGGGATTCGGCTCATGTGCCGGAGCATGTAGGAGCGAATTGGGGGGAGTTAGGTTGAAACCCACCCAAGGGGGGAAAGGGGGGGGGAGAGGGGATAATTGACTTCAGGAAACTACTTACCACCATTGAAGACTCCACTTCATGTATTCATCGATCCCCTCCTCGTCGGTAGCAAAGGCATTATTACCGAGAAGGCGTCCATCACTGCGGTGGCGATATTCAACAGAGAGAAGATTACCAATAGACGCCGGTCCGAGAGGAAAGGTTTCTTTGAGTTCAGCTTTGAGTAATGGTATAATTTGGGAAATGGTCCGATACGCTATGAGGTCAGGCGATGATCTCTCAACCGGCGTTTCTTCCACCTCGGACTCGGCGTCATAGAATACTTCATCGTGAAGACTACCAATCTGCGCTATGAAGCCATCTGAGAAACGGGCCTCGCCATTTAGACCATAGCGCTCAAAGATAACAGAATAGTCCAGCTTATCTGCAGCCATGTTGGAAAGTAGTCGGTGGTATAAATACAGTTGCACTTTCGCGGGTGTTACTGCTTTACCAGTGGGTAATCTATCTGAGTCCCGCGTCTTGACGTCGGTTAGGTACACTTTTTTGCGACTTGAGCCCATGTAGTCTACGATAGACGATTGCTGTGTAAGGTGACTCGAAGCGGACGAATTCAATTCTTCCTCAAAGCTGGCATTTGGAGACGTGTGGCTTAGTTGGTCGATGACACCATTCAAGATTTCTCCTTCGACGGTGCCCCAAACCTCTATTTCTCTTGTAATTCCTGTATCCCTTAGCGTGCGTAATCCCTGGATGATATTCCAAAGGCGAAGGGCAAAGGCTTCTTCCTTCGAGGCAATACTAATTTGGACTGCAGAATGTATCTCATCCTCTAGACTTTGATGTACTCGCGAACCACCTTTCATGGCCACGGTCACCGTTTTCTTGCCACCCGGAAGCCGAGTAAGGGTATACCAGTGTTGGAGCTCGCACCACACCCCGGCTGCAAAGTCAGACACGGTGAAAGGGCGTTTGGGGGCGGTTCGAAATCGCTGGAGAGGGGTTCGGGTATCTGATTCTTCTTCGGTCGCAGGGAGTTCGTGGTGAGCAGACTGGTTATCGGGCTCTAGATCAGACAGCGCACGGCTTACTAGACGCTGCTCGTCAGTCAGATACATCTAGCAAGATGATGGCCGAGCATGGCCGAACACGGTACACTTACAATCCGGGTACCTGACTGAATCCAACGATACGATACCTTGCTCCAGAAGCGATGTGGTGGTGGTGCTCTCGGTCTTGGCCGGCAGGGGTTGAGTGAGTCTAGGAGAGTTGCCTGCCCTGTGCGACGACTGACGCGCAAGGGCGGCTGAGGCAGGTGCACGAGTTTCTCCATCGTGACCCTGTCTCGCCGGCGTTTTGGCCGTCGCAGAAGGCTGTGTATCAGTGGTTTTAGTTGTGTTGGCAGACGCAAGGTTCGCTAGTATCTCTTCTACCAGCTGCTCCTCGCCGACCGAAAAGTCAGACCCGTAGTCGCTGTCGCCGTTTATATCAGCAACACTTCCGACGCCGACGGGGTTGCTGTGGACGGGAATCGCCATTCCTCATACCGTCACGTTTGTAGAGCAGAGAGTTGGTTAAGCGGGTATGTCGGTCAGGAGCAAGCCATAGTCAAAATGACAAACTCGAGGCTTGTCTTATTGATGAATAGCACGGCACCGAGTTAGCTAAATACAGACGGGGTCTGACTTCTTAGCACATGGCATGCTGCCTGGCTGGCGTATCAGCAGCTGCAGGCAAAAACGCGTTTGTGGTTTGTGGCGAGGAGACGAGGAGACGAGGGCACGCGTGAACGTCATCATCGGCGGGTACATAGGTACGAGAGCTACCTAGTACTGTAGGCAACTGCTTCATACATACCGGTATGTATGTACAATTAGGTACCTCTTACTTATAAGTACGAAGTGTGTGCTTGCTTAGGTGGGGTACATTACCACTTTACCCACAAAATCCGAGAAGGTATTCAAGAGCGTTACTTCGACAGAGAATCTGTGGGATGCGGAACTTCCAAGTTGCCATTGTAAGCAGTCTAGTACTCACGTAGGTCTACCCTTGAGGGAAGAAGCGGGATTTGACTAATGGGGGAAAATCGCCTTTGATTTGTAGCTTCGAGGACGTTACAACTGAAACTTTACATTTGGGCAACTCTTGAGAGCCACACGCGTAGCAATTTGACTTTGGCAGGCTCAAGATACCCGTAAGCAGTAGGCACGGGCTTTATACGATTTTCCGACGACCAGGCTGCCGTCGGTCGGACATTGGATGGGCACGATGTAGGCTTAAGAGTGTCGCCGGTTCGTGGGGCAGAAGTCCACCAACGGTAGGTATTCTCTCGCCCAGTGAGGACCAGATCATCAAGCTGAATAACTCGGGTGGAATTCTCACACCCCTCCACCCGTCAGATTCATTGCCTTTCGCATCAGTTATGTCGACGGTGAAAATGTGGCCAACGCTGTAACGTCGGTGTTCGACATCCTCATTGAAGTATCCACATACTACTATGTATCACTTTGAGGCCCATACCATTTGCCTCTGTCTACTTGAAATTGAATTGCATTTTGATCTTTATTGGTATGTGCAATGGCAAGCTTTCCGTAACGCTTTTACAGTGACTTTTGGTGACTTACGAACCGCGATTCCGAATCTGCCTACTCAACAAGCCAGCAATGTCTCAGCCTCAGAACTCAAGAACTAAGCCGTAGGTGGAATAAGCTACCCAGCTGAGCCCTTATCCTGGTGCCTATGCCAGCTTGTCAACACTGCCACGCTCGAGAGGCCAGCTCAATTGTGTATCGAATGTAAAATAACAACGACAAAGGCAGCCATTAGACATATATAAGGGTTTCATCGTTAGCACTTGAAAACACTTTGGTTTATGCTACATCCCCAACCGCGTTCTCATCGGCTCGTACCGGCGCTGTCTGCAGCCTTTAGTAATCATCCGCTCATCACTCTCACACCTATGATACGCACCATGCCTGCTCTGGTCTCGCCAACAATTGCTTCAAACTATGGTACAAAGCACCGAGAGACCGGCTCTTCATTTATTTCGACTTCAAAGGCATCTATGGGTAGTCTGCCGACCGAACTTCACCTCCTGATTGCAAAACACCTTACTTATCCCGATGCCCTTTCTCTCAAGCACACCTCACGGCGTTTCTTCTACCTTGTGGACACAGGTGTCAAGCTCAAGGTGGCCTGGCTCATGGAACGGCGGAGTCTGCATCTAGAATGCCCGAATGACCGAAGGTGCGATCTCAGGAGCGACTTGAGATTCTGTAGAGGCAGTGTGAAGTGAGCCAATACTTCTATCTCTAACTTCACTTCCCGTTCTTCGCTAATACGTTACAGACTGCTGATGCAGCGACGCCGAGAGCATTTGGAATGCGAGTCACGGCCCGGTCTCGGCTGCCTTGTGTTCGGCACGGCTGCCTGTGCCCACCGGCAAAGTTCAGCACACCGGTTTCGCCGTTGGTTATGCTCACGTCTAACGGCAGACCTTTGGTGGTTCTTACTTGTCTTGCTCCCTGTGTGTCTAGGGTGCATATGGGCAACTAAGCTCGATACGTGGCCAAGTTGATTTTAGTAATAGTATTCTTCCTGACTAGAAGCAAAAGCTGGATGTCATATTCAATCAGCCCTGAATGCCCATGAAGTTAGAGAGACATGAAGCCATGCACGGGAGATGCCGTAATTGTAGGTCAGCCCTCCCCCCAACCATCAATTGGTCGAGATGGCATCGCTGGGATCCAAGGATATGCTCTCCCGCTTTGCCCCTTTTCGAGCGTACATCTTTTACAATATACAACTTGTATATAGGTAGTCTAGCCATGTAATTATTAATGGATACTCAACTTGGACGATTTTAACATCGGAGCTGCTTGCTTAGGCACCTCCTGTTCATACCGAGTGACTTCCAATAGCATGTAAGGCCCCAGTGAATTTTACATATGTATGTACCGTACCTCCCACATGGTAATCCGTGCTATCCGACAACACGGGTACACTAACTAGAGGTAGGTTTTGGCAAGGACTGCTGAGACAATAATCCATGTTTCCTCCTACCTCCTATCCACGCAGCGTTTGAAGTTCGCAAATTGTGCTAAAATGGCATTTGATCGCGTTTTCCTGGTTTCATACTACCTACGCACCTGTAAGTTCATCTGCGGAAGAGAGGATTTTACTGCAACACTTACAAAATACTGGGTAGGTGCGAAGCTGCCCAGTCACTCCGCTCGCTACCTACTTACATGTACGGTACCTAGGTAGGTAAGTAAGTAGCTAGGTAGGTAGGTAGGTAGGTAGGTACCTAAGTTGGGTGCTATGCTGGCCTACTATGGGCAGAAGCTAGGGGGTTCAGTAGGTACCTACCTACTGAGGCTTATCCTGTCCAACACCAACTCCCCTCCCCACTTCGATCCCCAGGACCCGTCCAATCCAAGTAGCACTACTCATCCCCTCCTCCTTTCTTCCTCCATCCAAGCCACAGCCACCCTTGACAGCCCGCCCTTACCCCTTCTTGTTGATCAGATCAATGAAATCAATCTCCCGGCCATTTGTGTCTGTCCACCTTGTCCATCTGTCTGCCTCCTCGGTTTGTTCTTTTCTCCCTGACTGATATCGTCTCTTTACCCGTTCTTAACGATATCCGCAGCCATTCAACAAACACCAGATCCCCCAATATTCCGGCGTACTATACATAGATTGTTATCGTCTTGTCCTTCACACCACCAACTAAAACCGGCCGCCCAACAGGTCTTGCGCCACTGTTGTTGCTAACTTGTGCCGCTCTTCTCTGTCTTGTACCTACCTACGGTAGAACGACTGTCACGTTCAGCCGATAATCAAACCATACCGCAGCCTTCCCGCCGCGGCGAAGCCGGTGCCCCTCCCTGTACGGCCTTTGACATCCGACCGAGTCCTACATATATTGTACATCTGATCAATTCCACCAGCCAGCTTCCTCCGACAATACACCTACAACAGTGTTCTTTTCCCACCTTCTTACGCAAGTTTTGTTATTGCCTTCTTTTGCGTCAACTGCATTCCCACGCCATACAGGCTCGACAAGATGTCGTGGAAACTCACCAAGAGTATGTGTCCGGAATCACTCCTGTCATATTTGTCAAAACACATTCTTGTCTTCCCCTATGCCAACTGAAGTGTCCACGGGTTTTATCAAACATAGTTTTCCCTCTTCCCCATGATGCTATATCCACCCGTATATTACCCTCACGTAAAGGCTATGTCTCATTGTGATTTCGTTGGCAAACTTAGTGTGACGGGTCCCGTTTCAATTACTTGGCTAATCAAATTTCGATTATACAGAATTGAAAGAGACCCATCTGGGCCCTCTTACAAGCACCTTCTCTCGCAATCCTTCAACATCCACCATCACAGATAAAGACGAAAAGGGACTTCTTCCCACCTCGGCTACCCCTACCCCCAGCGACAATGCCATCGGTTCGTAGACCCATCCACATCATGCTCAGGCTGTTTACAACTACCGGCAGCTATATGCTTACGCGTCCTTCCAGCTGCCTCTGAATCGATGGTGCAGGAGCCTGTAGTCAAACCTCCACAGCCTGGCATTCTTGTAATTACTCTGCACGAAGGCCAAGGGTTTGCTCTGCCCGATCAGCATCGGAATGCTCTTTCCTCACAACATCAATCAGGTTCCATGTCGACTGGTAACGCCCTCAATTCCGCGGGATCCGTACGACCCGGCTCGTCCCAGAGAACCGCTGCTGGGTCCTTTATGAATAGCTCCAGTAGGCCCCAGACATCGGCGGGCGGCTTCTCGGGTATCCCTTCCAACCACGGTCGAATTTCGAGCAAATACTTACCCTACGCTCTAATCGATTTCGATAAGGTCCAGGTGTTTGTAAGTGCCGTGTCAGGTACCCCCGAAAACCCTTTGTGGGCCGGCGACAACATCCAATACAAGTTCGACGTGTCCCGTGTAACAGAACTCGCTGTACATCTCTACCTTCGCAACCCCAATGCACCTGCTGGGTCAGGCAGGAGTCAAGATATATTTATGGGCGTTGTACGTATAAATCCTCGGTTTGAGGAGAAACGTATCTTCGTCGAAGATCCCAAGGCCAGCAAGAAGGATCGCGAGAAGGCGGCTGCCGAATTTTCAAGTCGTGAGCGGGAACGCGGACATAGTGGCCTAGAATGGGTAGATGTACAGTATGGCTCTGGCAAGCTCAAGATTGGAGTTGAGTACATCGAAAACCGGAAGGGAAAACTAACCATGGACGACTTTGAGTTGCTGAAAGTAGTCGGCAAAGGTAGTTTTGGTAAGGTTATGCAAGTGCAAAAGAAGGATACAAACCGAATCTATGCCCTGAAGACAATTCGTAAGGCCCACATCATTTCTCGGTCCGAGGTTGCTCATACACTTGCCGAGCGGTCGGTACTTGCACAGATCAATAACCCCTTCATCGTTCCTCTTAAATTTACCTTCCAGTCCCCAGAAAAGCTATATTTCGTCTTGGCCTTCGTCAATGGTGGCGAGCTCTTTCATCACTTGCAAAAGGAGCAAAGATTTGACGTGAACCGAGCACGCTTCTATACGGCCGAGCTTCTCTGTGCCCTTGAATGTCTGCACGGATTCAACGTCATCTATCGCGACCTCAAGCCCGAAAATATTCTTCTGGACTACCAAGGTCACATTGCGCTGTGTGACTTTGGCCTTTGCAAGCTCGATATGAAGGACGAGGATCGGACCAACACGTTCTGTGGCACACCTGAATACCTTGCTCCGGAGCTACTCATGGGTCAGGGATATAACAAGACGGTAGATTGGTGGACGTTAGGCGTTCTTCTTTACGAGATGTTGACGGGGTTACCTCCCTTTTACGATGAGAATACAAATGAGATGTATCGAAAGATACTCTCCGAGCCTCTACACTTCCCCGGGCCAGAGATAGTACCACCCGCTGCCAAGGATCTACTTACCAAACTCCTCAACCGGAAGCCTGAGGAGCGACTAGGAGCTGGAGGCAGCGCCGAGATCAAAGCGCATCCTTTCTTCCATGCCATAGATTGGCGGAAATTGTTGCAGCGTAAATATGAGCCGACGTTCAAGCCCAGAGTGGTAGGTGGTTCCTTGATCTCTTGTGACAGGTATTTTTAGCTTTGGGGTTAACAGGTTCTCTAGGTGGACGCAACGGATACAGACAATTTTGACCCGGACTTCACGAATGAAGTGCCTCAGGATTCATATGTAGAAGGTCCCATGCTGTCCCAGACGATGCAGGATCAGTTTGCGGGCTTCAGCTACAACCGACCGATTCCAGGGCTAGGAGATGGGGGCGGGAGTATTAAAGATCCCACAGTCATTGGCAGTGTCCAGGATAGACGTAGATGAGCTTGCAGCACTATTGGGTTTGGAATACCTTTGGTCTGCACAATCTAAACAAGCAGATATTTCTCGGTGCAAGCGACCTTGGCCGGCATAAGGCTTTGGAAATTTAGATCCGATAACAGCAGAGGCAGAGTGGTCGAAGAAGGGGTTTCATTGGAGACTATATAGGGCCGCTGTCTAGCAAGGTTTACAGGGGTCGCACAAGAACCAGGCAACTGTATCGAGCATGGACAGGCCAAAGCGTTTGGGAAACGTGAAATTGTAGGCGAAGAGACATTAAAGAAATTATCAGTCTCTCGTGCCATCTCGTCAGTACCCCTATAGGCGGTGCCACTTCTGAATGTCGATGAGGAAAGGGAACTTACGCGAGGACGTCAGCATAAATGGGATTAAATAGAATGATGAGAAATGGGCAAGTCTTGAGATAGGCTACCTCAGCCCTGGTCACCCATTTTCAAATTGACAAGAACGGTTTGCAACAATTGCCTTTATGCGCCCTCACGCCAAACGATTTCTGCATCAACGTAAAGTGTGGTATTTTATCATGCCGTGGCAAAAAAAGACAGAAACGCTTACACAAGAATACTTTCATTCTCGCTATGTGACATATATCCATTTATGCATAAGCTGGAGACAACGGGAGACAAATCATGCACTCTTTCACATATATACACATATATACACATCGACAACAAGATGTAATTGAGTGACTATGGTACTAGAGTCTATGTACTATCGTGGACGTACATAGGAACTAATATAGCTAGAAGGATTGAATTTTCAGAGGCGGAAATAACCACAGGTCAAAGGGAGCCCCCACGCAAGATGAGGGACGGGTTACTCGGAACCAGGGGTGTGTCTCCGAAGACCGGGTCGCCTTCTTGGCTGTAGGGAGGGAAGTACTTTACGACGCATATTGAGTACGTGCACAGATGCTTACTTACATATACCTATCTCGCGTAAAAGAGAAGGCTTGGAATTTGGATGAGGTTACAACTCAATAATCTACCGTATACAGGCACACCTGAGAACCTTGGAACCTACCTACCTACCGAGGTAGGTAGGTGTCTATTCTGCCTAGGTACATTAGACCCACGTATTCCAGTATTCTGTAATGGGAATTCAGTTGAATATTTAGGCACTTAGTGAGTGATGGGATGCAAGTCTGCAAGGAGTTTTATGTTCCCAAGGTTCTCCTTAATCTTATCGATATGCCCCTCACCCACCTAATGCTACCTACATATGTATGTATGTACCTAATGTATCTAGGTACACAGTAGGTACTTATTTCAAAGTGTGTAGGTAAGGTGGGTACAGTACATGGTAGTAGTCATCACGTCACAGCGACCGTGATGACAGCTAACTAAGCGCGGGGTAGGTACCTCCTACATGTACCTAGCAGCAACCCTGCTGCGAGAGGTACTTTGCTCTACCCCTCCAGACTGGCGGCTCACTCATCACCATCACCACGATAGCTCCAATCTCGCTTTCTTGTCCCCCACCTGGATAGTATATAAGTTACATGGTGTAATCTTCTCCTGCTTGCAAAGCCATCGTTCAAGTTTTTCTTTCTTGTTCTCGCCCAACGAATAATTCGCCGCGTCCAGCCCAATTCTCCTAATTTCTGTCCTTCCTCTCTTTCCTGCGTCGCAACCTTGACTGAGCTATCGCGAGACTTTCTTGGTAGGAAATAGAAGGTATGTGAAACACCACCCGCCGCCTGTTACCATTGTTCGTCACCCTCGCCTCGGCCTCACCACCGCTTTTATTCCCTCAATCTCACCTTCGTCCTCATTTCCAATCAGACAAAAAAGAACGCAAACCAATTCTCCTAACTCGTACTTCCAGGTCAGTATCCTTTGCCTCTTCAGATACTCAGAAGCATAGTTAGCTTGTATTCTTCTGGATTACGTGGATCGGCTCCATTTACTGTTCTGCCTCTGGGTCAACTCGGGGTCACACTTTCCAATTTTCCCTCACCTCCTTGCATATCCTGCCTGCTCCCATCGCGCCACTATCGACCATCCAAGTTCATGGTATCCATACTTATTTTGCCATCGGTATACTTGAATTTGTAGCTGACAAATTTCAAGCTTTGACGCAGTCAGCCGTCCCATAGCAACATCCTATTTCCTCCTACCACACAGAGTACCCAGCATGGCTCCAGCTACGTCTCTTCCCACTTGGTCCGCTCTCGAGGAGCATTACAAGACAGTCGGCAAGACCTTCGTCTTGAAGGATGCTTTTGCTTCCGACTCGGCTCGTTTCAACAAGCTCAGCAAGACCTTCCATGACTCCCCCTCCAACACGGACATCTTGTTCGACTTCAGCAAGAACCTCGTTACCGAGGATACCATTAACCTGCTCGTGAAACTAGCACAGGATGCTGGTCTCGAGAAAAAGCGTGATGCCTTGTTCGCTGGTGAAAAGATCAATTTTACCGAGCAGCGTGCTGTGTACCACCCTGCTCTACGCAACGTCGGCGGCTGGGATATGAAGGTTGATGGTCAGGACGTCATGAACAACCCCGGTGGTGTCAACGACGTTCTTAAGCATATGAAGGAGTTCTCGGAGCAAGTTCGCAGCGGTGAGTGGAAGGGGTTCACGGGGAAAAAGTTGACCACCATCATCAACATCGGAATTGGTGGCTCCGATCTGTAAGCCCCTTCCCCTTTCGCGATATGACGCAGGATTAGCTTACTTAGTGTACAATCACAGTGGTCCAGTTATGGTGACGGAGGCCCTTAAGCACTATGGCGCCAAGGATATGACTCTGCATTTCGTTTCCAACATTGACGGCACCCATATGGCTGAAGCCTTGGCCAACTCAGATCCTGAGACTGTTCTTTTCCTTGTAGCATCTAAGACTTTCACCACGGCTGAGACGACGACGAACGCTAACACTGCGAAGTCGTGGTTCCTAGAGAAGACAAGTGGCAAGGGCGAGATTGCCAAACACTTTGTTGCTCTATCTACCAACGAGCCTGAGGTCACCAAGTTCGGTATTGATAGCAAGAACATGTTCGGCTTCGAGAGCTGGGTTGGTGGTCGTTACTCTGTCTGGAGCGCTATAGGTCTCAGCGTCGCCCTCTACATCGGATACGACAACTTCGAGAAGTTTCTAGCTGGTGCACACGAGATGGACAAGCACTTCCGTGAGACACCATTGAAGGACAACATTCCCGTCCTTGGTGGTCTTCTAAGTGTGTGGTACAGTGACTTCTTCGGTGCCCAGACTCATCTAGTCGCTCCGTACGTATACAACCATGGATTATTGATCTTGATGATTACGTTCTGATCGAATTTCTGTCATAGCTTCGACCAATACCTACACCGCTTCCCTGCCTACCTTCAACAGCTGTCTATGGAATCTAATGGCAAGACCATTACATCGGACGGCTCCCCAGCCAAGTACACCACAGGCCCCATCCTATTTGGCGAGCCTTGCACTAACGCGCAACACTCCTTCTTCCAATTGGTACACCAAGGTACCAAACTCATCCCTACGGACTTCATCCTGGCCGCCAAGTCGCACAACCCTATCAGCAACAATTTGCATCAGAAGATGCTAGCCTCCAACTATTTTGCTCAGGCCGAAGCCCTAATGATTGGCAAGACGCCAGAGCAAGTTAAGAGCGAAGGTACACCGGATGACCTAGTACCACACAAAGTGTTCCTGGGTAACCGACCCACGACCAGCATCCTAGTAGGTGGTACCATCGGCCCTGCTGAACTAGGTGCCCTTATCGTTTACTATGAACATCTCACCTTCACCGAAGGCGCCATCTGGGACATTAACTCGTTCGACCAGTGGGGTGTCGAATTAGGCAAGGTGCTAGCCAAGAAGATCCTCAAAGAATTAGATGAGCCCGGCAACGGCGAGGGCCACGACGTCAGCACTGGCAGTCTCATCGGAGCATTCAAGAAGTATGCGGGCAATTGAATACCGAAAAGGGCGACGAGCCATCCACGACTTTAAAAGTTAAGCTTGAAAGTCCTGGGTGAGTAGATTACAGGCTAAAATTGAATTATCTTACTTCACGGGTCCGCTTCTATTCCTCTTTTTTTTTTTTTTTTTTTTTTTTTTTTTGGCTTGTTGGAGTGCGGTTGTGTAGGTAGGGTACGGAATGGATGGGATAAGGCGGGAAGCACTCTGCAAATGAATTGGCATTTGTGACTCACGATGCTCGGGGAATCGCGTCAGACCTATATCACGAGCGAACACAAACGAGCACAAACAACCAAATGGCTGAATTTTAATTGATATGGATCTGGCATGAAGATCATACGGCATCAAGTTGGGCTCCTAAAACTGTGCCTAGTGAACTAAGATTCATATACAGGACTTATAAATGGTAACCTGACTAAGGCTGGAGGTCTTAAAATTGACCTTTTCACATCAAACCAATATGGGTACACGCAGTGCACTCTCTTGAAGCTACCCATGTGGGAATGTCAGCTGGACTTGGTAAGCTGCTTAGTAAAACTTCTTTGACTATTGATATGAAAACTATCAAAATTGAGTATATAAATGGATATAATACAATTCCCGTGTCTTGTTATGGGTTGCGAGTTTTTATCGAAGTAAGCATGCTTGTGCGTGCGTCCTGTGATCTTGGCTCGAATATGTACGGTTCAGATACTCTAGTGTTAAGGCTATATATCTGGCGTTTAAGCTGGCGTATACTCCGAGTCCTATTGAGGAGGAGGAGGAGGAGGTGAAGGAAAAGAAGGAGAGTAGACAGAGGGGATCTTACAGGAGAACAGGTATGAAGAATTTTAGGCGGTGATATCTAGAATTATATGTATGACATTGTTGTTGAACTTTGACGCCCCGTCAACAAGTAATTATTGAATGATGTATGTAAATGACTTGGAATTCTATACGAGTCAAGGAGAAATGCTTTAGATTATTCTGTTGTGGTGAATAGGATTTTAGAAGGGAAGCTTTCAAATGGGAAGGAATAGTATAGTCTTTCAATTTAGCCCATTTACCATTATAATTCCCGTTATATGGAAAGCAAAGCACAACTCTGGATGTGGCCCGCGAGGTATATGCATGTCTTCTTGGTTTTTGTTAGGCTCTCATAAGCAGTGTTTATTCGTATTCAAAAAGGTAAATTGAACACCATGTCGTATCTATCCTACTCCTACATGTAACATGTAAGTTGACTGACTACCACCTACTTAGCTAGCTACATACGTCTTTGCTTGTAAGGAGATATTGATATGAGGTACTATTCGGAAAGTTGTCTTACTTAATGGGACAGAGTACACAATGGAGGCTGAGTAAGTACATATAATCCGTCCTGAAACAGTATAATTATCGTATTTGACAATTCATAGGTTCAACGCGGTATCGCTTTCATGAAGTAGCCAGCTATGATTGAGTAGCAGCGGCGTGGTCACGATCAGGGTCGGAATAAATCGGGGTCTAGTGTGAATCCTAAACAATCAGGCAGGCGGCTCCCGTAGCTTGGCACGGAGGCCGCTTGCTACTTTTCACGTGTAGATGCGGTTCATGAGTAGAAGATCAAAACTAGACTACCGCGATACCCTTGACACTGGTCCCAAATAGGATATTGGCATAAGCGAACGCTATCTGTTCGAAACGATCGTTTGGTTGCGGGCAATGGTAGATAGGTCAGGCTCGGCGCAAATTCAGTAGTAGTTGGGCAGCAAATCGGGCCGTAAAGCCTAGTATCGCCAGATTCGCTTCAAATGAAGCGATCTATATTACGATGGCCACGGAGACGAATATGCAAGAAGCGATAATTTCGCCGCGGTATCTCCTTGCATGCTGCAGGGAGCAATAACTTGAAGCAACAAGAAAGGGAACTCATGTGAAATGGGCTCAGTAAGCGCTGGTTGTTCTTTCGTTTAGTTTCTTTGCGCTGTATAAATAACATTAGCGTATCTGGCTATTGATCCAATGAAAGCGACGACAGTAATAGAGGCGCGACAAACCATCGTGAAATGGTGTACTGCGGCTACTGTCATTAGTGTGAGTGGAATCAGGTGGGCCAAAGCCGAGAAGAAAGGGCCCAACCGTGACGTCCGGGGTGGAGTCTTTCATTGCTGGAGGATGGGGAAGATATCGTGGTAAGTCTACTAATAAGTACGCTACTGGCATCCAGGCTCAAGGCGCAAGAAGGTGAAGGACCAAGTAAGGGAACGTTACCGCCCGTTGTCTAAGTCGATGGGACTCAAGTCGTACCGAAATTAGGCAACCGTTGACGCTAGGCCGACAGAGCAGGTATCCACGCCGTATACTGTCGGCACCCTACATTGCAGACATGCTCTGTAGGTGCAATCGTTGATGGTGAATCGAAACTCAAAGACCAGGATACTGGCGATGTTGTTTCCAGCCGTGGAGGCATAGTGGGCCTGTAAATCCCGGAGTCCTTTAAGTATCTAACGTGGTGGAAACTGGGGAATTAGTGTATCACGTGATAGTAAGCTGCTCGTCGCTAGGAATCTCGAATGCCTACACCTGTATAGTTCAGTTGTAAGAAAGCCGACCTTGTCAGGTTCCCCTTGACGGGCAGGCTTTTTGTGAGATTCGTGATACTTCACTTTTGTCCTCAGCCACCTGCTCTGGAAAATTCCCATCGCGGGTCTCCGGGGTCACGCGTGGCGCGATACCTGTTACACGTGTACAAGCTGAACGCGTAGTTCACCTTTTGCTACCGGCGTAATGGTAGCTGTTACTGATCGATCTTGGAAATGAGGTTACACAGACTTCGCTTCATGAAACAAGCCAATGAGACCTAGGCGGTCAGGGCTGGCAGACCAGTTGTATAAAGAGTCAAGTCAAGCCACCAAGACCAAAAAGGAATTGAGTGACCGGGGACTTTTGCAGGCCTCGTAGATTATCATATTCTAAATACCATCAAATTCCAAGCCCATATCTCTGCCCTTGTTTTAGTGGACGAGAGTAACCCAACGATCCCATCATTCCACGATATAGAGAATGAAGCATGTTCCACGACTTTTGCGCAAAAATAATCTAGCTTTCCGACACTGAAATCACATGGAGGGAGATGAGACGCAGTTATTTTCAGATGATGACAGGGAGAATCACCCTATCTCCAAGCGCTCGGCTTCCGAAGAACCGAATACCGCCCCTGGTGCCAAAAGAATCAAGATACTTTATGATGCGCGTCCAAAGGCAGAATCTGGGCCTCCGGCTGCACCACAGCGAATCCCTTTCCCAGACAAGGTATGTTAGTTCCATTGAGATGACATGAATCGTTCTAAGTGTCTTCAAGCCCACAGTTATAGAAGAAAGAAATGGCGAGATTGAGTTTCGAGTTGTCAACAACGATGGCAGCAGAGAGAACACAATTATCCTCACAGGTCTTAAATGTCTATTTCAGAAACAACTGCCAGAGATGCCTAAAGCGTATATCGCACGTCTTGTTTACGACCGTACTCATTTATCCATCGCTCTTGTGAAGAAGCCTCATGAAGTTATTGGCGGGATAGCATACCGTGAATTCCGAACCCGGAAGTTTGCTGAAATCGTGTTTTGCGCGGTCGAAGCCGATCAGCAAGTCAAAGGGTATGGAGCTCACCTCATGGCTCATCTGAAGGATTATGTCAGAGTCACTTCGCCTATTATGCATTTCTTGACCTACGCCGACAATCATGCTACCGGTTACTTCCAAAAACAGGGCTTTTCTAAAGACATTAGTCTAGACAAGTCTATCTGGATGGGGTGCATTAAGGATTACGAAGGAGGAACGCTGATGCATTGCCCAATGATTCCTCGAATTCGTTATCTCGAAGCTGGCCGTATGCTTCTTAAGCAGAAAGAAACTATACAGGCCAAACTTCGTCTCTTAAGTAAAAGCGACGTCGTCCACCAACCCCCCCAGCAATGGACGGACGGCACCATCATGCCAATTGATCCACTCTCTAACCCTGCTATCAAGGCAACGGGCTGGTCTCCAAGCATGGACGAACTAGCCCGGGAACCACGCCGTGGACCCCATTTCAACGAACTTCATCGTTTCTTATCCCAGATCCAATTCCATAAACAAGCATGGCCCTTCCTCTATCCAGTAAATAAAGACGAAGTTACAGACTATTACGATGTTATTACTTCGCCAATGGATCTGTCGACTATAGAAGATAAATTGAAGCGAGACCTTTATGCTGCTCCGAAGGGCCTTGTTAATGACCTGAAGTTGATGTTTAGTAATTGTCGGCAGTATAACGACGCGTCAACGGTTTATAGCAAGTGTGCGGCCAGGCTGGAGAAGTATATGTGGAGTCTCATTAAGGAGATTCCGGAGTGGTTTGAATTGGTCGACGAACAATGATTGGTGCCAGCGCGTCTCTATCTTTAGAGCTATGTCTGTTGCCTATGGCGAGGCTTTGCCATAGGTGGGAGCCGGTCTTAAGCGACTGATTTCGGATGTGATGCAGAGCAGGATGAAGGAGATTCTACTGTCAATTTCAGAAGCGCTTTGAATTACTTGACTCTTTCCACACATTGACGCCATTGTTATCTGGTCAGTTTCACTAGGTACTCCTAGCTGGGAAATTACGTTATTCACCATCTGAGACTCAAGTGGCTTGGTGGGATGTGGAAATAAATAGTAGACGGTGAATGAGTTACCGCGGATCGCCCTTTGCTGTTTCATCATCCCGAGCACTGCCCGAGTACTTACCTAGTCTTAAAAGTCATGTATAGTAGTTGGGTAGACTAACACGCTGCTCGACTGGGGTGGTAACGGCCACACTTGCGAACGTTATGTACGTTCTTACGATGATGCTTGATCTTACCTGCCTTGTTTGGTTCTATAACAAGCTAGGTAGTTGAATCTGTTTTGGAAATAAGACGGTTACTCTTTCGTGTGTTTCGGTGCATTTGCGGTAATACTTGGCTGGTTAAGTAGGTAGGTGCCGTAGTGTACAGTAGGTGGTTAGTGGGGGAAATTAGTCCATCAAATATAGCCTTCGTACTGCTTGGGGAAAAAAAAAAGAAAAAAAAAAGGCTGGTCGCTTACCTTCTCGAATAAAACTTCAACGATTCTACACCTTTGTAGGCACGTCGTTAGTAGATTGTGGAAATGTAGTTGGGATGGAAGAAATGTGATTAGTACTTAGTCATACAAGGCTCTCCAATAGGAACCTGGAGTATCTAAACCTACGTAGGATCAGGAGCCTCCGAGGAGGGTGTTATCAAAGGTTAAGTATGCCACTATGTTAGGGTAAGGTAAGTAGCAAATAATGATCCGAGAAGAGGAAGATAGGATAAAAGGGAACCAAGTTCATTTCATCTAACATGTTACCTATTGCGTAAGAAGCCATCCTTGTCCACTATCAGCTATCAACGTGTGCTATGTCCTCATACATAGTCTCCATTGGTAGCTAGAGTCATAGCCATTGGCAGACTACTCGGCATAGATTGTATTATGACATCTTACATAGCACTCGTGAGTAATACCAGTAGCCTGTAAGTAGGTATGTGAAGATGTCACCGAGGTGGAAATGGGCTTACATAGTAGACACGAGTACCCCACTAACAATACCTGTGAGCACTAGTGAAAGTGGCCATGACGTCTTCGCAGAGGGGCTGACTGCCAAGTTAGTACTAGAGTGTCTGCACTAATCTAAGTAATGAACAATCTACAGTAAGTACCTGTTTAAACTAGCATACATGGCTAGATAGGTATCATGGAGGGAGAGAGGGATGTAGGTATTGGTCCGTATTGCCGTTGAAACACGGATGGTAGTCAATACTCGATGACTACCATATACCTCCCTATATAATACGCGCATACAGTATGTAGTGAGGAGGCAGTTGGGGCATGAGCGACATCGGCCTGCTTATAGCAGTGAATGCAAGCCGAGTTGCAAGCATCGTAATAAATATGCGTGGGTGGTTGTGCCGAGTTGAAGCATTAGGCGGGAAAGGAAAGGAAACCAAGCCAAACCGCTCGTTCTGCTCGGGCTCTTGGTGTATCTAGAAGGTACCACGTACTCACATCGCCTGTCGAGCCCGCCCTGCGTGTATTTGGAAGGTTCCTACACAGTACTGGGATCTCTTGCAACGTATATGCGAGATTTTGGTGCTGTCGGCCCTCGAATACAGCCAATCTTGGGGGTGCGTTAAACCGTGTCGCACGATTGATGCATGAGGGAATTGTACCTATGTACTCAAGGTATCACACTGCAGCATTCGACCATGGAATTGACGCTGTTGTAGGTATTGCAATGTATCCCGATGTAGGCATATGCCAAAACAGTCACGGGTAGGGAGTTACTTAAGTACATATGTACATAGTAGGCACTTCCCTACCTAGAGGTAGTAAGATGTATTCAATTTCCTGGCGGAAGACGCATCCATCCACCTTGTCTGTGCCTGTTCCTGTGCCTGAACAGTTAAATCTAGGTACAAATCTACCAGGAGGTCCTGGTGACATACTCCCGCTAGTACCTAATCAAGTGGCTTCGTTCTGCACGTGCACACCCTCAATACGTGAGGTTGAAGTTAACGGACGGCAGCAGTACTTACCCAAGAAAGTAAGTGCTTTTGCCCGCTTCATAGTGGGGTGGTACAGTTGCCGGTACTCCGGGGTACTACGGGGTACTACGGAATACCTGCCCCTCCATCCTCACATCCTCCACCCTAGTCCACCCCTCACTGCGTGCGCTTGCCCGGCATCCTCCCTTGCCTGATTGGATTGACGCATTCTCTCACCTTTTCTCGTCTCCTCTGCATTGATGTGACGAGAATCACCTATAAGAACTCTCTCCTTCCCCGCCTCATTCGACTTCCCTTTCAATTTCCTAGCATACCTCACCACAAATCTTCCTTTCACATCCAATTGACCTTGCTCATTCCGCCATATCCTTTGCTCTATACACATCCCGCGTCCTCTATCACCATGGCTAAGAAAGCTGTTCATTTCGGCGCTGGCAACATTGGCCGAGGCTTCGTTGCCTGCTTTCTCCACGAGGCCGGCTACCAGGTCGTCTTCGCTGATGTCGTAGATGCCCTCGTCGACTCTCTCAATAAGCAGCCTTCTTACAACGTCGTCGAGCTAGGTACTCATGGTACTACCCAGAAGACTATCACAAACTATATCGCCGTCAACTCTCGCACAGACGAGGCCAAGCTAATCGATGAGATTGCTTCTGCCGACATCGTGACCTGCTCTGTTGGTCCTAGAATCCTCCAGTTCATCGCTCCCGTCATTGCCAAGGGTGTTGCCAAGCGTACCCTCGAACAGACCCCCCTCGCTGTCATCGCCTGCGAGAACATGATCAACAATACCTCCAACTTGGCTGGTCACATCAAGGACCCCAAAAACACGCCTGCCGAGAGCTTGGCCGACCATGACAAGAAGACTGTCTACGCCAACTCGGCTGTTGACCGCATCGTCCCCGACAAGAAGGGCGAGCCTACCCTTGATGTTCAACTTGAACTCTTCTACGAGTGGGTCGTTGAGACGACCCCATTCACCAACTCTGGCGTCACCAAGCCTGAGATTCCGGCTATCCACTGGGTCGACAACCTCGACCCCTACATCGAGCGCAAGCTGTACACAGTCAACACTTCTCACGCCACGGCCGCGTACTACGGTTACAACCGTGGTAAGGCCACCATTCATGAGGCCATGGCCGACCCCAGCATCCGAGAATCAGTTGCTGCTGCCATCTCCGAAACCGCCGCCTTTATCGTCAAGAAGCACGGCGTCTCTAAGGATGAACAGGATGCGTACAAGAACAAGATTCTTGACAGGATCAGCAACCCTAATCTCGATGACTCTGTCAAGCGTGTAGGCCGTGAGCCGCTGAGGAAGCTTGGACGTCGCGAGCGACTCATCGGACCCGCGGCTTCGCTTGCCGAGGAGGGTATGGAGACTTCAGCACTGTTGGCAGCTGCTGAGATGGCGTTCCGTTTCCAAAATGTGGATGGTGATAATGAGAGCAAGGAACTGGCCAAGATAATGTCTGAGAAGAGTGCCGACGAAGTGGTCAGCCAAGTCTCTGGCCTCGAAACCACGCACCCACTTTACTCCAAAGTCAAGGCCGTAGTGGAGAAGGTACAGGCGGATAGCCGTGATTGACAGGTATCCCGAGGAGAGGTGTCTGGTTCGGAATCCGGACCTGGTTTTTCCACGAAGTTATGATATGTTAGCGGGCGCGCTCGGGTTTTCTTTTGAGGGACTAATATAAGGAACAAAACGGCGTTTAGCAATGATATCGGGAGGGCATCAATGGGCGCAAGGGATTCGCGCAATATGCCTAGGCATGATGAGTTGGCACAAGCCTGAGCTGCGTTATATTGTCCTCGTGATCGTACACTGCATTTCCACTACAATACAAGTGATAGAGGATCGTGTGCAATTAGACGATAAAGAGTGGCCTATACTAGAAGATCGCTTCACCATTACCTATCTGCTTATTTCTTTGAATGGACCGTGACGCCCCATATGTACCGATGATCGTAGCGGAGGGCAAACTGTGTTGTTTTGTCGGCCATTGTGCTGTAACACGTATATGCAACCACTAGTACGTAGTATATGCAGTATCCAGGTGAGTTGGTAGCTGATTAGATAGGTAGCCGATAAGATAGGGCCTGAGTCTGGCCTCAGGCACTAGCCACACCTCTCTAAGTACTTGTACATGCCTGGCAGAGGTGGGGATAGAAATACATGTAGGTACTTAGGGCCCACAGGCAACCAATGACCATCCATCATCTAGTTCAATACCTCGATCTGTCAACTAAGTGAGTCCAAGCTAACTTGGACGATGGTCAATTATCGACACCTCCTACGACGTGACCGACCGACCGACCGACTTTCCACTCCCCTCTTCCACTACCATTCCTGCGCACGGCATCGACGACGAGTTCCGCGAGAACGAGGCGAACGAGAAGAACGTATAAAGACGAGCGGCTACTTCGCAGCTGTAATATAGGCGAGGACGAGTGTGCTTTTATTATAGACCTGGTTCTGATCAGCCATACCTACACGGCTAGGAGTTCTCCTCCACATGAGCTTCTGGCCTACCTAACACTACCTTCGCCAATTGATTCCCTGCCGACCGTCCTCGACCGTCCACCTAGGTCTCGCCATATAACTAAGTTGCGGTCGCGAACATGAGGCTAGACGTAAAGGTGTGTATTCGCAGTGTCTCGTAGTTAGGTGGTGGGGCTCTGTTCAGATTCTCCCAAGGCTGTGTTTCTCCCGGATGAAGACTCGTCTGTGCTTTGAATCTGCTGCCGGGCGTCCTTGGTAGCTTGATCAACTCTTCCGAATTCCGCTCTAGAGCAGCCAAGATACAGTATCCATTGCTAATGCGGTCTGCACATACAGCGTCAGCTCTTTGCGCGCAGCGAGCGTGTCAAATCGGTCGACTTCCACCCCCAGGAGCCTTGGATCTTGACCACACTCTACAGCGGCATGTCTTCTATATTCGCTAACTTTGTTACTGCCTACTGACCATAACCCAGGCCATGTTTACATATGGTCTTACGAGACGCAGCAGGTTGTCAAGACTTTCGAGGTTCGTTTGTCTTACCTCCGCCATAAGGATCACTGGACTGCTTGCGCAGCTCTCCCCCTTATTGCAGTTGCTCTTTGCAGACGAGCGATCACTGACACCACCCCGTTGTATAGTTAACCGACGTTCCTGTGCGAGCTGGTCGTTTCATCGCTAGGAAGAATTGGATTGTCTGCGGGTCTGATGATTTCCAACTCCGAGTTTATAATTATAACACCTCAGAGAAAGTCACCTCCTTCGAAGCGCACCCAGATTACATTCGGGCCATCGTTGTTCACCCCACGCAACCTTTCGTCCTGACAGCTAGTGATGATGTGAGGAATATAGCTTCTTTATGTTGTGATGATTGCTAACAGATTCATAGATGACTATTAAACTGGTATGTCGCACTTATCACGCTCATTAGTGCTTCTACCACTACTGTATAAAATTACTAACCTTTATCAGTGGGATTGGGAACGTCAATGTACGTTTTGGTGCAGCCATCCTGTATTCATTCTTGTTGCTGCTCTTCACCAGTACTAAACCACAACTGCCTCACAGGGAAATGCGTTCAGGTCTTCGAGGGTCACAGTCACTATGTAATGAGCCTGGCAATAAACCCGAAAGATACCAACACCTTTGCATCGGCCTGCTTGGATAGGTAATTTGAGTCCCCTTTACCTCGAAATTTTCCAAAAGTACTGACTGACTGCGCAGAACCGTCAAAATTTGGAGTCTCGGGTCATCATCCCCAAATTTTACCCTCGAAGCCCATGAGACAAAGGGCGTCAATCACGTAGACGTTAGTCCCAATTATTTGCTTCGCAGACTTTGACTGTCTCATAGAGTCTAACAGAGACACAGTACTATCCCCATAGTGACAAGCCATATCTTCTAACAACTTCGGATGATCGGACCGTCAAGTCAGTTCTATGTTTCTCATTCTTAGCAACGCATCACACTGACTTACCACCACCATAGAGTCTGGGATTATACGACCAAATCTCTTATAGCTAGCTTGGAAGGACATACAAGTAACGTATCTTTCGCTGTCTACCATCCTGAGCTGCCCATAATTATCTCGGGTTCCGAAGATGGAACTATCAGAATGTGGCACGCCAATAGTGAGTATATCACATATAATCCAAGAAGTAATGTGAAAGAGTTGAGCTCTCAACTAACTCCTCCTAGCCTACAGGTTTGAACAATCTCTCAACTACGGCCTAGAGCGATGTTGGGCTGTAGCATATCAACGTGGCAAGCAGGGCATCGCTGTCGGCTTTGATGATGGTGCCGTAGTGGTCAAATTAGGTCGCGAAGAACCCGCCGTGTCTATGGATGGTTCTGGCAAGCTAATTTGGGCACGACATAATGAAATTGTCTCATCTATCATCAAGGGTGGTGGTATGTGATGCTCTAAACAACAACAGGGTTCTCTTACTAACAAAAATCTAGATGCGTCTGTTAAAGATAATGTACCCATCACACTTCCAACTAAGGAACTGGGCACTTGCGAGATATACCCGCAAACTCTGCTCCACTCTCCAAATGGACGTTTTGTCGCAGTCTGTGGCGATGGTGAATGTAGGTGTCACGGGATTCGAATCCTACTCAGGTGATCATATCCTAACAATGCCGTATAGATATTATCTACACCGCTCTGGCCTGGCGTAACAAGTCTTTTGGTTCAGCTCTAGACTTCGTGTGGGCTTCCAAAGAGAACAGCAATGATTATGCCATAAGGGAATCTAGTACTGGTGAGTAGCCATTCACTGTGTTGTCCTAACTATCACCACCATTGATATAATTCATTTTTGATTTTCCCTTTACTCAAGGGTTACATGTGCTAATACTAAGCTTGCTATTTACAGTGATCAAGGTCTACAAGAACTTCGTCGAGAAACCCGGTGGCTTAGACATCCCATTCCAGGTTGACGGTTTGACTGGCGGTATTCTCCTGGGTGTAAAGGGCTCAGGAGGGATATCTTTCTACGATTGGGCAACTGGTGGCCTTGTCCGACGGTGGGTTTTAGACACCTCCCTTGCTGATTTAACCTAAGAGTTTGGATGCTAATGCGCTAAGTAGAATCGAGGTCGAGCCACGCCAAGTTTACTGGTCAGAGAGCGGCGAGCTTGTTACGTTAGCTTGCGAGGACACCTTTTATGTCCTGAGATACTCGCGCGAGAACTATATTGAAGCCGTTCGAGCTGGGCAAGTTGACGAAGATGGCGTGGAAGCTGCCTTTGAGGTCATCACGGATATCGCAGAGAGGTAGGTTACCTTCATCTCCATTGTAAGAAGTATTGGTGTACTAAATCTGTCACAGCGTTCGCACCGGCGAGTGGGTGGGCGATTCGTTCATCTACACCAACAGCACCAACCGGTTGAACAGCTTAGTCGGCGACCAAACTTACACAATCACTCACTTCGACCAGCCTATGTACTCATTGGGTTTTATCCAGAGGGATTCGAGGATTTACCTCGTGGACAAAGATGTCAATGTTACGTCCTTCGCCCTTTCGCTTCCTGTTCTAGAGTACCAAACTCTAGTATTGCGAAATGAAATGGAGACAGCGGCCGAGCTGTTACCCAGCATCCCGAGCGATCAGCTCAATAAGATTGCCAGGTTCCTAGAAGGACAGGGCTACAAAGAGCTGGCGCTCGAAGTAGCTACTGACCCCGAGCACAAGTTCGACCTTGCCCTTGCGCTGAATCAGCTAGAAATTGCTCTGGAGCTGGCACGTGAGGCTGACGTGGAACATAAATGGAAGACGGTCGGTGACACAGCGCTCGCTGCCTGGGACATAGCGCTTGCCACCGAATGCTTCACACACGCGAGAGATCTTGGCTCTTTGCTCTTGATCTACTCAAGCACCTCGGATCGGGAGGGCTTAAAGGCACTATCTACACAAGCTGAAGAATCTGGCGCTCATAACGTTGCATTTACTAGCAAATGGCTGCTGGGTGATACGGCTGGTTGTGTGGATATACTCGTCAAAACAAACCGCCTGGCGGAAGCTGTCCTCTTCTCTCAGACGTATAAACCCAGTCTGACAACAAAGGCAGTCAATGGATGGAAGGAAAGCCTAGACAAATCAAAAAAGGGACGTGTGGCCAAGATTATTGGCGTCCCAATGGAAGACGAAGATCTGTTCCCAGAATGGGAAGAGTGGTTGCGATTAGAAGAGCAGGGTGGAAGTGTGGATGCTGTGGCCAAGGGCGAAAACAAGGCTGCCGAGTCGGAGGCTGAAGGGTCGAGTGAGGCGTCAGAAGAGGATGATGACGATGACGAAGAAGAAGAAGACGACGAAGACGAGGAGGATGAGTAAGGACGCTACCTTGTCCGTTCGTCGTGGACCAGCGATGGGTTGAACGAGAAGAAAAATAAGTATAAACTCATTTCCCATAGTAGAAGATGTTGCATTCTAATTTGCTACATGAAATGGTGGACTTAGACAGGCGAGCAATGAAAAAAAAAAGGGTTGGAACACTTGGCTTCAAGTGGTTTGTACGTCTAGGTCAGTATCACCACAGTTCTAGTTGTTGTAGTTGGTGAGAGAAGGCAACCCCATCCCAGATATTCGCCCCTCCACTTGTAGTTCTCCTAAAGGCTGAGATGAGAGGATAACTATGGAGACAAAAAGGCCGATCATACCTGATGTATTCGAAGGCGGCTAGATGGGTATAAGTGTTTAATCTTGATAAATACCCATTTTCTGTTTGAAACGGTTGACATGAGATTTCCTTGGGAAGCCGAGATCACCAAAAACGTGCATATTGCTACATAATTCACGAAATGATACCTCCGCGGGTATAAACATCGAAGGGTAGGATGTTATAAGCTTGGTAATTACATGATCTTGTAACACAATTAGGTATTCGAGTGTCAAAAACCTAAGCAGCCATGGTTGAGTGATGGTAAGTACATGGTGTGTGTTCTCACAGGCCTTGTAAGCGCGGTCCAGCGTTCCGAATATAAGCACAGTGGGACGAAGATGAGCTCAATCAGAGACAATCTCTACCAAGTCCTTTGGCTCTACATGAGATGCTTTACCAGCACGGTACATGTGGCGAAGCAGGGAGTCACGATGGCAGTAGTGTGAAGTATGAAAGAGATTCTCGGTTGGTGAAGAGAACCTTGCTCACCGAGCGGTATCCTCGGACACGGAAGAATCTACTCCGCATGTAGTCCAGATAAAATGAAAGAGGTCTATCGTAGTAGTCATTCAACATGTATCTTGCTGGTCACTTTATGCTATGCTGAGTAGGCAACTGACTAGGCTAGGCGCCGCGGATTATATTGTATATTATATATTGTATTGCACGAGTTGACGGCCTTCGACAACACCGGTCTCTGCCACTTTTGGTACATTCATGGAAATCCTTTTCGAGTGCGAAAGCCACCCTGTACTTCACCGGCCATAACACAACGTTCCTCTTGCCCTTATCCGTACGTCTTCTGCGGTCATCTCAGCCCTCTATTGTCCATTCCCTTAGCAAACAGTTGACCAGGTGAATTTGCACTCTGTCTCTGTACTGTATCCGGGACGTCGTCGAGCCCCTTTCGTAGACGGTCTCGCATGGCCGTTCTTGGCTGCCAGGCGGGCCATGCATTCTATGCCCGACGTGGCTTCCTTCACCCGTACGTCTAAAGCCACCTATTTTGGTGGTCGTCCTAATCACGTCGCAGAGGGGGGAATTTCCTCACGCGGGCGTTCTAGAATTGCCCTAGCGAGCAACTGTCGAGGCGCTCTCGGATGTATGTCGTACACCAATCGGCGCTGTATTGTTGGGCCTTACCACAAGGCGTACACTACTTACACTGTAGCGTAGGTATACGGGTCTCATCTTTACCAAGGGGAAACACGGACCCCCTCAGGGGTGTAATCACCCGTGGCGCCACGAGATAATCTTCGGCTAGTGAGGACAATGCCATGCTTCGGAACTGCACTTAGCAGTCTCTGCCGCGCGCTAAAATCGTCAATTCAGTCCGAAGGAGACACATAAAAAATTTCGGAATAGTGTGAATACCGTCGATTCCAAGCACGTGGCCGAAATCCGGGTTACATGGTACCCGAGCTTATAAGACGTCCTAAATCTTGCCGGGGAGTGGAGGAAAATCGTGAGCATTGTCAAGTGTCACATAATGTTTAATTCAACGCTGACGGGATTTCTGTGTTTTGAAGACCGATCTGTGTGTGTTATATATAAGCAGTAGCCATTTATGTTAATTAAAGAAGCATTTAAGTTCCTGTAGCCACAAGATTTGATTAATCTATAGTCTGTCTAGATTAATGTATGGGCAAAGTCAACCCCTTTTCCGAATATGAGTCTCATGCCTTTTGCGTAGCGTAGCAGTCCTTAACTAGCGACGCTCCCGTCACAACGAGAGAACAATATCAACATAGAATAGGTTCAAGTCTCATGTCATGAGTGTTAATGGAGATGGTGCTCGAGAATTTTAGTGATAATGAAGTCACAAGTGCTGAAATAGGTGGGGTTTGCGAGAACGCCCAGATGTCACCGAGTTCGTAGATATTAGACGCTTGGGCCAAATATGGTGAATGTGATAGATCAGATCCGCGTATCTGCAATAACGCGGTAGGCTTACCCAACAATTAAATCAATAGATGGATAGCCTGGGTCGAAGACAAAAGGGGTGCTTGTACCATTCGTATTTATTATGAGGATCTCCCCGCCTCACTGGCGGGACCTCACTCAATTGACTTCCCTTCCAGCTCTTCACGCCCCATTCAACAGCTGATCAAACCTGAATTCCATTCTTTTTTCCCTTCTTCAATTCCTGGTGAAACATGCAATGGGCAGGCCAATTGGTAAGACGCCAATCACCAGCCTCCAAAATCTAGCTGCATCGTCATATCGGCTCGTTGAAATGTCGCAGGTGAAGCGCGTGAAGACGACACCTAAGGAAGCGTTAGTCAAAGTTATTGCCTTCAATGTAAGAACATTCACTAATCGAAGACTCATCTAGTTCCCTAGGCCTGGACTTCGGAACCTCATCTTCAAAGATGACATTGGCATACATGCAGAGGATCAACGACCAAGAGGGTGTCACGATCTCCCGAATTCCCATCGCTGCTGACTTGGGACATCCGGACCGATCTCAGGATGGTATGGCTCATTTCGAGTTTGTGGCATTCGCCGCATTGGTAGACGGCCGGCTCGAATTTGGTCGAAGGTGTCTCGACCAAGATACGAGCTACCCGCTCAAAACCATGTTCTCATACTTAGCGGGTATCAATCCTGAAAAGTTGAGTTGCCTTCCGGGCGGAAATGATTTAATCGAAGCAACATCTGTCCCTAGGGAAATCACAGAAGAAATGATTCGTGACGTATTGAATCGTTACTTCAAATGGCTTCGCGATCAGGCACTGGTCCAAGCCACCAGTATCAACGTCGCTATCAAACGGCTAGTCCTCACCTACCCTACTTACCTCTGTGAAGATCAAGAGGTTGATGATGTTAATAAGTATATGGAGCTTTATCGAAAGTTAATCATTCCACTATGGTCCGAATGCGATATCACGGTTTACTTCGTGAGTGAAGGACAGGCTGCGGCACTGTAGTATGTAACCATCATTTTTTCCCTGTTCTAGTTACTCCTGGAGTTCAAGTTCGCTACCAGAGGCACAAGTGTGTCTCGGGAGTACGCAAAACCTCCGAAACCTTTACCTCAAAGAGTAATCACTGACTCCAGCGGCTTGTAGTGTTTGCGAACCGACATTTAATAGCCACAACACGTTTCGACGTAGCAGCCTCTGGGAGTTTCTCCAGGATCCGGATGAAAAGAATAAGCCTCTAAATATCGCTGTAGCCGATAACGGGAGTAGCACTCTTGTATGTATCCAATAATTGGCACGATCGTGACATGGCAAACATTGACGATACCAGAATATCCAGGTACAGAGTGTGTATTTCGATGAAGAAGGGGAGTTCCTATGCAGCCAGTCTAACGTCGGTCAGAACTGGCGGGCAGGTAAGATTCCTTTGGTTCATCAATTAGCCAAAATGCTTCAATAAGCCTAACTTGTCATGCGTGATAAGGAACCCTGGGAGGTAGCTATCTGTCGAATGATCGTGTTAAGGGCTATATTGAGAGGGCTATCAAAACGCCAGACTGGCCCTCCGGTGAACTTGCGGTCCTCCTTAGGAGGTTTGAAGAGAGGAAGCGTGTGCTGGACGCACAATCACACAACGAGAATATAGTACTAATCGGCTCTCACCCTAACCGCGCCGTTTGGTTATCACCTAAACGTATTCAGAGGTATATCTGTGCTGCTTTTGACTCCGGGATTAAAGTTCTCGAGTCAGAAGTTGAACGGTTGCTCAAGCTCGGCAGGGATTTTGCCGTGGTCCTGTGCGGTGGGAGTTACTGCAACCCGGGTCATTTACGCCACGTGCAGCATTGTCTGGACTACGCCCAGATTCGTGCACGAAGGAAGGGAATCCGCTTAAAGCATGCAGTCCTAGCCAATTTCGATCCATCTGGGTGGCAGTCAGCTGTATCGGCTGGCGCTGCAATATCTGTGTGGCCTTTACCAAGTCCATACGATATCTTTCTAGGTTCCTCCGTGGGTCGGTCCGCCCTAGGGATCCAGCGGCTCAAGAAAGATAGAGTACAGGAATGGATCGGAAGCAAAAATGTCAAAGTTCTTCTTAGTGTTGTAAGTCTTCAAGTCATAGTAGGCTCTTTACACAGAGCTAACCAAGTGATAGGGCTGTAATCCATTATCCTACTTTCAAGCGAATGTGGGAAAGAAGACGCAGTCAAGGATTATATATCGCCTCATTTGCGATCCTCAGTATGAGGATAAGACGGGCCAGACGCCTATCATTGTTGAGGACCTCGAGGAAACCTTGAACGGGCCTATCTGCCCGTATGACCTTGGCTTCGAGGTCGAGGCAACCCAGCTCCCGCTCGGTTACTATCGATTCTCTATAGAGGGAAGAGACGCGGCTATTCTCGCTGCTGGTCAGAGGTCTGTTCGTAAGGATACTATTGTTTTGTGGCTTTTATGTCGTGCGATCTCAAGACCAGACATCAGTGACAAGAGGTGGAAGTTGGTGGTTCAGACAGACCCTGCGACAAAACTGCTCTTCGTGGAAGATACGCATTGGTTTCCGGCGCGCTGCCAGAATCCTGAATGTCTTACGGATTTTCAAAGGACAAGTGGTCGACGTGCCAATCGGTGTACAAAATGTCCCTGGTTTTGTCTCTGCTATTCCTGTTTTCATAGGATGGGCAATCGTGAGGCTCCGGATCACGACGACACTCACATCTTCGAGCAGGTTATTGTGGCACCTGAGCCTAACTGATCGAACGCAGTCGATCTTAGTGGTCATGTAAATGAGAAGGAAATGCACTAGCCAACAGATATATGACGAACACTATAGCATATGACAATACGAGCATGTTTTTGACAGCTATTAGCTTAACCCACAAACTTACCACCGCACCCACCACACAGTTCCGGCGAGATATCCTGCTCTATGAGATCCTTTAGTTGAGGAGCAATATTCAGCAACTCGTCGGAATTGAGGCACTTCATTCCGCAGATGCCACACGTACGCGAGATATTAGGTGCAACAACGGGGACACCAGTGTTCGCGCAGTTTTCTGTCAAACGAGCAAATAAGGTCAGTCAGTTACGGAACCTGCGGTAATAATTGGGAAAGGGGGTAGCTAACCAAAGACATGTCCGTTGTCGCAGCAAGATGAGCTACCGTCATCTCGAGGTAAGAGTGGCAATTCACAGAAGATGCATTTCTGTGTCCTAGCGATGATTTCAAACTGATCTCTCAGCGCTGTGCGATTATCACCCGAGGTCTGAGCTGGGATACTGAAGCCCGGGACAGGAGGACCACCACCATACATCCATTCCCATGCTTTTGCCTCTGTGCTCAGCGACTTTGGGATGGCGCCAATTCCTACTTCGTTCTCGCCCGTGACCCGTGAACGTACATGTGTGCCGAAGAGAACGCGACATTTGAGCCCAGCAAAGGTATCCCTCTCAAAATCGAGGTTACTGTGCTGGCTAATAAGAACGGCACTGGTGCCACCAGCAGGGCTGGCCGTCAGACCCCAGACGCGTACGCGGTGGAGATGAACCTGGTCCTCAGTGTCCACGCCGCGAATCCCGAAGAAACTAACTCTAGCGTTATCTTCATCGCCAAACTCTGAATCTAGATCACTGTCGAAGTCGTCCTCGTCCTCATCTTCGGAATCGAAATCTCCCTCATCTTGGCCGTTTGTGTTGGCATTTCCTTGACGGTGAGCAAGGGCACGGGGAAGCTGGTGTTCAATGATCTGACTGATTTCAGTAGCCCAGCCGGGACCATTAAAAGAGCCCTCGAATTCCGGGGGAAGTATGAGGTTTGTTTGATGCCAGGCCGAGTTGTCGTGTGTAGCGGAGAGGCGCACCAGGGTATAGGATGGTGTAGATGTGTTTTGGGGGGATGAGGGTTGATGAATGATTAGACCTACACTGTCTGTCAGTCGGAACAAAAAGGGCTACAATGAGAGTGTAGAGAACAAACCGGTGATTGGATTTTCAATGTGTAGTAGATCTTCTTGGGATGGGTAGGTTGTCCCACACTCGTCCGTCGTATGTCTGGGGACAGGAGAGGTATGGTCGAACGGCAACTCAAATGCCTGAACTCTAGTAGGCGATGCAATGACGCCTCTACAGATGTTGGAACCAGGCACCGTCCAGATCTGTCAGTTCTTTAGTTTCATGGGCGGTAGGAGGGTGTTGGTGGCGCTGCATACCTTGTCCTCCCATACCACAAAGGCATCGGTCGATAGATGGAGACACACACCGCTCGCATCAGCACGATTAACACGGACATCGCACATATGTAGTCCCTCTCCCGTATCATCAATGATTATTTGTCTGAAGCCGATATAGTTGTGTGATACATATGAGAGAATGCACGTCAACGAGCTCCCTCTCCTTAACCATGGGCTCCAGCTTAGCGCAAATGAGGAACTAGCATATGTGTAATCTGGATCCGTGGGCTAGGGCCATTAGTTGGAAATCCTGAGTGTTAAATTTAATCGAATTGACCGCTGAGTAATGCAGCACAGTACTTACATCAGACGGCATGGAATGAGGTCCATCGGCCACAAAACGGGCAACCTCTAGCACGCTCCAAATACCTGGGTGCCCGGGCTGAGCTTTAGTCTCGTGAGTGGCGTGGACTCGGAGGAGGACAATCTCGTGATCAGTGTTTAGATATGCTAAGAGTGTAGCTTTGCTTCCAGTATCCTTTGCCCACGCAAAGGCAATGATACATTCCTTTTTGTCGGGAGATTCATGGCCCTCGGTGGCAGGTACCAGCATCCCGGCACCGACATGCCAGGCAGCGATCCAGGGTCTTATGGAGCCCGCATTATGGGCGCTGGAGGAAGCGACGGCATCAGGCGCGCCCTGGCAGTACACGGTAATTATACCGGCGGATGTGAGGACAGCAAGGACGGAGCGGCTCATGCGGCCGAGACCACCGGGTGACCATTGTAACGCAACGGTGTGGTTCAGGGTACTACCGTGACCGGTGAGAACTCCGTTCCCCGAGCCCGTGAAGAACGAAAAACTCGTAAAGTCTTGGCCGGCGTTCTCAAACAGGTGGCTGTTGAGCTCGTGGGACTTCAGCAGGGCGACAGGGAAGCGCAGGGCGGCTTCGTTGTATTGTCGGGGGCCTTCTTGCCCGTTGATGACGGGAGCACAGAGGGTGAAGTCAGGTACATAGATAATCACACAGTCGTCACAGCCAATTGCAAGCTCATTGTCGGGTGACCAGGTGATGTTGTGCGTCGTCTTGGGAAGGATAGAAAGATGAATCGATTCGAGGGGCAGTGCATCTGTTGGTTGCACCAAGCCAGACATGATGCGATGGGATCAGGCCAGCTCCGACAAGAAGGGTGGTGGGGCCGAACTGGTGAGCTGGTCGAGGCGGGTATATAAGACTTGGGTGAGAGGATGCCCGCTTCTCATTGACTTTCATGATTGCTATGGCATGTATGATCAGTAAATATATGACTGTGTTTGGTCATGGAGATTCTTATGGATGATGGCTAATATGAAGACGTGATCCAGCAGCTATTGGTGTGAGAGAGGCGGTACTGTACTTGTCTCGCTTGTCCAAGTAAATGAGTGTAAAGCCTTTTGACTTCGGAAAACTATGTGGAGTGGCGTCTGTCCGGTGAGGTTGAGGAGGTGCGAAGTGACGACCAAAAAAAAACTAAGAAAAAACTTGTAAGATGAGTGAACATCATACCTAACCTAGTACATTATGTAGGTAGTGCTTCGCCTTGGCTCGCTTTTACCTGGTGAGCTACTGATTTTTAGGCGTGGGGAAGGAAACCCGGGGAAGTCATGAATCCATATCGCGACAACAAACCGATCTTGCTGAATTGCATATCAAGCGTCATTAGATATGTTGCCACAATACATTTCATTTTGGAAGCTGTCCTAGATAAGAGACTCTTCCAACTAAAAATCTTCGCCCACCAAAAGTAGGCCCCAAGATGCCGGCATGTTTACCTATTCCGACGGTAATATAGTCGACAGCGGGATCGTACGACATGATTATTTTGAAGCTTATACACAGTTTCACCACAATTGAGATTTCGCCCGACCTCGATTGGTCATGGATGCATTGCTAATTTTTATTTATCATTTTACACACAAACCCATCAACTCCTAGATCCTTCCAGATATGACCCCAGCTTCCACAGGGCCGCGCATCCAGCCAACGTTGTTGCTCCCACCATTTTCTTACTCCACCAATTATCACTAGTGAGCGACTTGGCAGGTTGGATTCTCTTTATGGGTTTTGTGTTAGCATTGGCGGATGTTGTGACGTTGTTGGCTTCCAGATCCTGCTGGTCTGCCATAGCGCGTAACCGAGCAATAGTCCGACTGAGTACCAGCATGTCGTCATCCACCGTCGCGTTTTTACTTCCATCGACCTCAATATTCTGAATGTTTCCGAAGAAATCTGTCAACAGTCGGCGCCGGGCGACATCTGCCCCACCCGGGAATAGGTCGTATCGAACACCCGCGTTGGAATGTATTTTTTCGTACGTATAACTGTCAAACAGGTCCCCTACTGTCTTCTTGCTGCTCAGATCCCGCACTTCAGACTCGAGAAATTCGAGGTTGTAGTACGTATATCGGTCGATGACGGCCACACCAACGTCGCTGTCGGCATGATGTGAGTAGGATGACTGGTCAAGCTCGGAGGACCCCGTGGCAATGATATTGGGCGAATACAGCTTGCTATACATGGTATTGGCCTGGCATGTGTCGATCATGAAGAGGATTTCGTGATATCTGTGTGTCGGCACCATCATGATTAGCAGGGTCATGACCAGGGAATGGCCGTTTAGAGGCTCGGGTTCGTCCGTCTTACCTCCTCTTCTCCCACATCTGTTCGAAGGCATCAGCTAGATCAAAGGCGCCGATCTCTTCGGCATCCTGAAACTTCAAAAACTCGTTACCGCCGTGGCCTGTCATGTATACCAAAATGTTGCTTCGGTCGTCGGTCAAGAGGCGCTTGCTTCGGGGCATCTCGTCGCCCACGCGATCTGTAAGCAAGCGGATGAAGTTCTCGACGGTGACCTCGTACCCACGGTAGTCGACCTCGATATTGTCGCCGTAAAGATCAACGGCACGGTCTGAATTGCTATAGACAGTGCCGGGGAAGGCATTTCGAGGATTGCAGGCCATGTCGTCGGGTAGCATCAATATGATCTGCGAATCAGGGATGCCGAGGCGCTTGACGGTCCGATACATGGAGAGGACATTGGCGAGGTGGCGGTAGTTGAACCAGAAACGCGAGGTGCCGACCAAGACGGCCCAATTGCTAGTGTGCTCGGCAGCGACGAGATGGTCGGGGGCGAGGAGGGCGGAACCGAGGAGCACCGGTAGTTGGAGTATTCGTGAGAGCTTCATTTTTGTATGTTGATTTTATCTTCTATGTTGATGACCCCTCCTATCCTCTGTAACGGACCTGGGGCCCGGAATGGCAAAGTTGAAATGCGCTGGGGCGTATCTTGATGTACGATGGTGGTGATGATGATGATGATGATGATGATGATGCTCGCGAGCCTCCTTTGCGCTGACTGATCTGACACCTACGACACTGTGCAGTGTTAACTATGCACAGTGTACCTCACTTTCAAGACCTGGGTACCTAGACAGGTAGAGCGGGGTTCTCATGCACTTATGCGTACTGGTAACTCTGGGCTGTCGACAAAATCGGAATGGACGGGCGATATGATGATGGAAACTATGTCTGATTAAGAATAGATTGGACCCTGGGGTTTCATACGGTAGTGTATCCCGTCACTACGTACGCTAAGATGTTCTTGCTTCTTCCCATGTCATCATGTGCGGCTCTGTTTTTTTGTGTCCCTTCCAGGCGGGGAGGAGAGATGAAGAGTGCTGGCTGGCATACGAAGGATGCTCGATGCTTACGCGCATGTACCTAAGTACGCAGCTTAGGACTGACTCGCCAGGAATTGGAGAATTGGAATATGGATTTGTCATACGGAGTTATGCAGCCTGTACCTAGTGTAGGTAGAGTATCTATAGACTATTCGGGAGTTTAGGGGTTCGAGATAGCGAGTGCTACTGCATTATTCCTTTGTTCTTCTTCGTACTCCGACAACGGCAAGCGCATATGGGGATATATCGGCAAGTTCCTTAGAGTCTCCAAGCTCCAAGAGAGTGCCAACCAGACGAGATTCAACAGAGTAGGTATCTAGAGTCGAGAACAGTACGTAGTATGTCCATCAGAGAAAATCACATGCTTCTCCTGGGTGTACCTGCATGTACCTATGGTGTACACATGCTTGCATCCTGGCATATAATTGCTTACAGATTACCTACTATAGTACTTACTTAGGTATATGCCTCTCCACCTTAGCGTCACCTACTGCTAGTAGGGGTAGGTAGGTACTTAATAACCACCATGAATCCAACACCACCCCTCGAAGACGACTCAGCATGAGCCAAAAAAAACGAAAACAAACAAAAAAAACATAGCGACTGTATCATATCACCTTCGCCATTTTCAGCTCACCATAGACCAAACTGATACTCAATCCACGATCGCCCAAGCACATACTCAGCACTTGTCCTTCCAGCTTCGACTGCCAATGCCATGGGGCGTCCCCCGGCCTATATCTTTGTGGTTAGGTGCGTTGTCTCGATAGCCCTGTCCTTGTATCTATACAGCCCAGGTTATACCATATAAAAGCAGCTTGCTTGCTATCATCATAACGCTAACCACCCTTTTTCGACCGTCTGCAGGCATGGAAACCGTCTTGATGCTGCCGACAAACAATGGCATTTGAGCTCGCCGACACCCTATGATCCTCCTCTCACCTACGGAGGATGGATGCATTCCAGGACAGTCGGCGCGCGCATAGCTGCTATCCTGCGGGATGAAGCCGAAACCGAAATCGAAAGGAAAGCTGTTGATGCTACCTCCGAATCAGTACCTTCCATATCCACATCGCCGCTGTTGTCGCCCTCTCCCAAGCGCCGTCGCCGCCGCTTCCGCGTTGTCATTCACAGTTCTCCATTTCTTCGATGTGTGCAGACTTCTGTCGCCATCAGCGCCGGCCTGGCTTCGAATCCTACAACATCTTCTAGCTCCCTCAAGACAGCAGATGCTCTGCCGTCGCCAACACATAGAGGGGATCTACGACTCACCCAAGCTTCATCCTTCTCGAACCCCGCCCCAACAAAGACACGGCCTGATGTTCCCGTTCCAGCCTCAGTCAGTCTTCAAGAAGCTTCTAATGCTTCTAGGTCCACTGAGAAGTCCGTTCTCCGTCTGGATGCATTTCTTGGCGAATGGCTGTCTCCTGACTACTTCGAACATATCACGCCGCCTCCGAAGTCAGCACTTATGCTAGCTACTGCCAAGGCAGAGTTGTTGCGTCGATCGAGTTATCACGACTACCCTCATTTTCACGCTCGTGTACACTCGAGCGCGTCTAGTCAGCTATGGGGTAACCTGTCGAGCCATAATGGCATTCTTGGAACACCCCCGGTCCATGGCCCACATAGTATTTCTAGCTTGGACACGCTGTCTCATCTTGCTGGCAGCTTAACAGACCACGAGAGCAACGCCAATGGGCATACAGATTCGAGGGGATTGCATGGAACATCTCAAGGGACTGGTCATTCGGCGGGCTACGTGTATCCTGTTCCGTCTTATGCGTTATCCACCTCTGAACCAATTCCCAAGGGTTATGTGGCCCATGCTCGGGACGCCTGCGTATCTGTAGATTACCAATGGGACTCTTCGCGAGAAAGCCTAGCATGGGGCGATGGGGGAGTATTACCAGAGGAATGGGCTGCTATGCACCATAGATTTAGAAAAGGCCTAAGGCGGTTAGTTGACTGGTACGGCTCAACTGAGGATGCAGGCGCAATGGTGACCAGGACCAGTAATGCATCCCACCAGACCGGGACACACGGCTCCATCGATGGCGATGAAGATACCGAAATCGAGGATGTTGTTGTTCTCGTTTCACACGGTGCCGGCTGCAATGCGCTTATCGGCGCCCTCACGCAACAGCCAGTGCTTGCCGATATTGCCATGTCTTCCTTAACAGTAGCCAAAAGACGAGCCAGTTTCGACCCACGAAACATCAATCTCACCCGGGAAAAGTCGCTTACGTCCTTACACACGGCACTACCGATGTCGAGAGCGACGATGCCGGAGATATACGAGCTTCAGCTATTCGCCAACACCGACCATCTTACTTCATCCTCACCTACAGGTCTTAGTCGATCAACATCCTTAGGAGGACCTCATCCCCGTGTTTCCCGTGTCCACTCGGGGTATACCAGTGCATTGAAGGATATCAATTTCGGTTCTCTCTATGGGGGCTCATCTAGTGGTAGTCGAGGTCACTCCTCCAATGCATCGTTAGGAAGTATGAGACGGCCGTCGGGGCCCCATTCGTTAGTCATGGGGCCATCTGTTTACAATGCGAACACAGGCGGCAGCGTATCGAGTTTCTCAGTAACTCGACCAGATCGTTCAGGTTCCGGTACTTGGGGATTATGGAGTCCAAAGCAAGAAGAAAATGAGCATGAGAAGGAGCTAGAAGCACCCATGTTTCTTGACTTCAGTCACGAAAAAACTGTCAAGGATAAAGACGCCAAAGGGGCTACATTGAACAATGACAAGCCGTTGTCTCTCGTCGATGCGGATAACGCAGCTTACACGACAACGAAATCGGACGGAGAGAAGTCTATTGCCCACAACCAGCATGAAATCTGCGAACACCATGAGGAAGAACGTGATGCATTTGATCAAGACTCAGTACCTCAGCGATGGACTAGTATGAGCAGTGGACTATGGGGTGCTCCCAGGCCACCCGGCGAAGCTGAGCGGCTTCGCGACTTCAGTTCCACCAAAAGACGATGGACTGTCACTGAACGATGAAGGATACCCATGTGTAATACCATAATGAAATGATAAATGAGCGCGCCCCACTTCCACATATACATTATATATTACTTCGAGATACACACTCCTCTCCCCTCTTCTTCTCCTTCAGACCTTCTCGAAACCACATAGCTGTCCATGACTTCATGACCACTTCACTACAGGCAAGCATGCCGATGAATCACGACGACAAAATGGGATCTGGGCATTTTCAACAGTAGCATGCTTCTAAAACAAAATAGCAACGGCATTAGAACAGCGAGGGCGTTATCTACGTATTCTAGTACTTGTGGGTTCTAAAATGGATTTGAGCGTTTTTCATTTCTCGTATATCTGCTTTGGTACCTAATAAAAAATAGTCGAATGTAATGACTTTGGCCTTTTGCTTGATCTGTGAAGCGGATCGTAATGATTGTTTTTGTGATTACCTCAGAACATGAACGAAGATGACCCATTTCATTTCACAGGTCCAAGTAAAGGCAGCGCCCTAGATACCCGCTCCCCCATAGTGCAATGGGAAATTTAGCTTAAATGCTTGAAATACTGCGAATGATGACAAGCAGTTATCAATATATTACCCAAGTTAAAAGAAACCGCGGGGTTCAGCAATGTAATAATAAATGCAACAGTATAAGCGGTATCTTTGTTATTGGAACCGAGTCAGACAGGTCTATTCTATGTCGCTCTGTGCTTTCTAAGCTCTCTCATAACTAGTACTAGCAAGAGACATGAGACCCAAGGTCGATGTATTTTACTTCTTAGATTCCCCCGAAGCCCGGGGTTGATGGACCGAGGAGACGGCAATGAAGGCTTGAGCGGTGCAAATGCATCTACAGCCAGACATCTTCTATCCTGGTAAAGACTACCCAGGTAGGTACGCTCAAGCATGTGCTGGTCTACTATCAGAAAGATAGAACTCCTCCAGCCCGGACGTACATGCCCGTTCCATTCCTAGGCCCTGTGACGGACCAGGACAGCTCTGATCTATATCTTTTCTGCGAAGGGGCGATTTTACGGCCGATCTATCTATCTATCCAAAGGCTTTCCGCATAGCTTGGTGCGCAAGTTCGACGCCGAGGAATGTTGCCGCATTAGCCGGAACAGCTCGCGCAAGCGCTGGCCCGAAGCCCGGGAAGAAAGCCTTGACGCCGCCGCGAGCGTATAGTTCGCGCACAACGGATGACAAGGAGACGTTACCCTCGGCGGTCTGCAGTCTGCTTTTCACTGTATCAACAGGGAAGACGGGGATCCACATGGCGACGCCGGCGGCACCACCAGCGGCCGTAACGGCGAGCAGGCTGAGCTCACCCTGGGGTTTCCCTGTGGCCGGATCGCGGGGTGTGAGGCGGCGCTTGATGTACTCGTAGGCGGCGAAGTAAGCCGCGCTACCAGGGCCATCGCGGGCGAGCGTGGCCACGGAGCCGCGGAAGACAGAGCGCAGGCCGCCCTCGGCATAGAGCTGACGGACGACGTCTAGACCGCCTTTATATTTGGGTTCTTCGCCTGGCTTGAGGCGTTGGCCTTGGACCTGGAGGATGACCTTGACGCGCTCGAAGGGGGCCGTGATGGCGGTCATCGGGATAGCGGAGAAGAAGCCGGCGGTGGAGATCTGGGCGATGGAGAGCGAGCCGTCTGGGGAGGGCGAGGAAACTGAGGTGACGATTTGCTTGCCTAGGTCATAGCCCCAGAACGAGACAGCGACTAATTTTTTTTCAGTATCCGTTAGCTATGCGTATTGCGTATGTGCTGGGATGGGATACATGATGTCGGTGAACACAAACAAACATACACATGGGTGTGACACCAACGAGTGGCGCGCTAACGCCGGCATACAACCCGCGCCGCAGACCATCACGAGCGACGCTCTTGCGCACGACGTCGATGGCCGAAGAGTAGACGCCTTTCTCGGCAGTCTGCATGCGGACCTTGACGAGGTCGAAAGGGTGGCCGACGACGACAGCGCAGACGCCACCGAAACCACCGGCCGCGAAGGACCTCAGCTGCGAGCCCAGACTGTTCGCCGCCGCCTTGACGTCTGCCTTGACTTCATCTTTGGTCTCTGGAATATGCGGCAAATTGTCGGAAACGCGCGTAGGGAGGGCATCTTGTAACTTCTGGTTGGCGAGAGCCGCGCTCGGAGAGGAAGAGGTCTCTTTCGACATTGTGACGTTGTCGTGGATGGGGGAACAAGAGGGGGCGGGGCCGGAGGAGGGGGGTGTCGCCGAATGAGGCGGAGTGAGGCAAGATGTATAAGCAGGGACAGAGAGCTTCACGATCTAGCTGAAGTTTTGAGACGAGTGGTTTCTCTCGTTCGCGATCCGGACGTCCGGTAGAATATGGCACGGCCAAACGAAGTGTGTTCTTATTCTATCGTCTTTTGTAGGTATGCTCTGTGTCCGACGTATATTCCGCGGGCTAACGAGATATGTGAATTTCAGCTCAGCGCAAGATAACCTTCGTGAGCTTGGCTACGCGATACACAGCTCGGTAGGCGAATCGCTGGTTTCGCAGGAAAATGAAAAGAAAAAAAGCCCGTCTCGGTTCAGTTCAATCGCTCAGCTATCGCTACCCAGACCGGGGTGAGTATGAAGCCTAAGATGACGTAGGACTAAAGTACAACACAAAAGATCACAGGACGAGAATTAAATATGGAATACGGAATACAAGATGGCAAGATGGCAAGATATATCGTAGACCCAAAGGGCAACACCAGATCTACCGATTTACAAGGTTGCCTGTATGCATATCTGTCTGCCCGCCTGCCTCGCTCGCTGTACCTAGAGGTGCGCAATGAATCGCAACCACTGATTCAATCACGGCCGGCAATTAGCGGCCGAGCGGCACACCGACGTCAAGGCAAGGTGCCTCGGCTCAAGGGATACCCATCCCACACCAAAACTCCCTCTCCCCACACGCTTCTGTTAGCTACCGCGCATTTTGCTTTGCCGTGGTAGTACAGAACCAGCCCCCATGTCTTGGACATGTGAACGGAGAAAAGGTGATAAATGCGAGCTGATGATTGGGCCCCAGTTGAACTTCGGACCATGAACACTCTCTACTAGTAATCAAGCAGTATGGGACTTTCTTTTAAAGGCCGGAGTCGGCTCAGGTTTTCCGCGGTTGGCGCGCCTCTTCGAGAAATGTGACGTACGTATTGTTGTTTTTAAATTCTGGATCAGAAGCCTGTTGCATGATATGATTAATCCTAGAGCATTCCAGTCTTCTGAGGGTAAACAGCACGAAGTGCACAAAAAGGCTAAGGGAGGATGGGATTTCTAGATTGTGATAAAATTTGACTGCGATGAACTAGGGAAGCTGTCATGTTATGTCTCGACGTGTCTGTCCGCAGGGGAGGCGGATATATATATACCTGCACACATACGTTTCGAAGTCCCTGAACCTTTTCCTTCCCTATTCTGTCTCCTCGCACACACGCAAGCACACCTGTGCATCTGAGCATCTGAGCATCAGACAATTATTCATTAACACCGTCTCATGTCCGATATGTCAACCAAAAGAACGGAAGGCCCTATTACCAAATGCCTACCAAGAACATAGCTATATATACATGTAGACATAATCAACTTCCGGCAACCTCCTATATACTGGTATCATAAAGCCACTGTTCGATATGTGTATAGTACCCGCCCATCCCATCCACGTATACCTACAAATGCCCCTTTCCCCATTCACTCACTCAGAGCAAGCAATCAAAACCCTCCCGGGAGCCTGGGCGACAATGGACTCGTACGGCCTAGTCCACACCAACAGGTACCGTCTCCCTCGCGTTCTACCTGGACTGTAACATCGATCCCTTCTTTGGAAAGGTAGTTCCGGACTCGGTCGCGAACATCTTCGAGATCTGCACCCCGCATAGCCGCCACGTGCATGACGCCCTGGAGCTTGCCTCCCGTCTCGCTGCCGGTTCTATCGTCGGTCCAGAATTTGGGGACAGCGTACGACGCAACACCCCGCTGGTTGGTGATCTCGGAAAGCACGTTGCGAAGATTGTACTCCGTATCTGCTGTATTGGTCAACAGCAATCGTTGCGCTGATGATTTCACAAGCGGCGTCGCCGTGATGAGGATGAGGTACGCAATCAGGAAAGATGCTAGAGGGTCCCATCCTGACCAAGGCATAAAGTAGGTTAACACCGTCGAAACAATGACCGAAGCACTTCCTAATGTGTCGGCGAGAATGTGTAAATAAATCCCGTGCATGTTCTCGTTATCGTGACCGTGACCGTGGCCGTGGCTGTGCCCATGTCCATGTCCATGGTCCTGTTTATAATTCTCAGCAGTGCTACAATCATGGTCATGATCTAACTTCTGCTCGTGGTTATGGCCATGGCTATGAGCATGAGAGTGTCCGTGATGATGGTGAGAATGGCCGTGGCCATGGTCATGACCATGATGGTGACCATGAGAGCCAAAAGCGAATATTCCCAGCAAATTAACTACCAGGCCCATTGTACTGACTACGAAAAGTTCCCCTAGACGCTTTGTTTCTCTTCCTTCTAGCAACCTTTCAAAAGCCTCAAACATGATTTCGAGGCTGATTAGTCTGCAAAGACAAGTTAATATGGAACAGTCAAGAGGCCACCATTTCCTTACATTAAGAAAACCCCGTTCGCAAAACCGCTCAGGGTCTCGACTTTACCAAATCCATATGGAAACCTCTCGCTCGGCGGCCATTTGCTCATGACAGATGCAAACAGTCCAACGGCTAACGCAACACAGTCGAAGAACATGTGTATACTATCACTAAGGAGTCCTAGGGAGTCGGTAAGATAGCCGTAGACAGCTTGTACAGTCATAAAACTAAAATTAACCCTGCCATTCGCCGATGTTAGCATTAGTGACGTAGTGCAGGTGAAAAATATGCAAGAAGACGCACCCCATGAAGTAGAAGATGCGTCGTGAGTCTTTGTCCGTCATTATGGCGTGGACAAGAGGCCAATTGGACGTGTATGGGAGCAGGAGTCCCGTAAACCTCGAAAAGTCGTGGGAGTGACTATGGTGAGGTTCATGGTTATGGTTTTGAGTATGGCCTTGGCCGTCTTCTTGGTGGTGGTGCCCATTGGGGGCATGTGTGTGGTTGTGCGGCGCGGCTTCGATCTTAGATTCCCCAGGATTGGGTATATCTTCGGCGTTTTGACGTAGAGGAGATGGTCGGTTTTCTCGCCGTTGTAAGGGGACGAGCGCGTTGGCGCGGAATTGAGACATGTTCTGGCGGCTATGGGTTTGGATATCATCTTCAATGTTCTCGTGGCTACGGCTATGGCTGTGATGATGGCCATGGCCGTGGGCATGACTGTGGTTGTGACTGTGGGATCGCATGGAAGATGTGCTAGAAAGGCTCGAACGCGACCTGGAATGGCCGAAAGAAGGAGGCGAATGACTGTGGCTATGGAGATGTTCGATGGAGCTGTGAGGGCTATGGCCATGACTATGGCTATGTGGCAGAGGCGCCTGCGGGAGAGCGTACGACGAGGCCATGGGGTGTTTAACACGAGATACCTTTGCCCACAGTGCTTGGACCTGCTCCAGCCAAATTGATCTCCTCAGGTAGTCGTTCAAGCAGGTGAGAATAGTATAGGGGGGCTTAAAATATCAGATTGCAGTGACGGGTGACGAATGATGATGAAGCGTCGCCTTATCGTATCGACGTTGAGTTTCGGTTTCGGTTATCGTGGCCCTCGTCGTAGTCGCTGCTGCTGTTGTCGTCTCGTTCAGCCGCGAAGTACAGCTCGTCGACTGGTGCAAACTTCTCGTGATGAATTTTGGGTCAATTGACAGGCAGGTACTACCTGTTACACAGCGTTGTTGAATTGACCTATTTTGGCACAAGACACCCGCATTCGGCAGGGCAGGAAACGGTAATGTCGCTGTGGCAGTCGGTCGGGTCGAATCTGGCCTAATTGAGGCTACTGTATTGGGTACCTATACGCATAGATCCAGCGCATGTGTCTAAGTCGCGTAAGTACAAGATAGGTAGAGGCACTGGCGCATTTCATAAAGGGGTCTAGGTATGTAGGTACCTAAGGTAGGTAGGCGCACTAAGGCAAGAGGTGGGGTTTAGATAAGTTCCGAGTACCTCTCTAAGACACAAGTACCTACCTAGTACCTATATAGTTCTGGCTCTCGGTTGAGTTAGGTCGATCAGAAGCATCTCAAAAAGGAGGAAACAAAGAAGGAAGAGCATAGACAAAGGCCAAAGGGCTGAGGGCCTGGCGACCATATGCGACCTACCTTAAGGTTGTTTATCATAAGACCGGGGAGTTGGAGGTTGATGATGCACTTGATTCCCCGTGAGTGCCAAATCAATTATCTGCTAAGTACATCCAAGTCTACATGTATATGTAGTGTACATGCATTTGACCTTCCTTTTTGTCGTCTTCTTACTTAACCGGCTAACTTAAATCGACATTGTCCCTACCTAGGTATTAGTACTCTAGATATATGCTACCTAATTTGAATTAGGTTGCATCTACAGTGGCGTCTCCGCATTGACCCCCTTAAGGAAAATATAGCATGTACCTATAAATAGTGTCAAAAACATGACCTACCTAGTAGCATTTATATCTTACTAAAGTTACATAGTGGTGCTTTACACGGGCAGACAATACATTAAGATATGCATATGACGATTCTGACTCAGCATATATGTAAGTAGGTCGCGAGTAGTTTGATATAGATTCCATCGCTGGATGGGTTTAGGGTGTACCTAGTGTAGATGTAGAGTCCACTACCCTACCACGATGCACGTGAAGATGGCGATGTTTTCAGCTCTGTCACTGTCACCGTATGTAGTACTGCATGCTGCAATTTGTCTACTTGAAACATTGCGCTCGAATTTTTACGTCTGGGAGTGTACTGTAAGGTACAAAATATACTACCTTGAATGTACAGCCTTTGTAGGTACAGGAACATGACCAATGGACACCAAGTCAGTTGGAACACTCTAAACGTATGTAGCAGCATAATTTAAGTCTATCTCATCTTGTTTAAATCGATATTAATGATAGAACAGATACCTATTCCTCATCACTTTAATTTGTAATTCCTTATAGCTAGATTTAAAGAAGAACAGCATAATCAGCTCTAAATTGCTTGGTGTTATTAGCTATTAAAATTTGCTATCAATATGGTCAGTTCACTCCCTCTGCTTCGTGACATAGATGGAGAAGAAGATAAAGAAGAAGAAGAGCAGCATGACTTGTTCGTATTCAGAGTTCAATTTTGCTCAAGGTACGTTAAGTGATATGTAAAGATAAAATAGATTAGTTACTATCAACCGGATTTATTTAACAGGACCTAGATACTTCTATGGAACAGTGATTCTTCTCTTGCATTTATCTAAAGAAGCGTAAGCCTTTGAGCCCATCCTTAAGCCTACATGAGTATCACCAAGGCTATTGAACTTCTTAGTATAACTATATTTGTACCAAGTATCTCGAGCTTCCTTTATTCACATACGGCTCAACTCACAGGCTTATATCCATTTTATAAGGAGTGTTGGATACGTGACGTCGATGTGAATTAATATCATCTTGGATCTCAGATATAGGCTAAGATTGATATTATCTTCTACTTCATCAATAAAAAGAAACTAGATTACGATGATTCTAGGGATTATCTCCCACGCCTGTTTCAGTCCCTAGCTTTGATTGCCGTGCTGTTGCTGCTTTTGCTGTCGTCGGGTAAAGTAAGCTGCCGAAGACTGTCATAGACGCACATATACGCTCTCAATAATAGCCGCGAGTCCTTGTTCCCAACCCATGTATCGTGATATTCCAGCTACCGTCGTATATTGATGCTGAAAACTTATAATCGTCAGGACCTTCCCTGCCCTAGACGTCTCGATTAAAATCATCAAGACCAAGATATTGAACAAGTTGAAGTGAAACTGTGACCGTTGAAATGACGTAGATTATGCTGTGGGTGAACCTGCCTGAGCTTCGTCGAGCCAAGGTTTTATATAGACTGGCAGGAGGTGAGCTCTCCATATTGTAACTATGTAATAAGCCGCTATCTGCCGCAAAGGCGCTCAGGACACATCCGACAAGGCGTTATGAAATCGTCGTAAGGTTAATATCGTATAAGATTAAGTGTTGCAGGAATCGACGATTATGCAAGCATCGAAGATGAGTTTTTGATGAGCCAACAACTGAGGGGAGATAGCTATAATCAGACACCCACATACCCACCCAACACCCGTACGCATCCATAATTGCTTCTCACGTGTCTATGAATGTTCTTTTCTGTACGCATAATTTAAGCTTGTATGCATAGTGTTCGGGGCTGACCCTCTCATTATAAAAGCGACATAATCACCTTGATAGGTGAGTCAAGACCACATTCGTAAAATGCACCCTCCTTATCTCACTCAAGCTCTCAGATACAACATATAGCATGCTAGATCTATATAGGTTATACCGATCGATACCAGTTCATTTCAATGAATTACAACCATCTGAAGACACTATATCCTATCACACCGTCTCCAGACGCAGAGCCCCAGTAAGTGATTGGAGCATTAGGTAAGTGTGAGTTCATTGTTATACATCATTTCCTTGAAACTCATTGATCTCATTTTTGTCAGCACATATCACTTTACGAAAGAATGAAATAAAAGAGAAAAAAAATTCAAAAAATTCTACACTTCACGTCTCTCATACTTTAAATTACTGTGTTCGAGCGTGACCATAAACTGTGTTGAATAAGTGCTCCGTCCTTGCAGCAATGGTGGATAGGTAGGTACCTACAGTCTGGCGCTTATAACACAAGCCCACAGGTGTCTACAGACAGTGTAACCCCCCCTCGTCAGCCACTGTCATTGGTCCACATATACCAGATACAGCAACACAATGCGCAAACTGCAGTCCTTTTCCATCTGAGGGATTGCGAAGCATTTTAACATACAAACTCAACAGAAATATTTCTTCACGAATGGGGATATAGTTGGAATGTAATCGGGGCTTACCTTCCTAGACTTACCCGACTCAAAGTCACTGTCGCTCATTACCTTCATTTTCATAATTGCCAGTCCCCAGCGACCAACAGGCTCACTTCGCAAATAACACAGCGACAAAGATGTCACCACTTACCATAATTCTCTGGTCTACTTTCGGTGGGCTCTTCTTAGCCACAGCTTTGGTCCTGATTCTGGTCCCTTCACGATATGAGCGGTTATCAACGAGCTTGGGCCATGCGTCGGTTTCCGTGCAGATCTTGGTCCTGGGAGACATCGGCCGAAGCCCTCGGATGCAGTACCATGCGCTCAGCATCGCCCGGCATGGAGGAACTGTTCATTTGATTGGGTATGATGGTATGTCCATCGTTTAGTTCATCACTTTGTCTTGTGAACAATAATGTCAACAGCGTCTTCAGAAAAATGGGAGAGACACCTCATCTTTCTCGCATCATCAACTAACATATGTCTTAGAATCGCCGCCACATCCAGATCTTCTCAAAAATCCAAATGTTACAATTCATGGTCTAGCAGTTCCGCCAAAATTTCTCAGATCGTCCGCCATCCCTTTCATTATCTCCGGACCTCTCAAGGTTCTATGGCAAGTAATCACCTTGCTCCGAGTACTGGGCTATGCGACGCCAGCGTCCACGTGGCTCTTGGTTCAGGTATATAACATACTGGTTATCCCAGTCCCCCACACTCTTTTCTCGTACTCTAACAAGAAACGTAGAACCCCCCTTCAATCCCAACCCTAGCCATATCATTCATAATCTCTATCCTGCGCAACACTCAGCTCATGATAGACTGGCACAACTACGGTTGGACGATTCTCTCGGGCACGAAGGGCCCATCCCATCCCTTCGTAGCGCTATCCAAAACGTACGAATGCTTATTAGGACAATGTGCACCGACAGCGAATATAACCGTGACCCACGCGATGAAGCGTTCGCTTCTTGGTCCGCCATACAACATCACCGAATCGCCCATCGTAACACTCCACGACAGGCCCGCAACCATATTCCAACCGCTCGCATCCAAATCAGAGCGAGAGAGTTTCATCGCCAAACTGCCCTCTACGGCTCCGTTTGCCGAGAGCATCTTATCAGGGAAGACAAAGTTGGTAGTGAGTAGCACGTCATGGACACCGGACGAGGACTTCTCACTGCTCCTCGACGCCTTGGTGACATACGCGCAAAAGCCATCACGCGTGCCCATTTTAGCCATAATAACGGGGAAGGGCCCACAGAAGGCGTACTACGAAGCAGAAATACAGAGGCTGCAGAAGGCCGATCGTCTCCCTGGGATTCACATTCAGACGGCCTGGCTGTCCATCAGCGATTACGCGGGCTTACTGCGCAGCGCCGATCTAGGTGTATGTCTGCACAAGTCGAGCTCTGGCGTCGACCTGCCCATGAAGGTGGTGGACATGTTCGGGTCAGGACTGCCGGTGGCGGCGTACTCGGCATACGCGAGCTTCGGCGAGCTTGTGAGGGAAGGCGTAAACGGGCGCGGGTTCGAAACGGCGGACGAGCTCGCGGATATCCTAGCAAGACTCCTCGGTGGCGGGGCTGAGAATGGTAAAGAACTGGCGACGTTGCGGAGGGGTGCCAGAAAGGAGAGCGAGTTGAGGTGGGATGAGGAGTGGGATCGCGTTCTCGGGCGTGTCTTCGGGTTTACGGTATGAAAGTGATGAGTCGAAGAGAATGAACAAGATGAAAGATTTGAACCAAAGACCTCCCATCTCATATCGTGCTTTTCTCAGGGACTGGATGACCAATCAGCTAGCCATGGATCCTAAGATACACAACAAAGCAATTGCATTACGAAGGAGGATGGCGATAGGCACATATGGATTAATAAATTCAACAATCTGCGAAGAGAAATGAGTGCCACGGCAGCTAAATATAGCAATTGAAGAGGCTACTAAATTTTCATCTCGTATAGTCATGCAACAAACTCCGAAACAATGCCCCCTCGCTATCTTGGCAATGATGCTGATGATGACCGTCTTGGTATGAATAAAAAAAAAAAGCTAGAAACATGAGGTTCGATTTCCTGATATCGTCATGACCTACGAAAAAGCTGTCTTTAGTATATTTCGTAGCATCCCAGCAGCTGATAGTGTCGAACCAGAGCCTTTCCCGTTCGAAGCTCTCATTCTTTTGGCCCTTACGCGGCAGACGAAAGCCACTCCTTATCGCATCTAATCATCTTCGCCCAAGCTCTCTTTGACACACTGTCTCACCCTCTTCCTAAACTCCTTGGGGCCGCCCTCGCGCTCAGCGCGCAGAAGTTTAGCCGCGTCAATATTGGCAGGAGAGTCCAAGTTTGGTTCGCTGAACAGGCTAATCACGCTCAGGAGAATGGTCTCGGGGGTCTGTACGGGAGTCCATCTCTCGTTTGCATTTTCGTATCCGTACGAATCCTCGCCCGGGGGATGCAAGATGGAGATGCACAGTTCGCCATTCGGGTAGATATTCGGATGAAACGGAATGGGATTCTGGAATACGAGTTTGGGTGGCATGAGGGGATAATCTCGGGGAAAGGTGAGGTGTGCGCGGAAAATGGCACCTAAAAAAATAAATTAGCACGATCCTTTGTTTGCGACAAGGTATTGTATGGGCTGTTTTATCGGACAAAAACTGGTAGCAATACATAACGTGGCTCATGGTCCGTCGCGGTGAACATATAACAATCACGTACCACCGTAATATTTGCAGTCATCGTGGATCATGAGCGAGACCTCCCACTCGAAGACGTTACTATCGCGAACGAGTCCCACTGAGATGCCAGAGAGGTCCTTAGCTGTGTTGATCTCCTTGAGCTGCCGCTGCAACAAGGTCCCAGCCGCGCTGGTCTGTGCAGCAGGAGAGGCCATCTTCCTTTGATTACTCTTCTTCAACCTCCACACTCGAAAGCGCAAGCGCGGTACTTTTATTGTCGAAATGACAGCGATGCAGAGAACATGCGGGGTACCTTTGATGGGATGCTTGGTGGGGTCCAAAGATCGCAAAGGGATATTATCATCGAATAACGGCAGTCTATGGAACAGCACATGTTAGTGTCTAGAGTGCTCGATGCAAATAGAAACTTTGGAATCAAGACAAACCTTAGACTACAGTACCGCGCACAGGTAGGTGGAAGCACGATTGAATAGATGGGCAAGAAAAGATAGAAGCTTGAGGATTGATTATCTCGCCACCGGAGGCTATCCTACTACCCAAGATTATGGTAGTTCAGACTCAGTCAGGCCCCTACCGCGTACGAACCACATTGACGTCCTGCAGAGAGGAGAAGAAACGGTAGGACCTAGCTAACATATGGATGTACCTAGATGAGTACTTATACTACCGTACAGCAGTAGGTAGATCGAGGAAGCGGGTCGGATAAGGTGGAAACGGGAGAGTGGGACGAAGTGGGATGCACAGTTGACGTCGGATGCACGGGACGAGCCAAATGGATTCACGAGGAAGCAAGGCGCTTATCGATGATATAGCAGGAACAAACAGCAGCTAAACGATAGGTTAGTAGGTAGGTGCTGAATTCAACTGCTCCCTACTTACATACATACCTACATATATATAGGTACATAGGTAAGTAGGGTAAAGTAGGCAAGTAGGTTGTGATGAGCGAAACGCCAATGATTAGGTATGAGCTGAAGAAATGAGCACGAGTAGAACCCCGCTCTAGATGGCGGGGCAGAGTACCTACCTCGTAAGTATTACCTACTGGTATGTAGGTAGGTACATGCGCATACTATGTGACAATTTTTCTACTGTAAAGAAGGATGGTGAGGATGGGTGCGCTTCATGCACCCTCGTACATGCAATCAACATGCAATCAACATCCCTGGGCAGCACCCTGGGCAAATGGATGTACATCATGTCGTGCAACCCCCTATGTAGTTTGCTAGTGCTTGCATTAGCGCCCGCTCTAGATACCTAGAGCTGGCCCCTCGATACATGCCGCAGAGATATTGTGATGTTGAATGCAAATACTTACTACCTACTAGGTAAATGGGCCGTCGACATTTCGACATCACAGCCATCGATTCGACTCAACATCCAAATTCTATTAAACACCGGATCAATGTCCCGATGCTGAGAATTTGTCTTCTGCGTTCCACGTACACAGCTATCTGATAGTGAGGAATTTTGATATGTACATTTCTTGAATATATGACTATGGGTATATATATATATATGTATATATCGAAATGCAAACCACGTCCAAACTGACGAGTTCGAGCAATAGCAATAGCTACCCTTACTTGTGTGTTGTGGACCAAGAACACCCAACGCCGATTCATATGCTGAAGTGTTTCCCCCAAAACAACGCCATGAGCTAACCTGACTGGGATTTATCAGAGCACTTATACCACCTCCTGTACGCCAATTTTTGCGTTCCCCAGGTTGGTAGGTAAACACTAGGAAATCAAACATGCCAACATATTTCTCTCCATTATCTTCACTTCTTCTTCGAAGCCCCAAACCCTGTAATGCCCATCGCTGCCATCATATCGTCCTCGTCATGCTCGCCCTCGATCCGCAAATCGTCACCATATTCGGTTTTGACTTTCTCCGCCATCTCCTTGTCTGCTTTCTTCCTTGCTAGATCTTCGAGTCTTTTCACCCTCCTCGCCTCTTTTGCTTTGGCCTCCTCCTCCTCGCGGATCTCAAGCCGCTCCTTGAGGGTAGTCGTGGTCGCGCGTTTCTGCTCTTGCAGACGCTCCCATACCTCGTCTATCCTCCTCCGTACATCCTCGGCACTCGCCTTCTTGACCTCTCCCGTCTCGCCGATGTTGCGCAAATGCTGCATGCTGTTGATATGCTCGACCCATTGTATGTTGTCTTTGAACGTGAGGTCGCAGGCGGAGCAGTAGAACCCGGCGCCGCGTCCGCGTTTCCCTTGCCCCGCGCCTGCCGGCACGAGCATCGTCTTGCCGACATTTGCTTCCAAGTCTAACACGTCGCGTCGTGCCCGGGTGTGCGTCTCATCCCCGGTCATTGGTTTGTAGTATTTCTTTCCGGCCAGCTTCGCCTCGTATCGTGCTTTAGCTTCTTCGCGCTCGTTGCTTTCACGAGCCTTGGCCTTCTCGGCGTATTCGTCGAGATCGTAGGCCCGCCGGAACGACGTGTCCGTCGCCGGGGTGCCGTAGGCTGAGCCTTTGCCAGACATTTTGTCGGACTTGATCAACTAGCGGTCACGGAACGCGTTTGGTCGCGTGTTGATAGTCGGAAGAGGATGAGAAAGAAAATGTACGGTCAAAGGCGAGGCATGCGTATTTTCAAGCGGTTGCTGTGAAATGAGGCTTATGACGCGGGATTAGATGCGGTGGTATTGAGTTTTTGACTTTTCTCAGTGGTGGAATACTACCTATGCCCAGGCGTACTTCAGTGCTTGTCCGAATAAGTTAGTGAGGTAGTGCTGTAAGCAGTAGTTAGTTGCGGCATGACAACCTCATGGCGCATTTTGTGGAATATTACCTAACCAAATGCAGCCTTAGACTCATGTGCTGAACTACCTACCCCGCGATTTGTTTGTCCAGCACCTAGAGGTACCTACATATGTACGCAGAGCTACACACCTAGTGGCTACCTAGACATCTACTATGTACCTAGTAGGCAGCATTGAGCAGAATTGTGCAGTAAATAATAGAGAGGCTAGGCGGTTTTATAAGGTATACTGGCATGTTCAATTGGAATTACAATTGATTAGTAGACTATCATATGACAGATACTGCTTGATTGATGAGTGAGCTGATCGACAGGTACAGTAGAACAACTATGTAGGAGTAGGTACTTTGACAAAAGTACATCCATGTGCCTACCTACCTTCAACCTTTACCCCTACCCCTCCCCCTCATGGTTAGTCTACGACCCCTCCAAAATTTTTTGGAAATTTCTTTGTAACCAACATTGCCAACCGCGCCTCTGTCGTGAACAGGGAGGCAGCTCAGATTCATCACTTTCAGCTTTCCCAAGATGCTGTACCTTGTCGGTCTAGGTCTCTCAGACGAGACTGATATTACAGTCCGTGGTCTTGAGGTTGTGAAGAGGGCTTCTCGGGTTTATCTGGAAGCCTACACGAGTATCCTACTGGTGGACCAATCGGTATTGGTGAGTTCTGCCTCCGTGCTTGTTAACGCATGATAACTAGCATTTCGTTATATCCGTTTTTTGGATTGTATTGGCTTCTGTATATCTTCGGCTAACGCTAATGGTATAGTAGGAGGCTTACTATGGGCGATCTATCGTTGTTGCCGACCGCGAGATGGTCGAATCGAACAGCGACGAGATCCTACGAGATGCACAAACTGAGGACGTCGTGTTCCTTGTCGTGGGCGACCCATTTGGGTATGCCGCACGCCACCCAATTCCAGTCACTGTCTAGAGCTAACATCCTCGCAATAGTGCCACGACGCACACGGATCTTGTCCTGAGGGCCCGCGAGCTCTCCATCCCTCTCCAGACGATTCCCAATGCGTCCATTATGTCGGCGATCGGTGGATGTGGGCTGCAGCTATACAATTTTGGGCAGACTGTGTCAATGGTATTCTTCCTAGACAACTGGCGACCGGCATCGTTTTACGACCGAATCAAGGAGAATCGCGCCATTGGTCTACACACGCTCGTGCTCCTCGACATCAAGGTGAAGGAGCAGAGTCTCGAGAACATGGCACGCGGCAGAAGGATATACGAGCCACCACGATACATGACGGTGAGCCAGTGCGCCCAACAGATGCTGGAGGTTGAAGAGGGCAAAAAGGAAGGGATATATGGACCTGACAGTCTCGCCATCGGCGCAGCACGAGTCGGTGGTAAGACAGAGAAGTTCGTCGCTGGAACGCTCCAACAACTTTGCGACTCTGACGATTTGCTTGGCCCACCACTACATAGTCTTGTGCTGTTAGGTTCGCGAGCACATGAATTAGAGAGAGACTATGCTCGTGAGTTCGCCATAGACAAGGACATTTGGGACAAGATGTGGTCCGATCAATATGGGAAACAATGAATCATGCCTTAACTGTTATACAAATTATACATGGCCATTCATTACATTGAAGTTGAGTTCCCACCATCTCCTACAAATACAATCCGTGGCGACCCTTACGACCTCTGCGCCCTTACTTCCTCCTCAGTGACCTCGCGGATGTTGTTGACATTCGCCTGTTCGCCGGTCACCATACCCTTTGCAACCTCGGCGACGCGGCCTAAGATAGTACGATCGGTAATAGCATATGTGGCTGTCGTCATCTTAACCCGGATGACGCCGATCCGGGGGTCGTTCTCTGAGCCGTCGTGCTTACCGTCGCCCAGATCGCCCATCCACGCCTTCAGGGTCGGACTATAATATTTCTTGATAACGCTACGATCCGTCTCGATACTTGTTGTTCCGGCGACCGAGGCCCACTGTCCCGAGGAGTCGAGGAATGCAAGATTGACGTGAGGGTCACTCTTGAGTTCATCGGTCTTGTGCGATTCTGTGTTTGTAAAGAAGAGGTAGTCTATGCCGTTGTTCTCCTATTGTATGACGAATGTGAGTCATGGATTTTCAGCAGAGCATTAATGGTTGACTTGGTACACTCACTTCGGCCGCGATTGCCATACACCGCGAAACTAATTTCCCACTGGCCTGGTCACGAGTTGTCATCATGCCAAATTTGCATGACTTGACGAACTTGGTGAGCGCATCGACCTTGTCTTGCGTAGTGATTGATGTGTCCTTGTTGGCTTGTGTGTACGGGTCGGCAGGCTTGCCAGCCGTGTCAGTGTTGGAGAATCCGGAAGACATGACCGTGAAGTAATCTCGTGTATATCAATACTGTTATCTCTGTATTGCTCTCTGATGGATGAATCGTGTATTAGGTGTGATGAAGTGACGGTAACGTTCTCTACTCTTCTACCTAGCATATCTAGACCAACAGATTGGGGCGCCACTCATCTTATAATCATACCGGGTTAATCTCTAGGTATGCGGGCATCTAGATGTAACGTAATACTCTAGTTTGGTGACTTCATAGGCATCGATAGTTGGCTCGATGGATCTGGTAGAGAAGAGGGGACATAGAGACGTGCAGACAAAGCAACGGCGTTATTTCATCATAGACTACTCGTCATTTGTGTTGGAAACTCTGATGTCTTGAGATGACAGGTCATGACGTCAAGTAACGGTGGGCTTCTAGTCTCTTGGTGTCTGTCCCGGCATGGCATGGCATGGTGAATCGGATGAAAGATTGGCAATCGGAATATTGCAGGGAGCCGTATTAAATTCACATTGGGTAACTAGCTAATCTACCTAGATCTACTCGATGACTATGGTGTTACACCTCGTTTCTGACTGTCCTGGAATACATTAGTAGAGAGAGAGAGAGAGAAATAGCATGACGGATACAATTGGCAGTGAACCCACCTACCTACTTTACACTGGTAAAATCTAGTAACTACAAGCTCATATATCCACACTACTAGAACTCCGAACAAGAATATTGTTTCTCCTTGTGATTCTCAGGGAAATAAGGCTTCATACGTCGAAACTTTCGTGGTTAGGTAAGCTTTCATCTTCAGATTATCGCGATTAGGCGATCTGTATAAGCACAGTGAGTGGCTGGCTGAGCATACCAAAAGTACTACCCGTGGACTATTAGATAGTGTACGGATGTAACCGCTCTATGTTCGCAGGTCCACTATCTAGGTATCTACCTAGGTAGGTAGGTAGATATATTAAGAATTGTAAAGTTTAAAAAGGCTTTAATTACCTACCTGTCTCTCTGTACTATATGTACCTATCTATGTATAGACATACCCTGGCTAAACCAAAGTAATGGGGAAGGCACTCCACAGCTCCGCAACAGGGCTGTCTGCCTGGTAAGTACTTGGAAGTGAGTAAGTAGGTAGGTATGTACCTATGTATGTATGTATCTAGGCAGGACAAACTCGATGTCATTAATATTTCTATCTATCCATAGGTACATAGGGTATCTACAAAGTGATGCGCATGTGCAACACGGTGTAGGTACATTGATAGGCAGGAACCACAGCAGGATAATATCTATATGACCACTCCGGCAGGCTACCTAGGTATGAATAGCTTGTCCCCAAGCACCTGGCAGCTCCCAGAGTGCCCGTGTAGTTAAAAGTAGATACAAGTACTACGTACACTAAGGCAAGTAATCAATTCGAACCTGGTAGAATCCCACCACTCAAAAGTGCCAAACATTGTGGATGCTTCCTTCCCACACATCAACCCGGCTTCCCACGAGGCACTTACCCCGTGTTCTTCTCTGCCGCCTTTGAGCTACCGGTCTCCCTTACATGTACTTGGGATTTGACAGGCTCGACAGGTAGGTAGGCACGCGTGTAGCTGCCACCTTAAAAAGGGAATTCTGAAGGTAGGTAGGACCCAGGCCTATCTATCTGTGGAACGAACGGTACCCAAGTCGCGCTATCCTTAACTGTCCGTCGTCCGTGGACTGGACTTGTACACTCTATCCGCCAATCTAACCCACCCTCCCATTCCTCCGTGCATCGACCTGTCAAACCGGAGCGCCCTTCATCATGTTGCTGTGATTAATTGATTGATACGGAGATCGGACGCACGAGCACATACAACTGGGGCAGCAGATGCACAAGACACCAGAAAGACACAGGCTGATGATAGCTTTGTATTCAGCGACTTCATCCCATCCATTCCCGAACACGGTACATGTCCTTCTTCTTCTACTTCTTCTTCCTCTTTCCCTTCCCGCTACTGCATAGTATCTTGATCCTCCCACCCACCTACTGCAACCCTTACAGAATCCCTACCGGAACAACACTTCTGTCACTTCTCCCATCTTCTAGCCCCAACGGCTGGAGAGGATACATCGTGTCAGGTTTCTAAATCGACACCTCCCTCCTAGATCAGCAAGTTACCACAACCCGTCTAAATCGACCCCTAGACCACGCAGGACGTTTCACTAGTAGACCTGCCTAAGTAAGGGATCCTTTCTTACTTATCACTGGTCACACAATCTACTACGTAGGGATAAAGCCAGATCAAGCCGAGAGGATTTCTGTCTGGATCAATACGCAGGCCTCTATCTGCGCAATACAGAGATCGACGTCTAGCATTGAACATCGCCTTCTCTCTGTCGGCTCTTGCTGGAAGCTCTGACTATCGTCTACCTACCTAGCGGCCTGTCTGACCTCTTCATCAATCGTGCGCCGCCCACGATCAGTTAACTGCCACCACGACTTTACTTATTCTATTTTTCTGCCTTCTAGCCAACTACCTATTCACCATCGAAATCCTTTCCTCTAAGCATTGTTTTGCGATACTAGGCCATTTATCTATCTGTCGGAAGTCGGCCTATACGGTGTCTATCTATCTCTTCGTGCGTGTTCATTCCGGTAAACTGGTGGTACAGGCAAGTGGGCAGGTCAGCTTTCTTCCATCAATCGCGTTTGCGTTTCACTGTTACATCTTCATAATCCTGCACCTTCTCTATCTGGACCTGTTTACGGCGTGCGCACCAGCCTCGTAGACTATTCATCCAGCTCAGCTCAGTCCTATTCTCCATAATCCAACTTGATGCACATCTTGCCTAACCTGCCTTTAAAGCCATAGGTAAAGGGGACTGGCCGTGGCTACTAGCAATTGATCGAGCCCACCACTATTCGAAGCAGATTTCCCTCACTTTCGTCAACTGGAAGAAGTTGAAGGTGTTTCTCGGCACCCAATCTCGCCATCGTTTCTTGTTCCTGTCACCACGAAAACACAGCAGTGAACGCTCAATCCACATCACCCGCCTTGCGCGCCTGCTCGCTCGGCCTAAAACGGGTTATTCACAATTGCTTTGGTATTCCATGGTCCTAGCTTCTCCAGAGTAGCCAGAATGGTAAGGACGATAATCGCATTAGTTCACCGATACACTGATATTGGCTAACAAACATGCTAACCGATCTTTCTAGAACTCTGCGTGGCCAGCTTGGGAGTGTCGGGATCAAGTCGATCAGGCTGAGCTCTACTACAACCAACCCTTACGCACAAAGAATCGCTGTCTAGAAGATGAGAACCTGGCCCTCAAACGCCTCTTACGTAAGCATAACATCTCATGGCAGACCAACCAGCCCGGCCCAGCCCGTCCCAAAAGCTCTCGTATTACTCGTTCGAGCATAAGTCAGCAGAGAACTCTACCCCATTTACCTGTTGAGATCCAGCTCAGAGTACTGTCATATGCTTTGACTAGCCCTCACCCAATTATCGACCCGCTCTGCAAGAGTCGGCCTGAACGGATGGTGGGTCGAGAGAAGAGCAAGAAAAATCAGATCGCCATTCACTTTCTTGCCACATGTCAAGCCTACCGGTTTGAGGGCACCAGGTTCTTGTGGTCCAACAACACATTTGTATTCACGAGCCCCGCCAGTCTAAGACATTTTGCTGAACTTGATTTTACCTATCGCAAGGAAATACAACATATCACATTGCGCCTCATCGCCAGATTCTATGATGATGAGGAACGTGTGCATCGTCTACCAACATCCTATCATCCCAACCTCAAGTCTTCGATCAAGCTAGCCGTTCAGCGTCGCCCCAAGGAAAAGACGCTAGCCCGACGCGGCTTTCGCGCATATGCTTGGTATCAGTTAATTGACTTTCTTGATGCCCTGCTACCCCCGTTCGATCCTGACTCCAAGCTGTTGTCCACTCGTCCGAGATTACTCCCGGCTCTCAAATCGATGCGCATCGACTTTGTCAATTTCATTGAGAATCTTCTTCAGTACCCACCTCCGCAGCTCCACGATTTGGCCTCGCACCTGCTAGGCTGTATGCTGAACGAACTCGTTTTGACAGGCGTCCCAGCTGACGAGTGTGGAGTCCGAGTGAGCACTGAGCTCTCAGGCCTGCTGAAGGACGAGGGTCTCCTCCTGGAACACCTCCCAACTTTAGTGGCCGTCAAGGATGGAATTCGCATATTACGTTGCGCCCAGGTTACCTGTCGCCCGACAGCTAGGGTGGTTCGGGGAATGCATAACATCACCGAACCAGGAGAGATATTTGCCGATAACCCTGATTACCACAGGCACAACTGGAGTGACTTTCCACCGGCCCCTGCAGATGAAGGTGACCCACCCTTCTCTCCTTTCCACTCTTGTCGCACCATCTGGAAAAAGGTACCAACGAGAATGGATGGAACTGGCAAACGTAGATGGGAGTTGTTTGATCGTATTAGTGGTAAGCCATGGGAAGAGGCTGAGGAAGAAGCCACCATGTTTGACTTCCTCGATGATGAAGAGGACTTTATCGTTTGCGAAAACTGCGGCGAGTGCCACCCTGGTGCGCTTTTACCCGAAACTCTGCAGGATCTGTACGACGACTAGTGAAAGAATATGTGGGCTGCGTGTGTTTGTGAAAAGAACCAGGTGTTATGAGCACATATTCCCATTATGAGAGATTACGACCTAGCCGCGAAAACCGAGACTAACAGCAGCAGGAAAGTCTGTGTAATAGCCAATAGTATGTTGAATGGTTCTTGTAGCCAACAGGACAGCACGGATCTGGAGGGTGTTCAAAAGTACCTAATCAATGTTTGGAGGAGTTGCAACTCTATATCCGTTATGTATTCGCTACCTTGATGCACCACCGGAACCGACTGTTATGAGATTCTAGACAGCTAATAGGGTTGGCGTGGCGGTTGTTCAGAAGGAGGGAAGCCATTGATCATGACCCTTGATTGTATGTTTTCGCTTCGATTGCGAGCTATGCAATAGATTTTTGTGTCCTAAAAGTCAAGATTCATATTGTTATTTGCGCCTAGTCCATTCCAGCTTTCTGCCCGAAACCAAGCTCAAATCTTGAAACCCAATAATACTTGTCCAGGATGAGGATGAGTGCAGTGCGCCCACACATGCATGAGTCTTATGATGTATACACAACACTTACATAGTGTGTGGTATTGTGTTCGACTCACACATGGTGCAGACGTTTGCAGAGACCATGAAATTGGCATTGGCACTGAATGAGGGGAGGGTATGAAACAGTGCCATTGCGCACTGGTCCAAGTTGGTGTGAACGCGCCTCCGAGCCGGATTCTAGATGCATTTTTATGTATTTTCCCTGCAGCACAGATACATTATCTGCCATAGACGAAAGGGATCGGGATATTCAATAAGCATTAGCATTGTTGGCCGCATCAAGTTGCCGCATTTAATATATAAACCTTGATAGGCTTCCTGCACACAGGACCACAAAGCCCGCCAACTATGAATACGATAGCAGGTTGGCACCTATCATAGGCTCGTAGTTGAGATGGTGAACATATTAAAGTTGTCAATCCGTCTATTAGCTTCTATATACTACCCCCTTTACTCAACATGCTTCGCTTATACACAGCCTAGAATGTGTTAAACTGCACCTATTTGTATCATTAACCCTTGTCTACATGGATAAGGACATGGAGGACTGGATGTCTGCGCGCGGGGATTTCGAGCCCCCCGTACAATTTTAAACGACGCAGCTGCATTCGATTTTCTACCTTACTATAGCAGTCTCCCCATCTCGATCATTCTTACTATGACAAGGGCTCTTATAAAGGGCTTGGAACTTAGTCATATTCATTAATAATCTATTAGGGGTCTTTAGGGCCTTAATCTCTCTTTCTCTCCTGTCCTGAAGTGGGAGATTCTTTAGCTATTTATGCTTATTCAGGCTTTATACAATCTGTAACTCCTTTTTATCTGTTGGGCATTCATGCTTTAACTATTAGTCTTCTTGTAGCTAATGGATTATCCTTATTCAATTGTTTATAGCCTTACTTTTCCTTTAAGGGTAGTATTGGTTATTTTTAGTTTTAGAATTTTAGCTGTATAATATTATCTTCCTCCTTCTTAATGTTTAACTTTAAATATAACTTAACTTTTTAGGTAGATTATAAATTTAAGGTTATAATAGTTTAAAGGTTTACTGGTTTATTTAGGTTCTATTAATGGAATTATTTAATAAAAGCCTTTATATTAATATTATTTATATACTTATATAGCTTTTAAGTTTAATGCTTTTTAACTGGTTAACCTTCCTATTTAATTAGGTATTTTATATTCCCTTAGGTTTTTAAAAAGTCCTTAATCTTTTCCATTTAGTAGTCTTTAGACTTTATTGGGGGTATTTCTTATAAAACCTGGTTAAGGTTAAGCAATGCTTAATTATTAATATAGTAGAGCTTAATAAGTAAGATATAGAATAAATTATAAATTTTTTAACCTTTGGGTAATAAAAGTTTAATAATAGTGGGTAAAATTACTTTATAAATCTTAAAAAGTTAAGTATTTTTTTGTTTAACTTTTTAATAGGTTTTTTTATTTTAATATTTTTTATATTTAATATTATTAATTAATCTTTAATATATTAAGGTAGGGTCCTTTACCTTTTATTTACCTATTCCTTTATATATTATTAGGCCTTTTTTAATTGTTTTTTAGTTTTTTTATATACCTATATTATTTAATGGATATATAGCCTATTAAATAGGTTGTAGGGTTATACTATAAAAGGGTTATATATAGTTAAGTAATAGTTATAGTTTATATAAAAGGGGGATATATATATCGAAGCTAATATAGTATTATTATATATAAATTTAATAGTTAGTAGGAGGTTTTTTTAATTGGATATTTTATAATTAATAAATGCTTAAAGGTAGATTTTAAGGATCTAGTTAAATTATTTTATTTATTTATTAGTTTAAGGGTAAAAGGTTATATTTATATAGGGTTTAATATTAATAAGCTTTAGGAAGTCTTTTTATAAATGGTTTATAAACCTAGAATTTTTATTAAAAATTATATTAAGGGGTATATTATACAATTTTTAATAATATTTAATAAAGATCTTAATAAGATCTTTAATTTTCTTTTCTTTAACCTTTAGGGGTATAAAGTATTTTATTTTTATAAAGGGGTTTATTATTATTTAAATAAAGTTATATTTATTAGATAAGGGTAGGTTAATAATAAAGTCCATTATAACCAATTATTATAAAGTATAGTACAACTTTATAGGCTAAAATAATTCATAGGAGGTATATTATAAAGCCTTATTTTATTGGTAAGCATAGTAGCCTTATATAAAATCCTTTATAGTTGCTTTAATATTAAGCTACTAGAAGTTTTTTATAATAAGTTTTAGCATTTTATCTATTTTTATATGCTTAGCTATTTATATATTATACTTTATCCTTATTATTTTCTATTATATAGCTATAAGTATTTATAGGTATCCTTTTTTATATAGTAAATTATTTATAAGTTTTACATTCTTAAAAAGCTTATCCTTTTATAAGTAATATTTTAAGTTATCCTTTATTACTTCTTTAATAAGCTTAATAAACTTTAATAACTATTTAAATATAAAAAGGTTATAAAATTGTTTAAAGGTTAATAATATAAATATTATTAAATTAAACATTAATCTTTTAAAATGTAAAAAATATTTATTTTATAAGATTAATTTAATAGGTTAATCTTTACTTCCTCCTTTTTTAGGGTAATATTAAGCTAATTTTAATATAATATTAACCTTTTTATTTAATTTACCAGGTTAGTAGTTTATTATAAATTAATATATTAATAATTATTATACCTAATAGGCTTATTATTTATTTAATATTTTAACTGTTATAAAGTATAATAAATTTTAATAGTTAAAGTAGATCTTGATTTAATATTATATACTTTTTAAGTATTAGCGCTATTAGTTAAATCTATTTATTATTATAAATAGTTCTTTATTATATATTTTATAATTTATTTTTATTAATATTAACTTTTAAAAGTGAAAGGCAATAGGGTAAAGTTTACTATTATTATCCTTTTATAATAATATAGCTTTAAAGGTAAAGTTAAAGGTGTTAGTTTTAATATAAGCTACTTTAAAGGGGTTAAAATGGATAAGTATAGGGGCTATAGTAAACCGGTATTTAAATTTAAAAAAAGCTTTATTTATAACTTCTGTTTACTTTTATTACCATTAATCCATTTTATTTACGTTTATTAATAGCTTTATAATTAATAAAAACTTTTTAATAAATCTTTAATAAAAGTTTATAAACTTAATAAATTATTATAATTTATATAAAGTAATTAATACTTTTTATTTAATAATATAGTTAATTTTATCTTAAGCTATTGAAATATTATTAACGTTAATAACGTATTTAAGGAACTTAACTTTATATATATACCACTTATATTTCTAGGGTACCACTGTTAGATTATGCTTATTAAAGCGTTGTAATATTTTTTTAATTATTTTATTATATTTTTTTTTATTTCTATATAAATTAAAAGGTTATTAAAGTATATAAATAACCTTACATTAATAAAATTTTAAAAGATATAGTTTATTATAAATTGGAATGTTATAAAGGTATTAATAAGTTTTATAAGCATTATTATATATTTAAAAAATCTATATTTATAGCGGAATGTTATTTTCCATTTATAACCCTTTTTAATTTTAACTAAGTAAAATCCAAACTTTAAGTTGATTTTAATAAATTATTTAACCTTTTAAAATCTAGCTTAAAGTTTTATAATAAGGGAAATAGGATACTTTATTAATATTATAATAGCATTAAAGCCTTAATAATTTATAATAGGGTATAATGGATTATTTAAGTTCTTTTTCTTTATAAATATAAAGGGTACCCTATATAATATAATAAATTTATAAATATAATTAATTTTAAGCATTTTATTTAATTAAGGTTTAAATATGTTTAGTTTATAATTATTTATAGTATAAAGGGGTTTTTAAAGTAAAGCCTTTTTATTTATAAGGTTAATTGTATAATCTTAAGGTTAATGATTAAGTAATTATTATATTGCTGCTTTAATTATAATAGGGAGGAACTCCTTAAATTCCTTAAGGACTTATTCTATTATTGCTTTAGCTATTGCTTAAAGTATAGTTATTATTACCTTAATGGTCCTTAATTTAAAAATAGTTTAATTAATATAATTCTTATAATAATATTTAAAAGTAAATATAATTTTTTTTATATTTTTAAAAAAATAAATAAATTAATACTTTTTTATTTATTATTAAGGTAAAATAATATTATAGTCCTTATTAAGGGTATTTAATTTAAAGCTAAACTTTATAAAGTAATCTTTTTAATATTGGAGAATAATTTATTCTATATAATATTATTTTATTTTTTATATATATATTGTATTAAAGGTTAATATAAATTTAAAATATACTTTTTTAATAAAAGGTAGCTTTTATTATTTAGCCTTTAAAAGGGATATTATAAGAATAATATTACTTATATTTAAAAGCATTTTAATTTAATATTTTTACTTATTATATAATAAGGTTATAGGGATAATAGGCTTATAACCTATTTTAAGCTTTAAATTAGCCTTTTTTTAAATTAGTTTAAAAAGCTTATTTTCTATTTATTTAGTTATATTAATATAGGAGAAGTTACCTTTTTAAAAGCTTAAATTCCTATATAATACTTTATAAAGCTTAATTAAAAATCCAAGTTTAATTTTTTTATTTTTATATATTATATAGGATTAATTACCTTTATAGTAATAATATTAATTTTAGCTTATTTTATTATAAATAGTAGTTTTATATTATTGTTAAGCTTTTTTTTAATAAAAAAGGTTTTTTTAAGGGTTAAAGGAAGCTTTTTTCTATTAATGTTTTTTTTAATATAGTAGGTAAGGGTATAATAATTATTTCTATTATATTATTAATAATTAATCTTATTCTACTTTTATTTATTAATAGTAATTTAATTAATCCTTTTAATGTAATTATAATATTAGGTTAATGATTATCTTTAAGATTAACTTTAGGTTTATTTAGCTTTTTATTAATGGGTTTTTTTTTTTATCCTTTTTTAAAGATTGGTTTAAGCTTAAGTTAAAGCGATTTTTTTTACCTTAGTTTTAATAGTTTAATTTTAATTGCTCCTTTATTAAATTAGGTATACCTTTTAAAAATAGTTTAAAGTATATTAATATATTTTTATAAATAATGCTAGCTTTTTAAATTATATTAAGAAATTTATTATTATTTCTTAAGATATAGCTTTAATTATAATAAACTATTTTTATAAGTTTAGATGGTAGGCGTTTAATAATAAAGGTTTAAAATATTAAGCTAAATTATTTTATTAAGTTATTATGGTTAAGGATTTTAGTAAAGAATTAGGTAATATTATTAAAGTATTTTACTTTTATAAAAATATTAGTATTTTAATATATTATTAATGGATTTTTAAACTATACTTTTAAAGCTATTTAATAAGCTGCTTAAGTATTAATAATATTAATATAGTGGATTTACTTTTAATAGGATTAATATTATTATAAAGCTTTATTTATTATAAGGGAATTAATTTAATTAATATAGTACTTATTAAAGGGAAAACTTTTTATATATATAAATATATAATTTTTAACTTTAATTTATTATAAAAAGAATTTAAAGGTATCCTTTTTATTATAGGTATAAGGTTTATTAAATTAAATAGGATTAAATATTATAGTTATAGAATTAATGCTTTTAAATGTAGCCGAAAATGTATATATTAGTTTATTAATAGAAGGGTTAAAAGAATTATTATTTTTTAAATCTCCTCTAGGTTTTCCATTAGGGTTTTAAGGTAGTCCTTAAGGTAGTCCTTTAGGCGAACTATAGGAAGGTTATCCTTTAAAGGGATTATTATTATTGTTTAAACTGTTAGGGTTTCCTTTTAGGTTGCTTCCGGGTAGTAGGGCAATTTTGGTAAGAATTCCCGGGGAGATTTTTATTATTATATATTGCGCTTATAAGGCTTGGGTAATTAATTAGGCTTTAATTACTTGTAATATTTTATTATTAATTTGCTATTATAGGATTGCTTCCAATAATGAATACTTTATAGCGGAACGGTTAATAAAGCTAGTTATAATGTTATACTTTTTTAACTTATTAATAATTTAGTTTATATTTAATGCAATTTATTTATTTAATTAATTTTAAATTTTTTAAATTATTATTTAAGTGTATATTTATAGTTTATTAATTTAGCTAGGGTTTATAATAGGGCGGTTTATAAGTTAATTAATTTATTTTTTAATTGTAATAGTTTAATTATTTATAACTTTTTAGGTTTTTTAATAGTTGGCTTTTTATTTGGTAAGCTTATTTTGGAGAGTTTAAAAGGTTTAATAGTAGTAATTTATTACCTTTTTAAATTAATTAATAATATTAGTTTAAGAATAGGTATTTTATATAATGTATATAATAATTTTTTATATATTTTAAAAAAAGGTAATACTTCTTTATATAATTTTTTATTAAAAGCGTTTTATTTATTTTTAAATTATTTATATATTTATTTTATATAAGTTAATTAGGGTATTATATATATTATAAATAGTAATATATATATTTTAAAGTATTTTCCTTTATTTAAAGGGCATTTTTTACTTATATTTTTATAGGGATTAAGCTATTTAAAAGGTTTTATTTATATAGTTATAAATATTTATAACCTATTATAAGAGGTTTAAGATTATTATATTTATATATTTTATTTTTATATCTTTAATATTTTTATAAATAGTTAGGTTATAAAGGGTAAGTTTTATAGCTTTAAATATTAATTTAAAGGCTATAAGGGAAGGATTTTATTATAAAATTAATTAATTAATAGATTTAAGTAGGTTTTTTAAAGGAAGTAATCCTTTAAAAAGAGGAAATATAATTTAATTAAAATAGGTAGGTTTAGGTATAACGGAAAGTAATAAAAGAGATATAGCTTATTTAAGGGTAAAAGTTAAATTTTAGTTAAAGCTAACGGAATGTTTATTTAATACTTTTATATGTTTTAATTTTACCTATAAGTTATTAAGGGGCGGGATATCCTTAATCCTAAGCTTTAGGGTTTAAAGAGGTAATAAAAGTAGGTAGCTTAGCTATTGCTTATCTTTAGGATAGTTTTTATATAATAAAGGGGATTTTAAGGAGTTAAAATTTAAACTATCCTTATTAAAATAGTAGGAATTGGAATTAAAATCCTATAGCTAGGGTATATTTATAATTTTAAAAAAATCTAAAGCTTTAAGTTAATAAAGTTATTAGCTACTTCCTACTTTTTAAATAAAAGTATTAAAATTGTAGCATATAATATTTAAGTTATTAAATATAAGATGTAGATTTTTTTAAAATACCTTTTATTTAATAAAGGTAAGGCAAGTATTTTATTAAAGTAATCCTATATTTATAAGGATTTAGGTTTAAAATAATATTATATATATAGGGAATTTATTAAAGCTTATCTATTAGGTGGAAGTTTGGGCTATATTGGAATATCCTAAAGGGGGATAGTAGATTATCTATAATAAGGGCTCTTATAAAGGGCTTAGAACTTAATTATATTTATTAATAATCTATTAGGGGTCTTTAGGGCCTTGATCTTTCTTTCTTTCCTATTTTAGAGCGGGAGATTCTTTAGCTATTTATATTTATTTAGGCCTTATATAATCTGTGACTTCCTTTTGTTTGTTGGGCATTTATGCCTTGACTGTTGGTCTTCTTGCAGTTAACGGATTGTCCTTATCCAATTGCTTATAGCCTTACTTTTCCTTTAGGGGTAGCATTGGTTATCTTTGGTTCTGGAGTCTTAGCCGTGTGATACTTACTGAAGTATAAGATTATAATTGCTGCAATAACGAGCTCGAATTAATCTGAAAGTCATCCCCGGACCTGTCGGTAGCGTCGATGGCAAGATACGACGTATCCCCGTGGTTATAGTCTTCATTGGCTGCTGAATACTATATCGCCGAAGTGACATCGTGAGTAGTTTTTCTGTCGTATTGTATGACGCCATTCACGTTGAGTTTTCACTGCGGGTCGTCTGCGGCATCTAATAGCTGTTTGCTGTAACATCTGCTGTGACAATCATTTCTTACCCCTGATCAATTGCTATGGCCAAAATCTCAGTGGTATAAGGAACAATAGGAACTAGGCACATGGCAATGACCGTCCTGACATGGCTATCGTGTGTAAACTTGAAGTGAGTGTCGGTAGTAGCGTTGACGAGACCGCTTTCGAATACAGGGCGTTCTGCTCGGCGTAGAGTACTTTAAACTCAGCTTTCTAACAATGATACCAGTCGCTCGAAACAGGCTGCCAATGTCTTGGTCATAGTTAGCACGTTGCGAGCCCATTGACAATGATAATCTCTCAAGAGACACGGTCCCAACCCTGCACATATTCATGGGAATGATACTACAGTGAACGGAAGTACCGTAGGTACCTTAGGTACCTATCTATGCACATAGCTGGATGGGAAGGAGCCCAGATTATTCATCACAGCAAGGCAGCTACGATGTTGGATACCTACATACAATTACCCAGTACCTAGGTACACTCTGTCTCTGGATCGAACTGTCGAGATCAACCTGGAGGCTGTCTCCTCTGCTAATTAAGACAGTAAGACCACACGTCCTCCTAAGAGAAGAGCCGAGCCGAGCCGAACATGTCGATGGGCCATTCTAGAGATGTTTTCCCGAGCCATAGAGCAAGTTGACTGGGTCAGTGGCGCTACCCAACAATATTGGCCGCCGCACCAGGTATCTTGGACAAATCTCTCTGTGAGGCGTTCACTACACCCAGTCAGCGATCCGTATGAAGTCGCTGGTGTAGGTGGATATAGAAACTGAACTTGTCAACTCACGCATCGTCATTATCAAGAGTCCTAACTCATCGGCGTCCTCGAGCCACCTCTCGACCCTAGATTCCATGACCGGGCCCCTCTCAACAAGAAAGAATTCGGCCTGAATCAGCTCCTTGCCGTCCCACTGCGCCAACCACCTCACGTACAGTTTCATCCACATCTTCTCGTCAGTCGACTGCCAGAGCCACTTGGGACCTGGGGCGAGGACGCGCCCTAGCGTGAGACAATTGAAATGCCTCGCCCCGTGGTACGTGCTGTAAGCCCAATGCAAGAAGTAAATCGACATCAGCGTGCGTCGCTTTGCTTCAATATGAGCCCACACCCGCCAGGTTGGCCGCACGTGGTTGGCTTCTTCATGGAGCAGCATTCCCGTTGATAGCACATGATTGCCGACCTCCTGCACCGCTGCGAATATATGAGCCGGTACGATAGATAGCGTGCTCTGGCGGTTTGATGGGAATATCAAGAGGACCAAGAGAATGGTAAGACTCTGTATGGCGGAGAGCAGCGTGGGGGCGTCATAGGAGTAATGCTTAAGATATGAATAGTAAGCTTCTTGTATCCCCGCCTCCCACTACATCCAAGATACAGGTGACACGTTCAAAGAAATTGCACATACCTTAGCTAAGATATTTTCTACTTCTCCTCTCACGGCGGATTCAACGACTTGACCAGAATCCTCCGCCTGCCCTACCCACATCTTACAAAGCGTCACGCATCTCCCAATGAGCTTAGGCATCTTCATTTCATCACCCGCTTCGCCTTCACTAATGCAAAATTGTAGTGGGTGAATTATGGGCGGCAGTTGGATGCCTTTCGCCAGCATACGCGGCCAGGTCCGAAAGGCACGAAATATGCTTTGCGCTACATCGAAAAATGCAAATGTTAGTGAAAACAACTTTGTTTCGCTCTGGTTTAGTCTTCTATTTACCCAGCTAAACACCAAGGAAGACAAAGCATATTACACCCACATAACGAAGAGGGGGATCGCATACCGCTGTGTTCAACAAGCCCTGGCGAATCTGGCATTATATTTTTTCCAGCTAGGGCGAGGATCCACGGCTCTATCTCTTCGCCATTTTCAGTCATCGGAGGCGTAGCAATGGTCGCAGCCCCTGGACAGAACGTGTGCACCTCATTCGGTTGTAGGTGCAAATATCCGAAGTTACCTGCTGGGGTCGCGGGTATGTCACCCCCAGCCCCAGGACTGCCACTGTTTAGGTTGAGCTGAGCTTCTAGATCTTCGGTACATGACCCAGCACTATAATGACGATCAACGGTATATGTACTGGTAGTACCCCCAATCGAATACGCTGAAGAGAAGCCCGAGTCGCAGTTTGACCTTACATCCGAAGTGTCGGTTGAGCTAGATGCGAGGAGGGCGGAGCCGGAGAGACTCGCAAAATCGGCCCCGCAGTCTAGGTACGAGCATGCATCTATTTCAGCTACGTTGATTGCCCCTGGAGCGATCTCGAGCTCGGGATTGACTACACTAACCCCCGAGACCCGTTCATGATTCATGGTAGCGGGGTCGGAGTTGGCAGTAGATGCGCGTTCCCCAGGTATCGTGGTTCGAGCCGGTCGCACGTACACACACGGGATGTTGCGGATATTACAGCGCGAACATGTCGGGCGTTGCAAGTCGCATCGAGACTTAGCTACTATACAAGTACTAGTTCGTTTAAGGTTGCCAGTTAGCTGACGACTTCTCCAGACGGCCTTATCAGCCGTGGGTATGAATTCCTTTGAGTACTCGTGATCACTCACTGACAAGCTTTCTGTCGTTTGCTCGGCCTTGGTTCAAGTGTGCATCTCTTTGCATGCCGCACGAGAGATGATTCTACTCATCTCCTACATTAAATCGGGACACAGGGGGAAAAGCGGTATACGTACTCTGCTTGAACGTTCTCTTACACAGGTCGCAGCGATGGTCTGCCTCAACTGCAATCTCGGCCATCCTGCTACTACCATTCGGTTCGGAGCACTTTGCTGCCAATTAGTTACGAAACTCAGAAAAAGTAAATCAACGCGTCTAGTCGCGACTCTCGCGCGTTCTACTAGCAATTAAGATCGATTCTCGTTTTGTAACCTTTGCTGCAATCAAGGCCGAGTCACTGGAACTTGGAATTCCGGGATGTACGCGGAGTTCCGAGCGCGCTGACTAAGGTTATCGCTTAGTAATCCTCACTTGTCTGGTGAATGGTGCAAACCAACAGCAACCAATAGACCACTCAAAGCAAGATCGGCCCGTGAAGACTTGACAGCAGTTATTGTGATTGAGCATTGACTATATACAGGACGCTGTTTAGATAAATTCAACCTTACTTGAATTACGGGTATATTCCCGCTAGGTTTTCAGTGAACTCAATATACCTATATGGTCTCTGGGAATCTCCTAACTGCAGCGTATCTAGGTTCTAGCTGTACAACGGCTGATGACCCTGTACGGGGACCTTCAGTTTCTTATGCATTTACGAAGCAACACTTATCACACCCTCATGCTTTTCGCTGCGTGCTGTCATATATATTATGAATGGTCACCATATTTGACGCCAAGGTGATTGAGTAAAGCCTTCGTGGCGTTCCAAGGGATAATATCTAGCATTTCCGGGTCCAGCCACCCCGTACAGCTTAACACCGTGTCAATATTGAGAATGAAACGGTGTCGGGCAATTTCTAATGCATTTTTGCCTATGGCACAGCTCTCTCATCATGTACAGCCTTATCTAGTCGACACATCTACGTGGTATTTCACCGGCGCCGAAGCTCCCACCTATTCTACACCTCCTATGTCTTTTCACAATGTCAAACTAGAGTCAAACGACTCTCCTGGACAGCCAACCGTCATACAAAACGTCAGGAAGACAAGGCATACTACCTACTTAGCATCTTCAATATCTTCATGCCACTACTTTATAGTAAAGGTGACTATGCGTTTGAGAGACTACGGCTAGAAATTAAGCAAAAAAATGCAGAAAATACGAAACTGGATCATCTATTGAGTATGTTACCAGTAGCCTCTGAAGCAGCCTTCAACTCCCGTCTCAACCAGCATGAGCCGGAGTGTCTTCCAAATACTCGAGCAGAACTCCTTCAGGCTATACATGTATGGATCAGCAGTCAAGATGATAGATGTATCTTCTGGCTGAATGGCATAGCTGGCACAGGAATATCAACAATTGCTCGTACTGTTGCTAGAAAATACTATGACGAGGGTGAGCTGGGAGCGAGCTATTTCTCCGAGGCACAAACTACACGATATGTAAAATCTCGACTAAACATATCCAACACCTTAACGCTACATCGGGCTCATCTATATCTCAGCATAACATTGTCACTGCAGATTCCGAAGCTATTAGTGCAGGCACGTGTGCAAGTTTTCTGCAAGATCACTACATTGCTTTAATCGCCCTATATACGTAATGAGATATGAAATGATGTGGGTATCATTTGCTGCAACTACGCCAATGGGGATGACATTTTACGTACGTGTGTACTTTTCTCGCCCCATTTCAAGCCAGGGAAAATGCGGAATGGGCATTTTTCGCCCGATGGCAGTCAGATTGGCCCCTTTCACCCCCAGCCACCAATGTGACCCGGTCCTACTCTAGGCAGCCAGCCGAAGAATCAATGATTAATCCACTTAACAATGTTTGATTGATCGTTGGCGGCCTCGGACTAAGTGTTCCCCATGTCGGCCATCAGGCGAGCCTATCACCTGCTTATATTACATGTGTATACTTAACCACTATTCCCCTACATTCTTTCCCTTCCAAGTCAGCCATCGTGTCCAACATTAGTAATTGTACTGTGATGACAATACCGCGTACGCAGCAAGAATCGCTGTTCTAGGCCGATTCCATTTCACCACGACTAGTATTTATTCACGCAAATCATCTGACAAAGGATGGCGTTTACCTGTGTGACAAGTAAGTGATTCATTTTTCACGTCGAATACCACTTGACTAATCAAATAGCTTTCCACAATATGAAATAGACCCGGGATCGTGGGAGAGTAGAATGTTAGAACTCTGGCGATTTCTCTTGCCTGGGGATAATTAAACTTTCGGGTTCCTCACGCCCGCGACCGTATTGCAGATGCCTTGGACGTCTGATTTTAGACTCGATGAATCCTCACGAATCGTTCAATTGTCCCCAGTGGTGAGTACGGACCCAGAAGTTGGAACCACCGATGTTGTCCGGGCCAGCGCTGGTGCAATAACGAAGTTGCTGCAGGCCGCACAGGAAGCGGGCTCGTTCCCCAAACTATACAATTGGCCGAACGAGAAATTCCCTTTCGCTGTAGACCGTGCTATAGCACCATACCTTGGCATTGTAACAACAGGGCCTCACTTGAACGCCTTTGTCCGCGATGATAACGGTTTAGTTGCTAGTATCTGGGTTGCTAAAAGGGGAATGAATAAACCTATGTACCCAGGTATGTTAGATAACGCAGTTGGCGGAGCTGTGGTAGAAGGCGAAACACCCCGCGGATGTCTATTACGGGAAGCAATGGAAGAGATCGGGATTGATGCCAAAGATGCTGTATCTGGAGGAACTGTATCTTGGTTCAGAATCAAAGAAAACCGGACAGGGTTTACACCTGGCTTGGTAGAGCCGGGGGTGCAATATGTTTACGATCTGGGAGTCGGCTCGGAGACTATACTACACTCTCCCGAGGCTGGTACCGACTGGCTGCATCTACTGAGCATCAACGAGGTAATGGGGGCTCTGCGACGCCACGAGTTCAAACCCAGCAGTGCCTGCGTCATGATTGACTTTCTTATACGGCATGGCATAATTACTGCCGAAACCGATCCCGACTTTGCAGACGTGGTCTCTCGATTGCATCGCAAGCTATCACTACCCACCAGGTTTCCCGAACAAACCCGACAGCAGTAACGCAGTGCTTACAAGCCTACCTGACTCTGTCTGTGAGCCTACGACTGAAATGGTATGAGGAGATCCGCGCTCGTTTTTCACTGCCTTTGTATTGGCATTCCAATCAACTTTTGTGCTTAGGTCATGCCTTTTAGAATTACATCGTTCGTTTCAGCGCATGGTGGCGGCGCGGGCTCTAGCTGCGAACCACTATGCTTGCCTAGATACCGTGTAACAGTTTCTGAGGGAGAGTTTTGAAGAAGAATGTTGGGGAAACCTCGTCCAATATAAGACTGGCGATGGCTTCAAGCAACTAGCACAGGAGCCAACAGAAGAGGGCGTCGTTTTTTTTTTTTTTGGAAAAAGAAAAAAAAAAAGGAAAGAGAAAGATAATTTCACATCGCTAAAGGTCTCTCAATTACCTATAAATCTACCCAGCCTACGTAGGTACCTAGGTAACTAGGTAGGTACATATACATACTTAGATTTGTATCGGATCTGAGCAAGATCGCGCTAAAACCGCGGGGGAGGGGCTCGAGGGGTAGGTGCGGGGCATCTCCAGACCCTGTATCTTGGTTACCTAAGTACCTAGATAGATGTAGATCGCCGTCGATCACTTTAATTAGGACGTCTTCAATTCAACGCCTTTACTCCGACAATGTCCATCCATGTGCCTCTGGCAGCAGAATCAAATTATCTGGTGCAGCTTTTCCGCTCTCTCACACGCAGCAACGCGGCATAAGCCTTAGCTGACAAGGAGAGCTTTCTTGACAATAGTCGGGTGCTGGTGGTTGTGCTGGTAGGTACGTCTGTGACCAAGAGACAGTGAAGCTTAGAGGGGATGCGCAACTCGAGATAGGCATACTAGGTGTGATCGATCGTGTGTAGCAAAGTTCTAGTACCATGGAATGGCAAGTTACCAGTCATGTGCTTCTCTCCACTCCGTTGCTGTTCCTCTCTCATTGCTCAGGTTAACCGTGGAGAAGGCATGGTGGTTGCCGGTGAAGCTGTGGGTAGTGGGAGCTCAGGGGGTAACGTTGCCTACTTATCGATGGTTAGTTCTTTGAACCCATTGCACAGTGTCGACTTTAGATTTGGACCACCGTCTCTTGCATGCAGATATAGGGCCAGGCAAGTTCCCGAATTCTGGGTTTCGCTTGTTGCCTGACATAGACGTATTTCTCATGACCAAAAGTGAAATGTTAAGTTGATAGGTATGGTGTCATTATGGAAGTTGTGGGGCATCGGAACCGCCAGCCCGCATGTATCTCTGGAATGGTGATGCCCTAACAATACGCTGTCGCTTCGCTACCCCTTTTGACAATCATTGATTGGAAAACCTGCTGTTCTGAGATAGAAGTTACCCATTTGATTAACTGTCCGCCTGATGTCGATAACTGTGAGGAAAGCGGCAGCGTTATTTGATTCTCTCCATTCAAATGGTGCATTTCTTTAAGTAGTTAGAGAGTGTGACTTATGGAGTTTGATACTAAAGTTTTAACCTTTACGAGATGCAGTAATCCAAGAGAATGATTTTATCCTCAGAAGAGACTGGAGCAAGAGGAGAGGGGGCGGGTGTTGCTGCGCGACTGTACATCTGATGTGTCGGGCCGTGGGAGGTGCAACTTAGGTACATATGACGCGTCATTCCGGGCGATACGTGTCAGATACATGGTAATTTGTCTCTAGAGATCCATCTTCATGTCATCCATGTCATCCATGTCATCCGTGCCTGGAGGCCGAGTGGTTGGCATTAAGACAACTAAAGAACGGCCATAACAAGTCAGCGCGATTCAAAGAACGACATATATCGGATGAATAGCACATATGAAGAGTAAGGTATATGAGATTACTGCAGGCAGCTCTTTATCCGTTCCAGAAACCAATTGGTCCTTGGACTAAGTGCAGTTCAATAATTCGTATACGTAGGGGTCTCATTTAGCGTAGATAATAAATTCCATCGAAACTGTAGAAGCACCTTTGCAAAGGCTATTAAAATAAAAGATCCTAGGCAATGGTAAAGAGCTCAGATATAGTGATCGTTTAATGTCATTTGTTGAATGGGCTGCATACGAATATTCGTACGGGACCAAGTGGTAGTACGTATTCTCTATCTAATACGCTACGACGAAGAAAAGGAAAGAAAAAATGGTGTGAGCTGCGCAGCAGCCCCTATATAGACCTTGAAGGGGTCCGTGCCCCAGGTCCTTCGCGTACGTGTAACGCGTGCGTACGCAATTGCAGCCAACCTGTTGTTCCAACATCATTTCTATTTACGTTGTTGAGGTCCTTAGTATCGTTGTTATTAGTTTGCGTAACTTGCACTCGAGTTTAGCCAAAATGGAAGTCTAATAGAGAGGTTTTCAGCAGAGTTGAAATCTACAACAGCGAAACGCTCGATGTAGATATAGGGAAACCTTTTCTTGTTTAATGAATTATGACAAAGAAACTGCTTTGAACTCAAGGCACTTAACGGGAAACTCAAAAGAACCTCTTTAACAGATTATTGCGATGTATATGATCAACGCAGTGGTTCGCAACTGAGCAGCGATGATGGAAGCGATTCTCAAGCATATCATTGTGGTCGAAAGAAGGCTATTATGCTTAATTCCTATGTTGTTATCTTTATCTTACGATTCCGAAAAACGTAATGTTACCTATTGTTGGTTTGTGCTCAGAGACACAAAGCATCATTCAATCACCATTCTAATTGACTTTACAAAGCCATGTAGCGATGGTGTTGAGTCTTCAGCGCTCTTTGCCCAACCTCTGAGACATCGTTATGTCTCTCCTCAAGGGGTCCTTTTTACCCATCTCCCCAACCAAATCATCAACACATATCACATATCGTATTGGAGAAGAGGAGAAACCAATGATTAGCACGAGTATGTCGATTGCCAACGAGTTACGGCCGCGCGCCTTCTTCCAACACCTTTCTGAAAACTATAAGAACGAGGAGTGGGAATTTGAGAAGAGGCTTGGGTTTGGCGCATTCGGTTTTACCGCTTTATTGAGGAGGAAAGCGTCGTCGGGACAGCCCGTGCAGCGTATGGCTCTGAAATTTATGGTGGGAAGCTCCAAAAGCAGAGTGAGTGCGTTACAAGGCGAGATCTCTATGCTAAAGGTATGGCATCATGCTCTACTCTCCATCCTTTAGGTTTCCCTTATTGACATGGCATATGATACAACCTTCACTTCCCATTGCGCTTTCATAATTAGTATCTAATTGCGGCTAGAGAGTCAACGGAGCTAGCCATATAGTCTCCATACTTGCGAGCTGCGTAAACCTCACCCTGCCCACAGGAAACCAATATTCTCCTGACAACGATCCGCAAACTGAAGCCTCAGGCGTATTTGAAGGGTTCGTGGGTCTCGTAGGGCCGGCTGTAGCCCTAGAATACCTCGAGTACGGTGATATAACGGGACTTATAAATAGGGTTCGTCGGACAGAGCGGAATGTACCTAACAGGGTACTCTGGAGTTTCTTTTATTGTTGTATGTATTTGAACCAAGCTGGATCATCACATGTTCTGCCACTTCGACCAGTTTCCTCTAATTTTGAAAGATCTACTGGCTTCTCTCTGCATACAAGCTCGCAGCGAAAGAACAAGACTAACCGGTGCCGATGCACCAAATGCAGTGATAAGAGCCTCGGTTGGGTTGGCGTATCCACCCAATCAGCCTATTGGTAGTAATACTGAGATATTAGAAGAGCTCCCGAATGGTCATAGTCCGGAAACAGAAAGTTTTTTAGCGCATAACGACTTCAACGCAAGAAATATCATGTTGACGGTGGGCGATGGGCCGGAGCACGGAATAGGGGTAAAGGCCAAACTGATAGATCTTGGCTTCGCTGAGGTAGTCACACATCGACGCAATGGAACCCCAGTGAACATTTTTGATGCTGCCCTGGTAAGCAAGTCTTTTATTTTCGCGTTGTTGACGCCCCCCCGCCTCCCCCTCGACTTCTCTCACATCTGAGCTCATCAATAAAACGTGCTAAAACTACTTCTACAATAGACAATATGCTGTCTCGCAACTCCCAACGTAGGGTTATCAAAATCTAAATGTACATACCAAGGATTACCCACAAAGGCTGTAAATCTTGTTGGTACGGGTAATCCGCCATTTCCACTGCCCGTAAGTCATTCCCGAGGTCAAGCTTTTGCTTTAATAATATCTCAAGTGCTCTCGACTTGTCCTAAAAGTTTGATCGCCGAAGCATCAAAGCTACTTTGAGTAAATGAAAATAACTAATTGAAGATATGACAGTGGTTGGATCCGGAACTTCGGGACATCCTGGCGCGGTGTATGTATGAAGATCCACTCCAAAGGCCTGGCCTACAGGAAGTTCTACAGGTTGCACAGAATGCGGTGCACTCAAAAATAGCTATGTCATTCCCAATGCCTGAAATGGAGACGGAAAGTGCTGTCAGTGTCTTTGTCCAGGGTTTAATTTTTAATATTCTGTAATCATAAAGCATCGGGGTAAATCTACTTGCTAGTGTTTTTTATTAATTGTTAAAATTCTTCTTTTATTCATATTATCACTTACGGTTTTATATATTAGCATGTTCGTAGGCCCTACTACATTCACATATATACACTTTATTGTATTCTTGTCTCTTAAGCACAGCGTTTTGTACTGGTTGGAGACGGTTTGGTCTGTTCAACACATGGGCGAATAGTAGTTGTTGAGTATTGAATGTGAACCGCGATAACGTTGTTGCGGGGATCATGTATTAGCAGACAACCTCAGTGGAAAAGGAAAGATCCAGAGTTAACCACCGTTTAGTTGAACTTCTGATGAGAATGAATAAAAGCCGGTTACAATCAGCCCAGAGGGGTAGTGCTCAATAGTGACAGTGTTGAATATACACATGGGGAAACTGTGTCGCTCATGATTGCTGCATCTCAACGACAGTGGTCAGGAATACTGAGTAGTGAAGCAGTGTACACCCTACAAAGCTACAAAAGCGCCATCACGGAGAGTCATATCCATCTTGTCCACCTCAATCATGGCTACCTCGTATGCAGAAAGGTAGGTTATTTACGCGTGGCCAAAAATTATTGGTGGGAGGATTGGATTGGATTAAGTTGAGGCTTGGATTGTTAATATCGAATGCTTATATAAGTACTCAGGCAAGTACCTAAGCAGGCCGAATGAGTGCAGGCACTGTAAATACCTGGCGGTGTCACGGGTATAGGTACCTACCTAAATAAATCTTTAAGATCGGACCGTGGGTAGGGTTTTAAAGCATACCCAGGTGGGTGTGTGCAGCTCTAGATTGAGAACATCTTCTAAATTTGGACTGGGCTCAGTCAGGGTTGCGTCTGTACTCTATGCGCCATCTAAGCATCAATTGGACTGACTATTTGCAAATTGCACCCCTTGGGTTGCCTTGTGGATCAATTGCCACCTCGAACAGTAAAATCATTGTCTTCTCATAGATGTGAGGGTGTAATTGGGGTGTGTGATCAACAGAGACAGATATGAATTGGGTATGTGATGCATCATGGCGATGCAATACGGGTTGAGCCATGTGATGATCGATTCACGTGGGCCATTTATGCAGATTGAACACGAAATGCAGGGCCGCGAACTAGGCCGTCACCCATGCGAGCTTGATGGGCAAAGCCCAATCACGATGCGGGATCGTGTACAGAAGATGGGAATGCCGACAGCGGTGCTGTACGAGGGAGGATTGGCAGCGGTGCCAAGTGGCATAATATCGTGGGCAAAAAAAAGAAAGGTGTGTGTGTCTCTGCATGTGTGTGTGTGTAAGTATGTATGTATGTGTTCTGTAGGCGAAGGACAAGGACAGGACAGAAGGAGGTGGTGCAAAGAGGCGAGGAAGAGACAGAAAGGGAATCGCAACCAATGGCACGTTACTTCGTACGCCCATCCATGCCCGTCTCTGCCCATGTCTGCACATCTTATACGAAGTTCGGCGTTGATGAAGGCTCAAAAAGGACAGGATCATGACTATCAGGAACACAGGAGCGACGACAAGGAGCGCACGATGGGCCCCGAAAGAAGAGGATGCCGGAGCTAAACTAGCCCCTCCTTTGTTTCAAAGCCCCCTCCTGCCTAAAGGGGCAGTCAGGGAGCCTCTAGCATGGCCCAGCGCGGTGTCTGACTGGCTGGCGCTGAAACATCGTTATAGCACAACGGGGGCTTATGACGGCACTGGCCAGGGAGGCAAGCAGCGGCCATGCCTGACAACTGCCATCTCGGGCCCAGGATGCGCTGTAACCTCGGCCTCATTCTCCCTCGTCTGTCAGATCCATCCTCTCTGCCAGACCCTCGAGACTCTGCTCTGGTCTGCGGCGCTGCTCTCTGGCATTGTGCGTGGGCGGCTGCTCGCGTCCGCCGGGAGACGGGACGGGGCTGGACGGGCTGGACGGGGTCCTGCAGTGTCTGGCGTCTCTGGGACTTCGAGCCTGGTCATCCTACCTACTTAGGTACTTACATAGAGTACTAGGTACCTATATACATACATGTAGGTAGGTATGTATGTATGTACCTATGTACATTAATTAAGCCTGCTGCCGATCCCCCAACTACCAACTACCAACTACCGTACCTGCTGCTCGGGAGAGTGAATATAAAGACACGGAGCATCGTCCCCATCACCTGCTTGAAAAGGGTCCCTGGTCCCCAGACCTTGCCCAGACCTATACATACTCGAAATAAGCTCAAAATAAGACCTACTACAATAGTTGGATATTTGGATCGACGCCTCTCTCATTGGCTGCCCTACCTATCTCATCTCCCTTCATCCAACCTATAAAAGGACCACTTCCCATTGCCGCACACTTGTGATACCTACTTGACGAACCCACTCACCGGTTGTGTCCTGTTTGCTATTTTGCAGGTCAAAAGGCCACTCTTCTTCCTCCCATACATTCTCCCCCAAGCCATTCATCGTCTTGAACATCACATCGCTTCATCGAACCAAAATGGCACCTATTCGAGTCCTTGCACTCCCGGCCTTCGCCGCCATGGCTGCCGCTCTCAGCATCAGCGAGTTCGTCCCGGCCTGTGGACCATCGTGTATCGACGAGTCTGTTGCTGAGCACACCACTTGCGCCCCCGATGACAACGCCTGCATCTGCTCCTTGATCTACACGGTTCGACGTGATGGCGAAGTCTGTCTGCGCGACGCCTGCAGCGAGACCGACTATGGTATGTGCATCGCCGGTCCTACACGAGAAAGACTATTGAGTATGAGAACTGACAAATGAATAGGCGGTGTCCAGACGGGCATTGATGAATTCTGTGCTGCCGTAGCAAATGGTGGGGGTGGTGACTCTAGCACGTCAACCCCCCCAACGAGCACCACGACCACTTCCAGTCAGGACTATCCGACCTCTACTTCTACCGCGACACCCACGGAGAGTCCGTCCGAGACTCCCACTAACTATCCCACAGACACTCCTACGGAGACTCCTACTGAGACTCCCACCGAAACCCCTACCGAGACGCCTACCGAGACACCCACGGAGACACCCACGGAGACCCCTACTGAGTACCCGACCGAGACGCCTACCCAGACGCCTACAGAGACACCCACTGAAACTCCCACCGATGTTCCTTCTTCTAGTTACCCTGCTTCTACCGGTTCTACTTCTGAGGGCACCACTCCGTCCTCGACTGAAAACCCTGGCACCACAGTGGTGCCGACCGGCTCGTCTAGCTTCACCACCTCGGTCGGCAGCATGACGGAGCCACCCAGCTCCAGCTCCGCCACCAGCTCCGCGCCTGTCAGCACCTCTTCGGGTCCCGCCACGGGTGCTGGCTCCCGCGCTCAGATCGGCCTTGGTGCTGGTGTCGCCGGTATGCTGCTTGCCTGTGGCGTTGCGTACTTGCTGTAAGCGAGCACAGGCCAGGCTTCCGCTGTCCCGCTATGACAGCCTCGCATGGCAGGAATGAGAGATTGCAGTGGTGGGGAAAGATGGAAACGACGACGAAAAAAATGACGTTTATTGCATTAATGGCTCGATTCGCATAACAACTGCTGTGTGGTTCATTACCCCTTTTCTCCCTGTTGCGTTGATTGCTCCTCTTTAATGGACCAAGAGGGGTCGCCTGGTTGGGATTCTGTAGATATTTGATTGCCCCTGTACATGCAAACCAGCTGTGCTAGTATATACATACACGTGGAAAACATGAAAACGTTCTACTCTACACTGCATTTGGGAATTACATTCATACTTACTGCTGCTCTGTGCGTGGAAAGGTTAGGTGGCATGCGCATTCCCTACTTTCGAGGATCAAGCAAGTGTGACTGTGATTTCTGGGAATTGATGACATTCTGTGGGAATGAGTGTTTAGCAGCTTGCGAGTCGCGACATGTTGAATCATAATAGGGCTCCAGAGTCGCAGCCCAAAAAAAACAAATGAACAAATCAGAAAAAGGCAGGTTCTACCAGGACCTCTGAGCTAAGGAGATCAGTCGGTGTTTCATGACATGGAGATGGGGTGAGGGATTTGCCGATGGAGATGAACGGTGAGATGAGAAGGAGGATGTTTGCTTGTGAGAGGGCGTATCTTAGCACGTGGCATGTTTCAGCTTGGATTATGAAAATGATCTTACTGTGAAGGACGATTTCGCCGGCAAATGCATTATTTATTAGGCGACGAATTCCATTTCATGTGACAAGGATCATAGCTGCAAAACACAGGCCCCATCCTCGCCATCCTAGCGCACTGTTGGTAGCATGAGCATTGCATGTGTAGATCTCTAATCCACAACAACCATGACCCTAGCTTTTCGAGATGACTTACGGATAGTTCAGTTAAGGAGCTACTATGTACACATAACACTACCTAGTGTAAGCAAGCACGAGGTGCATGAATCATATTCGACTCTCAAGAAAGCCTACATGAATATTTAGCAGATTGATGCCGCGTTCAGTTTTCTTACCCGGTATTTCTCTCTATCGGTTAATGATGCAGCTAGGTAGCTCGAACACCTACAGATCCGGGGTACGGTAGGACAAACGGGTCTGCAGCAGACACCGCTACACCACTACAAAACGCTACCTAGGTACCACCAGCTGTGCCCTATCTAGGTATGCCACCTGGTCTGAAAAGTCCCCAACTAAGGAAAAAAAAAAACTTCTCGAAGTTTCGCTCCCCTTCACCATGTTACAAATGCGTGCATGCATGCTACCTGAATTCTGGCTGCACCGCGGCCGTGGTAACGACTCAGGTAGGTGTACACACTATGTGAGACGTATGCCGGCAATACCGGCAGAGCACCGCCAGCACCGCCAACGCCGGCATCTAGGACAACGATATTGCTATCATTTCCTATCCTTTCTCGGACACCGCCGCGCAAACCACCGTCTTGGACTTGAACTCACCATACGCGGCTGATAGATAGCCTTGCTGATAGCCTTGCTGATAACCAGAGAGGCAAGGCGCTTTCGTTCCTTACTTGCTTAAACTACGTACCTACCTATGTAATCTTGCTCTCTCCTCTCCATCCCTCTCCCTAGCTTGCCTAACTTTCGCTGCGCTGTCGCTCGTGACCTGCATATCCTAGAAAAAAGGCTCCTGGTGTGTGAGACGACGCCTTGCTATTCGACCAATTGGTTGATTGATTCCTCCTCGCCCCCCCGAGACTTTGATTTAGACAGCCTTTTCTACCGTTTGCCGTCTTTGTTCGCTACCTTTATCACGACGCTGTCTACCGACAATAGCCTAACATCATAACGCTTAAAATAGCTGACCCTATCCCAACTAACTCCCACTCCCATTACGTGTTAAGAAGGCAATCGATCGAACTTGACGTGAGCCTCTATCGAATCGTCTACTGCCCACCCTCGCTCTCTCGATTGGTCAAACCGCCGCTAGTCATCGCGACCAGTCCCGTATACGAACTTGATCTTGATTATACCGACCTCGGCGATCGCCCATTGAACATTCCTCTGTTGCCTTGCCCCTCCCCTCTCGATCTCTTTCCCGCCAACAACTCCAACGCCGTCGTCAATCATTTCCGTCCTCCTCAACCTGTCGCCGCCATGATGGCAAACGATGATGTCAAGCGAGCCGAGATGTTGAAGACTGAGGGAAATAAGCATTTCACATCGGGCAATTTTGCCGCTGCCGAAGGCTTGTATTCTAAAGCGTCAGTGTGCACTCAGTACCTCTTCTGTCCAAATGCTTTTGCTCTTTTTTAAACAGCAATTGCTTGTCCCTCGATCTTGCCATAATCAGCTGACCTTGTTTCCCTGCTAGTATCATTGTTGATCATACCAATTATGCGCTATACACGAACCGCGCGATGTCCAGATTGAGGCTCTCAATGTACGAGTCGGCTGTCGTGGATTGCCACACTTGCCTGCAGCTGAGCGGCCCAAATAAAAAGGCGTATTTTATCCTATCCCAATGCCTACTGGCCTTGCACGACTTTGAGGGCGCACTCGAGAATGCCCTTTTGGCTTACCGCTTGGGTTGCGAAATGGGGGATAAGTTGCTTGGAACCTTGACGGCTCAAGTATTGCGATGTAAAAAAGAACGCTGGGATGAATTAGAGAAGAAGCGATCTCGCGAGGGCCAAGCGCTCGAAAGGCAGGTCATTTCTCTCATGGAGCGCGAACGGGATGATAACCTCGCGAGCTGTGCTGACGAGACCGAGCGGATTGCGGTCAAAGAAGAGTATGAGGAGCAAATCAGCCGGCTCCAAGCCACTTTCGAGGCTGCGAGGGTGGCAGACGAGAGGAGGCGAGAGGTGCCTGACTGGGCTATCGATGACATTAGTTTTGGGATAATGGTTGATCCAGTGATGGTATGTAGTCTTGGCTTTTGCGAGAAGTGACCTTAAACTGATTTGCCGCACAGACAAAGACCGGCAAGTCGTACGAGAGAGCCTCCATCTTGGAGGCTTTACGGAGACAGCCACTTGATCCAATTACCAGAGAACCTTTGCATCCTTCAGAATTGCGTCCCAATTTGGGTCTGAAACAAGCCTGCGATGAATTCCTAGACCAGAACGGTTGGGCTGTCGACTGGTGAGGACTAGGTGTGAGAAGGGGGAGGGCAAGCATTCAATTTGGCCGGGTATTCTATGAACTAATCAGTGTCCATTTATCTTTATTGTGCAACAACCGTCGAGGATATCACGAGGCAGAACGTTTGAGCCGCATGTTCATAGGAGTTCCATATTGCATCGGAAGGCGTTTAGGCGGACTAACTCTTTCATCGAAGCGAATAAGATGCTTTGCTTGCTTTCTTTCCACCTAATGTTTACTGCATAATGACGATTGATGAACAAGCCAAACTGCAATCGGCGCAAGTGAATACACATATATCGAAGGACTGATCGACGACGGCTATTTCTACGTTTATACTAATTTTTTTGTTTCTATCTATGAGTTCGACATATAAGCCTAGGTTACGAGATGGCTAGGTAAGTTGTGCCAAGATAACCTCCGGCTTCGGCTTCGGCCTCGGTTTCGAAAGGGTTGGCAAACGTCGACTTTGGGCGAAATTGACTTTAGTATAAAGCAAGTAGGAACATTCGTTTAAAGTATAATGCCCTAAGGGCGGAGCAGACTCTGGACTCTGCTCAACAACAATAAACCTGACGACACACTCTCAAGTAACCTGGCTCGCCTAATCTGACAATTATTACGTATGACGCTCAGGGACTTTTTGACTTCATTGAAGGCGATGATAGGACCGCCTAAAGTAGCACTGAAGCGAAGAGCGCATAATGTCGATCTAAGTAAGATGAAGCTCAGAGGTGCACTTCAATACTCAAGTGAGCAAGATGAAGATGATGACAACCGTCGCGATTCTGGTGTAAATCTCACCCCGCCTTCACGTAACGTTATCCGATACGGTGATTGTTACATGTCCGCGCCGTAATCCCGCTGCTTGTGCGACGACCTCAAGCTTGCTGCACCAAACAGCAGACAGCGCGGTTGTTGTTCATCATCGCTAATGACGTCTAGTTCGGAGTTTAGCCACGCGGAAACCAGCCGAGAGAGGAGCCGCGACGCACGTGCGCGGGACCTATCAAAGCGGCCCCAATTGCCCGCGGGTCTGTCCGGGCAGTTTGTTCTGATGCACTGCAACGCCGGTGGGCTGGTGGTATCTCTTGCCGGTGAACTGCTCTCTTGCCGACTGGGAAAGTAGTTCGCCGGGATTTGTTGTATCTTCCAGACCATCGGGTGGTGGATATGCACCTACCTATGTAGGTACCCAGCCACCTAACCCAGAGTCATCTAACGTAGTGTGTACAACCACTTCACAACGAGTCAAGACCAAAACGCTGGACACGGAGGGCAAAAACAAGCAGAAGGGTAGCGAGCGCTAGATGGGCGTCGTTCTGCTCACATTCATTGACAAGAAGCTGGGCCCTCCGCTTGGGACCTACTTCTGGGTCATCTGTCGCGTCTATTATTTAGCTTCTTAGTCTTTGGTTACTTCTTTGTCTTCCCACCTCCCCATCTCGTCTCATAACAACATAGCTCTGTCACAACAAGCGAAAGATGTTATTTCCGAGCTCCCACTCAAAGATACGCTTAATCAAATTCGAGACAGATTCGGCGACATTGATATAGCAAACCCGCGTTAGGAAGATGTCGCTAATCTCCTATCAGCTTTGGTCGGCTCCCCAACCGCGCTCAGTCTCTCTTCTCCCAACGGAAGCGGTGATATAGCAATTAAACTATTCTATATATATAAACATGTTTGGCAAGGTTTAGTAAAGCTTGATAATTTTTATAGCTTCGTCTACTACGTCGTTTTAAAGTCCTTTAACATTAATATCTAGGAGGCTATTTTTATTATTATCGACAGCCTTAACGCCCTTACGCCTCTCCCGTCCAGTATTGCTCTGACCTTTTAAGGAATGTACGTTAAGTCTAGCTTGAGTTGACTTTCGGATAGCGAAATGCGTAACATTGTTAAAAGGGAGCTCTTCTTTAAGATTAAGGATTGCACCTTCTATAACATAGGGTGGAAGGAAAAGCACGTACAGCTACACCCAGTGAACGAGATATCCCTCAGCGGAAGTGACCCCTTTACATACCACCCACTCACTCTTCCAAAATCTACAAGAATCCATAAGATTTATCCCTCGCGATATGAAACTGCGGCGCTCGTATGTGAGCTTAACGAGGAAGTGTTAAACAGTAATGATCCACCTTCTTACGCTGCCATTTCGTATACTTGGGGCTCTCAGACGCCTAGCAGCGAATCTTTTGTCACGGAAAGACACTTCTTATTACTGAATTTTGTGAAGCAATTCTGCGCCGGTTCCGCCGGTCAGAAAAGATTTCATACCTTTGGATTGATGCCATCTGCATTAATCAGAACGTTGTGCAGGAACGAAACGACCAAGTCGCTATGATGGAAGATATCTATAGGCTTGCTGAGGTAGTTGCTATTTGGCTTGGCGCAGCAACAGAGTTCATAGAAGAAGCCTTTGACTATTAAGAGTCTAAGCGAAAATCGAGGTGAGTTGATTATTCGAAGAAAGAATGAACAAGTAGTCAATATTAATTCTCTGTTTCTAGAAAACCTCGATGACGATAGGGAGAAACTGGTCCTATTATCAAAGGAGATACTGGAGCAGCCATGGTTTACAAGAATGTGGACAATCCAAGAGGTGGCAATGGCATCGCCAAAGGTAGTGTATTTGTGCCGTGGGGACAGAATGATGAGATGGGAAACCTTCATGCAAGCTATGGCAAGCAGAAAACTTGACCCTGGAGTGAGTTATCTAGCGAACAGCGCAGCCCAGATCTTTAACCGCCTAAGTCCTCTCTTCGAGTCAGCGAGAGAAAGCTCTCGGCGCCCGGGCATTGTCTCACCCCAAATGTTGCTCAATAGTTTCACCCCATTGAGGGAAATACTCAACATCCTAGTCGAGGTTCGAGCGAAGCTTGCGACGGATGTGCGAGACAAAGTCTTTGCATTGCATGGCATTTTCAAGGCGTTCAACGCCCGCTTTCCTGCACCAGACTATTCCAAGTCAGTTAGACAGGTATTCTGTGAGACAGCTAAAGCAATCATTGAGCAAGATGAAAGTCTACACATATTGTATTATGTCTCCTCACGACAACGCGTGCCGGACTTGCCGACATGGGTTCCTGATTGGGGAGATACGGACGTCATCGACGGCAATCCGGTTTTCAGCTTTTGGGGCGCAACTCGCGACAGCGTGCATCGTCCACACTTTGATCAGACGGCAACATATTGAACACAACTGGCAAAGTCATTAGCAAAATATCTACTCGTGCCATAGCACTTTTAGTAGAGAATAAAGGGGACAATTGCAACATTAAGGTTTTCCGAAATTGGATCCGGTACTGCTAAAGCATTAGTAGAATCTATCCCATTAAGGAATCAATTAATAAAGTATTTTATAAAACTCTTATTCAACTTCCTATAACTAAAAAGTTAAATATCTTTATATTAAATTTATATAAAGAAAAGGTACGCTATAAATTATATTATATTCATTTCTGGTTAGCTACGTCGTCTACTCCTGTGTGGTTCTATTAGTGGTGGATTGACAGAGAAGTGTTAGTGTCATAACGGCTGCCCGTAACCGCTACGCCAACAACCCAAAAGGTCTGTAGTACGCCGTACTGGCGTACCCGGGCGGTCCGTACGTATATATATAGCCTCCGAGTAGCCTGTCACGCCCTGGAGTACAGGGCGGGCTACGCCGGCTACGTGACAGTTAGGTGGTTGGGAATGATCCTATTTCGTCGAACTCCTGACTAAGCTGTGTTGTGTGTACCATTCAAGTTTACTTGGAAGCCACTCCTAAGATAATATTAAAGATGTAACTGTTAGCTTGCCAGAAATAGTCATGTAGCCATATTCCGCTATCTTAGTTGGATATCACTGGACTGTTATCGTCTGATATTTCGTAGTATTAGGATCTTTTAATTTTAAGTCATCCTAGGTATAAGCTCTAATACAAATCGGTAGAAACCATTGAGCTTTTGAAGTTCCTCTTAACCGTACTGATACTAATTGGTTAATTTTCATAGACCTGTATTGTCAATACTTATTATACTACTTCTTACTTGTGAGAATTAACTATAATTTCTAGAAGAATACCGACTCCCATATTAATTTCTCAGTTGTTTCCAAAATTCTAAGTCACTGCCTAAACTCTAGAACGTATAAACGTTCTAACACTGAACCAATTATAACCTTAGTTCCTACAACCAACGACGATGTAGGACGGTACTCCCGCGGAATAAGAATGGCATCCTTGTCTTTACGAGTGATCCACCACTGGTTGGTATCTTTGTCACACCGGATGCGGTACAGGCTTAGAGTCTGGCTGTCCATGCCTGTTGGAAGTTTATGAAGGCAGGGTCCTTGAGGTGTCATCACATAATTGGGCGTTTCTCCCTGGGGTACTCCAGACAGATCCCACCACATTTTGAAGTCGATCCAGTCAATGTTCGTGTTTGATATCTCTCTCCCGCTTTCTATATCCCACCCCCTCAACGTGCGGTCTGTAGAGGCCGAGAGCACATATTTTGAATCTGGTGTAACCAAAACAAAGAGAACCCTTTCAGTATGGCCCACCAATGATTCGTGCTTGCGTCGCCAATCTTTTTCGGTCACTTTCTCCCAGACGGTCAAATTATCATCACTACCACCAGAGATGACATATTTTCCATTAGGAGAGAATGCTACCGCCATCACATAGTATCCACCGTGAATGCCATCTAGTATGGCTATCGGGTCTGGCTCTACCTCATTTCCAATCTCCCAAAATCGGATAGAGCCATCGTCGGACGCTGTTGCAACATATCCTCCATCGGGTGACCATGCAGCAGAGCGAACCCAGTCTTTATGTCCTCTAAAGACATGCAGTCGCTTTCCAGTTACAACATCACATACCTGCGCCGTCCCATCATCCGAGGCTGATAGGAGCTTGTCGCCTTTGGTTGGTGAGAAAGCTAGCGATCGCAAGTCATTGCTATGGCCAAAGTCCAGGTTGGTGGAATCGAGGTTACCGCTTTGTAAATCCCAAAGAAATACTGTATGGTCTGATCGCACCGCTGCCAGCATCTTGTTCTCGGGATGGAGGGCCAAGCCGTCTATAGAATATGGATTTACTACACCCTGAGACGGAAATGCTTCACCGTGCTTGTCGTTGACATACCAAAAATGAATGCCTTTATCTATAGCGCTCGATATTAAATAGTCGCCCCCAATTGGATCAAAAAGAATGACATGCGAGGCTAAGCCTCGAGCTTGCAGTGTGTTTAGATGTCGCCTCGTAGAAGTCTCCCAAATGTTAATAGCATGGTAGGAGGATGAGGCTAATCGGGATCCATCTGGTGAGAAGGTAAGGGAGTTAATAGAAGCATCGTCATTAGATTGAGACAGGCGTGTTGTCATTGATGCGCCTTCATCCTCGCTACTTCTCGACCTCGTTATATGAGGCGGTTTGATGGTGTAAATGGGCGCGTTTTCCACGTGCTCGGGATTAGCACCGATTTCCCAAATACAGACACTACCGTCCTCGGAGCCAGATGCTAAAAGTCGTCTGCCACTAATTTCATGGGGGCTCAAGGCCGCGCAGGTGAAGTCCTTTTGATCATTCGTAAACTTTTGTCGTACCTGGAAAGTATTGCTGTCACAGAGTTGAATGGCATCTCCTGACGTGATAAGGAGTTCGTTGTCTCGTGAAAAGATTAGCCCCAGGGCCCTGATTGGATACTCAATAGGCTCTTTCGGTTGATGTCCTTCGAGGAGTCCATCAATATTCCAGATGTACACCATTCTACGGCTAGCAACGGCAATTTTACTGCCATCTGGTGAGAGGCAAAGGGCATCGGCTCCGACAGTATAAGCTGGCAGTTCACCGACTTTCCGCCCAGTAAGGGTATCCAATAGTATGACAGGAAGATCATCCGGCCCTGCAGCTACAATCCTTGAGGCTAGAGCCACTCGAGTGACATAGCTATATGTACCTTTTCTGGCATCAAATACATGCTGCGTCGTCCCCGTTTCGGTGTCCCAAATGCGAACTGTGCCATCATCGGAACCGGAAGCAAGGACTCGACTATCTGAGGAAATCGCGATGCTACGGACCCAGTCGTTATGGCCACGGAACGTAGTATAGTTGGGACTCCAGGTCTGATCTATCTTTGGTTGTTTGCACAACCAGGGATTGACCGTGGGAGCCCATAGACTTTCTTCCGGAGAGAATATAGTCGTATTCAAAGCCTGCAAAGTATTCGGGCCATCTGTGGATATGTGCAGTCGCATAAATTGGTGCGCATCTTGCATAGCGTTGGCCAAGTCACTGTTTTTTTGCTTCTTTTCGTCAAAGTTAGTCGAAATAGTTTCGCCACTTATTACATACAGTGCATTCGGCAGGACTTTTTCAAAAGAAAAAACTCACCATCTTTCGAAGATACATGTCTGCATCCCGTAACCGAGACACCACTAGGTGTATTTTATCTCCTAACGTAAGAACATCAACCCAGTGTAGGAATTCCTTCTTGAGGAACGATATCACCGACTTCCGGACTGCGATGTTTTTAGCGGCCTCTGTTATTTGTACTAGATGTTGCATCCAATATAACGATGCATAGCTACTGGCTATTGTGGATGCCACTTCCTGTTGATCACGAGTGCCGTTAGGCAGCGCAGCATACTCATTAGCAAGACTATCCCCTAGGGATTTCAGACAGAGGACTGTGAGCTTGATGTGTGTCTTCGACCTTTTAGAAGGGTCTAGTATGTATCGTTTTGCGTATTCTCTCGCCGATTCATGCCGAAACAAGACTGTGTCCCCCTGGAGATGGAGAAAGCCAGAGCATCGGTATAGAATAGCTTTCAGATCTACCCGCCGCGGCCAGTCCAGAAGTTTCTTTAACTCAAAGATGCTCAATGATTGATATATAGCCCCCATTGCCAGCAAGACGTCAATGCAGTAACGGTTTTCTTCCTCCTGGTTGTCGATAATCTCGTGCATCAAGCTATATAGACCTGGTAGATCTCGCTTAGTTTCAACTTGAGCCACAAAATCCTCTACACGCCATAAGGCCTTGGACTTAAGCACCCCGCAGACTATGTCTACCCAAAGGTAATTCTTGACATCGAGCTGACAGAAGCTGTCTGTGACTAATTTCTCAAGTTCGGTATCATAGGAATTGCTCCTGGCCAAGACAGATACCGCTTCCTTGATGTAGTTGTCCATGACCGTGCTCGAATCATGTATATCAGAGCTCAAAGACAGGTGTTGCGAATGAGACCCTCCTGGATTTGATATGCCAGACACCAACCATTTTATGCGACTACAAACAGACGCTGATTCGATAATTAAATTGATGAACTCGGTCTTTTGATAGGTGCACTCATCCAAGGAGTCAACGATCAGGTACGTCTTCGGAAACTCCTCGTCTTGTATAATGTGGAAGAACAATGCTGATAGAGCAAGAAAATCATTGGGGTGGCCGAACTGTTTCCTTCCGGTAGTATTCAGTTTATCTTTTAGGTGTTGGGCGAGCGCGGTGCATCGAGTAATGATAAGACATATCAGATTTCTTAACGCTGCTGCGGCATTGTTCGACTCGAGGCTACTTTGGCTGAAGAAAAAGAAAGCGACACCAGGAGAATCAGTTGGTTTGTACAGGGTTTGAATGATACCATGAAGGAGTTTGGTCTTGCCTTGGCCGTGATCACCGCTAATCCAGAGCAATTGGCATTCCGGCTTCTCCCAGTCAAGAAAGTCAGTGTATTTCTCTCTACTTTCCAGCACACGATAAATTTCATTCGCCATATCGTTCTGTATCCAGTCTGAGCTTGTCAAATGTGACTTGGGATCCGTGACCGGTAAGCCATCCAATAATTTGTTAGGTGCTTCAACCTGTATGGGTGCCGCTTCGAATAATCTTTGAAGTGTGTAGTTAACGTGTTCCTCGTTGAAACCAGCCAGTGCTCTCTCAGCTTCAACCACTGAATCTAAGTTCAGCTCGTCGGTAAATACCGGGGTTTGAAAAAAGCCGTAACTGAAGCCAGGAGAATAAAGAATCGCCACCCTCATGAAATATAGTAAGATGGCAGCATACAGGTCCTTCATCCGCTTCAAGATTTTGGGATAAGCTGGATTGTTGTCTTCGTCACCTGTAAATAGTGTCTGCAGGCGGTCATACCATTCCATTCGCGATACAATATGAATGAAATTGGCTTGGACGTCATGTGTTTCTGGAGCAGATTGCCAAAGTGCCTGAAACATGGTTAGCTCTCATTTTAAGTGAGTTATGATCAGTCATTCTACCTTTGACGCATAGCAGGCAGCAACCCATGGGATAATGGCTGCTGGGGACATCCTCTCTCTCGATCTCATGACCACTGCTCTGCAAAATAAATGAATAAAGTCACCATAACCTGGGGACATTGACTGGTAATCTCTCTCTTCACTCCCGCCATTGACCCAACCATCAAGCAGAACCTCCATTCGCCATCGCCGGACCTGAAAAGTCCCCGAAGGAACAGTAGTTCCAACATCTGCCGATGAAGGCGGACGATCCGTTTGCCCGTGTAAATATCGGAGGTCATGAGCCAACATTCTCTCGTACATTCTGAGTATAGTTTTGTTTTGCTTTCCAACTTGATCATACGCCTCATCCCAAAGTATCTTGGTGCTCTCGGTCGATATATGAATCGCGGGGTCATGGTCGACGACAGGGATCTGATTGTCTTCTAGACGGGGCGTTTCTGGGGAAGAAGGCTCATGTGGAGACTTCGCGACGACAGAAAGCTCCTGTTGAGGCTCGCTCATGGAAGGGGACTCAGGTTGAGGTTGGGACGTAATGGAAGGTTGTTGTTGAGACTGAGACGCGATAGAAGTCCCACTTTGAGGTTCGAGCGCGACGGAAGGTTCAGGTTGAGATTGGGGCGCGATGAAAGGCTGGGTACGTTCTATCGTTGCTTCCATAGGAATTGTAGGCGCAATTTCTGTAGTTTCTAGTGCCTCACCGGCCTGTGAGGCCTGGTTTCGATTCAGTTTCTCTATCAGCTTCCGCGTTACTTTCTTCATGTTTCCGATGCAAAAAGTACCACATGCCATAAGCCGGCTACGTAGGAAATAATCAAAGAACGGGTGCAAGCTGAAGGAGTCTCTATGTGAGATTTAAAAATTGCATAGTCGATTGATAGTATTAATGGGAAAGCTGCTGTACAATAGTGCCCTACCTGCGACCGGTAAATGAAGCAGGCCTCTAACCCAAGCAAATGTACAGCTGTGCAATGCACTGCCTGATCTCCTCTTTTACCGTCGCACTGGTATTGGTGGTGGTATTGGTGGTAATACGCTATGTAATTGGCCATGGCTTTGCCAACACCGCAGGATGGGCAGGTACCAGTACCCGGCAGAATTTTCGACACCACACCAGCTGATAACGGGAATGTAACTACACGCGAGTAGCACAAAAGTGTCAGCATTTTTCCTTCTTCTCGCCACGTAAGGAATCCATGCGATGCTAATGGTAGCTGAGCCTTTGTATGCTCATAATCTTGCCTCAAGGTGGTAGGTTAGGTCAGGTCAGGTCAGGTTAGGTTAGTCACCTACAACCTTCCAACATTCGAAGCCTTCAACAACAACTTTCTAATGCCTAAACCCTGTAAAAAAGTTCAGAAAAATCAAAAGATTACTTGCAATTAATTGCAATTAAAGGAGTCAAGTATAAAAATCTGTTTTGGTTTGTGAAATAATCTAGAAGGTCTTATCTTGTTTTGACTGGTCAAGTTATCTGGCAATCAAACAAAATAATACTTGGTCGGGGGGCGGCGCTGGTGGTCAGGGGTTGCGAACGAATTCTTCCCTCACCACGGCCTGAAAGTCAATGTTCCGAAGGTCTCTATTCTTTCCACATAGGTTTTCCAGCTTAACGTAGGGTTGATCACCCCCTTCTCCCATCTCCCTAAACCTTTTCTTGACCATCCTGTATCTCCAGTCTTCACCACTGTCGTCAAATTTGGGCGAAATGCGATAGCACGCCAGTATCAGTGAGGCAGCTCCAGCCGCGATAGCCGTTGCAGCTGAACTTCCAGTGACTGACTCCTCGGATTTCAAAAACGGGATCTGTCCAACTTGGACATTATGACCTACAAATCTAAACCTATACCCGCTCTTTTGACTGAATGGTAGGAGATTTCCCCACTTGTCGCACGCCACGATGGTGAACAGATCTTCGTTATTATCTGGCTTGTCTGTTGACGTTGGCGTCGTCGCTAGACCCGTATCCGCCGTGCTCACCAAGACTACAATGTCTTTTCTTCTAGCCTTCTCTATCTGCTTTATCATGTCTTCTGTGTTAGCGAAGACCACGAGACTAATTGATATGATGTCGACCTTCTTGTCAATTGCCCATTCAATTGCCTATACCCAAAAGATATTAGCCGGGCAGTCAGTTCTACTCATTTGGGTGGGCAACTATGAGACAGGTCTCACCTGAGCAACGACATTAGCTGCAATACCTGAACTTCGTGTCTCTGCTACCTTGACCACGTATAGTTTGCAACGTGGATCGATCGAGCAGATCAACCTCGCCATCTGTGTCCCATGAGGCTCAGATGCATGCCACCACATTTGTTCTTCGTCATCGCCGGTGTTCACGTAAGACTTCCCATCCTCTATTAGCTCCGCCAAGTCGGTAGTTGACGGTTGAGTCGCATCGGTAGGGTCTCTTGTTGATATATTATCACTACCCTCCTTCCTCCCATTTGTTTGCCCGTTTATAGCCCCATCCTCTCTCTCGCTCTTCGAATCTCGGGACTTTGCCTTGCCGCCAACACTCACCACGCCGCTATCGATTACTGCTACTTTAGTTCTCTTGTCATCGGGAAGCTTGAAATCGACGTATTTGTCAATAAATGCTGCAAGGTTGCCTCCGACAACGTTGTTTCGTCTATAAACGAAGTTAGCGTATACACCCACTCTAAGAAATAGTGAACTGTTACATCTCATCCAGATTTTTATACGTCTTAAACCCTCGGTCCGTGGCCCATTCGTATTCTGTCACTGGAACCATGGGCGTGTTCTGGGTATCCTTTCGCAATCCTTGACGCCCTTTAGTCCAACGATACCCGAGCTCATCTCTATTCAGTTGGTCTAACTTCTCTTGTAGTGTACGCACTGAATCCTTCAATTGTTTCTCGCTCATTACGTCCTATAATATTTATTAATAGATTGCTTCCTAGACGGTGTAAATGGGAACGACTTACAACTACTACGTTTACGAATAGTCTTTGTAACTTTTAGATGTAGTTAGTAGACGGCATCTTGATGTTCATGTGGAGATAGCCGTTTTTACCTTCGGGAAACTTCTTAGTTCAGAAAGCCAATGATCGTGAACGGCTTGTCTTCCACTACTGAAGAGATGTAGCTCTTGTAGTTCATTCTTGATTTTCAAGTCAAAGTTTCCAAGATACATATCAAGCTTTCTCCACTTGAGGATGCGAACGTTGAATTGGTTCACGCAATATTCAACATCCTCATCGATATGGGGGGTAAGAAGTCGATCAGGGACGGAAAGCTCGATTACGCTCTCAACTTTTCGCTTCCGGAGCCACTCGAATATGTCTCTCACTTCATGGTAGTCCATACGCAAGCTGGTTGCTAGGTTTTGGGTTTGCTTTGGAACCTGTGTATGGAGATCCGGAAACTTCGCATACTTCAGGATACTTTCGAACTTGTATATCCTCCCCATTGCTTCTTTTTGCTGTAATAGTCCCTGTACATATTCGGTAAAGCTTTGTTCCTCGGTATCTATGCTTGATAGGTGGAGGCAAAGCTGATCCGCTGGTAAGTGTATTAGTTGGTGAGGGCAAAACTGACGCTCTTCCTCTTTGTCTTACCTTCAACTGTGCACAAGATATGTTAGTGCCACTAGGAAGGTAAGACAAATTGAACAGTATATTCGTACCATTTGACTTTTTCAATATAGTCCGGAGTTCCCTGATTCCAAATTTATCGCTAGTGCTACGGATCATAGCACAAACCAAAGTATGCCGAATATCCTCGTACGACGGAGTCGAGGGTTTCAGCTCCTGTATAGCAAATATATCTTGCTTTTCTCCGGCTTGAACTTCGATTTGTTCTGGAACATCTTTGAGAATGCTTTGGACGATCTCTGCTTTACGAGAGCGGACAGCTGTGTGCAGAAGGTCTTTGCTCTTCTCGCTGAGAAGCCAACATCGGTCTGTGCGATCAAATTTCTCCCACATCCCGATGTCGTTATTCTCAATGACAAACTTTGCGTTGTCGTACGTAATGAAGATCTTTGCGCTTGGAGCTTCCTTCTCTCCGCTTAGTAGGTATTCGATCACCTTGGTTGATGATACTTTCACGGCACTTTTCCAGATCTTGCCCCACACATCTCTATCCTCGCTTTTATCCATATGACGCACGATGAGCTTGAACACGCCAAGAGCAGTGTCTTCTTCTTCTTCGTCTCCCTTCATCGCAGTTCTCTGTATGACAGCCTCAAGACATTCCATGATGTTATCTCTGTCCGCTAACTCCGAATACCTTCCCAGCAGCATTTCAAGTACACCCAGTCTTAGCTTTTCAGCTGCAAGGCGAAATGCAGTTTTTTGGACGCTTCCGTATTTGTTGTCGATATAGCTGTCAAGGAATGCCTTCCTCTGCTCTGAGCCTTTGGAATGCTCAGGCAGTACATCCAGCATGACATTAACCAGCTGTTGGTCTCCTCGTGCCACAGCTTCGGGGAAGCAATATGTTGTATCATCAGTTTTGCGGTTTGTGCGTTCGTCTTCAGATTTCACTTTTATAGGATGCGTGAATGGCATCATTGGTTCAAGGCGACATAAAGCTTTGGCTACTATGTAAGTAGGTGTTTGGTCTGTACCTTGGCTTCCAAGTTCCCATTCCCCAATCGCCTCGAGAAGCAGTTCTGCGTTGTGGGTTCTATCCTTCCACTTCCCTTTGGATCCCAACACCTCTTGTAGGTCAGCAATTAACTTTTCATACAAAATTTGGATACCATTTGTGTTCGGGATCACACTGCCGTGAGACTTAGATTCGTGTGCAGCCCTGATCTTTTTCACGGCTTTGTGAATATCTCGCCAGATGCCTCTTCTGTTGTCATCCTTCCAATATTGATCAAGTGACTTCAGGTCTTTCAGATTAAACTCCTCAAGAATTAGATTAGCCATAATGATAGCCACTCTAGCTTTCTAAGCAAACGCTAAATGAAAATGGGCTAAGTGATGCTCGATGAGTGTAGGAGGTTGACGAAAGATCAGTCACATCATGCGAATCGTAATTATGATTGAAGTATCGCCATTACTTGGTGAGAAGAAATAAGGTCATGTTTTCTTACAAAGTAAGCGACCAGCCATATAGACACGTTGCTATTGACAACCGACCGCTTCTCAATATTAGGGTGCATACCCAGCCTCAAAATGTCACTTACGAATAAAGGGGGTTCACTTCGGTGAAAGATGTACTGTATTACCCAGGCCCAATTTTCGGCGATTTCGCGTTGGTCAATTGGCTGTGAGAATTCCGAGTGGCTGCAAATATGCAATTTTAATTGTAGCGAGGCGTAACATAGCGATGCGTTTCACTGGACACAAACAATCTCCAAATGGCAGGGGCCTTGTGGGTGTAAGGTAGGCATCAACGGGATCGTAATATGACTCATGCTACCTTCGAGCAGGCCCAAAACTTGGACGAGACCGCATTTCCACACGTTCACACATAATTTACCCATCGAGTCACGCATTTATCTGAAAGTGTAGTCTCGCGCGCCGATGCCCCTGTGCTTATGAAATGGAACCTAATGACTACTCCGTCGTGAGCGCAGAGGTACAACCGGATGAGGAGATGGAGGAAGAGCCCCTGTACGAGGAGCTTTCCCCAGACTTTGAGGATGTCCTCGGCGCATTCAAGACGAAGAATCCCGCGGAGAACCGGTATGTGCCTTTCCTTGACTTGCCCCGATCTGACACCGCTCTGACCCCGCCCCAACCCAAAACAATCGATTGGCTATCAGTACCTTTGACTCGAACAATGCCTAATACATTTGAAATACCGTAGTATTCAAAGAAGATTCATCCATGTCTCTAGCAAGATGTCCAAGTTTCGCAAGACGATCGAGACTGTCCTTATTGTTCATGGCTGGGAGACGCCGGCGAAAACCGTACCCATGAGTCTTATCGTCTATGGTGTTGGTCTCAATTGTCAAGCCCGCGAGTTCCGCATTCGTTCTACGAGGATTTGGCTTGCTTTCTACGAAGATGATAAAGCTGATCCTCCAAATGAGGAGCTAGCTGCTCCAGAAGTAGTTGCCTGGGCCCCTTTCGTGCAGCAAAACCAGTGGGGTGAAACCGAAGAGACGATCGAGAAAACCAACATCAGCGCCACCGCGGGAATCGATCATGTTGCCAAAGCCGACGCGAATATGGGAAAAGAAATCACCAGCTCGTACACACGCAAGCATTTTGACCGTGGATCCACCGACAGACTTGTCCACAATGACAAGCCCTATGGAATCAGTTGGTACTGTGAACAGAATAACTTGGAAAAGTGAGCAATTCCCGAGTTTCATTTAATATACACTTCAATCCAGCTACCGAAGGCTTGAGGAACGTAGTTAATGTCTCTGTAGCCCAAGCCGTTGAGCCACCACAATCTGCCTGCCTGACGCTTCCATCGTCCGACCAACATAAATATGCAGTGCTAACATAGTTACCAATAGGTACGGGGTCAAGCCACACTTCCACATCGCGGTTCTATTGAAAAGATCTCACACAACGACCAACGAACCTATCACTTTCAAAGCCATCTTCGACATGCGAATCGACGCTGGTCTTAGCCACGACTTCGAACAAGGTCTCCGCAGGGCGTTCAAGCTCTGGAGACCCGAAGACGAACCCATATACTACGATCCAGCAATGCAGGATCAAGTTGGCGGGTCTGGGGGCTCGGGTGAATCTATCTACAAGAAGGTGAAGAAGGACAGTCTTGGAGAGCTAGCGCGTGGCAACACACTCAGCGCCTTGCTTGATCCTAATGGCACGCTATCGGGTCTCGAACCATTGAAGCCGAAAATAGTCTGAATGTCGTATTTGCGTATGTCTTATTAGTACTTGACACAAAGGTATTTAGCCCTTGCTTATTTGAACCAACTGGTATAACCATGATGGTCAGTCATCTTGGGAATCGCTGTATATAGTGCTAGGTTAGGTCAGGTCAAGTCAGGTCTGAAGGATAGAATCCAAGAACCCAGGCGAGACCTTGAAGATTATTGCTTAATAGAAGTCAACCTTCCAAATCCTAAACAACAACCCTTGTGATAAGAGGATAACCCAGGAAAGATTTTCAAGATTACATTCCAAAACAATTTACTCATTGGATAAGCTCATGAGTGACAGTTTTGTGTAAATCGGGGATGATGTACGCTTTCTTTTAGGACTATACAGGTACTTCTGTCGGAATAACAACATAAAACAGTTGAGGCAACAGCAACAGGGCTGTCTGTTACACGTGTAACCTCTGTACCGGTTGAAGCATGCAGTTTACCGGTTGAAGCATGCAGTTCGCCTTGCACTTCGGCCGTACGAAGGACCATTGCATGCTGTTCATGACCTTCCAAGACATGCAGGCAATATTGGGCAATATTGGAAAGTGAGGTTATACAGACTTCGCTTCTTGAAACAGACCCTAGAGACCCAGGTGTCAGAAAGGGAAGGCGATGATACTTGCGTTCCACATACTGGAATGCTGGGAATCTGTATATAAGACCTTCATCCAGCCAGATAACTGTATTGTAACTTAGACTTCTAATAATCTAATGGGATCACATATACTACTCTTGACACCAGGCGGTCTGGGCTGGCAGATCATTTGTATATAGAGTCATCTCAAGCCACCAACAGCCGAGAAGGAGTTGGTTGGTCAAGGACTAATGCAGCCCTAGTTGATCATTGTAATCAGTACCCTCAGTTCCAAGCCCAGTTCAACTGCCCTTGTTATACTGTCTTGAACCGTGACCTCCCTTACCGCCCCTAAATTTCCGTCACAGCGCTTAAGAGGTGCAAAGATCCAGCATCTCCAATTTAAAAAATAAAATTGCTTTAATCCTCACCTCAATTGCAGAGAAATAATCACCGACGAGCGTTGAATCATTCCAAGAATGTGCTTTTAAGCCCTACTTCTAACGTACTATAACGGACCCGTCATACATCACCTGAGGTACGAGCAGCACGTCGGAGGTACTCGATGGTCCACGTCCAATTGCTACTGTAGGATAGTGGCGTTCAATTTTGCACTTTTTAACGCCTCTCAAGATGGGCCGTATGCGTTCCGCGAACCGCAGCTAGCGCACAACTACACCCCCCAAGAATTGGTTCAGCCGTTTGCCGCGTATTCTAGACTAAGCAAAGGTCCGGGCAATTACCTCGATCAGATACTCCAATTACGGTAAGCTGTATCCAGTGTATAAGCAGGCTTCCAAGTAGACACCCTTGTTAGCTACTGCGCTAATCTGGGGTAAAATCCTCCTCATACCAACATGGAATCTACCTAGCGACGGATTGGCAGTCGGTAATTCTTGCCTACACAGTTCAGCTTGGCTCAAGAGATACAAGTTGAAGTCGCGCCCTGCTGGCTAGGTATTTGAGTTGTAATACGCCGTACCACAACCTCGTAATGGATTTTGTGTGATAACTCAAGGCGGAACCTACCACCCTACAATGCATTCACTTCAATGGCTTAATGTCTCAATCAATTGCAATCCGTTCAAACGGTTAACTGGTAGCTAATCCGACATGCTAGCCGTAACATGTGAAAGCCGTGTAATCCTCTCACTAACATAAATTTTAAAATTTTTTTAGGAATCCCGGTCCTAGTGTAGGTACCGAGTGACAACGGTTTTCCATCGTGAGATGTGCTGCGCCGCTGATGCGCATTCCGTAAACAGTCGAATTGCAATTATCCTATAGGCTCTTCCACAGAGAGATTTGAATTATTATCGTGAATCACGCGTCGAGCCAAGAAAAAGTCAACAAATATAAGATTCCGGTTTCTCTGCCTTGCCAGGAATTCCACAACCTTTTCACGCTTTGTTTTTAAGCTTTTCCCATCGTCGACGCCAACACCAGCCATGCACAACACCAAGACTCTCGGTTTCCTGGCCGCCGCCCTTGGCGCGGGCTCATCCGTCGCCCAGACATTCACCCCAGCACCAGCATGCGCCTCGCTCGCAGCGGCCCTAGCGGGCCCTGCAGCTCCCGACGAGATCCAATCTTTCCTAGACGCTCACGAGACAGCAGCTCCTGCGGCCGGCGGCATCTTAAGGGACCCTGAGGCCTACGTGTCGGAGCTCTGCGGGATAGCCGTGGATCTGCCCGAGACATTGTTGCCCGAGTTCTCGGGCTGGGGCGCTGACCTTCTTAGCTTTGCCGGCGAGAGGATCGTGACGTACGACGAGGTCGTGACCATGTGCATCACGACGGGCACAGCCGCTGCTTCTATCACCAGCTACCTCCACTCTATCGTGTCGCATCCTGACGACCTGTGTAAACCTACCTCTACTGCTATCCCGACGTGGGGAAACAGTACGGCCTCCGGTACCATCACGCCTTACCCCACGGCTACGCCCACAGGCAACACTACCATTCCCGGAACCACGTCAATACCCGTCGCGGCGGCCGCTAGACCTACCGGAGTCCTGATGGGTGCTATCGCTATGGGCGGCATCATCGGTGCCGCAATCCTGCTATAATAAGGATTTGTGTCTGACCTTGGAACGGAGTTGTTAGCTGATACGCAATCGGTGCAGCTTGCTTGCTAGCTTCGCCTCTTGAAGGACTATTGTTCGACAAGTAAACTAAACAGAATATATACTCAGAATTAATTGAACTCAATTGCATAATGAGGTATCAATCAAGGACCGTGTACCCAGCACTAGTTGATTCGTAAGAGACGGCTGGGCGATACAAATGCTGCAGCGCTAGTGGAAGAACTCTGCACTACTTCAATGCGCACATTATAAGCTCAGAATTACCATTTCAACCTTATAAATCATTACGTCCAAAAGCGTAAAAGAAGAGAATCGGTAGATTGAAGAACGGTATATTTTGACCAGAAAGTAACAAAAAGCAACCTTGTAGAATGATGACGACGTACGACACCGACCTCTCCTATACAAGCAGCCTTCAATCGTCAGCTCACCATATCCACATGGTTAGCTCGACCTCGAGATTTTCCTCCAGCAAAAAATCCCCAGCAGCCCGCTTTCATTCCGAGACGACGACCTGTGGCCGGGTCTTGAGAAGATGAGTATGAAACTCTTTGAATATTTATTCCTTTTCTTCACTCCAAAGCCTTCATCTCCCCACACGACGGTAGGCACCCAGTTCAGATTGCAACAAGATAAGCCGTCCAACCTCCAGATGAATAGAGCGTTTACTTCTAAGTTCCCGTTCAAAAGTGAAGGGGGTATAGGAAGATGCTTGGCCAGATGAGACGTTCTCAATATCCTCTAACGTACCGCATTCACGTCTGGATGTGTCTGGTATCTCTCTCTGCTAGTAACCGCCCGACTAAGAAGAGATCCGGCCATAAATCTTCGATATAATCTCCTTGAATCTTTCCTTGTCAACTTCGATGAACTCTGGCCCCTGAGGCATCGGAGGAGGGTAAGTGCGAATTTAGTGAACGAGACGCTGTGCGGCAATCTCAGAAGAGATTGTTGTGAGAAGTTAGCAGGCTAGAGCATGTAACTTGACGCATACATTTATAGCCTTGTAACGATGGAAATCGCATACCTCGAGCGACGCTGAAGTAGGTATGCCCCATCTGCAGTTCTTGGTACTCGGGGGGAGAGCGAAAATGTTAGGTAGCCTGTGACGTGACGCATGGTCAGCGGCCGTTGGCCTAGTGAACCGCCCAGCTCAGCCATGAGCCCCACACACGAAGGTGCGAAGGGCGGAAATGGCGCAACTGACTTATCCCGCTCAAAATATATCCTTGAGAATCAATCGTGGCTCTTACATAGGTATAGGTCATGACTTCTCCATTGCCATCCGAACCACCGTCCCTGGTGAACCCTGCTGTCCCTTTTGGTAGGGCAATGCGGGAAGCATACTTCGGCTTTTCTCCCGATTATACGCCAATCAATCATGGGTCCTACGGCACGTATCCCATACCCGTACGCGATGCACTTACAACTCTTCGTGCCGAGGTTGAAAAAGCGCCGGACCGGTTCATCGTACTAGAATGGCCAACGCGTCTTCAAGAGTCGCGAGCAGCAATAGCAAAGATGCTGAACTGCGAGACAGACGACCTTGTGTTCGTGCCGAACGCTACCACTGGCTCGGACACTGTCTTCAAGAACCTGAAATGGGAACCAGGCGACGTGATCCTCGTTTATGAGTTCGTGTATGATGCGATGCGTGCCGGCCTGGCTTGGCTGGAAGAAACCTGGGACGTCCGCGTCGAAGTCGTTCCTCTGAAAATACCCCTGACAGACGCTGAGATCGTGGATGCTGTCGTAGGGGCCGCCAAGAGAGTCAATCGGAACGAGAACCTTGAAAGCGGGAAAGTTAGGGAGCGCGTCCGGATGGCTAGTATGCTACCCCCGGAGTCACTCACATTCCTCATAATCTAGACGCTCGCGGGGGCCATCATTACCTGTTAGAGCTACTAGCATATCTCTTGGAGTATACGTAACTCTTGAAACTTGCCATTTGTTCCCGCTGTACATTTAAGAGGAATTACTGACTCTGGTGAAATGTAGTTGTCGACACGATAGCAAGCCTGCCGGGGGTTCGCATACCCTTTGAGGATCTCGTTCCGGCTCTGCAGGCCGAGGGCGCACTGGTTCTTGTTGATGGCGCTCATGGCATCGGACACGTCGACATAGACCTTGCGAGTCTGAACCCGGACTTTCTCGTTACAAGTCTGAATAAGTGGCTTTTCGTCCCGCGGGGTGTCTCTGCGCTGTATGTGCCAAAACGTAACCAGGCACTGATTCGCACCAGTCTTCCTACAAGCCATCGTTTTCGAAGACATGCTGGCGAGCCCGGAGAGCCCACCAATGCGTTTGTTGACCTATTTGATTTCGTGGGTGAGTGGTTACTCGAGGCTTGATGGACGCAAGACTCGCGGTAGCTTGATAGCTGGGCACGAACATTCACATCCTTAATCACTGCTGATATGCATCTCTTCTAGCTACTCTTGACATGACAAATTTCCTGATGGTCAAAGGTGCGTAGGTTACATCTTTCCTCCCCATAGCTGCGGTGACATATTGTATACCTACTTCTTTCTTGAGCCATACATTCTGACTATCATCATTAGAGGCTCTGGCCTTCCGTACCCAAGTTTGTGGCGGCGAGGCAGCGCTCAGACAATACTGCCAATCCATAGTGCGAAAAGGGGCTGAAGCAGCACTCTCGATATTCGGAACGGAAATCATGGACAGCCCAGACTCGCGCATACGCGAATGCAACTTCGCCAATGGTATGTCATTCATCAGTCTGATGCTGTTCTAGGCCAACTTGTTCATTAGCCCGCCAAGCGTGTCTTACCTCGTAGCAGAAGCCGTTCAGACTCATGCCTGTAAACTTGTAGACTTGGAAGAGCAATTACTGACTCATCAAATTTGTAGTACGGCTTCCCCTCGATATGGCAGCCGAAGGCGAGGAAATAAACGGAGAGAACGGGAAGATACCTCTCTCACATGCCGCGAGGGTCATCCAGTGGTTCCGGGAAACCGGGGTCCGCGAAAGCGGGTGCTACACCCAGCTGTACGTGTATTACGGCGCGATGTGGTGGCGCATGAGTGGAATGGTTAGTCCCATGGAGTCATTTCTATTCTGGTTTTGGACCTCGTCACCCCTTCATGTTCCTGAGACATGGGTTGAATTCTTACTTCTTCTGATTGTCCACTGACTCCAGCGCGTACACAGATATATGTTGATGAGGAGGATTTCAGGAAAGCCGCGGGGATGCTCAAGAGGCTTTGCGAGAGAGCCGCACGAGGAGAGTATCTTGAGGCGTAAAGCTGTAGGGTTGATATACACTCTACAAATTAGGGTTGCATTTATTGGCCAATGGTTAAAGCTTGATCGTGATTTGTTATTATATTCGTTGAGAACTAATTAGGAAGCTCCTGAAAAGTTGTTCGGATCAGTGGCTCATCTTGGGTCGATGTTATACTCACATAATACTGCTGAACATGCGGTTCGACTACGGCTACGGGGGTAATGCAGTTTATTCATGACCTTCAAGAGACATGCAGGTAATGTTGAAAGCAGGCTAAACGAACTTCGCTTCATTGAACCAATCAATGAGGCCTAGGCGATCGGCATTGGCAGTCCAATTGTATATAATATCAAGTGAAGGCCAAGAGGAAATTGGGTTGCCAAGGACTTTTGCAGCCCTGGCGGATTCTTAGATTGTATTTACATAGTACCTGCCCTTGTTATACCGACTCCATAATACTTGTGAGTAGATATGGGATATTACCAGCACCTGACCAAGCAATACTTCAAGTGACACTGGAATTACTGCTTTTCATTGTTCAAGTAACCGACCTACCTGTTCTGAGGTCTGTTGCTGATCGCGTTGGCGGGCTTATGAGTGTGAGAATCAGATGCTAACGGGCAAATTCTTTGCATTACGACTCTCTATTAGTGGTACTTTGAACTTAAGAAGATAGTCTAACGAGACTTGGCACGCTAATATTATAATAAGACTTTAGCTTGGCAATCGCTAAATAAAACTTCAGCATCAGCTTTTAGGCCCCTGGGCCACGCCATCCTCGTAAGCTTGACGATAGCTTTGCTGTATTAACTAAACGGGCTACATAAAGTATATGCCTATGCTGTCTCATCAAATACCTCAATTCACAGGTTATTTAGACATTGACGGGCGTTGACAGAGCTCGCAGGAGTTTCGACAGTATGGAGCCCACGACTCTACCGGACCGAGTATTGAAGCGCCGCGCTCAGAATGCCTCGGCCCAGCGCATCTATCGTAGGCTCTCAGTGTACACGTAATACTTCGTCGGCAACACATGCTAATAGGAACATCAGGTGAGAAGCAGAAGAAAAAGATGCAGAGGCTTGAGGCCCTGACCATCGCAGCCTTGGCATCGTCTAGCTCACCATTTACGGGAGACGCGTTCGATATGAATAATCATGATCATGAAACAGCAGAGCAAAACCTCTTACAGTCACCAACGCTTGTGCCCTCTGAGCAGCCGTTGAATCCGGCACACTGCTTAAGTCTCATAGACCAGTATCGCCACCAGTCAAACAAGGGACAAGTCACAATCTCCGGGCTACCTGGCCACGCAGTCCTATCTCTAGACTTATTTCCGCGCATCCACGCGCTCTTGACCTCAATTACACCGCGCGAACGCCGGACATTCCAAGCCGTCACCATTCGCGAGCGCTTCGGCATCCGCGACATAATCAAGTACGGGCTCATCAAGCTCGGCTACGCCATGAATCCGCTTCTTTTCGAGAACGCGAAGCATGCATCCACGCGCGCCTGGCTCGGACAGGTCCGTGCCGTTATCGGCGACGACGTCGACATCATGGCCGTCCTTGCCGCAGGCGTGAAACTGCTCGCGAGCCTCCCGATACCGTCGTCGATATTATGCGACGATTGGGATGATAATGGCCGTCGCGGCGATGAAGAAGAGGTAATGCGGCGCATTGTGTTTTCACCTCGAGAGTCCAACATGCTGAACAATCGCGTCACGCTCGCGACGGTGTCCCTTGGTTCAGCGTTCTTCGCTAACGCGCTGATGCTCGGTATCCCGATCCCGAGTATGATGGACTATGAGGATGTCGTCGTGCCACCGCAAGCGCTACTATGCACGAAGCCGGACTTGGTTCCAACGGCAGCGCAGCTCGCCATCCCGCACCATCCGAGCTTCGACGTGATTCCGTGGCCGGCGTTCCGGTCGAATGTGTGCCTTGCACTGGCGCACAATCCGCCCCTTGTCGACGACGATGAGCTCTGTCTCGATCTGATGAACGATGGCGTCAGATGCTGGGGCTCGGTGACAGTCGATTCGATGCATGGGCGTGGTCAGGGCGCGCCCTGGGACCAGAGGAGCTGGGAAGCTGCGCCATGGTTCCTGGAGAAATGGAAGATGTTGACTGATGACGATATGTGGCGGAATAGCGAGTGGTGGAGGAATATGCGTGGTTGAAATGGAAATGGATTATAATATGAGGCTAATCAATACATGAAAGAGCAGGCGAGACTCGTATCCGTGGGCGTGGCCTCTCACATTAATAACAGGTGGAGGTAGTTCTACCTCTTGCCAGAATACTGCCCGGTCTCGATCCTTCGATATCATAGGAACGGCTCTACCTGTTTCTCAGCCCATTCCCAGTACTTTTGCCCCAGCGCCTTCTCACACAAATCACTTCGAGCCTTGAGCAATTTTCCATACGGACCGACTAGAAGATGCCATGCAAGACGTTAGACTGGATGATTTCCCTTATACCTGCTCAACGGATGCTGCAGGGCATGGGTGTCTGGGCATTACGTACCAAAGGAACCGTTCGCAATATTGGGGTCCAGTCCGGCGTATAATTGTGTATATGCGCCATACTTGGGCTCTTTACCCATCATCTTCTAGAAGGAGCATTAGCACACCGTCTAGCTCATCGGCAATACCCTACGGTTTGGATTGTAGGCAGAATGAAACTGAATGGAGACAACTCACCACAAGGGAAGCTTGCCAACCGGGCATTGTGCGCTGCAAGTCTGTCGGGAATAAACCTGGATGAAGCGACTGAAATAATTCGATCGCCATCAGATCTCATGTTCTCCAAAATACCGACATGGTCCGGTGTGGGAAATGGCTTCACTCACTACATGGAATACACCACCGCCGCTCCGCTCACTCTGCCTAGCAGCCTCGCATGCATGTATGATGTTGCCCGCCTTGCTGCGCTCGTACTTCTGCCACTGGCCTTCCTCACGCTTCTCATAATTTATGTTATCGAAGTCTATCGCGGGCTTTGGCGCGCCGTCCGCCGCTGCCGACGACACCCATACGACGCGCACCGAGTTCTTTTCGGCGACACCCGTCTTGACCGTTTCCACCAGAATCTGATTAAGACAGCGTGTAAGTAGAAATGTGCCCAGGACATTCGTGCCAAGTTGCAGCTCCCATCCCTGCGCAGTCACGGAGCCTGCGGGAGGGACCATCACACCAGCGTTATTGAAGAGGACATCGAGACGGCTTTCCCGGGAGAGAAAGGACTGGGCGCTCTTCTTGATTGTGGATAGGTCGCTGAGGTCGAGGAAGAGGTAGACGAGATCACCCTTCGACGCCGGGTACAGGGTCCGAATCTCGGTGATGGCGGCTTGCGCTTTTGTCGCGGACCGCGCGGCGATGTAGACTTTTGCGTGCTTCGAGAAGAGAATCTTTGCGAGCTCTTTCCCGAGGCCGGTGCTCGCGCCCGTTACGATGAAGACCTGGCAGGTAGGGTAAGAGTTAGCCCAGGGAGGCACAAAGAAAGAAAAGAGAACAAAAAGAATCTGCGTAGTACTAAGATAGTATACTAGAGAAGTGGGATGTAACAAATTCCTCTCACCTTGCCTTCTTGCGAGCCGAGGTTGTGTTCGGTTAGGGGTGGTTCCCCGGGGCACATATATTTGAGACTGGCCATGGTGATGTAATGGTTGATTAGGGAGATGCGTAGTATGAATCCAAGCAGGAAGAAGAATGTTTTAGGAATTTATGAGACAAGGTTCCGAAGACGGATGAAGACAACACAATGGAAAGTGATTCATGATCTCTGAGAGCTGCTTATATATTGTTAAGTTCACCTCTTCCAACCACCAATTCTCGATTCTTGAGTCCTACCGACTTACATAGATACCTACTACAATGCCACTTCAACACATCCTTAGACCAGCAGTCTGACAACTAATGCAAGGGACGTGAGCAACTAACGATGTATCGGGTATAGCTTAATGCAGTCAACGTGGGCTGCAGATGATGTGGAACTGCGGGAGGCTTACATAGTAGACTGGGGACCGGATTGTTGTTAGCTTCTCTAATGTCGCACTTATCTCGGTCATCTGTAGATGTATATGTAAGCTTGGTAGCATGATACTCAGAATCCATGTAAACAGACTTTCTATTACGTCAACAGCAGTTGTCGGGGACAATTTCTACTGTTCATCGCCGCCGGTTTCTATTTTTGTCGTCAGCTTCAACATCGGCGTGTTGAACCTATTACTGTATGAAGAGAAACGGTCTGGTTCGCAACAGCGCTCTAGTTATACTGCGAAGCGCGGGAATGCGATCTTAATCATTTGTATGGATATTGGAAGAGGATGATAGACCCCTGTGGTGTTTCATCCCCAATAACTAGTATTCTACCACTCTCCATATCTAGTTGTGTTCACATGATATCTTTTTCTATGTTCTCCTATCTTCTCAACTATATGCATGCATGAACCAGTGTGAAGTGTATGTGTAATATACGTCCTTCAACAGATAATGTGATAGGTATAGGTAGTCAGACCTAAGCTCAGGTCATATAAACGAGCATGGCTAAATGTGCAGTTGTTGGTTTGGTGTGGTCATTCATGGATTTAATTAACAGTTTCGATACTGCGGCAAGTCAAATTTACAAATGATAATTGATATCAACTTACTTTCAGTTATTGAAAGCAATTCTCTATTTTGTAATTAGAAAAGGCGACGTCCATGGAGTTGAAGAGGAAGGACACCCATCGCGTACAAGCACAATAAATTGAGCCAAAGCGCCTCCTGGAGATGCCGAGCCATTCCATTCCCATACAGTGTAGTCGACAGTATACGGCCAAAACCACACATGGTAATCTTACCTCACGCCGCCTCGCAGACCGCTCACCTCACGCGCCAACTCACAGCATCGAGCCTCACCATTGATATCTTATATCTAACACTGCAGTCCTTCTTGAATACACTAGTGAAAAATGTCATCAACTACGCGAGCGGTCCTAGACCGGGTTTACCTGGTTTACTTTCTGATCCATATTCCCGTTATGCTCTGTGAGTATCCCGCGTGTGCAAAGCGTTCTGAAGGCCTTCATCAATTGCGCAGTCCCCTGTCCTCACTGAGTGCCACACTCGGCCTCATGTGCGACAGATGAGATGAGGAGTGCGATCGCGATGAGATGAGACCAAATGAACATAGCGAACCCCTCTTCGCCCACTGACTTCCATCCATGCGACGTGCTTCATCCCGGCTAACAACGTCCCAGGCGTCGACCTAGTCCCGCTGTACCCGCACTCTCTGTGGCAGCCCTCGGGCGCGCCTCTCCGGTTCCTGGGGGAGTTGCGCGAGTACTACGTGGCGACGTACAACGACCAGTTCTTCAAGCCGCCGCCGGCGGAGATCCCGAGCTTTTTCACGCTTTTCGCCTTCTTTGAGCTGACGTTCCACCTGCCCGTGTCGCTGTGGGCCGTCAGCGCGCTCAAGGGAGGTAGATTACGCTCTGGCGGCGCTGAGCTGATGCTGCTCGTTTATGGCCTGCAGACTGCCATCACGACTTTTACGTGTATGTACGATGCTGCGCTGTGGGACCCAGCTGTTGTCACTTTTGAGCAGAAGAGGACGCTGGTTGGGGGCCTTTATGGGAGCTATTTTGCTCTATGTAGGTTCTTCTTTTTCTTCTTTGACTTTGTATTTTAGTCACGAAAATCGTCTGCAACGTTTATATTGATACCAAGCTGATACATATCTCTAGCTGTCATTCTAACTGCTGATATGTACGGTCGTGTCTTGAAGCGCATGAAGATCGCAGATGCGGTCAAAAAAGCGCAATAGTTCCCTGTCGCATAATCTAGTCAAGCAGTTCACCTAGCGTATTGGACAAGCTATGTGATATATATGGTGTCACGGTATGGATAGATAATGGTATAGAATTTGGCGGATACAAGGCTTCCAAAAGGAAGAGCCGATGCCGTAGGTATTTCAAATTTGAACCCTTCTGCCATAAACTCCTATTGCTACAGCCAAAAACATGACTCCATCATACAACCGACATTAGTCCCTCGCGATCTATTATAAATATGTACAAGAACAGGTGCCCCCTATTTCTCCCACGGCTGGTTGGATAGGATTGGATTAAAAGTCCGCCAGCCTACCTGCCTAATCGATGCGCTTCGAGTAACCCCAACCATTGCCTACCCCTTTACCGTTTAGCCCGTAACCCAGTGGTGTAGCGCCACCCATTCCCCTACCTCGTAGCCTCTTAGGCAGTATGATACCGAAAAAGTAGGCGCCGGATCCTAGCACACCGGCGATGAAGGACACGATTGAATAGAAGACAGTGCTGGCGTAGATATGTCCGCCCATACCTTGCCACTCGACCTTGCCTTCGGTCTTGGGCAATGCTGGAGTTGGGAACCAGCGTACACTGAAGCTCAGGGGCAAAGGGTCGCCAATAACAAGACGGCGCGTATCGCTACCGGCCATATGGCTGAGTGGACTCGTGCTGTAGGCGGCTCCGCTGTCAAGCACGCCACTATCGTGGGGGTGGATGTGGTGTTTCGGAGTACTGTGCAGTAGCACGTTGAGATGGGTGCTGATGTGCATGTGGCTCAGCTGCAGGGTGCCGGCGAGGGCGAAGACGAGGGGTATGTACTCGGGTTCGACAGGTTTTTCGCCGATAACCTCAACGTGGGCGGGAGGGCGTGCTGGGAGCCGGCACGCAAGCGGTGCGTCGCTGTGGACGTAGAACTCGAGGAGATGGAAGAAGGGGTCGTCGATCATGGGAATGGTGCAGTTGAGCTCGGTCTCAATGCCGTAATGGAACTCGAGGGGCTTCCCGGTCTCATTGCAAATAGGGAAGGGAATCCATTGGATCTGATCTCGGGCATCCTGAATATGCTCACCCGTTTCTCTGTAGTCGCAATTCTGCATTAGCAAACACACACACACACACACACACACATACGGCGGCTGTGATTTGTACGGGAACGCTTACATGCTGCGGTTCATACACTCGACGGGGATGGCTGCGCCATAATGGTACGATGGAAGGGCGGCCTCTTCCAAGCTGGATTTTGCGAGGACAGACGGGAACAGACACAGATATGCGACGAGGCTGAGAAGCGGACGGGTGATCGGAGACGCCATGGTTATAATTCTGAACTTATCGGCGGACCGGATTCGGATGGCATGTAGTATAGAGAGCGATGTAGCGATACATATATCTACATGGATGTAAGCCGTGAATCAATTAAGTAAGTGAACTCGGGTTTCGATACTACGGCGGCAGCTCTGACATGTCGCTGTCGCCGTACAGTACGCTTGCGATAATGAGCTTCGATAGGAATGGTGTCGCGACGATGGCCAGGCCAGGTGTCGTCGACAAGGTTGTTTGGACGGGAATCTCTTATCTCTAGGGCACGGCATCTCCATCGTAATCGACGAACCGTACAGTGACTGTATAATATATTAAGCTAATCTGGATTAGGCATGACTACAATTCAGCAGGCTGCAGAAACAAGGCGCTACACTTAAACAGGTACTAATAATCTACATGGCCAGTGCTACAGTACAGTACTTCTAGGTACTTCCTCCAAGTCCGGGCACACTACAACAACAATTCACCAAAGAATTCATCATATGTTCTTTTCAGGTTGTTCATATCGGAGGCGTTGAAAGGCTTCCATCAGCTAGCCATTTTATGTTGTATGTTATACTAATACTATTTACTTATCTTAGGCTTAGTCTCCTATGCAATTCGCCTTTGCTGTTGTTTCCGTGGCCACTGTAGACGGGCTATGTTTTCTACGACGCTCAAGTTAGCATTCACTCACCTTGGACGATACCTAACACATCAGTTCTTTGGCTTCCGACAAGTTACCAGAACCGCCTTCCATGACAGGTCCCAACCCTGTCCGCGGTGCTTTTCAGTCAGGTGTCGCACGATGTAGTCATGGAGCATGCCCTTCGCTTTCTCCTTGCTCTCCTCGCTCCAGTACGCCTGTATCATCCACTCCTTCATCATCTCGAATTTGCGCATGTAGTCATCGGCACTCTCTACTCGCACCATGTGTTCTACCGTCTTTACCTCGACATCGTCGAACCCATGGCCACGAAGCTGCCCTGGGATGAGGTCGGGATCGATGAACTCCGTCTTTCCATTGGGCGCCATTGGCATCGGGCTTGGCATTGGTGCCTCGAATGGTAGCGCCGCAAAGCTTGATGCCATGTCTGGCACCCATCCTAAATTGTTTTTATGCCAAACCGTGAAGGCGAGCGTCCCGCCTGGCTGGAGCAATCGCATGGCCTCTGCAATTCTCTGTTAGTAGTTGTTCCTCGATTGCTTACAGCACAGAGTTGGAACATGACCGACACATACCTTGCAAGACAAGTTCCGGCTCGGGAATCACGTGCATTGCGAAGTTCACCGTGATATGAGAGAATGATAGTTCAGGAAGGCCTGAGTTCTATTCCTGTCGTCAGAACGGTTCCGTCAAGCCTGGGAGACGACAGCTTACCTGTGCATCAAGAACAGCTGTCTCGACACTAATCCATCCGTGCTTTTCAGCGCGTCTCCTCAAGGTATTAACAAGGTTGTCGCTAATATCAGCACACAGCATCCTACTCTGCGACAGCACTTGCTTGTGAACATTCGCCTGCAAGTGCGCCGCAATGGGGCCGGTCCCACAAGCGTGGTCCAGCAGAGAAAAGGACTTGCTCAGTGACGTATCGAGGCCAGCTTGCCTAAGTAGTAGCTCCGCCGGCCGTCTCATGATCCTTTCGGAATCCTCGATGAACTTCTCTAGCCGCTCGTCGTCAAAGTCGGAGCCGAATGTCTTGAACATCTTTCCCAGCTCTTCTTGGACTTTCGCCATTTTTCTTATTATTTGGAAGGGTACCTTTTCAACAAAACTGGTAGTTTGAGTAGTAGCGTGACGATATTTGGTTATTCTCTTAGAAATTTGACGAGAATGCGCATGCTTATATCTTCCACTTCTCACCCACAACTGAGTTGCTCACTGAGGCTTACAAATCTCCGGGAAGTCTCCGGCCATCAAGGTGCACCCGAAATGTAGCCGGTGGCGAGCGATTGGCTAACATGCCTCCCGCAAGACTCGGAGAGTTACGGCGTTTATTGGCCGTCTAGTATTATTTCTAAACAGCATTGGAAGTGGTTGACGTGTTTTAGACAGGGAGTCGGCTCGTTAAGTCGCTTCCTTAGCTACACGCCGGGGAAATGGCTATCTGTGGTACTCTAGCGTATAAGGACTAAACGTTACAGTGAGTAGGAGTTATGCCACGCGAGAGACAACGTGAGCATACAGCAATAAAGTCGCCCAGTCATTCATAAAATACGACATCTGGCCACTCCGCCGAAGGGCCATTCAGCATTGATGAGTTCTTCCCTAGTAATGCAAAATCTATGAACGCTTTGACGTACACATTCATGATCGCGATTTGGCGGTTGCCGTCTATCGAGCCTGTTGTTGGATCCGTTGGCTCGATGGTTTTCCAAAAGGCGTAGTCGCAGAAATCATGGTGCAATGTCCCATTTACAAGGAACTTCCCAAAGTAATCCGTCTGCCATAGTGGAAATGTCCCCCAGGTGATATCATGGACGTCGTCTCGACCAGTGTGCAGTTCCTGCCCAAGAAAGAGCACTGGTTTCTTCACATTCGCCTTAGTGTCGTTGACAGCTGCCTGGCCAAGGAGAGAGCCATCAAGGTTGAGGCCAGAGATAAGGCGGTTGTTGTCATCGTATAACGAACCAACTGCTGCAGCGCCACCTAGAGAGTATCCGAACGAGCCTATATGCGTTGTGTTGAAAGGCGCACCAAGGTTTTGGACTAGTTTGGGAAAGTGATCCAGAAAGGCCGTGGTATCTTCTAGGCGGGTATCGTAGATCGCTCGTAATGTATCCGTATTGTTGAAATATATCTCGCCACCTACGACGCCTGTGCCGTTCGGGTACCGAATGAACGGCTGTTCAAATGGGTGGTCCAGCCCTATCACAGTATAACCATGAGATACTAGTTCCGAAATCAAGATTGTATTCCCTTCAACAGGGGGCCCGCCGCCGCCCGGACCAAACAGAAGTGTTGGATACGCAGACTGTCCAATTGGGCCTTCCAGATACGGCGCATCAAGCTGAAGACTCGCTGTAACGGTGGAGAGTGTCACGGAATGACATAAGGAGTGCAGTACTATGCCACTACGCCACCAAAAGGTAACGACGAGTTATCAAGTCGAAGGCTTGACGTCTCTGCACTCACTATATAATACTGTACTGTAACAGTACCCCTTACTTTAAATGCAATCGACCCGATTGTATATAAAGAAATGCATATCTAAAGGTAATGCATATAGTTAATACCTGAAAACCCCCGTAGTGGTTTTCCAATTACGTAAACGAGCTAAGTTCTCTACCTTCGAAGACTGCGCCAAAGGTTGTTCATGCGAGGGGTCCCCAATCCTTCCATGAATAGAATATGGCTGCCCAGTCGTGGAATCGAACACGTAACCGTATGACTTGATAAACTGTTACGGAATGACATAAGGAGTGCAGTACTATGCCACTACGCCACCAAAAGGTAACGACGAGTTATCAAGTCGAAGGCTTGACGTCTCTGCACTCACTATATAGTACTGTACTGTGACAGAGAGGAAGCCTGAGGTATGATTCAACTGAGGTTCCAGTATAGCCACCAATTCGGGGTCTATGTATGACCGTGGTTCAAAGTTGGGCTTTTGGCGTGTTGGATAATATATGGTGGCTAAAAACCCCGTGCTGATGTTGTTTGGCGCTAGAAGGTCATGAGAGTTATAATGCTCAATGACATGTTTGCTCATACCAATATTGTAGGGCCCTGTTGGTGGAGGGAGGGAGGTGGCTTGCGCGCGACATAGAAGAATTGCGCATGTTGCGATGAGCCGTATCATGCCCTGCATAGGCGTATTGGCCTTTATGCGAGTCATTCTGACTCTTAAGTGTGAAGACACAGGTTTTCAACAGTCGAGGTTGTGGTTGGCGTACCCGATTCACGATCTATGTATGAGTATGATATCTGCCTGCTCAGCCTAAGTTATGGGGCAACTGGGGCTGCATATCTACTTACATTCCAATTTGGGTATGGATGGCGCCATCATACTAGACGCAGCTGACGAGTACAAGAGATCACCGGTACGATAAATGCAGCAGTTGTCTGCATAAGAAGGAAATTTTTATCTATTATTTCGTGCTATAGTCTGCAACATGACACGAATTGGATGGAGAGGCTACGATGAATGAGTATGTGGTTTGAGGAGATATCAAAGTTTGAGTTAGACACGAAGAGGTATGAAGCCACGTAAACCGCACTCGAAACAAAATAATTGCCTCGATTGCGACTCGAGTTATCAATCAAAACATACCAGCCAACACTCTTGCCACTCCCTGCAGTCCGGTTATCGTAATTTGCAGTCAGGATAAGTCAATTGACGGTTTTGCAAGCTCGTGTAAGTGATGCCCTCTCTCTGAATAATAATTATTGTTAATGAGTCTAAGCCTAACAACTACTAATAGATTCGGCGTTGGGGACAAAATTTAACGCGCTTAGGCATCCGTAATATAGTTCAAAGAATATACATCAACAATTCAAGAGTACAAAACCACGCTTTACATTAGTCCTTTGTTCCAAGGTGCAGACCGCCAGGAGGAAGGTTACACAAAGCCCCCTCAAGCTCACCTTAGGACTTCTCTTATCATGTAGTGAGAAAAGCTGCTTAGTGAGACCAACTCCTGGCTTACTGATGAACCTATAGTCAGCTGATGATCCAGAACCTATCAAAAGTCGACATACCTTCACGATTCGTCTCCCTTTGAAGAAATTTAAGCGATGAATGGGATACGGATTGACTACTATAGAACTGGTCATGATTTTGTTCAATGTTGCGGAGCAAATACTTCCTTTTCTGCACTCAATATGCACTTAAAATTATCTGAGTTGCAGCGACAAGTTACAGCACTAAATCTTGACAACGTGACTGGTGGTCTTCCGCCGTGCTGATAGGATGTTTTCTAGGTGAGGTCAATATAGCCAGGACTATTAGCAGACATTGCTTGCATATGTAGGTATTTGAATATCTAATTGGGGTGTCTGTCCCGCTGAACCGAGCATACATACCCTAGGATTCAGCATTCAATTCTGTCATTTTGATTGGTTGTGCAGTCGAAATCAGGGTGTGGCAACTGCTAGCCTAAAATCCTCCGAAAATTGGAATACGAACTACTCACTTGTTCTGATTGGCTAAGGTGTAGACTATTTCGAGAAGGTGGCTGTCAGCCCCCTAAAACGCCAGCTTCTAAGACGACCGAAACTTATACGCGAAAAGTCGAAAATATGTCTAGAAAAGAATTACTGAAGTGTTGTGACAAGCTTGAGGTTCTATGGAAAATAGAGTATATGGATGCAAGGCCTCGCGTTGACTTTAATAAGATATAAAATGCCCAGTCTTGCCCGAGTGTTTGAACTTACCCTCCCGCACCATCATCCAGAACTTGTATCTACTTGTCACATTCCACCATTCGAATCTCACCATGCATGCTCTCAGGACCTGCCTCCTCTCGGCGTTTTGCCTGACTTCAGCCACGGCAAAATATCTCGTGAGTTATAATGCAAGCGCCGGAGATGACCCAAGCGTCCTAGGCGACTTGAATCTTAATGGTTGGCACCGGCTCGACTGGCCTGATGGTCAAAGCCAGAACAGCTCGGTCTACTTCAAAACAGCGACGGACCCGGAGGGTATACCCGCCGCGCACGTCCACAAGAGCGCCGACTTCACGCGCGCCGAGTACCATATGCTTAAAGATAAGACTGTCAAAGATATGACGTACTACATCGGGTACAAGGTGCGGTTCGATGCCGTGGACTATCAAACATTCGTTTGGCAATGGAAAAACTATGATAAGAGTACCGTTGACGCCGATAACGTCCCCGCCGTCCTCACTTTCAGGAAAGATGCGGATGACTCTGATTACCACACGATGTAAGTATTTAAGCCAATCTACCATGCTGAGTAAAAGACCTAATACAAGAGACCCAGTGTGCTTCAGGTCAACCCCAGTGCTAAAGACGGTGGTGCCCTCGTCGTCTGGTCAAAGGCTCTGACTATGCGTAAGACGTACACGTTCGGATTGGTGATCAACACCTCGCAGAGCAGCGGCTACATTCAGCTGTACTTCAACGGCGCGCTAGCCACGATGACAGATGCATCTGGGAAAAAGACACAAAAGCTCGCAGGCAACTTCTTCCCAGGCGGCGGGAACGCTAATTCCAGCCCTAAGGTTGGATTGTATGGAAACGGTTTGAATGATAAGGGCGCGGCGGGTTGCGACTCGTATATCTATAACGTGATTATTGGAACTACTTTGGCGAATATCGAAGATATACCTGGTGTGGTCAACAAGTGATAGAACGAGGAGATATATATCTCGGAGGTCATGTAGGTTAGGTAATCGCATATATACGTAAGTAGGCAGCGTAGAAGATAACCTGTACGTGGGATAAATGGATGTAGTATTCGGTAATTAGGCGTATTCGTTACAGATGCGTACAGACGATACAGAACAGTCAATCTAGACTGTACAGACTGGAGGCAATTCGTTAATACACTGACCTAACAATTAAATCCGTGCACTCACCAGTTTCCTACCAAAATCTACCCCCTTCAACGCTACATAAAGAAAGCAAATAAATAGTTGAAAATCAAGAAGAAAAAAAGAAAACCAGTTATACAGCTATTTAGTTACCAGTGTTTTATATGATAGCATTTCTATGTTTTTACGAATTCCTTTAGGTTAGTTTATAAAGCTATCAAGTAGATGAATTTGGTAGGGGATTGGTGGGCGCACAGATCTAATTGTTAGGTGATTGTACCAGTGTCCCTAACAGACGCCATAAACTCCAAGAAGCTTCGGTTACCAGAACCTATAGAGACTTAGTATTCTCGAACCTTCACTCGTACTGGAAACCCATCGGCAGGATGAGCCCCACCGCCGCCCATCTCAGCTTGGTATGCTCTGTTTCCATTGACAGTCTTGATCCCCTTTTTGGGATGCAAACCATCCCATTCCGCATAAGCCGGAATGATGTCGAATGTTCTCATAGTCATCACAAGCGCCACTTTCAGTTCCATCTGGGCGAGTGTTTGACCGATGCAACTACGTTCGCCCGCCATGATCCTTTCGTGGGATAAAGGGGGTCACTGGAATCAACCAGCCATCGTTCTGGAATAAATTCTTCTGTCTTGGAAAAGACAGATGGGTGGTGATGCATGGCTAAACTGAGCGTCCAGATGTGGCAATCATTCGTTGGATACCGCTTACCGTCTTCATCTAGAGGACCTGCCCAAGATCGTAGCGATATCAAAATGGTCGGCTATCACCTCCGCCCTCAACTGGACTTCGGTGTACTTGGTGAAGATGACATTTCTCTACTTCTTCCACACTCTAATCCGGGGCATGCCGCGCCGCATCATAACATTCTACTGGATTACTGTCGGCCTCACTTTCGTCTTCTGGATTTACTCTACCTTTACTACTATTATCATCTGCCCTCACTTCGGTGCTGATTCCGGTTAGTGACGGTCGTGTCTCGCTGAGGCAATAAGTGTTATTAATTCAGCGCTCATAAACAGCCAAGTGTACCTTAGCCCCAAATCAGCATGCAAGAAGCCTCTCTAACGATGTACTTAATGTCGTTAGTGATATCATAGTTGATACCTTAAGTATGTGAATTTCCTGCTTCCAGTTAAGCTCCAGCAGCTAAACCCCCTTTACAGTCGTGACGTTACCACTAGTCATCCTGAGTCGGTCGATGATGCCGCATTCACGGAAGATATCACTGGCAGCCATGTTGTACCTTTCAGTTATCATGGTCGCTATCGCACTCATTAGGCTCGTTGGCACCATTGCAAAAACAAAGCCGAACGGACATGGATCAGCACCAACATGGGACACGTACTGGTCTCAGATTGAGGAATGTATTGCACTCATGACGACGACTATTATTGTCATTTGTGCGGTTTTCATTACAAAGACGTTACGCGAGCATAGGCGCATGGAGGACAGTATATGGTCACGAGCCGGTCGTCGTCTTCTGTCAACGTTACGGGTAGGAGGGTCACCAGGTGGCAGCGGACATAGTGGCCCTCGAAAGTCCAATGAAGGGCGCGCTTACAACTCGAAGATACCGCAAATTTCCACACAAGCATTGACCTCAGTTACAGTCATGAGCCCGGGCGACTTCGTCAACACTGAAGGTCTGAGAAGTAACAGCACCGAAGATGCTTTGAAAGAATCTGGATCTTCCTATCATCTTGACGACTTGAATTATCATTCCCTGCACAGAGTTGAGTCTGGAGTCTCCGAAGCTCCTCGTTGAAGAATCATCAGAACAGCACTTTTAATTCATTGAATTCTTCGTGAGAATTGTTAAATCATATTTATGGGGTCAACTTCCTTGAGTGACAAGTTATGAGGGTTTATGTTCGTAATTTTTTTCACGTCTGTTACGTCTAGTTGGACCTAGAGATGATGCCATTGAGCTTATCAAGCCGTTAGCTTTACTTGCTTGGCTCCCGCGCCAGTACAAGGGAATTTTTGGTCCTAAACAACGTCAGCCGTCTTGGGAAATTTCCTAATTTGGCGATGAAGCTCCCAGCAAAAAAGTGTTGAGAATAGACTCTGTGATTAGCTGACGAATCAAAAAGATAACAGCTCTTCAAAAGAATGGGTTTCTCCGTGTCAACCACGCCCACATTTAACAGCATCAGCCTTTACAACCCAAGTTTTCCTAGCTCTTTTAATCTAGAAAACATTAACAGTCATCTTCTCCTGCGTGTGTTGCCATGAGCTCCTACCCACCTGATAACAACCTGAGTCAGATGCCAAAATGTCCGCGACCTTGACTGCGGTTGCGCAAGAGGGTGTTCCTCCTCTGCTCAAAATCCGGCTCCCATTTTCGCATCGCCTGAATTGCTTCCTCAGGCTCTGGGCCTTCAAGATTCTGGCTTCTATCGTGTTCGCAGTTGACCGCTTGCTTCATCCTCGGCCAGCACACCTATGTCCCACTCTCACCAGATCCTACCCCTGTCGCCCGAATCTGGAAACCCGCGTGTTTTACCCACCAAACTATAAGTCCGGAGATGTGTTACCACTGTATCTAAATATTCATGGGGGAGCATTCGCGCTTTGTGATGCCCGACAAGATGATGACTTCTGCATAATGTGGGCTGAAAAGACCGGTATGCTGATTGTCTCCATTAACTACTCCAAAGCACCACTATACCCTTTTCCGACCGCCGTTTTCGATACAGGGGCGCTCATTGAGGCTGTCCTCCTCGATGACAGCTTGCCAATTGACAAAACCAAAGTGGTTGTAGGAGGGTTCAGTGCAGGCGGCAACCTCGCCCTCTGTGCCAGCCAATTGCCCGCCGTGAAGGGCAAGATCAATGCACTTTTAGCCTTCTATCCAATTGTAGATTGGAGCCACCCTCCCAGCCACAAGCTCTCCAGTCGCCCCTATAAGGGTGGTCCGCAAGATAATCTTGAATATTCGAGTTACTGGTTTGACTGGGGATATGTCTCTCCGGGTCAGAACCGGCGAGATCCTCTACTTAGCCCATGCTACGCTAGGAAAGAAGATCTTCCGGCCTGGATTTATATCATTGGAGCCGAGTGGGATCTCTTGCGGTTAGAGAGTCAGACGATGATCAATGAGCTAGCAGGTCGCGGGACCTTCGAGAACCAAGAAGATGACTTCGAGGTCGGGAAATATAAATGGACTTTAGCAAGAGGATGTTCTCACGGGTTCACTCACCACTTTGGGCAGAGGCGGGAGAAAAAAATAAGGAGGGAGGAAAAGTGCAAACCTATCTACGAAGCAGCGAGCAAATGGCTCAAAAAGGCGCTGCGCGATGATGATCATTTGTAGCCCGCACCGAATTCATACCCCACCCGCAAGCAAGGAATGGCAAACTTGACTATGCCTAATCTAAACACAGCATACGTTAGTGCCAACGGTAAGATTGCTTATCGTGTTGGTTCTCATCGTCATCTCGGACATCTCGGACGAGAGGCTGGTTCAAACCACACATGCCACAAAGGAGTAAGTAATACGTCTTGAGCTCATGTAGCTCTGCTCAGGTGAGCTGGTTTCCGTTCATATCAACTTGACGTAACTACCTCGGATAACCGCGAGAGCCGCTTTGGAGTAGATCCTAATCATATGCACTGCCAGGCTAGCACGATACGGTACTTGCCATACACCACACACCGCACTCAAGAGAGTAATCGTCGTAGGCACATCATCAACATGCTCGGACACTTTCAGTTTAGCCATATCCCAGCGCTTTTCGCCGGCTCTGCAATGGCGTTTGGCGGCGTGTGGCCAATGTTCGACGCGCCCGCCGCCATGCGCGAGTTCGGGTTCCCGGCTCATGTCGCCAATACGCCTGCGGCCGCGCCCGTCTTTGTCGTCGGTAATGTCCGCACTACCTGCCTCGGTTTTCTAATGCTTTTGTTCTATGCGCGCCGGCAGCTTACTGTTGTCGACACCTGCTTGGCGGTGACGGGTGCCTATGCCGGCCTGGTAGACAGCTACGTTGTGTGGAAGCAGGGCAACCCTCGCATGGCCCTTTTCCGTTTGGCAAGCTCGGCTTTTCTTTCTGCATGGGGATTTCTCGGGTGGACGGCAGCAGCAGGTCCCTGAGCATCACGAGCTAACATGGAGGGTCTATCTGATTACGCGAGGTCAGCTAGATGGCGGGTGGAAATGCCACGGTTGGTTTGAAATAAATGTACCGGAGGGGGAATCATGGTGCTGTAGACAATCTCATGTTTCTACTTTGCCTTTGTGGCGGGCCGAGTTGTGGTTTTGTAACACTCTGAAGGTCACAATCTTTGCGACATGGCTGTTCTCACATAAATGTCACTGTAAGCACTGGAGAAGATAACTAAGGTACCTCAGATACCTACTACCTAGTACCTGAGGGTAGAAAGATGACCAAATAATTTATAATATTTTACACTAATAACGCCTATCAACTACCCAGCAAATCTGAAATGAACCCCGTAGCCCATTGCAATGCCGGAACAAACTCTTTCATGTACGCTGGAGGAGCCGAAATACAAAACTTTGTAAACTCATCGCGGATTCCACAATGCACATACACCGATCGTTCCCCCTCGACAAGGAAACCACCCTCATCCCAGTCCGCGTCCGGGTTGCCACCGTCGCTCTCGGGCATAAACCCTACCTTGAGATCCTGTTGCGGGCCGCCGCGCCGTGTAACCTCCCAGGCTCTCGTGCCGAATACCGAGTCCGCTGCGGCCGCGCGCTCTTCGGGAGTCATCACGGCTAGGAAGGCATACATCTGGCGAACGAAACCGTGACCGCGCGCGGTGGAAGCCATTGACCGCGTATACGACGAAGCCGCCCTATTGAACAGCTCCCGCAGCTCGCGGATGTCGTACTGCGCCTTATCCGCGTCTTTGGCGCTCATGGGACCCCTGCCCACGGCTTCTAAGAATTCGCGCACGGGAGGCGATACAGTCTGCATCCAGTCGACGCGGCCGCGGTGAAATCTGGCTACAGTTGCGACCTCCCATGCGGGGCGGATTAGGCCATCTATATAATATGCCGCAAGAACGCTGGCCAAATGCGCTGTGGCGCTTGGTGGTGCACGATGGTTGCGTAGCTTGGGGATACTAAGCTCCTTAGCGTAGACGTATTGATGATCAACAGGCTTATAGTAGCCGTTGAAATTCTGCTGCATTTGGTCAATGTGTTGAAGCACCGACGGGCTCGGCATCCAGGTGTGTCTCTTCAGAGAGTAAGACGTCGACGCCGACTTTGCGGATAGTGCGTTTTCGTTGGGCAGAGGCGCAAACAACGCCCGAGTGACGTGCTTTTGCAGTCGCCGAACGTCCATTCCATCGAGTTTCGAATGCTCAAATACAGCGGCCGATAGCCCGTTAGCAGTCACGGCGAATTGGACAGGTTTGTCCATCCAGCGATTGTTCATGGGCCGATCGTAACCATTGACGAGAAATTGTGCATGACGCTCTGCCGGTGATTGTGGACTTTCATCATCTAAACATACTACAAAGGCACACTCGTCGATTGCGGTTAATATTTCATTGTTCTGCGCGGTTGACTCGAGGTCCTTGCGGTTCTGAATAATGGCAAAATTAGTACTCTGAAACAACTTCTGGCAGGACGCCCAAGACAGAGGCGGAACTACTTACCAAAGCCCAAGCATCGCGTTCGTCGCCCGTCAGCATGCATATCGGTGGTTTGTACTCCTGAGATAGCTCAAGCACCTCTCGGTATGCTGCATATGCATCCGAAATATCCGGCTGCTCTGGAAACTTCAACTCAAAAATAGCGCCGCGTCGAAGAACGACGACAGTTTGATTTGGCTGGCTCCGTTTATTCGTATCTGTATGGATTCCGGGCACCCGAGTAGAATAAAAGTGCCAATCCCGACCGGCTTCACTGATGGGATTTCCATACATTAGATCGGGAGGCAACTCTCCGGAGATCAACTTCTGCGAATACTCGAGTGCGGAAACAGTGAGGATCGCTGCTCGCAGCCCTTGAGTATGCTCTGGTGCATTTAGGGAATGGCCGACAGAAAAACTCCAATTCTGTAGTGGCTGGCGTTGTTGGAGCCAGATGAGCCGCTCATAATTATCTGCGACGGCCTCAGGACCTATCTCTTCAACTCGCCGCTGGATACGTGGTCCTAGGTCGTTAATAAAGTCTTGTATAGCCTTTTTTGTAGCTTCCCGATCTTCCGGGCCGTCAATAGCAAGCCGAGATTCCTCAAAAAATCGCAAAGTTTCTTCTAGAGGGATGACTGGCAAGGGTGGAAGGCTGGCTCGTGTATCCTGGCCACCATTTGCAGATACGCCGTTAATCGGCTTCTGATCTTTTAGACCCGATTTCGCATCTACCAACTCTCTGTGGCCATTCGTTAATTTATTTCCTGTCTTCTCTCCCTCAGCGGCAGTGGCATCGCTATTCGGCGAGGGATTAGATACTTTCTTGGAACGTGTCATGATTTTGGTGGCGAGCGTGTGAATAGACTGGTCGATGAGCAACTCGGATGATTGCAAGGGCGCATCAAACTCGCGCATGAGCCAATTCCGCAGCTCAATTGCTACTAGCGAATCCAGTCCGATCGAAAGTAAGGACCCGTGCCGTTGATCAAGCTGTGCCGCTTCGCTAGAGACAAGTTTCCCTAACTGGAAGGAAATAGCATCGCTAATGTGATCGACTATGGCGTCGCTATCTCCTTGTGCTACAACATCCGTAAAGGATCGAACAAGTGAGTTCTTGGTTGACGAGACATCTGCAGTTGTGGTCGTTGCTGGTGGGTCGTAGACGTGGCAGAACATAGCGGAGCAAACCGTTCCATTTCGTGCTGTCGTCCCCGAGAGAGATTTGTTATTAAAACCGACGATGGCCTGGGGAAGTCGTGCTCTCCTAGCAGCGGATCCGAGCGTATAGTCAAGTATGCGAGAGAGCTCGTCACTGCGAATGGCTCTGAGGCCAGCCCTGGGCAAAGCGCCTAACCGTGCCCCATGGGTGGCCGTGTGGAATGCGTCATCAATCCATCCTAAACTCATCGACATGAAGTGGCACGAACTGTCCTTTCGCACGTACGATATGGCATCTTGAACTGAATTGCCTGCATTATAGTTAGACTGGCTGCGGGCACCGACGATATTCACTGTAGATGACAACATGACAAAGAAACGTAAGTGCGGCGAGGCGAGAGCCTGCTCTAACGCTACCGTGCCGTCGATCTTGATACGGCTTGCTGCTAAAAAGTCATTGTGTGTCATAGAATCAAGCGTTCGATCCTGTCCCGTTCGTTTAGTCGTCTTCACCTAAAGTGTGATTGCCAAACGACTTACCTGCAAGATAGCTGCAGATTGAATAATACCTCGTACCGGTGGTATATCGCTTGCAGCCAAGCTCTTTTTGACCCGGTTCATGTCCTCTTGTGAGTTGATATCACACTTAAAACAATAAAGGCGACTGTCCGGCTGAATTGCACATAATTCTGACTGGAATGCACGATGAATTTCCTTACTCGCACCGCTCCTCGAGAGGGTAATGAAATGCTTTGCGCCTCGTTGTGCCAACAACAAGAATAAACGCCGACCCATATCGCCTAGGCCACCTGCAATGACAAAAGATACATCTCCAATTGATGTTGAGTCAGGTGATGGTTCAGGGGGCACTTTGCACAAAACTTTAGAGCCTGGATCAGCGCGCAGCAAGACTCTCGACATGGTACTGAATTCGCCTTCACGTAAGGCTTCGGTTGCCTTCGATATGGGACGAGTGTGTACCACTAGCCCATCGGTAGGGAGGAAAGCTAGGGTGTTCTCAATCAGCGGCATCAATCTTGCTATGAAGTTGGCGTTGTCATCTTGAATAAGCTGCGAAATGTTGCAGGCGCTGACTACGGCATTACTCGGAAAGTTGGCCCCGATCTGCTTGAAGATGTTCGCTCCGTCTTCGAGGAAAACTATATGACCAAAGGGTTCCAACCCAACGAGGGTGTCTGGCGGCACAGGATCATGGTTGGCGATGATCAATGCTTGGTATTGGCATGGTACTTTTCCAACAGAGGATGTATCGGTCCTGAGAATGTCATTAGACGAAAACCCTGCCTGTTGTTGTAACAATTCTGCCTCTCCGCTGCTAGAAGCAGTGGCCAAGACGTGAGCTCTGATTGATCGGGCGACAGCCACTACAGCTCTTCCGACTGCTGTCAGTGCACCATGAACAACGATTGTTTCCGAGGGCCGAGTACGGCAGATATCTCTAATAGCGCAGCAAGCAGAAGCGACATCGAGAAGTAATGTGGTGGCTACCTCCGGATTCACATTGCTCGGAATGCGAGCGACAGATACGGAATGAAGTCGTGGGCGGCTCGCACATTTGGCTGGCCCTAATGCGAGGACTTGGTCCCCGGGTGCTAAACCGTCAGCCTTGGGCCCTGCTCGTGATATAACACCCATATATTGGCCAGGTTGATTTGGACTTGTTAGTTTAGGAAGGGCGAATCCTCGAGTCTCGATTTCGACTTCATGCTCACCCAATTCCATAGCTGCACTTAGATCATCAACAAAGACAGGGGCCGCACCAAATTCACTGCCAAGACTAGATGCAAGGATGAGGGGTCGTGTTTTATCATGGAAACGACATTCTTCCACGGCGGTGGATGAAGGGTTGCTGGAACCCACAATACTGTTTAGATGCACGCTGCGACGCAGTCGTGGCACGGTGACTGTCCCGTCTGCGGATATGCGATACTCGCGCTCGTGCCGGAGCATTGGCCTCAGCTCAACCACGCTCCGGACACAAGCTAGAAGAATATCTGAAAGACGCTGAGCATCAGAGCTTCTAGCTAATCCCAGCAGAGCAGTCGCAACATGCACTGTTATCAGGCGCAGTTCATCATTTTCAGCATGAGCAGTCCGACCAACGCCAGTAATTTGGTGCATAGAAATTGGATCATCTGGACTGATCCAAATGACACGAGAAGGCAACTTCAATAATTCAAGCGCGGCATTGAAACAGTTTGAGTCGGAAAGGATAGGCTCGGGCTGGTCTTCGACAACGACGAATACGATGCCGGAAGTATCGTTTCGAGCACTTTCAAGGTATGGAGAAACTGTAGATAGTGGGCTCACCAAAACATCAACACCGACTCCGGTCAATGCTGCTTGAATGTGGGATACCGCCGGAGATAGGTTGTCGGCTCCCTCATTCGAATGTGTAAGCAGCACTACTTTTTGAAGATCTATCAACCATTCTTTTGAGTCGATCCGTCGTGCCACCACAACCAAACTTTTCCGGCTTTCGTCGTAGAACTCAAATTGTACCGTGATAGGGTATTTCGAGTTTTCAAGTTCTTGTCGCCACTTTTCATCTAAAGCGTTTTTCTCTTGGGAATCAGCGATTATGATCAGAATCCCGTTAGGACTGACAAGCTCAGATGCGGGTGCCAAGTAGCGCTTTAGCTCAGTTGGCGACAGCATAACGGCATCGTATAAGTCTGGCTTGAATCCTTGTTGATTCAGGTCAATATTGGTATCAAAGCTACAATACCGAACACCATTATGTAGTGTTTGTTTGCTCGAGATGTCATTATCGGTTGAGGTTACGATATCGTAAGTTGCTAAAGTCGCGTCATGGTCGAAAAAGGATTGGTGCACGAGGTGCGATTCAACCCCCGGAAACTCAAGAACGGAGAGTTTTGAAGCTTTATACGATAGATGAGCGACCACATCGTCCAGAGTCTTGTTTGATTGCCAATCCTCAGAACGGCAGAAGTCGATATCCGACCCCCATTGCATCTCGTAACATATCCCCTCTTCAGACTGAGCAGCTGCTGATGTTAGACTTCGCATCTCCATTCCCGATATAGAAGCAACAGGGCCTTGAGAAGTCCTGACGCATAAATCGCCAATAGAGGCTTTTGGACCTATTGGGGAAAGTTGAGTTCTCACAGAGACCTCAGCTTCGGGTTGATTTAGCTGTAAATCGGCAGCAGATATGAGAAACTCGCGAATATTGACTGGCATGACCGAACTGGGTCCCAGCCGTCGTTGGATTAAAGGTAGGGCTGTATGTAATATGATGTCGAGCGTTGATGGATGAATGATGTGTGCTTGCTGAAATCGCTGAGGCATGATTTCGGCCACGTTAGGTATTTGCACAGTGGATGTGGCTACTGAGAAGTCTGGTGCCGCAATCAGAGATTTAATTCCAGAGAACAACGGCCCGTATTCGTTCCCTGTCATCGAGAGCTCGCGATAGAGCCCGTCTTTCTCCAAAATGACCCCTTCTTCCACAGGCTGCAGGTCTGTATTCTCAAACGTTCCTTCTCCTAGCCGGCCCTCTACCACTCCCTTGCAATGCTCTTGCCATAGCCCATCTGAAAGGGCCGTGATACAGAATGAAAATTCGAGGTCAGAACTATGTAAACGCTTAAAGCTAAGCTGCATCTCAACAACACCGGGGGAATCCGGCACGACTAATGCCCGGATAAAAGATACGTCGCGTAGGGATAACGCAAAGAGTGCTTTCTGGGCATGGTCTTCACGTTGAATTTGCATAATAGCCTCAATGACCATGCAAAGATACCCCGAGCCCGGAAAGATCGCAAGGCCATCGATGACATGATCAGCAAGCCAAGGCAATGTAGACAAGCGCAGCATATGTCTCCAACGCCGTTCGATTGGTGTCGAGCCAGGTATTCTGACTCCGAGAAGATCGTGATATGGAGTACTCCGCGTGCGGTATTCTCTGCTGAGGCGGGATTCATACCAGTGTTTCGTAGAGTGGTCCCACGCGTATGCCGGGAGATCTGGACAGACGACACCACCGTCGCTGTCGGGAGTTAGAGCGAGCACTTGTTCAAAATTCACGCTGAATCCCCTCTCAAAGAGACGTCCCGCCAGTGTCAGTGCACTAGACACTGCGTTCGTTTTCCTTTGCAATACAGACTGGTACTCGAAGTCGAGTTTAATGGTGCGCTCTGCGGCGAGACACTGGCGGACCATTCCGGCCAGTGCGGGATGCGGACCTACTTCAACAAAGAACACAGGTCGTCCCACGGCGGCTGTGTGGCAGTGAGAGGCGACATTCGCCACCGCCTGGCTAAAGCGGACTGGTGATACCAAATTCGTCGCCCAGTAGTCAACTCCAAAATTGGAGGTTTTCCTTGATCCAGTCACGGAGGAGATGAATATGGTATCTCTCTCATCTATTTGCTGTTCGCTAGATTCAAAGTCAAGGTCTTCGAGCCGCCGGCGGTATTCGTATGCAACGGCCTGCATGTGATGCGAGTGGTAAGCCGTATCTACCATCAAGCGGCGGTGGAAAACACTCGCATCGGAATCACTTATTAAGGTCTCAAGTTCTTCGATAGCATCAGCGTCCCCTGACACAGTCGTATTCTTGGGGATGTTAATGCAGGCAACGCATACAACGCCCTTGGTGAGTCGTTCAAGATAAGGTGTCACAGCCTCTTCGCCCAGTCCAACCGCCATCATACCACCGCGGCGAAGGCCAATCTTCTTAACAGTCTCAGACATGAACCCTCGGTGGTACGCCACAGCGATGGCTGTACGGTGCGAAATATAACCGGCAGCATAGGCGCCAGCAATTTCGCCACTTGAGTGGCCGACCACTACCTGTGGTCTCACCCCTTGGCTTCTAAGAAGAGCGAGAAGCGCAACCTGAACTGACGTAGTCATGGCTTGGGCTCTTATAGCCATGTTGATAACTCCAGCATCTCCCTGCGTGCCCAATAGTTCCTCTTCTAGATCCCAAGGGGCGCCCAACTCTACCAATATATCACGCGATTTCCGTATGGACTTTCGGAAAGGGGAGGATTGTGTTGTATCTCGTAGCAGTTCGCGCCCCATTCCGGCCCATTGGGCACCTTGGCCGGTAAATACGAAGACCAGATACGGCTGCGTTGCGATCGGTTTTGATGGTAGTCGCTCCGGTCCTTGGCTTAGGGCTTCCTGGAGTGAGAGGTAGTCTGATGCTGTGAAGCTTAACCGCCAGGGAAAGGCAGAGCGCCGCTGAGACAGGGTATATGAGAGATCTTTCAAAGAAGTATCTGGGTGCTGTTCAACCCAGGTCTTATAAGTATTCATCGTCGAGATGAGCGAGCTCCGGCTGTTAGCTGAGAGTACGAAAAGCTGGGGTCCGCGATCCCGTTCTGGAAGATTCTCCTTCTCGGAGACATCGTTAACGCTAGCATCTTGCCATTCCAGCAACGTGAGGCAACAATGGGCATTTGTCCCTCCGAACCCGAACGAGTTGACAGAGACGCAAGGTGTGCTCACTGTATCGGCTACAGTTTTTGAGGCTTCTGGTAACGGTATCGGTTTCACGGGGATTTGTAATCCGTCGAGCGGAAGTCCGAGCTTAGGACTTTGGAAGTTTACCACAGGGGGTATTATGCGACGCTTCATGATAGAAATAGCCTTCACCAGCCCTGCAAGACCGCTGGTGCACTCTGTATGACCGATGTTTCCTTTGATAGACCCGACAGGTAGGGGCAAAGGCCTTGTGGGGTCGGCAAAGACTGCCTGGATGGCAGCGAGCTCTTCTTCATCTCCCGCTACCGTTCCAGTGCCGTGTGCCTCTACATAAAGAGCGTCCCGAGGACGCAGACCAGCGCACGAGTAGGCTTTGCGAATCAAATCCGCTTGGGCTCTCCGATTAGGTAGAGTGATTCCGCCGGCTGTGTGACCATTTTGGTTGACTGCCGTTCCACGAATGACAGCACGGATAGGATCACCGTCACGTATGGCATCCTCTAGGGGCTTGATCACGAGCACCACGAAACCCTCGCCTCGCCCGTACCCCGTGCCACGGCTATCAAAGGGATAGCTCCGGCCTGTGTCACTAATCATGTGCATATTACTCATACCGACGTGTTGGTCAGGGGCGAGAATCAAATTCGCCGATGCGACAACAGCGGCTCTCGATTCGCCTGTCCGAAGACTCTGGCAGGCATGGTGCAGTGCTACAAGACCCCCTGAACAGGCTGTGTCGAGAGCCATACAGGGTCCGCGCAGGTCAAAAAAGTGTGAAATGCGGTTTGCCATAATAGATCTCTCAGACCCCGTAAGATAATATCTAGGCATATCTAGCGGGTCTTTGTAGATACTGCGCTCAAAGTCTGCGGTGAATGTGGCGACATATACAGCGGTGTCGGTGCCGGAATAGCTCTCACGAGTCCATCCAGAGCTCTCCAGTGCCTCGTGCGAAAGTTCGAGTAATATGCGCTGCTGGGGATCCATAGCCGCCGCTTGCTGAGGCGGAATCTTGAAGAAAGAATGATCAAAGTCTCGCACATCATCTGTGATGAAATGTCCCCCGACATGATTGTTGGTTCCATTGGGGTCATCGGCGCTGGGGTGATGAAAAGCGCTCTCGTTGTAACGCTCTATTGGGACAGGAGACCAGGCATCGTCGCCTTTCTCTAATAAGTCCCATAGCTTTTCCTCGCTATCTACGCCGCCAGGCAACCGGAAGGAGAGTCCTATTATGGCTATAGGTATTGATTCTGCGCCAGTTCCTTTTGTTACAGTCATGATGCAGGCATGTAAAAGGACTGGCTTATGGGGAAATGCTCAAAATGGCGAGGAGGCACACCCCGATCAAGATATGGAGAAAAGAAGCTTATGAGATGGAAAGCGAATCACTCCAGGCAACTGAGTAGTCTTGTTCTATTTAGGGAGTCCTTCATTGGCTTTATGGAAAAGATAGACATTGGGCTATATTAACGCGCCCCTGGAACATAGACTCTGGATCTGAGTTTGTCAGACCAATTTACCATACAGTAATACAACTCACATGGCAGGGGGAATCCTAGAAATCCACAAGCAATTCATGGCGGTCAATATCACAACTGCATGCAAAGCAAAAGGAATTGATAATGTCAGCAACGGCGTTTACGGGATCGTACTTCTTTTCCACCGTCACGATGATAGTTTTCTCAGTATACCCAAGGAAGTTAGCCTTCCATAAAAGGATCCACGAATATATTTAGACACAACATTACCTAAGAGTGTATTAAGACCGCCGGCGCTCTTTGTGTCACGTAGGCCTTCCCTAATTCGGCATGATTTCCACTGAATCCCACACTGGGATTCATGTCAATGCCGCGCGTTGTTCACATACGGTAGTCTTGGGTAATACGATACAGTAACAGGCAATCTTAGTAGTCTCACGCAGGACGTAGTGTACTACATTTCGTACATGTACCTAGGTATTTTGACGGAGCCAGCCGCTCCTTCCAACAAAACCCGCTTTTATTTGCCGGAGCTGGTAGCCAATCAGATCGCCCTCAATCCCGAGAATCAATGCTTATATAATATAACTGATCGAATAAAGATGGGCCTGCGGGAGAGATCCGCCTGTATGATTGGATGGACAAGGTCACATGATAGCCTGCCGCCGTGGCCTTGCCTTGCCGAGAATTCGACCCCGACTGACAGATCTGACAGACCTGGCAGGCTGGCTGGCGGCCCATCCCTATCTTGGCAGGTGGGGCTGCGGATGAACCAAGTTGTAACGCCGAAGAGGAATGCCGTGATGTGCTTACGCTAACGTGAGGCCGGAGTGAGGCTAAAATGTAAACACCAACACAGCTTCAATCATCGTCAGTACATGTCGAGCCTATGTCGAGCCATGTATTCCTTTTGAATGCCAAGGTTTCCGCCACTAAGTTGGCCGTGCCGGTCCGCTATACTCCCTAGTGTATTTTCTAATTGGCTTCAATACGCTGTCTAGCGGACTTGGCTTCGAAGGGATAAGTATCTTAACAAGTTGCCCGTCGAGCCTGTGCCGTCCGCTAGATCTCCTAGTTTCTAACCTTTCCTCCACCTTTTCATGCGTTAACCCGTACCCACTGCACGGTAGACCGCTACTTATCTCCACCTCTACTTTTACGTCTACTTTTACGTTATGTGTGTAACCCTGCCTGCTTACGTCTATTTGGACAGGTTTCAGTTGAACTACTTGGATATTGAAGTTTTCAGGGTCCCCTTTCTGCTGACTAACCTGCTACCCCACACTCCTTCAATGTGACCGTTAACAAAGCAGAGTTCAAACCCCAAAATAGGGCTTCGGTCAGATCAGATCAGATCAGATCAGGTCAGGTCGGTCAAGTCATTGTTATTTGACATGTTTTGCTTATTGCATGTGAGCATGACGTGGGCCGACATACGTGTACGGGCTTAGTCTTTCTGACCGACTACCTATGTGGAGATACAATATCGTCGTACAATAGCGAAGTTTCTTGTTCGGAAGGAATACAAGTCTCTTGGCATCTGGCATCAACCCATTTGTCACACATCAATATCAAAATCCTTTGGACACAGGCGCCACCCGAACTAGCCAGTAGTCTTTAAGAATTAGTCACCTCTTACTCAACGCTACGGATAATAGAAAACGGAAAGAAAAGTATAGCCTTGGCGTGTTAGTAAGTTAGTTAATATAATCATGGCGTTGTGATATCGTTTGCTATTTTTGTACGCTAGTATATGACTTGCGCAGCCGTCATTTAACACCAAGCCAAACGGCATCCACATTGTCCCATTTGAACTAAATGGGCTTGAGAATGCTTTCTTCGTTTTGCCTAATGAACGCCATAAGTCAGTCTTTGTGAAGACGCTCTATTCTGTTTGCTAATGCTCAGAATTGTTGTGAGGAATATTACACCAAACTCTGCCGCCCTGTTAGGTCATGACATCGAGGTGTACCAATCCCGCGCCCATGGATTCTTCTGAAAGATCCTCGAGCGACCCCATAGTCGCTGAGCAGGAGGTTACCGACATCTGTCGTCGAATTCTGGAAATTTTCTTCGAGTATGCTCTGAACAAAATCGACCACTCAAACGCAGGGTTCGAACGAGGTGCACAGAATTTCGTGCCAGTCGTTCGTCGATTCGTCGCTGCAGGGGAGCGAGTAGAGGCCTGCTTGCCAGCATTTCCGTTCAAGTCGGCAAACAAGGCATACAAAGTTCTAGGGAAACTTCCCGATAAAGCGGAAGAGTTAGCCCTGGACCGGCTAAATAGCATATGCAGACGCATACAGGATATCTACCCACCTGGGGCGCGAATCACCATCATCTCAGATGGCATCACGTACAATGGTATGTATAGCGCCATTAACCGTTACACTTCCGAGAAGAAGTCGGCTAATACCGCTATAAGACTTATTAAGCATATCCGATCAGGATACCTGGGCGTACGGAGAGGCTCTACGTACTCTAGCCACAGAAAAGAAGTTTGATTGCATCAACTTCTCTAGGATGAAAGATCTATTGGATTTCCCTCTTCCTAAAGAGATAAACGAGATTACCTATGTTGCTAACTGTACCAATTTCCGCCGGGTCCTTCTTAACCGTTATGGTGACCCAGACCTTGATATTGATGATGAGATTGCTACAAATCTTGATACTAAATTAACTTACCTTGGTTATAAGAGGTTTTTGGAATCTGATTTAAAGTATATTTTTCCTCGAGGGGCTGGCCGAAGTTCCAACTCCTATAAAAGAGACTGCAAGTATATTGCAAAGCAAATGTTAATTCGGGGCTATGTAAGTGAAAAAATCAAGGGGGAAAAATGAAGGGCGACATTTTCATGTCTTAGTATGAAATCTAACGATTGAACCTATTATAGGCTTTCGCCAAAGCTGTTAAGAATGCCTATCCCGGCTACCTTCGTCTCTCTATCCATGAATCCATCGGCGCTGTCGCTAAGATATCTATATCCCTACTCAATACAAAGACTGGATTTACGACCCCATGGCATTGTAGCGTAGCTCACCTCGCGGATGGAGAATGGATCAGCGCCCCCATGGGTGAGTTTTCTAAGAATCCTAGGTTAGAGCTTGTGCACACCAATGGCGTTCCGAGTTACTTCAAAGAGATACCGGATGCAACCAGCGGTGGTCTTTGCATCAGCGCTTCGTTTGCGAAGGCAAGTGCAATAACTACCAAAGAATATTTTGATAGCACTTCTGGATCGTCTTCTGGCGTTGCTACGCCTAGCAGTCGTCTCACTGTCTCGGATCCTCGTGCCGACGATGTCCCAACACCTCGCACGCCACCTTGTCCCAGCGCCAGATCAATCAGCCCCAAACAGATCGCCAAGAAGAACAATGCTAGTTTTCCCGTGTTGAGCGAAAATGATGCATGGGGAAAACCGTATGGCCGAAGGCTTATCCCGCAAATAATGGACAGCCTGGCAGCAGCGGACCCGTCACGTACGGTATACTCGCTTGCCATGCTCTCTAAAAACTCGCTCACTTACAGGCATATTACCGCTCGCGCCTTTGCCCAAGCCGTTGATAAGACCGCTTGGTGGCTTCAGAGCCAGGCAGGAAAGCCCGACTCGATTCAGCCCGTTGGCTATATTGGACCGCGTAAGTTGTTGAAATGAACTTGTTTGTTAAATTCGGTGCTGCAGTGGCTAACATCAAACTTCGAAGATGATTTGCGACATATCCTATTGACCTATGCATGCGTTAAAGCTGGTTATGCTGTAAGTCAACGATGGATGCGAAAACAGACCCTACCCTCTCATATCGCGTAGAGTGGTTTCCACAAGTTCTTACTTTGCGTAGGTTCTGAATATGTCTCCGAAAAACAGCACAGAGGGAACGCTAGCGGTGCTTGAAGCAACGAAATGTAATGTATGGGTCAGCGCAGGTGATGCAGCTCCAATCCCGCTGGTCAACGATGTTTTGCAGAAACGCCCTATGAAAGCTCTACAACTCGCCTCACTTGATGACCTTCTCAACGCGGTATCTGTCGAGCCTTTCCCATATACTAAAACTTTCGAAGAGGCCGTAAATGAACCGTTCTGCTTTCTACATACTTCCGGAACTACGGGCATTCCGAAGCCAATTCCCTGGTCTCACGGTTTGATTGGAACTATGGATGCAGTACGGTTGCTACCCCCTGTCGACGGCGACGGCGGTCTGCCCCCTTGGACTGCGGACTGGAAGGCTGGGGACACGATATATTCGGCATTCCCCATGAGCCACGTATGTTCTTTTTGACTCTACTAGCTTTGTAAAATATGGCTAATGACAGTGTCACAAAATCAGGGCGCCGGCACCATTATGGACATCCTTATGCCAGTCCTCTACGAGCTACCTTGTGTCTTGGGACCTATCAACACGATTCCCAACGTCGATTTCATAGGAAACCTAGCGGAGAGTATCAAGATCGACATCTGGAGTATGGTGCCATCTCTTGTGGACGAGCTAGGTGAAACGCCTGAGGTTTTAGCCAAATTCAAGTCGTCCAAGTTCATCTGTGCATCTGGCGGGCCGGCCAGCCCGGTCAGTGCCGGCAAGGCGAACGAGGTTATACGAGTGCTCAATCTGACGGGCACCACCGAGGGTCTGTTCATCGGCAACCTTGTACCACCGAGAGAAGATTGGTACTGGTTCTGCTTCCACCCTTCTTCGGGGTTTGAGTTCAAGCAGTTGGATGAAGACACATACGAACACTGGGCGCATAAGAATGACCAGTGGCAACTTTTTCAGGGCAGTACGTTACTTTTCCCATTTTCTTATTCCAGAAGACGATAAAATTATTGATATTAATGAGTCGTAGTCTTCCACACTTTCCAAGATAAGGAATCTATCAACTTCAAAGACCTGTACATGAGGCATCCCACAAAACCAAATCTATGGGCCTTCAAAGGGAGAAGCGATGATCTCGTCGTTTTGTCCAATGGGTACAAGATATCGCCACTTGAGATGGAAGCTTACATCACCACTCACCCTGCCGTTGAAGGTTGCCTTATATTCGGCACTGGCAAACCACAGGCAGGCTTGCTGATCGAGCTAAAGGACCCGTCCAACAAGTCGGAAGAGCTCATGGAAAGCATATGGAAGACCGTCCAAGAGGCAAATTCCAAATCTCGCCACAAGAACCAGCTATTGAGGAGTTTTATCACTTTCGCAACGCCTGACAAGCCTTTCTTCCGCACGGACAAGCGTACGATTAAGAGACCAGCCACCTTGGCCCTCTACGCCAACTTTATCGAGCGCTTCTACAACTTACAGAACGATGATAACGAAGACGGAAGCAGTAGTGTTATTGTCCTCAATACGAGTTCAATTGAGTCGTTGCAGAAGTTCGTTCTCAAGGTCATCCAACCCACGTGCCATGGGGCCGAGGGAACAGTTGATCCCGACACCGACTTCTTCCAGCTCGGGATGGACTCGCTCGGGGTTATGTCAGCCGTGAAGGAGATCAGGGCTGTGACGAAACTAGACGACCTCTACCCCCGACACATATATTCCAACCCTACCATTACCAAGCTCTCTGCTGCCCTTGCCAGGATGCTTGCGAAGACCACCAAGCCGGCACAAGAAAGCGAGGCTATCGACATTACCCCTGTGACCAACTCAGCTGGGGCTGCCGAGGGCAGCAAAACGACCAAGCTCAATCGCGCAATCACACGACACAAGGCCCAACAGTCATTCAGGCTCAATCCAATAGACTATATCCATGGAAAGGTTTTCTTTGGGCTCGTCTTTTACATACCGCTACAAGAAGGTGCCAGCTTTCAGGAGACCTTCGAAAATCTTCAGGCCGGTCTTAATCGCACGTTAGAGCTGATCCCGGCCCTCGCTGGCAAGGTCATCGAATGCTCGGAGGACGAGGTTGGCTATGTCAAAGGAGAGCGCAACCTTTCAATCCCGCCCCCGTCCAAGGCGGCTTCGTTCCGCAATCTCCTACGGTATAAGGACCTCTCTGGCGTTGTGTCATCCTTCGCCGAGCTGCGCGAGTCGGGCTTCCTACCGTCGAAGGTCAGAGATCATCTACTTATAGAAATCGAGCCCTATTTCCAGTTTCCCGCCGCCGTCTTTGCGGCACAGGCCAACTTCGTCGATGGCGGCTGCCTTCTCACCACCGAGTTCAACCACACTTGCTTCGATGGCGTCGGCAGTTTTACTGCTCTGCGGGTCTGGGCCGAGTGTTGCAGATATCTGCAGGGCGATGAATCAGCCACGTGTGATTGGTTCCACCCTGAGAGCTTCAACCACAGCCTGCCTGAGATTCTTCACGAACAAGAAGGCTGGGCCAAACCGTTGGAAGAGGTAGATCCTGGCACGTGGGCCTGGGTACCATTTAGCCCACCCGACAACTACATAGAAAAGTCGAAGACAGCGCCCGAGTCGATTCGGAAAAACTGGCATCTCCCATTGCGACCGGAAATCCCCCGACACCCTGCTATGCCGGCGCAGCGCCCCTCGCATAGCCTGGTCCCAACAGTTTTCCGGATTTCGAAAGAACAGCTGGCGTTACTAAAAGAGCACGTCCAGGCTGACCCGGAGACACAAGGCTCTGTACCATCAATCATTGACATTGTGCAAGCCTTGTTGTGGCGAACTATCCTCCGGGCGCGGTACCGCGTGGCAACGGAGATCCAGAAGAAGACTTTTGGCCCCAACGACATCTCCATCCTCGAACTGTCGACGGACGGGCGACCCTACTTCAGCGAGATGCTGCCGGAAACGTACATGGGCACTACGGTTCTGTACAAGCGACCCAGCATCGCCCTTGAGACTCTCTGCGCGCCCGGGACGACGATAGGCCGCGTGGCGCGCCTGTTACGCGAGTACGGATCACTCGTGAGCCCGCAACTCGTCCACGACGTCTTCACCCTCTGCCAGAACCTCGGGGACTATACCCAGGGCAGACTGGCATCCGTGGGCCGAGAGCACATGAACCTCGCCATTACCAACATCATGATGTTCCAGACCGACGACCTCAAGTTCGGCGAGCGCTTCTTCGCGAATGGCGGCGCGCCCGAGGTGATGCGACTCGCGCTCGACCGCCACGGCGACAAAATCCGCGCCATCGCCGTACTGCCCATTACGAAGGATGGTGCTGTTGAGTTCGTGGTCGGCACTATCCCTGAGGAGCTGGATATGCTCTTGACAGATGAGGAGTTTACGCGGTACGCCTGTTTGTGGGATATTAGCAACTAAAAGTGTTTTTATTTTATTTTTTTCGGCTTCTCCTGAAGCAACGCTTTAGCTACAAGTCAGCCTATGGCTTACGGGGATTGTATCTTGCTCGGTGGTTGGGGGAATTCTCCAAGGGATGAATTTTCCGTTTGTGTTTGATAGGGATTATTGTAGACTTTCTTTTGCTAGAATTATTGTTGAGGGGTACTGAATCGCGATGATATGATCGTGCACACAAATGTTGAAGTGTTGGTATGGAAGCCTCCAGGACTTCTATCCGTTCTCCGGAACTATTACATAACGTGCTATTCCTAGTTATTAGCGCCTTTGCCAATATTGATTACCGCCCGTGCACCAGGTATAGCGGCGGTCCCGAACGTGCAAGATATGGAAGTCCTAAAAAGGAGTGGACACGTAATCATGACCTAACGCGCTCAAATGAAGTGAGAATACGGCTCTGAAGCCTATAGGGTTATATACGGATGCTACGATATATATAGTTTATAGAACAGCTAGCCGCGCCCCAGTGCCCTTGCGGAGGCCGGGTCTCGTACCCCTACAGCGTTAAACACTATCAATCAATGGAAACCCGACGACCTAGCACGTCGTTTTTGCGTCGTCGCTCGTGGTCCCCCTTTGTGTTTCTATGCCCGACCATAAGTAAAGGAAGCTGTCGCGACATCCGCAGCAGCAATCTGATTAGGCGAGACGCACGCGTTTCGTATAGTCCGCCCACCGAAAAGGAGGCAGGGTATTGGCCTAGCTGCGCTGGTGTTAGGTCGGGATAACAACGTGATACCTCTCGTTGCCTGTTTCTTCTCCTCTTCCTCTGTCATGGTCATGTTCCTCATCGGTATCACTACTATCTTCGTCTTCCTCGTTGATCACCGTGCTGCTTATTACGCTTGGCTAATAGTCGCATGACCCGTAGCGACAGCGACGATGACGACGACGTATGCCCAACGTCGATAGGTGGGTGCTTGTCCACTTTAGCGGCGGTTGCCAGGAGCCTTGTCTCGAGCTATTATAGAATTGAGTGAGTAATTTGTGAGATTAACGGGGACGTGTGGTATTACTGTCGCGGTTGCCGTCATTAGCGCGTTTAGTTTTAAGGGAACAAGAAGGTCGAGAATAGCAATAGCATAGGGTGTAGGATAGGGGTTGGAGCTGGCAAAAGTGACTGCCAGATACCTACTTAGCCATATCTGCCTGGGTGCGGAGGCTGGTACTTTCAAATGTTTAGGGTAACCTGTCTCTCTGCAAGATCCCAGTGTTTCCAAAACAGCTTCTTCCCTAAATGGTGTGCTACGCTACAATAAATGACGACTACACAAATAGATACGTTCTATTAGTCATGGGACAGGGATCATACCAACCTCCGCCTCCCTCACTCTGAGCCCTTTCTAATTGATTTGTTTATAAAGGGAGGAGTTGGGCTGTTTTCTTACGCATTCTCTAACCAATAAATCAGTGAAGTACTAGTTGCAATGGTACGATTGGGGCATTCCTTACTATTGAATCTCGGACATCTCCGGTCTCATACCGCCAGGTAACACTCCTAGCAAGGGAGTCGTGTTGAGTTGCAAATCAGGTAATAACCAGATAGACATGTATCTTTAGGTACGCAGAGAGTCCCGTGCTTCGATAGAAAATAGATGCAGTTCAGCCTAAGGTGCCACTTAGTCAGTATCATGCGACTGAAAATAGTAGCCATCTTAACACCCATGAGCCGCCACAATGTCTATATAAAAGGCATCAGTTTTACAATTATCATGGCAAGTAATCATTGAGGTTCAAAATCAGTCTACACAATATTGATCATAATTCAACACGCCAACAGACTCAAAACCATACTTATTGCCTTTGCTATGTCTGTAACATTCCATCTCCCATCGCTTCAAATCTGCCCAGACGATTATTTCAAACTTGAACTTACAATAGACGACGACGGCATCAGCAGTTGGAGTCAGCTCCGATATCTCGAAATCCATGTATGGAATACTGACGGGTATCCAACGTTGAGAAAGATGAGGACGAGGTGGCAGGCTCCCGGACCCCGCTGGCACATTGTTTGGAAAACCAAATGGTTTAAAGATCTTGAGCCATGTGAGACATACCGCATTGTTGTATCGCTCCAGACCGGCACGCAAACCGTCAAACAAGTTTCAAGCGAGGCAATAACCATATTGCCCTATTATAGTAATTGAGATATGAAACGTTGACTCAGCCAGCAGTTGTCAGTATCTACCTCTATGAGTGATCAATGTCACTCCGCCCCATGCAGTATTGTCGCATTTACTAACCTATCCCAAGAGCTAAAGTAAACGAAATTAACGCCGACCACTCATCACTCGCTTACTTTTACCTTTATACCTTTATCCTAATATTCTTCTTTGCGGAGTGCTTCTTTTCACATTTGTTTCTCGTCGCAAACTTGGCTCTTGGTTAGGTGTCTTATGAGATAGATGTTATGATTCAGCTTATTATCTAACTCGAAGCTCAGGGTTCTACATTTGCGGCTGCGAGCGCACAGCGTTAATGGGCTAAATATTACAATGAATAAGATTCTGTTCATTCATAAGTCGCTTTCCAGTTCAAATTCTCCTTTTGAGATTAAAGGATCATTATGCCCCAACACCTTGTTTTGTAGTCAACTTCCAAAGTCAGCTGTTTCATGATTCCGCAATATAATAGAATAACATCTCTCGATATAGCAGAAAGCTAAGAGCAAGTAATAATTTCGCGTTGCGTTTAGCGAGTTCAACAACTGGTACACAAGAAAAGCTTCGCCAGCTGATGGCCTTCGAAAGCACTTGAAATTCAAAACTCACAATCAATACCAACGTACAAATGAGCAGAGCTAAATGGGCAGTTATCGGTTCGTTTTCGACTACTAGTTATACATAGCTATATTAGTTACACTGTATATCACCAGAATTAATATAGTACGCTATATAACACCTATATTATGTATTTATTTTAGCTTAACTATGTTTAACAGAGGCATTATAAAATTGATAATAAATTCAAGGCTTATAGAGTTATTAAGAGCAGAAGCATTAAAGGTAAAGGTGTTAAAGTTAAATGTGTATAGTCCATACCAGCTGAACGTGCAGTTTGCCTTGCACTTTGGCCGTACGAAGGACCATTGCAAGCTGTTCATGATCTTTCAAAACATGCAGGCAATATTGGGCAATATTGGAAAGTGAGGTTATACAGACCTCGCTTTATGAAACAGGCCAATGAGACCTAGGCGGTCAGGTCTGGCAGACGGACCAGTTGTATATAGAGTCGAGTCAAGCCACCAGGCCAAGAAGGAGTTGGTTGGTCAAGGACTCCTGTAGCCTTAGTTGATCATGGTAATCTGAATAGCTTCAATTTTAAGCCCAGATCTCTACCCTTGTTATACAGGGCCAGAACGTTATCTACGAATCCTGCCATATAGCTATATCGAAGCTGAAGCTGGGGCTTCGACATATCTTGCACTGCCAAGTTTGACGTGTAATGTCTAACAGCTATCAAATTCTCCATCTGAGTGTGAAAACATAGGCTTTAATCATTTTGACTAGTTCTCAACGTTAAATTCTCTAATTACAACTAGTTCATATAATTTCAGAAAATGAAGATCAAGCCTTGAAATTTGATCTAATTAGTTTCATCAAGCCACAAGATAATGACAAGAGTGTATTAATAGTTTAAATTCTAACATGCATAAACTGAGTTTGATGATATTGTTCAATGGCAGGCTTCGCAGTCATTTACCTAACGGTGCAATGTAACAGGAGTTCCCTAGGCAGACCCCATTCAAAACTCCATGACAGACAGGCTCGGTGTTGTAGTAAAGTTATAGATCAGTACCATCAACGAACCGAATAATTCCTACGGGTCCAGCCTTAATAGTATCTAAGTTCTAAGCTGCATTGCCGTATAACTCCGATGGCTCCGATGATACTGCAGAAAGTATCTCTACTACATTACAGGCTAGTGCTCTTGTGTTATCTTTCAAGGGTAGTTCACTAAAATCCTTTGCGGGTGTCCTAAAAGCACAAATACGCCGTATTTCACCTACCTTTGGGCAGACAGGCCAACAAGTTAGCTTATTTCCGGGATTTGGTTGGCAACATTTTACTTATGGGCCAATCGGATGACATGAGCTACATAGGTCGGTAAGCAGATATTAAGAGTAGAATACCGACGCATTTTTTTCTTGTCTTTGGGTTATATTGCTGTTCAATCCTTGGTCAGCCGAGTAGCTAGTGTAGGTCTTACCAACACCGCTTCGACTTGCCCCTCCCTGTAATACATGGATCGTATCCGAGAGGCCTAAGCGCAACCCAGCACGAGACTACTAAGATGAATAAAGTATTCTCATGCCTAATAGAGTAGACTCAACTGTCTAGAATCATCCCGAGAGTCCTATATAAAGATTCGCGGTTTGTTATAAGGACACACTAGCCTCAAAGTACTATGAGCCGATCGCTGGATTGTGGTCGATAACAGGACCTGATGACCGGTTGACACGGAAATTTACGCTCTAAATATTAAGCACCATCCACATTACGGCAAGAATATTCTTTGATATGAATAACGTAAACAATTAGCGGTTATTAGTTCATGTTCCTCATCATGAGAAACACGCGCCCGCGACTTACAACATGATCTAGGAGTTTCTGCAGCATCTTGTTTCAGCAATGTATAGTACCTAGTTATTTGTATATCACGTTGTCGGAATCAATTAAACGCGCCATCTATTCCATATACTCTGTAATCAATGTATCGTGCCATCGCACAATCGGCCAACACGTGGTACCGGTAGGTCAAATACGAAAAGGCTAATACTTGGCGGCACGGCACGACAACAGCGCTTGCGCACATCAACCGTCTAGGCAAAGACGTGGTTGGTTGCCAAATGCCAGCATGTAAGCATGGGCCTATGGGCCGCAGTACTGGGGAATGCCTGGCAGTGCTGAAAAGATCGTCGGGCTGGCTGTGTGGCTGTTTTCCTCGTGTTCAACGCCTGTTGCCAAGAATAACCCCACAAGGATGAGCAGTTGCGATGATCTACGGTATACGTATGTATGTATGAAGGACTTTGGTACTACGTAATGAGTGAGTGAGTGAGTGAGATTTCTCAAACAAGATGTATAAATCACCCTCAAACACCCGTCATAATTATCGAACACCATCACTATCACCATCGCACAAGTACAAGTACAGCCCTCCCTAGCAAACTTCCGTCGTCTTAATCAAACCTGCTCTCTTCATCTCTTGAATCGATTACGTATCCAATCACGCCAACCAACACAATCCAAAATGCGTGCCACATCCTTCGCTGTCTTAGCCACTGCCGCTGCCACTCTCGCCAGTGCAGCCCCAACCTGCCAGACCCCACAAACCGCTACAGTCGTTGTCGAGACAGCGCACGGTGGCGCATTCAACGACCGCACCAACGTAACTATCTCTGTTCCCGTCGGGCCTGTGTACGTCAACGGAGATGCTTTAGCCGCCGTCTCGACCCTCTACTTGCTCGGCCCAGACACTGTCACCTGCAGCCCTTTCAAGGCCCAGGACGGCACCGTCAACGGCGGCTTACCTTTCACTGTCGGCCAACCCTCGCTACTGTCCACCAACAGTGTCGTCGTCGGTAGTCTTGTTTGCACACCCTTGACACCTGCTTAAGAGTCGCTCAGGTTGCAGTAGAGCTACACACGATATGGCCTCTCAATCAGGCAGAGCACCAGGGCATATGAAGGGCTACAGTCTGTAACTAGACTAGTATCGCTTTACTACTACATTGATCCATCTCGCGGTGGCATGAGATAAGATGTACAAATTTGAATATTCTTTGGGTTAATATAATTCACTATTTCCTCAGGTTTGGCTATCAGAAATAGACCATGAGGTGAGGGGTAGAAGGGTAAAAGGGGGTTTGGCAATGTCGTGGAGCAGCTAAATAGATAATAACCTTAAATATGACACGTTCGTGTGAGCTCATAATTAGACAACAGAAATATAATTGCATTCAATCTATAACTCCGTTCGCCGTGCAAGATATTGATAGGTACCGGACCATGCCCAGAACGGAACCCTGTCAAAAGCAGCCAGATTGCCCGACTCGTCATTCCACAGGTAGTGCTCGTTCCAGGCAATCATGTGCACAATGCCACACAGACTCTCTCTCCCCGCTACAGACCGGAGTTCAAAAGTTTCGTCCCGATGAGCCACCGCCTACATATTCCTAACAGATAATTTGCTCCGGCGACAACTTGATTCATAAAGAGAATAGGGCTAACATATATCGCAGCCATGTTGTGGTAGAGACGACAGGGGATTCGCATTTAATACTTTGGTAGTGCTTAGATGGATGTTTGAGCATGATGAACCTCCTGAGCACCATCTTATCTGCCTTGCCTCCAAGTGTCTCGCGAAACTCGCAATTTTAGAGTTTCCCCTTGTGGCTTGATGTTCTTAGGATACGGAAATTCTAGTTATTTCAAGGCATTACACTCATCGTCGTCAAGATATAATTTGTTTTCGCTCATACCGCACTGTTATTCACAACAAACAGAACAACATACTGTACACCAACCTAATCTCAATGCCCCCACACAGAAGCAAGCTGCAAACACTTACCCGGCCCTTCAGCAATGTTACTCACGAAGAGTCTTCATTATGTGCACAAGGCTCAAACTAAAGCGCCTCCGTAGCGTATCTCTTTGTTGTACGGCACTGCATATTTTAATCGCTAAATTATCCGCTATCACTATCCCAGAAAAGTCGGGCCGAGCATGACAAAAACGGCTAGAAGGTGGCTCTCGGAAGCCTTATTCGATTCCAGTAGTCTTTGAGGCGAACACATCAATATGAGCTTGAATGGATTGCGTCTCCTGCGACGTTCAACACCAGTGGGCGTGCCCTCAAGACAAAATCTTTGCGAGCACTAACAGAAGTTGGTCAGTGTTCGCTGACAGTAAATTCAGGGCACGATATTGCCAGGAGCTCGGTAGGTCTGGGAACCTCTGGTTGCCGCTCAATATATATTGGATAGCATGGTATCTCATGCCGAATGACCGGGAAAGCATCCCGTCGCATTGTTTGCGCTGCCTGTGTCTCCCGAGCAGAGGTCAGACAAACCTCTAAGGTCTAGATAGTCCATTACCTCTTACATTATTCTAGTTGAAATTTCAGGAAGCCTATATGTATAAATACAGTATGGAACCCCAAATTTGACCTGGCCACGGCTATGGTCAAGTTTCTTGCCAAAATCTCTAGGAATCACACGCAAAGCAAGTCGCCCACTATAGCAGCAAGTTCAATTCTCATAAATTGATCATTCTCAGCTCCCTGGGTACTAGCCGTCATGGAGTATCAATATTCCCGCCTCTTGGACCCATCTGAGTATGAGACAGACGGTCTTTGTGAAGGCCTCCTGGTCCGTAAGCATTCAGTCCCAGACCTGGAAGAAATCGGAGCTTTCAAGGCACAAGAAGATTGGAGAGACTTGGTGGGACCAATTACCACTTTCAGAGGATCGCTTAGTCCTGAACACAACTTTGTTGCTGTGACGATGCCGGAATGCGTGCCTGATCGCCTAGAAATTGTATCCTATGCGAATGAATTCGGCTTCCTCCATGATGGTATGCAAAGTGTTCTGAGATCCAATAGTGCATTGGCTTACAATACAACAGACGTCATCGATGTTTCGAGTCAGTCAGATGTAAGTGGGCTTACGAAGAGCAAAATGTACTAGAGCTGAGGATGTGGAAAGACAGACATTATGAATGACGAAGCAATGAATGCGTTTCATGAGGGATCGCAAAATGGAAAGATTGATGTTCTCAAATCTGGGAAACGTCATATGCAAGCCAAGATCCTAAACACTATGATGAGCATTGATCGACCATGCGCGTTGGTGGTCATGCGCGCCTGGACAATATTCCTCGAGCGAGGGTCTGGGCGCCAACATGACCGACAATTTCAAACATTAGCCGAATATCTACCATACCGCTGCAATGATGCTGGCCAGACGTAAGCTTACGAACTATGAGGGCTTAGTCACTGTTCTCACATGTTATCCAGGATCTGGTGCGCTCTCGTCACCTTCGGTTGCGCCATTACTATGCCAGAGGAAGAGATGGACATGTGCGCGGAGCTTATAAAACCTGGCTTCACTGCTGCGTGCCTAACCAATGATCTTTTTTCATACGACAAAGAGAATGAAGCTGCCCAAGCTGCCGGGCTTGGCAGCCTTGTCAACGCCTTATGTGTACTTATGCACGAGCACAATGTGTCACTGGAAGTGGCAAAAGATATGTGCCGGGCGAGAATCAAAGACGAAGTGGCTAAGTATACGCGCATTGTAAAGGAAACGATGTCTAGGAACGATATTTCTAGTGGGGCGAAGCGGTTCGTCGAACTGATGCAGTACACTGTGAGCGGAACTGTTGTGTGGACTCTGGAGTGCCCTAGATATCATAAGAATGTGCAGTACAACGAGCGACAGCTGCTGCGGATGAAAGATGGTGTTGCAAAGCATCCAGCAACACATCAGTGGGCCAGTCAGAAGAACAACACGGCTTCATATTCGCAGAGTATATCTATTGCAAATCAGAAGGAGAAGATGGACGTATTCCCCGACTCGTGTACTTCATCCGATGAAGGGACCCGCCAGAGCTCTCCACCCACAGATGCAACTTATCCAACTGATTCTGCGAACAGCTTGTGGTACGGTTTTATCGAGGGTCGGGACTGGGATATTGGTAAATTATCACATGGTGGTGCGTTGCCCACGTTGAGAGAGGAAGTAAGCAATTTTGAGCCATCTGGTTGGTCTCCTACTAATCAGTTCAGTTTATCCTCGAGCCTTATCACTATGTGAGTTCGATGCCGTCAAAAGGCATTCGCGATATGGTCATCGACGGCATAAAATTCTGGCTGAGCGTACCGCCGCAATCCACCTCTATTATCCGGAATGTGGTTAACGCGATTCATACAAGCTCTATCATGTGAGTATAAAGCCAGATTTGCGCTTCTCAAGCTAACTTCTCACTTCACAGGCTAGACGACGTACAAGACGGGTCACAACTGCGACGTGGAAATCCTTCCGCTCATATTATTTTCGGCGAGGCCCAGACGATCAACGCTGCGACGTTCCAGTATGTGCAGGCAACTGCAGAAATTCGAAGACTTACGAATCCGCTCTGTCTCGATATATATATTGAAGAACTGCGCAGCCTATTCCTGGGTCAGTCGATTGAGCTTCACTGGACTACTAGTTTGCAGTGTCCTTCAGTAACGGAATATCTGCAGATGGTCGATGGAAGTAGGTCTTGGTTTCGTTTGCTCTTTCACGTTTTCCCCCCTTCCATGCGCCGCTAAGCCGAGGTGGCAGAAACCGGCGGGCTCTTCCGTCTATTAGCACGATTGATGGCAGCCGAATCCCCACACGAAGATCAGGCGGACATGGAGCGACTATGCCGGCTCCTTGGACGCTTCTACCAGATCCGCGACGACTACCAGAACCTGGTGTCGGAAGAGGTAGTCATATCTAACGCCCCGAACCTGACAAGGTTGCTAACAAGTTGCAGTATACAGCGCAAAAGGGATTCTGCGAAGACCTTGATGAAGGCAAATTTTCCCTCCCCCTAATTCATGCCTTAGCACACACAGACAAGGCTGTTCACATTCAGGGTCTCCTGCGCGAGCGCCACCGAAAAGGTCGCTTCACCAAAGAGCAGAAGCAGTATATCCTTACCCACATTCGTGGCGCCGGTAGCCTAGCGTATGTGCTGCAGCTTCTTCGGGCGTTATATGGTGAAGTAGAGGCTGAAGTGAGGCGCCTCGAGAGCGTCTTCGGCCAGGAAAACCACGAGATGCGCTTGATGTTGGCCCTGGTTAGATTGTGAAACAGAGCCCTTGCAATACAGACTACTTCATATTATGTCTGCGACTTGAATATTGTCATGATGTACCAATAGTGTGCTTGAATGAGAAAGTATGAACCAACATATGGCCCTGTTGTGTAATTCGAGAAGCGTTGTGAAGAATAATGTATGCGCACAATACAATCAGAGGATCGGTCAAGAAAAGGAGCACTTCTTGGCGCGTTCTCGGAAAGGAGAGATGTTCCTAATCGGGTCACACAACTCAGGACAGTCCAGCCACACACAACAGCCACAAGACCTTGGCCCGTGCGATACGCGATGCGCGTCGTGATAGGTACTTGAAAACGTATGTTTCCCAATTTCAAATTCATAAAAGCATTTGTCCGAACACATCCGATATTGGCAGAACCAACTGCCACATGTTTTTCAGCGGATCTAGTTCTCATCAAATGACATGGGGCATCACAACCACCACTTCGCCGGTGATCGCCACGCACTGAGTGGGGTATGGAGCCCTCCAACAAGCAGCGCAAAGTAATCGAGCCTCCAACCCATTTAGAGTTGTCCTGGTCTTGGCGACTCGTGCTAATTGCATCTAGTTTCTGCGAGGAAGACTATGCCGTGACTAGATATTTCGCCGAGTTCATCAACACTCTGACAAACCTAGCTTATGGTACGGGCTCTTAACATGTGTGCCGAGTATATATGTAGTGTGTCTAGAGCTAACCGCATTAAAACATTCATAGTACTCTTCGCTCTTCAATACATGTACGGCCCTGGAAGCCGTGGTCTCCTTTCGCCAAAGACCGACTTCATGTCTGTTTCTCTGCTTGTTCTCGGAATTGCCTCATTTCTGTTCCACGCAACTCTCCGGCACGGTTTTCAGTTTGGAGATGAGCTTGCAATGCTCGGACTTGTTTGGTCCATACTGCAGGGATCTCTTGTAGTTCGGCGTTCATCCGTTTACGATCGATTCGTCAATATCTGTCTAGCCACAGTCTTCCCCCTCTTCGGGGCGTTTTATGTCTGGACGGGAAAGATCATCTATCACGTAATAGGATTCGCTATTGCAATCGGCCTGATAATTTTACGAGGCATCTACTTGTTCTACTTGCGGAAACCTGCATTTCCGCAAGACAAGGTCGCAGAGTGGAGAGTTCGAGGTCGGATAGCTCTGATCTTGATGGGTGTCGCCTACATTCTCTGGAATATAGACCTGGAGTTCTGCGCAGAGCTAAGGAAACTCCGAGAAGATATCGGGTTGCCTTGGGCTTGGCTCTTAGAATTCCATGGATGGTGGCATATCTTGACAGCTATGAGTGCGGCCCGCGTCATGGATATTGTGAGAGAAGTCCGAAAACGAGTGAAAGAGGACACGGAGGAATAGACGAATTTAACTAAGCCCTAGAGTCAACCGAAGAGCAGTAACAGTACTAGATGACGCTATAAGCTCGTAAACACAAAAATTGACAAAGCGGCCTTGTGCTAATGGATACATTTTTACAGTCTATGGAAGAAATTCATCCGAGTTGTCCGAGCTTCCCGCGGGATCCTCGTCATTAGAACTTCATCTCCACGCTTTCACCTGTCTGCTTCTTCCCGTCAACGTAAAGAACAAATTCTAGTGACGCCCCTGATGGCACCATTTCAATTTCGTATGCCAGTTCTCTCAACCCTTCTTTATATCCAGTTTTCTGAAGGTCCGAGAACTGAATGTCAAGTGCACAACAGAGGGTACCCGAGCGCTTCACATTATCAGCTCGTCTTGTTGGAGGGACCTCACCATCGCATTCGAAAATGCTCACGCATAGTGTTCCATCGAATTCTGATTCCCAAAAATACCTTGCCCAAGACATACGGATTGGCTTCATTTTAGAAACGGGTTGACCCTAGTCCAGAGTCTTGTGTGTTAGTCTTAGTAGATGGCTTAAACAATCATTATCTGGGCCAGAATGGGCGGTGATGCATACCCGGTTTAAGTACCACCTCATCTGGTTAACTGCTATCCACCTATCAAACTTGCCATCCCATCTTTTGTCCAGTTTCAGATGCTTGAGTGGGTTAAACCACTCCTCAAAGTCAATGCCATAGCTGGCCCGAGATACTGTAGATGCTATCATGACTAGCATTTCAGGAGCGTCCGGGTGGTGCTCCCCTATAAATCCTTTGAAGACTGCGCCTCTGCATATTGCCGTTCGCCTGTCGAATGTAAGTCTTGATCACAACCTCACAGACATATTTCACAGGTTCTTATACTCACGATTTCGTCCCACCAGACTGGAGTACCGTAATTTTCGACTTAAGATGGACAGCTTGCAAGTAGTCATATAGATACAGACTTCCTCCTAGGCCACCAACAAGAATTATGCCCTAAAAACACTTAGATCAAGAATGCTAGCTTCATGGTAAACTTTACAGTTATTGACAGGCCTTTTTCAGCAGCCTTTTGGATCTGTCCTTGTATGAGATCCGCTATAATTATTGGCATAGATATGCTCGAAAACTTCTGCGATGTATTTACTATCAATAGTTAGAGGGAGGTGTTGCAGGCCATAGTTTTCAAGACGCAAACTTACTCGGGAAAATGTATCCTCCCCTTTCTAATATGAGGTGACCGTGACGTATCAGTTCGACTGAAATCGTTATCCTCGAATAGCTCTAAGGGCAGCGACACAATGTATTCGCTCTGTGTCCCAGGTCTGAACTTTGGCTTTATTCCATATTCCCATTGATCTTTCATAACCTCATACTTTCCTCGCCTACTTAGCTTTCGCCATTTTGTGGCATCGTGGCCTTGCAGAAAACGCTGCCCAGTCTCATAAGGGAAATTGACGCCAATCTATCTACTCGCGAGCGAGATTTGAAAAGGCTTGGAAGGCCGCGAGAAGAAGCTGAAGACCTCCGAGTATACCTTCTCGACATCGCAAGGAGTTTTGAACGACTCGTCCGCGATGGCGTCGAAGGACGATACAGCAATGAATTCTTTGGAGGGCTTTACGATGGCCATGAGGTTCGAAAACTGCGGGCTCGAATTAGGAGGCTCAATACTGCTTTCTATGTAACGCTAGTCACCAAGGGTGTAGATCGGAAGATACAATGGAGCGACGGCAGGCATTCCTTCCAAGAAGAAAATATACCCTGGATGCTCGATGAAGATGAAGAGATCCCAGAATATTTGGTTCCGTATCTGGAATTTTTTCAGGAATTCCCCGAACCCCAGGTAGTCGAAGAGGGAAACCTCCATCACGAGCTCGAGCAGTTGGCCGCAACTAACCAAGGAACTGAGTTTCCCGGTCTGCCTAATGGCGACTTGGGCTTCCAGCTCTTCAGAATGCAAGTACGTCCGTGGGCTAGGATTGCGGAGTCCTACCTGGATCAGATCACCATGTTCGCCAGATCTTTCGTGGAAGAACTGATCACTCACGTCATTGGATCAGATAAACGCACTACTAGAGCCATACAAGGCAACTACGTCGACGTCTTCTTCGAGAATAAGCATGCTATGTTACGAGACAAGCTTCAAGAAATCCTCAGGCCGTATGCCGAGGCTTACGTCCCACCAATTGACTTTGAGTTCCATAGCGCGGTGCTCTCCAGAACGACGAAGCGACAAGCAGAGCGCGTTGCGGATGTACTTGAAGAGAATTTCCCAGTACTCTTCATAGACAGGGGAGGCAGAAGCATCACTCGCGACCAGGTAGAACATGTCTTCGCCAGCGTCGAGACCTCTCCGCACAGCGAATTTGGCATCGAAAAAATCGTCGACATGACAGAAACTCATTTTCAGGTAAGAGTCAGGTCTGAACCCTATATTTTACACAATCAAAATGGCGGTAGTTAATCGCTAAACGTTGACATGCCCTCTATAGATTTCCCTCAGAGCATTCGCACAAAATGTGGTAAACCTGGTGGCTGAGAACTGCCTCATTTCGGATCTCCATAGCATACTAATTCCATCCCTATTTGTTCGGATGGATGAGGACCGCCTGAAGGAGTTGGCGTCTGAGTCTGAAGATATACGAGTACAGAAAGCGACACTTCAGCATAAGATCAGTATCTTAAGGGAGGGACTACTAAAATGTCGACACTCTCGCACTTCATAAGGAAGATAGGCATCTATGTAGGTATGTGAAAAACTAATGCGTAAGGAGATAGATGAAAATTGAAGTGGTGTGGAGTGATGAGTTAGTCAGCGCCGTAGTTTAGGTGTTTCGGAATTTCGAGATCATCTTGTACAATATCAATCAGTCATGAGAACATAGCTTCATGATACGCGCAGGTTGCCTGCACGATAGACTTTTTGACGGATTCATTGCGTTCCTTTTTCTATGGTCGACACATTCCCCAGTAATTGGAGCTATCCAAAATGCTTATTGAAGTGTAATTAGACTCTTTCTATCTCATTAGGTGTAGATGCCTTCGCCTAACGATTAATTTCGTCCATTTCAGTACATGATTTGATTGGCACGTATTCTGTAGCTAGCGCTGGTAGTTATAACAACCAAAGTAACACCTCTTGGGCTCAACAATTAACTAGAAGTAAACAGTGTCTGAATGTTGTTTCGCGCTCGATCGTTCCAAGATCTTTGCCCTTTTGCCGCAACTCGGCCTTTGCAACAATTTCTGAAAGTTGTCTATAGCTGACGCGAAGCTTGATCTCCAAGTCTATCCCGCTTCTCTTATCAACCAGCCAGCAGCAGCAATACCACTAGTAAGCTAACTCATCAGGCTTTTCCCTACCCTTATCATGCCTGAAAACTTCGTTTTCGATTAGACGTCGTACTTTCTTTATGCCATCCTTACGGAATAATGTCCAAAGAAATAGCGACACCCGGTGTTTAAAGTTCCATTTAATACGTTCCTTTTAAAATACTTCGACAATGTTAATAGTAAATCTAGTAAAGTCAGACTTAAACTCTTGAAAGTACTCAATGGCCATTCCTTGCAACTTTTGTTTAGATCGAATATAAGCAACTTCTATAAGCAAGGTGGGGTGTACATCATCTCCGTAAATAAATTGATCGTCCAGTGATTTTGTTACCGAATGCTTCACGAGGGTTGCGAGCGGTAAGCATAGAGGCTTCTATTCCCGAGTCCTCGAACTTCCCGGTAGCTTCCACACCAACACTTCAACATTCATATTCAATAGGAGCAAAAATTGCACCAAGGCACTCAACACCTACATACACTTGATCTCAAATGAATAAAACCCCCTATATCCCCTCGCTCTCAAAAGCCATTTCCGTCGCATAGTTCCGTCGTCGCATCTCTCTTCCAAGCATACATCGTACGTGAGCGCAATCACGTGACAAGACAAAAAAGAAGCTTCGCGCCGAGACGCACTTAGGCCATGGCACTGCAACCACAAGGCTTTTTTCTCAGTCCAAGAGTCTTGAGGTGGTGGATCGAATACTGTAGATAGACGTCTACTAAAATAAGACGGCGTTAATCGTCGTTGTGCCAAGGTACTAGGTGAGGCATGTATGACTACCTAGACACTCTAGCTGCCTTCTTGCTGTCTCGTATAAAGTAGAGGTACGAATAGTGGGGGTATGAAGGGTATTAAGACCACTTTGCTATGTTGTAGGTGAGTAGATGATGAATATAGTAGGATATTCATCGTGAGATGACTCGGTTGATCTAAGTGATCAAAAGAGCCTCGGAAAGAAGAATACATATTTGACTTCCTCATGATTGTTTATACACAGATACAAACTCGCCGCACAGCCGCCATCGGTGCCTTTTATCATCACAGGATAACACGCAAGACCTTCAAACATAACACATATAGTTTTTCTAGCCGGAGCATATCTTGGTGACATTCCCCGCCGAGGCCGTTAGGGCAGAAAATCTCGCGAGATCAAAAAGTGGGAGAAAACTCAGCATACGCCATAGAAGCGAAACAGCCTTGATGCTACCAAACAGGGCCCCAAATATGGAAAAATCGCTGCATTTATCTATCGTTCATCTCAGTCGTTAGAACCAACCTAGCCTAATTTCCTATACATTTCCAAACCGGCGCCCGCAAAATGCGTGCGAGCATGCAATTCATATTTGTGCCTGTCGCTACTGAACCGTGGGGTGTACCCATGTGCCAATTTCTCCTGCAAATGCATGCATACGCTAAGTGAAAAAAACTGGGAAGATCGCACGCTAATATCGGAAGAGGGGGAAAGAATAATGCAATGATCAACCTGCCCGTCAAATATGGGTGAATTACATAAAGAGGCTACGTTCGGCATGTCCGCCGCTCTCAGCCCCTTCACCATGGCCTCCCGCTGGGTTGGAATGAGCCTCTAGCGGTGTAGGGAAATAGAAGGCAGCAACAGCGATGGCGACGTAGGTGATGATGCAGAGGAAGCCTTCAAGATAGTCGCTCTTCTGGTCCCTCAGGTAATTGCCCACCGTGATGATGGCGATGATGAGAACAGCAATCTCGAAGATCTCGAAGCTGAGATCAAGCGGGAGACCGCGTCCCCAAGCGACAATGACGACGAGTGGCGCGTTCAACATGGCGGTCTGGATGGTAGAGCCGATGCAGTGAGAAAGAGCGAAGTTGATCTGGTTGTCCCAGGCCTCGTCGAGAGCAGTCAAGTGCTCGGCGGCTTTCTCAACGAGCGGGACGAGGATCAGACCGATAAAGGGGTCTGAGATGCCGCTCTCTTCTACAAGCGGTTCGATCTCGCGAACGAGTGCTAGTGCGATGAGGGTTACGAGCGCGACGGAGATAATGAGCGAAACAATGCATTCAGTTAGTGTGAGCTTCGCCTTGGCTTTCTGTTTATGTCCGTCGGCGTCCCGACGCTCGTCGTGTTCGAAGATAGCATCATAAATGCCGTGGTGTGTGCGCATTTGGAACCAGACGAAGACAATATACGCAATTAGCAAAAGTACGGCGACGACTCGTGATATCTGTGTTGTTTTAGTGTCAAGTTGTCTCTCGTCAATGCCGTATCTCGCAAGGTCCGAGAGAATACTGTGTTGAAAGATGGTTGGAATTGCGAGGCCAAGACCACTGAAGTATCATTAGTTACGCCTCCATATCAAAACAAACGAGAGGACATTCGTACGCCATGAGTAGCAAACCAGTGCCGACTTCGCTAAGCGCCGAGTCAAACGTCGCTGTTTCGCGCCGCACGCCAGCCGCGAAGAAGCACGACCCCAGACATAGGAGCATGGTAGCCAGGATAGAGCCTAATATAGCAGCACGGATAATGTAGTACTTATTTTCGCTTGGTGTGTCGAGTAGCAGCACGAGAAAGAGGACAATTTCTACGATGGAGCCAATTCTGTCACACTGTCAGTACTGAGTACTGTGTGGGTTAGTCATGACGAGAGAGGAGAGGACATATACGCACGTTGTCTCGGTCAAGACACCAAGCATATGGGGCATCTTCCTAGCCAGTTCCCCGCCGGCAAATCCAATGAGGTTGGCACAAGGGACCATTGCGATGTAGGCGAGACTGAATCTGAGAGTAGCAGGGCCTGTTTGCGTGTAATAGACGGCGAGAGCGGCAGGCACGAAAGGCCAAAGAATGTTGACAGCGCGTGCCACGCGACTCGACGACATCCAAATGATGGTGAAGAATTGGATGGGATGAAAGCCGCGTCGACCGCTCTCTCCGGCGGATTTGACACGGATCAGGCCGCCGGGGCTTGGATGGTGAGCGGCGCCATGCTCGTCGACGAGATCCTGACGGGACTGCGGTAGTGCAGCATCGCGCGAGCCATCGAGTGACACTGGAGATGGTTTCTCCTGGGAGGCATCACGGCCTGTGTGTAGGGCGGCCATGTCTCAATGGGATGCCAAATAACGAGTGTAAAAGTTTCCCAGGCAGTACTAGTAATTATAGACAAGTAAACGAAAGAGTTAGGATTGTCAGCATCCGGACGCTGTCGTGGGCGGTGAAGCCGTACAAAGGTGATTGTGATGCTGTATGCAAAGAATACCAAAAATGTATAGGGACCCTGTCGTGGTGCACGATGCGGTCATTCTTGGGCCAGGGCATACGAAGTATGAGCAGCAGCAGGAATTATGACAATTTACCAAGGGATCTGCAAGGAGGGAGCCGGCGCTAGACTACCGTAGACTAGCTGGCGCCCGCTACTCGGGGCCACTGCTGTAACGCTGTGATGCTGGGCGTATTAATACCTACATTTTAATCCGAGTATCAGAGAGAGATTATATGGACTTATTGATTGGTGACGATGCTTTCTCCAGCTACCAACATAGTGCCTAAGTAAATACCTAAGTTTAGGTAGGTAGGTACATACACGTAGGTAGGTTAGGTATAGTTAGTGTAGGTATAGATAGGTATTTACGCCTGCCAACTACCTATACCTACCTACCCAATACCTAGGTACTTACCGAACCAACATGGCCATGACCAGGTCTCTATAGGTATTATTGACCGTCCCCCACGAAGCTTGTATCACAGTGCAAGCGGTGTCTAAAAAGCAACAATACCTACCTAAGTACCTGGGCAGGTATATCGTGATGGCGGCGTGTTTGCAGCTGGTTGGCTCGCTGCGAGAGCATGACTACAGACGACAAGAAAAAAGCATCCTTTAATATCAGAACCAGTCTAGGCGCTGTTTTACATGGGCATTTTGAAACAGGGGGGTTTATAAGTAAGTGTTTACGTCTATCTACAGTAGTATCCATTGCTTAGACCCAAGTAGGCAGGTATATACCGAGTATGTCTCCCTACCTGTTCTGTTTACTTACACTACGTACATACCTAGTACAAATGCTGCCCTAAAACTCGAGGTAGGTAGCTTAGGATGGGCTAAGATAGGTATCCAAGAATGTTGATGGCAAGTCGCGAGAGACCAAGCAAGACGACAAAGAGAGAGAGAAACAACAGAAAACCCCCAGGCCTCAGCTTCCCACGATAAAATCAGGCTCCACTCTCCAGGACTAGCCTAGATAATGCTGTATTCTTTACATGATGTTATTCGCTACCTAGGTGTGTTGTGTTAGCAGCAATGACGTAGGCGTTGTGCAAACATCTTTCCATCCGCCGCGAGGAATAAAACTCATAAGATGAAGCAAAAAATAAACAGACGTATTTGGTAAACATCACAGCAGACAGAACGAGCTTGTGCACTCATACACAAGTTGCCACGGCCAGCTCTGAAGGGGTGACTTGAAAATACCATATACCAATTTTACCCAATTATTATATGCATGTAGTCTCAGTGCCTAATATACTGTAATTCAACACGAAAAGGAGAAATTCAAAACCTAATACCCCTTTAAATGTAACACCTCCTGCCAAATGCTTTCCAAATGTGCCAGCAGCCTCATAAATATGTCACAAAGATACGTATCTATGACCAGACAATGTGTGGTTGGCCAAAACGATGCTCGACGTATAAGGGGAGCAACACGACTAGACCCGCTTTCAAAATCATATCTAAAGCTGTCCGGAGAGCAGCGCTTCGGTTGCTATACACACAAAGATATCGTCAGCGAGGTCACCGTGATTAGTGTATCGGATAGATGCTTACCGCTATTTATGTACGCCCGCCTGGATTCAAGCGGAACATTAAACCGTCTTTCCAATTCTTGCTTGATGCCTTTCTTCGTGACTGTCATAAGATCAGCCGTGCGTAGAATCTCCCGAATTTCGGCCAGGAGCGCATCATCGCTAGGCATAGATGCCATATCCACCATCTCAGTCTCGCCATGGTTACCGAAGAATTGTGAGCCCCCAAATTGGCTCATTCGGTTGTCCGTCGGAGCGAATGACATGCGGCTGAAATTGCCCGCATTTTTGATGTCGTATGGCGGCATTCCCACAGTGGAGTTGGCTCGAGACTGCCCATAATGGTACTCAGATACGGCAACATTCATGCCTGGTTTTGTCGCATAACTAAAACCGCTAACCTCGGAACGAGTATCTTCCTTGGAGGTTTGCGCATCCCACAGCTCGGCCTGATACTCCTCCCACCTCTTCCGAGGAATCGAGGCAGGGTCAAATTTGCCCTCATCAGAGATAACAACCTTCTTGCCTTTCTCACCGGCCACGACACGGGTATTACCCCAATTGAAGTCATCCATGTGCCAAAAGGCATACAGTGGCAACCCGAAGGTGAAGACGGGGACAGCGAGGACGTAAAGAATGAGCCAGCCAACCATCTCCCACCTTCTACGTAAGATGAAAATAACAGCTTGCAACCCGTAGATGGCACCCAGCAAGATGAAGGATGTGAGCGGAACGATGGTACTTGCAGTGCCAACAAGGACAAGGAGATAGACGATGTAGGCGAGCGTTACTGGCTGCACGACTGTCGATAGGAGATCAATGAACACAACGAAGCGCATACTGAAGCAGCAAAATCCACAAAGTTGCGACATGGGAACAAGCTCCATAAGATTGTGTACCGTCGAATTGATCCAACGACGACGCTGAGACAAAAAGACCTGCCAGGTATCTGGCGCAATAGTCCAAGCCTTGGCCGAGAAGATGTACTTTGTCTTATACTTTGAATGGTACTTGAGGAGAAGAGTTGTCAGGTATCGATCCTCACCTAGGTGTAGTAGGTTCTTCATATGCAACGTATCCACGCGAATTGTGGCATAATCGTCGATAATCTCGCGGCTAACAAACAAAGGTTTCCCAGACTCGGCAGCACGAATGCGGTACATGGAGAAACAACCCGGAAGACAGGTCACGCTACCGAACAGACTTTCGAAAGCTTTAGCCAGGTTATGAGAAATATAGTACTCATAAACCTGGATCATGGTGATAAACGAAGCTTTAGAGTTTGTGAGCGCGGTTTCACCACAGCAGGCAATCAGACGAGTATCGTCGAGGAACGCCGAAACCATGCGAGTAGCGGAATCAGGGGCGACGACAGTGTCAGCGTCGATTTGCAACATGTACTCGTAGAAGGTTGGATTGACACCGATAACATTTCGAATTTGGTGGTACATTTCCAATTCAAGCGGGCTCATGGGCAGATTGTAGTGAACGCGGTTGAGGAAACGCATGATGACCATTTGCGAATCACGTTTGCCACGGTTACCAGGACGCGACACTTCTGAAGGTTTGCCAACCTTGACGACAACCATGAAGGGAACAATGTGACCTTGAACTTCGTAAAGACCAGAATAGACTTTGCCCATGTTGTGTTGCTTTAGACCCTCACCGAGCGACTCAAAGCTGAGCGGTTCAGGATCAACCGTTTCTGATACACCGAGAATATCCAGTACAATGCGAGGCGTTGGGCGATCATTTCCTTGACCGATAATCATTCCATCACAAATAATCACCAAGAGTTTGCGCTTGTCATCATATCGCATACGAGCGGCAGAATCAATTGCTCGGCGAAGTGACTCCTCGTCTTCAGTATAAGCTGGAATTTGGCACATGATAAACTTATCAATATCCTCTGGCATATTTTTGCTCCCGAACTGAAGTGCAGCAAGGAACTTGAAGCCAATGATGCTAATAAGGATGATGGAAACAGCTAGGATAAGGTATTGCGCGAACTGGCATTTGGTAGAGTTTCGGGTATCGACATCACCAACATAGAAAAGGTTGTCCAGACACAGCTGCATACGGGAACGCAAGTCATCAGACATAGGTGACGAATTCCAAAGCTCAGTCAAGTCGGTGCCTGCCTTGTCGTTGAAAAGCGTGAGGACATCGTCTGCCATAAAGTTGGCCACTTCGGGATCTGTGGGTTTGTCCACATTTTTAGGCGTCATGATAGGGCGACCACCGAGCATATAGTTAGTCAAGTCGTAGACGCGACCGTTCAGTATAGCGATCTGATTTTGTTTGTTCGCAAGTGTTTTAACATATTGTGCTGTGTACCCTATAGTGCCTTTCTTCCAGTTACCCTTAAGAATTTGCATCCTCTCATAAAACCAGTCAGGCTGGTACTTAGAGGTGTAGTACCGGTAGTCATGGTAGTTGGCATTTATGTCCTTGGAGCTGATCGCACTCGCTGTACCGCTAACATTGGCTGACTTGTAGTCAAGCGTCACTGAGGGATCAACCTTGCCGTTTTTACCCTGACAGAGAGCGGAGACTTGAACAGGGAACAAAGATGTAATGTCCTGACCACCATAGTTGGTGAGTTTAGTAGTTTGGATGTAGGGTGGGTAATGATGCGAAGCATATGCTGAGATGTCGAAAACTTGTCCGCGAATCGAGGCATAAGCTTTATGGCCATTTTTGCCGTCAAAGTGCGATAGCTCCGCTGCACTAAACACGTATTGTTTAGGGCAGATGAGCATCGGGAAGACCACGATAAAGAAAATGGCAAAGAGACAACTGAACCAAATGATGATGTTGATTGCTAATTTCTCCCGCCATGCCATGCGCACGTCTTTACGGGGCATTCGTCCGACCCAGCGTATCAGAAAGTCAGGCACGAACCAAGTAAGCATGTAAACAATGAAAACCCAGCGTTTGCGACTGGGTTTGTCCCTGTATTCTTCGACTTCGACTAGGGACTTTTCATTACCACGTTCTGCCATTTGTTCGCGGGTGTCGAGATTCTTGAACATGTCACCGCCACCAAAAGCAGATACGCCAGCCTCAGAGCGCGTATCAATATCACCACTACCGAAGTAGCCCCCGCGGGCTTTATCGCTGTATTGGGGAGTGTTACCGATTGAGACAAGCCGCTCCTTTGAAGCACCAAAAGGCAAGTCACCACCCGGCGTGGAGCCGTCACCTTGGTCGGATGGATATCGACCAGAAGCAGAGGCGCCATCGCCCAATGATGCTACCTCTATCCAGCAACGTTCGCTGAGGAAAATACCAGTAGACCCAATATGGGCTTCGTTGGTTGGCCATTGCCTATTCTGCACCACAGCTTCGGCCTTCTCCCGCTCGCTCCCCACGAAAATCGTTTCAGCATCTGCAAGACCAAGGAATTCGCCAAATGGAAGAAAAATACTGAAATCAGCGGACCTCAAACGTTGACTAATTTCAGCAATGCCAAAAGTCTGGACTTGTGATCGAACACATTTGCTGTCAAATTGGTTTGCAATGCGTCTATCGTTGGGTTTCAAACAGAAAACGAAGTAATTATTTGTGTTAGGAGCCGTGATGGCGTGCTTGACGTTTTCCAAGGCGGATAGGAATTGACCTGATGCCCCTTGTTCTGACTGGCGCGAATTCTTGTTTTGGCCGCTGTGACTTCTAGCATCACCAGCGTCGCTGTCCAAGTCGTCAAAAGTCTCTTCGCGCAGTTTGCGTGGTCTCACAGGTCGGCCACCCTTCCTCGACATAACACTAGGGGCCCGCATAGGCTTTGAGCTTACGGAAGCTTGCATAACAGTAGTTTTCTCGTGAGGGTGCATTACAGCCTGCAATGCTTCTTGACCAAAAAGACGCGTAACGAATTCACTCTTGCTGGAATTCACTAGATTCATAAGATCACCGGAAATGACCTCACCGTTCTCCTCGACAAGGCCCTTGATAGGATAGTCGACTTCACCAGCAAAGTGTCTTACGGTGAAGGTTGCTGCTGTATTCTCGGATAAAAAGTTACTGCCAGGCAGCTTCGCAGTCGCGGAGCCCACAGTGATTGCAGGGTTTTTGCCTTCAAATCGTTTTCTTAAACTCTCCAGCAGTTGCATATCTGTCCGGTTACGACGTGTTTGGTCATCCAGAATGCTAAGCAGCCCATTTGTGGGTTTCAATAGCCCTTTAACAGCATCCGAGTTGTCGAAGTAACTGGTAGCAGGAACTGAGACTTCTTCTGTATCCAGCATATCTGCCTTTCGGTCGAAGAAGTTCTGTAGAGTTAGGTTATAAAGCGATTCCATAGCAGCGTTATTGAGAAGCTGGTCAAGAGTTGAGCCAGTGGAACTCTGCTGAGAAAAGCCCGGGAAGTCAATAATATCGATTGTGTTTGCAATGGACTCTTCCGCAGAACATATTTTCTGGTTAATGCTCTCAATGACGTATGCAACCAGCAGAGAATAAAGAGTCCGAGCCAGCTCATCGGCGTTTGCACGGGCTCCTTGGGGGTCTAGCATGACCGTGACTCTCTCTCGATGAATCATTTTGGTCTTGTAGCCCATGGTATTCTGGAGGTCCTGCGCGCTGACTCCTAGAAATGCAGCAATAATACCTAGCACATCCTTATTTTTTGCTGCGGTCACAGTCTGGGCACCTTCATGTGAAAATCCACCACTGTCATCAGCCGTCGCCTGAGTATTGGCGCAAGTTTCAAATTCGAGCTGCCCAATATGAAGGATACATGCCAATATCTGACATATTTCGGCAATCTCGCTTCGAGGAAACTCAAGCTTTCTAAGGGCAGTCTTGAATAATTGAAATCCTTCGGCATCGTTTACACCGACTTTGAGCTGCGTCGGATGACCCAAGTACTTCCATCGCTTTTGCCCGGCTGAATCTCTCGGAGTGTCGATGCCGAGATGTGCCTTTTCAGCATCACTAGTACCGGCCAAAAGATAATACAGAACATGGAAGTTTCGTTCGCCTGTGGGCACTGCTGTAATCCTACTTCGTTCGAGCCTGTGGTCCAAAAGTTTACCACCAATTAGGATAGGACTGGTAGTGGATGCTGTGTCGTATTGAAGCTCATAGAATAGGCCAGCTTTGGAGGCAGTTGGCGTCGTTGCGGTTTTCGTTGTCGTCAATGAGTCAAAAACGTAGGCAGCTAGCGAAACCTTGCTTGATAAGGGAGTGGAAGACTTGTTGAGAAGCGCAGTGAGGAGATGGGATCGTATAGTTGTTTTTCCAGAGCCCGATTCGCCCCTGAAATACAGTTGGTTAGCTTGGTTCCCCTTCCATACAGTTCACAACGAAGAGAGCGTGTACGTACAGAAAAAGAACTGTCTGATTCTCAGATCGATGGCCCATCCTGAGGAAAGCTCGGTCGGCTATATCCTCGGCCCCGGCCATGGCACTCCCTTCCTTGCCTCCATCGAGGCCCTTAGTCGAAGACGTATACGTATTAAGAGAAATGAGAGCATGTGAGGAAAGTCTAGCGGTGGGAATGGACACATGGAAGCGGCTGGCCAGATGTGCGGTCAAGTGTGTGTCGGACTGGAGATGAGCAGGGAGCGATGGCAACGAAGGCTGAGTATGGGCTCCTCCGCTGCCGCCCATAGAGGGGAGGTGCATGGCCATGTTGAGGTGAAGCCAGCAGGGCGGCAATCACTTTCAAGAAAAAAACACAATGGCAGCAAAATCGGCGATGGTGTGCAAATAGTCTAAAGAACGCTTCCGTTGACAGGTAACGTGCAGAGAACAAGCCCTGGCCCCCTGATTATGGCACGGATTTCTGGGTAGCGAGGCAGACGCCGAAGACAGAAGACAAAATACACAAGCAGCTCAGGGGCGCTGAATTAGGTAAATGGTAGACAGGAAGCGAGCGAGTGTAAGCAAGGACACATTAACAAGGACACAATAACGAATGTGACTATTAGACAAAACGGGAGGTTTAAAGTTAGGATGATGAAGAGCGAGCGTGATGGAAGAGCTGGCTCTCTGTCCCAGGATGTTGGTCGGAGCTTGCGGTCGAAGACGAGAGAGTCGATCGAGGGCGGGTGAGAAAAGGCCAATCTCTCGATTGGTTCAGGCTGGGCTAGTGCAGGTAGTGCGCCGTGCCAGCCTATGCCCACAGTATTTGCGGCGAGATGGGTACCTAAGAGACCTACTACACGTATACCTAGACATGAGCCCACCAGCCGTAATTGGTTGTGCCCGGCGCTGCTAAGGCGCATGAATTAAAAATACATGATGCATGGACAGACGCGCCCGGGCAGAGAGACCCGGGAATTGCGAATGCTGCCAGAACTACAGTAAAGTCAACTGTACTACCTAGTTAGGGCAAGTAAGTACTTAGACAGTCGTGAAGGTGAGAATCTCCTGCCACTGTGTCCTGCCCTCCTTTTACCTGCCCTACGCCGGGTACACGATGAGTACTTTCAGTATACCTAGAGCTAGCGATGTACCTAATCGAATAGTCTAATCCTTCGCTAGTATCGCCTTTCAGCCTGCCGATTAGGTATTTAGTGTTATTAGCATCAGCCACTAGCACTAGTAGAGACGGACTGCTGGTACCAAAGCTGACTTACTTAAATCAGTGTTGATGATGATGTATCTGTCTTGTATTTGACTCAAGACTCGAACAGACAGAAGCTGCCTACCTACTAGTGTGATAGTGACGAGATTGCAGCTTAAGAACTACTTAGGTAGGTAAACTATAAGAGCGAGGGCCCTTCAAAACAAATTTATCACTAGGTACCATACCTGAGTGCATGCGTAAGTCACAGGGCATCGCAAAATCTGTAGCCGTAGTATACTTAGATCCAAGCGAACATCATGCACAGTACAACATACTATGTATACTCCCAGCGGAGCCACTCAAATGAGTACCTAAAGTAGGTAAGTAGGTAGTAGGTGTGCGTGATTCAAGTTATACTAGTAGATGTTTCTAGATATGGAGATTTGTACGGTTTTAATGATCAACAAATCTTTGGCCATCAAGCTCCACCGAGAATTCCAGGTCCGTCCAAGCATTGCCCACAATCCCAAACAACCTCCTGTACCTGCACGGTTGCACCCAACAGCGGTGGATGAACAATCATGACACATAGGAGGCACCTTACTTCGTACCATATCTAACCTTGAAACAGAAACAGGCATGTATGTGGGTAGGTAAGTAAGTAGTCTGTTAACGAGATAATATCGGTTCATAATTACATATCATGATGTGATACGCTATCAGTTTGAATGCCGTACCTACCTACATGATACTAACAGTTTAAGCATGTTACAATGGTACGAGACAATGCCGGTGTGGGTAAGCAGGTAGGTACATGTATACAGAGTGTGTACGTACTAAGACAAGAGATGTGGCTCTTCCGATCCTTAAGTACTACATAGTAGCACCGGCAGGCCACCTCAGACCTTGGATTCCCTTGGATTCCCAGCTGTCCCGTCAGGTTCGACATGAAGATATAAAAATAACAGCTGCATGCTTCCAAGACAGGCAGTTGTATCGACTGTGCAGACTGTCCTTTTACGCCACTTATGATTGTCTGTTGTCTGCCGATCTCCGTCAAGTCAAAAGAGAATGTCATCAACTAACTGCCAGCCTGTGAGCAGACAGAAAGATAAACAAACACGGTATGTGGCGTACAGTACCAGACACTCATGCACGATGTACAGGAGTGACAATTTTCCACCGGATCACGTCACTCATTCGATGCTTGTTTGGCAACACGAGAGATGACCGAATGCTGCAGACACGCGTACGTATCCCGCGGCCCAGGTGCCCCTATTCATTACTATAGGTTGTGCCTAGGTACTGGGTACACTTTAATGTTATTACCGGCGAGATGCATGCATATGTACTTACTTGTCTACTTAATGATAGTACTTACTCGTACGCAAGACAAGGACCGCCGGTGTAGATGCTGTCACACCGTTGTCTTAACTTCTATCTTAACTGCTTGCATACTTCGATATACATATAAAGTGTCCCACAAGTACAGGTGAAGGCCCCCCTCTCTCAATCCAAGGATAAAGTCACACCAAGGCCTGATTGTCGCAGCACAACCTGTTCTGTCTCGGCATTGCTAGGGACAGTAGCCTCCATACTGGTATCTCCCTTACTCATGTAAACCAGGTTGAAAATCATGGTGTGTGCAGGTAGGCGGTGGTGCGTTGAAGCAGCAAGGATATCGATCTACCTTCCGTAAGTGCCCGGTACCTACTTAACTTACACATATGTACTAGGTACGAAGCAAGTATGGGTATGGAAAATTATTTTGGGCTGAACAGTACCTAGTGAAGCTACCTATTCAAAGGGAACTGCTGACCGTCGAAATAAGAAGGCGGGAGCTAACTCCAGCCAAGAGCTATACACGAGCAATGTCAGCAATGATGGGGAGACTCGGGATTGGAGGGCGGCCGGCCGAGCAGGATGTGTTGTCTACTACGAGGCGTAAGACATCCATTTTCGAGTTGGCCGTCTCGTGTTGTCTGTTGGTGTGGTGGCAGTGCTGATGGAAGAGAGAGAGAAAAAAAAAAAAAAAAAAAAAAAAAAAAAAAAAAAAACCATGCTAAGCCACTTGAATCCGGATGGGCGGGCAGACAGGGGCATCCAGGGCCTGCTGCCATGCTGAGCCTGTCGAGCCTGGACACCCCGGGCTCCACAAGACTCCACCTCCAACTTTCGCCGCCTCGTATTGAGTAGTCTAGATCTACCCTATGTACATAGTAGGTATGTATTAGTGGTGCACGGATCCAATGCTGTACATCTTCTGTACATACTGTACATAATACAAATAGTTTCCATTTCAGATTGTTCAGAGAGATGAGAGTTTGGGTGTTTGTTGCAATTCCGGTGCTCTGTTTGCAGCTTCGCTGCTGAGGGCTCTCGAATGTGCGTTGAGGGGCGCGCGAAAGAATAGCATGAGATGAACAATAGGAAAAAAGAAAAAAGAATAATAATAAACAGATCGACACCAAAGATGCATTACTCTAGCGTTCCTGCTAACAGGTACTTGGGATGTACTTAGAGGTGCTGCTTACACTGCAGTATGCACTCCAAATTCAATTACCTACATACCTACCCTCGCCTACCTACTGTACTGTACTTACGTGTAGCACTTATACTGAAGGACTTCGTATGTGAAGTACCAGTCAACTTAGATTTAACTCACATACCTACACTCCATGTCAAATGTCACCATGTACATGTATGCACTCAAGTCTAATGAACACTAAGCCACTGACATATCTGTAGATAGGTAGGTAATGTGAGAAAGGGAGCTCAAACATATCTTGAACAGTTTTGCGCCCAGCAGATATGCTCTACACAAAGGATATAGCAAAGACATAGGTATTCCGACTGTACTACCTAGGTACTTAAGTAGGTAGTAGATGGTGCATGATTGACCCATACTTAGCGTACCTCATACTAATTCTTTTCATGCCATACTAATTTCGTGAAATACCATATGTACAGTAGGTGTACTAGTGTCCAGCTACTTACATACCTGCTAAATGTATAGAAACATACCTATTTTGGTATGTAGCAGGTACATCACACGCTAAACAGACGAGGCGTACAGTAAGTGCGCACTGTATGAGCATCAGGCGCTTCGTGACTCTCCCAACTCCCGGGCCCTAATACCTACCTAGAGTGGGTGTTTCCTTCTCTGCTTCCATCCCACGGCTGCGGGCACGGGAGTCCTGTAAGTACTGTAGAAACGGAGGACCTTAGCTTGCCGCAAGGTCAGTAAGCCAGTACCTAGACAATCGATCGTTTACTTTCCTTGCATCTTGCATCTTTGATTTTCTGTCTCACCACCTCCAAACGACCTTCCTCCCACTCTATAGCTCTTCTAATGCTCTTCTAATTTGCAACCACGTCACTCGCTTTCGTGCTGTTAATAGTCTATCGTTCATAATAATCAATTTTAGCCTTGCTTCGGGTTCCATTTGCCTTCGTTTGCACACAGAAGTGGAGGATTCAGGGGCTGTCACCAACGGACGACGACCAGCCCATCCATCAATACCGACGTCTACCTACCTCCCAGGTCCCCGTGATTTTGAGTCTCTTCGCGTTCCTATCTATACGATCATACACAGAGAGCATATTTATTAAGGCGAAACCAAGTTCAGTCCAGCTGTCTTGACCTGTATACTCGTACCACCTGCGATCGGAAAGGTTTCGCTACTCATAGTGACTGTCCGAAAGGACAAGCACGTCCCAACCGACAGTAAACATGGCGAACCATCAAGCCCGCATGTCCATGTACTCGGTCACCTCGGATTCGTTTCATGGTACTCGAGGCGGCGGTCAACAGTCGCAAGTCTCCACAACGACGCTGCTCAACGCGATCCATAACATATATCTGTCGTCGCAGTCTTATCAATTAGACGCGGGAAGTAGTGTTGTCGTTAATACATGGCTTACAGCAACGCAACTTGGTCCGGATGGCCGATCTGGCGGGACTATTGATAAGCTTCTGGCCGCCAGAGCCTGGGAACACGCACGGCGCCGAGCCGAAGATGGATGTATCGTGTTGAGGTGAGTTTTTCCTTCCATGTTCCCACAGCATAAGTACTAAACGCTCTAGTTCTCTCCACACTTCAACGCCGTCACTTTTGACGCCATTCCTTGCTTCTCTGCCCATCTCTATCCCTTCGTCCTTGCTCACTTCCCTCGAGGCGGTTCAGCCCTTCCTTCGATGTGTAACACCATATAACCCATCCACTCCACGTCAAAGTGCGCTTGGTATTACCTTGACTCTCAACCTTGCAGGTAATCTGACAGCTGCAACTCTGGCATTGTCCCAGGGCGGGATTGATACTACCCAGGGTCTGCTCAATATCCCTACTCAGCCTGGCTATCGTGCCTTTGATGTGTTCTACTACTTGTTGACCTCAGCCTCAACTCCTGCTGAGCGCGAGTTCCTCAGCTTGAAGTCCGCGGCTGATTACACTTTACTTGCACGGTCTGGCACCTATGATCCACCCTCATATCTTCCTACTGCCGACGACTCCGCTGCCGCTGATGATTTCAGAAGGGCACTGAAAGAGATAGGCATCAAGGGATCTTCTCACCGAAACCTGATATCTGCTTTGGCAGGCTTGCTAAAGCTTGGTAACACATTGGATTACAATGTCGATGACGAATCACTGGAGGTAATTTGTGAAGATGTGAGCGGATTACTCGGTCTTGATCCCGACGTCCTTCTGAATCAGTGCACAACGGAGGATCGGCAAATACTTGTGGGTGGACTATACGAAGCCGTTGTTGACTGGGTCATCACCAAGGCCAATGGAGCAATTGCTGCTCAGATGTCCCGAATCCGAGATGGCGACGAATCGCTTGACGGTCATCGAACGCCAACCTCAGCGGAGGATAATGGAGATACCGTATGCATTACAGTCATTGAAGTTCCAGACCCCAACTTGGGGAAAGCGCTGTCCATGCGAGGTGTGTTTGACGACAGTGCAGGAATTAATGCTGAAATGAAAGAAGATGGTGTCGATGTTGCTGCAGTAGAAAACTCTGTACAGCGCGAAATGCAAAGCGCTATGGCAGATGCTGCTCTAGAACTAGGCACCACTACCGGCTCAACCGCTCGTGAGAGACAACGCCAACTTGAGAGGCGAGAGATTATTTTGGAGAAAGTTGGATTTGCTTGTGAGGATGAAGGGTTTCTCAAGAAGCTGTTGTTTCCCATTCCAGGGCAAGGTATCACTCTCGGTCGTACTGCGAGGATGGATTTATCTTCAGTCCTTGGAGCTAGCCGAGTATGGTATCACTTGTCGCTACATCCTACAGACGAGAACCCTGCCAGTTTAGCAGCTCTCCCATCGGTTACATCTGCTTGGTCAGCAGGCGCTGTATCACGACAATTACGGGCGTGGAGGTTGGCAGAATGGGCTAACCGCAGGAATAAGAATCTGGACTTCACCGCCGACTTTGATCTGGATGAGTTCTACCAACGATTTGCCCCATTGGGCTGCAGAGAAGGCCGGGATGGCATTGAATCCTGGATCCTTGAGAGAGGTTGGAGCAACGGCGAAGTGGTGGTTGGACGAGAACGCGTCTGGATGCGAGAGACTTCATGGTGGGAGGCTGAAAGCATGCTTGATCTCAAGCCTCCACATGAGCTAGTGCCGACTATGAGCAACCCATTTGCTACCCCCGCTCGCGACACTGTCTATGGCAACAACAATGGCAGCGGCTTTTTCCCTCCCCATTTTCCCGACCAGGCTTCAAATAATAGCAACGAAAATCTGATGACACATCAGCGTAATCAGAGTCAACTTACTTTTGCTCAAAGTCAAATCCGAGCGCCATCCGTCAGTCCTTCAGTCATGCGCAATATGCCACAAGGCGATTATGGTCTGGGAACTAAGGGTGATAATCGTCGGGACCATGTTTATTACACTGCGGATGGGGAGTATATCAACACTTTAGATCCTAATGATGCTCAAGGCAAACATGTTGAAGAGGAGGAGGTAGGTGCTGGCCGACGAGCTTGGGTTGGGTTTGTTTGGGCTATGACCTTCTGGATTCCGTCGTTCCTCTTACACTATGTTGGCCGGATGAAACGACCAGATGTGCGAATGGCCTGGCGAGAAAAGGTAACGCTGGTCTGGCTGATCTTTATCATGAATGCCATTATCGTCTTCGTCATCATCTTCCTTGGTCGGATTATCTGCCCCAATTTCGATAAAGCTTGGCTTCAAACGGAAGTTGATAATCACTCGGGCAAAAACGACTTCTGGGTCAGTATTCACGGCAATGTTTATGATATCACAAAGTTTTGGAAGATTCAGCACAGTGACTCCGGTATACAAACAACAAATGACCTAATGGAACCATTTGGCGGCCTGAATCTGGATCGATACTTTACTCCTCCGCTCCCCCTTTCTTGCCCAGGCCTTGGTATTGCTGAAACCACCCAATTAAGAGTTAATCCCGAAGACGAGCCTACTTTGGTAAATGGCAAACACACTTCAGGTTTCTTTGCAGATAAGAACTCAAAGGCTTTGTCTAGTGACACATGGTACACAGACAAATTCCTGCCCAAGATCAAAGAATACTACCACGGCGAGCTCGTCTGGAATAGGAATAAAGTTCAGCGAGAGAGCGAAGATTTCAGTCTCATGGTTATTTTCTATGAGGGAGGTATCTACAATCTTACCGACTACTTTGAAACTATCAACTACAGCAAAACTCTGGCCTTCCTTGATGACAAGATAGTGGACATTATAAAGAACAACCCTGGTCAAGATGTGACTAGCTCATGGAACGGCCACTTGGAAGACGTACAGGGCAACTCAACTGCTTTTGCGTTAGCTAAAAACAGCATCAACTGCATCAAGAACACCTTCTATGTTGGAAAGCCAGACTTTCGGTATAGTCCAAGGTGTCAGGCCCTCAATTACATCCTACTAGCGTTTACTATCCTTATCGCCGGTGTCATTCTTATCAAGTTTGTCTCCGCCTTGCAGTTCGGCTCGAAGAGGCGTCCTTCTCCTCAAGACAAGTTCGTCATTTGCCAGGTTCCCGCATACACTGAAGGTGAAGACTCCCTCAGAAAGGCATTAGATTCACTCACGGCGCTTCAATATGACAACAAGAGAAAATTGATCTGTGTTATTTGCGACGGTGTCATTATTGGTGCCGGCAATGATCGCCCAACGCCAAAGATTGTTCTCGACATATTGGGCGTCGATCCAAAGCTCGACCCCCCTGCTTTGCCCTTCAAATCAGTCGGTACCGGAAGCGAGCAGCTTAACTACGGCAAGGTGTATTCTGGTCTCTATGAATTTGAAGGAAATGTTGTGCCGTACATTGTCGTTGTGAAGATCGGGAAGGAGTCTGAGCAGACCAAGACAAAGCCGGGTAACCGGGGTAAGCGAGACTCACAAATCATGCTGATGAGCTTCCTCAACCGTGTCCATCATCGTGCTCCTATGAACCCTCTTGAGCTCGAAATGTTCCACCAAATCAACAATATCATTGGTGTGGACCCAGAGCTATACGAATACCTCTTGATGGTTGATGCCGATACTTGTGTGCGAGAGGATTCCCTGAACCGACTGGTTGCTGCATGCGCCAATAATTCCAAAATTGCTGGTATTTGTGGAGAGACAGCTCTACAGAACGAAGAGCGCAGTTGGTGGAGCATGATTCAGGTCTACGAGTATTACATCTCTCATCATCTTTCCAAGGCCTTCGAGTCTCTCTTCGGAAGTGTGACATGTCTTCCTGGATGGTATGTTTTGCCTCCTTTTTCTCTTCACATAATCATAACTAACAAGATCAGTTTCACTATGTACCGTCTTAGGACAGCTGACCGGGGCAAGCCTTTGATTATCGCCGATGCCGTCATTCAAGAGTATAGTATTCGGAACGTCGACACCCTTCACAAGAAGAATCTTCTTTCACTTGGTGAAGACCGTTTCCTCACTACTATCATGACCAAGCATTTTCCTCATATGTCTTATAAATTCCAGCCGGATGCTTATTGCCAAACTGCAGCGCCGGAGACATGGAGTGTGCTGCTTTCTCAACGACGCAGATGGATCAATTCGACCATTCACAATCTATTCGAACTTATGTTACTAAAGAACATGTGTGGTTTCTGTTGCTTCTCTATGCGATTCGTCGTCTTTTTCGATCTGTTTGGAACGATCATCTTACCTGCAACGACTGTCTACCTGGGCTACCTGATCTACCTTCTCGCCTCGCACACTGGTCCTATCCCTTATATCTCGTTGGCTATTCTGGCTGGTGTGTACGGTCTTCAGGCGATCATCTTCATTCTTAAACGGCAATGGCAGCATGTTGGATGGATCATCATCTATCTGCTTGCGTTCCCAATCTTCTCGTTCATTCTGCCAATCTACTCTTTCTGGAATCAGGACAACTTTACCTGGGGAAATACACGTATAGTCATTGGTGAGAAAGGAAACAAGCAGGTCGTTGCGGTAGATGATAAAGATGGATTCGACCCTCGCTCCATTCCGATGCAGCGCTGGGATGATTATGCGGCCCTCAATAATCTTCCTGGACGCCGAGGCGCACAAGGCGAAAAGGCCCACGAAGTATATGAAGATAACTACGAGATGGATGACATGCGCTCTGTATACTCGTCTGTTCGACAGCCGTCTGTCTTGACTGGCCTCCAAGGTCGTGGTGGGTATATGCCTCCACAGTCACCTGCACCCTTCCAGGGAATGTCACGACAGTCCACATATGGTGACGGCTTTGGCGACAACCACATGCGTCAGTCAACTGCTTCGTTTGGGGATATTCAGCGTACCGCTTCACCATATCAGGATTTGCCTCACGCTGGTTACAGGCCAAGCATGAGCAATCTGCGAGCCGTGTCAACCTCACCCCAATTTGATGCCCATAGAGCCTCGAACGCCACTCTCGGCCTCGCCGGTGGTAACCGTCCTACTTTGGGCCATGGTCATCAGTCTACCACGTCGTTCGATTTCCAGCGTGGTAATACTGGACCCGATGATGGCATGATTGTCGAGGCTATCCAAGCTGTGTTACGAGATGTCGATCTCGACACAGTAACCAAGAAACAAGTTCGCGCCCTTGTAGAACAGAAGCTACAAACCGAGCTTGTCGGCGAAAAGCGAACATTCATGGACCGCCAAATTGATCATGAGCTAGCTAACATGTAAATGATCTAGCCCTAGCTCATCTCTTAAGCTCTAATCTCAAAATTTAGATGTTGGCACGACCATAGGAGTCGAAGGCTCATGTTCTCGGGAAATGTATTTATTGCATATAGTCGCGTCGTTTGGGATCGTTTTCCTTGTTTATTTGTTTCTGGCGGTACGGACATCTTGGAAACCTTTTCGGCATCTGTTCCTCTGATCTTTTTTGCATATGAACCAACCAATCTCTGGCCTACACCATTCTCTCTAGAAACAGAAAATAACGAGTTGGCTTTTGGTCGTTGCCACTTGGAACTACATATATATGATGAAATAATACAACGACTTTTTCCATATACCCATATATGTACCTCGCGTTGTTCTAATACTTAAGCTGTAATGCCTATATAGGACTTGTTTATACTTTGAAAAGGTAACTCTATACATATCTAATTGTACCTTTGCTACTTTCCATGGGCCAAAGTACCTGTATCATTCAAGGCCACAAGTCAATGATAAAGCCTTCGGTTTTAGCCTGTTAGAGCAATGACTATTACTGTACACTTACGGGATAATATAATACCGTGCAAATACTCGAAAGGTTGCAAGCATTATCCTAGCCAGTCAGACACGCAGCCTCGTACTAAAAAGAAACGGTCCGTAGATTTCATTGGCAATGAGACATCTCAGGCTTTAAGGATTTCCAGAAACGAAAATAAAGGTCATACCAATGTAGAGAGTATCAATATAGCCAGCCACTAAGGGAATCTGGTGGTCAAGGACCTTAGCAGCATTACTGTATTGTTGTGGATAGCTTCAGTCCCGGGCCCTATTGTCAGCTCTTATTATATCAACGGCCACGAAGATCTGGGTATACGTACTTGTTTAGAAGACGGGCTCCTAGACGTGTGTTTTCTACTATACGCCAGTCATCACGTCTCGGTTTATGAGTCGTCTATCGTTGTGGCGGCTCGCTGATGCCTGATTGTTGTTGTTGTTTTTAACGTCAGTGAGCTTTTAACTCTGACCTCCCTGGGGGTACGCAGACGTGGTAGGCTATAGAATACCTATATATATTTCCAAACTACCAGATTATGCGTTCCATGGGCTCAACGTTCCATTGTTCGTGGTTACTACGGTTTAATCCGTTAAGCGTATTTCAATCCTATCCAATACCTTCCCTCCGTAACTTTTGAACGTTTGCTAAGGGGGTTAACCTCCTCCCTTAAAGTTCATACATCCCCTCCAGACCCCTGGTACTCACTCTGTAAAACCCCTTGAGGAAAACCCATAAGTAACTTGAACGGGTGCCACCTTCGCCTCCCGCCTCCAGCCGTAAAGTTTGTATATTATATAGTTATACCTAGCTAAGTAGGTTAATTATCTTTGTTTGAATACGTATATACGTATTGCGGGCCTGTTGTCGACTGTGACTAAGCCGGCGCTAAGGACTCATCGCCTACCTTAGTAGGTGACGGCTTAGCTATTGGGAGTCAGTTTAATCACTTGCCCAGGTGGTCTGTACCTCTTGTTGAGTCCATGGATAAAAATATGCATCAGCCGTGAATCGAACACGGGGCCCATCGATGGCAACGATGGATTTTACCACTAAACCACTGATGCTGCTGGGATTTCGCTGATGCCTGAGAGATATGGGATGGGCGAATATATTCTCCTTGCAGGAAATTCGACGCGCTTGCTTTGTAGCGCATTCAATGTTGTGCTAAAAGACATATTTGCCATCCCTCCAGATTTGGATTCCCTCTTGATAGAAGCACACGGCTGTGGTTATTCTGTCCTGATTTCAAGTGTCCAACGCTAACCAGACTGTACAAAATCAGGAGCACGGCATAGAGCTCTCTGCCCTTTCGTAATTGATTCCTTAATAATTCACTCGGGCCTAGGTATTCATAGATCTGTCTACCAGGAATCATTAACATATAATGGAACGAGCTATGCTTAAGGAACCTAGACTTCGAGTCCAGTAGTAACTTGTACACCTGATTTCGTTCGAGGGGGGATATCTCAAGGAAGAAGCGAGCTATTCAGGCTCGAATCTGCTCAAAGCACGATCCATCAATGCCTAGCGAACAACAAAGGCAGAATCATTAGGTAGTTCGCCTGCTAAATATAACCAACGACTAAAACCAAATAAAACAATAACGATTATTTTCTCGGGACAGTGAGAACAGGACTTTTTGATAAAGAGCGCTTGTAGAAGGACCGGGCCATACGGCTATATATCAGACCTATGTGTAAGGCTATTAGACTGCACAGCCTGAGGAATCTAAGGCACTTACGAGCTTACCTAGTCGCGGATACCTGGACATAGATATATATATAGGTATATATATACAAACGAGCGCAGGCCAAGCTACAGAAAAAAGTATTAGAATAGCAATATCACAGCTAGTTAGTTAATTTCTAGAATGTCTATCTCTATCTCAGCCTTCTAATTCCATTACAGGACATAGAATATACAGATGCAAGTATTATGTAACTATGCCCATTACAAGGTAGTAATAATAAGTGAAAGTTAAAGTTGAAAGATAAATGGGCTGGTTGCATTAGGTTGGCGTGTACATCAAGCTCATCACAACTTAAAAAGAAAAAGCTCGTCAAACATCATTGGAATATGTACTATAATGATACTAGTAACATCATCAATTATTTAGATAAAAACTACCTTCATGATACATGAAGTGTTTCCCTAGCTATCGGGGTATTTTCAGTGTTTCGCCAACTCTGCCTATGAGAACTGCGCCTCGTGGCATCTATACGACAATCTAGCTAGGACATGCATCAGTACTCATCTAGCGTCATTTTCCCGACTGTTCAGCTTGCTTTCTATGCAAGTATTTCCAGACCGGGCCCGGACTTTCATGGGGAAATGGCGCGTCCTACAGCGGGGAGTGTCCGTTGGAGTACCCATATCATCAACGCCTTTCAGTGTATTTTCCCAACACCTTTCAACCTCAAATACACGTCGGTTCCCCAGCCGTATAAGCTCTGCACAGCGATGCCACCGCCGAAATACTCGGCGTATGCACGACTCAGCGGCAATCCATAGCCGAGTCCTGCAATCGAGCTCGCACCGGAGCTGGCTGCCGATATCATCCCTAGCGCATCTGCTTGGGAACGCCCACCACCGCCCCCGCCGTTATTTGACATGACATCGTCAATGTCGTCTTCATTGAAGGTAGTAAAGCTATAATTCCAGATATTCGGCAGTATTTCGGGGGAGATACCGCCACCACGGTCTCGGATGCGGATCGTGACTCCGGGAGCGTTGTCGTCAAGGGGCTTGATCGCGTCGCCGCGGAAGGCCCCTTTATCGGCGGCTGGGGGGTCAAGGGTCAGATGTGGTGGACCAGCATCTGGGGGTTCGGGCGCGATGGTGATGACAACAGGCTGACTGCTGTCGCTTTCGACAGTGGCGCGGAAGGCATTCTTGAGAAGCTCGGTCACAATGTAATCAAGATGCATGGGTACAAAGGTGAAGACCGTGTCAGGCTCGCCGTCGATAATCCACTTGGGCCGTTTACCGTACTTAAGCTCACATATATCAGCTACAAACGCTGCGCATGAGTCCACTATAGCTGCTGGAGAGAGCGCAGTATCAATGACGCCTATGTAATTCGGATGTTCTGGGCATGGGGTCGGCGAGGCACCGGGGTTGAAATGCGGCACGCTACTATAGTGGAGGGCAATATGCTGTTCCGCGATCAAACGCGTTCCAATGCGCGTGCGAAGGTGAGTGTTCAGGAAACGAGTGACCTCTTCCGGCGCAATGTATCGGCGACATTGGATGAAGCCCTTGGCAAGAATCGGAATAGTATCCGTATGCGTGGCCACGAGCTCCGCCAGCACCGATGTGAACTGGATCTCCTCTTCGAGGGTGGATATGGTTCGATGTTTCCAGGGGAGGAGTGTTGACAGCGACTGCAGGTAGTTGTTGTAGATGCGCGACACATTGGGGTCGGCGACTACGATGAACGGCAAGTTTCGCAAGGCTTGGATGCGATGAGCTAGGCGGATTGGAAGGAGATTGAGGGTGAAATTGGCAGAAGCGAGCAGGGCGGTCTCGGATAGCGGAGGGCGTCCATGTCTATTGCCGGGGCGCAATGGCTGCAAGTTAGCACTTGGTGGAGTGTGGTAGGGGAAAAGAAGGAGAGCACTACCTGACTAGATCAGCCAGGCTCAGCGAATGTTGTCGTTTATTGGTGAGGTCTGCGATGGCCTCGTCGGTGACGGTGATGGTCTTGGCGGGGCGGGAGGAGCCATTGTCGGTGTTGCTGCGCTCTGATGACGACGCTGGCGATGTTGATGACAAAGACCGTGCCCAGGCGGCGGAGGGCGCAAGACGTGATGGAAGCCGACGAGTGGCGTGTGCAGATGAGCCATTGGATGTGTAAAGACACCGCAATGGTCTAGATATGGTTTTCATGACGGCATGATGTGTCGGTCGTACATATGGTTATCTCGGCCAAGGCGCTTTGTAGGTTCAATGTCGGCGTAATTGATGCAGTACGCACGTATGGACATGTATGAACATGTATGTATGGACGTTCATATGTCGATGCTGCCAAAAAGGTGGCGGCGGTTGGGTAAGACGTAGGCAATTAGTCATGAGAGCGACATTAGGACTGACTGACTGACTACTACAAAGTAAGTACCTCGTAGGTAGATACGGACTTGCTCACCTACCAACTTCGGAATGCGTCATCGTCAATCGTGCGGTGACGGAGCGGAGCGGAGCGCTTACCGTCGGGAAAAGTCCTGTATGGGCTATGTGCATATCAGACAGGCTGTCGAGGCTGATTTGGCCGATCTGGCTGATCTATTTCGTACTTTATACGTACTTCGTAGGTAGGTACTGCCAAGGTTCTAGATGGAACATTGACGAAAGCCTCCAAGCTCGGCCTCACCCCTCTAACACCTTTTGAGAAGGTACTGCATTGGACATAAGTACGATATGTAAGGAGGGAGAGCGAGCTTTCATGATAGGTAGATAGATGATTGTTGTTTAGGTAGGTGGGTATCTACAATTACACGCTGTTGTATCTCATCATCACCCCGCCGTCTATTGTAGCTGCCCCTCATCCGTCTGTCATACCAACTAACCTAGGTAGTGATGCCGACAGAGACAACCCGCCCTGATGCCTTTCACATGTAGTTTTCGCACATACATACAGACTTCTGATCAATCATTGTTTATTGGGTTGTCATTTGCCCATCCACTTCGACATGCTTGACTTGATCGAGCTCTGCTAACGCTACGACTGTATCCTCGGGGAACTCGACCCTGTTATTGGTCCGTTGGTAAGCCGACAATAACATGCAGAACCGCGGGACAACTGCTACGAAGTAGAAAGGTGGACTTACGCAAAGCCCTTGGTGAGCTTGTATTCGTGAGTGATCTTGCCGCCTTGGTCCTTTGCCTTCTGCTTCGCTGCTTCGACCTGTTCGGGACTGGCATCCTGTTTGCAGGTAATCTGGTTCAAGGTAGGTAAGTAAGTAAGTGTGTATTCATTAGGTACTATATTGGTAATGGTGACCGGCAACAACGCCTGCGAAACATACAATGTAGGAAGGCATCTTTGCGGATGATGTGATGTATAATCGACAAAGAGATTGTATAGTGAAGACTGGTTGGCAGAGCTCGAAATCTAGATGTACAGGAGAAGATTGAATTGTTTGACGATGTCGAGAAGACGAGGAGTAGGGTTTGGGAGCGAGGAGGAGGAGGGGAGAGGCGCGGGGTCTTTTATCAACCGTGTTCCGTGACTTGCGCAACCCTCACGTTGACTGCGAGAGCTACATACTTCGTACATAGGTAGTACTAACATTCCATGCAGTAGTACGTGTGGTTAGATGTCATGGACGCTACCTGTCTAGCTACATATCGGACATTACTACATAGGTAGATGGCTGGGCTTTCTGGCTCAGGCGGCCTGCTTCCATGCATCTACATCTGCCTCTCAGGACGCGGGAATCTATAGTCTACGTCATGGCGAGGTAACCAACGCAGCAGCCTAGTTGATTGCGTGCAGGTCCTCGCAGGCCCTCGCAGGCCCTCGTCCTACGCGCCGCCTTACTAGAGGTCTGACAACTGCCCAACTCGTAAGTGGCGCCAACGAGAGCTGGTGGGCTTGTCTCACCTAGGGATAGGGATTACGTAGCCCTACTACAAAGCAGACGTTCTGGGTCTGTTCTGAGCCAATATCCAATGTTTAGCTTCCCCTAGATGCGCTCGAATCTTTGCCGCCATCTGCGCCGAATCTGCGCCGAATCTTGCATTTGCATGGCTGATATGTAGAGATATCTGTGGTAATCCGCATCAGAGTCGTACGGTCCAGAACACTACCGAGACCGCGGCAGTTTTCCCTTGTCTCACTACTCTCAAGCCTCTTCTGTCCCTGCCTACCAAGCAAACATGTTTCCACCTAGATCCCGCCCAATTCAGTTGAATCCGGACAACATCAATATATCATGATAGTACATACATCGTATATACAAACCTCTCTATATGTGCATACCCTCGCATACCTACCTAATCTCGAGGACGAAGCTGTATACCTGCATGATGATGTATGTATGTACCGTAGATGGCCAGCTGGAAGCCTAAAGGGAGATCGCTATGAGCCCCACCATCCCACCACTCTGTACCCCCTTGCTCTGTCCTTACCCATACAAGTTAGCGGGAGATACAAGGATGAAAATGTCAATCTTATCTTTTATCGATAAGAACAATTGGATGCTTGCCGTGAAGCCTTCGCCATAATTTTTGGCCGATAGATAACCATCACGCGATCACGGTCAGAACATCGCGTGGCAAGTCGAGCTGCTGCCATTGTAGTGTCGCGCACCATGGAGGACCAGGCGCACAAACCTCATAGGAAGGCGAAGGAGAAGAAAAGGCCTCAAGGGGGTATGTGCAGATCATAACTTATGATAATACCTTATCTGGATAAACTAACACTGAACTCTCTAGATCATAACCCTAAGGCCTTCGCCTTCGCCCGGCCTGGAAAGCTCGCGAGAGCCGCCGCAAGATCGCATGATATACGGTATAGCTATGATCTCCTCATTACCTATACTCACCGCTAGAACTAGAACTGACGAGCCTGGCCCCTAGCGAAAAGCGACTTCACGTCCCTCAAGCCGACCGTTCTCCCGATACGGAACCGCCCCCTCGCCTTGTCACCATTGTTGGTCCCCCTGGTGTCGGCAAGACCACATTATTAAAGTCTCTAGTCAAGCGCTATACCAAGGAGACCATTACCGATCCTACAGGGCCGATCACCGTCGTTACCTCCCGAAAACAGAGGCTTACTTTCGTGGAATGCCCGGCTGAGCTAACAGCCATGGTTGATATGGCTAAGATCGCAGATGTTGTACTGATACTGATTGATGGAAACTTCGGATTTGAAATGGAGACAATGGAGTTCCTGAATATTCTATCAGCCACAGGCATGCCGGGAAATGTCTTTTCGGTGCTCACTCATCTGGACCTCTTCAAGAAACCCCAGCACCTGAAGGATGCGAAGAAAACACTCAAGCATCGACTTTGGAACGAGCTCTATCAGGGCGCCCATCTTTTCTACTTATCAGGTACCTCTAACCGTCGACACCATCTGCCATGCGACTAACCATAATTACAGGTGTTATCAACGGCCGATACCCCGATCGTGAAATCCATAACTTGTCTAGATTCCTTTCAGTCATGAAGAACCCTCGTCCCCTCATCTGGAAAAATTCGCACAGTTACATACTGGGTGATAGCCTTCGAGACCTTACGCATCCTAACCAGATCGAGGAGGACGCCAAATGCGATCGCTCAGTCGCCATATATGGTTATCTGAGAGGAGGAGTGAACTTTTCCATTGAGAACCAAAAAGTTCACATCCCGGGAGTAGGTGATTTTACCGTGAAAAGGTGCGAAGCCTTGCCGGATCCCTGTCCTTCCCCCGCTCAGCAGGCCGCTATAGCTAAGGCTACCGGCCAAACCGGCCGGAAACGGCTAGATGAGAAGGATAAAAAACTGCATGCTCCTTTCTCTGATCGCCAGGGGCTCAAGATTGAAGGCTCTGCCATATGGATTAATCGCGAAAAGGGGTTTAACTTCGACAAGGATGCTCCTGCAGATGGAGAGCGTGGTTTGGGCGAAGAAATGATTATTGGGCTTCAGAGCGGCGGCAGAGTTCTCGGGCAAACCGGAAATGGACTGCAGTTATTCTCAACTGGTGATCATGTCGTTAATGCGTTAGATGACGATCCTGGTGATTCTGGGCGAAAGAGCCAGCGAACAGTGAGAGCTGTGGAACAAGATGGTTACGATGACGGTAACGGCGCTGAATTTGAGGACGACCTCTCTGAAGAGGAGGAACTCGCTAGCGGAGAGGAGGTTGAAGAGCCTGACTTGAATCATCGAAAATTGGGCAGATTGTTTCAAGAGCAGGATGAAGACAAACCAGGTGATGATCTGGCGTTTGCAGACAGTGACTCCGATCTGGGTTCGGATTTTGGAAGCGGGGCTGAGGACGAGGACGAAGACGACGAGCTAGCCGCTAAATGGCGAGTAGACCTCACTGAAAGAGCTAAGGCTCTCCAACGACAGGCGCCATCCTACCGTACCGCAGACCTAGCTAGGCTGATGTATGACGAGCAATTAACCGCTCGTGAAGTCTTGGAGAGGTGGAAGGCTGAAGTTGCTGAAGATGAAGACGAAGAGGACATTGAAGCAGACTCCGAAGACGAATTCTTCAGCTCCAAAAAAGAGGATGATGATTATGTCGAGAACACTCCTGTTCCTCGGTTGACCTCCGATGATTACGATCAATTGGCGGCAAAGTGGTCACTAGAAGACAATGCCAATTTGCTACGCCAACGGTTTACATCGACAAAGGGCCGTGATGATAACCCCGATGGCTTTGAAGGGTTTGGGGATGATGGTGATGAAGGTGAAGGAGACGATGAGAATGATGAAGAAATTGAAGGCTGGGGTGATTTCGAGGATCTGGAATCGGGTGAAAAGGAAACAGAGGAGCCACAACTGCAACAAGCTGAGTCCCTCGAAGCAGAGAGAGCAAGGAATGCTGCTAGAAAAGAGGAACTCAAACAGCGCTTTGAAGAAGAAGATCGCGAGGGTTTTGGAAAGGAGCAGCTAAACAAAGAAGAGTTTGGGGAAGATGAATGGTATGGAACCCTACTCTCTCTAGGCAACTCAACTCGTTCTCTAACAATTTTCCCTATCAAGGTACGAGTCTCAGAAAGCAAACTTGCAGAAACAGATCGACATCAATAAAGCCGAGTTCGAGGGTCTGGATGAACGCCAAAGACTCGCCGTGGAGGGTCTTACAGCAGGAAAATACGTTTCCGTCATCTTAGAAAAGGTCCCTGCGGAATTCATCTTGAACTTCTCAGCCCGCAAACCTCTCATCGTTGGAAGCTTAAGTCCTCTAGAGGAAAGATTTGGCTTCCTTCAAGTGAGGATGAGAAAACATAGATGGCATAAGAAGATCTTGAAGAATAATGATCCTCTCATTTTCTCAGCTGGTTGGAGGCGGTAAGTTGTGTTGAATCTTCGTTGGTTTTGCGTATAAGTTCAATTCCTCATACATTTTATATGGCCCATACTTGGACGGATATTTGACATCTAGAGCCTTTACTAATTTTCATCTACAGATTCCAAGCCATGCCTATGCTTCATTCGTGGGAGGAACGAGTCCGTCACCGAATGCTAAAGTATTCGCCGGAACACTCATTCTGTTACGCCACTTTCTGGGGACCCCTGATTGCCCCAAACACAAGCTTTACTTGTTTTCAATCCTTTTCCTCTGATAATCCAGGATTCCGCATAGCAGCGACTGGAACAGTCCTAAGTGTTGACCAGAGTTATGAGATTGTAAAGAAGTTGAAGTTAACAGGTACACCCGCTAAGGTCTATAAAAACACCGCTTTCATCAAGGACATGTTCAATAGTAGCCTCGAGATCGCCAAGTTCGAAGGAGCATCGATAAAAACCGTCTCTGGCATTCGGGGTCAGATCAAGAGGGCTTTATCCAAACCTGAGGGACATTTCCGAGCGACCTTCGAAGATAAAATCCTAATGGGCGATCTAGTATTTCTGAGAGCATGGTATCCCATCAAGCCCCACCGATTTCATAATCCCGTAACGGAACGTCTCGGTGACTGGCAGTCAATGCGCCTGACAGGCCAGGTGCGTCGAGACCAGAACATACCGACGCCGCAGGACGCCGACAGCAAGTACCGCCCGATCGAGCGCGCCGCACGACACTTCAACCCACTCAAGGTACCTCGGGCACTGGCGGCGGAGCTGCCGTTCAAGTCCCAGATCGTGCGCATGAAGCCGCAGAAACGCGACACATACATGCAGAAGCGAGCAGTCGTGCTGGGCGGCGAGGAGAAGCGCGCGCGCGACCTCATGCAGAAGCTGACAACAGTCCGCAAGGATACCATCGCGAAGCGCCGCGCCAAGAAAGAAGAGAAGCGCGTCGAGTTCCGCAAGAAAATGGCTGCGATGAACGAGAAGAAGGAGGCGAGGGAACGTCGCGAGAAGCAGGAATACTGGCAGCGTGAGGGAAAGAAGAGAAAGGGGGAGATGGAGGGGGGTGGCGGGAAGAGGAGAAGATAGATAAATATATGGCTAGATAGATATTGGGGATAGGTGTATGTAGATATTTGGGGCTTGATTTTGAAAATGAAAAAAAGTAATTGTTTTTGGGATATTTGTATTGGTGTGTCTGTTCAAGTCTACTCTACAGCCCTCCATTTGTCCATTTTACCTTTATCGAGTTAGCATGAATTTCGTAAGTCAGGAGACATTCTCAGCGCGAGTGGTCTGTTTGCTCGCAAAGTATTCATTCATTCATTCATATAGTGCTATTCTGGCCTTTGATCTCCATCATTCGAAGAAACGGATGACAATAAAAGTAAAGTAAAAAGGCATTGATTAGTTAGTGGGTGAGGTAGAAAAAACCATTCTTTTGGATTTCGACCATGTCCGCTTCCTTCTCTTCTGCTGTTCGTTCCTTGTATTGCTATCTATCCTGAAGGAAAAAGGTTCAACGAATTGGTCAGTTTTGACTCGGTGCTTTTCCCCTCTCTTTGAGCCGTAATCCCCTCCTCTCTACCCAAACTCAACTCAACCCCCTCACAAAGCAGCCCTGAGTCAGCAGCACCGAACCTCCTCCTCAAGCGGCAAGATATCCGGCAAAGGGCCGACAGGGCAGATAGAGAACGGGTTGATCTGCGTGTGGCTCTTGGTGTAGTGGTTCTTGATGTGCAGGAAGTTGGTCGTGTCCTTGAAGGCCGAGGACGGGTGCGTCCAGTACAGATTCCGCATCCACTTGTGGATGGCGGGGTATCCGCTGCGGATGTCGCGGATGTTGCACTTGAAGTGCTGCACGTAGACTGGGTCGAATCGGACGATGGTTACGTAGCTGTGGTGTTTGTTAGTCAAACATTTAGGGTTTTGGGTAGTTGATTGGTTTGTTGGGTTTAGATCGGGCCAGATCAAGTAGGTAGGTAGGTAGGAAGGATGTAGGTGAGTTTGTTGTTGAAAGCCTGGGAAGACAGATTTGCGGTGAAAGTACGTAAGATGGGTGAGTAAGGAGTTGCGTAAGTTGTGCGACGTCGAAGAACATTCATCCATGAAGCAACACAAATAGAACGAGAAGCACACTCACAGTCTCACATCAGTCTCAGTCAAAACATCGCCAAAATAATACGGACCCTTGCCATTCTTCAGCTTCTCCTCGACCTTATCCAATGCCTCAAAAAGCTTGACGACATTCTTCTCGTACGCTTCCTGCGTCGTCGCAAAGCCGCTCTTATACACGCCGTTGTTAATATCGTCGTACGTCCAAGCGCCAACCTCGTCAATCTCCGCCCTCAGGTTCTCGGGGTAGAGATTTATCTTCGCGTACTCCGCAGGTAATTGAGCGTTGAAGACGGTGCTGAACATCCTCAGGATCTCAGAGCTCTCGTTGTTGACGATCGTGTCCGTCTTCTTGTCGAAGAGCACGGGCACCGTGAACCGCCCGCTGTAGGACGGCTCGACCTTGAAGTACAGGTTGCGCAGGTGTGTGAATGATTCGTGGCCCGGTAATGGGTCTGGTACCACATTCTCGCCTGCTGCATCATTGTCTTCGGCCGTGGGGAAACGCCAGCCTAACAGGTGAAAGTGAGCGACTTTTTTCTCTCATGAAAGCGATTTCGGGGTAGAGGAAAGTCAGAATTCAGGGGCAGGGGATGAGAAGCAGGTCATTCATGTGCAGATGTATTGGTGAGTAAGGTAAGAAGGCCATTCAGGCCATGACCATGATGCAGAATAGAACAATCCGGAACAGAGTGAACGCACCTTTCTCTCCCATATGCCAATGCACAACGGAGAAAGAGACGAACTCCTCCAGCCCCTTCAACTTCCTCGCAATAAGGGTGCGATGAGCCTGGAATGTATCATCAGCATGAGTTTTCCTATTGCTTCTCCCCAGCAAGGTTTCCTCCTTTTAACTCCCAATAGCAACCGTTCCCAAATACAATCCGGAACACACACGCAGACATATATAAAAAAAGGAGAGGAAGAGAAAAAAAAGCAGACCAACTTACCCAAGGACAAGCATAGCTGACATACAAATGATACCTGCCCTTCTCAGGCGGGAACCTGGCATCTGGCGCATCACTGATCCAGTCGCGGAACGAGCTCGCCTGGCGCTTGAACTCACCCGACTTATCGCCGGGGGCAACCCAGTTGGTGATCTTGTCGTTCGAGGCCTATATAACATCACGGCAGTGATCAATTAGTTTAATATTCCGTGTTCGCCCATCCAATTACGCTATACACGCCACCAAGTACAGATGAGGGGGGGGGGGGAATATTGGGGTAAGGTAGAGAGCAAAGGAAGAAGAAACGACGAGAACGCAGAACACTCACCATTCTTCTCTGCGTAAACGGTCGCTGAAGATCCAAATTCAACTCGAGCCCTCTTCGCAGTGCGCCAGCAGAAGCGACAGTAGAATATCCACGGCTCAATCCAACAACACGTAGTCGCGAACTCGACACTGACGTAAGCGAGGCGCTGCTCGTATATATCTGTTTCGTGATGAATCTCGCTGTACCCCGCGAGTGCGGTCGGAAGTGCATAAATAAAACGATTCGAAGACCCGAGCCGAGCAAGGTAAAAAATCACAGGGCTTTCTGTATCTCTGCAAGTAAGTAAGTAGTACCTATGCCAATCTCGTGTCTGAGATGTGGTTGGTTATATACCTACCTATCTACCTACTTAAGTACCGCTACTCTAAGTAGAGCTGGTAAGAAAAAAGAGCACCTTACTAAGGACCACCTGAATGCGGGGTTCCTATTTTTTCTCGCGTCTTCGTGTAATTGATTGATGCCTCCTACCTACCTACTTACTTACTTACTTACTCGGTAGCTAGTCTAGAGTCGTATCAAGCTAGGTAAGTCCACTTTGTATTTACAATACTTACAGACTTCCTCGGAAGCTAGCTCTGCTGGCTGATTATGTCTGACCTAATTCACGCACTTTTATCACTAAAGAGCAATCATCAGATGACTGAATTTCAACATCTACTTATGTAATCCTTCCTGCCCAACGTCATCAGTCAAGTTCGTGAATCAGTCAGTGTCCCGGGACTTTGATGAATCATCCTGGAAACGTGCTATTAACCGGCCTTATCCATATCTACCTACCTACCCACATGGCCTCTAGGTTAGTATGAATGGGCATCGTGCTTTGTCATGTGGGGTTGTCCACATTCTCTTCAGGAACTAGCTAAGTACGGAGTATCTAATAGGATTATTTGGTGATTACAATATAGTGACATAACATGCGCTACACATCCACAGGCCAACATCATCACTAATCAAAGGTAGGTAGGTAGGTAGTCATGTGGGGAACACAGGAGGATCATTTTTTTACCATCCAAACCCCTACTGTCACTGTTTTCGTCTCCCACCTCGTAACGAATATGGATTCTCACTAGATAGCCGCAACCATGAGTTGTTCTACAGTAGTGACTACTATGTAAAACATTCAAGACCCACGCTCATTGTCCATAGTGACCCCAGGGTATGTAGAGGAGTTCTTATCTTCTGGTGAAAATGAGAATAGCCAAAGAGGCCAAACACGACCTATAACCTAGCTATCTCTTTCAATTGAATCTGTGTATTGCCAATTCGTGCACATGAAACAGTAGGAATTCCCACCCAACATATATTCTATCCCATGAGGGTCATCTGACATCAGCTAAAGTGGTGAGCGCCTCCCAAAATTCTAATTGCTATTGCTGTTTTTGATTCACCAAAACCTGAGCATCGCATTGCGCCCCCGGATGCAACCTAGTATCCATCAACCTATCATGATCGTATCACCCTGATATAAGGCACCTCGACATCTTCTTCTGTCGTATCCTCGGCCACAATCTCGACGATGATCTCTTTCTGGTGTGGAGGAATCTTCTTCTTAGACACGTTCTCAACGAGCTCACTGAGCTTCATCGCAGTGCGCTCCTTTCGCTTGGCAATCGGGAAGAAGCTGGCGTATAGCAAGCTCACCCCAGAGCTAAGCATGCTAATAGAGAGCCCCTTCTTTTCAAAGTTCTCGAGCAGCTCGCCCAGTGTCACGTCTTCCGAGTCAAAGCGATCCCAGATCTTGTCCATCTTGAGCTTAGCTCCACCAGCACCCGTCCATTCTACGACAGGACTGGCGATCGGCTCGCTGAACCCGAAGAACGGAAGTGCCAGGTTGATGAATCCGTTCTTGTAGTCCTCAATCTTCGATTTTCCATCGACAATCTTGTAAAGCTCCAGAACCACCAGGCCAGTGACCAAAGCAGTGGTTGTAGCAATCGCCGGGATAATCTTCCCCGCAATGAACTTGGTCTTGTGTCGGTCTGCCTGCTCAATTTTGTAATTCTCAGCCCGCAAATTGCTGGCAAAGGTAATGAAGTCAATGTGATGGTTGGTGTCATCATCCTTCTCGAACTCTACTGGGGTCAGCTTGAATCCCGCCAGCTTGTTAGGCGCCGGTAGGCTGTCAATGATCTTCTGTAGCTCGTCATTGTCGTTGAAAGCGGACGATTTGTTCGCGTTCGGATCCTGTTACGCAATTCTCATTAGCACTAATCACGTAACATATATCTTTACCAGTATACTTACAGGGTCATTGTCATTAGCCTGAATCTGGACGCCAGGGTCAGGAGTGAAGTCCGGAATGATCATGTTGTCCAGAACCTTGCTGTAAAGTTGTTTGTCGATACCCTTAGTATTGATGTTATAGTTGAAAGCATGAAGATTGGCAGCGGCGACGACGAAACCAAAATGGTTGGGATTCTTAGAATCAAACTTCAGCGCATCTGGTGCTCGCTTCGGTCCAGACCAAAAGGGGGCGCCACTCGACGACACGGAATCCTTCGGGAAATTGTACAAAAGCTGCTGTATCGCATTGTTATATTTGCTCTCGAACAGCATCCGTGCCCAGATGATGCAGTCCTCGAAGCTCAGCGGCTTGTCCGTCACAAGGTAGTCTCGGATTGTTTCTAGTGTCGGCTTTTCACTGCCACCTTGCTTCAGTGTAGTCTCTAGATAATTTGGCTGAGTTAAGTAAAGGTTAACCGTCTCTGCAGACTTCACGAAGGAGGTTTCAAAGAGCTCTCGAGCCCAAGCGATTGTATGTTCAATCTTGTTTGGGAAGCTTCTCAGAGTGCACATAGGGAACGACACTTCAGGAGGGTCTTGAGAGGATGAGTATGACTCAGTTAGCTTGGGCAAAACGACCTGAGTATTGCCCTTAGTACCTAAGGTGCCGCTTTCGAGCAAAGGCTTCTGGAAGAACACACATCGTCTATCGACGTAAGTTCTCGCCTCAACGTTGTCAAGCGCATTTGTAACACCGTCCAAACCCTTCCAAAAGTCTTCATTGAAGATGTGCTCAGTCTCGGGACTTACGCGATCTTTTAAGCACACAATGTGGCCCTCTAGCTCCGGGTTCATGGCTGTTACTGCCTTGGCGGCGCAATCGCTCTTCATTTGACCAACATCCTTGGGTCTAAACAAGAACTGTCGGTTTAGATTGCTCTTTTCAATGGAGTCCATATCGGTAATGGTGATTTTACCGTTGGGCCCTACACCAAGACCAATCATGGCCCAGTTCTTGAGCATCTCGCATCCAATGGCACCAGCTCCAACAAGAAACTGTTTCACATTTGCCAACTTTTCCTGATACTGTGTGCCAAAAACGGCGATTTGCCCGTCGTACCGTGACCCAATAGGCTTGCAGAGTGCTTCACTTCGTTCGACGCTTGCGGGAAGTGATTCTAACGAGTCAAAGTAGAACCACTGCTTGATGGGATGGAATTTCCCAGACACGGCTTTGAGAGTTTCTTGAGCAGCAAGGCCACCGAAAAGTGCGGCCATTGGGTTAAGGTCTCCTTGTGCCTGATAGCTAAGCTCCCGAATGATCTTCTCTTCATTTTCACCGATTTCCAAGTCAATATTCTCCTTCTTTGCGAAGACTTTGACGGACTCGACTAAGACAGTCGCATCATCATCATTCATTGGGCGGGGCAGACGACCTTGCGACTGCGTGTATGCGCTGAGGGCCTCAAAACCTACGTGTAGCAATTGAGGTCGGTCAAACTTGGCGAAGTCAGACTGTACAAATTCAGGGTCACGCAGAGACGCGGAGATTGATTTGAAATCAATGATGGCCGGCATCTTGACTTGCTGGTACAAGCCGCCGCGTTTGTACTGACCTAGACCGGACACATCACCAATGGAAAATGTGTAAGGACCCTTTACCGTCACTTTTCTGGGCTCGGCACCATTGAGGCCTTCCATCCCTTCGATCTCGGAGAAGGTGACATAGTCGCCATCTGTCAAGCCGTGTCGCGTCTCATCAAGTGCTGACACCAAGCCCTCCTCATCGATTCCGGCTACAATACCGTTGATAGGATTCTCGCCCGTGGGATCTATGCACGTGAACTTGTCACCAAAATCGCAGAATATAGAGCCGAATAAACCGTACAGGTTGGCAGACACAACATATATACCCTTCGAGTGGCAGTAGTCGCCAATGACAAGTTGGTCTTGTAAAGATTGGTTCGTCAGTACTACTACCTGGTATTTGTCGTACTGCTCCAGGTTCTTGGTAAGGCTGGTTGTACAAGGATTAGCAAATAACTCTACCCACAAATAATGACCACGACGTGGAATCCAAGGCTATGTAACCTACTCAGAAGATTTGTGGATATGAACAGGTGTATATGCATTCAGTTCGGCAACACGGGGCGCGGTGACAGCATCGCGGGGTTTGCCGACATCTTCGGGGTGGAGGAAGAACTGAGAGGAAAGGTCGGAAATGGCGGTAGGTGTAGGATCGTAGAGAGTCAAGCTCTTGACACCAGCAAGAGCGATGTTCTTTGCGATTTCTACACCGAGGCCCTTTAGACCGACGATGAGGATGTGGGAGGCACCCATTCGTTTCATGGCCTCGTGACCCAAGACATATAGCTGTCGACTGTAGAGGGACTCGTCGATTTCAGTGGTGTCCGAGATGACCGAGTCGTCGACCTGGAGCCGGGTAACCAGATCTACCTCACTACCCGAGGCCATTTTGGTATCCTGTAAAAGCAAGAGAGTATGGTCAGTCAGACTGCATGGGCTTGAAGCAAGTAGATATAGACCATTTTCTGGGACTTTTATTCTTCTTGCGCCTCCCCACTTTATCCTAGAGAGGTGAAGGCGCTCAAGGTGAGGATGTTGTTGTTGACGACTCACGGTCATGGTTCTCTTGGGGGAGAAGGGAAGGCCTCCGTTCGAGAGTTTGCGCTTCCCCAGCTTGTCCTGTTCGCCCTTGTCGGAAGGAATCTTGGCGGCTTCTTGTTGAATCGTCGCGAGATATGGATGGGGTGGGATGAGGTGTGAGGTGTGAGGTGTGAGGTGTAGAGAGGACGGGGATGGAGAGGTCGTTGTCTGAGTATCAAAGTTTGATGTAGTGAACGTGAATATCACGTTTAGAGTCGATGTAAACAGCGAAAGAGAGGGTTCACTCTGGTTAGTTGACTTGAAGGTAGTAGGTAGATAAGTAGGAGATAGAGGTAGAGGTACGAGTATGTAGGTGGGACGAGAACCCCGCCAACTCGGGACCTGGAAATGTACCCGAAGAGGTACCTACCTACCTACCTAATGTTGGCTGAGTCCTGCTAGCGGCTTGCCTTCTGCTCAGATTTTCGATACCTATTATCTGGTTTATGACGTATTTACACTCGTTTCACCAAGTGTCGGTTCAGCATAGAATAAATAAGGGGTTTCAAACAGCTAGAAGAGGCTATCGCCTGCTCGATATTTACCACAGAAAAAAGGGAGCATTATCTTGATTCAGATAACATATATAAATAAATAAATGTAGGGTGCATGAGGTACCAAAGGTATCGCATTGATTGGGATTTCTCAGCAAATCATGCAGCTTGTTGCTGGTGAGCTATCAGGTACCTACCTACTACTATGTACCTGCCTACCAGCCATGATGGCGGGGTAGGTACATGTCGGATGTTGTACCCAAGCCTCTGCCTAGAAGGTACAAAATAGGTACATATCTGTACACATGTACCTACTGCTACTGGAGTAGGAGGTTAGGTACTTGCAGTGGCTCAAGGATAGGTGGCGGTGCCGTTCGCCGTCTTAGTCAATGCCTATCAGCTGGCAGTAATGTCTTCCATCTGTTTCGCTCAGTATCCTCCAAGTCTCATGCCAGCGGCTGACTCTGCTCTATTGAGTGAGTGAGCACGACTTCGCCTACAAGTAAGTACTTACTTACACCTGTATTCTGATCTACCGGTAGAAGTTTCTGAGTGATGAACTTGACAGAGAAAGAGTATATTTCTCCCATGTGTAATACAGTTATTGGTACAGGTAGTTACCAGTAGGACGGATTACTTACTAAACGGATTCAAGGGGCGTTGTAAGGCATGAAATGACGTGTTCTGATTCTATGCACCAGCTCAAGTCGCATACTACACATGCATGTGGTAATCCGATGCCTAATAGATTGGTTGGTGGATTCGCATAGTTCTTTCATTCCAAGATACTTGTGTTCCTACACTTCTCATCTGCTCAGAATCACCATTAGGTACCTCCCTCCCTCCGACCCGATACCTATGGTATTCGCGAATCCCCTTCTCCTCCAACTATGTGTCATAGCTTGCAGTAACCCCTATTAATCCCGTCGACCTCTCTGGTCGACCTCTAGTCCATACATACATGATCCCTATCTCCCTCTTATTGAGAGCAATATAAGCATGTGTACCTAACAACAGCCTAATCGCTCCTCGTCCCTCTCTGTTGTATCAGAGGGCTTTAGATCCCGCCTTTTCCTCCTTGGTCCATCCCACCTTTTCATCATTCGTGCCAGCATTCATCCGCGTCAGAAGGAGCGTCCTATCGCAACCGGGTATATATGATAATCCATTCCTACCATGAAAAAGTAGAAACCCCTCTATAAAAATGCCCATATATAATGTGAGTAAATGAGTGTGTGTGTGAACATGCCATTCATTGATCATACGCCATTGTAAACGAAACCTCCCTACTCAGGTAAGCAAGGTTGGTGCGAGTGAAACTGAAGCAAGGGTGAATGCAGAGAAGAAAACAGCATGCGCAAAAAATTCAAAGTAGATTATAAGGATAGACTTGAAACGGAAGACGCCGAAGAAGAAAGTTACTCTGCTCAGATGTTCTGTAACGATGCTGAGTTAGAATACGAAGAGAATAGAAAGAAGGGTGAAGAAAAGCGACCCGGGACTCGCGATCGCGTTCTTATGTGCGCCAGCGGTTACCACGGAGCTGGTTGAGGCGAAGGTACTTGAAGGCACCGTTGTCGAGATCGTGGGATTGCCGGTTGAGGTCAGTGTAGCTGGCGGCGTGGTTACTGGCGAGGTTACCGACGCGGAACCCGTACCTGCACCAGGTGAGGAGCTACTGCTTTCTTGCGCAGGACTGGATGGGGATGAGGATGTCACCTCCGAAGATGATGTGGGGAATACCGTCGACGATGTTGGCTCTGATGAGGTTGCTGTAGCTGTAGCTGAGGATTCAGACGAGACTGAGGGAATTGACACAGCGCTTGTTACGGATGTTGGCTGCGAGCCAGGTACCGTTGTCCCGGAGCCTGTGGTTGAGACTTGGCCTTGCCCACCGTTGCCGCTGGAGGCAGCAGTAGGGCTCGTTGCATCACAATAGTTGATCCATTGAGCGAAGGCTGGTTCCAAATAATCTCTCTTTGAAGCCTGTGCGTCCTCTGTATTATCATCGATACAGTCGTTGCATGACTTGTAGTAGTTCCGGAAAGCGGAACCTGCATCGCACAGTTGTGGAGATTTTCCTACGGCTTGGGCTTCCAGATTGGCATTCTGGCATGTATCGAAGCACACAGCTGGCGCCACAGGTCCTCGCTTGAAGAGTAAATCAGATCTACGCTGCTTTGGCTTCGATGTGGGATGCGCCGTTCCAGTTGTTGACGGGGGGTAGGCCGTCAAGTCTGTCTGAGTCCCCCAGTTCCCGGTAGCTATAGTCGTGAGGACGCCATCTTCGACGACGGGGACATAATTGACCTCGAATATATCATTGCTAAGCCCGAAAGCTGCAGGCGCGAGGTAAAAGTACCCTTCGGTAGGGGGGTAGTAGCTCGTGCTGTTCTCTTTCCATCTGACGTTCGGATATGAAGGAGAAGGGATACACCACGCCTGATTTTCACAGACATACGTGACGTCTGGTAAGTCTGCATAGACATTGCAGCCACCAGTTTTCGGCTTATTGCAAACTGTCCCGGGCAAACAACCCCATGTTCGGTTTGATTTGGGATCGTATGGAGGGACCGCTGCCCCGGGACTGTTTGCCGGTATAGGACACGTGCTTACTGCTGTAATGACAGATGTAGTTGTCACCGTAACAGGAGGGATCGTCAGGGTAACCGGCGGCAATGTTATGGTTGTCGGTGACACGGTTGTGATCACCTGGGTTGTTGTAAAGCTAGTGGTGCTCGTTACCGAATCAGTGACTGAGATCAATGACACTGTAACAAATGTAGTCGTTGTAGTCAGAGTCACCAGAGATGTGGTGACCTCGGTTGTAACCTCTGTTGTGAATTCTGTTGTTGGCGATACGGAGATAGCCGTAGTAGTAGCGGTCGTGGTGTCCGTCACGGTATCTGTTGTTGGCGACACTGACACTGACACCGAAGTAGTTGTTGTCGTAGCAGTATCTGTCACGGTATCTGTTACGACTTGTGTAACATTCCTGGTAACTTCGATCTCAGTCGTGTAAGTTGTAGGGATAAACTCAGTTGTGGTTGATGTGAAATTAACCACAACTGTTGTAGGTACAAAGTCAGTCGTTGTTATTGTCTCTGTAGAAGTTGTTGGGACTATTGTGGTATACGTAGTTGTTGCAGTATCAGTCGTGGTGGTAATATCGGTGGTAGTGGTAGTATCAGTAGCAGTAGTAGTTGTAACGATCGTCTCCGTAACATAAGTAGTAATGAACACTGTGACCGGATATGCCGTGGTAACATAGCTCGTGATCGTCGATGTATGATCAATAATGATTGTTGTAGGGGAGACAGTAGTTGTAGTTATTACGTCTGTGATTGTCGTCGGTACTACTGTAATGTAAGTGATTGTCTCGATATCAGTAGTGGTAGTAGTATCAGTGGTGATATCAGTGGTAGTAACGACATCGGTAGTAGTAGTAATATCAGTAGTAGTGACCGTCTGTGTAACACTACTAGTAATAAGAACAGTGGTCACAAAGGTTGTGGTTATATAGCTTGTACTCGTCACTGTATGATCAATCGTAGTGATTACAGGTATGAGGCTAGTTGTAGTTATCACCTCCGTGATCGTTGTTGGAACCACTGTTGTATAAATCAGCGTATCGGTGGTGGTGACCTCATCCGTGGTTGTAGTGGTAGTCTCGTCCGTCACTGTATCTATAATGGTGATATTGCTAGTGATTGTCTCTGTTAAAGTAGTGGGTTCAGTCACTGTCTCTGTGATAGTCGTCGGTACCGTAATGACGATAGTTGACGGCGTCGTAACAGTGGTCGTCTTAGTTCTTGTTTTCGTCACAGTAATTTCTTTGGTAATGATTGCAGTTATAGTTATTGGCTTAGTAACCGTCGTTGGCCTGGTAGTTGTCTTTGTCGTAGTGATCCATTTCGTGACGGTGACGCACTGTGTGTTCGACGGGTTGTACCAGGGTGCAGAGCACGACACGGTGGAAGTGGGATATGAAGTTGGATATGTCTAGATCTTGTTAGATCAAAAGTCGCTTTCCCAGAACGCATCTTAGACATACCACATATTCGACATCACTAGTAAACTCAGTGACCTGCTGTGCTGGAGTGCTAGAAATCTCAGTGACCTGTTGTACTGGAGTCTCTGAATTGGTGATGGATATCGTCACTTCGTGAGTAATTGTAACTGTAGGTTCCTCTACCGGCGTTTGCGCATAACTACTATAGAAAGACACAGGAACAGTCGACGTGTCACTGCCCCTGAAGTGAGCATTTGTCTTCATTGTAAGGCATTGATTGGTCTTCGGTGCACTTACTAGCTTGTTATGGTCTCAGTCTCAGTGACAGTATAAGTCTTGAGTGAGTAGCATTGATTTTGCGGAATGCTGCTTATGTTGGGTATAGACGCGAATGCGGCTGCCGCCCCAAACGAGAGCCAGTATGTGAAGATCATGGTAAAAACGATCGCGGGGCTCAACTAAATAGTGTACTCGGATTCGAATTAGGTGTTCCAAAGCGAAGGTTGAGTTGATCTCGAAGTGCGTCTTGAGCGAGCGGGTTGCACGAGAAGAACTCTTTGATACGTACTGAGTAGCACGCTGTCGCCCCTAAAGATCTATCTCGGAAAGAGACACGAGGATATTTGCGAAGACCATCAGCTGAAATCCCCAGTGACTCTTCGTATTAATCAAGAAGATCTCAGAGGTATTCGCAAATCTTTATCAAGCCTTATTTCAATTGATACAGATCAATGGTGTGTGCCTCACGCAACCTAGCTCGTGGGCGTCTTGACAAGCGAAAGTCGTCCAATTACAACAACACCTAGCCGCAACAAAATCAGCCGATGTAAACGAACGCGAGGACTCGGCGGGAGCTTCGGTTTTCAAGAAAACGAGGGGCATGCTGGGCAAGGCTGAAGACTACAAGGGAGAGATTCATACGCGAATATACGAGTAGCCGAGCCAAGAGAAGGATAGCTACCCAAGCAAGGTTACAGCTCTGGACGGAATACCCCCTCCACCCGTTCTCCCACAGTTGATGGGACAACTGATCCTTGTAAGAGGAGATTTACTTAGTAACCGTAAGTGATCCCGGTTATTATGCATCTCGGCGTAGCACACAAGTGCTATCAGCCTCCAGTAGTCCGATTTGCTCTCCTAGTTACTTGGGCAAAACGGCTGACAAGGCGTCCGACTAGATGAAGCCACCTAGCTACGCTCGTCTAGAACTTGGGACTAGACATCAGGTGAGAAAGACCTGAGGCGATCTTACTCAGAGCGCCATATGAAGCTGGATCAAGATGTCGAGAGGGGCGTATAGTCCTAGGAACTACAGCAACTGTGCTCACGGGGCGTCAACTGCCTGGCTCATGAGCTCCTGTAGCTACCAAATCAGTTATGCCGGGACAGAGTCGCAACCGAATCTTGCCAAGAGCGGGGCAACAAGTGACTCGCTTGGTAACACTGAGATTTGACATTACAGACCAGGTTAAAGTAACGGTTCTCTTCCATTTTCTCTCTCTTGAGGGCGTCGAGCCTCCCCAAGCAAGTAGTGAGAGGGCTGCGACTTTCCAGATACGGCATCTACCTCGATCCAGAAGACGTGCGGCGGACGTCTAAGCTGCGCCGGGATTCGGATCCGATCCCCTACACAGGTTTGCCATATACGAAAAGAAGGCCGAGCTAGGGTGCGTGCATATGCACGGCGTTCAGTCTATTGAATAACAAGCATGAGAGCAGCAGGGGTTCAGTCCACGCAAGTGGCCAGACAGAAATGTGGTGTAACGTCAGAGCTACCTATCGTCTCTTCTAGAGCGTGCATGCTGCCTCGGACGACTAAATGCTGACGGGTCTCAGTGCTACGTAGGTATTGCTTGCCTTCTTCGAGCAACACGGGCGAGTGTGGGATCATGCTATGGATATAGCATCAAGTCGGGTAGTGTGCGCTACAAGGACCAGAAGAATCGTGTGTTGGCACTACCTGGACCCTGTCATCTAGTGGGATTGTGCTGTCAGGTCGCCGACGTCCTATTATATGTAAATGTCAAGTAACAGAATCAACTGCCTACTTACGTGTCTACTACAACTAGGTAGTTTCTGCCGCTTTCCCTCCCTCTTTCTGTTAGACCTCTCTCTTTCTGTTAGATTATCGACTGGCCGAGACACCGCCGATCACGGCAGGTCTCGGGATATAGTGTTGATCATGTTGGTATGCCAGAGACCAACGCCGGCAGCCTAAGAAATGAGTCTCGATGAGTGACTTTGCACTCTTTTGAGCACCGGCAATATATTACCATTGTATCTGACCAATTGTATTATATCAGTGCCCACTATAGTAGTAGATGATTGGTAGCGTATTTGTGTTACCAACGGGACCAGTTTTGGTGTTTGCGGCTAAGCTACCTGCTGTCAACGGGGTTGGCTATTTACTCCATCAGCTCGTATTAGCCCGACTGACTGGCCCGGTTCTGCAAGATTTCGTGCTGGCATGTGGCTGCCACCATCGCCAACGTCAGCACGGAGTATACCGCCAACGGTAGGGCCAAGGAAGAGCTACAAAATACGGTCTTTTGTGTACTTATAGTGCCTACTACTTAAGTAAGCTGTAAGCCACCTAGAGTGCTCGGATACCTCTAGCTATAATTAGCCTCGAGATCTATCAGCTGCTTCGTTATCCAAGCCCTATATCAAGATTGTTGGTATTTATAAGTGATCATTGGTTTGGTAGACAGGCATTCAGCCGCCTACGTTGGCCGGATCTCAACTCAGATTCCGATACCATGACCACACTAGGCTGAGTGTACGCCAAGTCGGCACAGAATAAGGACATGCGTTGGCTCTAGAGGGAGGTTGAAGCGAGTAGGTATTGCAATGGAATCGCTCATTGCCACCAAACGTGGACTAGGTACGTAGGTACCGGTAATGAAGAGCACCTACATTCTGAGTACCTAGCCATACATGTACATGTAGTACAGCGGAAGCGGGGTAGGTCTCGGCGGCCCGTGAACCAGGCCAGGTTCCTGAGTCGGCAACGTTCATGGTAATACCTACTCCATACCTAGTACATAGTACAGTGGATATTTCGAGAATGTCTTGGCCCAGGGTTCCAATCGTTGCGTGTTGCTCGCTCGCAGGTAAATCAGGCTTGACATTGGTATCCGTCGGACCACATACGGTAGGCCTTTCCAGAGCCTTTCAATCACCGTACATTCACCCAAGGATGGTCAAGCAATCAGGTGTGTTGACAATCGCCAGTAATACTGTATGTATGTACTTCTCTGTACTTCGTAAGCTTACTTCGAAGGCGCCATAGAATTCCGCCTAGGTACTTTAGAAGACGGTAAATGAAACCATCAGCAAAACGGCGCTCTAACCTCAAAGGGTAAGGAGGCGGCGATGATAGGGCAGAAGAACAGGGTCTGACAGGGGACAAGCCCTTCCCTTTCATTATCACACTAAGTTAAGAGGCTTGGAGAGACAGGTCCAACTGCTGGGACGTGTGAAGCGATCTCGTTGGTCAGGCTGGGGGAAGAGGGGATTGGACATATGCAGTGGTCCTAACTTCAAGTTCCAACAACGACTGCGACTCTGAGATACCACCGCCGAAAATCTCTGCTCGTTCTCCATCTACTGTTATGTTACCTTACAACTTTACGAAGTTGGACAGCAGAAGATACGAGAGAAGAATGTGAGGCCGCGAGTTAGCTCGGTTACCTAGGCCCATCAACTGAGGAATAGTATCAAATTCTATATCGTCAAGTCCTTTGATCTAATGACCTAAGCACGGATCGCCGAAACACCTGCCACAGTGGCAGTGAGCCTTGCGATGGTAGGTACTGTGGGTTGGGAAGTTCTCCCACGAATTAAGTAGGCATCTCATATGATGTCCTGCCCCGAGTAGAGGAAGCAGAAGGTGGTTGGTATTCTCAGCCCATGGACGAGCCTTGGTCGAGTGACCATCCCTCCCCACCCCAATCAGCAGCCGCACGTACATACAACCACCTGCACAACAACCTCAGGTTCCTCTACGGCAGGGGTGCGGCCATCCAATGGGAGAGACCGCTCGCAGCTCTTCACCTGTAAGACATGCCACCGCCGCCATACAGATGACGGTCCATACTACGTAACAGTACTAAGTCACGACAGGCTCGTCTAGCTAACAACGCCCTTGGCTAATTCGCTTCTTGTGTGTGTCCATCCTCTGCAACTATACGTAGCAATCCCATTGGGGCAACCTGTCCCGGACGGGTCTAAATACCAGTAAATATATTGGTTGCTGACTTGTACTTGCAGTCCGATCTTCCAGCCATTGCGGCATGTCAGGGCAGCAACAACGTCTTGGCATGTTGGCTAACCCCTCCATTGCCACTGGCAGAAAATGCTCCAGATACCTCTTCCCGCATGTTATGGGGTCGATCCAAGCAGGCTCGCCCGACAATGATCAGCCTCTCCGACTAGTTTCCTTCCCAGGTTTGTGAAGACTACGGCGTCTGAATAGCTTAGTCCAGATAGCAAGAGAGCCAGTTAAGCGGAGAGTATACACATATGTGGAATTTTTAGAGTGGATATGAAGATATTACGAGAGGATAGCTAGATCACTTCACCAACTTGGTCTGCTCTTTCAACGCGAAGGAGATGCTATCTCCCTCCCACCCCAGATTATATATCAGCTCAGCTTACTTAGTGGCCTAGGCGTAGCAGCGGTGGGCGAACGACTTTTCGCTAAGTGGTGTAGGAGCCTAGCCTGCATGGATCACCAGCCTAGACGTTGTGTGAAAACTAGATTCACACTAACATAGATATCACTTGTCAACTGGCAGACTAGGATGACGACCTAATTGGAATCCAGGTCGCCCTTTCAAAGCCTTTCTATCTACTAACCAACTCGGCCACAGCTTTACTTGTTTGATGCGCCGCCAACTTGGGGGTTTCACCTTCGCCACCTATTCCAACGAGGAGCTTCGGGCCGTCTTGTTCCCTGCTTCCTTGGGTTATTCCAGGCTCCGTCTATTGGCCCCTGGGTTGCTATACTCTTGATGGTTCTAACTTGAAGTCATTATTGACCTATCGTTTCAAATGGTCGGGCGGCAATCTGTTATCAAAGCAGCATTACATCTATCCGTTGTATTGTTTCGTTCTCAGGATAAAGATTCTGTATGATGGGATGAACTCATTTCCCATCCACCCCCATTTTCTCGATTGGAGATTTTGTTCTGTCAGCAGCACAAAGGAAAGCCGCATCCATATACAAGATGCATCAGAACAGGATATTAATCGCCGCGCTTGCTGCTGGCGTCCCGTCATTGGTTAACGGACAAGAATCAGGATGGGTCGAGGGTCAGAAGAGCGCTACGATGTGTGCGTGGAAGGGACTACGGGGTACGTTGCCGCCTTCATTCAATGCCTCTTGAGCATGTAGTTCCAAGGTTGACCATGCACAGCGGCACAGATAAACGACACAGTTTACATAGACGGTGGTAACCTTTACTGGGTGCCAGAGCTCGCAAATGGCGACTTCGGTCCGGCATTGCCAGATGGTGAGTTGCTCAGGTGCCTAGAGAAACCTTGGGTCCGCATCTCACAACTATCCAGGTAACCCGCTCGGACTCATATATACGCTGAATTTCAGCATTCCATTCAACACCAGCACCAACATTAGCAGCATCTTAGGGAACATATCCAAGGCCCCAGGTGGTGGTGCAGCCAACAACTTCGGTCCAAACTATTATGATGGCGCAATGCTTGCTAATAACCTCGAGTTCTTCCTTTACGGAGGATTACTGAGACAAACTAGCGCGTACGAGCTTCCTGAAGCAGATGACACGCTCGCCTATATAGTGCATGATGGGTTGGATAGAGAGGGTTGGCACCCAGGATTCCTGAACAAAAAGCTCCCAGAAAACATGACTCGATATGTCACGTACGGCGGTGCTGCGAATGCTCCGTCCGAAAACAAGGCATGGTATTTCGGAGGATCTCGAGCGCAATCTTGGGGGCCAATCTACCAGCCAGGCTATAATGACACCACAAACCCTCTCAATGCTTCTAACACTCTTATAACTCTCGACTTCAACGTACAGCAATCGGAAATTTGGACGAACACTACTCTCCCTCCCGGAACAGAAAGCCGAGCAAATCCTTCGGTAGTTTGGGTACCTGTGGGAGAACAGGGAATTCTGGTTGTTCTAGGAGGTGTTCTTTACCCTAGCTACAGCACTGGGAATCCGAAATCATTGAATGAAGCTCAAAGTGTAAGCTATCGGAACTGTGACAAGAATGACCACTAACCTGAGAGAAGGAAAAAGATAGCCCGCGCTATATGACCAACATTGATATCTACGATGTCGCCGGGAAGAAATGGTATCAGCAGCCCACTACTGGGGCACCGCCTGCATTGGCTATGGGCTGTGCGGTGACTGCGACGGCTCAGGACCAATCGAGTTATAATATTTACTACTACGGAGGATATGACGGAATCCACGAAAAGGAAAACTTCAATGATGACGTATGGATCTTGTCGTTGCCATCCTTCATATGGACAAAAATACCGGGCACAGCAGGCCACGCTCGTGCTGGCCACCAATGCTTGACGCCATATCCAGATCAAATGGTGAGTATAGGAGGATCTCGGTCTCTGCAAGGGGCTTCCATAAAGTGTCTTGATAGCAGCATCGTTGAAGTTTTCAACCTCACCGAGGGAAGATGGCTTAGTTCATATGATCCGAGTCGCTGGAGCCCGTATGGCGTGCCTGAGGTGGTCCATTCTAAGATTGGTGGTGACTATACTGGCGGTGCTACTATAAAAACTCCAACTCCAAGCGGCTGGGCCGCCTCAGGACTCGCGGATATTTTTGCCACGACATATCCGGCCTCTAAATTAACGACCTACTATCCTTATAGTTCCCAGAGCTCGGGAAACGAAACAAGAGGACCATGGAACGAACCCAAAAAGGGAGGCGGCACACCATCTTGGGTAGCGCCCGTCCTAGGTGTGGTTCTCGGTCTCGTCTTCATCACGGCTATCGTTGTGGGTATTCTACTATATCGACGGCGGAGCTTATTGTCGAAGAGGAACAATCGAAGCGAAACCCCAGCAGGCGATGACTATGGCCATCGCCATTATATTAGGGTATGGCTAAATAATACCCAAGAGAAGGCCCAGACCGTCACAACAGAAGACCCGTCCACCCGCTTCGACTTCACGGACAGCCGAAATGAAACGCCGATGCGCTCAGTAGGCTTCACCTCCCCATCTCCCATTCCTGAGATGACGCAGCACGTCGAAATGCCGGGAGATCATCAACAACTGCCATATGAGCTGGGTGGTAAGAGCTCGAACCATGTCCCCCAACTCGAAACATAGCTAACAAGGCCCAGATACCAGCAGCCCCCGTGTTGCAGAGCTCAGCGGAGGATCGCCGCGTTCAGCTCTCAAAGCATCCTCATTCTTCACGGGCTCGACCCCGCAAGAGCAGCCAAGTAGTCTCAGCTCGTCACAAGCTGCCCTGCCCCCGCCTTCAGTAGCCGAAACGTTAGGCCGCGAACGACCGGACTCGCCTCCACTAGGAAACATGCGTAGAACACCGCCACCAAACCGCCACGCAGTGGTCAGCGATCTGAGCGGCATAAACGAGCAAGCTATATCACATCTGCGCAATCTGAGCGGCGGGACGGTAAGCTCGACAGCGCCCAGCATGGCCTCGACACCGCCCGCCGTGCAGACTGGCTTCAACGGGCCGGTGAGCCCTCCGTTGCCGAGCCCACCCAGCGCGCTTGATGACCACGATGCTGGGGATTACATAACTGCGCATCATCACGCTCGGTACCCGCCCGGTCCCGGCCGGATGCCGGGGACAAACAGCGCGTCAAGATTGAGCATGTTCCACGAGGACGCGGAAGATCTCGGCGACTCGTCGACACGTGCAGGGCACAATACGCGGTGACAGGCCCGCGCGGGCTGGCCACGTTGTGGAAAACGGGGAAGGGGGTATAAAGATACAAACGGCGCGCTCATTTAGGCATGTTTTTCAGCTATAGTGGTAATGGCGATGGCGATGATGATGACTCCGATGACTTCGATGACTCCCTTTCTCTCGTTCAAGACATCCATTCATCGACTGCGCACCACGGCATATCAGTATTGTACGGGAGTTAAGTCAATGGGAGACCGAAATAAAGGTAATAGGGTATATTGGGGTTCTGTATCCGGAACGAGGTTTCAACTGGGAATTATATGGGATACATCTGGCCTTTTCTTAGCATGCCCACTGGTCTTACTTCGTATATATAGGTATTATTTTCATGTTCCCTGTTTGGTGGTTGGATTCTGTGACTGCCTATACGTAAATACCTAACCAGACTCTGCAAGTGATGACTTGATCCCAAAACTTGGACTAGGTAGTATATCACTCTACCTACCTAGATAGGTATGTGGAAATACCACAGCGTAGTTGTACTACTACTATTTAGTTTCTTCTTTTCAGAATCATGTATCTATCTTGTTGCAAACCCGCGCCTTTCACTCTACAATTAATTGTTGGTACCTGTCTGAGGCGGGCAGGTTGCCCTGAATGTGGTAGTGGGTCGGTCCCCTGCGCCTTACCTAGCGCGGATAGGCTCCGTGGCCTCTCAGAGCGTCCCTATCAGGCAATCATTTAGCAAGCTATCGTAAGCTTTCAACGTCAAGCTCCCAGCTTCGCAAGTCCGTCCACCGATTTGACCAGATCCTTACACGCGCGCGTAAAACGTCCAACGATCCGATCTCAAGGCAGATTCCTCACACACGGAGAATTCGGTCATTTCTAGGATTGTGCACAGCAGAGCTGGGAAAGATGTCTGGCGCGGGTTATGATGCTGTCGTGGATGTGGATGATGATGTGAGTGCCTAGCTATCTGTCACCTTTCAACGCATCGCTGCGTCAAACAAGCTACCGATTTGTCTGTCCTGATAGCTTGACCAACTCCGCCGTTTTATTCATCCCGGTGGCAATCAATCCGACGAGCTGAAGAACCTGACCTAATATTTCATTCAATAGGGCGATCTCGGCCACACCGATCTCCAAGAAGACCTAGAGTTCCACACGTCGACATTCACAAACGCATCGACGACGGGCCGAAAGTATACGCCCTCGTCGACATCGGGTCTCCCGCCCCCCGCAACGGCTGGGACCGGCGGGTCCTCGGGCTCTGCCACGTCGAAGCGATATCTGTGGACGCTGTCGTTCTACGCGCAGTTCTTCGATGTCGACACGAGCTCCGTGCTCGCGCGTTGCTGGGCCGCACTATACCCGCGCGACAACTTCCTTGACGTGCTCGAGGGTAACCCGGATCTCTACGGTCCCTTCTGGATCGCAACTACCGTCATCCTGATACTTTTCCTCGGCGGAACAATCAGTCAATACCTGGCGAGTAAGGGGGCTGGACCTTTCGCGTACGATTTTGAGCTGTTGAGTGGTATGTACTCCTTGGATGTATCTCATTAATTTTGCTCTGTTCATCTGGGATATCAAAGTCATGGATTTATTATCCCAAGCAATGCCCGAACCATGATTTTACCTTCAATCAATTAGTAGCCGCGTCGCTAACATGTGTCCCCCAATAGGTGCCGCGGGCTTAATCTACGGCTACACGCTCGTGATCCCCATCGTTCTCTACGGGGCGCTGCGCTACTTCGGCTCCGAGTCCGCAAACCTGCTCGAGTGCTGGGCTCTCTATGGTTACTCGAATCTGATCTGGATACCCGTTGCGCTCATCAGCTGGTCGCCGCTGACGATCCTTAACTGGGTGTTCGTCGGCGTCGGTTGGGCCGTATCAGTAGCTTTCTTGTTACGGAACTTATACCCCGTCCTCAGCGCTACCGATCGCCAAACGAGCAAGATCCTTCTTGTTCTCGTTGTTGCCCTACATATGGGTCTCGCGCTTGCCATAAAGATCTTATTCTTCGCCGCCGGTAGCCCCGTTGCGAATGACCCGCATGTTCCGAACGGAAATGATAAGGACGCTGGAGGTAAAGATGGCGGTGCTGGAGATGCGACGCGATCCTTATTTTAAGAGGGAATTTTATTGATTGATTAATGGATGAGATGGGATGAAACGGGATACAATGTGTCGACCAGCATCGCAAATCTAACCGACTTGCATGGTTTCATGCCCGATTACCCAAGGTGGGTAAATAAAGATCAATTTTTTGTAAGAAATAGGCTTTCGAAGTTCGACACCCGGCGTTTTTTGAGGATTTGGCTTGTACCGTAATATATATTGTACTGTACAGTAGCTGGGACATATGAGATTTAGCCAGAAATGTTTATTTATGTTGGACTTAGATCAGGTTCACTTTTATATGTTCTGGTTTATTAAGCACACCATACCATATATACATACTTCAACACACAACACCACAAAGGTTGACTACGATTCATAGGGCTATTGATATACTGAGTCTGACTGAGGTACCAGCTATATACTATACACGACCTGCCACAGACCGCAGGTGAATTATCCCGGTCCACGCGATCTTAGCTAGGGAATTATCAGCGAAACCGGATAGTCACGTGTTCACCGCTCTGCTCTCTTGTCTTATCCCATCCCACCGTAAGAGTAAAGTTGACGTAGATATCTTTAAATCCCACAAGTTACAGACACCCCAAGGACGCTTCCCAACCCAACAACAAGCGCCCACGCCCACCCTCCCCCAAACATCAACATCACCGCTCAACAGCACCTCCTTTCCCACTCCACTCGATCCACGAGCCCGGGAACTCGCCAGTATTCGTCCAGCCGGCCTCCCTCGCGATCCCCGCAGCAGCACGACTGCGCACGCCAGCCTTGCAGTAGAAAACCACCTCTTCGTCTTTCTCCGGCCGCGCGAACCCGAAGCGGTCCTCGAATTCCTCGGGCGTGAGGTGGAAACTGTCCGGCGACGTCGTGATGGGGATGTTGAGGGCCCCCGGGATCCGGCCGGTGGATCGGAGCTCGCCGGGCTCGCGGACGTCGATTATAATGGGTTTGGGGGAGGGCGAGGTCGTTAGGGATTGGATCTAACGGGTTTAGTCGGTTGGTTGAGTATGTAGTTCGAGAGATCGTGTAGAAGAACGGCTGGAGAGTAAGTAGATGGGCGAGTTGGTTGGTGAACATACTTCTTCGAAAGTCCAGATTTTGCTCCCCGTGGCCGATGTCGTCGACCATCGCACGGTGAAGGGTACCTTCGCTTGCCGCCTTACTAGCTGGTGTTGCGCTGCTCTCGGCACAGTCGGGACTATATGCCTCTTACTACTGAATGTGGCGCGCATACATATCGTCGGCGCAGCATATACGTTCGCCGAGCGCAAACACGGACGCACAGCCAATGCGCCAGAATTCAGGATGCAACGAGCTGATATGGAGGACATTGCGGCGTATTGGTGTCAATATAAGGTGCGAGTAGGAAGGTAAGGTCACCGGAAAGTTGAACAAGCCGATTCAAGTGTGTATGTATATTAGTATGGTGATTTGTCTGCTCTAAAGGTATCGAGTTGTAGAACCGAGGCCTATCTATCACAACCTACGTAATGGGCCAAGAAATGCTATAGAGGGGTACCCATCCAATCGGCTTCGATACCGGGACAAGCTAGATATGAAGCTCTGATCCCAGCATCATATCCTAGGTATGTATATATCTACTTAATTACAGCAGCGTATTGCTCAGCAGTATCCTCAAGAACTACTATCAGATGGATTCAACTTTGTTCTGTCGGCTGACTATAACAAGGAACAAAGAATGATGAGGATGAATGCCATAATTCGATTAACTCTCTAATAGTCTCCTCATTCGAACTCTTCACCTAACACTTAAGAACAACCACGCCCAAGGCTGACGCAGATATGACAACATAATGATCAAGTGGTAGACAACTCGATTACTTACCTGCCTAGGCTTTATTCTTCACCTGTTAGCAATCTCTACCTACCTACTACCTATTTTAATATCTTGAACTGATAACCCAAATATCTCGGCGCCTGCGCTTTATTTGCCCAGAAAAAGCAGGTACTTAAGTAAGAAATAATTCTCAAACTCACCTATACTTACCTAATACCCATATACCAGCACAGAATAAGCAATTCGGAGTCCAGGAGACAGCATAACAGACTCGTCAACGTTTCAGTATCCCACGCAGGTATACAACCCCTACTCCTACTCCTACTCACGCGAGCCATATTATATCGAGCTCTATCTATCTAACACGTTATAAGAACACGAAGAAAATACCCTACAAAGGTGTATTTATCCATGCACTACCCTACCAGAGAGATTGACCAAAGGCGCATACCACGAACACTAGTATATCTATCGATGGTATAACTGTGTTTGTTGTTTATTTGTTTAGTTCATTCGTTCGGTTAATAAGCTAGCTCATACATACATACCTAAGCTGATGTATTGATTGGCTAGCTTCATTGAGCCGCACTCACACCTCCACGTCTTCCGTCCGACCTGACTTCCAACAACTGATTTGTTTGTTGGCTATGTCTACCGGCACAACATGGTTATCCCACAACCATTTTCAGCACTAACATGAGCATCATTACCACAATAAGACGTCTTGAACGGCCTGATTGTTGCGATCAACGGATACGAACTGCTGCCCCCAACGTTGATTTCAAAGTTTGTTTAATTCAAATATGTACAATGCCATCATTACAATTATTCTAAATAACCGCTCTTCGCATGCTTCAATGGTCTAATCAGCGGGTATTGTCTTGCCCTTTTCGTGGAATGACAAAAAATTTATCGTCCAAAGGGTGGCGGCCAAAACCGTCATATCTATATGCCTTTCTTTGTAGACAAGGCTTGTGTCATCATCATCGTTATTTTACCATTTCCTCTCCTCGAACGTCAAGGGGCAATCATCCTAGGATTCATGTTAGCTACAAGTCACAAAAGAGGAACAGCCATCGATACATACCTTGGGGAAAATGCAGGCAAAGACCTTGATCTCCTCGGACAGTGGCGTAGCATGGTGCTTCCAGTCTAGTTGGAGCGAGGCTTTACCCAAAAAGAGCGCCAAGTTAAGTTGAGCATAGTGCTGACCCAAACAGTAGTGAGGGCCCGTGCCAAAAACGAGGAAGTTCTTCTTGCCCTTCTCTTCAGCATCGCCTGAGTAGTATCGTTCAGGGTCGAATTCGTCAGGCTTGTCGTAAACTTCGGGATCCCGCAGCGCCATATACGTTGTAGGGATAATCATGGCACCCTTAGGAACAGTGTAGTCCTCGGTGATAGGGAATGCCTTCTTAGCCTTATAGGGAACCATGATGACAGGAGGACGCCAGCGCAGAAGCTCACGGACGACAGCACGGGTGTATGTCATCGACTCTAATTGATCCAACGAGACAGGTGCATTAACATCACCGTTACGGACACGGTAGTTCTCCTCGCGGACTCGGTCCAAAACATCGGGTCGCTGCGCAACAACCTGGAACAAATTCGTGGCAGCACTGCTGGTGGCATCTTGGGAGGCGAAGAGGAAGGTGAAAATAGTGCGTGCAATTTCCATGTCCGAAAATTCGCGAATGATAGGAGAGGGCTTGACGAGACCTTCAGTGGAAAGACCCTTCTCAGTGGCCTCGAGCCATTTCTTTGAGTCAATCATCTCCTTGATCCAGGCATCCATGATGCAAGTAATGTCACCTCCAGCGGCCATACGAACCTTGGCCTTGGCAGCACACTTGGCAAACTCCTCCATAGTCTCGCGAGCAGCACGTTGTCCGTACCACGTACGCGTGTAGGGAATGATGATGGGGAAGTTGACGAGATCGAGGGCAGCTGTAACAAGGTAGTAGTCGTCGGCAACCTTCTTGATGGCAGAGTCGGCCATGTAATAGCCAGCAAAAGTACGGAGGGAAACGGCGCACATCAGCTCGCGGAATTCGTGCATGAAAGGGAGGGGCTTGCCACCAGCATCCTTAGTTAGCTTGAGGAATCGAGCGAAATAGCGCTTGTATTCGGATTCCTGGCCCGGCAGGTAGCATTCGAGAGCCTTGCGGGTGAAAAGGTTGTTCAGGCCTTTTCGGTAGTCGACATGTTGTTTTCCATCCATGAAGACCCAGCTGTCCTCTCCCAAAATCTTGGTAGCGATATCGACGACACAGGGCTTTACATATTGAGGAGCATTGAAGATTTTCCTAGCAAGGTCTCGGGTCGAAGCGATAACGACGAATCTAACAAACAAAACTGTAAGCTGATAGCTGGTAGAACGGGAGGTGGGCATTTCCTACTTGTGGAAGACCGAAACACAGCTGAGAGGGCCGCTCTGCCATTTGGCCAGATATTCTTCGAATTTAGGATCTAGAGACTCAAGGAACGGTCCAATAAAAGGTTCCTTGAAAGAAGGTCCCGCGATAGAACCCTTTTGAAGAAGATAGCTGACTACAAATAGAAGCGTCAGTCTCGAATTTGTTCTTCATTGTACTGTAACAAGCGCGTCCTACTCACTCTGATCATAGGCGACAGCCAGGGCGATGATAGACACGACCCAGGTGAGCAGGCCAGTGTTCATGACAGCATCGACAACAGATTCGATCTGGGGCGCAAAAGCTCCCGCAGAAGGGATCGCGTTGGCCAGAGGCGATGTGAAGCTCGCGTTTGAAGCCATGGCCGTTGGGGGAGGGTTGCCGACCAGCGCAAACACGCAAATACCCGGGGGGAAAGCTATCCGAGTTTTAGATATCTGCCAAAGCTCGGGTATTTGGCTTGGGGAGAGGGTATAGAGAGCTGGAGGGAGGAAGAAAAAAGATAAGGGGGAAGAGATGATTTAAGAGGATCAGAGACTGGAAGGTGTGGGCAAGCTACCTAGAGTACCTACATATGTAGAATACTACTACTAATGTAATAAGAGCCGAACGAGGAGGTAGGTACAGTACCGCCTGGTGTATCTGTAATATTATCTGGAGTAGGCACTTTGGCTTAAGCTACTTGCCTACCTACCTACCGTAGTATCCACCACATGTACAGGTAAGCTCGCATTCGTGGAACTTGTTTAACTGAGTACGCTAGTAATCGAGAAGGGAATTGATCGAGAGGAGAAGACTAAAGAAAAAAAAAAAAAAAAAAAGGATTCCCTGCATATACAATTTACCTCCCTAGGTCCCTAGAATTCGCTCAGACCCAGGGCCGAAGCTGGGGAGAGAGATGTAAACTTTCTAGGGTCAGGGTACCGCACACTAGGTATTTTTTTTTTGGTTTTGTTAGCATGACACCATGCGAATCATCCCGTCTGCTTGCTATCCCATTTGAGCATTGTACCCAGGCACCCAAGCTAGGATAGGCATGTACCTCTACATTGGAAACTACATGATTCGATGGAGTGTACACATTGCAGAAATAGTGGTCGCACTAGAGTATGTACAATGACCGGCGATATCACAGAGGAAAAGAATCAATTGGGTCGGTCATGTTGAACTGTACCTTGATAGGGCGCTACCTATGTAGGTACTATGTAGTTCCTCAACACGCGATCCTTTCACACAACCCTGCCAAGCCCAGTAGTCTAATATACTACTATGTACACATACCTATCTCTGTACCTACAGAGATATGTGATTGTAGAGGGGCAGCTGGGAGTACGGTAGACTTGAAGCTATACGAATGCGCGCCAATGCTGACCGTTTTACATTTTCGGATGGCAATGATTTGATAACTGATAACTAACTTCATCTCGAACCTTCAAGCCCAATAACTGCCAGTCACAGTTGACTTGTGTGAGGTCGGCGGAGGCCATGGCGACAGAAATTGATGCAACACCCCTCATGAACCGTGGTCCAGGGCGCATCCAGTACCTACCGAAGAAGCACACTGCAGTACATACCTCGCATAGGTACCTACTTGGGGAGGGAGCAGTGCTCGGTCGTACATGTACCTGAGCGAGTGCAGGTAGTGAGTCGTGTTGTTGGGTTATCAGGGCGGCTTGTTATCCAGAGCTTCCCCCTTTTCGCATTGGCCAATCTGATGCCATCTCCAAGGACGTACCAAGATGCTTCCCCGGTTCGCAGTGGGGCCCGTCTGCTCCAGTCGCAATGGGAGTACCTAAATGTACCGAAAACGAGACACTGAGACGCGTGGTTACAGCGCCATGTACATAGGTTCCGTACCTACCTGTCTAGGTATCTCCCTACCTTTACCTAGGTAATCAGCCATTGCGCCAGAAGACCCAATGGTCAGTACCTAAATTCTCTCCGACAAGGCGAGGTAGCACAACTGAAATTATCCCTACATTTGGTGCTATCCACGATGAAAAGCTCCAGCAAACGTACTACCTACTTACTTACAGCAAGGATTGTACTATGAGTCGCAGAAGGCACTACTATGTAGAGTAGGAAGCAGGTACCTACCTAGTGTACAGCTAGGTACTTCACATACTCTCTCTATTCTGCTCTAAGTAAGTACCTAGGTATGCTATCCCAGCTAGATCGGCAAGCGAGTGGAGAAAGACGAGATTGGGTATCCGGCCATCTGGCCGACCCCACCCATCCTTCCCTCCCGTTAATAAGCAACAAATCTCTAATCCAAGATTTTTTTTTTTTTTCTCTTCACCGACGTAGAACAGCCAGAAATCGTTTGACCATGTGCGGTGAAGTCCATCTAGACCCTCCTAGATCAGAAATACACCCTGTCCATCATACACGTATTCATCTTCCGAGGTCTCTGTCGGTACGATGCTCTGCCCATTTATATATGTCATGATGCGATTTGCGCAGATCCCCAATGGCATTTTGAGTGGACCAATCACGATAGAGCGTGCAGGCCATTCCGCGAGAGTTATCTCCGACTCCACCTTTTGGGATTAGAGAAAACTCGAATACGAATACGGCGGAGGAACAGCACAGAAGTACAATCACAACTACGGTCTCCCTACCTACTTATTACTACAGTGCCTACTTACTTACCGGAGCCGCAAGCACCCGCGCCAGCATCTGGCATTTGCGATGCCTAGGTACTTGTGCTGCGATGCACAAGAGACATTTTACCATTGGTCACGTGCTCCTTTTTGCATACCCGTGCTACTTGTGGGCTACAGTCATGAAACCGAGCACGGTCATGAGTCTACACTCCGTCCAGATCATCAGGTTTCATACTACCGGTATCATAAATTTCCCTAAATCGCAAATTCGCTATTAACAGTACTCCAATTACACTCTGTGTCACCCTCAGATTCAATTCCACGGGGTAAGGTAGCATTACCGCCGGTGCCTCGTGGCCCGTCTCCGTAAGCTAAAAGACCCGGTCGCGAACAACTCGGAACGTTTTAGCGATCTCCCGCATAGCCGGGTCCGCGAGGCACATGCTCACATGTCAATATAGATTGTATACATGTTAACATCATGGAACACTTTTGAAATTGGTGAACGGGGACAATATATATTCGTCAATACAACAAACTTGACAACTTCGCTACGACTTGGAGCTATCAAGAAAATAGTCATTCAACTATGTAGACAGAATATAACGATATCACAACATGATGAGAAGTTGAACCCATTAGGTCACTCAGCAAGCGAACAAAACTCCGCCTAAAACACACCAGTCTCAGAAGGGACGGGCGGGATATATACAGTTTCCACCGGTTGATAACTCACCCACCGTTAGGCAGTACCAACTCATAACTCAACACCAGTCCGCAGGTAACAATCATACCTAATTACCACCAGTCTGGCACTCTGTAAAATCCCCCTGTTTCTTTTTTCTTCTTCCTCCTAAACTCCAAGTCATAATGCCCATTGCAGAGACTCTGAGTGAGTCACACCTCATGCATCCTGCATGTGCCATGTCAGTCAGAAATTGCCTAATCAGGAAAGAGCCGTGGCTGTGCTTCCTTCGCATCGCCAGTGAGCCATCATGGCTCATCACTGTAAACTGTAAAACAAATGCCAACCACCTTAGCAAGCAATAGCGTGCTAGGACAAGAAAAAATCCAAGGATATCCGGGGTGTCAGTAATGCCTTGGCTGGACGTGGATAGGTTGGGTAGGAATGACTCAAACTATGAGGCTTGTCAAACGGGCAGGCTATGAATGGGTTGAAGATAAGCTGCATTTTGGAATTGGGGTCGAGTGACGTGACTGGCGTGAGTTTATGTATAAGTAGGTATGTGAGGTAGTGTTCGGATACGTTGATGTTGAATTTGCGCCACGATTCCATCCATCATCAATATTACAACGTTAACGGTTAACTACACGAATTTCAGAGCCTGTTATCCAGACTTCAGCCTCTTGCCCAATACTTGAAAAACACCCTACACCTCGCTTTATTCCCTCGAAGCGGACATGATAATGCAGCGAAGCACAGAAGGACGTTCGTTTAGTACGTATATCTATTTATTTAGTTTAGACTTATACACGAGATAGCTACAATGAGAACTCAATTCAAACCTCAAAACGTTAACAAAACCAAACTTGCAGAATACCAGAGCCAAGACACTGCATCCATGCGATCAGTCAGCTCCTTTTCAAGCACAAGAACGCTGCTTCGGAAGAAGTTTTTCCCTACAATGGATCAGAAGCACAGCACCGAACATACACCATCGCCGCGAGAGTCAACTTTCTCAAAGGAAGATCAGAAGAAACTAGTCGACTCAGCGATCCAGAACTCTGTGCGGATAGGCATCTGATCGACTCATTCCGATATAAGCGAAACACATACGAGCCAAAGCACGAATGCGAGAGCCACAAATATATCAGACCAGGGACATACACCGCATCAAATCCATGATCCTCTGACGCAAGCCACGCAACCAAACAGATAAATCTTATCCAGATACTCCGAGGAAATCCAGGAGAACGGCCTTATTCACTTACCCACTCACTTCATCCTCAACCTTTCCCCCACCGTCCAAGACGAGCTAGACATCCCCAGACCTCTGCAAGACGTCTCGCGATATCTACTCCGATACACATCCACCTCCTGCAGAGCGAGCACTGTACACATGTATATCCACAGTCCCGATTCCATTCCTTTTCTTCAGACTGTGCGAGCGCCGAGGCCCTCGCCTTGTCTGAGATCAAATGGAATCACGCAATGCGGAGATGAAGAGAGAGTGTTAAACTACGTATGTAGTTGACGAGGGATATGGGGATTTATGCAGGGGATCCAGGAATGGTTGCGTGTCCTGCTCTATCCCATGATGAGAGTTGTGAAGGAAGCAAAGTTGGGGAGGGGGGGGTTAGGGGAAGGGGAAGCCAGAGGAGGAGGAAGGAGATTTGGATTTGGGGTGAGAGTAGGAGAGCATGAAGATGGGGAACATAATGGAGTAGGAGAAATCTATTCGCTGTTAGAAAAGATGGTGAACTCGATGATAATAGTATAGGAAGAAGATGAGGAGGAGGAAGAATATTAACAAAGAATAAAATACATTATAATTATCAATGGAGAAGAATATAACAAGCTTCCCCTGCAGATATCCTTTCAGTTTCTAGCTATTACTAAAGTGTTCCAAAGAAATAACCCACAATATATTACAGGTATTTAACGAAAATACTATTAATCATATTACTTGATTTACTAAGTAAGAAATGATATACAACCAACCATCCATTGTTGTCATTTTAACTTGCTACATATCTAGAGTCTATATCTCCCAAAAGAAAAAAAATGCGAAGACATGTAATGTCCTTTCATGCGTCTGAATTCGAATTCTAATGATGAGTGTACCTATGCAACAAGAAAATGAACACTGTCAAGGCAGGTACTAGGAAAAAGCAGTACAGGCTAAAGGCTGCTCATTTCAAGCTATGTCCTATAAAAAGGGGTATCTTAATTTTTTTTTGGGCTTCTCATGCTTTTTCTATCTATATTCTCGTATCAGCACGCAAGTATATCCCGCTATCTCGAGACAGTGATTTCATGGTCATGGCGACCGTCATGAATAACATCACTTTCTTCCACACGTAATCACACATCCCCACGTTAATGCCAAACCTTTCACTTTCTTCAGAGGTGTCCAAGTCCTTTAACTCGACTAAAATGTATCGTCTAGGATATTATGGTTCACCTTGACCATAGTAGGACTGTCCTCCAAAGATTCCTCGGGGGCCGCACCAGCCGTGATGAGAATATCGTCAACGATGCGACGACTAGCTTCTCGCGCTATTTCAAATCACCATCAGCTCTCTTCATCTTCATCACTACAACTAGCAACCCCTCATCGACAAGCGTTGAGCGAAAAGGATACACTTACCAGGCGTTTGCATGAGCTTACTAGGAGGTAGCGCGAACTGTATCGTCTTCGGTGGACTCATGCCCCCAAATACACTATCGTCATCCATGTCGTCTTCGTCGCTCTCCCAAGTGATCTCATCAGCTCTCCCTTTCCCTTTCCCTTGCTCCTGAGACCGTACCTCGGCAAAGATATCCCTTTTCTTGGCCGTCGTGGGTGTCTGCACGCTGATCCCCGGCGTTCGTGGCCCCTCGTCCCGACTGCGCTGCCGCGTCTTTAGCGGAGACATGTACAAGTCGCTTCGCAGCTTTGGGGCTGCTATCTCGGGCGAGCTCATGGGGCTCTCGGCCCACAGCGCCCGACGTGCCCTGTCTTCTTCAGACTCTTCCTCTATACCCTTTTTCTGGGGTGATCGGCCGCGGGTCCGCCCTGCCAAAGGAATAGTCTTGAGAGGTGTCGCTTGTAGCCTGTAGTTTTTATCCAGGACACGATGTAGCAATAAGTCTTTGGACTTTTGCGTCGCGGGCTGGGGATGCCGTGCTGTCGGTTCGTCGAGGAGTAGCGATGATGAACGCGGCGTCATCGACATGTCGGGTAGTCGTGTGGTACTTCCGTGGTGGTATGGAGGAAGCTGCATCGTGCCATCACCCTCTTCATCGTCTTCTGTGGGTAGATCGCCCTTAAAGATCGCCCCGCTCTTGAGCTCGCGTCTCAGGTCCTGATATGGCGAGTTGAAGTCGGCGAATTGTGCTTGTATGGATTTTGTAGCGGGTGGGCGCGGTGTGCTACCTGTAATGGTGGCATCTCCAAGCATAGAGTCCTCGATGGCCTCATCAGCCCGTTGCTCGTGATCCTGATACTGAGAGTCCTCGGTTGCGTCCTCTTGTGTGGCATCGTAGTCTGACGTAGTCTCATCAACCGTCACTTCCTCGATTGTTGTCTCTTCAGCTTCCCCCGCCAATTCCTCATAGCCGGACAGTGATACGTTTGCGGAGGCCTCAAAGAATTGTTTCCAGAACTAGTACGTCATTGCAATCAGAAATACGAAGTGAAGTGGGTGTGTGCTTAGGAGATTGCACGAACCTTGGAAGCTTCCCAGACATTCTTTGAATGTTCACCATATTGCTCAACGACAGGGAGGATGCTGGTAGTGACTATTCGGTGGGCTTTGCTGAAGTTGTGATCGATTTCTAAGAGACCGTAGTCAGATCAGATAATATCCTAGACGTGGTTGAGGGCTATAGCAGGAACTATTGAGAGCCATGCTGGATAGATTATGTATAATAAGATGCAATTCGGCGCATGGAGAAATAAGTACCTTGCAGAGTGAGGGTAATGGATTGCTCTAATCTCTCCAATTCTTCAGTCAAGGTGAGGTTCCTCCCCGACGACGAAGATGAAGCCATTCCGGGCCGTGACATTGCGGAGACATAAAATAAAACACCCAGGTAGGCTTGATGGGTTTGATGGGCCCGGTAGCGATGTTGAAGTGACTGACTACGGTGCAACGCCAGCTTTGGCGGGGTTCGGGAATTTTGTGGGCTACTAACCAAGTCGCGTCGTAGCTCCCAGACACGCGATGCGGGGCATCCGGACAGCCATCCCACTACATGTACTGTACATCGATTGTATAGAGGTCCATAAGGCCATTCAATGCCATTACGAAGTCTTCTAACAATTACCACTGAAACGGGGAGAAAAAAAAAAAATACTGCCAGCATACACACTAATCCGACGAATGAACTCAATTATTTTTATTAATCTGTTGTGGGTATCTTGGACAACGTGAATATCAGAATCTAGGGCGCGAATAATACCCCAGCATGTCTAGCTTGACAAGAAGCTTGTCAATCGTGTTCTCGTCATTGAAGTTCTCGTTCCGCCACTCATCTTCATTCACTAAATCCCGCCTCGTTCCTCTGCCCGTGGATACTGCCTTTTCACCAATTCCATGACAGACAGTAATGAAGACTTCCACTTTCTTCCTGAATTTTTGATAAAGCTCCTGTATTATGACCTGGCTGGCATCGCCCTCCACCTTCCCGCTCACCTCCAGCTGTACCTGCCTGGAGAACCTCAGAATTAGTCTGAAGGTGTCTTCGAGCAATGCTAAGACAGGCTGTTGCCTTTTCCGCAGTAACAGAATATTCATGACGCGGTCAAGCATTTTCTCATGCTCTTCACGCACTTCGTCGGGACTCACCACACGGGCATTTAGCGTGTCCGCGTCCACTCGTGTGAGGTCAGACTGTACTCCGTCAAGCCAGTCTTCAAACTGGAACCATGGCGTGTGTATGCCCGTATCGAAGAAGTATGCGGCTACGGTTTGCACCAAATGCTGAGCCTCAAACCGAAACCGTAACCACACAGCACCCATATTTCGACCTTCGCGCTGCATCCTAGACGTGTCTCGAGAAAGCTGGCCTGTGACATACAACAATCGTAGGACGCGGAGGAGGAGTTTGAAGATCTTATCGTATTTTATCAAGATCACTGGTGTTAGAATCGGCGAGAGCGGGGCTGGGGTCTTGTAGGCTAGCCTCAGGAAATCGAGTGCTTCGAGCGAAGTCGGATCCATACACTTATCGATCTCTTCAGGAGAAAGATCTCGGAGGGCAAAGCTGAGATCGCCTGGAAGGTCGACACCTTCGTTCCTCGATGCGCTTGATTCTCGTGGCATAGGGGGCATGTAGGTATCGCCGAGCACGCCCATCAAGGCTAAGCGTAGCTCTGAGCTCGCAGGTGGCCACGTTTCTCTTCCGTTCATGCGAAGACCCATTATACCCCCGTTCAAAGCAACACCAGCCTGTCTTTCAGCTGTCTCGAGATCCGGATCGAATAATGCATGGGATAACCGGCTGCAGAACATACCGTTCCCTAGAAGTTGAAATTCCTTTTGCACACGTAAATGCCCTCTAAGATCATGGGTACTGAAGAGGAGTCTCATGTACTCGCGATTGATGAGTCTTGCTTGCGATGTTATGAGAGGCCCAAATGAATGGAGTGGAATGAGTGACCAGTGTAGATCAAATGTGGAAGTCGTGGTCTGCGGGTTGTCGGCTTGGTGAACTAGAAGGGTTTGGATCAAAGACGACAGTGCATCTTGGGCAACTGCAATAGGTGGCGCTTGATCCAATGCCTGAATTGACGCCAGAAGCTGCTTCTCAAGATGTGCGCCGTCATTGCCAAACACTCGGAGTATACCTTGCGCCCCAGAGATTATCCTGGCTTCGGGTTCGTTTGGTAGAGTATCTTGAGGTGACTTCCCGAAGATTTTACGTAGCATCGATCCCTCGTATGCCTTCACCTTCTTCTGTACATCGTTGATGGATTCCCAATCGAATAGCCATCTGAGCGCAGGTGGTTTGCTGGAGGCAACGATGTTAACATGACAAAGTGGATGGTCTGGATGATGTGTTCGAAGTAGTCGTAAGTTCTTGCCGGCCTCAAACATGACTACCGCAATATTGGGTGGTATGAAATTCGGCATGCGGGCTTCATCAAGCACATACTCGTGCTCCTCAGTTTCGAACCCAAAGTCATCCACCCTAGATACATCTTCGATTTTAACGAAGCTCTTCCCTGGGCCATCCTTGGTCATTGGGAAAGCTTCCTCCGCTTTCACCCCTATCCACTGCTCAACAAAGTCGACCCAAGGTCCTGTGACTCGCGATAAAATCTCGCACATGAGAACAGGTAGTAACGAGTGATCATTTTCCAGGATCTCAGTCTCATTGAATATTTGGGATAGCACTTGTTCGTCGTTTCTCATCCGGGATATGCTACGGACAAGGTTCCGTAGATAGACTAGCATGGTGTCAAGGGGCTGTACCAGTGACTGCAATTGCAATAGTGACTTCACTTGTTTCCTAAGTTCACCGAATTGCTGTTGGATGGCTAGGAGGAAAGCATCAACGGCTTTGGCTAATGCTATCCTGGCAGCACTAGCTCGCATGCTGTAGGTAAGCTGGACATAAGATGATAGGAAACGGGTTATCGTCCCCAATCTTAGACAGGTACTCTGTATACCTTGGAGGACTTCGGTAGAGTAGCCGGATATTCTCATGTCTTGTACCGCTGGGATGAAGGCAGACTTCCTACCATCCCACACGAAGAAAACCGAGCCCCTTCCGAGTGCGAGCGCGAGCAATGCCTCTAGATATGGATTACTTTGCACAATTAGATGATCTGTATTTTCAAAACCCAGGGGATCATTCTCGTCTCTGATCGCAGCGTCATACCCTAACGGACCAGCCTCCGTAATGAAGAGGGGGGCTTTTTGTGGGACATCAGATGAGAAACCATCCCATGTCTTGTATTCTGCGCTGGCCGTTGGCTGACGATCTCCTTCATGCCATAACTCATCAATGATATGGAGATCATGCAACACAGTGTCGTGCAGTGGTGTTGTGACATCGTTGGAGTCATCACTGTTGTTATCATGGCCATTTAGGTCGGATGGAACGAAACCTTCGGGGATTTGAAAAAACTCATTGCCACTTTTGCGAAAAAGATGAGCATCAGCATCGTTGCTGGGTTGGGTATTCTCAACTTTCAGGCCGAAGAACTGGTCCTCGGGTTGCGAGGGCAATGTTAGCCATTTGGCAGATAGTTCATAATCTGGGAATGCAAAGACATTGGAGAGTTCGTCTTCTGGCATGGCATTCGAAGGCGGTCTGAAAATAACATTATTGGCTCTTCAGTAGACCATGCAGGAGGAAAATGTGATCAAGCGTAAGCTGCTGGTTCATCTTGTAGGCACTTTGTACACATTTCCAAATGATCAAGGTTACTTGAAGGCGCGCACTCAGCAAGCGCCACAAATCAAGGGAATCGCGTCTGCCCCGCGACTTGCTAAGCCACACCACTAGCAGCTGCCATAGCTGATAGCTTCCATCTGAGTGTAGCTTCCTTAGCTATCATCATCATGCCCGAAATCTGCGCCTGCATTTCTACAGGTACCTATTAACCATTACCCAATTCACTTTTCTCTCTCTTTAGTACATCTAATCATCACAGCATAATACAACGTCTTTCTAATCCTGCTCGCATTTTTGCAATCCCTGGACTGAACAATTGATCATTGGAGAATAGCAGGCACAAGCAATCATTATCCGGTTATCATAGATTCTTGATTCTATATTGCACCATTAGAACGGACGGGGCCTTTGATAGGCTAGCTTGTTCACACCAGGCCTGAAGAATATACAACGAAACTACCATATCTAGATCGACCTTGTATCAGCCTGCGGCCATAAGCTATTAATACAATGCCCCCGAAACGGAAGTCCAAAGCTTTCTTAGCCGAGGTCTCGACGCCTAAGGCTTCCGTAGCACCAGCGCAAGATGAAGATGCGATGGATATCGATACCCCTGGGAAGGCTTCCGAGACGCCTCGTGCCACGGATACACCTGTCGCCGCAAAACCAAACCAGCCAACAGAGTCTGAAGTCCTCGGCGACCCCTGGACCGAAGATCAAATTTCGTCGCTGTTCAAAGCCATCATCAAATGGAAGCCCTCCGGTACGTAGGAAGCTCCTGATACTCAGACACCCATTCCTGTACTTGGTCTGATTGGCCTGTTAACAATGCGCTTATTCAAGGCGTGCACAAGCATTTCCGCATGATTGCTATATCTGAGCGTTTACGCAACCACGGGTTTGACCCTGACGTCGAAACGCACACGCGAATACCAGGTATCTGGACGAAGCTCCGCCAGTTCTTCGACATGGAGATGATCGACGAGCGCGACAACTCCTTTGACTACGTTAAGTCGCTAGGCGGGGATGAGGCGCCCGAGGAGATCTACAACGACTTCGATCTGCCACCCAACGACTTCCACGACCTCATGTGGGCGCGCGCCGCAGCCGACGAGAACGAGCCAGACAACTGGAGCGATACGGACGCGGAAGCAGGCTCTTACGGCGGCGCTACAAGGAAAGGGATGCGCAAGCGCAAGCGAGGCGACACCGCCACAGATGCCGCTAGTGTCGCGGGTAGTGCCACGGCCAAGACGAGGCGATCTAGCACGATCGACTATACGGACCGCGACACGCCGGTTGCCAGTAGTCCTGTGACCCGGAGCGCGCGGAGAGCGCGGAGCCAGAAGCGCGCCGCGGCCAAGGCGAAGACGGAGAGCAGCGCTAAGTCAGAGGAGTCCGAACACGACGCTGAAGAGGACGAGGCAGACGAGGACGAGGACGAGGACGAAGACGAAGAAGGAAAAGGAGAAGAAGAAGCCGAAGACAACAACGACGAAAATAGTAGTAGCGAAGAAGAGCACGAAGAGGAGGAGGCCGAGGCCCCTCCCACGCGATCGGGTCGCGGTGGGAGCACGCGCGGCAGAGGTCGCGGTCGCGGGCGTCCCAAGGGAGGGCGCAAGAAAAACTGAACGCTATTGAGATATCCTATGATTTTCTCTGTTTCAGGCACTGACGCTGTAAGGCAGGAACCAGAGGTGACATCATCAGTAGACTCCCACATACACATGAGATGATTACAATTGCATAGGCATGGATTGACGCCAGGCGTTCATGGGTCGGAAAAGATACAATCATCATAGCCACGGCATGCTGTACAAAATAAGTATGTGTCCACAAAAAGCCACAGGGTTTGGCCGGACAGAATTATTCGGATACACGAGTTGGTGTTTTTGTTTTCGTGGCGGCGGGCTTTGGCATTGTTTGAGGGGTCGGCGTCTTGAGATACCCTTTCCAGTTTTGAAGAGGCAAGGGATGAAGCTTTCTGCCGTGTATATCATGAATGCTGTTGTGTGTTTTCACTCCACATCATGGTTCAATTTTGCTATTGAAAACACATTTGATAGACAAGTAGATTATTAATGAATCAAACAAATGAAACCATCAAAGGTGTTTCATAGTATCAGGATGATCATAGGCTAGTTTTCGGTTGGATAAACCGTATGAGATCGAGTGTTTGTATGCAAATTTATTTTGATTACCGCAGAACTAAACTGATGTCATAATACCTGTTTTTCATCAGAAGCAACGGCAGAAACCCATGAGCCTTCCTTATCAAACACCGCATGCCCAAACACCTCTTCCGTAAACCGTCGTGACCTCGAAGCCGGATGATGCAGACAGGTCGGCCCGACACGACCAGCATAGGTGGCGAAATCGTTTACTTCAGCTTCTTCTTGGGTCGGAGCTGGTTGGTGTGACCGCACTTCTTCTTGCGGCAGTTGGTGGCTCGGGGAGGAAGACGGGCGCTATGAGGGAAATCAAAGTTAGTTTATGCCGAACATACTTGGTTAAGTCGCTATCTTGCAATATGACGACCGCGAGAATGATTTGATGGGTGGCAAACATACTAGCACTTGCGGCAGATCATTTTCTCTGGTGATAAAGTTAGTAATCCAAATTTCACAAGGAGCGATGGAATAGAGTACGAACCGCAGTTGAATTTGCTGGCAAGAGCCTTCAAACTGGGCTCAATGATACCGCCACGCAGCCTGAGGACAAGGTGAAGAGTAGACTCCTGTGAAATTCACCTAACATTAACAATTATGCCCTGAATTTTTTTATTCTTGAGGCTGTTCGCCCGTTCTTCGGTGCTTGAACCGCGAGTATTTCTTCTTCAAATAGGGCTGCTCGGGGGTCTGGAAAGGCACACGAACCTTCTGAATGTTGTAGTCGGAGAGAGTTCGGCCATCCTCAAGTTGCTTTCCAGCGAAGATGAGACGCTGCTGATCCGGGGGGATACCCTCCTTGTCCTGGATCTTGCTCTTTACATTGTCGATGGTGTCGGAGGACTCGACCTCGAGAGTGATGGTCTTGCCCGTGAGGGTCTTGACGAAGATCTGCACTGTAACAGGGAGAGGCAGCGGTCAGCGTGTTGTCCAAATAGTCTCCATCGGAATAAGATGACGCCCTTCTCTGAACGAAGTTTGAATTAAAACGGGGTTTGGGGAATGCGTACTTTTGGCTGCTTTTCCTCGTGATGGTTTGTCGTGATGCAGACGAAAATTGAAGCCAAGTCGAATGGTCAATAAGTCAGGTAGTGGTGTGGTGGGGGTTTGGAGTGTGCGCGCGAAGACGTCTGTCAGCCAGCTGGCGGCTGAGATTCTCGCTTGTGTGCGAAATTCCTAATCGATAACACTTTTCATCCACGTGCCCCAGCCCAGGATTCCCGACTTAGGGTACAATAATTGGTACAACAATTATAGCACTTGATGCATAAATTCTGAAAACTAACGCAGGTATGGTTATAGGCATATTATCAACCGGATGTACCTAGATACATAAAGAGAGGTTAGGGATCCCTTGATCTCACATTCTAGACATTGGATGTGTACGGATTCGCCCATCTCATTTGTCCAATAGGTCTTTAGATAGTCCTCAATATCAATTACTGACTCTTTCTTTACCCTTTCCCTTCATTTTGTTGGATGCACCAAAGCTCTATCTGCCTTTCAACTTGCATCGAACCGCGTATCAATGTTGCCAGTGGTATGGCAGCCAGTTCTGCTGCTTTGCTGTACAAGACTTTCGCGGCATCTGGCAAGTCTACCTCCCGGCGCCAAATTGGGCATAGGTTTCTTGGCTCAGTCTTTACATTTTCTGAAAAATCGGTCGTCGCATCGACTACTTCGATTGCTTCACTAAGCTTGTCGTATTTTTCCTTGATTTGATCGCCTTGGCTCTTGAGATCTTCAGATTGGTCTATTGTGGCCGAGCTCCTCTTCTGCTCAAATAGATCTCGTACCCTTTCAGTTGCTTTAGCAGTTATGTCAGCTCGAGGACCGCATAGTACCTTTACTTGGCTGTAACTTACTTTGAGGCTCTCTGTTATGTAGCCACATCCTTTCAAACCAATCCATATAGTCATCAAGCTTCGCCTTATCCATATTCATCACGTCATCGTTCGTAACCTTGTATTCCTCCCCTGGTGTCAAATAACCGTGTTCCTTCACAGGCTTTTCTGCTACTATATTCCGCCAACTTTGCCAGTCAATCTTCGTCTGTCTTGGGTCTAGCTGGCTTATTGGAAGCCGCTCAACTCCATCGAGAGAATAGAGCAATTTCGTGGAGACAACGACCAAGCACATGAGCAAAACTTCAGGATTGTCCATTGTACGTAGCTTCTTATCGCCTTGAGAGGGATAGCAAAACTCCGCTTTGAGGATTTCCCCGATACATTTAGCGGCGATATATACGTCGACTGCGCCAGGTCAATACTTGAACGACGTAATTCCTAGTAAAGGGGTAAGACGAACCTGGTAGAACTAGATCCGTGATGAAACGAAGTATTATGGGAACATAGTTCAGCGGAGGAATTGTCATATCGTAGTTCAATTTGAATGATTTGACCAAGCGCTGAACCGCATTCTGTAACCGTCCAGCTGGGATGTGGTCTCGCACCTGTAACGCAGAATGGAACTCGGGAGGTAAACGATCACGCACGTTGCGAGGTATTCGATTCAGCTGTAGCAAATTAGCATTGCCGGCAATTCTTGGCATGAAACGAGCATACGGCGGATAGAAATTCTAGATCTCCCTTCTGTGCCCAAATATAAAAATCTGCCGTTGAAACTGGTAGTTGTCTAACTAAGCAACCGAGATAGCATAGTGCGAGAGTATCGATGAGTTGCGGTAACGGCCATCGCTTCCGCGCATTCAGCGTGGCCGTTGTTGCATCCGAGAAATCGACATCAGTGGATTCGCCCTGGGAACTGAACCAAGCCGACGAGGCGCCTCCTTCCGACTCGTATCCTTTACCTGCTCTGCCTTCCGTACCGCTCTCGCGCCTCCGCAAAGGTAGATCACGCACACGTAGTGTCCATAGTGCCCTCACCAATTCCGTGAAATCGTCAGGGAAGCCCTGAGTGTCAACAAGCCATTGTACCTGACGGATAAGAATCAGTTGAAGGACCTCGAGGTATAACTCGCGGCCATCGTCACCCGCAAGCTTGACGGCGACTTTGCGACGGGTCTCTTTCTTCTTCCGTGACACGCGACCCTGGGTGCCAAAAGCGTCCTCATCACCCTCATGATTCACAAAACCCTCAAGACGGTGACCATTTCGGCAATACCGCAGGGCATCTTGCGCAAACCATTGGCGAGCGCCACACTCGTCGCATCGTTCGCCGCCCCGGAATTTGTGATACTTTGTCCGAGGCATAAGAATTATTTTGGCATTCAACGTCTTTGGATCACATTGACAGCACAATTAGGCTTACAAAGTGGGCTGGTAAAGATAATAGGCATTTGTGAGTCGATTTGCGTAAGAGGAGACAGGGTTTATTATGGTAGATTAGCTGTAGGTTACAAATTACACCGAGGTTGACAGGTCGCATACGTTATCATTAACACCACGTGCCTAGCACCAACCTCGACAACAAACTGTCAGCGTAAGTATTGGAAGATTGCCAATCGTTCTATTTTACTTTTTTATTTTATTTTTATTTTTGAGATATTAATTTCATCGGAGTAAAAACACAGTTAATTGTGAAGCCGAAATTAGATAGCTACATAACACACATCAACCTTCTGCAGTGAACATCGCAGGGTTTAAATTATACCTACCCAAGTACCTACCTAAGGTAATTATAATGCGTCACAATATGGCATACTCACCTTTTCTCTCAAAATGGTCTTGCTTATCGCAAAAGTCGCTGTCGAGTGGTTTTCAATAGAACATAGCATGGTACTACTATCACTTCGGCATATTCTACCACGTGGTCTTATGGCAAAGGTCTTCGTAGGTACTACATAACATAACCTCGTCAAATCGCCTTGATGAGCAGTTCGGAGCTTCTTAAGGTTTTGTAACTATAGGATTGAACACACAAGCTACACTTATGGAAGTGCATTCTTCGTTGTGAACATATCTAGCTATGGCTAGATGTCAAAGTCAGATGAATACCTGATGTGTCTTCATTGGCATTCATGACGAATCGCGAGACGTGATATAGTGCGTCCAGATTCCAAACTCCCAGTTACTCGGTTTGAGCGCTTTGCTTCATACATCCTGGAGAGTTTTAATCATCCTTTCGTTCCCTAAGTTCGACCTTAGTCGCTTGGACGATGTTCATGGCATGAGTGAGAGTGATAACTATAATCTGTTAATGCTTCTGTATGAATTGGTCGAGCAAGAAACACTTACGAATGTCCTTGCTGTCATCTAGAATGGCTCCCTCATCCGAGTCTACCAGGTCTTTCAAGACGTAGTTACCGAGCTCATCATTGGGCACCTTGTGCTCACGGCTCTCATCGCCAGTCTCAAGATCCTGCAAGACAAAGAAGTGGTCATCTCCTCCACTTTTGTCGAGCTCGACGTATACCTGAATAGAATGACATGTTATTCTCATAGTTCGTTCTTCTAGCGAAGTCGAGTTTTTACATACAAGAGACTTCTTCTCAACCTTAATGTTGGGAACATCCATGTTGTGGGTGGAAGGGCAAAGATCTTCGTATTTCTTCCCGTTGAAGATATCTGTCGCAACAAGGTGGACCTTGGCGTGGCCGTGCTTGCCAGTCTTAGAGGTAGACATGTCGACAATCTTGCAAGGACGTCCCTTGATGACGACAAGCCCGTTCTTGCGGAGGGCCGAGCATTGTGTGGGAGTGGTTAGAGAGGCGTCGGCACCACCGGTGGTGAACTCGTAATCCTGCTGGACGGGATGTTAGTGGCAAGTCTACGAAGCTTGCAATGTGATTCTGAATGAAATGTTCTGCCAATGGCGACTCAAAAGACAGTGCGGGGTTGCTGCTCTGGGCATGAATTGGCGATTAGATGCCCTTGTCGCGTGGAGGACGGGAATATTCAGATCCAAGTGCGGGGGTGGTCGATCGGTCTGCAGTATGTGTGTGCTATTCAACAACAGAATGACTCACCTCTTCAGCCATTGTGATAGAAGAGTTGTGCTGGTATGGGCGCGGAGGAGGGGAAGTGATGCACAACTGGAGAAGTGACAAGCTGGAAAAAAGATTGAGTGGGAGATGAAGATGGAAGAGGAGGAGGAGGGGTCGAAGTTGGTGCGGAAGTCTTATTATTTTCCAAAAAAAATACTCCTGTGAAAAGCTGGTTTCTCATTTGCCGGAACTTTAGTATCTAGATCCACAAGACGTAGGTACATTCAGTTGTACTGTAGGTACTTCCATTGATTCGCCTGCCTGGGTCTCGTGGGGGTTGAGCAGGCGGATACATTGAGATTTGCCTATGTACCTCTACTGTACTATGTATGTAGGTACATATGTATCTACTTATAGTTCTCTTATAACCTGCCTGCTAGTTATAACTTGCTTGATTATAATAACAAATCATTCCAGGGCGAGCAGGGCAATATGAATGACAAGCAGATCACTTATGTAGAATTATTTGACATCTGATTGACTGTTTCTTACATAGGTAGACTTGCTACGCTGTTACCCGCATAGGTAAGTACATATGTATCTTGTTCATTAGAGCTCAGTGGGTAGGTAGATACATCTAGTGGTTACGCAGGGACCTACATCCATGTGTTAGGTAGGTACATACATATCCAAGGAACTGTTCTCCGTATGTACCTAGGTATGCTTTAGACCGATCCTGTCAGGGTTTGAAGAAAGATCTGGATCTAACCTGGAACTTGGATGTTTCTCGGTTTGGAAATTTTGACTCATTTTATCATCATCCGATTTAGGTTTGTGTGATGTAGGAGAAACGTAGGACAAATGCCCAAAACCTAAATCTTCGAGTCACAGCGTTGGGATTTATAGTCGCAGCAACGAGGTAAGGGACGTGGATGAGATCCATGGATGCAGGCAAGATTGACTCTAATTGGTACCTATATGGAATTCTTTGGGCGGCCCAGTATCTTAAAATCTCCGTACCTACTCGTCGCATATCAGGTATCCTTTCTATCTCACCTGAGCAGCTTCTACAGTAAGTTCTGCCCAGGTCCCTACCAACTGTACATACATATATACATACATACATACCTACATTATACCTAGGAGGTATGTATGTAGGTAGGTATGCATACTTAAGTACCTATATCTGCTTGGACTTGGTACCCTGCCCTGGCTCAGAGAACCCGCAGGGACCTGGGGAAGGGGGAGAATCTATCCCAGCTCCCGCCTATCTTATCAGCAATCTATCTAGTACCTACTTAGACTAGTGTACTTATCTAATCAACTAATCCGCTTTTGCTTCTACATAGTAATAGTACCTATACCTAGATACCTGTAGGTAACCCCTACCTGTGAGTCTGAGCTACCTCCTACATACATACCTACCGTAGCTTACATGTCTTCATTTACATGCCTACTTAGGGGGTATGTATGGAAGTTCGTCCGAGGTCCTCTTGCAAAGCAAACTTCGAAGCGCGATCGCGACCTAGATTCGTTCATTATCTTTTGAGACCGCTAGAAAACACCTAAAAATTACGACTGGGTTTGCAATTCGACCATCCATGTATCTTTGATTCGAAGTTTGATTGGAATAAACCGTTTCATACTACCAACTTAGCATCGGACGCCCAACCCTGAGATGAACCAGTGCTATTGCCGAGTAGGCGAGTCATAGGTGCTGGGAAAAGAATGTGGCTCGATCGTCTGGCCGGGGCGCCATCGCCATCGCCCTCTCAAACCTCCAGTCGTGCCTATTCTCCAGCGACACGGAGGCCTTCGAGTGGTCTCGGCCCCTATCTGACCTCCCAACAACGCCCTGGTCTCTCGCCGAGATCATCTTCCCTCTCCCTTGCGTCTACCGACTCGTCTGCCTCGACTGTTTTAGCTTCCTCCCGGCGGGCCACTGGCTCCAATCTCAAACAAACTACCACTGCTTATGCTGGACCAGATCCTGTTGATGTTTTGGGGGCCCTACTAAGCGGGAGCTTTGTACCGGGTTCACCTCCAACATCTGATCACTCACCAAATTTAACCACCTTGATAACATCAGAAGACTTGGCTGCTACATTCGACTTTGGAACATTGTCTCTGCGCTCGCTAGCCCTGTCGGACGAACCTCGAGCTGTATATACGGACAAGAAGAGACAAGAATCAAATGTAGAGCGTAGGTTTTTATGAGATTGCGGTGTGGTGTCCCTCTTGCTAACATGAAATACTAGATGAGATTGCGAAAGCTAAATTCGAAGACTTACACCAATCGATTCAAGCCTGTGACGAAATTCTTGCGTCTGTTGAGATTAACCTTGCGAGTTTCCGAAATGATCTGGCTGCAGTTTCAGCTGATATCGAAACCCTTCAAGCGAGGTCGGCAACTCTCAACGTTAGACTTGAGAACCGCAAAGCTGTAGAAAAGGAGCTGGCGCCTGCTGTTGAAGATATCAGCATTTCGCCCATCATTGTAACCAAGATAGCAGACGGTCACGTTGACGAGGCATGGGTCAAGGCTCTAAACGAAATCGACAAGAGAGAAACTGCATACAAGAGGAGCGATTCAGGCTTGGAGCAGAACAAAGGATTGCAGGATCTTGGCCCTCTGTTAGAAAAGCTGGTGCAAAAAGCTATCGAGCGGATCAGAGATTTTCTGGTTGCGCAAATCAAAGCCCTCCGGTCCCCTCATATAAATGCACAGATCATTCAGCAACAGAATTTTCTCAAGTTCAAGGACCTCTTCACATTTTTACACAGACATCAGTCTACCTTGGCAAATGAGATATGCCTCGCGTACATGAATACTATGAGATGGTATTATATAAATCAGTTCACACGATACGAGAATGCTTTGAAGAAAATCAAACTTCACGTATTGGATAAATTGGATGTATTGGGCAATGAAGACATATCACGTAGAGGTGCTGTGCTTTCAAGCTCGAGGATAGCTGGACCGCCTCATGATGCATTCAGTCTAGGCCACCGTATCGATATTCTCCGCACTAGCAATCAAGCTGCGATATCCTCTTATTTGGCCGAGGAAGATCAATCCACCCACTACCTTGAGACTCCCTTTCGCAATTTCAATCTTGCTCTCATCGACAACGTGACATCAGAGTACTCATTCCTTGCATCGTTTTTCTCCCCTGCCTTGAGCTATTCCACCATTTCTCGCCACTTTGCCTATATATTTGAGCCCACATTACAACTCGGACAAGCGTTGACAAAAAACCTGGTAGCAGAGACATACGACGCTCTTGGACTCCTTCTGTCTATTCGTCTCAACCAACACTTTCAGTTTGAGCTCCAACGGAGAAAGATACCAGCTGCCGAAGGATATATCAACGGCACCGCTATGCTACTCTGGCCACGTTTGCAGTTTGTGATGAATGCACATTGCGAGTCAATTCGAGCCCTAACCACTGCACTACCAACGCGGCCACCAGGCAAGGCCGACCAGGCCAAATTGTCTACAGCACCTCACGTCACTACGCAGCGATTCGGGCAACTACTTCACGGGATTCTTTCCATGAGTACCGAAGCTGGGGATGATGAGCCTGTTGTTACGAGCCTGAGGAGACTGAGAAGCGAGTTGGAGGCCTTTCTGACAAAACATAGCACAGCCTTTGGCACGGACAAGAGAAAGCGCGAGCGATTCCTGTACACTAATTACAGCCTGATATTGACCATCATCAGCGATGTCGGTGGCAAGCTAGCGAGCGAAGAGCAGGAGCACTTCGAAGGGTTGAAAGCGGCGTTCCAAGAGGCGGCATAAGTGATTAGTGTTTTTCGTCGGTGATTAGCGATTTAACTCTTATGAGTCAATGAATGTGATAGATAACGTCATGTGTATGCGAAGATAAAAAATCGAACTTGACAAATGTATTCTGTCTTTGGATGTACCGCTTTCTTTTTACTATTCGTAAACCAATCCCTCTACAACAAATGAAGCAGTGACCCAAGGGAAAAAACACGTGATTTATTTAAAAAGGCACATCTATTTTCTTCCGTAAGAACTAAACAGTTAAGTAAAAGAAAGTAAAAATAAATCAATAACTTTTCAGTTTCTAATAAATCTAGTCATCCATGCCGCGAGGCCAGCCCAGGCGGGAGTCTTCCGCAAATATATAGCACCCACGCCAACGAGAATCGTAAAGAGTAGGGTGCGATTCGCCCATACGGTTTGCACCATCTTCTGCTGTCGCTCGGCCCAGCGCAGCTCGCGGACCTGTTTTTTGAACAGCTCCTGCCCGTCCCGCAGACTCTGACGGCTGAGGGCCTTGGGGTCGCGCGTCGTCTTCAGCACGCTGGCGCTGGATATGTGCCTCCACGAGCGCAGGGACTCCGGCGGGTGTCTGTCGAAGAGGAGGGCGGCCTCGGTGATGACGGCCTCGAGATCGAGGTCGGGTGGGAGCTTGGACAGCGTGAAGTGGAGCATGTCAGGCTCCTCGTGCTCGAGTAGCTCGTCGCGCCGGCGTAGGACGATCTGGGTGAAGACGTAGATGCTGAAAACCTGCTCGCGGGCGATCAGGGCATCGAAGAGGCGCGCGATGTCGCTGTACCGCTGCACATTGTGTGCGAACATGGTCAGCGTATCCGAGAGCGCGAAATACGGCTCGTTCCGCGAGAGGTGTTGGAAGAGCGACTCGTCCACGGCGCGCAGCAAGTCCGGGATCAGACGGAGCTGCACGATCGCTGGCGCTAGCGTGGGCAGCATGAAGTCACGGATCCGCAGCACAGAGAGTCGGGACATGGCTGGTGCCCGTAAGCCAGCGGGAAGCACGAGAAGGAGCACTTGACAGATATCATGGTAACCTTGGAAGTAGCAGAGATATGGCTGCTCACGAAGCACTTGTTTAATGAGATCCGAAAGCTCGGATTTCTTCTCATCAAGCTGGGCTTGCGAGTTATCTAGTGCGGAATCGTTAATTGCGTGAACATAGGTATTGTCAGTCTATAGGACGTACCATTTGGGTAGTAGACAAAGCTCCTATCGACATCTAATTTGACTTGCTCTTCATCCCGGTGTCGTGGTAGCTGCCTCCACGAACCAGAAGCCTCTGTAGATCCATTGATAATCTCATTGGCATCAATGCCGAGCAATACTGGCCCTGTGAGGCGAGTTTAGTATTGGAAACATGTACATTTCTGCAGGCGAAGAGGAGGCGGGCCAGTTGACTTACACGCCTGACTTCGTAGCTGGTCCGACAGAAAGCCACCTGGCCCTATGGCTAAGACCCTCAGCTCTTCGATATCATGCCGTTCACAAGCACTCAAAATCCGGGCTTCCTCGTATTCGCTGGCTGATACAGAAGACTCCGTATCTGCTTGGCTTTCTTCGGGATGTTGGTGTTCTTCGGTTGAAGCCATATGGTTGCAGGTGATGAGCCCACGCTCAGCCTCGCGACAAGTGGGTCTTACCAGCGACAGAGCCTGGCGTGTCACTTATGACTTATGGGGGCGGCTCTGCACCTCAGCGTTATGTAATCTGGACAGTGTCGGAGATGAGGATGTTATGCGATGGATAACAGATGACCCTGTTTAGGCTACATTTGATGGCCGGCGAGTAGCTAGGTAATAGAAACGAAATCGACCGTCTTTCGTTTTTCCCGATTCCTCGCACGTATCTCTCTTCCCTTCTCTTCTTTTTCTAAGATTTTAAGATAGCTGGCGTCATTGACGCAGATACCCAGGCGATTAAACTCGAAGTTAGACGGTCGTAATCAAAAGGGACAGCGAAGTCCAAGGTAGCGGGAGCGAAGTAAGCTTCTGCATCTGGTGAATGAGCCTCGCAGAGCCTTCTCATTTCCAACACGACTTCTTGCTTCTTATAGAAAAAGTAGGCACATTGAGAGATGAGTCTCATGTGAGAAGGAGCAATGCCTAAAGAGGCCACTTACAAGCCTATGCACGGGCCAAGTATATGGATATCTCTTTGAAGAATATCTACCTAGGTGCCTATATGTAGGTAGTCATTTACTGGATATTTGCAGATAGAGGAAGCCTCTGTACAAGCCCGGTTCCGGTACCTAGTACTGAGTCGACTGTGATGCAATACAATTGCCCACGTTTGTATTAGCCTTATTAAGAATGGGAATCTCGGATATTGGGAGCTATTATCTACCATTATTCCTTAGAAATTTACAAGGCTTACTAATTTTGGTACAGAAATGCCTTACATTTGTATGGTACATGTAGATAGCGAGGGTAGTACATGTGAGGTACCTCTAGCTATGTAGATGTGGGTGCATAAGTATGCATATAAGGCATAAGTTTGATATCGAAGATCCGTCTGAGCAAAGACTGGGGTACGTACCTACTACGTACATGTAGATAGGTATCTAAGTACATCTCACTTCCTGAAGGTGCTGAGTACGCCTCACTTCAAAGTTGATGGTGTAAGTAGCGGGCACGCGTTGGCAATTTACTGGCATCAAGGTGCAGCAATGCCATCTATCCTGTCTTTATAGGTGCGACTTGTCTTGAGCCTCGATTCAGTCTGGCAGCTGCTAGGTATTCTGCGCTCCAGCCTGTCGGATCTCGCCCCGCCTCCTCTGGGACCTGTCGACATATTGTGACTGTGACGTATCATAAGTCGAACTTCTCGGGTTATGTCGATACATGATGATGCAGTGCCTTCTCTTACTCAAAGACCCAACGAACAACTCGAAGGGACAGAGCAGAGTTCTGCACAAGAGCTAGGGTTCGATTCAATTGGAAGTTACACTTAACTGCCTCGTCTTCGTCTAGCTGCCTCGAAGCTGGAAAGCCAACTCGTATTGCAATTTTGGGCCCGACTTGTCGGGCGCTGACAGTCCAGCTTGCCGCAGTCCTTTCCCTCTCTTTGCCACTTCTCTTCTCCTCCTTTTTTGTGCTCAAGGACAGCAGCCAACCCGAGTAGGATCTCCATCGGGCACGCGTTACTGGCACCCGCCTAATCAAGAATCCCCAATACGTATCCTATCTGAGACGGCGCAATGGCATCTCTCCAGACTCATGTCTTGGTCGACGATGAATGGGTGACCCGTACCGTAACCGCTGAGGAACTCATTGGGATGGCGTCCCATTCTCGTACTAAATCGGCGGTGCCGTCGTCTCCGAAAGTGCCAAAGTGTGGCATTCTTACTAAAACAGCCATTGAAAGCCCCGTTATCCGCTGGGTTTTTCCCGCGCAGCTACGGTCGTTCCGCTACAATGACGTAGCTTTAGTAGGGGTATGTTTTGATTTTTTTTATTCCTTTGTTATTCTATCTAAACTCCCTCTGGGAAATGATATTTACGGCTCTATCTGGCTTTGAATCACTCATCCTGATACCCAATGCACCATGGGTTTAAATTCTAGCTAGTCGAGGATGTCTGAAGAAGGCCGTTGCTAACAATAATAGGATCAATTTGTTCAAATCTCCGAACTTGGCCCAGATGGCCAATTGAAATCTGTTACCCGGAAAGTATACACTTGCTCGAAGCTCCGGAAATGCCAGGTTATAGGGGCTCATGACTACCTAAGAAAACGCAACCAGGATGTCAAGGCTAGCCGTCACCAAACCAGCGACGATGTCTCAACTTCTTTGCTCGGAGATATGGAATTGTTCCAGCAGGTACTCGTATTAGTGCTCTCTAATGGCCAGCTTGAGTTTCTGTTCATGAGCGAAAACAGAAATGGTGGCTGGGACTTCGTCTCATCAAAGCATCATATTTCTAGTGGAAAACTGGTAGATCCAGGGTTTCACATGACGGTCAGCCCCGATTGGCAATACATGTCTCTCGCTTGCTCCGAAAATCTATTCATCGTATATCAGCTGGATTCAATAGAAAATCTTCGCAGAAAGTTTAGCGAGGGGCTACCCATACAGCCCATTAGATCAGTACAGGCACGAGCAGTGAGGGGTGTTATTCACAAACTTGAATTCCTTTACACTGACTCAATAAACGCATCCCATGTTGTCTTGTCCACTATAATCGCACGATCGGGGGTGCTCAGATTAGCCATCTACCAATGGGAGGATTCCGAGTCGTTGCAAGATGCGCTGAACGATGAAATTACAGGTATTAGACTCGATGTAACCGCTGGGCTCCCTGTGCTGATTATACCGTTGACTATTGGTTGTCAGTTTTTACTCATAACGGAAAGATCTATGAGAATATGCTCAGAAGTCCTTGGTGGCTCTCCGACTTTCGCTGATTTTCCATTGGCGCATAAAGATGCCACCGATTGGCACTATGGCACTCGCCCTCCAATGTGGATAGCTTGGACACGGCCGTTGCGAGAGGAGTCCTACCACGCAGCTACTGACCTCATATACTTAGCTAGAGAAGATGGCTGGATAAATCTTCTAGAGATCAATGATTATGGTATCGAGTCGAGTTTATACATGGGCCCGCTAGAATGCAACATCGATTCTTCATTTGCCGCTCTCAGCTCATCTCATGGAGATATTATTGTGGCAAGTGGAAATCATGGCCACGGAAAAATTTGGATCGTAAGTTGTGCTGGTCTGTCCCTTTCTACTACTCCAAGGTCAGGCTAACTCTATCCCTTTGCTCAGCTGGAAGCAAGACGTGATCCCAAGCGTATCGGTCAACTGCTTAATTGGTCACCTACAGTTGACATGTTATTGACAAAGCCTGAGAAACTTTCAAAACGACCGTCCTCAACTGAGAAAGGTACGAGTAGTGTGTCAGCCTCAGGGCGGATATTTGCTTGCTCTGGCAGAGACCGATCTGGTGCTATTGTCGAGCTACGTTATGGGATTGAAGGCAAGATTGGCCTGGATCTCTTGTATACCTCGCCCATTAAAAGGTGCTGGGCGGTCCCCAGCTTGGATTCTGCAACACGAGGAGGGTTCTTTATGCTACTCGCGCTTCCGGAAAATTCAGCCGTTCTACATATCTCACAAGATCTCTCTGAGGTATCCGAGAAAGATCATGGTGAAGTAATGTTTGACCTTCTCTCGACTACACTCGCGGTCCATGTGTCTAGGGACACTGTGATCCAAGTAACGACTATGCATGCGACAATTATATCTCCACATGGCTGGTAAGGCAACCGATTCTAATTTGAAGTTTTCGTACTGATTGACTTCCTGCACCGACAGTTATCAACATAGGTTCGATATGATCGAGGATCAATTAGCGACTATAACAGATGCTGCCATAGCCGATGAGACCATTGCTTTATCAATCTACTCACACAACACTTTCAAATTAATTGCATGTCGTTTCGATGAAGCTAGATTTGTATCACATAAAACCCTCGACCTGGACGGTGAAGTCACAGCCCTGTCTATGGCTACGTTCTCCTTTGGAGTTTGCATTCTGGTTGGCATCTCGCAAAGGGACTCGTCGACTTTGGCCATATTTTCCATCCAATGGGACGAACATGGGATGCAAATACCAACTAGCAGTCAGCGAGGTAAGATACCCCAAACTATATGTCTAGCATTAACCCGCTGCTTACCATTATGTAACTAGAACCAATATTCTTAACATTGAGGGAGGGTAAAGACGCCGAATCCATGACAGTCAATGCTGTGACTAGCATAACATGTGTCGGCAATGATAACATAGTGGTTGGTATGAGAAATGGGGAAGTTCTCACAATATGCCCAACGGGCGATCGTCAGCCTGAGCATGGCTTCATGGTAATCAGAACAAATCATTTCGGAATGTCCCCAGCCTACGTGTTCACTGGGCCAGTCCTGGCCACCGGTCCATCGAGTCTCGTCTGTAACGATACAGGAATTGCCATCGTGAAAGAACCAGTTGAATCCCCCAAGCAAGGCTATTTTGAGCAAATTTTCCAAGTTTGGCTAACCGACGCTAATGAGCCGCATTTACCATCCCCCATAGTACATTCTGTCACAGGATTGCACCAAATACCGGGCTACGACAGCTCAACATGGGCTATGATTTCTGGGCCACGTATATATATAACAGAATTACAACCCTGTCCTGAACCAGTTCCCCGGTACCTACCCCTTGGAGGTACCCCTAAAGCGATGCTATACTCGGAGCCACTGGATGCGCTCGCAACTGTGGTTGTGAAGAGTGGCATCTATTCTTTACATTTCCTCGACCCTACGACAGGAATTGACCTATCTCGCCCATTAAAGAAAATCCAAAACTCTGACGATGGGTATGCAGAGGTCGACTACATAACCTATCTAGGCAGTTCAGACATCAAAATCTCCTCTTTACTAAAATGGCGGTATGAGCGCGATGGGTATTCCTACGAGTGGTTTGCCATACTGGCTAGATCGAGAGAAAACCAAGGACTCCTTTTGGTCGTCTCGGCAGAGAAAGAGAAAGAAGCGGCCATCGGAAACACGGAAACCCCACGTCGAATCCGCTTCTGGACTATGATCTATAAGAAATTCAAGGACGCATTGCGATTGGGGGCAACCGACGAAAACGGGCTGTTTGTGAACTTCAATACAACCATCGAGTATTATGTTGTTCGGGACAAGAAATTCAAATGTGCCATGTCATATGAGCTTCCATCACCAGCTACAAGTTTAGAAGTGGTTGAGGGACATTTGCATGCCCTTACTACCCACCATTCTCTCATCGTGCTTGATTACAAGTCCGAATCTGCCCTCACAACCGAGCGGATGATCCGGCTGCACACAGATGAACTCTCTCGTAACGGGCTTGACTCAATTAGTGTATCTCTACCTACTGCTCCAGAACGACAACAACGTCTAAGCTTGGTCTCAGATCCTATGTGCGGCGTCTATGGATTGTGGCCGCCAGGCAAACCCATGTGCACTACTAGTTTGCAATTGATCTTCCAGGCACATTTAGGGGCATCGATTCGGAAGTTTGTCTATGGGTTCAGTCAACCACCTTGGACTCGGGATCAACCTCGATACGCCCGTTTACGGTGCCTGCCATCTCAAAACAGCATACTTGGCATTGCGATAGATGGGTCGGTGACACAACTATCGATTCTTGACGAGGATGCCTGGCGGCTGTTGGAATTCATTCAAAGTCAACTGCTACTCGCGTTAGAGGAACCCTACCCCACCCGTCATGATGGTGTAGGGGACCCTCGGCTGTACACAACCCTTATTCCTGCGAGCAAAGGGCACGTCAATGGAGATGTGTTGCAGGGTTGTGTTGAGAACAGATCCCTGGCACAGGTAATCTCAAATTCACAGCAACTGGTCGAGCTCCAGGGGCTACTCGCGCCGTTCGGACTAGTCAATACGGAGTTGGAAAATCTGTCTGCGACGGACAGCACACTCCTGATTTACCAGTACACTTATGATCTCTTAAATTATTACCTTGCTTCTGCGATATGAGGGTGCTATTCGGAAACTACAGACTTCTCGTCTTTATCTCACGCAATGGAAGGGCTAATTGTCGCTCACTCACGGGGATTTCTGTACTTAGTCAGTCGGCCAGCAAATACGCTGGGGAGGTTGTGAAGGACTGTCGATATCAAGGCTTGACTGAAGGTACTATAATATGCTCATGTCAATAATATGGCTACGGTATGTCAATCGTATTTGCTTTTCTCCTCGTATCTGCGTTAGTGATAGTATTTAAATATCCACTACCTTAAGTACCTACATACTTAGGTACCTAGGTGTAAGGTACCTATGTAGGTCGAAGTATGTATCTCCCTGTAAGAATAGAGACAACCTGGAATGGATACTTACCTCTACATACTGGCTACTGCACACAATCCCTCTCCTGCTTCTGCACCGCGCCCATCAATCCATCATCATGAACAACTAGTTACACTCGAAGATGGCTCCTCCGTTGAGCGACCCCACGGTGGCCGAGGGGAGCATGACGTTTGACATCATCCAACATGGACACAAGGATCTGGTACAAGCAATTGCTTTCAATGCATACGGCGATCGATGCGCCACTGGCGGCGTTGACGGCAAGATCCGCGTCTTCAACCGCCATCGCGACGATGTCTGGCGACTATGCGACAACTGGGGTGCCCACAGCGGCGAGATATTAGAGGTGCATCCGGCCTGGCCCCATCCATTGCGAAGGCACAACTCGCGCCGCGCTGTGCTAACGCTGTAGAACAGCTTCAATGGCTCCCACCCACCGTCTCCCCCAACCTGCTTGCCTCCCTCGGCATCGAAGGCCGCTTTAAGTTGTGGGCTGAAGACCCCGAGGCTGCGCCTGGAAAACGCTTCAGTTCCCGAACCGGAAATGGGAGGGCTATCTCTGAGATCAAGTCCGGTCGGTGTCCCTTCCGATCCTTTTCCCTCAAGCACGACGAAGTCACGCGATGCACCTGGTTTGCGCTACTTGCCACCGACGGCCATCTCTTCGTATACGAGAGCGAGCAACCCGAGATGCTGAGCGAATACGGGAAGATCGATGACTTCCAAGCCTGCTCGAGGCCGAACAGAGGAGAGGAGACGTGTTTCAAAGTCCGATTCGATCCAAACCCCGAGCCATGTTACAATGCCTTGCGCGCCGGCGTCTCACAGGATGCATTGAGTCTCGTGGTCTCAGGCATGCTTAGTGTCAAGATATTCAGGACCCGCGAGACTGTCTCTAGTTCATTCGGCGCGGAAACCAGAGCGCGCGAATTCTATTGTGCCGTCGAGATACCACACACACACCTCGTGCGCGACGTCGCATGGTCCCCCGGCAACTATAAAGGCTATGACATGATTGCGACAGCTTGCCAAGATGGATTTGTGAGGGTCTTTAGAATTGATACACCTTACCCAAAGAATGACGGCAAAACATGGACCGCTGAGGATATCGTTAGTAGTGGTAAAAGTACCGACGATGGCATGTCATCCAAGAAAATGCATCCCCGCAGGTTGTCGCAAGCGCCCTCCGGAATAAGAGTCGAGATCGATAAGTCTGGAACTCACGGGGAGCGTACCTCCACCGGCGAACCCGGCCAGATCGAGCACACGGTCAAAGAAATTTCAAAACTTGATGCCCACCAATCGCCTGTCTGGAGGGTTGGCTTCGATGATGACGGTCAAATACTAGGAAGCGTCGGAGATGAAGGAAAGTTGATGTGCTATCGACAAACACCGAGCGGTGCATGGGCGAAGAGCTCTGAGCTTGGTATGATGAAGACGAGAATGACTGGGCCTGCCTGAGTTGCATACATATGATGGCAGCCTTTACCTTACATGAAAACCATTGCTGGAAGCTGGTTATCCTCGCGTCTATTTGTGATGCTCCGGTTTTCTTGTGAAGAGAAGTCTGCCTCTCAGATTTGTCATTCTACAACATCGAGGCCCTAAACTTCCATTACCGTCAAGAGCCCTGAACTCAACCACCTGATCTCTTAAGGCGGTAACCAGCACTCTGAGCAGGTAACTTGTCACCACACGGTTAAGCAACATGTCTAGCACCGCCTCACTAGTCATCTCTTAGGACTGTGGAACTACCTCACGCTACCGTCAAGAATTAGCTAGTTTGCTGATGATAAGGGGGCAATGCCTTTCAGGTTTCCAACGCAACACGGAGATCACGTACGAAACTTAGGAGGAATCAAAGTATTGCAAACAATATCCCACACCCAAATCCAGTTCTAGGGAATTCCTTGCAGCAAAGGCAGTTTGGACTAACACTGCCATTTTTGATGGGTTGAATGGGGGTACTCGTCGTTAGCAAGCGATGATACTGCAGAGTTAACGAAAGGTGCAACTTAGCAAGCACCTTCATGCTACCATCATTTACATACCTCCTGAAAACACCCCAAGCATGCTAGGATTATTAAAAGGAGAGTTTAGTTCACTGCATAGAGTAATGTGTTAGGACACGCAACAACAGTTGACTAAAAATAATGAGCTGTTCATTATTTAAACGCATGGGTTTATTCCCTAAGCGCAATACGGTCCATATACAGTTAAAAAAATAAAAATAAAAAAAGGCTGAGGGGTCTTGACAATAGGCACTCTTTCTACCACCAGCACCTGACCATCATTTGTCAGGTACTATTCGTCCCCGCGTTAAGACCATTCATCTGTAATCATGCCCCTGTTGCTGTATGATTGAGGCGCTAGCAGCACGATGCCTCGGATGCTTCCAGTCTGGCAGGTAGACAACATATGAAACCACACAAGCTGACTAAGATGACAAGAGAACGAACGCTTCACCTACGTGTACAACTACCGGTACTCAGTACAGTACAATTCCTAGGTCAACCTAAAGACATCAAAGACATGCCGTTTGTAGACAAATGAAATAACACTAGCTTAGAGCAAAGCTTCTCTTGCCAGATTGGGCAGGTATATATATAACCTAGCTAACAGCAAAGATCGTCCTGAGGTTCGAGCCCCCCGTTCTGGCGTCAGCCACCTCTATTCTTGAAACATAAATATTACAGAATAAGAGCTGAAACAAGCAGCTGAATTCATGGCGCCATTGGAAACCTTACCACTCTGCCATCGCACCTAGGAAGTAAACTTCACGTAGTTACCTACATAGGTCATGGGGTGGATAGCCTCGGTCTATGCCCAGGTTGCAAGGGATAATGAAGATCGCCGTTAGCAATACCTGGGCATAGTTAATCGCAGAGTCTTGGTCGAGCCTTGGCTTAGCCTCGTTGCATGACGCGAGGGTATGTTACACTATTATAACGAAAGATGTATATTTATAGTCTCAGCTCCTCTATTCTGACTGCGTATTTAGTCCATGGCGGGTCGACTTTATCACGGTCTCGCAACTTTACATATGAACACTAGCTCAAGTGTTACATCTTGAACCCTTCACTCCCGCCAGCCAGGTTACTTATTCTGAGATTTTTTCATAACATTCGCCTTGCCGACTCTACTTACTCATTCATTATGGCTCCCCGATCTTCTCTTCTTGCCCTCTCCGTCCTTGCGGGTGCCGCGCTTGCTAGAGACGTCCCACAGAATGTCCGAAACTTGTATAACAGCATCAAGAGCCAAGGCCAATGCTCGAACGTCTTGCAAGGCGGGTTCTTCGCCCTCTCAGACGGCAGTGGTGGTGCGTAGACGTCAACACCCTAATAGCGCTTACAATCACGTGCATTCGGTACCCTTTACTCACATCTACAAACAGATTTCACGTATTGCGGCGACCGCCTCGACAGCAACGGTATCATCTACCAACAGGGCACGGGCGGTGCGCTGTCAGACATGGACATCGACTGCGACGGCGTGCAGGGGTCGCCCGCGGATGACGGCCGCTGCGGCAACTCGGGCGACACGCAGTCCATCACGTCGTTTGCCGACACGGTGCAAGGGTATAATCGCGGCATCGAGGATCTCGACGCGAATATCCATCCTTACGTTGTGTTCGGCAATGTCGGGGATGAGCCTGGCTTTACAAGCTTTGATCCGCAAGAGTTTGGCATCGAGCCGCTTAGTATTATGGCCGTTGTCTGTGGAGATCAGTTGGTAAGTCTCTCCAGCTCTTTCATTTCACTCTTTCGTCTCTGTTTTGCTCTTGTTCCTTTCTCTACCCTTCTCGGTCATCTATTTTGTTCACTAGTCATCCGATCATGCGAAAAGCCAGATGTGTGAAGTGGAAGACAGGACTAGACTTACTCCACTCCATGTTTTCAAACGCAGAAAGGGTGTGCGAGGCTCATGCAGACTGACAACTCTCTACCAGATCTACGGAATATGGGGTGATGAGAATGGTGTCGACGGTCCTATGTCCATGATCGGCGAAGCCTCCATCTCGCTCGCGACGGCGTGCTTCGGGACGGGTATCACGGGTGACAACGGCCATGAGGAGACGGACGTGCTGTACATCGCGTTCCAAGGCACAGGCGCGGTGCCGGGCCCTGACGGCGCGAAATGGGATGCTGCCAATTTTGACGAGTTCGAGGCCAGCATCCAGAGCCTTGGTGATCAGCTTGTTGCGCAGCTATGAAGGCGCGATAGCGACGACGAGGACGAAGGGAGAGCGGCTGTGTTGAGGTTGGGTACGACCATCTGGTTTCTTACCGTTTGGGGAGTGATATGGTGTTTTGGATGATGCATACGTGCATGAATTATGATCGCACGTTGAATAAACGGTATGCCTTCAGCCATGAGTCCACAATCCGTTTATTTGTCTCTAGATATTTCACACGTGAGATAGTATCATCTAAAAGGCCATGTAGTAAGTATCTACTACGAGAGTGACAAATATTACCATTCAACCGAGTCACCTGTTTTTTACCATTAAGGCAAACCCCCCATCATTTAACATCCTTTCTTCGCTCACAGCTTAACTGGATGCTTCTTTCTCATCTTTGTCCCAAAGACAAGCACAAAAATAGGAATAGGGATGATTCCGACCGTAATGAATCCCAGCAACGAGCACCCCCAGCCGAGTCCCAGGGACGCGAAAAGAGACGGGCCAGCGAGCGGGAGGAATGCGGCCGCGATGCTTCGTAAGACAGTGAAGGCGGCGAGCCCCGAGGCTGAGTACAGTGGATAGGCATCGATGATATACGCTTGGCTGGGCAAATACAATCCTAGAATGGCGATGCCGAAAGGAATCAAGCTTAGGATGGGCGCGATCCAGTGCACCTTGTAGTAAGTTGTCCAGCCGTACCAAAAGAAGGTAGTTGGGGCTGCGCAGGCTATTGTTGTTCAAGTGTCAGTGGTACAGTCAACGGTATGGTTATGGGCATCAAGTTGGGAACCATGATAGGGGTATCTCGACGTATCATAAACATTGACACGAGACAGATGAGTAGTGCTTACCGTAGTATAGGAGAAGATGTAGCCGCATCTCGGGCTCAAAGACGCCATTGTTCTTTTTGATTAGGTGTAGAACTGTCCGGTCTGATAGAGCAGAGAAGCTCCATAGGCCAATAAGGTAGCCGAGTCCTATGGCCAAGTAGACGAGACCAGTGAGGCTCGTCGGGAAACCATATTGATCTTCAAATGTCGGTGGGATTGTGTTGAACATCAGATACACTGATATGATCTTGTCAGGCGAAACTTCACAGTGAACGAAAATGAGAGCCTGTACTTACTCGTACCGTAAAGGAACGCCACGTTGACTGACATCAGAAAAATAATGGGCGCTAATACAAGCATCTTCAAGGGTCGTACAAGTCCAAGTAGTACGAGTTTCGATTGCGATACCCTCGTTGTCCCGGCTGCATCATAGCAGTTAACCAAATCATCTCTCTCCAACTCCTTACTCAACCGCTGAACTTTACGATCGATGAGAACCTTGTGACAGGTCTCCGGAAGGTAAAACGCCAGGGCAGCAGTAACAAGAGTCGATGGAATGAAGACGATCCAGGGATCCCATCGCCAACCAATTGAGCCAACAATGAAAGCCCCTATTAATGGACCCAGAGTTGGTCCCACGATTGGTCCAATACTCCACACGGACAACGCTTTGCCACGCTCAACGACAGGAAAGAGATCTCCTATGACTGCACCGCCGAGTGTCATACAACCGGCGCCTCCAACACCACAGAGGAACCGGAAGACAATAAGGGCGTCAAGACTAGGAGCCAGCGCACAGCCGATATGCCAAATACAGAAGAAAGCGTTCGCGCTCGACAGGACAAGGGCGCGTCCGTAGACCTCCGACAGCGGAGACAGGAAAAGGGGGCCGACGGCGTAGCCCAGCAGAAAGATACTGACGGGAAACGACGCCTTCGTGGTATCCGTGGTGCCGAACTCTTCGGCCACGGCATTAATAGCGGGGGCCAGAATGGACGATGAGAGCGGCGAGAAAAGCGTTATGAGGCCCAGACAAGTCACGACGATCCATTTCTGGCGCTTATCGAAGTTTAAGGGCATGGCCGGGTCGTCGGGTCCGTCCCAGCCAACGATGCCATGATCGAGGTCGGACAGCGGGATAACGGTAGGCTCGACATCTTCTTTCACGCCGCTTACCCTGCTGAGAGTGCGGGAGATTCCGCTGCGCTTGCTGTGCTGGCTTGTCCTTGTTTCTACTTTGCAGATCTCATCCTGATGTGTGGTTCCTATAAGCTCGGTATCCAAATAATAAGATTTCGAGGAAATGCACCCGAAGCGACTCACCTCTACGACATCTTCTCTCTCGTCTTGGCTGATCTCATGGTCATTGTCAGACGCCGAGTGGCGGCGTTTTTCATGAGACGCACTGTCAGATTCCGGCGACATGATGGCAAATAATTACGTTTTATTAGGACTACGAGAAAAAAGAAGAAGAAAAAAGGTGAAGTAATACTCAATTAGACCAGAGAATACGACTCGGTCATAGTGGTTACTATCGTGTCTAAGCAGCGCCGAAGAAGAGTCCAATGCGTCCAATGCGCCACAACTACATAACAGAGCGCAATAGAAAAGAAATCAAACCGAGGCTGAACTCTTCCTTTTAAAGAAGGAAGGAGTCACGGATCTAACATTCCACTCATGCTGGTGTGATAGTCCACCAACGCCACAGCAATCCTAGCGTTACTGCTTTTAGACAAGATGGACGAAACAGGCGGGATGAGGACAAGCAAGTTGGGGGCTTGATTGGGGGAGGGCGGAGGCGGGCAGGACGTTTCACCCCGCCGGGCCATGGGGAGCCATGCTCGAGATAGCTAGGTTTGCGGTCAACGGCAGGGCGTGAGTGCGGGTTTCCTTGCCCGGCATGTCGTTCGGAGTTATCCTCATCGGTGGTGACGTTGTGGAGTTGCCCGGGGTTGTAGTACCTAGCAGAGACCTAGTAAGTCACTGGGAGATGTAACGCTATATTGCAATAGTGATAGTGCCACATGACGATATGGATCTCGACAACCTTTACTAATAAAGTAAGACACCGGGAAGGTAAAAGGTGACTTGGTATGTCCGGTTATTCCCTGGAGTCATAGAGAATAATCGGATATAGTTAAACCCCACAAAATATCAATCATATACATAGTAATTAGTTGAGACTGGGGATCAGATAGACCAGACTTTTCATTTAGATCGGATATACTTTCAGCTTTTTCTATCTTCCTGAACCTATACGGTAGATATGTTCACTGTTCAACTCCTTGAAATTTTCTTCGAGTATATGGTGCTGTAATCCTTTAGCTGCGCTAGACCAGTATGCTGTAGCTCCTCCTAGTGATACTTTGGCGATTCATTTCTATTTGTGGCGCCGCATAATTCGCCAATAATGATTCTAATGAAAATATGATTAAGTATTAATCTGTACACATGACCGGTGAAGATTTGTAGCACTGCCATCTTGTACAAGGGGAAATAAGGCAGCAAGTAGTGAGCGAAAGAGGCAACTATGCTCTAAGCATATTATCCTTTCAACCCCTGAATCGCAACTTTCCCACTGATATGGCGGTTTGTATTTCTGTGGATAGTTTTCTCAAACTCACAATATGCTCTGCGAGCTGAAGTTCGAAGGACATTGGCAATGGACGTTGCGCAAACTTGCTAATGAAATTTCTCAAATGCAGGATAAAACTTGAATCTTAGGCAAGGTGATCAGCTTTAGCTGGGCCAGATCTTGCTTCTCAAGCCGGACTGGGCGATTCATAAGGTGAACCATAACGACCAATTGCTTAAATGGTATTTCTAGATTGAAAATGTTATCTATGAGATCTGTTGAGATTCAACTGCCATCACGACTCTGGTTATGAGCGAAAGCGAAACAGACGAATTTTCTTTTCTGAATGAGCTTTCATCTGGCCTCTGGAGTCAGTGTGACTCCAAGTTCTAGTCATTGAAGACGAAAACATTGTAACCTAGAAGACTGATACGGTCCGCACGCATTAAAGCAGCTGGCGTGTTACAATGATAGCACACTTTAGGTTTATTTAGTAATGGATATTATACTACTGTCTTGCCTCGTAATCACCTTTGGTTCTCGGCACTTTCAAGCGGACTCGAGTCTGGTGTAAGTGTCCTATACTTATGTAAGGCAGATTAAAGGATTCTGTATGAAATAGGTAGCATTTTGGGCGGGCCGTATAACCATTGTTGGACGATGTTGCGTCTAACATGCATACGTAGTACCACATACCAGGCTCGCAGAGATGTATCGCATTTGCAATTATGTTTTCTTTAGAGAGTATAAATACTCGATGCCTTTAGCACTATGACATCCAGTTTACATGTCAACTCATGATTGTTAAAAACCTCGGCATCATGGCTCACACTAATAGAATAGTCGAGTTATCTTCGCTTATTGCGCAACAGACTACAATTATCAATGATTTCTTTGAAGAGAATCAACTACCGACCCCATCCTTGGACCTAGATGCCCTCCAGTTCTTACCGATCCCAAATGAAGCTACTCACGTCAAAGCTGCTAGGGCGCGGGTAATCGAAGCCTGCTCAGAGCTGAAAGCATTGCTCACCGGCCCTAGAGAGCTACTAAGATTCAATGTTAGTTTTATATTCAACCTTCGATCTGATTACGTCTTTAGTTTGAGGAGATATTCTCTATCCCAAACTGATGTTCTAAGCTTACGTAGACTTTAGTGGACAGCATATGTCAGTGTCAAAGCGATTCTCCGCTTCAACCTAGACAAGTCTTTTGCAGCAGGAGAGACAACATCCTTCGAAACTATGTCCAAGTTTTCAAACCTAGATGTGAAGATCGTTCGACGTATTATTAGGCACGCTATTATTAACCACAGATTCTTCCAAGAGAACGTTCCTGGCGTTATAAGTCACTCTACGCTGACGGCCGTGCTTAGTCGGGACGAAATGGCGAGGAACTCATTGATAGTAGAGCTAAACGAGTTTTGGCCAGCAGGCGTCAAGATGGCTGATGCCATCGAAAAATGGCCTAACTCAGAGGAGAACAACGAAACTGTACGTGTAGCTCACCTTGATTATCACCACGAAGTTCTCATCACATTTTCAGGGTTTCTCTCTAGCCAACAATAGCAATAAAGGAATGTTTGATATATTTGCCGATAATCCGGATCGCGCCGATAGATTCGGACGGTACTTTTCGAAACCAGACTCAACTGCTGATGGCATACTTGAGAATTACCCATGGACAGAGAAAGTAACGATGGTGGACGTTGGGGGATCGCACGGGAGCGTTGCTATCAGCATTGCTGAGCGATTTCCTAACATCAAGTGTATTGTCCAGGACCTACCTGATACCGTCACTGAAGGGGCCTCCTATCTTCCTAAACACCTAAGGAATAGGGTAACGTTCATGGCGCAGTAAGTCAAAGCCCTCGTCTACAGGTTTAAATGCTATGATAGTGTCAAGCGTCGTTAGAGCCATGGGTTCGTCTTCCACTCTTATCAGCATTATACTAAATGTCAACCTCAGCGATTTCTTCAAGCCTCAGCCAGTTAGTGCAGATGTATACTATTTCCGCTCGATCTTCCACAACTGGGCTGATAAATACTGCATCAAAATTCTTCAAAATCTTGTGCCTGCTCTACGTCCAGGTGCAAAAGTTATAATTCATGAGCGTATACTGCCCGGCCTTGAGAAGCTGACTACGCCAGATGCTATGAGGGCAATGTAAGAAACCTCCTACAAACATACCTATTCAGGGTAATCTACAGATCACCGTACCAGTTTAGCTTACAGTATAATCATCAGAAATCTTGACGTCGGGATGCAACAGTTGTTAAACGCACAACAACGCGAGATGCACGAATGGCCTGAGCTTTTTCAACGTGCGGATTCCCGTTTCCGCTACTTGGGAGCTCACCAACCTGAGGGGGCCATTCGTTGGATCATTGAGGCAGAATGGCAAGGGTAGAATGATTGAACGTATTGAGTAATGCGCTGCATGATATTTTGAGTCGGGGTTCTATGCCTGTAAACAGTTTGTTACGAGGCTAAGGCGTCGTATGACTCCCATTAGTCTATGAACTTAGAAGGCAATTAACATAGTCGAGTCTATCTTCTTCTGCGTTCTGCTACTTGTGGAGGACTACTCTTGACGCTATATCTATTTCTTAATGTTCAGTCTATTCCGTTTTCCGGCTTCTCCTTCCCATGTTTGAGTGAAAAGCTCTGCAGGAACATGTCGATGCGTATGCGCCCTAATATAAAGCCGTGCAAACTGTTCTCCTCACAGGCCGGATGATCGTTAGCGCTACACGGCGTCGCAGTAGGAAGGGATCCGAATGGACTGCATAGACTTTGACAGCCTTAGAGCGGTTGACTTATCTACACATACGACTATTCTACCTAAGCGCTAGCTAGCTAGCCTGCACGCTATCAACATTGTCAGTTTCTCAGACGCGCCATGTTAGACCACTACAAGCAAGTGAAGAACAAGCTGGTAGTTCCTTTCTTCATATTGTATTATCATTAATATGTCTGAGTTGTTAGAAACTGCTCGCGTGACCCTCTTCGGGTCTCGGAACGCCGGCAAGAACTCCTTTGAACCCGCCTGCGATATCCCGAGTTTGGCATGCAAAGTCGTACTCATCACAGGCGCCGCAGGAGATCTGGGCCGGCAGACCGCCGTGGAGCTTGCGCGACATGGCCGTCCTGCGCGCATCTACGTTGCCGACCTGCCGCGGGATGCCGATGCCAAACGGGGCGTTATCGAGCGCATTCAGCACGAAGCACGAAGCGATGACGGTTCCAATGATGGCAAATATGAAGCCACTGACGTGCGTTTTCTAGATTTGGATCTTACAGTTTTCGAAAGTGTGCAGAAATGTGCGGCAGAGTTCCTTGCTCAGGAGGAACGCCTTGACATCGTTGTGCTGAATGCGGGCATCATCAGCAACAGGGTAGGAACGACAAAAGAGGGATACGAGAAACATTTCGGCCTCAATTATCTCGGTCATGCGCTCTTGTTAAGACTCCTGCTACCGTTGATTCTGTCTACGGTTCAACAGCAAGTTGACGGCGATGCTCGTGTTGTCGTAGTTTCAAGTGAAGGACATGCAGTTGCGCCTGCTGGGGGAATTCAATTCGCCAAGTTGAAGACCGATTGCGCAGATATGGTATGCTTCACTTTATCCACTCCTGCTTTTCACTTCAAGTCATTTGCTCTGAACGAAGAAACTAATGCGCATCTTACTATCAGTCATACGCACAGCGGTACGGTCAAAGTAAACTGGCCCTTATCGGACTCGCTCGCGAGCTCGCGCAGCGCTATCCATCTTTAACGACAGCTTCGGTCCATCCAGGAAGAATCTTGACGGGGATGGCTACCGCCTTGAGTAAAGAGAGCTTGCTGGTACGCCTGACAGCACCCCTCGCACCGCTCGTCTGTGTGTCGGTGGTCATAGGAATCAAAAACCATCTTTGGGCTGCTACGAGCCCCGATGTCGTAAGCGGGAAGTACTACGAGCCCGTTGGCGTTCCGGATAAAGAGAGCAATGATGCGAAGAATCCCGACTTGTCGAGAAGGCTTTGGGAATGGACAGATCAAGAACTGCAATTAGCTGGCCTGCTTTGAGAGCAAGACATCCATGTTTGGCTCCCCCCAAGAGTGATATTATAACCTGTATCAATTACTTGCCGAGAGCCAATGAGTTTCTCTCGGAGCGGTATAGCGAATTACCGATGGCGATTGTTTCCAGTGCTTGGGTATATTACCTAAGGACTCATCACGCCAATAGGGTCCAAGGCCTCGTTATTGACTTCTTCGGCACGATTCCCTTCACTGTCAATGGAATCAAGGTGAGGCCCGATATTATATATAAAAAGATTATGAAGCCCATATCATGAGTGTGAATCTCGCGATTTCGCGATGCCAATGGACCCTGCAGCAAGTAGGTAACCCCTAACGCGGTACTGCAGGTGTACGCACTCCAGCGCTCCACTACAGCTACAGCTACAGCTACAGGGATCACCATGCGCCATAGCTGCAGGGCGTTAGCGGGCTTCTAGCGCCATTTAGGCTGTGGTTCAGCCTTGTAAGACAGTTGAGGACAGGTTTGCTGTTTGTTTGCGACAATGACCGACGACGACGACCTCGTCATCTCGGTCTGAGGTCGAACAACCCCACCGCAAACACTAAGCAGATCATTGCTTGCTCACTTCTATTACTACTCTGTCCACCATGTGAGCCACCTGTCTTCGGCTTCTTTACTTTCCTTCTCCCCGTTCCTGTCTTTCCTTTCCTACTAGGAATTCAGCCAGACAGACCTCTTCATCTCATCTTCCCTACGGGACTACGACGATGCGCGAGTCTTCGACATGGCCACCCAAGTAACCTCGACTGCGCTCTCGCGCACAGAAACGATCAATCTGAGTGCCTTGTCCCTTGTTTGCGTGGCCGTCCTAGTCAGGACCTTGGAGGGCGAGGGCGAGCCCTTGATAGCTTCTCTCGCCCTTAGCGGATTGGCCTTCGCGGCCACCTATGCCACCATTAAGTGGCTTGGTCCAACCTTCATCAAGGCAGGCCTGAAAGGCCGCGATCTGTCCAAGGTCAACAACAGCAACTACCTGCCCGAGTGCATGGGCGCCATCTGCGCTATCGTCTACCTTCTGATCATCATCGTATTCATACCTTTTCCCTTCTATAAGGATATCGTTGTCGCTACTAGTGGTGGTGGAAACCGGGATGTTGTCATGAATGTCGAGTTTGTCGAGAAGGGAAGACTGCTGCACAAGTTCCCGCACAGCAAGGTAAGCATCTGACGGCCTGTCACGTACATCTTTTTCTTCCATCCTCGCTCGCAACTAACAAGATATATCGTGCAGCTGGCATCCTTTCTTTCGGCAATCATCTCTCTTCAGAGCATCACTCTTCTCGGCATCGGCGATGACCTCTTCGACATTCGTTGGCGACACAAGTTCTTCATTCCTGCTTTTGCCTCGATCCCGCTACTTATAATCTACTTTGTCGACTTTGGTGTCACCTCCATCGTCCTACCTACATTCCTCCAGCCCTACGTGGGTCGCGAATTGATCGATCTCGGCATACTCTACTATGTGTACATGGCCGCCTTCTGCATATTCAGTCCAAATAGCATCAATATATTAGCTGGGATCAACGGCATCGAGGTCACCCAGAGCATCGTCATTGCGCTCCTACTGGTTTTCAACGATGCCCTATACTTATTCACCCCATACCCCCATCCGGCCACGGACTCGCACTTGTTCTCGCTTTTCTTCCTCCTGCCGTTCCTCGGTGTCAGCTTTGCCCTCCTCTACCACAACTGGTATCCAGCCCGAGTCTTCGTTGGAGATACCTACTGTTACTTTGCTGGCATGATCTTCGTCGTTGTTAGCATTCTCGGCCACTTCTCCAAGACATTGATCCTTCTCCTACTCCCTCAAATCTTCAATTTCGTGTATAGTGTGCCCCAGCTCTTCGGCCTAGTCCCATGCCCACGTCACCGACTACCGCATTTCAATGCTCGAACGGGATTGCTGGAGCCCAGTGTCACCAAATGGGAAAAGGGGAAACAGCCGCATCCCATAATTTCTCATACACTACGTCTGCTAGCGCAATTTCAGCTCTTGCAACTGAAGCAAGATGAGGATGGCCGGATAGTCGAGACGAGTAACTTCACCATACTCAATCTATGGTTAGTCTGGCGAGGACCAATGAGAGAAGATAGACTAGCTATAGAGATCACCGTCATGCAGACCATGGTGGGATTGTTTGGTCTATTTGTGAGGCATCGACTCGCTCTGCTTATCTTCCGAGAGGACAACTGGAGCCTCCGAAGCGCCATTTAGACTTGGTGCTGCATACTAGATACCCCTTCTGTATTCCCAGCTGCATTATTATAGACATATGCTGACACATGAATGTGAGAAAGAACTAAATCTGCGGTATGTGCAACCAATAATACAAGCGTAGCTTTTACACCTCTTTATCGTCCCCCTTGATGCCCTCTTTCACGCCTCTTCGATCTCTTCACGTCGTTCTCCAATTCGGCATTGCACACTTGCAAAAAACAAATGACCAAATTACTTCAATCAGTGGTACAAAATTTCTCCCACAATCCTCCAGGCACTTCTCAACGTCTGGTACAAGGTCACAACGGCGCTTGTCCTCGACGTTGGGCTCCAACTTGCCACATTGTTGAAATAGAGAAGGTGAATCGCCGGGTTTCTCTCGCGCAAGGAGTAGGAGCTTGTGTGGTAAGTGGGTGCTTTCAGGGCTACCGCGCACATAGTCGAGCCAGCTCTGCGAAAATTGGCGCGCTGCCTGTTCAGACAAATACCAGAGTCAATAACGAAGAGTAAATACTATTGATAGTCCCAATAGTCGAGGAGTTGGCCAGGGTGATAAAATAGAGGAAATCTCTGCTTGGAACGACACTCCATCCATCGATGTCGCAAGGGGTATAAAAAGAAAATTATACTGACCAGGTAATCAAATTGTGTTTGCTCGTGGAACAAGATAGCGAGGTACAAGCATCTCTCCCCGTCCTCGGTGATGAGCCCAAGGTCAAGCCCAACCGGGGAGAAATCGTGTTTATCTTCGTACATCTTGTACGCGGCCCGTGAAAGGCTCAAGATGAATTCATTGAGCCCGTCCGGGATCGAGTATGTCTCCGTGAACGTCCTCTGCAAGGAAGCGGCTTGCTTGAAGAGCTCCTCGTCGCTGGACTTCTTGGCTTCCTCGAACCCTTCATTCCATTTTTCCACCTTCGCGAGACTCTGGTCTTCCAGACCCTCCAGCCCTGGGAGCGAGGGCCTGTTGTTCGTCTCTTGTATCCCGCTTTCGCTCATGCCAGGGCGAAGGTAATCGGTACTGACTTCGCTGTTCATGGTGAGATAGACACTAAGAAATGCTACGGGTTGGCCGTGGTTTCCGTGAAAGTGTTTAGCTGAGAATAGTTCTACAGAGATTTCGATGCCGCATACGTAGGGGGGAATTCTGGTGGCTAGTTGGTGACCGGAGCAAGAAAAAGTAGTTTGGTAGAATAACTGCGACGGCTGGGTGTACACTGAGTTTTCAGAGCAGATAAAGGGAAGCAAACAGTGATGCATGGTGAAACGAAATGTTGGTGAAATGGAATGGTAGTTGTTGATCCCTTACTTCTCGCCGCCCTTGTTCTCTACGCAAACAATGAATCATTTTCCGTCTTGACGCACACAATAGGCTCCTTATTTCCATGTCATATCCCTTCGAAAGTTTTCTAAGCATCGTATTGGACTGTATCGATCTGTTTTGTCATCTGTCGCGTCACAAACCCCCTCACATATCAGCTGAGCCTGGATCTGATGCCATATGACCGTCCAACAACTTAACGCTTGAACAGATGTACATACTGCCACTCACTTTGACGTCCTTCTATGATATACTTGGTTGGCATATGATGTGGTAAGTCCAATTCTGAAAAGTGTTATATAGTTACACACTTTGAGCTTGTCCGTAATATCTCTAGAGCATAGAATGAGAATTGTGAATTTATTCTTGGAACACCGTGATGCGTAGGCTAATCATGTATAAAACGGCTTCAATGCCTCACTGCTTTCCCAAAGCATATTTTACATCTGCGATTCCTGGGAGAGGTTCAATACCTTCTCAGTGATCTGAGATTCGGCGAGCTTCTCGCTTTTGAGGAATTCGGTGAGATCGAAAGTCCCTTTGTAATCCTCAGCTGGTCCCCAGGCCCTCTCTACCAATTCGATACCCCCTGTTTCTCTTAGCATTGTCCAGACAACCCGGAAGGCTGTCGGCAATTCAGTTGCATCGGTGTGGCGCATTCCGTCGACGAATGCCTCCGTTTTCGAGAATAAAAAGGTGCTGTTGATTGGGAATTGAATTACAGTCTTTAGCTGAATCAGGATAACTGGCCAGTATGGCCAGCATGGAGCTTCTATGAATCTAATCGGAATGTCGGCAGAAACCATGAGTCGAACCTCATGAACCATATGCAAAACTCGAATCAACAATCTCTTGAAGCCTTTGGAATTACAATTGTCTTCTGGTATCGTATGGGTCTGTTGAAGGGTTTCAAAGAGGCTTCCCAAAACAGTATATTGCAGAGCAAGCTGAGGCGGAGAGGTAAACGGAATTGTTGTTTTCTGTTCCGACATCTTGTACGTGATCTCTCTGTAGCCAGCTTTGAGAATGTCGGATGAGTGGCAAGATTAGGAAAGGAAGTTAGCTGCTCATCGAAAAGAGATTCTCATGCGGGAATGTTTGGTGAATATAAGGAGGGAGCATAAACACTTCTAACCATCATCACACTAGTCCAGCAGAATACAGAAATATCTTCACGACGCAAGGATTAAAATCTGTTACCTGAAGCAATAGCACGGCCCATATGTGCTCTATCAAGCAGTTTTTCTAAGACTTTCTGAATCAGAACCCAGTGTGTATGTTTTACCCCTTTTTACTAGGATGTTCGACCCCTGAAAGGATATAGCTAGTCACTCCGAACCATATCTCTGCCAATATCTTGAGGATATGAGCTTAGAGGAGATGAGTAATGCCCTATGGCATCCCATAACTACTACTTATAACATAAGGGCTAGGCTAGCCTTGCAGTAAAATCTTCAAAGTAGCTTGTGGGAAAATATGAGTGTAGACTCGCACCCTAACTCGTAACAGTCTCATGCCTGGTTTCAAGAAAATCACGAGCTAGTGAGTGTTTTTATCACGTATACATAGTGTAGGTCATTAGCCACGCCGGAAATCATGGGCCAATCGTTTCGAATACAGGTTAAATTCAGCTACGTCTCAACGTATCCCTTAAGAGGGACCACCCCTAACAGCTGGTTACAGTGAACAGGCCCTTCTACGGCACCTCGTTGGGGCTTAGGGTGAAGTTGTATGGTGCACGTAAACGAGCCCAGTCCGTCACCGCAGTAGCTGTGTAGTTCCTTGCCTCATCTCTGTATACAAGACCATTAGTGAATGTCCGCACGACGACTATCCATATGATCACAGGCTCAGACCCTACACATACGTAGTTGAGAACACATAGTTTATAGCAATATGTGCTTGTGTGTTGTCCACATAAGGGACGATTCTTGCCGAGACAGAGAGAGCCGATTCGTCGGGGGTTGAGTCCATAGCACAGTCGCTGTAATCCGAAGATAAGGGAAACCCAGCCCCAGATCCCGTGCAAAGAGCCTCAAAGGCTGGGATATAAGATTCGGACCCTATTGATCCATGGATGGAGCCGGATACGGTGAACCCTGGTAACACTTAGCAACATGTTGCTTCTCAGTAGCATCACATGATTGTAAAGTGCATGATATCAATCCTTGTACAGAAAGTTGATGTTTATTAGAGAACGTGAAGTCTTACTATACCAACTAGTCGTCGGGTCAGCCGGGTTACCATGTGAAAGCCCTGCCTGATACTGCGTGATGTTCCAGATATAGTCACCAACATCTTTGGCGAAAACTACTCCCTGCACAGCCGAAGCGGTGATTAAGAAAAGGGAAGCCGTTTCGAAGTGCATGTTTGACGTTCTAGGTAGCCCTTCGCTGGCGAGGCAACCTGTCTGCCTTCAAAATCTAAAATAATTATGCGATTGCTCTTATATGCATTTAGTTTCGTTGATACTTAACTTCGAGATACAATCAGCTAGGTCTATATACGGCGAGCATGTTTGCTAGGCTAAATCAATATTGTAACGTTCAATTCAATAGTGTAACCATGCCACATATAATGGGGCCATTGCACTACGTGAACACGAAACGACATTGATCCAGACCGCGGCAGGCTGACCGGGTCCGAAAGACGTGACCTAATGGAATGCTGGGGGCGAGCCATGCGACCCTCGAGATCGGACTGCCGATTCCGGACCGGCTCGTACTGTCATTTTCAACGATTCTCATGTAGCGCAATCACGTCCGAGAAATTGCTTTCATTCTCAAACTCCAACTTCCAGATTACTTCTTACAACTCAGCGTATGACAACTAAGCTAGACTCAACACCAGGAAGTCACCCGTGTAACATGAGATCAGTTGCCAGTGAGTCATGCCAAGTTCGAAGAGAAATCATTATGACATCAAATCAACAAGGACATCGGGGCTACTCTTTAAGCCCATGCAGACTTGCTTAACTAATCTTAATCCATACGAAATGGTACTTTGCAAGGTAGGAGGTAAGCATACTGATACTCTGACGCTAATTGAATGAGTGAACAAGAAGAGAAAAAGAAACGATCACATAAAAATACCTTCCCATGCAAGGCAATCATGCGTCTAGACTTTTCCCTGTCGAGTTTCGTCTTGGAGAGACATAGTCTTCCAACACTGATCGCATCAACTTACTCGCCAGCTTCTCTGTGATACTCACACAAATGCAAGGTCTACATGTCCAGTTATAAACAGATTCTAAGGTCGCCATGTTAGGTGTGGACTTCATCAGGCAGCAGCAGGATTGCAGTCAGAATGTTTTTCTGCCCCCCTTTTCAGCCCCTTTTTCTCCCCCCAACCCGATACTCTTCCAGTAGTAATATCGTTCAATGCAATAACAAAGTTATTATAGACTCCGGCAACTTCAAGTCTCTAAGTTGTAGTTCACCTTTCACTCGGTTCTGATTGGATCGTCGACCATGCTGTCAACCTTCAAGCTTCCTAGCCACATACTTAGCTTGCTTAGAAACAAACACCCCTCCCATCTCTGTCTGTTTCCTCTCTTCTTGCTCAAGTGAATAGAAGCTTTGAGTAGCCTCACGCTTACTATTCTGGCTATATCATACCGGATACTTGGATTTTATTTGAATCGGCACCGATTGTATTATTGCATTGTTTCTGCTACGGTAGATGAAACCCATCTAGCTCACACACAAATCCAGAACACGTTTCATAGCATTTCTATCTGAGACCCCAGAGTCAGGTGGTACAGATGCTACCAAGCACCAGAGTGTCAGTCATTCACCAGGTTGCACACAGCCCGCCTCACGTCACTGAACTATGCTACCTGCACGGCAACTCAGCCTACCAAACATCCGGCAAGGGTACACAAAGAAAGATCCCCCACAGCCTTGTAATACAAGGCAACGGCCAGACATGCAAGGGAGAGCCATCTTCTCATTCGTCTGCTGTTCAGAGATAACAACCCGACCTTGTAACACTACCACCACCACCTCACATGACAGCCTATCTATATCAAGACTTCTCTCCGCCCCCTTCAACTAGCCCCCCTTTCCCTCTACGTTTGTTTCGCCGGTGGTACCTCCTGTTAACCACCCTATCCAGCCCAGGACTCAAACTCCTTTCTCTTTTCGACATCCCTCGAGTCGACACATACTGTTCGAACACTAATCCACAGCAAGGTAGACTCGCCTTATCCATGTCAAGCCTAACCTTAACACGAATCCTGAGAAGGGGTCAGTGTTCAGCGCCTTCTGCCCTTCTATCATACGCCCAGCTAACCTCAACCCTCTGTCTGACTTATCCCCATCCTCTTTCTCATTTCCCCTCCTCTCCCTTGCATAATCCATAAATTCTATATCGGATCTGACTCGTGTCATCGATTAGGGAATTAGCCGCGAGGCGAAGATATATCTAGCGACTCCTTTTTTTCTTACTTACGTTTACTCTTCATGAGAGATGGTGTCGTGTATATATAGGGAGGAGAAGAGGGATTTGAAGGATAAGTTACGCACTGCAACACCGCGATACTGATGGATTATGTCTCCGTCGATCTAGATCATCGACCAGTTGACACTTCATCATCAATATCTTCTACGTGCGAGACTTGGTTTCCCTCCCTTCTTTCTCTCTCTCTATCCTTAGCCACGCCGATCAGCTCTACGGCCGAAGAAGCCAATGTTGATGACTACCCACACTCTACGGTGGTCATTCCCAGCATCTAGGTATGATAGATTACCACTTCCTTACTTCCTTCCGCCTCCTACAGGCCAAGCACGGGCTCAGAGCCGCCACTCTCTATCCCGTTCACCCTCGCCCATCTTGCCCTTCTCACACCATTCTTCCTCTCCCCATTCCCTACTTTCTCTTTCCCTTCTCTTCCCAAAATCTTTCCCAAGGTAGCCAACCAATCAACACTACAAGGCATACAAACTACACAACTGCATACACAAGAAACCTAAGCACATGGCCATGCAACAGCCAGCCGCGCGTCCCGTTCCGAAAACAAGGCTGGCCGACCACGCCCTCCATTCATCCATCCATCACTCATCAATCCAAACCTTCTACTTACCATATCTCTATCCCTCGGCAAGATTTTCCCTTCCGCACCAAACTTTCCCATATTTAATTCCCTATCTACGCCCCATACCCCATTATACACTTACCCTCCTTCCCTCTCCCTTTCTTCCACTCCCCTCGTCAAATAACACTTCCTACTCGATATCTCTACATCCATCTATTCATCTGGCCATTCTAACAAGTTATCTATCTACCCAGGCACCTTCTCACCTAACTCTCCGAGTATTCACGTGACAGAAGAATATCACATGAGCCAAGAGAAAACCCAAGTTCGACCCACGAGTAAAGTTACAAATCATACCTACAGTATTTCATCCGCCGTCGCCCAAATGTCTACCTACCAGAGTGTCCCGGCTAAGTCAGCCAATCAAACCACTTTATTTTCAACGGGGCTACGTACCCTAGCAATTTTTACCTAACAGCCACACCACACCAGACCCCTCCTCCTGCTTCCCTCCCTCCATCCAAACTAATGTACTCTACTGTATGTGTGCCAATCTCATTCATTGTCTACACCCTATTCATAATTCATAATCAATATATCTACCTAAAACCCTCGCAAAGATACCCTACGGTCATCACAGAAAGACGAAAATCGCAGATGCACATATATATGCGGGTTACACACAGACAGAATACTCCATGGCAGCACATTCAGGTCCCGAGTGGTGACTTGAGATTTTCCCTTATCTTCTCGCTCCTCCCTTCGCTTGTCTCTATTCTTGCTCAAGTATAGTTAATGAGCCATGTAGCATCTCCTGCCGGAGACACTTTTCTGTTACACCCCCACTTATGCATTTCAATACGTACAAGTTGTCATAAAGCCCTTTTTTTCTTTACCCGAGACACGTCTGCCGCCTTTTCTTAGTAATACACATACGGGCCGCCCTTGTAGCATTCAGCAACACCTTATTGTTCCTTTGTCCGATACCACCCCAAGTCAAGGCTGGTGTGATAAATAAGCTGTGGCGCCCTCGTGATCTGTATTTATACCGGGAGGTGGATGCTATTATGACCCTGATGTCTCGTACCTCAATAGGGGCCTCAAGGTGGAGGAGTTTTTGGCCCAACAGGTCGAGCTGAATCGAGCCATTTACTATATATATCCCCGCCTGAAGGGAATACTGAGTAATGATCACACAACAGAGGTGGGAGAGGTCGCATCGTCATGTGCCAGGCCACCGAGAAGACCATCAGATGGGTCTGTTCAAAAATCCTAGGGTTCCAATGTCCATGATCCCCTCCAAGAATACGCCATGATTCAAGCCATTGTCCCCAACGCCGAATATGAGAATAATTTGAACCGTCATCGTGGGCGCCCTGACTATATCGAACGCCAAGTTGGTATCCGTAACTCCTAACTGAAAGGACATGATTAAAAACCGCATAGGAACGGCCTAAGCTATGCACACCGGACAACTCCATATCTTTATATGTCGAAGAACTTGACCGCACCATGCCTTCAAGTATCGGCACCCTTTTCATTTGTTGGGGAATCGAACATGACAGCATCTGTGCTGATTGGTGATTTAGCTTCTTCAATAATCGTAGTAGGTGGTGGCTTCAAGGCAGCTGACGATTTTGCAGCAGCGGCCTTATTTGTTCGACTCTTCGTATACTCGCTGAGACTCAACTTCTTCTTGACAGGGCTCGGTTGCACCACAACTCCCCCCACAGGCGGAGGCACAGATGGGCTATGAAGATTATTTGCAGCAAATGGAGACTGGGCCACGCTACCTGACGCAGACACAGGCGTTATAGCTGAGCTTGCCACTGTCGACGAGCTATTGAACGCCGGAACAGGCGGTAGCTGAACGCGAAGCTCAGGCGATTTCACCTTGGCAGCTTTTGGCGGCGTAGATGCGTGAACGAGTGACGATTGTGTACTAGAAGGTGAATTTATTGGAGCGTCACACATAGGGGTATCTTCAGATACTGCTGTAGTTGTGGGTTCATGCCGCGTTACCGTGGCGTTGGCTGTGTCAGGGGAGGGTATCGTTGTGCTGGTGCTCGGCTGTTCGGTCGTAGGCGAGTCCAGATCCATCTTGACCAGCGCTGACGCTACCGACGTCGGAGATGCAGCTGTGCTTGTGCGACGCGAATCATCTTCGGCTCGAAGCCGGTGCCTACTTTCCAGCAGCCTCTTGGATAGCGAGACAACTCGCCTCTTTGGCTTTTGAGTTGGCCGATCATCACTGAACCACGCCCCATTTACTGGTTCTGTTTGAACACCTACATCTCGATACTCTGGATGGGGACCTTGTGATGGGTTTCGTGGGGGCAGTGAAAAAGATTTACGCTGACCCAGTTGCTTGAGTGGATCCACTGATGTTGGTGATATTGCACTGGTGGGTGAGCCGCCAACACTGCCAGAGGTACCAGCATCCACATATCGACTCTCTATCGTACTGCTAGTTGTCACTGTAGTTGTTGGAGCGCTTTTCGACTTAGATTTCGACGAGGCGCCGGATGCCCCGCTACTTGTTCCATCAGAGGTTCGTTTCTTCTTTCTGGGTGGTTGTTGTTGTTGCTCCATGCGACGGAACGAGTCCTCCACCATCTGAACTTTACGTTTGTCCCGGTCTGTCAGTTCGGTTAAAACGCCTAATGTTTCGAATGAGCCCTGACGTGGTGCAGGTGTCATATCGCGACTAGGCGGTTTGCTTTTCAATGATGCAGAATCGTTATCTACACCATCCTCAAGACGACCTTCACTTGGTGCACGACTATTTGTCGCCTGACCCGTGCTCGTCGGTGAGACGTTACCCGTTTTAGATTTGCGAGGCTTCTTTTGCTTGGTTCCTTTCTCCTTACCATGCGCCCGCGCAATGTAGGTTCTGTGAAATCGAGCGAAAGCGCATTCAGGTCCCAAGTCACAAGCACACCCGCCATACTCAGAGAGTATGTTATGCACCCACACAGCAATGTTGTGGTACGTCTCTGTCTCTTTCTCGTTAAACTCGGGCTGTTTGTCCATGTCGTCGTTGAGACCTAATAGTTGTATCCATCGTTCCGCAACGTTGTCTGGTAGGCGGAAATCCCACGAGATGGTTATTTGCTCATTAGGTTTGATAGGCTGGTCGCTCACAAGCCAAAAATGATACTCAGAGCCCTGAGACAGGAAGGTGTCTAGGGTGGCATTTGGTCTACAGCTTCGGCGCACGTATCGAGCTTCGGAACCTTCTTTCCTGGTGTCAATGTATACCGGGAGCAAAGGGTGGAAAAAGACGAAAGGCAGCGGAGCAGAGAGGTCTTGCCATCGATTACTCGGATCTTGGCAATAGTCCTTCTGGATACCGATTTGACCTTTGAGTTCGATAAGTAAAACATTCTTATCGACGACTTGTGGAGAAGCTAAATATTGCCAATGAGCCATGGTGTCAGAGCCTACTTGAAGCTTCTTTGATCGCACTTGAGGTGTAGCCTGAACTGAGTCGACATTAGACGGTAGGGACTGGAAAACATCTTCGTAGTCACACCCCGTCTCTGACTTTAGCTTTTTACTATCTCGCAGCCAATCTGACAGGAATTGAAAACAAGTCAAGTTGGCGAATGAATTTGTCTTTATGGCGAAATCTCCATCTTCCTTGTACAAGTCCAAAAACCCGCTCGAGTAATTATGTATTTCAAATTCGTGGGGAAGATCTGAGGGTGTAGTCGCTGGACTAGGAGGGTGACCATGCGGATTCGTTGTTTTTTGATTATATGGAGGGCTACGTTTGACAGTTTGGGAACTGATGGATTGACTAGGGCGATGAGAACTCTTGGATTTTTTGTGCTGATGCGTGTGTACAGGATCGTGAGTTTGTTTAGAGTTGTTTTCGGTGGCCCCGTGGGCACTTATTCCTAGATCCGTGGGTCTGGCCTTCTTCTTCTGGCCTTTGGGTGGTGGCCGTTTGGTCGTTTTTCTTTCCGAGACGTCGGTGCGAGTTCCGTTAGATTGTCGCTGAAGCTGACGCTCGTTAGCTTGCAGCCGATCGAGTGCTCGCGGTTTACAGTCCACGCAGGAATGATTGAAGTCGTCACGATGAACCTCGACCATGTTGTAGGGGTAATAGCATTCGATATGCTGCCAGGTATCGCAGTTTTCGCAGTATATCGTGTTCCCGTCATCGTCAGCGAAGTCGCATATACACTTGATCGTATATGGCTCTTCTTCTGCCGGCGCCAGAGTCTTGTTGGGCACATGGTTGGACAAGATGGGTGCGGACTGAGGACTGAGGACCGTCTGACTCGGAGTCGATGATTGGGTGAGGAGGGAAGGGGGCTTTTCTGTCATAATCTAACACATACACCTCACGAAAGTGAGATGTCGAAGTGGTAGAGGGATCGAGTGTATTATCTTGAAGGTACGGGTGGCATGACGACGACGAATGGTGCTTCGACGCGATAGTGATGAGGTCTTCGAGTATTGTCTCGCAGCGGAATACTTCATGTGGACTTCATGCGTCAAACGTCACGCATGTCGCGATTGTCAGCAGAACAGTAGATGCGAGTTATACTAGACGCAGGCAAGACTCGGTGTGGCGGTGGTAAGGAAGGCCTCGCTAGAACGGCACAAAGAAAACAAGAACAAAAGAGACTTCGAAGTTGGCCAGACACGTAATACTACCGGGTCGCCGAAAGAAAATGCATCCACAATGGATAATCCGCCTAGGTATAGAGGTGGCAAGGATGAAACAGAGTATCGAGTATCGAGTATCAAGGGTTAAGTGTCGGGAGTCGAGAGTCGCGCAGAAGATCGTGTAAGAAGAATGGGTTCGACAACAGATGATGCGCCTCGCGAAAGAATGATGGTGGAGCGGACTGGAAGCGAGAGGAGACTCGAGATTAAGAAAAGGCAGTGTCGTTTCCGAAAGATTCGAGGCGTTGCAGGGCGAGCGAGATTGGTCGTTGGTGGTAATCGTGATTGAAGTCCCAGCGGAAAGGGAGGATGGAGAGAGGAGAAGGACAGACCAGCTCGTGCAGGTGGTGAGCGAGAGGGAGAGGAGGAAAGAGCAGCCACCAAAACATCGAATGAAATTACCTACCTAGTACTGCTAAAAGCTAGAGCCCTTGAAGAGGTACTTACCTGGCCACCTACAAGCTACCAAGGGCTAGGTACCTTGTCTAGGTACAATATAGCGGCACGCATAGAAAGCGTTCTAACCTACAGTAGGCACAAAAGGTGTGCTGGGGATGGGAAGGGACCAGGTGCGGTGCAGGCGCAAGCAGGGCGAGGTCAATTGCCAGCCGAGCAGTGCCAGTGCCAGTATGCAGTACCGTGCGAGAGACATCGTCCACACGTTGACCTGACCTGTCTCGGTCTAGCCGCAAAGGAAACAAGCCGGGAGAGGAAAGAACAGAGATAAAATAGAGATAAAAGATAAAATAACAAGCTGTACGCGATGTACCATCTCGGTAAGGTGGTATGTGCGCCCCAGCGCACTTGAATAACAAGCACGCCTCTCAAGTACACAAGTACTGGTGTTAGGCATACGACACAGCACCAGATATGCATTTGATGGCGGAAAACGAGCAGGAAGCCGCGCGGCGGACACGAACAGGAGCGCTGGACTGCCAGTCACCGGATGAAAAGGGGCGATAACCACAGCATCGCGTGCTGGTACCGTACCAACCCTCGCCCGCAGCTAGGTACTGGACAGAGGAGCTAAGAAACAGCGAACGCCCAACCATTGTGGGCTTGGTAAGGTGACCAGGCGGGGTTGGGGAAAACAATCGGTAGGTAGGTGATGGGAAAAGTGCAGCGCAGAAAGATGGATAGCCAGATCAAACAGAACATAGGCTACCTGTCCGGAGACTGAATAGTAAGAGAATAACTAATAGGAAACCCAACCTACATTTTCATATACCGCTCTACCCTTTATGCTGTGAATTTCTTCCATGTGGACAGACAACAACAGCACCCGATCCGACTTCGACAAGTGGGCGGCAGGGCGGGGGTTGTTGCACATCTAAAACAGGAGAGTATAGACATGGATGAAAGAGAAAAGGATAGGTAGAGAGGAGGGACGGATAGGTAGGTAGGCAGGTCGTGGAGTGTAGTGTAGAGACGGAGGGAGAGTACTGAGGGGGAAAACCTGCCGCGGGCATATGCAAACATCCAGGCCCATCCCATCTTGCGCAACGAGATGCGGAAATGCGAAAAGGCGGCAGAGTTACATGTACTTAGTTAGTACTTACCGTATATTGTGTACAGTGGGTTACCAATACGCCGCCTAGGTATGGTGCAAATGAGCGAACTGCAAACCCGCTCTGTATTCCGTCGTGTTGTCAAGGTTCAGTCCAGGTACATCAAGGCGTGGTCAGAGTCTGTACCTATACACAACCGCCGCATACTATAGGTTCCCTCTCCAACAGAGCGGAAGAGTGGCATGGTCGGACGTTGGGTCGTGTAGGGCAGAGCGAGGGGGCAGAGGGACAAGGGGGGGGTTGGATTTGGCATGGATATGTAGAAAAGCATGGGTACCTATGGATGCATACATATGCATGTCTAGATACCTCGAACCCGCACGAATTGAGTCACTCGACTTTGTATGCATTCACCTTGCAGCGGATGGTGTGGGTAGTGTACCTACGTGTGTACACTACCTACATTGTCCACAGCAGAGGCCTTTACGCAGCAAACGGAGAGGCTCCCTACTTCGTAAGTACTTACTTAGTCCTAAAACATCAGCTCGTCACCTCTCATCAGCCACTCACAGAGCGCTTGGCTTGGTTGTGACTCGTGAGACCCCTCGACCCTTGTCTGTCTGTCCCCTCCTTGTCGTTGTCCGGCCTCGGGTCCATTCCTGAGCCGACCGAGACTCCGATCCACCCAGGCGCCCAAAAGTGCATGTTTTGACGCCTTAGGCCGTTCGTTAGTGCACGCTAGAGCCCCAAGCACAGCTTGATGATGGAGTGTGGTGGTGAGGTGGTGTAAATACTGCGTACCATGTACGCATTGTACCGTAGGTAGTAGGCAGAGGAAAGTCATGTCTCGAGTGTGATGCTCGATCGCGCGCGATAGTCAATTTCTGCTCCCCAAGTCTGGCAAATCATATTCTGGCTACTGTGTACGGACGGTATAACCAAAGACTCTGCAAGTCATGTCATGGTATGGTGATGGAGACACAGCCATTCCAAGCATGATGCCCTCGGCTGTCTTTGATTCGGATCGAAAGATGACATGTACATAGGATGGTCGAGATGAAAGAGCCTCATCTCCCTCCAAGTCAATCGTCCACATCCGCCGCCCGGCGCCGATGTCAGCAAGAGCTGCAGTATGGTGCTTCGTGCTCTTCTTCGGTACGCGGGTCGAGAGAATAAGGCTTGTTGGCAAGCAGGCGCGGTCGGGGAGCTTGGATAGTTGGTGGGAAGAAGCATGGAGCGCAAACAGCACCAGAGCGTCTGTCGATGTTATCTTACGTGCAGATCTAGGTAGCTGTGTACCGAAGTGGAAATGAGTAGGTTGATGTCATGGACTCCTCGGAAACCAGGCTAGGTACCATACCAATGGAGGTGTGGCCACACCTGCTTGTACATACAGTAGTAGTATACGAATGGATAACCTGCGTGATAGGTATTATCTAGGGTTTGGAGCACAGAAGGTGCTGCAGTGTAGCTTTGCCAGGGCGATCGTGCAATTGAGCGGTATTGCGCCCAATAAAACGGCCTGGGCACATCGATCGACGACAAACACTGAGCTTCTGTTGGGAGAGATTGTTGTTGGTCCTACGCCAGTCTGACCAAGATGCCAATCCGTTGCGCGCTTCTGATTAGCTACCTATGCTCGGTATCTTATGAACTAAATCTGCGTTGGCGAATGGTAGGCAACCTGCCGTGATACAGTTGCCTTCGTCATACAATAGCCTGTTTAACTACTAATATACGGTACTCTGTAGTGTATGTAAGAAGAGCCTGGACACTGCCTCGAGGCCCTTCACGATGACCACCACATTCTCCAGATGTCTCCAGATAGGTAGGTACCTATATATTGGTACATATATATTAGTAAGTAGGTAGGGTACCAGTGAGTGACTGACTGGTGGATTGGACAGGTTAGGTGCGCTATGGCGATTTGGCAATTTGTTGGCATCCATGTCGAACGCGAAACGGGCGCGTGCTAAATAAAGAGCATCCCATAACTGCTTGTCTCATATATAACCACCTACCGGTATCTATCTGCTGGGAAGATTCCCCTGAACACACTCACCCCTCATCGTGAGGTATATAGGCACAGTACCTAGTCTAAATCCTATCCCTCTCTCAAGACCGTCGTTACGTGCAGCTGTACCCAATTTTTGAGGGGCAGCTCAGTGTCGAAATTTATTTTAATCACTCGACAAGGACACCACCCATGTCGGGCAACGATGCTTCATTTCCAATGCTGCAGTGCGCAACTGGGTATTATTCATAGTTGATGATGGTAGGTATAACGGAAAGCTTGGACACCCACGCGGATAACCCGTGCGCAAATTGCTCGGCAGCGCCGCAACAGCTGAGTCGTCCCTATCCTTCCGGGCCAAATTCAAGCACAGGACAGACACAGGAGAAGTGAAGCCACCCTGTCGCGACCACTCTCACCGCTTGTCGACCCGCACGAGGACCTCCAAAGCTGCGCCAAAATGCATGGTGTGCGTGCATCCGTGGCGACGGATAAGAGCTCGAGAAACAAACAGATGACCACATGTGATGAGATGTGGGAGGGGCGGCATGGGGGCTGTGCAGAGAGTCATTCAGAACACTACCCTGCACCACCTAGACGCCAGCATGGGTCGATAGGGCTCGTCCATACAATTGGCTACCGTCTGCTCCAGATACATGACGAAGACCTCGGCCCTCTCTTTGAATTGAGCGAATCATCGTAGTTGCACAGCAGTGGACAGCTGTAGCCTACAGCTAACACCTTGCATCGAATGGGCCCTCTACATACGTAACGCAGACGCGCGCCGTGGGTAGCTTTGATTCCGGATAAGTCGGGGAATAGGGACCGTCATTGTAATTGCTTGCTGCTACCGTACACTTCGAGATTTTTCCATCCGCGCGTAATTGTCCCCTCTCGTCCACGTCGGGCATACCTGAATACGAGTGACAAGCAAGCAGCAACATTGCTGCATTTTACGGGGAAATACCTAAAGTTAATGCAATGCAGAGACAAAGCTGAGCGCCGAGTTAGAGAAGCGAACACGGGCCCACAGCAATGAGTCAAAATACAGCTCCAAAGATTCATCTTCTTCATGGCAATACACACGGTAGTGCACATAACGAAAACGAGGTGGTTAAGACATCAAAAATTGCGAGGAGTACGATCCCGAAGGATAATACAGAACAGTTAACTCCGCGCTGTGCAATGCAGGTCTCCTGTCCTACCATTCGAAATTCTGGAGCTTCAAATGGTCCCTCAAGGTAAGTATGAAGAAGAAAAGAAGAAGAAACGAACAAGAGGGTGGGAGAGAGGGCAAGACTTTATAGCCAGTGGTGAGTGACTGGCTGATTGCAGTGGTGGAGCCGTGTCAAATAGGAGCCTAGCTAGCGTGCTGGGCTTGGCCAATCAGAAAAATCTGCAACTTTTTCAATGGGAAAATCAAATTCGATACGTGTTCCAGTCCTCTGATTGGCTTATTGGACACCGTCCTATCAATAGGGATCTAGGTATCAATCCAGATGTACATACCAGATACATAGGTACCTACCTCGGAGTACCATCCTTCACCAACCTTCAATATGGATGGTTGAGCAACGCGAACTTCGGAAGAATAACCCGCCTGAACAGATCTAAGTACAATAGCACGTGTGTGACAAAACCAAGATCGACCTTTCACCTTCACATGTGTACGATGATAGCCTTGGGGCAAGCAGTTGCCATCAGCTTGGTCAAGCCCGCATGTTTCCTTAACCGTATATATGTTCATTAGTGACGGTATTCCATGATGATACCATACCATTGACTACAGCCCCCCTTTCGAGCTTTCTTCCTAAGAAGCTTCATATCTCTGTTCCCTGGCGAATATCTAATGCAAGCAGTCATGCGCCGTCATGCTCGTAACAAGCCATTCTGTCTCGAAGATCTTCGTAATGACATGACAAGATCCGGAATTCCTTGGTACTGACACAACCACTGGTGACTTTCGAGAAAGCAACCTTTTGATACCACCCTAATGGTGAAATGGAGAGGAGGGCGGCTGAAAGGGATCCTCTAGCTTGATGATATCCGCAGCCTAGCCCACATCCCATGTCAGTAACTAACACATTTAGTCCAGCAACACTCGGCCTCGGTTGCCGGGAACCAACTAGGACGAGACAGTACCTTCTCAGCAACAGCGTAAATGGCGGCTTGTATGTGTCCGCCGGGAATCAGCGGCATGATACTCGCATCTACTACCCTCAAATTCGTCGTCCCATATACCCTCAGATTGGTATCAACGACGCCACCAGCGCTCCGTGGCATCATCGCCGCCGTGCCAGAAGGGTGAAACTCCGTGCGTACCATAGTCTTGATTGTCTCCATCAGCGCATTGCGATTCTCTAGGTCCTGGGTCTTCAGTCCCGTTGGGGGTACCGGCAGCAGCCTACTCATAGGCTCAGTAGCAATAAGGCGGTCGTTGAACTCAACTCCCATCCGCAGGATTTCACAATCAAAGGTATGCGAGCATAGCCGAAGGTCGATGACCGGCGGTTCATTATCAAATATCGAACGCGAGCGTGCATGGATTGTTCCTCTGGAGAGCGTATGCATTGCACTTACAGCCAGTTGACCCCAGGATGTTGCCATAATCTCCTAGGCAGCAACATCATGACTGGAGAGTAGAGCACGGACCTCGGTTTCCTGAGCTTCATAGCCAGCGCGCAATGTGGCGTCATACGACGGAGGGAGATCTCGGGCTGAACTGTTTAGAATTACGTGAAGGCGTTGTGAGAGTATCTGCCCGAGCGCTGGAAAAGCCACAGCATTGACCATTGTTGCGGTCCATGGCCCTAGGCTGTTTGTTAACTGATTCCCCTATATCGAACCGAACCGATTAGCTTACCCGTGCGATTCGCAAGGTACTCTTCTCGAACAGCATCTTCAGTGTCACCGTCGATGTCTAGGACGGAAAAAATACCCGGCGCCGTGTCTACCGACTCATTAATATAGCTATATGTTTATCGGAATCGTGCGCTCACAATTATATACAGGCTGAATCATTGCATGATCTTGCAAATTGCTCCCGACTCCAGGTAAATGTACCAGGACATCCACATTGAGGTTATTTTTCAGATGCTCGGCTGGCCCAAACCCGGAGATTTGGAGTAGAACGGGCGATAGGATGGCTCCTGCAGCTAGAATGACCTCCCTTTTGCAAGATATGCTGAATTTTGGTGTGGTCGAATTCACCGCGATCTGGACACACGAGACGTTAGCAATACGGTAGTGCTCTTTATGGATCGAAACGAGCCGTGGTGTAAGAGAAGGCTTATGTGGACAGGATCTCGAAACTGTCTACTCTACCTCGACTCCAGCAACAGTGACTTCCCCCCACTTAGTCCCCAGCCCCCGAGCCAAGTTTCGCGATGTTTGATTACCAACAACTCCATTCAGAATTTTCGTCACTGTATAGCCGGTCAGTAGCTCGAGATTAGGGCGTGAAATGACGGGATCTAGGTATGCTGTGCGGGCATCAGCTCTCGACTGGTTTAGCTTGAAGATGCTGCCTGAGACAAAATCCGCGCCTGTCGCATAACCGCTGTTGAGATCTGCGTTCAGGGGGATGCCAAGCTCTTGAACACCGTTAAGAAAGTTATCTATAACTTCATATTAGTCGCAGGTATATACCTTATCTAGTTGAATCGAACACACAGGTTTGTTCATAGATATAACGTGGAAACCCAACCTGAACTGGTCCGTGTTTCCCGTGCTTGCCTTGTGCCGGCTTGGAATAGAATGATGGATTGCTATGCATCGTGTAGTTTTCGGACTAGATGATGAAGGATGTATTAGTGCTTCGATCAAAGTACCAAGATATGCGCTGAAATAGCACCTTGAGGAAGTACGGTAGCAAGTCCATCCATCCCCAGCCAGGATTGCCCAAGTTCTTCCAGGCATCGTAGTCCGCGGCTGCGCCTGTTTAGAAGCCTTCAGTCAGTAACACCGGTCTTGTTTCGGTGATCAACAACTAGGTTTCAGTGTCTGAAAAGGACAGCTCAATACGTCTCATCTCCATAGACTCCAAAAGCGGGTAGGAGCCCCTGCGCACTGACTAACCTCGAGTCCAAACCAAGCCGTTCAAAATAGTGCTGCCGCCAACAACACGTCCTTGATTGAATGTTCGAGTTTTATTATCGAGAAATTCCTGCGGTGTCGTCGTCACAGCCCACGCATATTGAGACGGATTTCGGCGTCCAATGTTTCCGGGTACCGTAATATCTTCCGCGCGATCATCCCTAATTGCAAGAAAATATGAGAACAGTCGTCGCATGCAAGTAGATACTCACAAGAGAGAGGGTGACACTTACAGCTCTCCGGCTTCTACAAGCAAAACAGATACTAGAAAGAAGGCATATTAGTATCTTCTGCTCTGTCAACAATATGGATGTCGTGCGGGAAGATGAACGGATACTTATGTAAGTGTGAAAATATACACACCTGAATCATTCTCAGAAAGTCGATTAGCGACTACGAGACCGCCGATCCCAGCGCCAACAACAATGTAATCGTAGCTTTCCCGGAGTGGAAGCGAGCCGTTGGCGTTAGGGGTTATATGGATGCCGAAAGCGAGGCAGAAGAGCGCGCAGAGGCTGAGCATACGGGCGAGTAGGAGCCTCATTGTTGGATCGGAGAGCGAAGCAACTGATTAGGAAGAAGATGGAAGATAATAGGAATGAATAATAAGAGGGGAGATGCTGGCTGGCTGGTTAGGTGTAAATTAAATCGCCTGAGTGATGGTAGCAAGTTCACGTTTTGTGTCTGATTGCACCAATACGGCTGTTGCTGATCATGTGCATAAATATACGGGCATACATGCTCGATAGTTATTAACACCTCATTCTCCGTTGTGTTGATTCCAAGGTACTTGGTACTTTGAGCATACTTGTACTGTTTTCCAGCTTTGTTAAATATCCATTCTAGTGTTTGTACATCAATATGTTGACCATTGCCTCCATAGTAATGTAAACACGAGACCCTTTAGAAATTTTATACGGCCCTTAGCCTAGCTAGCTATTTTACAAGCACATACTTGGAAGCATTAGGTAGTGGGTATTACTGTATGGATTACTATCATGTTTTGAATTCTATATGGTCATAATGGTATAATGCTGCAACCTTTTTCTTGTTCATTCTACTATGACTCTAATTATTCTGCAATCTAGACCTAGAGATAGTGTTTTTGAAGCAAGTCAGACATCCTTTTCATGGTGTTGAACACCCGAGGTTGATGTTGTGACTTCCTAGACAGCCCAATGAGTCAAAAAGCAGTATATTTGTGCTTACCATCACATTTATTTTAATATGGACCGGACTTGGGAGCAAGTCTCATAAGATGTAACCAGATCTTTATTTATTATAGCATTGTACTAACACATTATCAATGTCGTGGATTTTGACACTTTCTGACGCTGAAGGCTTGAAACTCTGTCCTTAGTTTGGCCTAGAAAGCCAGTGTATCAAATTCCGAAATATGTGATATCTTATTACCGTGGAAATTGTAGAATGAGTTTTTTATGTCGAAACGGCTTTGTTATTAACCTGGCCCTTGAGCATTAAATCATACAAGCTACAGAAGTTGCCAAAGCTTACACCATGGATCCCATTACGCAGAAGAATGATGCACTCCATAGTACTGCAGCAATGAGATACCATGTGGAATTTGTTGCACGAGGCTTCCTTAGGGCCTTCGTATCTAGGCTGAGGCTATATACAGTGAGACTATGGACTTGGAGAGAGAGTACTTGCCCCTTAGTGAGGAAGGGAGCGGTCAAGGAGGCCTCGGTTAGTATCTTACTTCTCTGCCCATATTTCTTCGAGAAATGTCTAAAAACATCGAGGTACAGCTTCATGTCCTACTTTGCGTATGACTGGTATTAGTTTTTACCAGAAAAGCAACTTTAAATCGTCTATCTATGGAGAGACGTCATTGCTCATTGCGGATTAATGAATATGTTCTCGATGTTGATGGCTTGTTTTCATCAGATATGACGCGACGATGGAGGCGGTTGGTCATTAATCCCCGAACATCTACAAATATGCGGACTCCCTTACACCACCTTCTCGCAATTGGAAGACAAAGGAAGGCTGAATTGCCGAATTCGGGGTTTCGCTTCGCTCTCGCCTTTCATCTTTTTCCCCACGCGTTGCATAGGCTCATTTGGTTTACAGTGACACGAGATACCAGATTCGGCAACACGATTTGCTTGCCTTAATTCTCCTCCGCGGGATACTCCAAGAGGATTACATGAGGTGAGCCTTAGTTGCAAGTATAACTTATTGCTATTTTCAGCTTAAAAGCTCCCCTAGCCGAGCCTCCACATGCATTAGGCACCTAGGTACATCTACAATACACCTTACAGAGCAGTGAGGACGCCTGAGGTTATTATGAAGTGTTCTGAGCCTGAGATAGCACTAGATATGTACGATTTGTAGTAGGTACTGAATTCCTGTAAGTACAGTCCTTATCATATTCTCTCTTATCGCTACTTAGCTAGGTAGGTTAGTGCTGGTATCTGTCGCTATCTCTACCTAAACCTTACAGGGCCGAGCTAGCGCTCTAGTAGGCACTGGGCAGGCACTGGGCAAGTACTGGGCAAGTACTGGGCAAGTAAGTACCTTAGGTACTGGTAGGCAGGCATCTTTAAAGGTTGCATTCCCATTGCATGCATGCTTGGAGTTTTTGAGTCACCATCAGGGCCGGTTTCACAACCTTGAGAGGTTCAAAGTTGGGTATAAAGCTCAATTGAAGCATCACTTTCTGTCGCTTCCACCATCCGTTCGTTTATTAAATGTTCTCTTGAAAAACCGCAGCCCTTTCCTCCCCAATCGCCCGTTTCAAGGGGATCTATACCATGTGTTCTGCGTCATGATCCTGCGACATACAACGTGTAGGAAAGCTGCTGCTGGCTGGAATGTATGTCACTCACCTCGGTAATCCTACAGCCGCCATGTATATCATTATGTATAACATTTATGCTGTATATCCATCACTGCGCTACAGCTTTAGCTACGCAAGTTGGGCGTAACCGAAGGCTTATTTGTTCTTGCTCATCCAGACACCATTGCTCAAGCATTCCACCCATACCAAATCAGATGAATTATCTCATGGAGCAGCAGGGGGTAGAGGATCCTCGACCCTCACCTCTCGCCCGGCGCGACCTGCAAGCAGTGGTGGAACTGCGCCACCATTTGTGTCGCCTTACGCCTCCATATCAGAAGCGCAGAAGCTGAAGAAGACCCAAGAAAGAGTAACGATAATCAAGCTCCGCTTGCAATTCCAAAGTTATCGGCTTACACTGTAACAGGACTTTTTGGTTACCGTTCTTGAAACCTCAGTCACGAAGCGGGATGCCAAAGCCTACATGAATAGGTTTGTGCCTTTCCTTGAGAGAAAATCGACGATAGCTTTCAAGCAACGCACTGCGGCACAAGTCAAGTCAGATGGGCGTAAAGCCGTATCAGATCCCTCCGCAATTGTAGCAGGCAATGTCGCGGCGAGCGAGGGGCAATCGGTCAACTCGCGAGCTAGTCCGAAGTCGGACCAGGACCTTACAATCCAGGAGCCCCTGTTTGTGGCCTTGGTAAAGTTCCGTGTCCCCGAGACGGTGAATGACACTACGCTCGACGGAGTCGCCAAAACACTTGGTCGGCTCAGGAAGCTCGGTCTCGTCAGTGTAGTGGTCGTTGACTCCAACGGAGAAGGCCTGGATGAAATCACCCAGCGGCAAACCGCAACCACCCAGGCAAGACGTATAGCCACAGCCATCGATAACTACGATGCACCGTGCGCAAGGGTGATCGACTCGCCTATCACTATAGCTAAGAAAGATGGCACTCCTGCGTCACACTTCACCTCACAAGATTTATCCATTGGAAACTCAAGTGAGCTCATGACTGCCTTACAGGATGACCTCATCGCCATTATACCTTCCTATGGATACACGGCAGATACGTGCATCCGCAAGCCTGTTGATGTGAATGACGCTATCCTAGCACTCACGAGGCAACTCTCAGGTCTTCAGTTCGTGCAAGCGCTTGACGATGAGTCTCCCGTGACGAAAGTTTTGAGGTCGGCTGAAGTTTACCGTATTATAATTCTTGAACCCCTTGGTGGCATCCCGGCAAAGAATCGAGCAACAGGCAGACATATGTTCTTGAATCTTGAGCACGAATTTCAAGAGGTTCAAGCTGATTTAGAGGCTCCCGTAAGCCTAGCAATGTCAGGCGAAAGCACGGACAGAGCACACCATCTGGAGAATGCTAAGCTGGCAAGGGACGCGCTATCTCTACTTCCACCAACTTCCTCAGCGATCATAACGACCCCACAAGAGGCCGCAAAAGAGCGGCGGCCCGAAGAGACCGTAATGGATCTTGCGCTTGTTGGCACGCGACGAGGGCAAAACCCACTTATCCATAGTCTTTTGACTGACAAACCAGTCCAGTCGTCTTCGCTACCTACGGAACGTTTCACACCAATCACATCATCAACTGGAGCTTCCCAGATAGGGTCGTTGACGACGTTGGCTAAGCGTGGTATGCCTCTCACTATTTTCCCCAATCCTAAAATAACACCATGGAAACCTCCGCAGCCGGGACAGAGTAGCCTCAGCTTAACGGATCCATGCATCGACCTCCCGCGGTTAGTCAATTTAATTGAAGATTCCTTTGGGCGGAAACTCGACGTCGAGCATTATTTGAAGCGCGTTGAGGGCAACCTGGCGGGTATTATCATTGCTGGCGAGTATGAAGGCGGCGCCATCCTCACGTGGGAGATTCCCCCAGGCACGACAGACCTGAGCCGGCGAGTGCCGTACTTGGATAAGTTTGCCGTCCTCCGTAAAAGCCAGGGCGCGGGAGGTGTGGCGGATATTGTGTTTAATGCCATGGTCCGGAACTGTTTCCCCGAGGGGGTATGTTGGAGGAGCCGAAAAGACAACCCCGTCAACAAGTGGTATTTTGAGAGATCAAGGGGCACGCTGAAGCTCAACGGGATGAACTGGACTATGTTCTGGACAACCCCGAAACTGACGTTGCATGACCAAAGATTCGACGACTACGAGGCCGTGTGCCGTGGCATCGAGCCCTCGTGGGCAGATAAAAAGCATATAGTCGATTAGCAGAGAAATGAATGGAATCTCTGAACATCGCTGAAACAAGAATCAAAGCATATAGCATGACTTACGTGGTTGCCATGTGAAGAGCCCCCTGGACATACCAAGGAATTGGAGATGTTAACTTGTTTTTGTCAGCTGCCAATCACCGGCTGATGGTCGCTAGGCAACACTCTACAGGCTTCCATTTGTCTCGGCCTTGGCTAGCAATTGAAGCTGAATGGCTGATGGAAGATGGATTAACCCAGCGATAGGTTTACTACAGTATGTAGTTCCTCATTCCTCTGATAGGTATGGCATTACTGCCACTCGTCCCATTCCCATTTGGCCAGTGTATAGCTACATACTTGTACGCTTGGAATATTCTATTCACCCTCCATTTAAAGTAATAATGTATAACCCACAGTAAAGCTGAGACTTTGACCTACTGTAGATAAGTCCCAGATGATACTGCCACATGGGTATCCAGATGGTAGGTAGGTATGTGTCGCAGTGGCTTATTTTTGATTCACCAGCGGGGCAAATTTATTTACTGCACGCGTTATAACCCCACCATACCTATGCCGTAGGCGTCCATTGCGGTGCGTGGATGAAGATTATAGAGGGGTGATAAGCAGGGAAGGGTGTGTTCCTAACCCACCTACCATATCCATGAGAGAAAGAGGTACCAGGCAAGGTAGGTAAGGTAGGTCGTTACCTGACGTGCTATGTAGTGCAAGAGAAAAAAAAAGAGAAGAATAAATGGGGAAGAGAGGCAAGGTATCGAGTAATGAAGACGTTTTATTATTCGGGTATTTGTTCAACCATATCAAATATGTGGTAGCAGAAAGTCAGGTACCGACTTGGCAACTGATGATCTCATATGAATGGGTCTTACCTGAAGCGTGGGTTTGGAGTTTTTTAAGTATGATTCTGTGGGTGAGGCCGGCTGTCAGCTATAATAACAGAGGATCGATGGCCTAAATGCTCCAAAGATTACATGCCGGTAGGAGTTAGTTTAGATACGAGCGAGTCGGTAGGTAGTGAGATCAAGAAGCTAGAGAAAAGCTAGAGAAAAGCTAGAGAAAAGCTAGAGGCGGTCCGCATGCGTTCAGAGACCTTGCGGTTTTCTTCTCGTTGTGACGTGAAGTTTCTAGAACCGTTGTAAGTAGCGTAGGCGCTAAAAACACTCCCCCGACAGAGCAGGCGTGTCTCTAAAAGACCGGAGGGGTAAGCAGGCTAGACATGAAGAACTTGTCCGCCCTGTCTCTTCTCCCACTTGGGTACTTGGTCTTTATTGGGCACCTCTGTGTTTTTTTTTCCTACGCCATATTTAAAAAAGAATCGTTCCTCGACCCTGCCGTGCTAGGTAGTGACTACATTAGAAAGCGTCTCAAGTACGCCTGACGACTGGTTATAGACCCCTCCACCCCGCCCTTGCCTCACCGCCCGAGTCTCCTTCTGACAACTGGCCTGCTCTGCTCTGCTCTGTTGTTTATTACCTGCCGACCTCGTCTCGAGTTTTCGCCTTTAGAAATACTTCCCTCGCACCAACCCCGGCCTGAATCCCGTGCAACCAAACTACTCCCACTAGTTACATATTTCCAGCCAAGATGAGCGTCGTTGGTATGTGTTCTCCGAGCCCGGACGTCCTTTGCGCCTTCGTTTGTTTATATGCGTTCATATGTCAACTAATGCCGATCTTCTCCAGGTGTCGATTTCGGAACGCTCAACACAGTTATTGCTGTCGCGAGAAATCGAGGTGTCGATGTTGTGCGTAATGCCCCTTCGCTTCCCACTCATCTGCTTTAAACTTTTATACCCTGATGGCAAGGCTGACAGGTCATTTGTGGCTTAGATTACCAATGAGGTTTCCAACCGTGCGACCCCGTAAGTGCTGAACTCGTCCCGCATTGCTTCCTTTCGCTGACGATAGCCTCTAGCTCGCTCGTTGGATTCGGCCCTAAAGCCCGCTACATAGGCGAGCAGGCCAAGACACAAGAAATTTCTAACCTCAAGAACACCGTCTCTTGCCTCAAGCGCCTCGCTGGACGCGCCCTCAATGACCCCGATGTTCAGATTGAGAAGCAGTATGTCACCGCCAGCCTGGTAGACTGCGGTGGTCAGGTTGGCGCCGAGGTCAAGTACGGAGAGAATGACAAGGAGAAGTTCACAGCCACACAACTTGTTGCTATGTTTCTCAGCAAGGTCAAGGCAACCGCTGCTGCAGAGCTTAAGCTACCAGTGGCCGATGTTGTCTTGAGTGTGCCGCCGTGGTTTACCGATATCCAGCGACGAAGCATTGTTGACGCTGCTGAGATCGCTGGCCTTAAGCCTCTTCGGATTATGAACGATACCACAGCGGCCGCCTTAGGCTATGGTATCACGAAGCTAGATTTGCCTACTGAAGATCAGAAGCCACGCCGTGTCTGCTTTGTAGACATCGGCCACAGCAACTACTCATGCTCTATCGTTGAGTTCAAAAAGGGCGAACTGACCGTCAAGTCGACTGCATTCGACCGTCACTTCGGTGGTCGCGACTTTAACCTGGCATTAGTCAACCACTTCGTCAAGGAATTCAAGGGCAAATATCACCTCGACATTAAGCCCAACAGCAAGGCCTGGGCTCGTATCGAGGCTGGCGCCGAGAAGATGAAGAAGATTCTGTCCGCTAACCAACAAGCACCCTTAAACATTGAGTCTCTTATGGACGATGTTGACGTGAATTCCATGGTAACAAGGCAGGAATTCGAGGCCCTCGTCGAGCCTCTCCTGAACAAGGTTGCGGGCCCGTTGGAGCAGGCCCTTGCCGATGCCAAGCTGACCAAGGATGACATCGACTACATTGAACTGGTTGGTGGTAGCACCCGTGTGCCAGCTATTAAGGAGAGAGTCCAGGCTTTCTTCGGCAAGGGTCTGTCGTTCACTCTCAACCAAGACGAGGCCATCGCTCGAGGTTGCGCCTTCGCCTGTGCTATTCTATCGCCCGTCTTCAAAGTCCGCGATTTCTCCGTTTCGGATATTGTTCACTACCCGATCGAGTTTTCGTGGGAGAAGGATGTGGATATCCCCGATGAGGATACAAGCTTGACTGTTTTCGGCCGGGGTAATATCCTGCCATCCACCAAGATTCTGACCTTCTATCGCAAACAACCCTTTGACCTCGAGGCCCGTTACTCGAACCCTGAGGACCTTCCCGGCAAGGTGGCCCCCTTCATCGGTCGATTCTCAGTTAAGGGAGTCAAGGCAGACTCTAAGTCAGAATTCATGATCTGCAAGTTGAAGGCCAGAGTCAATATCCACGGTATCTTGAATGTCGAGAGTGGCTACTATGTCGAGGACCAAGAGGTCGAAGAAGAAATTAAGGAAGACGGCGACAAGAAAGACGGTGATGTGAGTTTACCTTTCCTTCATAACGGCTTGACCCCGAGTTACGGGTGTCAACTGCTGTAGCCCTTAGATGCCATCGACTGACGTAGTGACTCCCTAGGCTATGGAGACCGACGACAAGAAGGACGATAGCAAGCCCAAGACACGAAAAGTGAAGAAGCAGGTTCGCAAGGGTGACCTTCCCATCGTTGCTGGAACTACATCTCTCGAAAACTCTGTTAAGGAGTCTTTGATCGAGAAAGAGGCAGCTATGATCATGCAGGATAAGCTGGTGGCCGACACCGAGGAGAAGAAGAACGAGCTCGAGACTTATATTTACGACATGCGAAACAAATTAGACGACCAGTATGCCGACTTTTCCAGCGAGGAAGAGAAGGATAAGTTGAGGGCTAAACTCACCGAGAGCGAGGTAAATCTATCATGTTTCCCATGCTATAGTCGATGCAGTATAATTGACTTTTTATTAGGACTGGCTGTATGAGGAGGGTGAGGACACCACCAAGGCCGTTTACATTGCGAAGATAGATGAGATCCGCGCCATGGCCGGTCCCATCACTCAAAGATACTTTGACAAAGTAGAGGCCGACCGCGAAGCGTTGCAGGCCAAACTTGATGCCGAGGCGGCGGCCAAGAGGGCGACCGAGGAGGAGGCCCGTAAAGCCGCTGAGGCGGAGAAGGGTCAGGGTAACAAAGACGAGGAGATGACAGATGCCGACGCCGCTAAACCCGAGGGCGACGAGGCTCAATCCTAGGTGTATATCCCCGACGCAATGGGTTGAGAGTGGCGCCATCTGCCCAACAACGGGTACAGTGCCCGAGACCAATACAGAATATCACAAAAGTAATGACTTGAAACGTGGGTAGGGGGGCCGGGGCACTGGATTTTTGACCATGATGAGTTTCGGAATATTACTTGCTGCTTCTCATCCCAACCGAATATTTGCGGTGTTAGAGATAGAATATCTACGGCCGCTTCCATTAGTACACGAGGCTGGCTGCAGACTTGAGATAGACTTTATCCGGATATGGGTATGTTCATAACTATATTTTTTGCGTTCCTGAGTGAAAGAGTATTGAGACTTTGAGTCAAGTTGTCCTATCCATGTGCCTTTCCTGCTGAGGTAGTTTAATGAGCTTAGGAACCTTATCTAGTAATTTGTAAGGCCCTCGAATATAGAGATGATAATTACTAATAATGAAAGCAAAATTATATGGAGTATGTACTATAGCTATTTATTTTATGACTGCCTGGTTAAGGTTGTTCTAGTTCTGTCCTCTCTTGCTCTCTCTAATCGTGTGTCTTCTCTGTATGGGAAGATAAAAGTCAAACACCAAGATCTTCCCATACATTCAACAAGCCAAAACCTAAGCAAAGAAAATGTTTCAAGCACAAACCCTGAAGCTGAACTCTAGCATATGAGAGGCTACTCTACATGATAACACCTAGTATACCTACTTTTCCTCCTCTCACCTTCATCTGATCTTAGGAATATAGAGTGTCACAAATTGCTCGAATCCAACAACATGCAGTCAAATAACAACCGGCCTCGTGGCCTAATGGCTAGGGCGCTAGATTTCGGTGCTGTCAGCAGTAGATTCTCTAGAGATTGTCGGTTCGAGTCCGGCCGAGGTCGATGTTTCTTTCTTCCGAATTGGTGTAGTGGCTAACATTTGACGCTCTCATGTCCCTGTCATCTGGGATAAGTGGTACCGTCAAGCCCGGGGTTCGATTCCCCGATTCGGAGTTTAACTTTTGTCCAGCTTGCTTACCTTCCCTCCTGACTTTGAGTCATCCTTTTCATAGTGTATTCAATTGGTGGTTATTTTACTTTTGCTTGGTTGGTTCAGTTCATTGGGAAAGTGAAACTTAACCTACCTAGGTACTTAATTAAGTTAAACTAAACCTGTATATCTCTCCATATACCAAGGTTTCCTGAGCAAACTTGGAAGAGGTAGGTTGTAAGGCAATACCTATCGCAATTCAACTACTATATTTACCTATCTATCTGCTACAGATTATACCTTCTATTAGGAATTCTACTATTTATCTACCTACCTAAGTAGCCAGTTAATTCAATTCAGTTTATCCAATGAAAACCCTAACATAAGGTTGCTACTGCTCTGAGGCTTGGAACATGAAAGTATATACCCAAGAATGTGCTTATCGACAAGTGCGATAAGAGGGTCACCCCGCTATCATTACTCGCTTAAGTTTCTATCGATACCCGCTGCCTCGGACTTTTGAGAATTCAAGGCGTCAAGGTTCCGGCAAAAGTTAAGTTAGTGTAGGTACCACGACTCCCCCCGCCATGTGCTTCACAAAAATAAATAAAATTGTCTTATCCACTGAAATGTCTGCATAAACGTGGGCAACCCACCGGCAACTCCCCGCAGCGTCATCATCAATCTGCTAGCTACCTGCCTTACCTTCCCGCCCACCAAGACTACCTACCACCAAGTATCTACCTAGTCCCCTAGGTACCTATACTTACCTGTACATACCCATAGTGTGGACAGCCCCGCCTAGGCTAGGTTACTTAGGTATCCCAGGCCCTCTCTCGCCTCACTGCATCTAGTGAGAGCAAGCGCTACCAACTTTTTCTCTTGCCTCTTCTTGTGCCTGTCTTGTTGGCCTAAGGTTCGGAGATAAGAAACCCTACTTGTTGGAAGACAACTAGGTCAGGCAATGTCTAGGGATTCTTCTGGGATATGATAGAATAGACCTACCACATTCCTACCTCTTACCCATCCTTGATCATCTCTCCGCCTCCTCTACGGTTGTCCAAACGCCGCACCTTTGTCACCCCTCCTTGTCTTGCCTCCTCTACCAGGTAGGCGACTTGTCGATATTTTTTAAACACGACACGGCCGAGAATATATATCACGTTCGAACACCTCTACTAGAATCTATCTACTCCGCTTCGCTGCGTAGTGCGACTAGTAAGACGCCGCAATCTCCTCAAACCCTGTCTAGCCACGAGTCCAGAAAGCAAAAGCCATCAAGATGCCGCCGAAAAAGAAGGGAGGAAAGAAGGCTGCCGACGACTGGGAGGCTGACCTTGGTGAGAGCATTGCACCCACTAATGGTGATGCCGCACCCGCCGCCGCTGCCGACACTGCCGGTGAACAGCCCGAGGAAGATGATGCCCCCGTTGGTGGCCTCATGGCTTTCCGCAAGAAGGCCATGGAGAGACGTAAGAAGAAGGGCTTGTCTGAGAACTTCGTGGACGGCGACTCGGCACAACCAGCTACCCCGGAACCCACTGACATCACCTCCTTCCAACCCCCCCAAGAGGCGACCGCCGAGGACGAATTTGCTCTGCCAGAGAAGAAGGGCAAAGGAGGGAAGCAGAATAAGAACCAGCCTGCTGCCAAAGCCACCCCCGCTGCAGCCGATGATGATGATGCCGACGGGGGTAGAATACTCACGAAGGCTGAGAAAGAGAAGCTGAAGAAGGAAAGGGAGAAGCAAAGGAAAAAGGAACAGGTCAGCACTATCACTATACCCCCAGATTGACTTCAAGCACTGACATTTGTTCTCTTGCCCAGGCCGCGAAAAAGAAAACAGCCGCACCTGCGCCTGCCGCGAAAGCCGCGGAACCCGCCAAACCTGCTGCCGAGGAAAAGAAAGAGGATCCAGCGTCAGCACCCGCTGCAGAGGCCCCGGGAAAGAAGGGTAAGAAGCTGCCGGCTCACTTGGCTGCCATCCAAAAACAACAGGAGGAATTACGGCGACAACGTGAAGAAGCTGAGAAAGCTGCCGAGCACGAGAAAACCCGCCTCGCGGAATTAGAGAAACAAGAAGCCGAAGAGGTCAAGCGAAAGGAGGAAGAAAGGGCTCGCAAGAAGCAGAAAGAAAAGGAGAAAATTGAGCAACTCAAGAAAGAAGGAAAATATCTCACCAAGGCCCAGAAGGAAGAGAAAGCTCGCAATGAGAGAAAGCTACAGCAGATGATCCAGGCTGGCCTCCAGGTTGGACCCTCAGATGATGGCGAGGAGAAGAAGAAAAAGGTTACCTACGACAGCAAGAAGCGTGGCAAAAAGAATGAGCAGAAGGTTGTCATCCACCCCTGTAACTTTTCCTTGAGAGCTGCTTTCACTAATGGTTTGCAGGTTGATGAAGAGAAACTTCTAGCCGAAGCTGCCGAGAGGGCCAGATTACAAGCTGAAGCTGCAGCTAAAGAGGCTGAAGCTAAGGCCGCTGCAGAAGCCGCCGCGCAAGCTGCTGCTGACGAAGCTGCTAAGAAAGCTGCTGCAGAGGACGAGATCGAGGATGATTGGGAAGCAGCCGCAGCTTCGGGTGACGATGTCAAAGACAGCTGGGACGCCGATTCAGATGAAGAGGCTGCAAAGGAACCCGCCAAAGAATTACCCTCACGGCCCAAGGCCAAGGCAGCAGCCGAGTCTAATTCCGAGTCAGAAGAGGAGTCTTCTGAGGACGAGGAACAATCAGCAGCTCGTGCCGCTGTGGCTCAGCGCAAGAAGGAGGCAGCCGAGCGGAGGGAGAAAGCCCACCAGGCTGCTTTGGCTGCTAGATCCAAGGAGAACCTTCGTAGCCCCATCTGCTGTATCTTGGGTCACGTCGATACTGGCAAGACAAAGCTGCTAGATAAAATCCGGCAAACCAACGTCCAAGAAGGCGAAGCAGGTGGTATTACACAGCAGATTGGTGCTACATATTTCCCAGGTTTGTCGCAATAAGTTCCCTCGATAACGGCTATCGACTAATTTTTCCCCACTAGGTGAGGCTATCAAGCAAAAGGTCGCTGTTGTCAACACAGATGGAAAGTTTGAGTTGAAGGTACCCGGTCTTTTGATTATTGACACACCTGGTCACGAGTCTTTCTCCAATTTGCGCTCCAGAGGTTCCTCGCTTTGCAATATTGCTATTCTAGTTGTCGATATCATGCACGGTCTCGAGCCCCAGACACTTGAATCGATGAAGTTACTCCGTGACCGGAAGACACCGTTTATTGTGGCACTGAATAAAATTGATCGTTTATACGGTTGGAAGAAGGTCGACAACAACGGATTCCAAGAGAGTCTGGCTCTTCAAAGCCGTGGTGTACAGAACGAATTCAAGAATCGGTTGGAGCAGACCAAGCTCGCCTTTTCCGAGCAAGGATTCAATGCCGAGGTTTTCTACGAGAACAAGTCCATGGCTCGATACGTCTCATTGGTGCCCACCTCCGCTCACACTGGAGAGGGTATCCCGGATATGTTGAAGCTCATTCTACAGTTAACACAAGAACGCATGGTCGGTTCGCTCATGTACCTCTCAGAAGTACAAGCCACCGTTCTTGAAGTCAAAGCTATTGAGGGTTTTGGTATGACTATCGATGTTATCTTATCTAACGGCATTCTTCGAGAAGGCGATCGAATAGTCGTGTGCGGTGTCGAAGGAGCTATCACTACAAACATCCGAGCTTTACTTACTCCGGCAGTCATGAAAGAGCTGCGTGTCAAGTCACAATATGTACACAACAAGGAAGTGAAGGCAGCTATGGGTGTCAAGATCAGTGCACCTGGCCTCGAAGGCGCCATTGCCGGCTCTCGACTGCTCGTGGTCGGACCTGATGACGATGAAGAAGAATTAGAGGAAGAAGTTGAAGCAGATCTGAACAAGCTGTTCAGCCGTGTTTCGACTTCAGGACGTGGTGTCAGCGTGCAAGCATCAACCCTTGGTTCACTCGAAGCCCTTCTCGATTTCTTGAAGGATTGCAAGATTCCCGTGGCTAATGTGGGTATCGGCCCTGTGTTTAAGCGTGATGTAATGCAGTGTGGTACGATGTTGGAAAAGAATCCGGATTACGCTGTCATGCTCTGTTTCGATGTCAAGGTCGATAAGGAGGCGCAGGCTTATGCCGAGGAGAACGGAATCAAGATTTTCACTGCCGACATCATTTACCACCTGTTTGACGCCTTCACGAAACACATGGCGGAGCAACTCGAGAAGAAGAAGGAAGAGTCTAAGCTTCTCGCCGTCTTTCCCTGTGTCCTCAACACCGTAGCAGTCTTCAACAAGACCAACCCGATTGTTGTGGGTGTCGATGTAGTCGACGGTAGTCTCCGTGTTGGCACGCCCATAGCTGCTGTGAGGCAGAGTGCCACAGGTGGCAAGGAGATCGTTAGTATGGGCCGAGTGTAAGTTTTTTCTAAATTGTAGCAGAAACTGTGACACCCGTCACTTGAAGGTCAAGAACTGACAATACATGTGCAGATCGTCAATTGAAAGAGATCACAAGCAGATCCCAGTCTGCAAGAAGGGCCAGCCCTCAGTAGCCGTCAAGATTGAGATGGGCGGCCACCAGCCAACGTACGGCCGACAGCTCGAGGAGTCTGATACACTATACAGTTTGATTTCGCGCGCGAGCATCGATTGTCTGAAGGAATTCTATAGAAAAGAGGTCACGAACGACGAGTGGCAGCTTATCATCAAACTTAAGCCCCTGTTCGATATCAACTAAGGGTCCGTGCGTACCTAACCTACCTAAGTTTTAACCAAAATAGATGGAACAGATACACATAGCTCCTACTTAGTATCTTTTGATGGCATTTCACCACAGCGATAATGGGTTGTACAACTTCAGCGCTGTATTGCTATGGCTTTGATTCCGGACGGCTACGGCTAGCATGCGCTCGGCTACCTACTCAGGTAACCAGGCATATGACATCAATCACATGTATTTATGAGTGGATGACAGACACGGACAAAAGTGAGATTCGGGGGGTGTGGGTTTGTTACGGATAGTCATTTTTTAATTGAATTCTATTGCATGCATATAACTAACTAACTACTCCATTTCTCTGTCGTTTCCTATCTTTATTTATTCCCGTTTTTAGTTTTTCAATTTGATCAGAGGGGAATATGCGTTGTTTTAAAGGGGTGGTCCTTTTTATCTGATTGATTCTATTTACTGTTCCTATATACTCCGTATTATATATTTATGTGCCTTGAAGACGGCTTATGTTAATGAGGTGAGATTAAGCCTGTTTTGTAACTCGTCGTATTATTTGTATATATATAAGCTATGGATAGGTAGATGAACAGTCTTGTTCGGGCTGATTAGGATCCCATGCGTGTGTGTGTGTTTATTAGTGCTTGAAGTTAAGAATCTGCGCATCGAGCAAAAAGTCTTCATAGCCATACATACATGCATACATACATACGTACAAATAAATGGACATAACATACACGCGGCCCCCTTTCAATCTTTAGTTTTTCAATTCCTCGCCGCTATGGAGGGATTAACAGAGTATGTGAGTCAGCATGACTGGTTAACTTAGTTGATCTGGTATTATCCTGGAGTACAGAAATAAATAATATGCACGGTTACACTTATGTCTACCTATATCTGGTAAGATGTGAATGAACATAGAAAGAAAGTGGGCGGCGTGGTTACGCCACTTTGGATAGGTAGATTATATACCCGAGGTAACGAATTATTTAACGGTGACAGCTTGTTGTGCGGATCCTTCCTGCTCTGCTCTCGCTTCCTACCAAGTACGTTTTTCTATACATCATCTAGGGAAATTAGAGATATCAATTGCGGCCAATTCGATATGCCTAGCACTCGTAGGTAGAATGCCCTACGCTACGCGAATATCGGGAAGCCGAACGAGTTGGGCTCGTTGAAACGCAGGTTCTGGTTCAGACTTGAAATCTGCTTGATCTCGTCGTCGGTGAGGCTGAACGTGGCGGACTCGAGGTTCTGCTTCAGCCTATCGACGTTGTTGGACTTGGGGATCACTGCGATGTTTCGCTGTGTGCTCTGTAAGAAAAACTCGATTATTAGCAAGATTGTTGTTTCTTCATGGACAATATAGCGGGGATAAGGGAGGGATTACTTACCCAGCGTAGCAATACTTGGCTAGGCGTCTTGCCGTGCTTCTCCGCGATGCTCTTGACAACGTCTACCTCGAATAGGGGCTGGGCGTTGACGGCGTCTACGTTGTTCAGCTCGATGAAGCTCTGGGGTCCGAAGGACGAGTAGCCGGTGACTAGGATGTTGTTCTTCTGCGCGAGCTGGACGAGCTGCGGCTGCGTCAGGTACGGGTGATGCTCGATCTGCAGAGCCGACACGGGAACCTTGGCGTATGATAGGAGGTCGTAGAGCAATTGGGCAGAGAAGTTGGAGACGCCAATGCTCCGGACGAAACCGTTGGGGTTTTCAGGGGTCTGCACCATGTCCTCTAGGGCCTTCCACGTCTCGGCAATGGGCACCTTGGCGAGAGGCGTGACCTTGGTTTGCTCGGCGTCGGTCCAGAAGCAAGGGTAGCGGAGCTTGTCAAAGGGGATGAACTCGAGAGAGATGGGGAAGTGGATCAGGAACAGGTCGAAGTAGCCGATGCCCCACGCCTCCAGCTCGAGCTTCGCCATCTCCAAGGCGTGCTCGCGCTTGTGGTAGTTGTTCCATAGCTTTGTGGTGATGAAGAGATCTTCGCGCTTCACGAGGCCCTCGTCGATGGCGCGGCGAACACCCTCGCCGGCCTCCTTGCTGTTTGTGTAGTCCCATGCGCCGTCGATGTGGCGGTATCCAAGCTTGATGGCGTTGTACACTGGGTTTTTGGCGTCATGTCAATATAGCTCTGTCGTAGTTCTGGATACCGCTATCTCATGTGTCATGGGGATTTTGGATAGATAGATGGATGTACACACCTTGGTTGGCACATGTCTCGCGAGGAACCTTCCAGATACCGAAGCCGACGAGCGGCATGGACTACAGCGCAACATATGTGTGTTAGTCTAGGCACTGTGACAGTCACTACGATGAGCGGTGATAACCCACATAGCCAGAGGCAAGCTTATAAGTAGGAACCTGGTCCGCCATTATGTTATTCGAGCAAATGTAATTCTCAGGTATCCTTCTGCAGTCAGTGATGGTATGAGAAATAGGAGCGTGTCAAGCAGGGAACATTGATGAACCCCTCATATATATATTAGTAGAAAAGCAAAAGCAGGTACCTAGGAGGAGGGGTCGAGCTGTGTGGGTATACACACTACACTATACTGCCTACATCACACTAGATCCGATGACGTTCAAACAGCCACAGCTGTCTTCAAGCTTCCAAACTTGGTTTAAGCGTAACGAGAGTGTCACGGTTTTATTCGACTACCTGCTACACCCGTACTCGAGAGGCGGGGTGGGTTTTGGCGCTTGGGTGCTTCCATGAGGTAGCACCACAGATCAAAGCCCGCATGCTGTACCAACCAACTACTTACCGAGGTTAGACACTTGGGGAATCAATTACAGTAGTAGATAAAATGAAGGATACCTAGAGGAGTACTAAAAAGAATCAAATAGAAAGGAAATCATTTTAAAAAAAAAAAAAAAAAAAAAAAAAAAAGGACGCCAGTATCCTCAAGCCCTATCTGCCCTGTGATAGTCCGTCCCACCTCGGCGAGCATTGACCCAAGCCCGGGGCCCCTCAATCTCCTGTAAGTACCTGCCGAGTCAGTCAACGGGATCTTTTATTTCAAGTACCCCACGGCGCGTCACGTCATAAGTACCTCTATCGCAACCGCGTCTCGAATCGATGGAATACCTAGATATATATTCTTCACACTCACTTGGCATAGAATAAGTCACGGGAAGAGCCATGGCCCTCCCACTCTCGTCGGGCCTCGTGCCGACCGAGGTCGCCTTCCTCTGCGAAATGGAAATGATCACCATAGTGCCGCGCCAGAGACTCGAATCCATACCCATGCTCAGCGTACGATACATGCCTCTCTCTTCCAACCCCACCACCCCGCCCGCCATACTTTGTAGTACGATGCGATGCGATCAAATGCGATGCGATTAAATGCCACTCGGTTGAATTGCTCCAATTCGTAATCTACACTGTCCTCACATCTCACGTAACAAAGGACCGAGTCAATTGAATGACCAACGAATCTAACCATTTCATAAAAAACAGGGTAAAACCCCAGCCCTCCGACCCCCCCGGCGCGCCGACCTACCCCTCTGGCTCGCCCTGCTCCTCAAGAAACAGCGCCGCGCCAACATCGTGCCACCCCCCTGGCTCCTCAGCGCCTCGCTCCAAGAACTCGTCAACTTGGAAACGAACGTGAACCCGGAGGGATTCAGCGAGCCACCGCCGCCGCCGATGCGGTCCGACGGGAGGGGCGTCGCCAGACCGTACGCTACCATGACGAGCAGGACGGGGGACGAAGACGGAGACACGAAAGAGCTAGTATTATCCTCGCCGTTCCTCCCCAGCTGCACCCAGGACGCGCCCTCGGGCTATCTACCGTTCCACTGGCTCGAGATCGCCGAGACCCTGCTCGCGCATGCCGCCGACGATATCCCGAATGCGCCCGACGTCAGGGCCCTGCTGCGAGATCTGCAGGAGGTAAGAGCCGCGAAGCTACGGGCGAGCACGCGGCATCTCGAGGGCGGAGGTGGAGTTCTGAAGTTGAGGGGTGTGGGCGCTATGGAGCTTGCTGAGAGCAGGGGATTTGTCTTGAGCGTTGTGGATGGGGTGCGGAAGCTCGGTGCGAGTATTGAGGCTGGACGGCGCGAGGAAGAATTGGAGCGCCGTGAGGGTGGAGGTGGTGATGAGAGCGATGATGATATGGAGTTATAATAAGAAAATTGGGGAGGCACGGATGTACCGGTTGCATGAATGGATATGAACACGGCGTTTTGATACCACTTTTCGGCTATAGGGGTCGGCGCATCTATATATTCTCTCCTAAAGCATTTATGTTGCTGGATAAATAAAAGAACTGGACTTACACCCATGCTAAAATTACAAATATACAACAAGTCTACAAAGATCGCTCAGGGGTTTTCGTAAACACTTCAAAACGCAACTTTTATTGACGAAACCAATTCTCGCTAGCACAATGATTCGAAACGCCATCCCTTATGCCTGTACCCATGATGTACCGAAACCTATACCAATACCGAATATGCAGCATCAACCGGCTATGCAAGATTTAAAAAAAAACAAAGAGCTCACCAAGCATGCATACCTACCTCCTAACACATAGGTACTCAACAAACTCACCTCTTAGGAAACTGCATACGCGTCCCGTCGTCGAAGAATCTATAATCTATCGGTTTCTTCCCCACGCGACTCGCCTCGAGGATAGCTATGTCATAGAACTGAAGACAAATGCCTCGTCGTCGACACCCGCCGCCGCCAATGAACAACGCTGTCACCAGATATTTGCACAACACATACGCGGAGACTAGTGCCGCGGCGCTGAGGAAGAGTACGAGGATCGTACGGAGGGTGTACACGGGCCAGAAGCTGAGTTCGTGACCGATTGGTCGAGGAGTTTCGCCTTTGTGTTGTGTTAGTTATCGTGTGTTGCAGTTGGGTATAAATGGCCATGGTTAGGAGAAAAGGGGGTAAAGGGGGAAGGGGGGGTAAAAGAACTTTGAGTGTACTAACCTTGATAACCATCATCCGAGCCTAGCTTAGTACCAGTACCAGTATCAGTATCAGTGTCAGTATCAGTATTAGTATCAGACTCAGACCCAGACCCAGAACAATCCTCCTCCTCATCATCATCCAAACCAACCCGCGACATGTATTCCCGAATATACCTCGCCCCAAAAGCCCCCAACCCCCTGAAAAACCCCCTCCAGAAACGCACAGCCCAGAGCAGAAAAGGCGAATCGACAAGCTCCTCCGTAAGCCAGACATCTCGCAGCACAAGATGCAAGACCCGCATCAGCGCCACCAGTCCCCCCATCCAGTCCCCGAGGACCTGCACCCCGCCGATGAACTCGCACAGGAGGCGGTCGCGACTCGCGAAAACCTGCGCCCCGTTGACGAACCCGTCGAGGAGCTCGAGGAACTCGTACCGGAGATACTCTTGTTTCGCGAGAGCCCACAGGAGCGCCGGCACGCCGATGACGCCCGGCACGGGGATTTTGACCGTGAAAAGCCAGTAGAACGCGTAACTCAGGCATGACTTGAGGGCGCGCAGGACGCGGTCCCAGACGTGTAGCAGGAGCTCTATTGGGGACTCCATTGGTATTTATTGGTGATGATGGTGGGGGTTTCGTTTAGGATGGATAGTGGTGTGGTGTTTAGGAGGTTGATGAGATAGGCCTGCTATACGATGTCTGGGAGTTTGTGGGTGAGTATCTTGACTGATATATAGATTATGAAGAGGGAGTGGGTGGTTGGGTGGCTGTGTGCTTGAGCTATATGCTGTATATCTTCTTTGTGCAGGCAAGACAAACGGGTGTTTCGCGAACAATGCTTTTATTTATCTAATGACATAATTGTTCAATCTCTATCAGCATCAATTAGAAGAGATCTTTTTGAGCAAGTTAAGCTCAATAATGTCTTTATTACACACCAATTGTAGACTACAAAGGCTAGTTGAAACGCCTCAATAAATGTTACAAGGTCCTTGTATCGAATGTCAATGAAACCATCCGTCTATGATTCCTTCATGCTACCGTCCCTTTTGTTAATACACATTTCCAAAAGCAACTCTTCACATGGAAAATTTCCAACTAGTAGTCTATGTATGGAATGCTTCAAGCTTCCTACCCTTAAGAACGCCAAACCAATGCCCTCTCCATTAAACCTAGACAGATCATGAAGTGGTGACTTGCGTTATACCATCGGCGCCTGTTTCAACAACCGTAAAGCCGGCGGTATTACCAGCGCCTGCAGCAGCTCTGTCAAACGCGGCGTCGCTCCTATCGAGAGTTATTAATATTTTCGACGCAATGAAGAGAGATAAAGGAATTGTATATACCTGTCCAACAAGGTTTCTATATCCTCTTTGCTGAGTATCTTATCTCCACCACTGTGCTTGTAGACCTCGCCGTCTTTGAGCAATAGGGCTTTCAATGTTTCTTTATCGATATCTTCAGCTGTATCAAGCTTCTGGCTCATGTTCTTGAACCCGCCCTTTTTGATTACGAGCTTCTCTAATCGACGTTTTGCGTCGGCACTGAGTAAGAGCTCTTCTTCTACGGTGCCTTTCGTCGCAAACCGGTAGATGATGACTGGGCGTGTTTGACCGATACGATGGCATCGGTCCTGAGCCTGGAGGTCTTGCTGTGGGTTCCAGTCACTTGAATTGCAGTTAGCACATCTTTTTCTTCGACTGCAATTGCATTCAACTCACGAATCAAACAGAATGACGGTATCTGCAGTTGCAAGATTAATGCCTTGACCACCTGCCCGAGTAGACAGTAGAAAGACTTTGTAATCAGGGTCCTCATTGAAATCCTTGATTTGTTGTCTCCGATCGTCTTGGGCTACGCTTCCATCAATTCGACAAACATTCCATTTCCGAAGCTCGGAACAGTAATCATGCAAAATGTCTAGTTGAGTCTTGAACTGCGAGAAGATCAACACCTTGTGACCACGTTCGAACAATGTAGGCAATAGTCGATCTAATAAAAGCATCTTTCCAGAAGCGGTCACAATGCTTTCGTCGACGGGCCCACTGGTGTCGTAAGCCCAGGGATTGTAGAAATTATGAGGAGAGTTACAGACTAGCCGTAACTGCATCAACGGATTTCCTAGCTTCTTACTGGCAATTTGTGCCTCTGCAATATGTTAGTAAATATTCTGGACCTCACCCACAACTGAGGTACGTACTAGCCAGCTCGAGCGTGTCAGCTCGCTTCATCTCATCATCATCTTGGAGTTCCTCGTCAACATCTTCTTGATCTTCCAATTCCTTGGCCAACATGTCTTCGAAAGCTTCATCGTCAAGCTTGTCATCATCTACATCATCTGGTACCTTGTAAGAAACATTCTTTCGAGCGCGTCCTCTAGGCCGTGAAGTCGTTGATGAAATCGACGGCGTTGACTGTCGGCTGGATTTAGCGCTTTTCGATACCGACACCTCACTGGTTGGTGACGTTTTCCTTTTAGAAACTGTCTTCGAGATTACTGAAGAATTCTTCGTTTTCAGGCTAGACTCGGTCGAGGCTTTGTTTTTTGGCCTCATCATCATGGTAAAGACATTATTCATAGGCGGAGGGGGTGTCTCAGCATTATGCGAGCTAGCTGCGCGTGATGATTGCCGACTAGATCTCTTGGAGCTATTCGGAGTATTGGAGGTCTCCGTCAATCTTTCCACAACTTTATTCTCCAGATATGTTCTTGTGTCGGTCTTTTTGTCATTGATAACGTTGTAGAGATCGGTCTGCTCTTTGGTCATCGGTGCGTAGAGCACATATTCACGCTTCTTAGGTAAATAGGCGGCGACATCGGCCTTGATTCTCCGAAGTAGCAATGGCTGAAGAACTTTATGAATCTTAGAGACAAGGGATTGGCTCTCCTTATCCTCTATGAATTGAGCCGTCCCTTCTTCATCCTGCAGGTCACTGAAATCGAACCAAACCTCAAACGCCTCCCAATCTAGGAAGGTCTCAGGCATCAGAAAGTGTAGAAGCGACCACAATTCCTTCAAATTGTTTTGTAATGGTGTTCCCGTGATGAGTAGGCGAGTAGCTGATTTGAATTGTTGAAGTTCTCTGAAAAGCTTGGCGTCTGCATTCTTCATCCTGTGTCCCTCATCCTGATAATCCATTAGTGTTGAATACCAATGTTATTAGAAATCATACATACCACAACAATGAATGCCCAATCAATCTTAGAAAGGGCTGCGCGATCTCGTAAAACCATCTCATATGATGTGCATACAACGGGGAACCTCTGAGTAGGACTGCCTTTCTGATAGTGTTTCATGATCTTATCTCGAAATATCTGCTGGCGCTCCTCGATGGTTCCATGGTACAAAACAAACGGAATAGTTGGAGTCCATTTTCGAAATTCATCCTGCCAATTTGATAGAGTGCTCAGAGGGGCGATGACAAGATGGGGGCCGAAATATTCCTCCTGTTCTCGCAAGAGGGCAACTAATGAGATAACCTGTATAGTTTTACCTGCCTCTTCTTAGCACATAGGTGAAACTAGTTAATGAGATGATGAGACTAACCTAAACCCATCTCATCCGCTAGGATACCGCTCATGCCTTGGAGACATATCTCATACATCCATGTGAGGCCTTCCAGCTGGTAATCTCGCATGGTGCCCCCCGACATTATTTTGGGTTGGTCCTTGAGTGCCAATCCCGCATCTGCAAGAGCCTGGTTATCAAAGTCGCGGCCAACTCGGCCAAGCGCTTTCGTCTTTTGAGTCAAGATGTCACTGAAGATCTTGGATTTGCGCAGGAGCTCGTCAAGCTCCTTAGCTTTTCGAGCCCTTTCCTGGGGAGACAACTCTGTCTTCTTTCGCTTCCTGCGCGCAGCCAAGCGTTTCGCTTCGGCCCGTGTGTTTTCTGCTTGTGCTTTCTTTTCCTCGGTGAGCATTTGCTGCTCCGTGAAAGTGCCCATCTTGGCGGTGCCTTTCTCTCCAATTGGAGGAGGGGAAGAAGGTGGGCTGGTTGCTAGGCTAGAGCTGTGAGTGGGTGATGTGGGTGAATCTATATCAGAAGATGGACTGTTGGCCATCGCGGGATTCCCGGCGGGAGTCAATCAGGAAGCACGGAAGCACAGAAACAATAGTAAAAATTAGGAATTAGGTAGAAATTGGAAGACAAAAAGAAAAGGCCAATTGGACGATTGGATGATTAGATGGGCTGGGGCAAGTTCTGTAGAAATCGAGACCAACTAGTGACTGTCAAAGTGAATCGCCTGGCGCGTCACCCTTGCTCGATCTAGTGACGCGAAGTGCCTGCGAAGTCACGCGTTAAGTGGTCTTGGCAGGAGGGACCTATCTGCAGTAAATTAGTAATTGCTCTGTCCAAACACTTCTTTTCCTGCTCCCCTTCATACAGCTGCAAATCCGAGAATAGCAATCAATTACGGCTGCATTATTCATTAATGTACCATTCCAGAAGACCTACTCAGAACTGTCTACATCCATTTGGCATTACCAAGGTTCTTGTTCAAGGACATTATACCAATAGGTTGGCCATCACTGTAAGTACCTAGGTACTTTAGGTACTGTAAGTAGCTGCATTTAGCACAGCGGAGGCGGGGTTGCCTGGAGAATGCACAGCCCCACCTTCTCAGGTAGGTACCTGGGTACTTTGACCAGAGCGCCACTTTTATTAGTCAGACAGCGTCTCATGGCAATGCGACCTGTCTATCATCATCCACCAAATGTCATTGACAACCCACCATTCTCTCCCTTTCAACAATCATTGCGCAACACTACCGACGACACGAACAGTCGGAAGCACATGCCGAGAAGAGCCACACAAGACAGAAGCCTCGAACTATAGCATTTAGTTGGGTCAAGATGGCGACCGGGGCACAGAACTTCTATGAGCTGTATCGCCGAAGCAGGTACATCGCCATACCATACCTATATCCATCCATCCATCCACCCAGTCACTGGGCAGAGGAGGCCGGATGAGACGCCGTTCTTAGATTGCGTATATTTTGCTAACCAGAGCCTTTTGGTTCCTTTGTTCACAGCATCGGCGGTGCGCTCACGGATACCCTCGATGATCTCATCACCCAGAACAACATCGACCCGCAGCTCGCCATGAAGGTTCTGGCCAACTTTGACCGCGCTATAACAGAGGTCTTGCAGGATAAAGTTCGGTCCCGGTTAACTTTCAAGGTGAGTGACTTGTGTCAGGGTGTAGTCAGGTTGTTTATCGCTTGGTTGGAGATCGAAGGAGGCTGAAGACTGACACGCGCCTCTATCTAACTATTTGTAGGGTAGTCTCGACACCTACCGTTTCTGCGACGAAGTCTGGACCTTTCAACTCAAGAACGTCACCTTCAAGATGGAGAATGGCGGCCAGGTCGTGACTGCCGATCGAGTTAAGATCGTATCCTGCACCGCCAAGCCTACGAATACGACCGCATAGACTGCATCAAGTTCGTCCCGCTAGGAGTAAATTGAAAACTTCGCGGAATTTCACATACGTACTACGCTCATTGCGACATTCCTATGATAAAACTCCGGGAGCAGATTGTTATTCCTCGAGACGAGAATGTGATTTATTGAGCTTTTCTCACATCTCGGATCCTTACGCTTGTCGTGGGATGCCGCATTCTCCCAGGCTGTTAAAGTTGGTTGATAGCGGCGTTAGAAATTGCATGCATTAAAGATTTCACGATGAGAAAACATTGAGATACAGCTGGCGCTAGTGGAAACGTTGAATACGTTGGCATCATGCACACAAGGCGTTTGGCGTTTGGGTTTCTCTAGATGGTTACATATTTCTGATAGGCATTCTAATGCGATTATGACTCTTCGCTACCTATTCTCAACTATTGGTGACTTCGTCTGCCTTATACCATGCGAGGGATTTTGGATTCTGAGCGCATAGAACGAGTATCTAGTTCGTCTATCATCTTCGCGACGAGAGTATCTAATATATGCTACCAGAACTAAAGTAGTACGGCTACTCAGAACAAACCAAGATCATCACCTATTGCGTGACGAATCATCTAGGTCGCCTAAAAGCGGGACATCCTCATCCAGTTCCTCTTCTCTTAAGTCGGGGAGCGCTATTTCCCCATGACCTTGTTCAGCTGCTTCCACTCCCGGTTCCACACTGACTACAGCATCGGCAGCCATGTCTTCCTCGGGGCTGACCTCTTTGCGCCCAAGGATCACGTTCCCGGCCACGAGTAACGTGGCGCCAGCCCACCATAGCGGCGGCAAAGATTCGGCGAAGATAGCTAGTCCCAGCAATGCCGATATCATAAAGTTCGTCGACGTATTCATGATTGATACTTGAGTTGTTGAGTTGCCCTTTGCTAGAGCTTTTGTGAAGAGCGTCCACATCTAGATCCCGGATTAGTGTTTCGTGCGGAGATGAGAGATGGGGAAGGGTGAAGTTCACTTACTATGATATTGAATAATATGTTTAGACCAAAGAATGCCTGCATGGTATTAGTAACAATATTCAGGTACGAAAGCAGTGGTTTCTTGTTTGGCAGGGTGACTACAGGAGCTGGTGAAGGAATTGTCATTTAGAGTTGCTCTAATACAGATTGCATATTCTCGCAGCCAATTTATATTAGATGAAGAGCACAAGAATATGAGCACTTACACCCCTAACAATGATTTCAAGGAATCCATCAATCCCTTCCAAGCCCAAAGCCCCAGATATGCCCCGCGCGATATGCGCCGTCAGGTTATCTGTGGTCCTGTGAGAGAATATCAGTTATTCTAAGTCTTTTATATAAGCGCAACTCACGAGGAGAGGACAAGTAGAAAGTGAACGTCGAGCAGGTATTGGCTGTTCGCTCTCTTTTCTATGAGACAATGCATACGGAAAATACACGTAGCCACTACTCAACCAAGACAGAGGAGTGGTGTGTGTAACACGATGCATAGGAGATTCGCATCGCGACTTACACCAATACTCAAGCCTCAGAGCGAATCCCAATGTTGAAAAGAACAAGATAGATATCAAAAGAATCGCCGAAACTCACAGCTTAGCAAAGACGCCATTGAAAGCAGCACAAGCACCGCTCGCAACCGCATACACAACCCACGCATTCCTCTTAGTCCAAGGCATGATATCGTCGTTGTTTGCATGCAAAGGTGATCCCTTCGCCCTCTTCCCAACGACACTACCAGCCGGTTTCTTCCCACCAGCAGGTAACACAGCTGTGGAGCCGCCCGGTCTCCGCTGTTTCAAAATACTTTGACTGCCGGCAGCAGGGTTTTGTACAGCGGGCGGAGAGGGAGTGGTACCAGGGACAGGATTCGAAGAAGAAGAAGACCCTTTCCCGGCCATGGTGGGAGCGGGTAAGGATGTATTGACAGGTAGGTATGTATATAATAATAGGCACAGCGCTAAAGGAAGCGGGAGCGAAGCGGGAAAGCTGGCAGTTGTGCCGCGTGGGCTGGGCTAGGCGACTCAGGGATACGAGCAACAACAAGAACACTCAACACCAGACCAAGCAAGCAAGCAAGCGTACAGCGAGAGCATACGTAATGGCTGTGTGGGTAAGTTACTTAAGGATTTGGCCCCCTCTGATTGGCAAAGCGCAGACCCGTCTGTTTCACACCAGGTCAGTTCCTGATGGTGGTATTGTATTGTGGGATGGGGGGCTATGCTCTTGTGTCTTGTCCCGCTGGGCTGGTTCGATCCTGTTGGTTTGGGATTTGATGCCGTGGAACTTATTCTTGTCTCGTCCCAGCTTGTCAATGTTCGCACACGTGGGGAAATCGCCAAGAATCGGTGGGTGGATTCTGAACGCGCGTTGGGGTCGCTTAGCGTGCGTCTTAGTCTGGTCCCCGACGTAATACCTCCTTCCTTAACTCGTGAAGCAATGGACAACGTAGAATTATGGTCTAAGGGCCGATATATATTGTCTATGATCGGAATAGATTTTCTAGCCTCCATGTGTTCAGTTGGCGTACAAAAGCGTGGTCTACTCATGGGTCAATCAATACAATGCAGCAGCTTAGTGGTGCCAATGCATGAATCATAATAATATATACGCTTCATCATCGAAACTTCTTCCAAGGAAAATGTCAAAATTCTATTCCATATCTAAGCCAATGTGTCATCTATTTGCCAGTTCAACGCCATCAACATCGCCAACATCTTCATCGCCGTCCATGATCTGACCATCGCCGCGTAGCAAGGCGCTCGACTCCTCACTCCCGCCTCCAAGCCTGATACGACCGCCGCTGAGATCAGCCACCTTGTCCGAAAACCATGTAGCGATACTCTCCATGATACGCCACAGTTCCTCTTGTCCCTTAGCAATCTCATGCTGCTCACGTGGATTCTCGGCCGCTTCCACTTTGAACTGGTATTTCAAACAGTCTTTGACCGTTACTAACCCTGTAAGTTTGCCATGGTGCTCGATTAGAATCACCCGAGGCCCAATCTTTCGGAACATGTCCATTACTGTCTCCAGTGGTAGTCGCGGGTGTGCAGTGACCGGTGTAGCATCCACATAGCGACTAAAGTCGATTGAGGCCGATGACATGCTTAGGTCCATGTGATTGATCGTAACGGTCGGTGTCATGGGTGTCAGCGCAGGGTTGACACCTGCTGGAGAGAAGTTACATTTGGCTTGTGGATTCACAGCCACTGCTCGATCGCGGCGCAAACGATCGATAGCATATCGTAACTCCGTTCTACCGATGTATCCAACGAGAATGTTGGTCCGTGTATTCTCAACAATAGGGAAACCTTGGTAATGTGGTTCCTTGAGTAAGTTTTCGATTGTCTCAAGAGTCATCCCATTGACAGGAATTGACACCACATCGCTGGTCATGACAGTTGATACCGGAACACCAAAGTTGTGTTCCTCTTTGTTATCAAGGAAAGGAAAACCGCTAAACCAGATCATACGATCAGCAATACCGCCCTTGCCGAACAGCTCTGACACGATCTTGGTAACGCCCACAACGATCATGGTAGGTAAAATATAGGTTAAGGCGCCTGTAAGTTCGAACATAATGACCACAACCGAAACTGTGATATGCATGATGCCGCTGAGCGCCGCGGCGGCACCTAAAAAGGCATAAGTTCCAGGCGTTATGCATGGTCCATCTGGTGGACAAGCTGAGAAAAACATGCTATCTGGGTGTGCATGATATATGCCCTGCATGATGATTCCAACTGTTCGGCCAAAAGAAGCTCCAATAGCCATTGAGGGGACGAATATTCCTGCTGGTACTTTACAACCGTAGGAAATAATAACTAGAAAGATCCTGATCACTGTCGCCAGTGTCAAAGATATGATATTGGACCACATCTTGTCCTGCTCACATAAACCCCGGTAATCTTCGGCACCTTCGCACTCCAAGAACAGAATCTCCATACTTTCTGTCATGTCGATTCGCAAAAATGCGTTGGGGTAGCAGATGATAGCTGTTCCTGCAGCCAAAATGGTTGCTTCCAGGACTGCCCATTTCGTAAGATACTTCTTCCGAAACGATTGCGCCCGGAGGTTCCACTTGATAACAAAGGCACCATATAAACCTCCAAAGATACCAATGAATATGTAGGGGATAGTCTCAAAGAGATGCCATGATCTGTCATATTTGACTTGGAACATGACAAGCTGACCAGTCCTGAATGGATTCATTGCGGCTAGCACTGCCGTCGCAACGAGCGCACAGAAGTAGCTTCTCCATAGGGTCTTCAGCGGGAAATGACTTGACATCTCTTCTAAGGAGAAGAGAACGCCCCCGATGGGGCTGCCAAAGGCGACTGCCACGCCCGCAGCAGCGCAAGCACTGAGGATTTCTCTCGTCTTTGATGCGTTATTCCTATACTTGCGGAAGAATCTCGAGATAACATGACCCGTACAGACTGCGTAATGTACACTCGGGCCCTCTTTTCCCACAGAGAGGCCTGACCCGATGGCCAGAGGAAGAGCGATGGACTTAATTAGTAGTGTCCAGAAGCCCAAAAAGCCTTTCATGACGAAGCCAGCAATGATGCACTTGATTTCCGAGATACCCGAGCCGGCAGCGTACGGAGCGAAGGACTTCACCAGCGTAGCAGCCGTGAATGCGAATATAGTCTACCATGCTTAGCTCACAGAACTAAGATCGAGGTGAGGGACCTCAGCTTACCCCACACACAATATATATGATATAATCGACGGGTTCGAAACCAGCCCATTCATGCCATTCGGGACAACCGTTATCCTCGCCCCAGCAGCAGAATTTCTCGTTCAGATAGAAGGCTGTCGTACAGTAACCAGTCTTTGTATCAGCAAGCCATTCGGTGATGATGTTCAGGAACGCCGCATTGAGACCGATGGCGGCGCCTATAAGGGTGACGACAATCCATCCTTGTGCCGCATCATAAGATTCCCATAGTTGGTATCGCCAGGAAACTCTCCCATGGTCATATAATCCAGCCGTCTTCCTCCGTTGTATGTTCCGTCGAATGCGTTCTTGGGCTGCATCTTGAACCCAGTCTGTTTACAGTGGTTAGCCATCCAGTACAGAACTAGGTCTTCGCCACGGTTGCAACAATTGGATACACCATGATATGCATACCTATGGTAGTGAAATCCTAAAGGGGCGCAGCAAAGTTAGGTCTGGAACTGGTCAATGTGAGGTCGAGTGAAGACAGCATACCTCATATCTCTTGATTTCAGCAATCTCCTCCTCGATCTGGTTGCTAGCAGGGGTATTTCCGTCTTCGCCGCGCTCGGCTGTAGAAACGGCATAGGAGAACCTTGAGCTCACAGAGGGTCGACGGAGGTGTTCGGGCTGGGCGAGGGAGACCGAGGAAGATTGTGGGTTCATCGCCTCGACGTTCTAGACATTCTCGCTCGGATTTCTTGGTGATTCTGGACGAACTGAGCCGCGCAGAAGATGCGCACCAAATTTATCAGCTGTGCGTATAGACGAGCAAGTTGTTTCCAGTAGTTGATGGACAGTAGGTACCTAAGGTAGAGAATGAAACGATGAGGTAAGGTGAAGTAAGTAACCGAAGTTCCCAGCTGCGCCAGAAGCTCTAGTGACATGCATGTACCTACAGTACCTACCATATGCGTGATGTTCTACCTACAGCGCCGAGAGCGCCTAGACACTATGCCGAATTGGGGCTCCAGCTCCTATCTCTAGCAGGGTTCTGGAAGCCGCCCTACGAAGTAAGTACCTAGCCCTTCTGTGGGTCTCTGGAGCACCTGCAGCGAGCAATGGGCCCAAGTACACAGGTACCTCCCGACTTTTAATAGAATCGCGTCTAGAGAGAGCATTCACGCGTATAGAGAGCTACTTATATCATACCTCCACTGATACAAGAACCTCATCCACTTACATTGGTAAACTTGTCTCTCATTTGTGTGTTTTGGACCGACCGCTGTTAGTATATACCCATTTCTATTATCCTCACGAGCTCTATCCAATCTAGAGCCCTTGCTCTCTATCCATGTTAATCCTTCATAACATTTCTGTTGGTTATCAATTTGGGGACTTAAGCAGAGAGGTGAGGAGGTTGAAAGCATAGCCCGGCACAGGTCTAGTGAGAAAGTTGGCTGACCTGAACGTTTCTGCTGAATCTTGGAGACCTTATTACTCATTATATACATGATCACTAACGACTTGAATGTTTGGCAGAACAAGCACAAATTCATCGAGCTCTCATTCTCAGGGCTTTCACACAGTTAGCTAGCGTCTGCAGTCAAGGAATTGCGCTTGGAGATCTTACACACCATGCCCTACAACACTACGGCAATTCCTCCAAGAAAGGAGGTCACTGGCCAAGCCCAGCTTCCATGTAAGTCCAATGAAGCCAACCATCCCAGACAATGAGCGCCTAGTTCTCCTAACCATTCTTGATAGTATCCAGAGTGAAGAAGATCATTGCTCAAGATCAGGACATCAACATTTGCTCCAACAATGCCGCATTTGTGATCACATTAGCCACTGTAAGTGCACCATGACTACTTCCATGATCTAGAACACCCGAGATTTACCATTGCGCGCAGGAAATGTTCATTCAATACCTCGCGAGTGAGGGGCTAAACATGGCCAAACTAGAGCGCAAGCCCAGACGAAATATCCAATACAAAGATCTAGGTACTACACCACTCACCCAGCGACCCTGTCACAGCTCCCTTCTAATACCACACAGCAAACGCAGTATCTCACCAAGATAATCTGCAATTCCTCGAGGACATCATACCCAAGACAGTGCCCTACAAGCAGATCAAAGCGCACGCGGCCGCGACGCGCGCGAATCTCAGCGGGGGGAAAAAGCCAGAGGAGTCGGGCGCAGGCCACGAGGACTCGCGGCCCACGGCGTCGCGTCAGACGAACGGTAAGAAGCAGAAGGGGCGGGCGAGCAACGCTGGAGCAGGGAACAGCAGCATTGCGAGCTTTATGGGGGCCAGCGGGGCTCGTATCGTCAGCGAGGACGATGCCTCGCTGGATCCGAACGAGCAGTTGCAGGATGAGATCAGACGGGCGGCGAATAGGGATGATGACGATGTCCATATGGCTGACTAAGAGACAGCTGGATGGGAGGAATGCTGGGAGGAATGCTGGGAGGAAGACTGGTGGTATTGAAAAGCTCCCCGCTAAGAGCGAGGCCAGGACAGGGTGAAAGTGCCAGAGCATGAACGTGGAATGAGACACCGTTGTTAGAGTGTGGTAGTCGTGGCTACCTGATTGAAATACTTCGAGCGTTTATAGCAACAAATCACATATTTCACAAGAAAATTGCAATTCAATCACAGGTTAATAACTTCTCATCATATGTGAGAAGCCCAGCATTGCTATTCGCCTTTTTTTCGTGGGTATATACCATTCTCATAGCGTAGTCCTCGACTTAATCAGAGCTCCGGATGCTAAAAACCATCACCGTCACATGATACTTTTATATCCAGTTCTTTACTCCTCCATCTCATCATTCAGATGAACACCAGCAGGCAACCTGCCCTCCCTCAGCATCGTCTCAAGTCTGGTGATCTCGTCCAGGCTGGTCGCCCGCTTAATCATATCCTGCAACCGCTTCTTCTCCTTATCGGTGAGCTTGATCCTAGACATGCGCATCGATAGGCCGGCAGTGCTGCCTGCGTCTTCGAGGGACGATGTGGCACCGAACGATTTGGACTTGACATCCATTATCTTCGTCGCAAGCTCCGTAGGTGCCTCGACCGTGCCAAATAACTCGCTGGCGTGCTTGCGTTCTGCATCCTTCACCTTGGCATAATCAAGGAATCGGACTGAGGGACAACGCCAGAGAGTCCAATACCGGTAGTGCTGTGATTTGACGATTTCGCATCAGCTTCTAATTCCTCAGACTAGTTTGCATTTTCTGGGTTCGCGCTAGGTTCAGCAGGCTTATGCTCACCTCTTTCTTTGTAACGGGGTTGTCTTGTAGAACGAGGTGCGTCAGCCGTGGGAACGACCCTAGCGGGTCTAAATCTGCGAGCTCGCTCAGATTGTTCGACTCCAATTGGAGGTTGGTGAGGTTCGGAATCGAGTTTGCTAGCGTTGGCTGTATCGAGGAAATGCGATTACGTGCCAGAAGCAGTGTGTGTATCCGTGGCGAAAGCGGGAAGTTGCCCAGCACCTGAATGTCATTATCGACTAGATCTATGGCATCCTGGGGCTAAACGAGTAGTGCATGTCAGCAGTAGTCAACAGGCCCAGTGACGAGGCGTAGAGAGGTAATAGTCGCCAGTGCTATAGCTAGCGCAGGTAATCGGCGAACAAGGAAAGGAGAGGGGATACGTACACCTGCGACACCCAAGTTCTCGATGGCGGGAATGCGATGTCCTGTTCAGGCCGACAAAGGCTCGCTATCAACTCTGCTCTTGTTTCCTTGACTTCATGGCTAGATCAAATAGATGTGTAGTATCTGTTCTTTTCTGACGTACCTCGAAGGTCCAGCTCGCGCTCCTTCAGCGCATTGAGCCATGACGGTGAGTTCTGGAGAAGCTCGGCCGTGAGCCTCATTTTTTTCAGAGACACTAGCTTAGGTGAGAATTACCGTTGTGATTCAATGAATTATATAGCGGTTCGAATTTGGTTTGGCAATGAATAGCAATTGACTTCGTGGTTCAACAGTCGATATTTGTCAATTCGTAGACGCGTCTATAATGAGAGATAGCAATAACAACAACAATTATTAAGTAGTACTGGAGAAGGAAACAAGGCTGAATAGGCGCAGGCAACCTAAAATTTGGGGTTTGAATCTCACTGAACAGCCTTCCAACTTTCCCACTTGGAGAATTATGGGGCCAGCTCAGGCGATACCACTAAGTGTATATATCATAATAATAGGTAATAGGTAAATAAGGAGTTATGCGATCGTATTAGGCACCTTAGGTACCTATCGCATCATTCCGCTACATTTTGGCTCCAATGTTTGAGAAGGTGGTCCGCCTCAAATACAACGAAAGTCCTCGACATCCCGCTTGTGTCTTGCCTAAATGCCAACTATAAGGTCCAATTACAAGGCTCAATTACCGTGCTACTTCTAAAGTGTGGTGTTGTAATGCCATGCTGGCTGTCTTCTTTACCTTTGAAGATTCAGCCCAGTAACCTTTTCGATCATAGCACTTAGAGCTACGACAAGAGGTAATCCAATCATGATTTTTTTTTTTTTTTTTGAAAAGGTGACAATAGCCATTGATTATAATACAGCTAATCTTTAAAGAAACTGGCTATCAAAGCAAATGGGTCTCGGCCCCCTAAAGCTTTAGTGGTCTTGTTCTCCGTTGCTCGATGAGACAAAGAAGGCGTCGGTCAAACACTAACAATTTATAGCAATGAACAAGGCCTTTCTTCAGTCCTTTCTTCCAAAATGGTTCAGCTTAAGCACGTATATAGTATCTCGAGTGCCGGGGCTTCCAACAGAAGTCAGCAAGCCACGCTTACAAGTCGATCAAGAAATATAGTGATCCGTTATACAGATTGCTGTGCAAACTCTAAAGTCGCCTTTACCAGATTTTCACTTCTTGTTTCAATAGGTATTTCTAATAAGAAAGTCGGTAACGGCGGTAGGTAGTTAGTTGAGTCGCTGCGACGTGGGTGAGAAGATTTGACATCAGCAGAATAGTGCTAGTACAGTAACATCTCACCAAATACGAGGCAAGCAACTTTGTTGCTGAGAGAATATGCTTGCTACACATTCTACCACTATCAGCAGGTCGAGGCACGAATCAAGAGTGGTGAGATGGCCCGAAATGCAGACGGAGGCGATACAACAGTGGAGAGATATGACGGCAGTCTCGTCACGTTCCCAACTTGGCGAAGTGCGAGCACGACATGAAGAAAGTCGTCCACGAAACACTGATTCACTGCAAAGCGATGCAAGTCTCAGCAGCTCTGGGGAGCGTACCACTTCAAACAGCAAGACACAGGAAATCACGGCTCATCTCAAGTATTTGGTACGGGCCTTCTTGAAACAAACACGGGCTGCTCCTACTGCCAGTGACACTTCAGGCAAGTTAGCAGGCAAGTTAGCAAACAATGAATCATTTGTACCGTCCCCGAAGATCACATTCCTCATCGATAAGCCAAGTAATCTCACCTGTCAGATTTGCCAACAAACAATTCTGAAGCTAGCAATCACAGCTGACGACCCAGGGCCTAGCATGGCCTCCATCTTGCCATGTGGGCACGTAGCTTGCCACGACTGTTTCAGACGGTGGTTTATAAATCACGATTCTTGTCCATTCTGTAGGACAAGTATGGTCCACACAGGTTGTGGACATCAGGTCAAACCACGTCTGCTTGCCCAAGACACTATTCACAGCATCCCGGCAACGCTCTCGAAAAGTGGAAAGATTGGGACCACGTGCTTCACGTGTGTCCAAAGAAATCGAAGGGACGTATCTGTAGAGCGCTGGGCCAGGCTCGCCGAGGAATTCATAGCAGCGCGGCAGAAAGCTGACGATCTTGGCACCGATGAAGCTATGGAGCATCTTTGCAGGGCGCAGAAAGCGTTTGAGAGGATACCAGAGGACGACTATTGCGTGCTATCGAGCATGAGACATCGCCAGTGGTGAGTCCGCTTTGTTGTCTTTTACCATAATCCTTCTTTTTTACTGCGCAAGGTTGCCGGCTGATGAAGCGTAAGTTCCATTGCCAAGCTCCTATTCTTCTCGCTTGAGTTTTTTTTTTCTGTTTCTTAAAGTTGTTCCGCAGCATTAACACCTCAGGCGAGCTCTGTGTTTCTCCTTACCTAAGTACCTATGATAAGTATAACATGGCATAAATATAATGTTTCCTCAAATTTAGATAAGTAGATGATTAAAATTGGGATGATCACTACTTTCAATACTGGTGCCTGGCGTAGACGTAGGTACCTACTCGCTACAGTACGCAACTGGCAGCCAAACAGTGCGACAATGCGCCAATGTGGTACAGGTAGCGCTTGAAAAGCTGTAGGTACCCTTTTCGGCAATCGAACCTTCACAGCCCACAGCGGAGAAACCCTGTTGTGGCATCTGGTCCTTTCGGATGAACATGAGCGCCGGGTCTGACCGGGCAAGTGTGCATTGGGTAACTGATCAATTCCATAATTATGACTCTTTTTTTTTTTCTTTAATCTAGCTAGCTCTAGATCCCACGAGTTTTGTGTGTTTATCAATGCTTGCCAATTCGCGAAGCTCTGTCAGGGACACTGTGAAATGAAAGGACTCGACGGTCTGACAGTACCTAGACACTGTAAGTACCATAAGTAACTGTCCGCTAGTGTTTTGTTGAGCTGCAGACCTAACGCCCTAAGTACTCTGCCCTAGGTAACAAGCGCTGCACTGAGCATGACCAGCCGGCACCCTAACGCTGCCAGTGGGATTGCTGGCATTGGGGGCAGTGCTTGCGGCGGCAGGCAAGAGGTGCATCTAACCCATTACGGCAGAATGCACGCAATCAGGCGAATCAGAACACGTCGAGAGGCGCCCTAATTGCCGTGGGCCACATGTACCTGTGGCAAACAGAAGCTAGGTAACGCATGCCGCCTCTCTTAGAGCGGTTTACCATCTGTGCTAACCTTATCACAACAACGCCATCTAACCAGGACTCTGCACGACCCTCGGCACGACTTACTGTTTGGCGCAATCTACCCTGCCGTGGGCTACAAGAGGAGCACTACGGCCGACATCACTCATTAGGTATCTACTTAGGTAGGGTATTGCGGATGTACTTACTTACTGGGGGTTTCTGCAGCGTGAGATATACCTAGATCAGACACTTAGATATAAACCCTGTGTCTGCCTGTGATTCCCAGATTGATCTAGACTACTACGAGGTACTCGAATATTGTACTAAGTATGTACCGTAGCCCTGTGCCAAGTCCCCTGACCCGTACCCTAGCCGAGAGCCCTTGGCTACTGTAGGTACCTCATTAGTGCATGGCGAGCCATGGCAGTGTATTTCGCTAGCGTACTTCAACGATCTTAGTGGCTCGGTGGCCTAGAGCCTGGCCTAAAGTCAACCTTCTGCATGCAGGTAGGCACTCGGGTATCTATGTATGTATTCTACTAGGCAGCTACATTTACCTACCGGTGCAAGTCACTACTTCGTATGTAGACTGTGATGGTCTTGATTGCTAGTAGTTGCCAGGCTCATATCAGATAATTTTGATTCCTCTCGAGTTCACCTCGACAAAATTATGCCTTGATGGCCCAACGGCATCAATGGAAGCGGATGTCTTCCGCTGCGACATACTAAGTATCTGTAAGTATAAGTATACCTACGTACGGCTTTCCAACACCGGCATGCTACCCTAGAGGCTTACTCGGTCGGCCCTTGTCTACATACATACTTAGGTACCTATACGGTTGCCAAGGCTTCAAAATTGTCCAGCGAATACCAAGCAGACCAAGGAAACCCAAGACGTCCGAAACCCGTCACACTTGGTCTACACTTCGCCGAGCGTACCTGCTAAAGAACCCCATGCCTAGCTTGTCTGTATGGATTGGATCACTTCCAGTCTATCCGAGCATGCAAACACAAACAAACACCTCAATCACGCTCTTCGCAGACAGCGAATCCCAAGATCCCCAAGCGAGACTCAAGCCAGAACCAAGCCTCAGCTCCTCGATCATCCCTCCAGAGCCTTCCTGTTGCGGTTCCACAAACAGGGGCCTGTTCTGTACATCATCACCATTTGAGGGGCTCGCATCATCCATCACCATCTGCGCTAGACCCAGCACCACCACACCAGACCACTGCCAGACCATACGGATCCATAGCATCCATAGCATCCCATAGCTGCTTGCACGCTAGCCCGCAGACTCGGTGGTTCGACACCATGACAATCAAACTCTGCTGACCTAATCCTTCCGACTTTCTCGTCAGCCCCCCGCGCGCATTCTTTGTGTCGGGGTGCCAATCCTCATTCGAGACTTGGCCCTTTGTGAGCTAGCAAGCCATTGCATACTGGTTTCTGCGTTGGTGTCTTGTCTGCTGGTGGTGTGATCAGATTTCGGTAAGCTCAAACATCACACAGTAGTAGCATGTAGTGTACATGCCTCCAGTCCTTAGGTGTGAGCTGGTAGAATAGTTTGATATATCTCAGTAGTAGATAGTGTGTAGGTGGCCCGGATCGAGCCGAACAGCCGGGCGCTTTCTTCACGTCGGGACTGATCTCGTCATTTACATGTATATTATTGTGGTCATCTTTTGGTATTTACCCGCCACCAGCTTTGGCTAACGGCCATAGTGCAAACAGAAACGGGCAAGATATGACCTAGAACGGTCTGACGAGACCGAAAAAAACTCCCCCTGTCGTGCTCCCACAATCCGGTCTCTGCTAATGGTCCGCGCCCCCAGCTCCCCCATCTTCCATCTTCCCTGAGCAGCTTGAGGTTGGGCCCCCATTTCCCTGCCGGTTTCGTCTCGTCCAGTCCATTCATCTCTCGAATACGACCCTTTTTCTCCACCTACTCATGTTTCTCCCTGCATCTATTCCCAGAAGCACGGCTAGGTAGTCCTCCTCATGGCTCTTTCTGCGAAATATCATCGTACTCCTGCTTACTTATCCATCGATGTGATTGCAAAGCGACACTACATCACGTGGATATCTCATGGTGTTGATTGTTTGGAAATCGAATTTGCTTTGATCCCATGAGTTGCATCACCTATCTGCGACTAGATCCGGCCGTTCCCTCGTCAGACGCTTCTTAAGTGACAGATTCTCTGGGTTCTCAGGCACCGTTTCGACACCCTCTGCGTCGCGTCAGTTGAGCCTGAGCCTACTCTGACGGCTCGTCTACAAGTGGCAGAATGCCAACTTATCTCTGCCACGGCTTTCGGTGGCATCGCAAGAGTGTCCGCTATTTCATTGCCAAACACGATATCGAAGATGGAGCCACAGAATGGATTGTCGCTCCGAGAAGTGAGGCTGCCATCATAGAGCATTTCCACAACATATATAGCTTCCTACCCTCTTCGAACTCGCCCCCTCCTCCGTCTCGGAACGCATCATCGCCGGCCTACCGAAAACATCATCATGCGCCATCTAATGACTCTTCTTACGTCTCGCGCACCAGCTCTTCCGAATACCATGGCTCAGAAGAACCGAGATATTCCAACGGTAGTGGCACAAAGTCGCGGAGCAGAAGCGCATCCCGGCAAAGTGTTAAGTCGTCCGGCCGACCAAGAACGAGTGGGCGTGACGATACCATCACGTTCCCACCCCTTCCGCTGCTGTCTCCGTCGTCGCTCGCTACGAAGAATTCTGATTACTTCGATAATACGCCGCTTATAAGACTATTGGAAGAATTCGATCCCAAGGATGAGTCTATGGCCAGTGCTCCCTGGGCCTATGTGGCAGACCATGTCATACGAGTGAGCACCTCGGTCTCCATTGCTGATGAAATGTTCCGCTACGAAGCGCGTATGAAACGAGACCCCAACAGGGCTATGCATGGTTCAAGCGACGAGTACGGAAGAAAAGTGTTTGGATCAAGCAGCAAAAAGGCAGGGTGGCTAGAAAAGCTACGGGATCAGATACAGCGAGGGGAAAGCATTAGATGGTATATTGTGGTTTGTGGTGACGAAGAACGGGAAAATCCTACTGGTTACGATGACGACGAATTACTGGAAGAGGAGGAAGAAGAGGCGGAATATGAGGAAGAAGAATGTGAAGGGAGCAGCTCTAGAAGTCAAGACCGGACGTGGATACGGCAGTCACAATCGACCCAATCAACCGAAGCCACGACAACGACAAACCCATCCGTTATTGAAGGCGGTTTCGAGTACCGAATACCAGAACTGGCCGGCTTCTCGATGAGAACGCCGACGGTCACCCCAGAGCGGAAGAAGAACAAACTTGTACCCCCGCCATTACCACAAAAGGACTTGCCTGCTATACCTTCACCCCCTCCGCCTAAGTCACCTCTTCCTCCAGAGGTTGCAAGCAGGCTCGGTTCAGAGAGTCCATCATATCCGAGGTCTGCTCGTTCTACTTTAGGACTGCGGAAGTTGTTTTCTCGACACAGATCAGAAACGACAGCCTGAGTTAGTATCATATTGATTATTAATTTTAGCTTGGATAAGACCTCGCCTATTCAAGGCATTGCCTTTCTCCAGCATCCTTCTTATTCTTTATTATGTTTTACGATACAATTCCGACGAGGACTTTCCTTTCCTTCCGATAAGTCTCAACGTATGTTGAGCGATTAACAGATTGGAGACCGTTGTATACTTCCTGCGCGGTCGTCCTTTTCTCTGGGAGATGTTGTAGTATGATATCACCATGCATTGAGCCAATTCATTGCGTATTTTCGATAAGCTCATGGCGCCAGAGCGGACAACAAAAAGCTATACCCCTTTCAACTCCTCTCTTTTTCTCGACACGATGCATGCGGCGCAAGTGTCTTGTTTTCTCTACACGTTCGGAGCAACGGTGTCATATGTCACAGGGCGGGTGTAAATTCGATTCACGTGTAGCGAAAGTTTTATGTCAAACGATACCTCGGTGGTGGTTGGGATAATGTCACATTGGAACTTTTGAGTCATACGAAGGGATGGCTAAATATTACCTGGAGAGGCAAAGGAAGGTGTGAGGAGGCTGGCGTTTAAGAACACCCCCCAAAAAAACCACAGACGAGTTCTATGTATTCCACGGGAAAAGGGGATGCATTTTGATTTACTCCCTTGTTTAATGGTTATCGCGTTCTAAGGATTTCATGGCATGGGAACCAAATCCTGCTCAAATACTCACCTTCAGATACGCTGTGTCCACTAGATATGTCACCTAGGTACTCAATCTGAATGAATTCGCTGAGTCTCATCATCTGGCTGAATCATAGGATGGGCATGCCCAATCATCTACTTACGACAATTTCCACCTACGACGTAACTGTTTAACCGATTCAAAAACTTGACTCAATCCCAAGTCAGATACGAGACTTTGGCACAGTGGGCATCTATCTATCTAATAGCTTTGTGACCGAATTGTTAGCTATTAGTGGAGCGCTTTGCTTTGCTTTAGGGCGTATAGTCGTTTCGTTTAGATCTGTCGTCGTATTCTTATTGACAATTATTGATAATCTACGAGCACGTCTTCTGACTAATACCATTCGAATTCGTGAACTTGACGGTACCGTATTTGATGCGCCGTCCTAGGTACGCCACAACAACCATTGTGAGTGTCTCTAGTGGGTTCTCCGGGCTGAGCTTGGCCCGGGGGGGGGCGCCCGGCACCCATTATCGGACTTTTGTTAGCGCCGTTCGGCGATCTCTCTGTTTCGCTTTTTATCCCTTTAAAATCGATGGGCGGAGAAGTCAGGAGGGGAGAGGGGCGGAAGAACCGGATTTTATTGGGATATATCCATATTTGTATGACAGACGTTGCTGTATTTTCTATTGCTGGATGCTTGGTACACTGGATGGACAATAGCTGTCTGTAATTGATATCCCGGGCTCACAACTACCGACCGGAATATCTGACTAACTGATTATTGTTCCTACCCTTGTTACCTGAGTAGGTCCCTACTGCGCTTTCTCCCTCTCCCTGCCTACCTACCGACAACATGGCAACAACGACATACACAGTAGTTACGCTTCCAAGGAAAGAACTGAGATTGCGTTCAGGAGGGGCTGGTCTCTCTTTCTCCATACAGAGTGAAACAGTCGAGCAGTCTAGCGGGGTTAAGGGACTTAGGTCGTGGGGTATGCACGGTAATGTACCTGTATTTGTAAGTTGAGCTGGACTGTAGTCGAATGAGATCATGAGATCATCATCGTCCCGTCTTTTGCCATTGCAGCATCTCCACGTTATCAATAGCTTGCAAGCCTGCCTCCTTAACGCCGAGGTGAATCACTTGCTTTTAACCTAGTGAGACAGGTGTGTGAGCATCATATATCTAGCTGCCTATCATCGACTTCTCAGACTGCCTGCCTCCGCTTTGTTCTTGTCACTTGAACAATACCTAACGACTTCTTGTACCAAGAACACCTCATCCTCAAAGCTCGGTCTCGACCTCGAATTGGTGTTTAAACAATACTGCGCATATAGCTTCTCACAATGTCTTTCCTGCCAACCGCCCCGCCCCCCAAGAGTCCCTTGGCTCGCTATCGTATCTTGTCTCCCACCGCATCAGTTCGTGTGAGCCCGCTATGCCTTGGTTCCATGAACTTCGGCGACGCTTGGAAGGAAAATATGGGTGCTTGCGACAAGGACACCGTCTTCCAGATCCTCGACTTTTTCTACGATCAAGGAGGCAACTTTATCGACACTTCCAGCAATTACCAATTTGAAGAGTCGGAGACCTGGATTGGCGAGTGGATGAAGAAACGTGGTGTTCGCGATCAGATGGGTGAGTGTCCCTAGCTAAGTAGATAACACCCTCCAAGTGATTGTAGACTTCCTTCCCACCGATTTTGGACGCTTGCCATGGACTGTATCCAGTTCACAACCATCAAGCAAAGAATACAAAGAGATTTAAACCCGGAATCATGCACTTCATATATCAACGCCATCATTCACTGATAAACATCTCAGTCATTGCAACCAAGTACACAACAAATTTCCGAGCAAATCATACCGATGAGATCTCAATCAACTTCCAGGGAAACGGAACCAAGAGCATGCACACATCTGTCAGGCGATCTCTGGAAAAGCTCCAGACTGATTACATCGACTTGGTTTGTTTCCCCTATGAACACCCCACTTGTCAATAGTAATACTTACGTTGACTGGTTAGCTGTACGTGCACTGGTGGGACTTCAGCACGTCCATTCCCGAAGTTATGCAGTCCTTGAATCAGCTGGTGCTTTCCGGCAAGGTACTTTACTTGGGTGTCAGTGATACACCAGCTTGGGTAGTCTCCAAGGCCAACGAATATGCTCGAAATCACGGTCTACGCCAGTTTTCCGTGTACCAAGGACGTTGGTCTGCTGCTTCTCGCGATTTTGAGCGAGAGATTATCCCCATGGCCAAGGCAGAAGGAATGGGGCTCGCACCATGGGGCGCACTCGGTGGTGGCAAGTTCAAGACGGAAGAACAGCGGAAGAAGAATGAAGGTCGTTCATACCCCCCGACGGAAATCGAGACGAAAGTCAGCAAGGCCCTCGAAACCGTGGCAAAGCGGAAGAGCACCATTATCACTAGCGTGGCTCAAGCCTACGTCATGCACAAGACGCCTTATGTCTTTCCCATTGTTGGTGGGAGAACGCTGGACCACCTGAAAGCTAATATCGAGGCTCTGAATCTCTCCCTTTCCGAGGACGACATCCAAGAAATCGAATCCGCTGCTCCGTTCGACATCGGATTCCCGATGAACTTTGCTTATCGCGGAGACGCGAAGCATCCGGGCGAAGTCTGGCTGCTCAACATGGGAGGCATTACAGACTACGTCCCTGAGCCGAAGCCTATCGCCGCGAGAAAGACCGGGGAGTAGGTTAGCCATCGGTCCCTCGCAGAGCAGATCTGGAAATGGACGAGACAATACACTTAGTTCGAATTGCTTTCACCTCGGGCGCTACGAGATTTGCTAGGTGCTTTGGGAATTGGGCCCCGTGAAATTTGGGCCTTGGTGGGCTTTGGCGCTCGTGAAACTCGCGACAAATTGGCACTCATTTTCAATGGTGCTAGAAGTTGGGCTCAACGGAAAATCTATTGTAATCAGTTCTGGGCAGGCTGATATCGGCCATTTCACGTTGAGATGAAAAGTGCAAGTGGCCAGGGCGTCAGTACTATCTCAAGCGTCCGTAGCATATCTATATAGCATTTACGAGGCAATATGAATAAATATCACCGCGAACAACCTCAAGACTATTACCGAGTAATGGTGCGGGAAGGGGGAGAAGGATGGAGAAACGTAGGGGGCCAGACTGCCGCTATCTAGATATATATATATATATATATATATACCTTCAAAGCATACGAATTCAACATGTCCTTTTCAGTGTCACTGGCAATACTCGCTGCCAAGGGGCTGGAGAAACTGAGAAATCGCAATATCTCGTCTTAGAGTTATTGACATGTAAACGAGCAACAGCGCAAAACCCCATTTAGCCATTCTATATAGGAGAGCTCTTGGACATAGAAGGTGTAGACACGCAGGGTTACAGTTATAGTTGTATATATGCTTTATCGTCCTGTTGGAGAACTTCATTCTGAATTAGAACAGGGTCAATAAGCTGGTTTTTTTTTTTTTTTTGTGTAGGGACGAAGTGAGCTTGGATATGAGACGGAGGCTTGGTTGATATAGGGGTTGTTAGTTATTATTTCTGAACTGGAAGTGGCTTATATCTAATAGATGCGGATGAATTGTAATACGTAGAGCTTGTCTTGAAGAATCCGGGACGTGCTTTCATGATGGCTCTCGGTTTATCTACAGACCCCTCCCCCGGTCAGAACTGCAACTATACCCATGTCATTTGATATTTGTTGTTGCACGAGATTACTCGTGACCTTCGTATCTAGGTTGGGACTATATGAAGCGAGTCTTTCCATCATAGCCCTGTGATCGTGATGGCCGCTTTTTGCATTGACGCGTTGGGATTGGATTGATGATGGTGTATTAGGTATGTTGTCATAATGGTACTCTGTTGACGAAAGAGAATATTTGAAAGCCTGCCTTGTCTTCGTTTGAATATTTTCTTGTTATTGTGCTTGTGGTGTCGAAGAGGGAGATGGAGAGCAAGGTTTGTAAATAGTTGGGTGGGTTATGCGAGTTATGGATTAAAGACGTTATTTAAGGAGCCTTGAACTGGTCAGATAATTTAGTACGACCTACTTAGTTGGACAGGTAGATATGGGTGTCGAGGGTGTGTGGATTCACTTCACGTATGTGAATGTCGCTTCTAGTAGGTATTCTTAGTTTTACGTATGATGAGTGAGCTTGTGTTTCCTTACTTGTAGTACGATAATGATATACACACAGGCATTTTTCGCGTTCAATCAGTGGGAGACCTTTCGTAGCTCGCTTGTCTTGTTCATTTTTGTCAGACCGATACTCTTGGAGTGCAGTGGTTGTTTAATCCAAGAGGCCAAGACTTCAGTTGCAATTATCTTCATGCTGCCTTGTGTCTCTGAGCGTGTGTCTGTCGAAGAGAGCAGCTCAGGAAGCATGATTATGGGGCTCGAAGGCGTAGGGAATCATGAAAACTCTCCATACCTATTTCTCAGCAAGCGTCCCGAACCAATGTAAGCATCTAACCCCGAACAATCGCCGTGGCGGGTAAACTTATCAAAGACATCTAGACCCCAAATCTGCCTATATCTTACGATGGAAACATCAGGCAAGGATGATTAATACAACTAGTCTACAAGTATGCACCAACTGATGCTGCATCAGTCGTCTATGCAAATACGTTTAAGGAAGGCAGCCGGACAGGCTCGTTTCAATAGGTCCTAAGGATGACGCTGAGATGGGAATAGTAAGTATGTGAGAACTGAGAAAGTGCCCATCCGTCCGGCCGATGCCAGGATAAACAAATTTCCACGAACTATAGGCCTTGTGATGCGCTGCTACGATCTTGCGGCCTTGTCTAAAACCGGCTATCACCGCCTTTAGGGGCTTGTTCTAATTGGTTTGTCTCTGCCTCCTCGCCGCCGCCACCGCCACCACCACCACCAGCTAAGAATATTTGTTTGTCTGCCTGCTTTTAATATTCTAGTCCTTCAATACGAAGGCAGATGGCCTCGGACAAACTTTCTACGAAGCAGAGAAGGCGGGGCTACGATATGCCGGTGGGCAGTGGTCAAATATGCGCCTTGTGTATGCGTCTGTGTGTCTTGATGCGATGGACCACCGATCCAATATTTACTGCTTGGTATTTAAGGTTATATTACGTGAGTTATACACACCTTCTTGCCCGTTGGTCGTTTGAAGGCGGGTGTGCTTCATGCGCCTGCGTCTAGACTATGTGTATCTAGCTTAGTTTATGTTGTAAATGTACGCTGAGTCTGTACGTATCTGCTGTATCACACGAATGTAATAAATTAAGCACTTCTAGTAGGAGTATACATAGTTACGGGCGGTGGTAGTTGTGAAGGAATCCATTGAGCCTTGCACGCGCATACTATAGTCGTAGTGTAATCTATTTGGTTACAGAAATAACCTGAAGCGAGAATACTCATTCATACCTACCACGTGGACGCACATCGGACATCGGGCAGATGAGAACTGCGATAATGGAGTCGCAGAAGCCCAGCTGGCTAAAGCTGAGTACTTTAATTAGGCATATTCAGGATGGATGCGACGGTAGAGAAAAGCAACGGCATTCTTTTCTACCTATATTCCATCGTAATGCACGTAGGCAGATAATGTTAAAGTCAGCAAGCCTATATCTGACATTCTATACTTACGTAAATACTGTTACCTTACAGATCATAAACGCACTGCAGCGCCTATATGTAGATGGAACAGTAGACAGAAAATAGAAACAGAGGGACTAGTCTTTGGGTCGCATATATCGAACTTTATATGAAGATCGTAAGTTCTTACGTCGCTATCAGCATTGTTATATCTTTGGTGGAGGGTGCCGTGCTGTACTAGTGTCGTTGGTGCTGCTCAATATCAAGCGGTTGTTGATAGGAATGTTTTCTTCTAGACTGATACCTTGTACGTACTGAACTCTGTGGGGAACTATTCACTATCGACTCGCGCGAGCTGAGTTTCGGGGGCAAATACGCCCAAGTAGAAAACGCTTTGTTACTAGGCTAGGGTGAGGGCAAATGCTGAAATTATGAATCAAGAAATTAGGCTAGTAGAAGAGGTTGTGTAAACTAATTAGGTAGCTGGGCGATGCCAGATTCGCGAGAACGAAAGTATTCACCTACACGTGAAAAACTGTACCTAGATATACTCCTCTGGAAAGTATACGCGTAAAAGGAAATAGGATCATAGCGATTCGTAAACTTCGGCTTCTATCCTCGGCTGTTTCAGGCACTACAGTACGTACTCGTTGCAAGGGCCTTAACTCTTCAGTTGATCCGACCCTTTCCCCTACTGGCGGATACCAACCCTGAGTAGGACATGGAGCGATACTACTGCAGGTTGTAACATACGAAGTAGGTTAATATTCTGCTTCCTGTTGTGTGAGGGCCGTAAGGGATGGGATGTTGTGCAGCCGAATCAGGGGTAGAACGCTACGTACCCTCAAGCGAAAACGCGGGGTGAACAGGGGGGTAAATATCTATTTTTCTATTTGTGTATTATAGAGGTGGGATTGATTCGCATTCATGGGAGGGGTTTCTGCATTAACCATGATCCTTCGTTCTATTTCGTTGTGTTACATGTGAACCCGGAGTTTAGCTCATTGCATAATGAGAGCCAAACCCCAAGCTGTCAGTGTTCTTATCTCATGTCATACTTTTGGAAGTTGACATGAAGTGGGACTCTGATTCATGGAAGATTTTCCTCAGCCGCCCCTTGCCATCGGTGTTGAAGCATACTTCGCAGCAAAAAACTACTTAGGTGGATAGCGCCGCCCGTCCTACTCGCCTTATCTTTCGTCTGATGCGATGTTCATACAGCGGGCGTATGTCGACTTTGAGACGCATCGCCGAATTTCATGCGGGTTAATCACTGGCGCGAGATGACGAAGACTGGACAGTTGAAGGTTCAGAACCTCTCGCTAAGCGGAGGCAATTCTGTAGGTGGGACAATGTAGTAATCCCGAGTCTTGTCATGAATGCCCTAACCCATTGGCCTGACCCAAGATGTCCTTACACTGAAGTGCCCTTCCTTCATCTTCGTAATTGGCTTGTTAAAAATCTCAAGAATAAGTTGAGTAACATGTATGAGAATAGTGCCTATTGTATTTGTGACCTCTCGGAAGCCTAAGACCGAGAATGTGGGTATGGACCGCATTGATTAGTCCTGGTACACATATTTATGGCCTCTGTGAAAGTTTTGAGGTCGAATTGTGACTTTTATTGAACTGCGTTAGACCCCCACCACATTGTAGAATACTAGATAGGCGATGATTCTCAGGTACAAAACCCATAACAGATGCAGCCGACACTCCTAGCCCAGCACCAAGAATAAGAAATAGATGTTGCCACCTTTGGGTATATATGTTATCGCCATATGAAAATATCGCAGGCCGCGAGCAATAAGAAGATGATGAAGGGAGACATGAAATCATGAAGACAGAACATCGGCTGTCAGTATATTCAGCCAGGGGGCCCGAGGATTACAACCAGAATCAGCTAGCCTGCTAGCCTTGGCATTCGTTGTGCTTTTATTTTCTCATTCCTGGCCAAGCCAATGTCTCTAATGATCCTTCATGTGTTAAGAACTCATAGTCGTCGTTAGAAGGGAATAATGGATGTGTGCAAGCAATATGGCAAAGATTAGTGCAATCAACAATTTGACCGAGTGAACTCCGTGGCGTGCGTGACGTAGCGCTTATGCAATGCTGGTAACTGAACGCCTGGTTCCTGAAGAGATCCGGGGGAAAAGTTGGGGAAGCGTGTTCCTGTGCTTGGTTCTGAGGTTTCAATCCTGCCTGATTCGGCAATAGACCAGAGATTGGCGGAGTTGACGGCTACCCGGGCCGCATAGCCTAACCGTTACCTTCACCCACGAGTTTTCCCCGCCCAACCACACGCCGTCACCTGCTCCTCGAGCTGCGACTCTATGGCACTGGTGCAACCCAAACGATGTGTCCCTGGCGCGAAGGCTGCTGGCCGCTCGGAATGTGCTGCTACTCTTGGCCGTAGTCATATACTAAAACGGAGCGACCGTAGGCATCTAGCAAGTCTGTAGAAGCCGGCTTGGGACGTTCACTGCGTGCTAACGTGTAAATGGTAAGGCTGAGAAGGCGTAGGAATGACGAAGAGACCCGCGCGTGTCGCCCACACGATTGAGCGTAGCATCGCAGATACGTCTATCTGGGTGAACTCTTCGCTTGAAAGACAAGACCCTGGATGTTCCGAGAATATCCATGGGTAATGAGTGCTGCAGTCTCCTGCAGGCGAGCCAAGACAGACAAGCTAGGAAATAAACGATGCCGAGCGCGAGGGTTTGACATCACCCCGTAGAGAGATGCCAGTGTAGGTGAATACCGGCCATGCTTGAAGACGGGGAGCCAGGCATCCGATGGCTGGGTGTCCATTCGATCCACAATCTACGGACGGGCGGAGAGAGTAGATAGTGATAGTTGGCGAGCTTGGCGAGAGGTCGTATCTAGCTCAACTGGCTCATCAGCTGTTGAGAAATGTACGTCGACGTACTTCGGCCTCTTTGATTATTTCAGCGGCTAAGCTGAGGCTGGGTGCCAAGACTGCCATCCTCTCGATGTCCATAATTACGTCGTTGATGATCTGATCTAGAGCCTCCCTATGTGGCACTAGGGTCAAGAGGATGCTGGATAATGATGGTGACATAGTTGCCCCCATGACTAGCAGTGTCTGTGATACGATAGAAAGCGCGCCCTGCCAAAGGTACGGCATGTGTCCGGCATGACTACGGGTAAACAGTTAGATTGGGAGATATTGGAAAGCCCGGGGAATAGGGAGTTCAAGACAAAAGGACAGCCTATAGACCGAGGATTATAGGGCAAAATGACTTACTGTGCAGATATGTGCTCCAACTGCCGTATAGATGCTTCAAGGCATTTGTGACAGCTTTCTCGTACTGAAGGGTCCAGGACAGCTTGTTCGTTGTCTAAGACTGCTAAAATATATGGACGATAGATAATAGTGCGGCAAGCGAGGAATCGCAGCCGTAACACAGTTTGAACGGGATCGGGCAAAGTAGTCCGGGTGAATGGAAATTGTAAGGGAAGCGGTAGACTCTCGTACCATTGTGTCAGTTGGAAGTCGAGCTCGGCAACGACGGGCTCGAGACTGGTTGTAGAAGCCATGGAATCTTTCGAATAAATGAGTTGGCTGACGCGGTTGAGAAGCCTCCTGAGAGCAATCTCGGCGAGAAAGTACCATAAGTCATCCCGACCAACAGCCTCCGACTCTTCTCCCTGAAAGCCTCCTGGTAGGCCAACATTTTCTTCAAACTGGACAACGCCCGAGTGTGGGAGATCTAATTCAGCTAGTAGGTCACTCTCAAAGAGCAGCGCGTTCCAGTAGATTCTCTCTAGCAATTCCCTCTGATCATCTGGGACTCGTGTAGGAGCCATTAGCAACAGCTGCAGTTTGCTGCTTGTCGTGCATAGCAAATTCCAGGCTTCAAGTGGCCGCACTAAGTAGAACAGATACGCCGCAGCGAGGAGGTGACATTGAGCGGCCAAAACGCTGTTGGCAGTCATCATGCCAGGTAGAAGTGACCATGCAGCTGTGAAATACTGTAGACCAGGCGGATCTTCTTGCGGTACGACCCTAGAGATACTGCCGCGCAAGCTAGCCTGCCCGAGAGCGAGAACTAGTAACACGATGCAGCTTTCCGGACCCTCCCGAAAACCAGTAGACAGGGCAGTGCGATAATGACTCCTCCATGTGTATGGGTTGACGCAGGCGTACCAGACATTCACCCTCTCAAAGTATGCCTCAATGTAAGCATTTGTGTTCGATAAGTCGACGCAAGGAGTCTTCGCTAGGGAATGGAGAGGCTCTCTCGCTAACTCCAGCTGCAGAATAATCTGGGGGTCATAGGGCCGCTGGACCAGGTCTCGTATCAAGGGCCATTGTAACAGATGCAGGGCTGCGCTCGTGTGGACTTTGGGCATCGTGGATATGTTCGTTCCGGGCGTATGGCTCGTCCAAGTCCCCAATCCACCGCTTGGGATGATAGAGACAAAGTTTCCCGCTGAGCTAGGCAGGATGACATTGTCGCCACTTAGAGCTGTACCGTTACTCATGGGTGGCGAGTCATGAGAAATCTGCATCGCGTTCGGGTGGTTGTTCACTAAGCTGATTTGAAGAAGGCTCTCTATACGGTTCAACCTTTCCAAAATGAGCTTATCCCCGGCGTCAAGCTTGATGCCTGGCTCGCGATAGATACATTCTGCACCGAGCTCAGTACAGAGCTTGCATTTCGGTTTCGTGCCATCGCACCGCGACTTGCGAGAGCGACATACTTCACACTATAGAGAAGTCAGTCTTATGTGAAAAGACGAACGGATCGGTCGCTGTTAGGAATCTCACCGCGATCGTTGCCCTTCTACGAGGATAGTCAACAGTGGCGTCTGTGTTGCGTCGTTTTAATGGATTTATTGATCCTTCGTCACTTGGTGACTTCTGTAATCCATTCGTCCCCACAGACCCGGAGCCTGATTGCTCAGTCGCCTGTGATAGATTTCGTGCTTTCTGCGCTGAGCCTAGAATGCCTTCCCGACTGAAGCTTGGATTACGTTGAGGCTTGATGCCCGTTGGTGACTTGACCGTCGACGAGCCGTTGACAGCATTCAATTGGGGCGATGATACGTCGATTGAGAAAGTATCCCTCGAAGGGAGGGGAAATGGCCTCCCCGAAGAGCTTGCCGCCCCAGCGGACAAAGGCGAATCGCCTGTGGAAGACGGTGGCATCCTCTATGTGCTTAACGCCAGAACCCTAGGCGACGACGCGGCGAGCCTCCCAACCCTGCTCTGCTCTGCGTACTGGATGAGCACCAATTTGTTCAACTGCTTTTCCCTATGACGAGCCGAGATCCCAGTCGTGTAACCAAAGGCGGATAGCCAGCACTTTCAACAAACGGACTCGCATTTAACCCTGGAGCCGAACATTCGTGGCGAGGTCGAAGAGTGCGACGAAGGGGGAAAGTGAGGAAGGGTCCCAGCCCGCCTGCAAGGCACGGTACAGAGCTTATTATGTTATAGAATGGGATTTTGGGGGGACTGGGGTGTCTACACTACTTAACAAAATGGTAGGTGGTAATGCTACTGTGAATACTAGCAACAATCCAAGTCCCTCAAAGAAGCAGGCATCCCCAGCCGTCTAGTCGCTGTCCAGGACACCTCGGCGCCTTAGTGGTGTGAGTAAATGTGTCTGGTCCGACTGTCCTACACCACATAGACGGCTCTCTGAGGGAGCTTTCTGATGAGATGTCCCCTCCCAGAGAGCACCCCTACCCTACACTAAACCAGATACTGCAAGTTAGAACCGACGACACCATGACCGAAACCGCCGTAGCTGCAGACGCGGGACAGACGCCCAGCAACAGAGATCATCGCTGAACCCTGGCACTACCCCCCAGTTCCGTCGGTTAGGTAGGCATCTCCACAATGCCCATAAATCATTCCCCCAGACAATTGCTTCCTATCGCGGCTTAGACTAACGGCCGATAGCGCACATGTAGGAAGCTGTCGGTCTGTCGTTGGGAAATAGATCCTTTCTCATCTCCCGGGACTGTAGCCGGAGGGATTAGCAACGGCACAATCTCTACTGGCAGATGTGAAAGTGGCCCTTTTGCCTCGACCTTTGGTGGCAAGTCACGGTATATCCCGATTCACGTGTTACAAGTGTACGATAATTCGAGTCACCGTAGCGTAGGTTATGTATCCATATACTTACGTCGACACTACTTGACACATACATAATACGGTAAACCTAGCTGCTGACCAAAATTGGTGAGATTCCTTATGGACTCGCTGGGTTAAGTAACTAATGCAGGACATTCTGCTGTGGGACCTACACCTTCATTTCGGAATCGGGTGGTTCACTTTAGGTCCTTTCGATTGGCGACGGTTTGTAGACGTGATGCAGACACCAATGCAATGCGATTGTGTCAGGTGCCTCGGTGTTCACGTCTTCTTCACCGTAGTTGTTAGAAGATACCATTAGAAGCACCATTATGAGAGGAGAAGCCGTGATTCATGCCTTAAATTCAACACATTTGTTTGAGAATCTCTTTTCATATAGATAGTCTTCATAGTGATCTTTCCAGCCGGCAACACGAATTGGTGTTTCGCCTTGATGTCATGTGAGTTACGTTCGTATCCATTTAATTGCCCCTTGGGACTTTGAGGTAAGACGCAGAGCTATCTGAAGAACTGCGGGTGGAGCGCTTTAGCACAAGCTTCTGATCTTTGGTAGGCGAGACTTGAGAGTAGGCGCTTAAACCGTTAAAAAGATACATACACTTGGCCCATATAAGTATATGTAGTATGTAACCTTCCGCTCCGTGGCTACATGCTACTCTCGGAAGCCGTATCAAGATAATAGGATATGGTTAAGAGTCACATATCAGGTATCTAGGCTTGGCAGGAAGGTGAGATTATATACTTATGAGTGTTGCCTGAAGTACAAACAGTTGCATCAAAGATGGAATAGGTAAGACACACGCTCATACAGTAGTTACCGTTACCAAGGGTGCCGAGAGAGTCCCACCCGCTCTTGAGGCATGTCCCTTTCTTGTGCAAAGTAATTGCACTACCTAGATTCAAACCTAGGCTCGGATTCTACCAGTTCGCATGGACCCCGGCCACCACATGCTCAGTATCTCTCGGCAAGATCATATGGCCATACTATCGAATGTACTTGGTATACACGACAGAAAACAGTCGACGACAGTTTGAGACCCTTCTCATTTTTCGAGCAGCTTTAACACCCAGAACTTAAACATCAACGTGCCGCAAAGTACTTAATTAGTGTAACTAGCATGGGCGAGGCGGGGACGTCACAACGTGGCTTGATCTCCGCTAAGTAGATAGCGTGGTACAAGGCGAGTATTCGCCCATCTCCACAGCTCTGGTTTCGGATTCTACATGAAATTAGTGTTAGTTCGCTGGGGCGTAAACTTGAGACGAAGTTGATTCCCGCTCGCTGGTGGCGCGATCGGCGCCTACACGTGTACAGTACTTGGCCATCCTCACGGATTGTGCCGCGTCTAGGGTAGGCCCAAGTACAGCCCCCAAGATAATCGCACACATCGCGTCACGAGGATTGCTTATCTTCGACCGTGTTGCGACTGCAATATGGGGTCTGATGTTGTGGCTATCACGAGCCGCCTTGCCTTCCTTTCTCGATATATAATCTGGATATTTCGTTACACTGGCATCCATGGCGAAAGCTAGGATGTACACTCAGTATATGGAAGCAATTTAGCTAGCGATACTCGCTTACAGGATGCTGTGAATCCTTTGGAACACTCCATGTAGAACGAATACCTACTGCCACTGTAGCTTATTCTTAGCCAGATACCAAGGTAGGCTAGAGATGGGGAGCTATTTAGTGTCTACGTCACAACTTTTTCGCACCTTGACAAATATCATTGTAACCCAACCGCAATATACCGTCTCGCAGCATCATGTCGTTCTCAGCTAGGTATCTACATGTCCCGTGCCAGTTGGGTGGTGTATGACTAGTGAATATTAAGCCCTGTACTTCGGACGTTCAATTAAAAAGGTCATGGAATGAAGCCAACAAGCGGCCTCATCCAAGCAAGCAGGTTCGGATCCTGGAGTCCCCGCACACCGTCGCTACATTTACGAAACGAATTCGCGGTCAAGTGGCCAATAGTTACAGCTTCTACTCATAAAAGCCCAATACGGAACAGGTGGGTGGTCTCGCGGACCGAATACTAATAACGAATCCCAACTTGGCATACATTTCCACGCCCATAGTAGTAAGTAAACCTACCCCAACCTCCAATCAAATCCTAGAGTTATTACTGTAGGTACCCTGGGTCTAACAAGGACAGCCAACAACTCAAGAGCTAGCAAGAGCTCTACCTACTGCTTATCAGTCTGGTTGACTCGAAAACTCTACCACCTCCCTATGAGGCTTGACAGCCGGAGAGAACCGAGAAGGATAGTAAGGATAGCCCTGTCTTCTGTTGACCGATAGATGGTATATATAAGAGCATACGTGAGACCGCACCGTCTCATCTAGATTGCTACTTCTCTCTTATCAGACCATTCGCAATAGTATACCTGATAAACAGTAGCCCTTGTTCAGCGAGCACCGCTAGGTGTTCTTTGACATATTGCCTCTCTCAATAAGGTAGCCACTGTCGACTTCGTAAGACCAAGTTCGGTGATAAACATACCAACAATAAGGCAAGGGCAGAGCAGGTAACCGAACGCCAATGATGACATGACGGAGCTTAAAATATTTGATATAGCATCCACTACCGAGGTCTTCTGACAGTTTTCACTTACGAAACGACCGAACTTACAGTCACCAGCCGTGCCGCTACCGTTGAAATGATTTTTAACCTAATTCTAAATCCTCATCCCAACACCTCCCCACCAGGTGCATCGGTGTCCTATCGCTAAATACCGTCTCATGCGGAATATGAAGTTGCCTTGGACGAGGTGCCTTCTTATATACATATCGTTCTAATTATGTGAGTCAACCAAAAGTCACCTGCAGGGCGCCGTGGCGACTGCATATACAAGTCACGAGATCATGCTTCTGACAACAGCTGTCACTATGCATACATCTCACCTTCTTGAGCCTTTTCTGGCGCTTCATTGGACGACTTGCGGTAGGAAGAAGCAAGGAGCCGAGTACGGTAAGGCAAAAGCTGATTGGGGTATTCCGCAACGGGAACTCGTTCCATAAGAAGAACTGAGACGGGAAAGATGTGACTTGCCGTGCATTCCTGCGAGATACACAGGCAGCTCTTGCAGAGACCGTGCGTGCGTCGGCACGAGCCTAGCGACTGCAGCCCTTAACCTCGATTCGTGCTGAATTTCTCCCTTCGGACCAGGTTTGCGAGCTTGATGAGATCAGACCTTCGTTGTGAGCAGGTCCGCCCGGCTTCCCACGGCATTCATCAATTCACTTAATCCATTAGGGCAAGCCGCGCAATTTGTGTAGGTGTTAGATATTCTAGACACTATGGTCACGCACGACTTCATCGGTTACCGGGTGCCAAGATATATAACTGAGCCGAGTTAAGCCATGGATATCGGGATATCGAGGGGACCCCGTGCCATTCAGGACGTCAATTATCTCATCCCTTCATATATGGACATAGTATGTACATCATGTTCATCTCATCTTCTTTAGCGTGACACATGCCCGAGTCGCAACTGGGACCTCCCTAGTCACGAAATTAAATATAGCATCTTCCCGAACTGTTGACGTTAGAGTTACGTTTGAGTAGCATTGGTTCATAGCATAGATACAAGTTTTGATTACGATCCTGGAACAATCAATCTAGACCGCTGACTTGTCCTGGTTAGGGCCCTGATTTTCCAACACACCACATAACCACATCCCCGAACTTATAGAGGCGATCGTAGGGTGGCAAATTAATATGAGTTAGATGCAGTCATCAGCGGTCTTGCCTATGTCTAGTCTGGCATTGGCCACTCACACGCCTTCACCCCCACATCATCGTCTTCATACTCAATATATAAACATCCCATATGACTTGAGAAAAGGGCAACCCCGCAGACGAGTCTGGTCTAACCCAGGTACTTAAGGTGTGAATTCAAGGATTTGAGGCTCACGGCGCCACCGGGACGGGAGGCCAAGTGAGGAGACGATATCTGCAGGAAGACATGTGAACAGCAGAAAATGGTATAGGAGATATATATGATTGGTCCAGATCTCTCGAACCCAGCACATTGCCTAAGAAGCGAACGAGCAGCCTTCGCTTGTATGCCCTTATGTAGAAAAAGCGAACCAAGATTCTCACTCCTCCTGCCATTGCCTTGCATCATCATCATCGTCGTCATCATCTTCCCCTCACTGGCTATCTGTCACCAGCCTCGACACGCCTGTTACTTTACGCTATTCATTACCAATTTTTAATCTAGGACGGAAGATCGACCGATTGTTACACCCTCGGACGACCTTTCCCCCACTTTGCGTGGTAGTCCTCGTAGAAGATCACGGTGTTCACCTCGCCTTCTACATCTGCCGTCGCCACGAAGTCCTTGAGCAAGCCTGTGTGGACGTCCCGCTCGATTATCGCTACGCGCCCGTCTCCTTGCAGACCCACTGCAATGCGGTTACCGTCGCCGTTGACTGGTGAGCGTCAGTAAGTCCCATCCGTCCGAACTCAAGGGGTAGAATCAGAAAAGAAAGATAATGACATGTGATTTGGCGAGTGTGACAAGAGGCTTTGTCAGCGCGGCATTGGCGCGGAATCTTGGAATAGTACGGCCCCCATTTCAACGTGTGGGAAGAGGGAGAGACAGAGCAAATAAGAAAAGAACCAAAGAAAAAAAGATGCAAAAAAAAAAAAAAAAAAAAAAGCAAGGGGGACTGTAGATATTTGTTTATTTTAACTTACTCGAGAAGTGACGTGGGCCAACACCTCCGGCCGGGAATTCTTGGATTTTATCCAGCAAACCGGTCTTGTTATCTATGGCGTAGACGATGAGCGGGTCCGATGCGATCTCGGTGCTGTTTCTTGGGTCGAAGTTCGGGATGCTCAGCGAGCGCTCCCACCGCGAGGAGACGATGAAGAATTTTCCGTCGGGCTTCGAACGGTCGAAATATTAGCTTTAATCTCGCTCCAACATGCGTTTTGCCTTGGGAGCTTCTGCCCTCCCTTTGCTTATCTTTATCCTTGAGAAGTGAAAGAACATTCACTTACCGTCACAAGCGTCTCTGCGGCACCTGTCGTATTTGCGATCTCACGATCATCGCCGTGGAGTGGGATCGTGAAGAGCTCGGAGAAACCGAGCGTCCTGTTCTTGTTATACACGACCTCGTATCCAATGATGGTATTGGAAAGTTCCGTTGCCAAGTAGAAGTATGTCTTGTTATACGCCGTCTTGAAAGCACCGTGTCTCGGGCCCGCTCCCGGGGGAACCTCTAGGGGTGTGATCGCCGTCAGCTTCAAACTGCTTGCATCCGCCTGGTACACCCGCACCAAATCGGCGCCCAAGTCTGGAACTAGGACGAATCTCGCCGTGGGATCTAGAATGGCTTGATGTGGGTGAGGTACGTCCTGACGGTCAGGAACGGCCCCCGGCTGCTCGAGCGTGTAGGTCTCGTTCTGGACCAGCTCGACACCACCTTCTGGGGTCATGCTCACGACATTCACGCCGGAACCGGCACTAGAAATTCAGATCTCATGGTAAGCGTTCACGTAACCCTAAACGCATACCCAAACGTCCGAGCCAAGGGAAGAACAGTAGCCGACCCTGTATATAAAACTGCCTTTATACGTGGATCATGCGTTCGTCCCAACTAAATGATGGCTTGGGTGTACTTACTAAGAGGCAATGGCGAGCCCGTGCCCTCCTACACCGAATTCAGCTATGCTGACAGGGCCGGCGATCACATCTGCTGCCGCCAGCGGTACCAGGGTCCCGTTGGCGTACGTGTAGAAGGACGTGACGGTGCCGGTGGGTTGACCCCAGGCCTCGTCCAAGCAGTAGAGGAATGACTTGGAGTAGTCCAGAGCCAACCATGAAGGATTAGCTCCGCATGCTGTGGTGCTAGCGACGGTGTCAAGCTTGGTAGTGGCACCCTCGACCAGGTCCAATGTCGTGACAGTGCCGGCATAAGAAGTCACGTACAGTAGGGTGGCAGACGTCGATCCAGCCAACAGCCCTGCCGCTGTTGCGGGGAACAAGACATTCTTCCACATTCTGACAGCGAAAGAGAGATCCGACACGCTAGAAACGACGAAAGGCCACTGGGCAGGCTGGAAGATGAAAAGGAGGAGGAGGAGAAAGAGGGCAAGACACGCATTCCCGATGGCTACTATTCTTAAGATAGCACCGCGGCGCCCCATTTTCGAATCCAGGGTCCGTCTTCATCTGGGAAAAGAGCCCTCTAGTTCCGTCATGGCACAGGATCGCCGTGCGCTCTGCTCCGAGCTTAGGTATTGCCAACCCCGCGGATGCCGTCCACAGGGGCAGCAAGATTCGCGGGTGGGCTGTCTTGGCCTCTTCTAACGCTGAACGTGAATTTATCCGGAATTCCTACCCCTCTGCCATCTAGCGTCCCCCGCTGTTCCCGCTACAACTAGTTCTGCTGCGGAGAAATGCGTCTTCTTCTTAAGAATGATGGGGAATAGCTCTTACCTACCATGTTAAGACATTGTGGAAAGACGGCGGGCTGAGGTAAGCGAGGTGCTAGCTTATAACCTACCTAGTCAAACAGAATGTTAGGTTTCTGCTATGCCAGCCCACTTCAGTTGTTACCTTTGTCGCTTTGTTTTTCCTATTTCTTCTTGATCCTTTTCCTTTTGTAATTCCTTACATCTCGTCGCACCGTAACTGGGGACTCAGGGTTACAGTGCGGAGTAGAGTTGTGGAATAGACACGGCACGGATATTAAGGAACTAGAATTTGTGCGAAGCTGTATGGCTGGCCCTTGCCCATGGGCCATGGGCAAGGGATGCTATAATTCGCTGGCTAAGCAATCAAGGTGAAGGCGCATAGTTCCTTGGCAAATCCCGGACGTCAAAGTCGACGGAGGAAGGGTATACTACACAAGCGTTACCGCCGATCAGGCACGAGATCGGAGAGCTCAATGAGGCCAATCCAACCTCTCGAATAAGAAAAGTTCGGCCTCGACGATGCTTTTTCTGGTCCGCGATACCACAATGCGGCGTGTCCGAGTGTTTCGCTGGCCACGTGAAAGTGCTCGGTTACCATTTGGAGAATGTGCATGTCTAACACTACATAGGCTTGCTTGCTTGCTCGCTCGTCTGCTGCAGTCACCAAGTGCCAGTTCTTTTCATACGACATGAGTCCCAGGGCGTTTCCTCACTGAAGCCATCTATAGTATTGCCAAGTCGTTCACACAAGGCTCGCATTACACTAACCTAGACTGGAGTAAATGCGCATGCATGACGGTTGGGCAGGAAGTGGGTTGAGTGACGGAGCTATGCCTTGTGTAGATTGACATGTGAGACATCTTCACATATTCTGTCTCAATGCGGCGGAAAGTGAGGGTCTTGTCACTTCATCCATGCCTGGCTTGGCCAGAAGGATCAAGTTCGCATACCTACTAAGTATATACTTATCTTAGGAGCTACCGCCAAAGCGGGGAATAGAACGATGCGTTAAAGCCCCCTGAATCGAATCTGAGATGGGAGACTCTTTCTTCTATGCGGCGGGGAGCAATGAAATGAGCGACGACCGCGGTGTTGCGGCAGGCTAAGTATGTCTTGCTCACGTCCCAGCAGAAGCGAACGCGGAGAACCCATGTTAGAAGATGCTTTAGTTTCAACAATTTGCCCATTTGGGGTTAAGCAAGCTACTGTAAGTTACCTCAAATCCTCAAAATAGCACAGCTTGATCCGGGTGACGGGCAGTCAGTACGGCTGGAAGTGTTGGTTGCCATGATGACCTCACTGTGACCATGGAGATACGGTAGTTCTGCATGAGACAGCCCGCTCAGCATCCGTGCCTTGATTGCACAAGAGGCTGCAGACATGATCTCCAACAGATCAACCAATTCAGCAACCCATTCAGTTCCTTGCTCCAACGTGATTTTCCTTCCCGCCGGTGTATTGACCCCAACATGATCGTACATTCACAAGAGATGAAAAGTTTTTTTTTTTTTTTTTTTTTTTTTTTGGTCCTGAAGAAAAAAAATGACAGCTCAACTGGTTCACACCTCACTCATGCTGTGCACGCTACCAACACCGAATCCGGTGAGCTTCTGGCGACAGGCCCCCAAGGTGACAGAAACTTAGCCAAGCTTTATTATGGCCGTGCGCAGCTCACATGGCTGGTTCCAGCGTGCAGTCCCTACCAACGCCTATAGAAAGAAGCAGAAGAAATAGGTGAATGAAAAGACAGTAACAACATCGAACCACGGATCACGAACGTAACGACAGGGAGACAGATATCTATGCTGTGTATAGGTTAGTTGGTGTAACCATCCATACTTCGTTCTGCACGGATCTTTTATCACAAAAGGCTTGAAATAATGCATAGCATAAGACGATATACCCTCCGCGTCTTCACCTTATTTATCACATCATTGTAGGCCTATACGTCTGTCTCCATGTATGTTTGTTGGTATGTATATGCACCATGTGCTCAGGAACAGACCATGCGTCGAAAGAAGAAGAAAATAGCGTCCCGGGGGTAACGCAACGTAGCGTAACACAAGTAAGACGCTCGAGCGTTCGAGTCCACAATGGTTTCTTTCGTGCTCTTTTACACTCAATTCGGTTCTGTCACGTTAGGTTAGGTTAAGTTAGAGAGCTTGACCGCCGGATTGAGACTATACGTTCGCCGTTTAGGCAAATTTGTGAATGGTTTTGAGATGACTGGTTGGATGGTGAAATGGGTAAATGGCATAGGTACGACGGAAGAAGGGAGAGGGCGGTAGGTAGACGGTTGTTGTGAAGATGGAATGAGCGAGTAGTTGGGAAGCTGAATGTATGAATGATGGAATGAATCGGGTGGGCGATGTCGTAGTTGCTATTGTGATGCTGAATTCCACGATTTGGTAGGCTCAAATCATGCACGCACCAAGCCCAATGTCATAGACGAAAACCTCAACGTGCGCGGCATGAAACACCTGAATCTAGCGGACCTGAGGACTCCGCCCTAAGAAATTCGTTGCTAATATAGACTATTCTGCTTTTCTCTCTGGCAAGAAAGCCCAAGATATGTTCATACGGGCGCTAGAGCACGAACAGCCACTCCATCAGGGCATAAACCATATATCTACATTGGGATCAGCCGCGGTCGTGGAGTCTTTAAGAATAAGTGCCGACGAAGAATTCGGATTGTACGGACGTTGGGAACAGATAGCTGGAACTTGCGTGTTACGGAAAAGAGTTGGCTGATTGTATAACCAGGTGACCGTAATGAGACGAATACGACACTCGCTGATGAGGCGAAGACATTCATATCATATTCTCACTCCTCATAAACTATATACACCAATGGACCTACAAGCATTCAATTCGCAATTTGACGATAATTGTACTTATAAAATGGGCGCACAAGAGTTCGTTCGCAACCATCGGGGCTACAAGAAGTGGCACGAAGTAGAAGTAAAGCTTCATATGACGTGTTCGAATAACGGTGTTCATCTTCGTTGATCCTTGGCCAAGTAACTTCAGTCATGGAATCCAGGCCGTGCACGCAAAAAACATCTCTTCGTAAAGTATACATATATACAGTATATCTGAAGCCCCTTTGACCCTGTGATGCAGCCATTGCTCGCAAGTTTTTTTCTAGCACGCCCATACACCGAGCAAGCCATCTCGGCGCCCTTCGACCATGTATCCCTCTTTAATGCGCACATGTTCGACGATGGCGGGCGTGCGTCCGTCTTCGGCCTCAGTGATACCCGCGCCGCAGTCCCACTGCCTCGAGTCCATCTTATCGTACACTTTGACGACGTCCTCGCAGGCAGCACTGACGATGCGCCGGCTATCGAACATCATGCTGGTGATTGGGTTATCATACGCATATGCATCGAAGATAGATCCTGTACGCAGATCCCATATCTATTTCGCCGGTGATTAGTTATTCGTCTTAGATGAATGTCGAGCCTAGAAATCCCATATTCGTAATATAGAGGGAGACTTACCCGTATGCTTCGATCTAAACTTCCTGTAACGATATGTACGTCGTCAAACTGCAGACAAGTGACTGGTCCGGTATGCCCAACAAGACTGCGGTGGACTTGGCCACTGCGCAGATCCCATAGGCGAACCATTCCATCCGCCGTGCCACACGCAAGAGCGGACTCAAAAACTTGCAGTGCGCCTACAAAATCGGCGGCACCCGAGGCCTGGCGGGAAGTCTGTCTCCATGTGCCTTCGCCGGAGCCAAGAGATGCGGAAGCCTGCGCGGCCGCCCACATCACATCTAACGTTTGTATACAGCGACCTTTTTCAAGATCCCATTGACGTAGTGTCTTGTCCGAGGAGCCCGAAACTAGTACGTCGCCTCGGAGGTGTAGAGCAGTAATTTCATCAACGTGCGATTGCAGTATAAACAGCGGGCAATCCGCCATGCTTCCGGCTGGAGGATCAACCGGCTGATCGTCTGGGTTTTCAAAGGCTATTCCGTCATCTTCTTCGTCATCCCGTCCAAAGCGGCTGCCATGGGGATCATAGTGAGCCTTACTCAAATCCCATAACCTTACAGTGGCATCCGCAGAACCTGTGACAAGGATGTTGTCGTCAACTTGCAGCGCCCGCACAGACGCCGTATGACCCTCCAGTGAACCTATACAACGCCCAGCATTGAGATCCCATACTTTGACCGTGTCATCCAGGGACGCCGAGACCATAGTACCAAAAGGCACATCGAAATCTAAAGCTGTGATTTGGTCAGCGTGAGCTTTGATCTCCCGAATATTGAAGCCAGGATCGAAATGTTCGTGTAAGACAGGCATAGATCTCCGTCGCATGGACTTCTGTCGTCTGTGGCCAGAGGGCGTATTTGATACAGGCGGTATCTTCTCATATACGGATTTTGACATGAATTCATCAACATCTTCATCCGTTATTAGATCATCCTCATCTGATCTTGTAGTTTCCGCATTGGCGGCGGCTATCGATTCAGCCTCATCAACGAGTACCTGTGCTACATCTATCCGACTTTCCATATCGACAACTGTAGTCATGTTAGCAACAAGAAACGCGCAACTAGGGAGCGTCTGCTCTTACTATCATGTTCTAATAGAGATTCTTCATGTTCCAAATCTGCCAACCTATCTAGAATGATCCGGCGCATACCCGAAAGATTTGCGATCTTGTTGTCGATCTCACGTATTTCGCTACTGGCCATGTTTTTCCTGATCGCAAGCATTTCCAGTTCGTGAATCAAGGTAGACCTTCCCTTCTTTAACTTGTGCAAATGTTGTGGGCTATCGGCGGGCATCGGCGACTCCTCTAGCATCTTCCTCCCTCTCGAGGCTCTTCTCCTGTGTTTCTTGTTGCTGTCTGTCGTTATATCGGGGAAGCTCGCCTGAAAGCCTTGGAAAAGAGAGTATGCATTTTCATCTTCGGGAATATTCTGCAGCATTTCGTCGGATAAGTATGAAAGGGCGCGAGATTGTATTTCGGCTGTCGAGAACTTGGAGCGAACAAGATCGGTAGGAGACGTCCTGGCCATCGAGAACATTCGTCGCTGCATGGCAGGCCGCGAGAGCTGCTTGTGAACGTGGCCCATGGCGTTGTGGTAGTGACTCCCGCTGGGATCGACGGCATGGCCAGCTAGATGACTCGCGGTGGTGGTAACCTTTCGAGTAAAAGCTTCGAGACCTCGTGTCTATATCTTTTGTTAGCCGTGCTTGGCGCATATGGAGAGAGGCTGAGGACAGGCGAAAAACAGAGAAAAAAGAAGAATTGGGCAACTACCGAAAGGATAGAGTCTTCGCCTATGGGGGCTTCATCTGGGAAGGCATCATGTAGGTCTGAATCATCCATGCGCGTGGTTTCTTTGTGGTGTCTATATCGGAGAAGTGAAGTTTTGTCTATACCGCTGGATGCAGCTTAGCTTGCCCACCGTGGATTTTTGGTTGTATCACAACACATTAATGTACTTGGTGAGCGAACGAAAAGGAGCTCCCGTGGGGATACAGTGATAACCGCCAGCCTCAATGAGGCATTCTATACATGTAACAACAGGATTGAATGTATCATTACACAATTGGAATGGGCCGCATATGGCAGTTGACTGACTCGTGGTGAATGTGATAAATGTGACCAGGATGGCCAACCAAGAAAGATGTTGCACGAGCCACGCGATCTCTGTTTAGAGAATGCGCACCGTAGCTAGCAGCATAGTTCACACTGTATGATGCACTTGTGCATATCGAGTATCAGCTCGCTTGGCGCGCCGATAAGATAACAAAATCTCCGACTCCCCTCCCGATGTCAAGGCTGCCCCACCAGTGACTGGTTGTTTGCTTGTTGGTGACGCTGCTGGTTTGGTGAGATCGAGAAAAACCAACATACACCAAATCGGTGTCGGCCTGACAAGAATAGCTTGGCACAAAAGAAAAATATAGGGAGAACGAGAGCATCATGGATACCATAATTGACCTGAAAGATGCCTCCAAGGCGCTGGATCTCTCAAACATCCGCTTTCAATTGATGTAAGTAGCTAGTTCCCAGTGTAACTCACACGAGACTTGGTGACCTTGGCTCTCCTCCTCATACACTATATATCCTTACCCTTACTTACCCCACCTATAGCCGTCTAGAGGATACAATAACCTTCCACCTGATTGAAAGGGTCCAATTCCCCTTGAACAAGAGTATCTATGTGCCTGGCGCCGTAGACTTTGGCTCTGATCAAAGCCTGAGCTTCATGGACTGGTACCTGCGCGAGCAAGAGAAGCTGCAGTCCTTGATTCGCCGCTACGAGGCTCCCGACGAGTATCCTTTCTTCCCCGACGCCCTCCAGAAACCCATTCTCAGACCTCTCGACTACCCCCAGATTCTACATCCTAACAACGTCAACGTTAACGAGGAGATCAAGAAGTTCTACGTCGAGAAGTTTCTTCCCGCCGTGTGCCCGGATTTTGGCCGGGGTGACAGCGGCGAGTCGGCCGAGAATTACGGATCTTCAGCTACCTGCGACATTGCTTGTCTCCAGGCTATTTCACGCAGGATACATTTCGGCAAATTCGTGGCCGAGTCCAAGTTCCAGTCTGACCCAGAACTGTACAAGAGGCTGATCAGGGCTGGTGACCGAGATGGTATTGGAGAGTCCATAACGAATGCCGCCGTAGAGAAGCAGGTGCTCGCCCGGCTTCGCCTTAAGGCACAAACATACGGCACTGACCCATCTTCCACCAATAGAGAGAGCGCCGGGAAGATCAATGCCGATGCAGTAGAATCAATGTACAGGGATTTTGTGATTCCCATAACGAAAGAGGTCGAGGTCGAGTACCTCATGCAACGATTAGATTAGGTGTTCTGCATATAGACAAAATGGGCGTTCATAGGTATGTCATGCGCATGGGATAATGATAAAGGGTGGCATTGACGGAGTGGAAGACAAAATAAACCTTTATCTTTTTTCCCCTTATTTGGTGATCCCTTCACGATGGAGGGTTTAGATATTCTCCTACCGCCTTGACGGCGCCTGCGAATTTGCTAGCTTCAATCAAGATCATAGAGCCCATGGGCATGACACCCATCTCTTGAAATGCCCGTTTACTATCTGCCACGGTGTCATCCATCTTAGTGAATGGGTAGCTGCCATATGCTATGGCATGTTTCTGCAGGACCTCATCTTCCTCATGGAAATAGAATAGCGTAGCGTCCTGCCTGCCTTTCTTCTTTTTCCTCTCTTCGGCTAGGGTTGATTCGATCTCATGGTATGTCTTGGAAACGATCAAATAGTGCGTAAACTCGTACGGCTCCTTATCGTCGACGGCATCCTGGATTTCCTCCATGAGCATACTGTACAACGGTGGTGCTACATCGGAAGGCATGTTGATCACTCGTTCGGACAATACAAGTCCGACATGTTTGCCCGAAGCCAAGAGTTCCGGTATGGGCGCCAGTGACTCAGTGGCCTTGGCCTTTTCACTTAGATACTCGATGAGTTGGGCTATGGGCTGCTTCTGGCGGTGCTCCTGGATATTCAGAGCAGTGACAAAGGCGAAGGGATCGGACTCCTCACCATCGGTCTTGACAGTAGAGCCGATGGTTGATTGAGATAGGATAAGATCCACGAGCGCTGACACATCAAAGAGGGTCGCATCGACATCGAAGAGCTGCCGTATTAAATTCTTCATGCCGTGGAAATCGACCTTCTCATTGAAATTGAACCACTCAAAGTCGACATTAACCATGTCGAAGTCCTGCGGTCGGGCTTGTTAGTCCTTCACTTATACTTACAGACGTAGTAATAGCAGTATGCTCACCTCGTCATCCGAGCTATCGCTATCCTCCACCATCTTGTCCGGTGCTTCGGTAGCACCGTCGGCCTCTCTTGCCCGCTTTTTCGCCATACCTATTTATATGATGGCGATTCGTATAATATCCGACGAAATCGGAAGAACTTAAGGCGAAAGTATTCACTTAGAGTAGCTACCCTAGAGTCTCATGTAACCCGATAGTATCCTGGCGTGATGGTTGCGCGGCGGGGGAGCCGGGGAGGTTTGGGAAGCGGTCTACCAAAAAATTCTGCCGCATGCCCCTCGCTAAGCCCTTTTTGGACCGATAAAAGCCCGATAAGAATCTGCTCGTCCCTTACAATAGTACATGATGTTCTGTATTCCGATTTGGTACCCCTCCTCACCACATGTATCTTGGACTATCTAGACTACCTACCTAGGTAGGTATTTCAATCATGTTGAGCGAAGACCATTTATATCGTAAATCACTGATCTACACTACCAGTGAGCTTCTCTACCATGGCTACTATAACAAAATGCAAAGATGTGGTTGTTAGTGTGGCATGTTTCATAAGAATTGACAGCCATGAGACTTCAATGCGTCGTAGTTTTTACGTACCTGTGACGCTCTATGCTGCATGCCGAGTCAAGCAGTAAGACTTTGTCAATCCTGCGATGAATGCGTGCTGAGAATCGCCTCAAGGATTGTCTACTTATAGGTACACATTGAATACTTGTGAACGGGGGATAACACCAGTCCAGCAGATCAGTCCCGATTTCTCACCTCATGAATTATTAAAAGACATCACATTGCGAGTGGACGGAGCAGTGAGGTCCAGCGGGCATCGGTTATGAGCTTTCAGCACGCTCATGAAAGATTACTTGGGATAAGGCTGTACTATTTCATGAGAGCGCGCTCAACCATATTACTACCCTGATCCAAGCACCCGCATGAGAATGAACAAGGGTGCAAAGATATGAACGGAACGGTAAGTATTAACACATGTGCAAATGCACCCGTATATATGTCCTCGAGTTAAGCCTTTGAACTGCCGGCCTGTCTCCGGCGCTGCCTGTCATCTTGCCATCTCATACATGCAGCGGGCGTATGTATGCGGCTGAGCTGCGACGAAGCGCTCCTATGAGTAATTTCTCTTAGGTAAAGGCTACGAGAACTCGACAACTCACATTCGCCATGGCAAAGAGCAAGGGGATCGCGATGCAAGCGCCGAGAAGAATATTGCAGGTGTTTGTGGAGATGGTTATGTTTAGCCGGTCGATAGGTAGCTGACCTGGTTTTTCATAGACTAGGTACTGCATTGCATGTGCACGCTGACAAGCTACATACATAGTAGTAGGTATGCAGGTATGTATCTCAAGTAGGAAGTGGGAAAGACGTTCATCAGCTGTCCGTCTGCAAGCCACCGGTCTGGCTTGGTTTGATGAAGACATTTTCACCCGAATGAAAAAGCAACATGTGTAGGCTGCTACAGTAGAATGGTTCCGGCAATCTCAGTACAGGCCCGTCGGAGGACGGCAATGTTTTGAGTTCGATCGGGCCTATTTTTCTGTCCATGTGGTGTTAGGAATGGCTGGGAAGTATTGCAGAGTTCATTTTGGATGCAAAGGTCTCGCCTACACACGATCCGGGATGCTGGCTACCGCTCTGCGCGGTCTGCGTGGTTTCCCGTGTCGATTTTTCCCTCTACTCTACTTCCGGAACGTTAACCAGGGGATATAAGGCACGATGCATTGCATGCGCGTACGGCTTCGGCACGTGTACGGACCTACAATCAGTGAGCATGAAGCTGATAAACGGAAAACGCGGCCTCTTTTTTTTCTAGTATGACATCACTGAACCTTGGGCCAGTTCAGCCTGAGTTGGTAGATGGGATCGAGTACGTGTCTGCCCTTCGGCAATATAGATTTCCCGTGCGCAAATTCACAAGGGCAAGCGACGTCGGGGCCATTTTCAATTGGGGGTTGAAAGGAATGCAAACATGCAATTATCAAAGGGTATAGAACTTGAAAAGCACATATCCTCTCCTCAAATATGTAAGCAAAGCAAATAATTCCAACAGAAACGCCTGTTCCATCGCATGAGAGTCAGGCCAAGACAGGCCGGTCCCAGCGAATTCAATGCAAGAATTCGATAGACTTTCAAGTGTCCCCCCTCTCGTCGTTCTAGATTCATGTGGCCGGAGAAATCTCTTTTCGTCATCTGACTAGCATGCCATTAAGATGCACGGCAGCGTGGTAAAGTAAATGAACCATGTCGCCCGTTAAACGGGGCACATGTAACGCCGGCTCCTTGCCCCTCGTCCTCCCCGTTCCCCAGAATTTCCAGAAGATGCAAGCCCAGCCAGGCCGCAATGTAAGCGAGCCTCGTCATGCAGCCATGTCCAATTAATAAATGCGTATGTGAATAAATGGCATCCGCCGCGCAGAAGGAGGAATCACGATGGCGCCATCGGACAAAATCTGGATATTGTCCATTTTCTAAATAACAGACGCGATTGCGTCTTATAAAGAGGGTATTACGAGCGGTGGGAAAGGTAAAGATGCGGACGCGCCTGCAGGCACCGATCCAGCCAGCAGTCAGCCGATTGTGGGCACCGGCGTCGGACAGCGTCAAATGCAGCAGCAGCAACAGCAGCAGCAGCAGCCCATTAGATTTGGTCAAAGGATGTCGCTCGTTCCGAGTCGGGTGTGGCTGCAGGCGTGAGTTGCAGGCCTAGACCTACAACGGCATGGCCCGAGCTCATCGACTTGAAGTGCTTTCTGCCGTCCTCACCGAGACACCCTGTGCTCTCTTGGATAATCTCCCGTCGTGCCATTTCGATATCATGCCGGGCCTGCTTGATTAGCGCGGGTTCCCATAAAGGCAAGATCCGATAGCCTAGGTTCTCCATGATGCAACGCTCGGTGAAGTTGACCTGCTCGCAGGTCCACAGATTGTTGCCCCAGTTCGAGGCGAAGTATTGTGTTGGGCTCTGTAGGTCCTCCACAAACTTGTCGGCAACCATTAATGCCGCGAGGACGATGATCTCGGGAAACACAGAGTTGATGTGTGTTGCATGGCTGGGGGCCGAAGGAAGCGTATGTCGTTTCGAGGCTGGCTGACCCTGGCGACTTAACGGGAATGCTACACGCCATTTGCGGGAGAACTTGGAATCCAACGAGTCTAGAATGCAGACGGCCAGGGCAATGATGTCCATGGGGAGATTGGCTCTGGCGAGCATCTGCTGAATTGTGGGAATGGATGGTGTGATGAAGGAAGCCCCTGGGGGGAGCATCCTCGCTAGGTGGGCAGCTGGACCTGTTGAAAGAGTCAGTTTGCGCAGGGTAGGCGGACAAACGAATGGGTGTCTCTATTGGTGGCTTTCATGTAAATATATGACGGATGAACTGACCTAAAAACTGGGAATTAGGGCCAGCAGTATCGTCGATGGATATTCGAGGACTCTGGCTCGCAGACGAGTTACGAGTAGAAGGAGGCGGTGTAGGCAGGTTTGATAACGGCTTGTAGAATTGCCTGAAGTAGCTTTCGTCGAATTCGAAATCGTCGTTTACCGGTGCCGCTACCGAGAAGCTCTTAGTGTGACCCATTTTGATCCAATTCTTCAGGGCGCCAGGAATCGAAATTGTATTCTAAGCCGAGGATTCCTGCTCATATTCCGGAAGAACACAACTAGATATGAATTTGTGGACTAATTCTACTGCAGTAGGGACAAGATCACGCGATCTGCAACTCCAAGGTCGGGGCAAGAGACGAATCGAGGTGTAAGTCGGGAGCGAGAGCGGCACACAACGCTTATATACGCAAAAGGGGGTTCTACTCGAAGACCCGTAGGATCGGAGGATAGGACGGGGAGGACGGGAAAGGAAGGGCGTTCAATTAATTCTCGGAAGAAAAGGAAAACAAATCTGGATGTGAACAATCGAGGGGGGAATGCGTCGATACATATACATAGAATTATGTCCAACGCATTTTATTGATTTCAATTTATGTACCGATTTGAGTCCTGGATGACGAAGTACCCGACCTACCCTTTTTCTTCCACACAGTACATGTGCTTTGCTTTGCTTTGCTTTGCCTGCCACCGCCTGGAATCAAAGGAATCAAGGGCGAACCTCGGACAACCAACCCGCCTACCTACTTACATAGTATGTAGGTACCTTGGCTGAATGTTGAGGTCGTCTGAGGGGCCTGAGCTTACAGCACTAATAGTAGCTGCATGCCTTAGCTATACACACCTGTATTAGTAGGCAGTCTGTAGGTACATGATGTAAATGATGTATGAGGGCTAACGACTTCTTAGTCCTATGCAGCCGCCTGCAAGCCACGGGAAAATGTGTGGAAACGGGGCAAATGAAAAATCACGCCAGCGCCAGGGCTGGACTTGTCCTTGTCCGCGCAGTGGAGTTTGCTACCTACATGTACTTATCACATTATGTAGTACCTAGGTATTAAATGTGCTGTCAACAGAGAGAACATGGATGTGTCAGATCTACGAGATGCTTACAGTACACCAGAGAAGTTGATACACTGTGGTTGACACTAGATAGGGCTGTGCACTAGGTACTACCAGGTATATTCGTGATACCTGTGGTGGGCAGGATACCTAGGGCACAGTACGCCGTTACAGGGCTCACGTTCGCTGTTACCTACTAAAATACAGAATACCGTACCAGGATACGCAGACATAGTACCTATGTCTTTGTCTGCACTGCCGACCTAGATCCGTACGAGCAATACACATGGGGAGCAAATTATATATGTAACTAAGCATAAACAAACAAGCAAAGGCCCGATCCCGGTCGTCCCGTGGCCATGGGAATATAAATTGCTCTATGACGAAGAGTTACGAGTCAGTGGAAGCGGAAGCTTTGCTAGTGGACAAGGAAAAAGGGGTTCAAATGGCCCCCCTTGCCTGCACTTGTGGATAGGTAGGTAAGTACCTACCTAGGAGGCTGGCTACCTAATTGTATATGGTAACTACACCATTACACGTTTGTAGTATGTTCGCACGTGCAAAACTACCTACATGAGCGTGGACGTGTAGAGAGGGATGATAATGGGCTCTAAGTATGGCTTTTCATGCAGCTTCATCTTTCTGAAATCGTTGTATCGATGTGCTTGCTGGATTAGGTAGGTACAATGGATGTCGACCTACCTAAGGTAGTTCTACCGTGGTTTCACACTATATCAGCATGACATTTTGATTTGAATCTGGATATTGATGCATTGAATATTGCTTCAATGACCCGTTCGAGACCTCAAGTTTCGTGTCCATGTACCCTCCCTACCAAAAAGTCAATTCATATGGGCCCGGTGTGCTTGCATCTACTCCGTAGTGATTTCATGAGGCACATTGCATTAGGGTTAACTACCGACCAATTTACTCTCAACATCAAGCCCTTGACGGATTGAACGCATCAAATGCTAGGCTTGATCACATATACAGCCCAAGAGAAAGGTTGATTAAAAGCGGCCAAAGTCCCTGGTTGTCCTTGTCCCTCATTCACAAACCCAGGTGTCAAGTCGGCGAACTTTAGTGGCGACATGCCTGTCTGTCCACATAGGTCAATTGATAAACTCTCCCGGCATCCCTTGTTACATCTCTTTCACTGAGGGCGTCGGAGAAGATGTTCCAGCTGCCAACTGAGCATCCTTTATTCCGGTTATTGAATGTTTGCTCGCTCGTGTGACGTCATCGTCGACGAATATCTCGTCCAGCTCTCTGGGATGATTGACACACAGACACGCCGTGGCCGAGATATATGTTGTATACTATTGGACTTTGGTGACTCGGAGACGGGGTAACCTTGAAGCTCGATGGCTGACCGGGGTCTTGGTCAGCTAACCTAACGCTACTGACTTGGTTTGGGAGGTTCTTCAATCACAAGCTGACGATTGTTTGAAGCAGAAGAAGCTCGAGACTCGCGTCTTTACTTAGAGATATGTTCTACGTGTGAAGAGAACCGTCGAAACCACCATCTACGGATTATCTTTGCTTGGAAGGCAGTGGTTCTGGGCGTGTGTCAGAAACAAAGAGCTAACTCAAAGAGTTGATGCCTCCATCGTTAGCAATACCATTCACCCTCAACTCAAGTCACAAGCTTCATATAAGTACCACTACCTTACACCAGATCACCTATTCTATTGGCTATATGTCTATTAACTGGAATAATGTGGTAAGCCAAGCTTGAGTCTACTTGAATAGCCTAGGTAGCCTTAAGATATACTGTGCCAGTTAGGCGGTAAAGTCTAGGTCTGATTTCACAATGAAGCGTATTCTTGTTCTTATGCATGATGATGAGCTTGGAAGTGATATGGGTCTGCGGAGCATGAGTTTGGTGATGGCGTCAACAGCGGGATGATTGTCGAAATCAACTATACCTACTCTATGGCACATATACCTATCTACGTACTTAAGTGTAGATCTGGGAACGAATGCTCTAGTATGTATGCTCCGTAGTCTAATTCGATTTTTTATTAACGCCCTCATCATTCACATTGTACATCTAAGCAGAAATAGCATCCACGACCATTAAATGCGGCCAAACCTTTTATGCTTAACTTACATGTGGTTATTATTATCTCGTATTCTCTGCTTCGTATCGAGACCCTTGTTGCGCTGGGAGTGGAGAAGCCGATGCACCCCCTGAAGGTGATGCCCCGCGAGCCCATTACGCATGTACCTATTTTTTTCATTGTACCACTGAACCCAGGTACCTATACCCGCCCGGAGCCGGTCTAACCCCGCCTAAGACCAAGCCCCAGCAGAAGAGGCTTTAGTGGATTTTAGTTGACCCTGAGTTCAGTACCTACAGGTACCTTGGTATTGTAACCTAGGTAGGAGGTACACAGAGCACTGCCACGAGCATTTTTCTTACGGTGCACATGAAATCTTTCAGGGCCGGTTATCATGGCATTATTCAGGCGGTGAAGATCGTTACCTTGCAAAGGAAACACCACCGTCTGTCCGGTTTCCATAATGACCCGTCGAGCCCGTTTCCCAACCTCTACTGTATGGAAAACTTGTTGTTCGACCTAGAATGCCATGAGGGAGAGTTGGCGTGGCCAGATTTGCCGACGGCTTGTGCGGACGTGGCCGATATACCTAGCGGAGTCCGCCTTGGATCTTTTTTTTTTTTTTTCTCCAGTTCCTTTGTTTTAACACTAGGGGTATGATTCTGAGAAGGCTCCATACAGAGCTACGCGAACCGTCTTTCATACCGCCTCACCGCCTTCACAAGAGCATACTTAGAATCATATTGATTCCGTGATAGGTTACACAGCATGAGTGCTGTGTATGTGTGCAATACTCACTTGGCATAAATGGCGGTAAGCTGTGTCCATTACGAGATAACAAACGAGACCAAACCAAGAAGGCTACAGAGCATGGATCTCGTATTTTAAGCATACATATTGAAAGATCTCAATAATATACCTACCATGTCATCTTGGAAGCCTTGTGGCCATCGTATCTAAGATAGCTTCAAAGCAGTGGGAACAGGCTAGGCTTCACTTCATACGCGATCACCGAACAACTCTTACGATCAATGCCATGGCGCATTAGACATGTACATATAAGTCAACTTATAGAAGTCTTCGCTGTAGGACCCTTTACCTATTCGCTGTGCAGGCACTCTACTAAGACTTCGCCAATGCTTGCTTTAGGGTTCGCTAATTTCAGCGTGATGCCATGAAGGACAGTCTGCCATGCGTTCCAAACAGGTCGAGATAAAAAATAAAATAAAAGCTGCGACAATGTTTGTGAGGATGGATGTACTGTTCTCGCATACAGCACAGTCCAGTACAGAAAATGTACGTTAAACCACCTACATACACTCCGCTACGATCGATCGTGTTGCTATTCGCCAATAAAATCATGGCAGCTGTCCCAATCTGGACTTTTGCTCCAAACAGATCAGTCGGTTGATCATGCTACAGAGCCGTGCTAAACGAACGTGGAGCATAGCCACCATGACGATCACTTGGGCCACTCCATCAACAGTGACTTGTGTGGGTGGAATAAAGCATCGGATAGTGATCGTCAGGCACGGGACGATCAAATATCCCGAACACCCACATCGATGGACTCAACGACGTCTTTGATTTTGCTGATCTAGGGAGATGCTGCACGCTACACAGCGGTTGGTAGTCATGTGTACACTTTGCTCCCCACACCTAGTAATTCAAGATGAACCTTAGTGTGAGAAATAGAAACTCGACTCTCTCTTCGGTGGGTAAGGCAAGTAAGGCAATAATTCATCGACAGCTAATTGATACTGTTGCTACCATGATCCTGAAGCGCCAATAGTACCACCATTGGAAAGTAGTGATGCCATGCATCATGTACCGGACACACAACAGAGCCTCGGCATTTGGGGCGATGGATTACACTACGGTCCATTAGCCGTTCATGTGGTAAGCTCAGCTGATTCCGTCCTTTTCAGCTCAGTCAGCTAAGGCTCAATTCAAAGCATATGAACGCCCGACGAAACACTTATTATAGCTGAAGAAGTGTTTCAGAAAGTCATCTGATGGATCGCCTAATCGTGACTGCCACGCTTTGTAGTGTGCCAACGCCTTTCAAGCCTTCAAAGACAGCAGCAACACATGCTTTTCGAAGTCTTTCACGGATTTGTTGGCTTGACAAGGTGAGGAGTGTCTACACTATTCTACATATAGCCATGTACATGTAAATCCCTGGGCGACACTTACATAGTACATGAGATGATGCATACAGCATTGGATTTCTGAGTGTAGAGGAATATAAGGTAATGTTCAGCATGAAAGCGGAAATGTACGACACGCATTTCTTTGCTTACATAGTACGTAGACTCTCGTTCAACACCCTATCACACCAACATGTCGATAAAGAAGGGCCAATGCTCTCGAAGTCCAGAGTCAAAACAGTAAAGAAGCTCAATGTCTCAATTGCAATATACTCGCCCCCGTCTATTTCCGAGTGTCGCGCTGCTCTCCAACTATAGTTCGGTAGTGTCGTTTGTGATATACCGAGTAGCTGACGACACCCTTCCGCTATCGCATTGAATTACCGCGCCGAACTACCTTGATTCGTACGGAATATGAATGTACTCGTGGATAGATTTGACCAAAGCACTGGACTTTTGCCAGGCTCGTCTGCTGATTATTAAAGCCGCTTTCTGTCTCTAGGCTTCATATCTTCTAATGTTAGCTGAAGTGACTCAAACCCAAGGTTCCTGTCGCATCGTGTTTCTGCCATTGGATCTCCTGTGGCTGAAACAGGGTCGTGGGGTTGACAGGCTTTGCCTATAGAAGCTAGTGGCTCTATACCCCGCCTCTGCACGCCTGGGACGATTTCAGCCACAGTGGAAAAAAAGAAGAGATCCGACCTCGGTCGGGCTGCCTTCGTGTAGACAGTCGATCTGTGGTCTGAGAATCCGTAGCTGGTCAACCTCGTAGTCGTGGGTCGAAACAGTCTACAAGAATTATACCAGGACTAATTGGCGCTTGTCAGGGGCATCGGAATTCTCTTTCTCAACGTCGTCGCGACCAATTCCTCTACTACTAGGTCAATTGGGCTTCGAAGCCCTTCGGCGTCATGATTTCCATCCGCTCCCTCGCCTTACGTGCCAGCACACGCGCATCAATTGCCACTGCTCGGAGCACGAACCGATGTCTCCTAGAAAGCACTCAAAGCTTCTCGGCCTCATCTGCGAGGAGCCTAACAACTGCACCCGCCCGCACTCTTAGCCCGTCAGCGCGCACCAGCAAATGTCACAACCAACAGCAATACAGGTACATCACAACAACAAACCCCAACCCACCCCTCGATAAAAAGAATGCCTCGAACGATGCCCCGTCTCGTATTGCTTTGATCGGAGCGCGAGGATACACTGGTCAAGCCTTAATCGATCTCCTGAATAAGCACCCTCACATGGATCTACGCTATGTCTCTTCGCGAGAGCTCAAAGGCCAAGAACTCCAAGGGTATACCAAGCGCAAGATTATCTACGAGAATTTGTCTCCCGAGGATGTCGCTCAGCTTGACAAGGAGGGCAAGGTTGATTGCTGGGTCATGGCTCTTCCCAATGGTGTTGCTGCACCGTATATAGAGGCTCTCGACGAAGTGGCGAAAACCAGCGAACACAAGAGCGTTATCGTAGATCTTTCTGCCGATCAGCGATTCAACGACTCATGGAGTAAGTCTTTGAATGAAATAGCTGGATCTGTTACTAATTATACCACCTTTTTGCTTAGGTTATGGTATCCCAACCCTCACTAAGCGCTCTGAGATTTGCCAGTCTACTCGCATAAGCAATCCAGGCTGCTACGCCACTGGCGCCCAGCTAGCCATCGCTCCTCTCGTCCCGTATATTGCGGCACAGCCGGTGGTGGCAGGAGTTTCCGGATACTCAGGTGCCGGCACCAAGCCAAGCCCAAAGAATGATCCTGAGCTTTTAAGAGATAATTTGATGCCATACAGTCTAACAGGCCACATACATGAACGAGAGATCAGTCACCATCTTGGTACTCCTGTTGCTTTTATCCCACATGTCGCAAGCTGGTTCCGTGGCATATCTCTTACCGTCTCCATTCCTCTTAAGGAGGCAATGAGCTCACGCGATATACGCCAGCTCTACCAAGATCGCTATGCTGGCGAAAAGCTTGTAAAGGTTGTTGGAGACGCCCCCCTAGTACGCTCAATTGCGAATCAGCACCACTGCGAGCTGGGTGGATTTGCGATAGACAGCACTGGCAAGCGCGTGGTTATGTGAGTAACTGATCCAAGGGCCGAAGGGACTTCATATGCTAACCAGAAACTAGTTGTGCCACAATAGATAATCTGAACCTAGGAGCAAGCACTCAATGTCTTCGTAAGATTCTCCGTCTCTTAACAAATCAACTTAGTCAGGTTACTAATGCATTTCGCAGAAAACATGAACCTTGCGCTCGGTTACGCGGAGTACGAAGCCATAATATGAAGATTTTAACTTAGTTCGACAGGTAGGAGGCGACGGGTCTCGAGCTTCTTCACTACTTCTCGGCAACTTGCTTTTTCAGCATAGATAGCATTATTGCAGAGGAAGAAATTCATTTTTGGTACGTAAAAGGCGGTCTTGGATGTGGTAATTACCCCTTGTGTCAAAACAAGTATTCTAGTTGGCTATATAAATATCTAAACTTCTTTGCCATCGCCATACGTATTGACTCAGTTAATACTAACTCTAAATAAGCATACAAGTCTTATGATGGTCAGACCTATTTCGCAGCTGGTAATGTGTCAATGCATGAAAATCAGATTTTGAGGCCCAATACCTTCATAGCTACTGTATCCGAATTGTTCGGCACGAGTAAAGGTGGCCATCTCGTTGTTAGCATCCTTGAGCGTAAGTGGTCTGGCAGCTTATTGCGTGCGGTAGACAGCCTCACTTCATGACGTAAATGAGGCATTGTGACAGGGGGCAGATATGCAAATTTGTAAACCAGGCTTTCCACGACATGGTGGGATGCGAACATTACAATACTGCTTGGATAGAGGGAGTCAATTACCAACCGTCAACTACTCTATTGAAAAATTAAAGGCCTGGGGGTACAAGGCAAGATACACGTTATTTCCCGCGATCGTTGCCTTTATTAACTGTTCTTCTCCCATTCCCTTCAGCTGCAAAGTAGGCTATCATGCAAGTCAACATCCATCAAATAGCGCTTATGTTCATCACTTCCAGGATAGGTAGGTCACTCAAGCCTGTCCACCATCTTCTCAGCTGTGGCCCCCTCCCGAGCCCTCCTCCAAAACTACCGTTTTTGTTACTGAGACGATACAGTGAGGCGCAAAGAAATATTGGTTAAAATTGCCAGCTCGAAGAATATCATACTGAAAGGGGTTTTCTTATTGATCAGTTACCATGCCTAAAATTTTCCTACATAGTATCGCATAGAGTCCAAAGTTACGTAGGTAAGTAGGCATCCTCAGAAAGAGAGGATGTACCTGTGGCCACGCAGTTCAGAGCCGCATTTGGCCCCCAAAAAGCGCCAAAACAAAAGAACTAATGTGGTCCGTCATGAATCGAGAAAATTCTTTTCAATTGATCTCTGACCCTATCACTTCTTACACAGTATGTTAACTCGTAGGTTTGGCTGCCGTGAACTCTCTAGACTCATTTATAGACCATCATTGTCATCAGAAGTTGAGAAAGAGAAATCGATGAAGACACGCAAGAACGGGCTGTGGTGGCGTTTCTGATGGTTTCAGTGTAGCCATCGATCATGGTTTCATTCCGACCAGATCTTATCTACCCACCCGACTCCTACTGTGGCGTCTTATCCCAGTACCTATCCCTGGTTCTCTGCAACGTATGTCGTAAGAATGTAAAACCAACAGAGATGCTTGATAAATGTAATTGGCTCTTAGCTGGAAGAAAAGCTTACCTATCTCGTTAATATTCGAAGCGAGATTGGGTGTATGTGAGTCACTACGCCAGCCTTGAGTCTCTCTAGCCCCCAACTGCTGGCTTATAACATGCTGCTTCCACGCGTAATGGATGGTCTCGGTCCATTCTCTCTACATGCTTCGTCAATTACCTTTTCCCTTTCTGGGGCTGTTCGTATCGAAATGGCCACAAGACCTTCTGGCACGAGTTGCTTAAGTGCTGAGCCTCATGAAGAGAATATCAAAGACCCTTTGCTCCACTATCTTGGGTGCATTGAAATATATCAAAGAAAGGAATTTCTTGAAGAGAAAATTGCCTCGGACGATGAGCTCAGCGATCAGAAATCGCTTCGAATAGACACCCCGGTCTCCCAAGCAATACAAACTGAAGGTACCATCAGATCGGGTCAGAAAATCGACGGTAAATGGAAACAAAGCATTGAGAAGGAGTTGCAACGAATTTCCCGCCTACGCCATACGTTGTCAAATGATCAGAACGATAAGGTGCTTGTAATGGAGGTAGAAGAGAGCTACAAAGAATGGCGGAATTCAGTGACCGAACAGCAACTACACGACATTAGGGAATGGCGCAAAACGCTGAAAAAAGAAAACTCTGTTGTTGAGCCAGTTATCGAACAGGCGACAGAATACATGCTAGAGGACGATATATCTGTCCCAGTTATTCAATTCTGCGGCCACAAGGAACCCACTCAGACCAGGGATGGAAACTTTCCAAACCAGAAAACGACTGTCCACAAGCTTCTGTGTTCAGAACCCAACATATTACACAAACAACATAGTTCCAGCGTTAATCGTATCAGATACTTCCATATTCCTTCAAATAATATGATTGTGAGTACACGTTCAATTTTCTCGGACTCTTTGTCCTTACTCAAAATACAGACAACAGACTGACTGTTACTGGTAGTGGGCTGAAGTGAGTTAAAGCTTCATGTTTCCAACTCACCCACCTAACATGTTTTAGAAAGCTATAGCGCGTTATTATGGCGACCTCAAGTCCGACTTTACTGCAACGCAGCGTCAGAAACAACGACCTAAAGATACTAGTACAGGCATAATTCTTCAGGACCGTTTCTGGCAGGGGCAATTGCATGGGGAAGTGAATTCATTACCGCACGCGAGATACATGTCTCCAATGTGCGAAACTATCTCATCATGTAAGTTGGGCAAATAGGATGTATTAGGGGTAGAGGACTGACTGATACTTTGCACAGCAATCAACACGCCTGATCGTAATCCAAATAATGTAGTGCTCTTTGTAAGTGTCTGTAAGAAACCACACGATGATCTGTGAACCAACTAATGTTTACTCGCTGAGCAGATGCCATACCTCCACTGGGAGACTTCAGTAAGGCGAGAACAATTTGCTGATGAAATTGGCAAGATCGTTCTACGGAGAGCTAAAGGTCTTATAACGAAAGAGTCCAAGGCAAAAAGAGATCGCCAGCTAGAAAGACAACCAATCACTAAGATGACACTGGATGAGCGGCTGAATTCACTCCCACTGTTAGGGGGACAAATTGAAGCAATGGGGGACGCTGTAGATGAATATATCAGAGCAAGCGATCAATCCTCCAATGAATCGAATGTTGGTCCATTCCAATGCGCCAATCCTTTGGGACGCTATCTCCTTGCTGCAGCCCGCCTATATGAAGGCATGGCAACTTATAGAGACAAGATGCTTCTACGCGAGTATCTTCCTCTAGATGCTGCCATACACCCTCGTCGGACTCTCGATCAGGCCTTTTATTGGACCCTCAACTCAACAAAAAAGCGTGACAGAGATCAAGTCGTATATCGAGGCACCACAGTTGCCGACAGAGACTTCCACCACTATGATCATGAGAACAATGTATGGCCAGATCACAAGGGGCTGGGGGGTAGAGCCTGTGAGACTTGCCGGACGAATATAAGAAAATTGTCGCGAGTTGTCATGGTAGATCAACTTTGGATGTGGATCTTGGATGGCAAGACTCTTATAACATGTTTTCCAAAGCGGTACGGCGTAAACAAACAAGATTGGTCAGGAGTACACAAGTCGATTAGAGCTACGCTGGAGAGTCTTGGGTCCAATCAGGTACGGACGGTTTTCGAACTGGGCCTGATCGTACTAGATGAATGTACCAGGACGTTCTTTGATCGCGCAAAGGTTCTAGATCGACAACCACAAGTTATTGACGAGTTCTCCAAAGCAATTGGCAATATTGTGAGTATAGTGAAACATAACTTGTTTCTGCATTATCATAACTGACCTATGGTACAGATGCATAAGCAGACCACGGCGTTCCAACGACTTTGCAACTGGACATGCGAAGCTGGAATAATATTCCGATCAAAGGGGTATATTGACACCAGCGAGCTTCACATACCGCTCCTTGACATCAATATCGAAGGAGACCTAGAGCGAGAAATCGAGGATGTCGTTGAGGAATTGGATATAATGCTCCATATCACAAATACCTATAAGGATATTGTCAAAAGATATGTTGAACAAGCTGAGCACATAATTGACAGAGACGGTAAACTTAGCCAAAGCTTCCAACGTTATCTGGCAGAAGAGGACAACCCGACCAAGGAAGAGGAAGACTATCGATCCTTCAAGCTCAAGGCTGATGAATGCCAGGAAAGAGTGAATAGTCACATCAAGGATCTAGAGTCCCTGCGCGGAAGCGCGAAAAATGCTGCTGAAGATGTAATGACGTCTTCCAAAATCTATTTGCGCATACCTTGAGCATTGGCTAACTGCATTCCAGGTCTTGCATTTGCTTTCTATGAAGCAGCAACAGGCAAGCGTTGTCCAAGCTTGGCAAGCTGTCAGGCAATCAGAGGAAACCATCAAACAGTGAGTGCTGCGAAAAGGCAAATCTTCGGCAGAATCTAAGTATTCTAACGCGTGAACTTTTGCAGGGGAAGGTCGATTATGGTATTCACGCTTGCTACGATCGTCTTTGTTAGTCAACCATTCTTGGCACTCAATATAATCTAACCTCGTATGTGCCAGTTGCCACTTTCTTTCTTGACGAGTGTGTTTGGGATGAACAACAGAGAGTTTGGTGACAACAACTGGGGCCTGAGAACTCAATTGACATATATATGTGAGATTAATACTCCCGGCCTTGGTCTCTAAATACTGCTTGATAGCTGACAACTACCCGTCTATAGTCGGAATTTCAGCTGGAGTCGTGTTCATCAGCCTACTCTTTGCGTTCAGCGCACGGCTAAGAGCAGTGACCTGGTCCTTTTATTCTCTGGCCACTACCAAGCTTATGATCAAGACCGGCATATACTCGTACTTCGTCGGGCATAAGAATAGCGAGCAGATTTTCGCGTACACAAGTGCTAAGATTGACAAGATGAAGAAGAAGAAAAAGGACGAAGTCCTCGATAGCAGAATTGAAGAAGTAGAGGAAGTAGAGAAACGCGAGACACAAAGAGCGGCGAGGAGACGGGTAACGAAGAACTCAGGTGTCGATGGTACGAATGAACAACCGCAGAACAAGGCATCGTCGAGCGAAATGAGGATTCGTGATTTATTGTGTGGCTTGGAAATCTCTTTTGCGCGACACCGAAACAAGAAAAGAGATAGAAATGACGGGCGTACGAACGACGATATTGAGAACGGGAACTTGGTAGATGCTGAGAAATGACGAGTCGCTTGATAGTCGATCATCGTGTATGATAAGTCACTGTTGAACTGTTATATAGAGTCAGCTGGCGCGGAGTGATAGAGAAGATAGGGGTTGCTCGTAATTACCTTAGACTTGAACTATTCCTTTCCCAGTTTCTCGTCTAGCAGCTTCAGAATCCGGGGATGTGGGATATATTTAAGTTTATGCGAGTTGTGCATGTTGTATCGTCCTTCTCCTTAGAACACACCGCCTGAGAAGGCCCGAGAGAAACTACCGAGTTGCTAGTGATTATCTGAAAGCGCCAAAGAACTTGGGCTTAGTGTGATAGAAAGGATCAATTATGGGCTTGAAGGCTTCAATAGATCTTATCTGTTGAAAGCAGCAGAGGAAGGTAAGAAGCACTACCATCAACCAAACTCCCAACCACATGTGCACTCTTAAGGCTGAACAGACAACGTACGCTACGCTGTGGTGTTTGGATTCCCAAGCCGACCACTACTCTGGGGGTCGATGATCAACCCACTGTCAAGAGACGAAGTAGCACTAGGGTAGAAATTACCCCAAAGGAGTGGTGACAACTTAGGGATTAGATATATAAAGGGGGAAGGCCACTGCAGTGTATTTGAAATAGTTAGAAATCAGTACCACCAAACCCGTACCAATATATTCGACCTCTCTGCTACCTAGGCGCTACCTACTTGCCACACAGTTTCTCTCCGGGAACACATCCACATGACATCTAACAAGTTCAACTCTGCCGTTGTCATTTTATCGGGCCAGTATAATGAAGGGATCGTGGTGTATCGTTAGCTTTTGTAGTCTCATCATCGTTCAGGCCATTCGAATTAGCCAGAGTAGCTCTGTCTCATAGCATACGATTTGCGATATCGTATGCCATACATTGCGTTGATGAGAGTATCTGGTTTTAGGACTCCAGAAGGCTGTGATGACTGCGATACTGGCTAGATGAATAGCCAGAATGACAGGGGCAACACCTAATCTCGGACTGTGAAGAGGAATTTGGATGTTGGTGTTTGTGACAGTCTTCACTTCTGACGGCACGGTACCAAGACCAGCATCTCAGCGAGAAGATGATGATAAGTCGAATAGCGCCCCAAACAAGTTGATGACGTCTAAAGTATTTAAGTAAATGCTTAAGTACCGTGCGATGGGTGACTTGCGTACTCCTAGCAAAGGAGTATGTGACCTACACGGAATCATGCGATACTAAATTGTGGTGTTTGGCATGCTCTTTCCTACATTGACGTATAGTGTTGTGCCTTCCTACCATTGCATTCCTTGACAGCAAGAGCACCCCATCACCTCAACTATAGTGGGCATCTACCACCCGAATCAGAATGGCAGCCATTTCTACAGGTATTTCCCACGACTTCTTGTTCTTGCTCCTTCACAACCTCGAGTCTGCCTCATAACCCACGTCGTGACAATACGCAGCTTGGCGAGCTCGTCGCAGCGGGACGTAGAAACACAAGGACACGCTTTTGAACTACGCCTCGTTTTTATCGTGTAAGATATCTCATTGTCATTGGATCAAGAAAATCTCTACGTCACTTACTATGGCTCTGCCGCAATCACTTCCTGATCCTTATACTCTCTTTTCATCTGTGGACCGCTCGTCTATCAGGCATTCTGCTCCGCCTGCACTCCCAGGTAGCGGGATTCGCGAGATTCTACGGCGTGAAAAGTCAGGGGGCTATCCACATAACTTCCAAGATTCTCAAAGGTCGGTTACACCAGATGAATATGGAAGTGGAAGTGAGGATGAAGATGCCAGAGACCGAGACATTGGGCATATAAAGACTGAAAACAAGCCCTCTGTGCGCGCCAACTCCAAACGTAGAAGGTCTGCTGCGCCAACCCCTGGTCCGGAAACAAGACAGCGGTCTTTGAGGTACGGTGGAAGTAATCCTTGCTCCATTCTATACCCCTAACTCGTCTGTTACATTGGTAGTTGCTGACTGTTACCAGCCGTACAGCCATCTCAACCCCCCTGTACTTGCCTGAAGATTCATCCGACAGAGACGTCTCAACGTGTAGCGAATCCTACTTTACACTGAGCAGAACATCGTCCAATCTTGAAAGTCCAAAAAGAGGTCGAACTACGAGACGAGATCCTACCCCATATCCCGAGAACGTCGGACGGGATAGGAGTCGTCTGCATCGTGTGAGAAGTAATATCTCTATTCAACGTCGCGTTTCACATGATGAGAGGGATCCAGAGAAAAAAGAATACTCGCCAAGACCATCCGGGACTGGCGGCAGTCTTGTCGATACTTCTTTACGTATAATAAAAGGAGCATTCCAATTGCATAGATGCCAACGACCAGACAAGTTCCGGTTCCCAAAACCTAGTAGCCAGCCAGAGACTGTTTGGCGCCCTGGTGATGGGTTCTCGGAAGATGAAGCCAGACCTCAATTTCCCGTTCATGTAATGAAGAAACTCAGACGCAAACGAACGCGTTCACTCCCTGCCCTCGGACAACTACCCTTAATATCTAAAAGTATCGATAAGGATAGCACTGAGAAAACAACTTCAAGTCGACCATGGAAATCTGTTAAGATGACGAAAGAGTCGTGGCCGACGAGGGATAACTTTATGGAGATTCCAGTCAACCGAAAAGCAATAACAGATATAATCGAAAGCTCCTCTATGATCGAGCCTACAGTGTTACAGAGTCCAAGAACTCGAGCTACTTCACGGCCGAAAATGAAACAGGTTGTACCGCTGAAGAGACGGGCCTCCTATTTTGAAAACTTTGGGAGGCACAAGGGGAAGTCTCAGAGTCGCCATCGCAGAAAGCCATCTCTTTCAATCACGAAAGTTCCGTATGATTATGGATCTCAAACGAGCAATGATATTGGCCTATACAAGCAGGCCGGAGAGGGAAGTGCAGAACAGGATGCATTGAACGAAGATGGTAATGATGTACAGGGCTCCCTGGAACTCGGTTATGACAATCCAAATATTCTAAACTCAGAGGATGTTGAGCAGTTGGATGGCTTAGAACACACGGACTTGGAGGATCCAGACGAGCACATACAGAGCACTGTACCAGATTCACAACCCGGCGAAGTCTACTTGGGCGGCTTTTACAGCGGCCAGACATTAATCAACACCTCCGATCTAGTAATCATGGCACATATGGCCATTGATTGAAGCATCGATGGCGAAGATTTGCATTGTGGCATGTACTCACTGCCCACACGTTCAACCAGCGCTGTGACTCGGAGATACCGATTCAAGACGCCTCATTACTTGCTATAATGACCCCTTAGCGGGAGCTAATATTCTCAACTCAGGATCTCTTGTTAACTTTAGCTCACATCATGCTATTCTTCGAGCATATTTCTATTGCGAGGTCGAATCGAGATTTGGCGGAAAGGAAATGATGTAGAAAAGGGGGCACATCGAAGTCTGTAGCTGCTCAGAATTTCATCAATGTCAGATAATCGATGCTAGCTACCACACTATTTTGGTAATTGAGTACCTACCTAGGTAGTTATATGATTTATAGTACTTTATTTCGATGCGTTTACATTCCCCAGTGTTATAGATTAGGTTTACTTGAAAAATGGGTATGATTAGATCTATTTCTACAATCAGATCTTTGAGTTTAGAAACGGCTCTGACCTCTGCTGCTGGCCTGGTCTTAGTTTTGACTGGGGACTGAAGAGGGCCAGAAGCTATTCTATTCCACTCAATTCAATAATAGAATCATTTAAGCCCCCCCCTGCTCGCCTTAAACGCCGGTGCTGCTGGTCACCTCTTTGTTTCCTTTGGGACAAAATATCTGTAGATCGATAGGTGTGTGACACACTTGGTATTGTCATAGTAGTGATGGCCCTTCTCTCCCTTTCTGCACGAGTCTCATCGCTAATGACTCACTGCGCGCCCTGGTTCCAGTCCCGAGATGAGACGGGTCCGGCTGCTAGTCTTGATCTGGCTTCTCCGTTTGTTCATTTACTCTTCATAAGTGATATGACTACTTCGCTTTGCCCTTTGGCAGGGCCTCGTTCTCACCGAGTTCTCTAATAAGAATCTTAGTGCGGCCCTCGCCGCTGTAGTCTTCCATGCCCGTCTCGAAGCCAGGACATACCGCGATAGCCAGGTAGCGGCCGTCAGCGGAGAATGCCAGCGCGGCGACGCTGTCAGGGAATTTCTGGTACACTTTCATGCGTCGCTTGGCTTCTGCGTCCCAGAGGGCGACGGTGGCGTCGCCGCCGCCGCTCGCGAAAGTGCCGTAGGCTGGGTGGAATGCTAGTGCGTTCACGGGGTAGACAACGTCGGTGGGGCCGGCGCCGCTGCCGTCGGGGGGTGGCTGGTTCTGGCGGTGGCACTTAAAGGCGTATTTTCGCGCCTGCGACTCGGCGGACGCGTCGAAGAATTCTACAGCCACACGACCTTCGATACTGCTCGTGGCATATCCTGCGTCTGATGGCATGGCGGCTACGGCGCGTGTGAGGAACTTGAGCGAGGATTCGCGCTGTTGCCACGGCGCGGGGGCGGTTTGCGATGATAGCCCTGATACTAGGGCTGAGAGATCGTAGATGTGGACTAGACGGGATGTCATGGCTACTATGAGCTTTGAGGGACTTGCTGCCATGGCGTGAGGTTTGCCGGGAAGGGATATTTCGAGCGGCGCTTGGGTTGTGTCGGTTGCGTTGTGTACGTGTAGCGTGCTGTCCCAGGAGGCGGAGACGACAAGGGCTTTCAACGTTATTGATTAGCTTTTTGTTCCACTTTGGCAATCTGAAAATGATAGAAGGCCGGCATTGCAGAGAGCCCAGTTGAACTGAGCGCAATGGACATATGTGCTTGTTGTATTTACTCACAATGCTCTCGACTGTAGACTACCCTCCTTACAGGCGCAGTGTGCTTGCTGAGTGTAGTTTGTTCACCAGTCGTCAGGTCGAGCTTCAATACTTGCCAGTCCATGCCGGCGCTGAAAGCTTCGTTGTCGTTGGCGCCAAAACAAACGTCGAGCACGGGCGCGCGGTGCTCGATGGCGCGGATCAGCGAACCGTGCTGGCCTTCTGTGGAGTCGGACGCTTGTGTGTCATAAAGGTAGACATTCTTATCCCAGGAAGAGACTAGGAGGCGCGAGGGAGACTCGGGTGCGAATACAAGTGAGGATATCGCATCGTTTGGCGGTTGCGCAAGCTCAAATTGCGCTGCTGCAGCGAATGTTAGTCTTCGATGACACGAACTTGCGGCGATGGAGAGCTCACCTGGCGCCATGTTTATTATACTCTGGTTTGAAGGTCACTGCGGTGGTTGGTACAGAATAGATCAATTATCTACAAGACACAGTAAGGAGAGGCTGAGGAAAGGAGTTCGGTTGTTCTGTCGCATAGAGTATAGAGTGAGATGCGCAGTTGATGATTGAATGAAGCTGGGAAATGGACCTTTGTTGCCCGGCTCAATCGATAAGAGGTAGGTACCAGTAAACTAAGAAAGCTGCTAGCAATGTACAGTGCCAAGAGCAGTTAAAGTGAGGCGTTGCGTACTGTATATATTCTGCTACAGCCCACCGCTTACAGTCCCCTGGCTGCGCCTACTTAGCTATGAGCTGGGCAGGCTGGGCTTCTGCATGGAGGGGTTGCGGGGCACTCACCTACCTATATTTATTTGTACTGTGCAACTCTATGGTCCTGTATCTACTACCACAGCCTTACGATCGTCACCACTTGCGCATCCGTTTCTTTCGCATGTTTGTCCGGAGACAGAACATACACTTGAACCTATCGAGACTGCACAGATTTTGACGCAATGCCATTCGCACAGCTGGTGCTTGGCAGCCCCGGCGCGGGCAAAAGCACATATTGCGACGGCAGTAAGTTGGTCTCGGCCACTGCTGTTTCTTTTCCTCCGTCATTCCACCCGATATGACAAAGTCCCTGTGCTCATTTGAAGCCACGCAGTGCACCAGTTCATGGGCGCCATAGGACGAGAATGCTCAGTAGTCAACCTTGACCCCGCCAACGACAAGACCAATTACCCATGTGCGCTTGATATTCGGAATCTTGTCACATTAGAGGAGATCATGGCCGATGATCAACTTGGCCCCAACGGCGGCATCCTCTATGCATTCGAGGAGCTGGAACATAATATGGAATGGCTCGAGAATGGTCTCAAGGAGCTCGGGGATTCATATATTCTTTTCGACTGCCCGGGCCAAGTCGAGCTATATACACACCATAACTCTCTCCGTAACATCTTCTTCAGGCTGCAAAAACTGGGCTACCGAGTAAGAATACCACGACGTCGCGTTATTTGGTTGATAGCTAACGTTCGGCACAGCTCGTGGTTGTTCATTTATCGGATAGCTTCTGCTTAACGCAACCCTCACTGTATATCTCGAACCTCCTCCTCACACTTCGCGCTATGCTCCAGATGGATCTTCCACACATCAACGTCCTCACTAAGATCGACAAAATCTCCTCATACGATCCTCTGCCATTCAATCTCGACTTCTACACCGAGGTCGATGACCTGTCATACATCCTCCCGGAACTTGAAGCAGAGGCTCCAGCGATGCGTAGCGACAAGTTCAGCCGGCTGAACCAAGCTGTGGCCAACCTTGTTGAGAGCTTCGGCCTCGTACGATTTGAGGTGCTTGCTGTTGAGAACAAAAAGAGCATGATGCAGCTCTTGCGGGTTGTCGATAGGGCTAGCGGGTATGTTTTTGGTGGCGCTGAAGGAGCCAACGACACGGTTTGGCAGATAGCTATGCGTAATGAATCGTCCATGATGGATGTGCAAGACATTCAGGAACGCTGGATCGATGCGAAAGACGACTACGATGCCGCAGAGCAAATGGAATGGGAGGAGCAGCAGAAAAAGACTGGGAATCTTGCTGGCGCGGATACGGGTACTACTACCCCTGACCTTATTCCGGACGACGATGACGAGTTCGATGGTATGCCCCCTCCTATGGGAGATAGTGGTGTTAAAGTCGTTCGAAGAAAACCATAATATCTCAGCCATCGCCCATCGCTAAGTCGCTGTCGTACTCTTCACCCTCTTCCCCCGAGGACAAGGAATCTTCGATTGGCGCTTTTGGCTTCGATCGGCTTGATGTGTTGAAGATATTGCTGAGAGAATCAGGCGCCTTCGTAGGTTGCTCTCCTTTTGCCTCGAATATGAGGTTTCGTGCGCGACGCATCGCTTCTTCCTCAGCTTGTCTTATGGTGCCGCTGACATGTACGACTCGATATACACATGGTTTGCCATTCTTAATGGGGATCGAGGTCATAAAACTCAGGGCTGTCCAAACGAATCGGTACGCGGCTCGTGCGATTCGTAGTATGAAGGTTGAGGTTGTTTGCGATAAGTACTTGACTATGGACATCTGTCAGTTCTAGTCAGGCTATGGAACGAAAGCTACTCACCCGAGAAACCACCGCCATCGAGTGCTCCCGAGCCATAGTCGCCAAATAAAGCGGCGACTTCGGCGCGTATTGCGCGAAGAAGGGCGACAGGTGTGAGCTCACTGCTGCTGGGCTGATTGAGCAAGACAACATCGGGCAAGTTAGGTTGAGTTCCTAGTTCGGTGGGATAGAGGATATTGACTAGCAGATAACGCTCCTTTATTCTGACCATAGTGTCAGTAAGCTGAAGGCGGGTGAAAGCTGAGGAGGTAGTAGATTAATGTTGTCGAAGCTGGTACAGCATTGAAGTTCAATAATTGATTGGGGAAGATCCGCCGACTTTACGCCTTTTTCCCCACGTAAATCAACCTACCAAGTAAAGCTTTATCTTATCAGCACAGTACAGTACAGTGTGAGGATACAGGTAGAAACCGTAATGTCTGCTCTGGCATGTCCCAAAAAATCCTATGATGTTGATCTTGCGTTTGTTTATTCATACACATCGTGACTCTCTTTCAACTTCACAGCAACTGACTCACTCGCAGTGATTTGTCCCCTGAGACTGAGCGTGAATGATAAAAATGACAACTAATAAATAGCAGCCTCCATAGAGAGACTGGAGTACTATGTAAGTCCAAATGATTTGAAAATTAGTAATGTACACTGGAGTATTATACAGAGGCAAGGAGTTAGCCCGCTCTTAACTACCTAGACATCAACCGTCGAAGACGACTTCGATGACCGAATCAATTGCTCCCTTGGGCTGCACGATACTCTGGATTCGGAAGCGCTTGTCGGCCTCGGCAAAGATATCCTCCCAGCCGCGCCTGCTTCGCTCCTTGCCGTTAAAGCCTAGTTTCATCATTATGTCCGCGCTCCTATGTTCGCATATGGTTAGAATTGATTAATTTTTCCTGGATTATAGCTAGGATGAGGGGATTGCCTACCTCTGCCTCTGATCGTTGATATGGTCGGTGGCGCCGAGTTCGGGAAGAACAACCTCGTTGATCCAGACCCGCGTGCCTGCTTTGAGCGCCGGCGCGAGGTTCTTCAGGATCTTCACCGCGTACTGGTCGCTCCAGTCGTGGAAGATATGTCGGAAGACGTAAGCGTCTGCCTCGTGCGACATGGTCTCCGTGAGGAAGTTGTACGGCGCGAAAGTGAGCCTGCCCTGGAGATCCTCCGGGATTTCGGCAATCTCGACTACCTCTGGCAGGTCGACGGATGTGGCCTTTGCAACGCCTGCGTAGCGCCGGAGAATCTGCTTACTCACGTCACCGCCTGCGCCGGCGATGTCGACGATGGTCTTCGGGCAGCGCGTGGTATCGTCCCACGGCACGCTGTCGAGGAAGTACGACGCTGCATACCCTGGCTGTCTCGTCCCCATGTCCATCGTGTTCCGGAAACGTGTGACGCGCGCCGTGTCTTCGGCGATCAAGTCGAAGAAACCCTTCGTCGGATCCGCGACGTCGTCGTTCGAAAGGCCTCTCTCAGCTCGTTCCAAGACCATGCGTGCCGAGTGGCCCGGCTCTCCGCTCCCAGGGTAGCGTCGCAGGCTCTCGACAAACTTCATTGCGCCGGCAGGGTTGTCCTCTGCGAGGAGGCTGAGTGCGTCAACCATACCCGGAGCTAAACCGAAGAGCGCTGAGATGTTGTTATGTTTCACTGAGGTGTCTGGCGTATCCTCGTCGAAGATGCGGTATGCGATCGCTGCCTGCAGTACGCGGCGGAGATCATCTAGTGGCATTCCGCAGCGAGCGGCCAGGTCCTCATATGTGATTGACGAGCCAGGCTGTACTGGGACATGAGAGCCTATCTTGAAATGGTACAAGCAGGAACAGATGACGATGATAGAAGGCTAGATGGTTTGATTAGCCGCGGGTTCTAATTAGCAATTGGGGAGTCTTGGTTTGCGCGAAGCCTACGAACCACTGGGAGGACCAAAGAACCCAAGTACAGAAACGGCCCCAAGAGACGGGCCTTGAGCTCATCCGCTGCCTCGATAGCTTCTGCCTTGGCCACCTCGAGGGATGCGTCGAGCTTTGGCGCAGCCGGGGGTAAGGTGAAATTGAGCGAGAAGTCGCTACCCGGTTGGCCTTTCGTTCCGTCCTCCAGGATTTTGGCATTCTTCTGGATGAGCTCTGCGAGCTCTGAAATCGATCTCTCAGGCGCCATGGTGTATGTTTAGTTTATGATATCTTGCGGGATAGCTAATGCTGCTTAAGGGAGTAGCTATGTTATTTGCCTTGAAAATGTAGGAAAATAGTCCGGGAAGTGAATACTGGTGCTTTTCAAACTTTTAATCGATGACATGATTTCACGATCTGCCTTTATATATGATCGATTACTTCTATTTTGATATATCTTTTTGTATGCGCTGCGTTCACTTCACGTTGCTAGTGACGGCCTCATAACTTTGATGCCGAAGTCTTGGTCGGGGGACCGAGATCCGGCTTATCCCCGACCCCGGGGCCAGAGCCGAGTTTTCGGGATGAGGTTTTTGGATCGGACAAAGCTTTGTGTGGCAAAGCTTCACAGTATGGGCTGCCTGATCAAAGATTTACCTCGTTATTTCCAAATATCAGTTGACTCATATTCTACAATTCAGTCAGATGAGACCCCTATAAACATGCCTCTATCTGGATACTATGTCGGGGTTTGTTTGTGTCCTCGGTGCACATGTACTTACATTGACATTTACACCACACGCTATGTACTGTTATTTTTAACTTCGCGTTCATTTCGAAGGACTATAATTGCATAACCACGCAACAGCTTATCAATTAGGCCAAGCCTTCCCATCTTTGTACAAGTTTCGATTATCACGGGGTTGAAAGATCAAGGCCTCGAGCCTCAGCTGATGACTAAGCTTGGCGGGGTGCGTGTCGGCCCCTCCAATTGTCTCCGCCCCGGGCAGCCTCCTTACATCCAATATAACCAGTCAGATTAAGGTGCTGTTACCAGCTACGTCATGTACCATTTCAGTCCAAACCCATGAGTTCTTTTGCACAACTGCCTGAGTCACACCATAGAACAAGACCATGGCTGAGGCACGCCTGAAGGTCGCCTTGCTCATCGTATCCACCACTGCGGCAAAAGACCCCTCGACCGATGCCTCAGAACTGGCATTGAGCGATGTCTTGGACAAAGAAGGAGGCGGAAAATGGGAGCTCGTCGATACCAAGATCGTGTCCGATGTGGTCACCCAGATTCAGCGTCAGATCATGCTGTGGGCTGATATCGCCGCTGAAAACATCAATCTCATCGTGACCACGGGTGGCACAGGCTTCGCAGTTGCAGACAACACGCCCGAGGTACATTTTCGCACCCCTTTCTCATCTAACTTTACTGACTCTGTGTGCTTATACTAATCACATGATAGGCTGTGTCGGCTCTGCTACACAAGCAAGCCCCTGGACTCGTTCACGGCATGCTAGCTACATCTCTCCAAGTCACACCTTGTGAGTTGTCAGGGTAGTCTGAAATTAAGATGAATGTATTGTTTCCTAACTGCTATAGTTGCCATGATGTCCCGTCCTGTTGCCGGCATAAGGAACAAGACCGTGATAGTAACGCTACCAGGTTCGCCGAAAGGCGCAAGGGAGAACTTGGAGGCGATTCTTAAAATGTTACCGCATGCATGCCAGCAGGCAGCTGGTATGGATTCGAGAGCACTCCACGCGGGAGGAGTGAAGAAGCTTGAAGCAGACGCCGGGATTGGTTCTAAATCAAAACAAACTCAATCGCATGCACACCATGATCACGGTCATCACCACGGGCACAGTCACAGTCACGGTCATGGACATGGACACGGTCACGGAGATCTGGTCAGACATACATCTCCGAATACTAATCCGATATCTAATGATCCAAGTCTCGGACCCAGTCGCCGAAGTCGCGAGTCGCCTTACCCAATGCTCTCGGTAGATGAAGCCCTACAGAAAATCAAGGAGTTTACGCCGCCGTCCGAAGTAATAACTTCCAAGGTAGACACGTCGCTGACGGGTCGGGTACTAGCTGAGAATGTTTCTGCACGAGAAAATGTGCCTGGATTTAGAGCTAGCATAGTAGATGGGTATGCCGTCGTGGTGCCGAAGGATGGCAAACTCGATGGAGTGTTTCCAGTTGTGTCCGTCTCCCACGCAGCTCCCGGCGAATCAAAAGTGAAGGAACTTAAAGAAGGAGAGATTGCAAGGATAACAACTGGCGCACCGTTGCCGCCTGGCGCTACTTCTGTCATCATGGTCGAGGATACAGTGCTGAAAACCATGACGGACGATGGCAAGGAAGAGAAAGAAGTCGAGATTCATGTCGAGGGCGTTCGGGAAGGAGAGAATATTAGGGAGATTGGTAGCGATATCAAAGCAGATGAAGTAGTACTAAGCAAGGGAGAGCTGATCTCTGCCGTCGGAGGTGAGATTGGCCTCATGGCCGCAGTCGGCGTCGCGGACGTCAAGACATATCGCAAGCCCCTGGTAGGCGTTTTGTCAACCGGTGATGAAATTGTCCAGCACGACCGACCAGGAGCTTTACGCCTCGGCGAAGTCCGCGACACGAATCGCATTACGCTGATGTGCGCGGCAAGAGAGCAAGGCTTCGAGGTTGTTGATCTCGGCATTGCCGCCGACACCCCGGGGACCCTTGAGGAAACCTTACGAGACGCGCTGCGTCGCGTTGACCTCGTCATCACCTCCGGCGGCGTCTCAATGGGCGAGTTGGACCTCCTAAAGCCCACAATCGAACGCTCGCTCGGCGGCACAATACACTTCGGCCGGGTGGCGATGAAACCCGGCAAGCCCACTACCTTTGCCACCATCCCCGTGAAGAGCAACTCTGGCGAACGCATCTCCAAGGTCATATTCTCCTTACCGGGAAACCCGGCCTCGGCCCTCGTCACATTCCACCTGTTCGTCCTGCCGTCGCTTCACCAGATGTCCGGGATTTCACCCGCCGGGCTGAGCAAGGTCCCCGTGTTCCTGGCGCACGACTTCGCGCTCGACAAGGCGCGGCCCGAGTACCATCGTGCGCTCGTCGTCGCTGATGGCAGCGGACGCTTGCTAGCGACGAGTACAGGCGGCCAGCGCAGTTCGAAGGTTGGTAGTCTGAGGGGCGCGAACAGTCTTTTGTGTCTGCCGAGCGGCAAGGAACCCTTGAAGAAGGGCGCGAAAGTCGATGCTTTACTGATGGGACATGTTAGAGTTAATGCATAGGGTGCAAATACTGGTGTCCAATTACTAGTGTATGTAATAGGTATATCTATTATACGTGACCTAGCTGTCTGAATGAATTTATCTATCCGATAACTACGACCTCAGTTTCAAGACTTTCTAGAGCTGTACCTTTGGAGTTCAGCCAGTTTAATGCCCAGTTGTTTACTTGTACTCTTTCCTATTTCATTGTATGTGAGATCGCGACGACTTTACGGGGCCACGGCTGAGGAGCACAATTGATCGGGGTCTACTAAAGGAGTGTTCCTGCTGCCAAGGAGGTGGTGTGTCGCACATAGTCGCCTGTGGCCATCAAGGTTGACAGGAAAAAGATGATGGAAGTTCACCTGTTACGCCGTGAGATTTGAATGAAGTAATCTGTTATTCCTGCCAAGGTTCACAGTTCCAGGAAGTCATAAATCTTCCAATTGAATAATTCAACGAACTCTCTAGGATCGATCAATGTTTTCGCCGATCATCAAGCCTGAGGTGCCAAGAAGTCAGTTGTCCGGCGCCTCTGTGCAGGATTGGTGCTGACGTGTCTCGCTTCGTTTGGGGCCCTCTTCATAAGCGGTGTATTCGATGGACCCCCCTCTCCATGGAATCGCCGATGTCGCGGCTGATCGAGGTCGTGGTAGAACCGGTGTGAAGACTGTGGTCATGGATCCCGTAATCGGTGTGCAATTTGAAGCATCGTGATTGGAGACACCTGTAGCCTGCCGTCTTGGTCAGTGGATTCAATTCTAGCCGGGAGATACTAGACTGTGATCTATCACTTTTCCTCCAACAGTGCTGCAATCACGCCGCTTCTTTGTCCGATTCGGACGGTTGATAGATATCTGCCTGCAGATATACTCATGTCGTGTAACTTTGGATGCGGCTTTTCATCCTCACCCAAACGCGGGGTTGTTGAGCTCTGGCGTGGGCATTGCTCTCGAAATCGACTATAAGTTCTCCCCTCTCCCCCCAGGCCCCCCTCTCCCTTTTTTTAACTATGGTCGCGCAGCGGCCATCTACGTTTATTTGTACGATATGGGATGTGGATCTCGGACGTGTGTGCTCCAAGGGACCGCGAGTCCCACCTACGAGGGATCAGATCAAGGTAGTATTGAGTGCTCTAGGTACCTAAGTTCTACCTGAGGAGCAATTCAGCGGTATGCTGAATATATATGCGATCTCCAGACCCTTATTGACCCGTTCCTTGACTCCACCAACGTCTGACAGTGGGAGATTATTGATAACACTCGCTTCGACGAAACTCTTCTTCCCTTGATAGACTTGGGGTTCTGAATCTTCGCGCTTTGTCGTCCTTTCGCGGCGGTATAGGTAGTGAAATTGGCAGTCGTCTTATGTCATGGAGGTATGTCCCAGAGTGAATAGAAGGCCAGTCACAGTCAAGTAGGTAGGTAGAAGGGATAGTATAGGCGTCAATATTCATTGAATCCTGAACCCTCCAACCCTCGAAGGGGGGCCAACACCCCTTTATATAGCCAGTAGGTCTAATACAGCCACCCCTAGGGTCTATGTGACTATCACCTGACAGAATACCCCCTCGCGGAGTGCCTTGCCCTCAAGGCACTACCAGAGTGAGGCTATTCCCAACCCATCAACAACACCACTACTCCAAAGCCCAACTAAAATAGCCCTTCAAAAGGTTTTTTTAGGGGGGCCCTTTTCTTTGTTTACTGAGTACAGCCAGTTTTGGTACGGTAGATAGGTGATAAGAATGAACTAATAAAGACCCAAAAGAATGGACGCGATTAAGAATGAAGGGAAAGGTAGTTTTCATTTTCATCGGAGTGTTTGGATTGCCATCTATAAGAATGGCAGACGAGTGGGCTTTGAAGATATTCAGAATTCAATAGTCTACTAAGGCTAGTAAGGTACTTAGCAATCTAATTCTTTCCTAGCCTTCCTAGCTAACTTCGGCTCTATAAACAACTGGACTGCCTGTCTTGGAATTGGTCTGTATAATCTCACTTTCAATGATTAAGTGTATGTTTATGAAAGCTTTGTGCTGAATATACAAAAAGCGATGTGCGCGTGTAACGATTGAGACAATTGGAATATGTTCTGTCATTACCTATATAACAAGATGGAAGCTAGTCGGCGTTGGGAAACCCAGCAAATAATTGACATATTCATTGTTTTACCCATTTCTTATTCTCATATTTAAATAGAGCCGGATCGTACTCCGGAAACTGGAAGAACCAGTCGGAGGCCCATCTAGTACGCTGTGCATTCCCATAGTTCGATTGGATATCCTGCCGATCTTTTTCAAGCGCGTTTGTAGCGGCCATGATGGCTCTGAGGAAACCCAAAGACACGACCGCGCTGTTAAAAGTGACGAGGCCCAAAACATCACGAATCAATCTCACAATGTCGAGTTGTGTGAATTTTGTTATTCGGGTGCCCTGGATGTGGTTGAGGAGGAAGTTTCGAAACCCGCCAACCTCATTCTTCCTCTTAATTTCGTTGGCAATGATAAACACCATCTCTGAATTTCCCACTGCAGCAGCTTCTTTGCTGGGAACGAGTTCGTGAACCCACCCTGCGTTCTCCTTTGTTCGCATGGGGCTACGGAGCGAAATCGGTATCGAAGCCTCCATGAGGAGTCCTGGTAGTAATATGGTTAGAAGAGGAGTAGTGTTCATTGTATGTATCCAAGTTCCGCTTAATACTGGCCGTCGCTACTTACCAATACAATACCAAACCCATCTATCAGACTTCTTGTCTTAATTAAGAGAAAAAAGTCAGTGAATTTCCATACAATTGGACGGGCCAAGTGTCGTGCTTCTTTAGAAGATGGGCCACCAAGAGCGGATGGATTCTACAATTCTAGAGTGGATTTCTAGTTTGTTCGACGAGAAAGACTTGGGATACTGACCAGTTATAGGCATATAACGTCGGAAATTGCCGAGTGAACTGTCGTCAACACGTTTTCGCAAGTCTTTTGCATAGCCCTGACACTTCAAGAAGTCTTTCTTACGGAAACTTTCAACAAACTGTCCGATGATTTTCCTTGCGGTCACGTCACGCCACTTCAAAGGAAACCCCTCTAGTTAGCTTGAAAATTATCTATTTTACCACATCCCGGTTGACATACTGGAGTTAAGTTCCACTAGAATAATAGGCGTTAGTATTCCCTCTTAAGTTCATGTTCTGTGTTCTGCGGTGTCACTTAGGCTTGCTGTTAAGGGATGACGATGTGAATATTGACATACTTCGGCCATAGTTTTCTCACTGTAGCACTTGGTGTTAGTGATGACCAATTCTAAGGTTTCTAATCTAGTTCAAATGTTATGGAAGCGCAGCCGGATATATAACCTGACTGTGGAGGAGCTAGCATCGCGGCTAGATATAATGCAGATATTTCACTAAATGGAGGGCAAAGAAGTCACTTACAACCACGACTTCCGGTAATTCTTCCACTGGTAGGTTTTTTCTTTAAGCTCCCGTAGCATATGTCCATCTTCAGGATATTTATATTTTAACGACCTCGGATCCTTGACTACGAGTCCATTTTTGCAGCATGGATTTCCCTGTCTCAGTTCGTATTGTACTTGGATGATTTGATTTCTGTGGAAGAAATTTTCGCTTTTTGAGGGAAATGCTGGATCTCGCCAAAAATACTTGCTCAGTAACTTAGACATCCAGACTGAAGGTATATGTTCCATCCTGCCAACATAGCCTTCTTGGGCGTAATTAGCGCCTGGGGAATTAACATCGCTGCTCCAATACCACGGCCATTCGTTCGCGACTACCGCCAAGGGTATAGAGTACTTATCGTTCCCAGTAGTTTCAGCTAAGCTATATTAGATATTTTCTATCACTTTCATGCTTGGAGACCTTGTAATTAGGCGTAGCGCTTGCCTGACAAGGTAATTACAGGCTTGATGAACTTACGATATCGGAATTGGCAACCCCCGAAAAATTTGTGTTCCATGCAGAACCCAGTTTCCCTAAACCCATAGCCGTTGATGAACTTGGAAATATTAGCTCATTCACCAAGAACCAATGTCGCCGTAGCTGAAAAGAATAATAATAAACATACGGGCTCCGCTGGGATACCAAACCGGCCACCGTTTCGCTTTTTATCTGTTAAAGTCCCGACATAGTTGTCATTATTGTGGCGCGTACGGTATATTGCGTGCATGAGTTCATGGATGATCTGGAAAGCTATCAGTTAATTTGAAAATGCTCTTAGTGGCCGAGGCTCCCGGGCTAACTCACTGTTATCGCCAAATTGACCTGCAGCGTGCACAGCTCTTCCAAAGCCAAGTCTGATTCGAGCATAGTTACAAACCATCCGATATGGACAACAAGTATTGAGCTGTATGGAAAATGCTTGTCGTCTATATTAGCATAATTTGTTTGTCCATCAACCCCTTTGTCTAAATGTCCGAAGCCCCAGATTATCGTGTTGAAAAGCTTTTCGAGTCTGTCCGCCCAATCTTGGCTACTATGTGTCGCGACTATGAAGAATAGCTGTGAATACTGTCCAGTTTAATCCATATATCCTTATTGATTTCACTCACTGTGATCCCATTGGCAAGACGGCTCTCCTCGAGTTTGAGACAACAACACTTCCTGTGCATGGCTGAGGAGAACCATACCGTCTGGTAAAGGCGGAGGGCCGAAGCAGTCGACGCTGTAGGTTGCTGGAATTAGTGCTACTGGTTTAGGTATTTTCGGAATCGGTTCAAGGAGCTCCGTGGGGTCTCAGGATAATACAATCTTCGCCTGCACTACGACTACAAGTGGAAAAGGAAAGAAACGAATAAAGAAATAAGAGAGAGAGAGAGAGAGAAGGAATGACATACTGTTGGTCCCAATAGTCTATTCGCCCATAAAGCATCGTTTGAAGCTAGCACGGATAAGTCTATGCGGGTTGTTTTGGAGAAAACTCAGTATGAGCTTTTAATTATCATGTCACTTACTGCAGCAAGCTTAGCATTTCACTTATTGTACTAAGGTGATGATTATTTACATACCACCATCGTGTTTGTCTTGAATAAGTGCTTTAAGCATTCGATCTGCCAACTCGATACTGAGGCTCAAGTGCTTCCATATATCTGGGTCGTCTACAGTCCAGTTTCTTCCCGGCAATTCTTCAAAGTCGGGATCGATGTGAAGCCAGTCGAACCATCTCTCTTTACGAAAAAAAGAGAACCATTTCGCCTCATCGACCTTGATCCTGTCGCGCTCATATATCTGAAAAGCTTTCTGTTCATTTCGCACCTGGTTCTGTGGAAAGTTTGAGCTTAATGCAGTCGGACCAGGAGATGGTGGTATTAGAGTTGGAAAATGCTGTCCAGTCGTAGACGCATCTCCAGGCCTGTGGCCCCCAGATATGAAACCAACCTCCGGGGAGAATCGAAGATATCGGCGCAGCACTGCAGCTTGCCATGTCTGAAGATTGTAAAGCCGACCTTGTTGTACTTGCTCGCAAGCTAGACAATTATCGATCTCCTTATAGCTTTTTGGTACCTGGTTGTCGGCGGGCAGCGCGTCGGGATCGTAGTACTTAGGATCGTTTACCCGTGGATACTTGGGCGCAAGTATCGAATGGTTTATGTGTCCTGATACATACGAGATATCTGCATTGGGAAATCGCTCTGCCCAAGGTGACAAGGGCGCATCTTTTGAGTACCTGAACAACCCGTCGTCCATGATGTCGCAGACGCATCTAGTGACTAAGCGTGAGGTGAAGGACAGCTTCACCCCACAGCATGAGAGCCGTACGTTAGGGAGATCTAATAATGGATAAGAGTGTCCGGAATCGTAAGATTAGAACAAAGGGAGATCCCGGGCCCAGACAAGGCGCTGTCCCCTCAGCTTATCAGCCATGGTTTGCTGTCTCTTCGTTTCTCTTAAGCGGTATGTCTAATCTTATCGTGCTCTGGGGGGGCTTTGGCAGCCAATGGCACCATCAGTGCAAGCATGTGAGACCTTAGATATTGGCAAGATGGTGGGTTTACGGGCGTTGCCAACTATCTAAGGGTGATGTTGTTGATTTGCGCGGCATACATTAGACCTCAGTAAGTACCTAGGTAGGTACCTACCTAACCTTGGAAGGCTGATGGCGAAAGATTACAGTGGTCAATTCGCTATAGTACAGCGGGCAGAGCTACCACTGGCATCTAGCACCTACATACTTAGATATAAGGTCTTTTTTTAAGCAATGCTTTTTTTTCGGTTTCTTTTCGTTTTTTCCTTTGTCGTGAGCGATGCTTTCATTCATTAACAACAGTGACCAAGCATAGGTACCCATGGTTCGTAAAATAGAGCTCTAGCCCCCCTCCCCCACGCATATTCGTGATAGCCATCACAGTCTACCGGTACCCGACTCCGTATAATGTGTAATCAACCCTTTGTTCCTTCCACCATCCTCTTTGGACGGCCTCCTATAACTTGCCCAGGCTTTGATACTCTTCGAGGTTTCGCGCCCTCCGTTTTCATTGGTTTCTTTGCCAATTTTCCGTTGCAGCGGCTCGGGCGATTCGCTAGGAGTTTGTTTGAGGCCCGTTGCGGGGAACCTCGTCCCGATAGCATCGCATACATAGTACTTACTCGGGCTTCTTGCCTGCGAGCCTTCGGCTTGTCCGCTCCTTTTTGTACGTCTTGCATTGTCTGTCACGGCATTGGGGTGCTGTGTCCGTGTTCCCATCAAGCTCATCGTGCTTGCTAGGTACAGAAGCGCGACGCCTTCGTGGTTCGTCGGTCGCGAGTTTGACGTAAGACGCCTTTCCTTTGTTGGAGTGGTGAACTTCCTGGGTTTGGTGTCTCCTTACCTCAATGGCGCTAGCGAGGGCATCTTGTTCTCGCTTTCGGGAGATGCGAGCATACGTGTTTTTGCGCCAGGTCAGGTCTCTGCTCTTCCCAGGTAACATTAATATCATAATCACTAGATCCTGCAAATTCGTATTCCTGTCGCGTCTATCTTCTTTTTCCACCTTTCTTTTGCGGCTTGATTTTCCGAGAAGGCCCAACTGTGCATGCACCATCCATTTAGTCAGCGTTATTATTCTGTCGCTATTCGAGCATGGCAATAGCGACCTCGTAGATAACATTGATCTGCTCCACTGTCTAATTCTTTTATGAGAGATCGATATGGGCCTAGAGGCGCTCTTGTGCGCGTGTTTACGGAGCCATCCAAATCGGAACGACGGAGGAATTGCTCGGGGACAATTATGATTTCCTGTAACTTAGTCTTGAAGGGCGAAGGCGAAGGCGACGGCGATGGGGGAGACGAGAGCGATGGGTATCTAGAATTAAACATACTAGTGGGCGAGGCATTGTGTTGTGTGATGCTGGTCGAGACTTGCAACCTGCTTGTTGTTGGCCAACACTTTACGGACGTCCAAATAACGGACATAGCACAAGGCGCGGCAATTGCTATCGGTGCCTGCGCCCTGCCTCGGCTTCACAGCACTAAGCGACCTTCAACAAAGTCGGTCGTCGGTTGGTGCTCGTTGTGCGCCCCGATGCCTGCGTTGCACCGTGCACCAGCGCCCAATAGCATCGTAGTCGGCTTACCTCGTATCCCTTCCCTTCGCTTGTGTCGCATTCATCAGGTAAATCCAAACATTTGGCTTTTTGCGGTCTGCCTGACGGAGGCTTTCTCGTTCAATATTCAACATGTGTTTCCAAAGATAGACTATGACGGAGCTGTGTTCTACGTTGCCCCAGACAACATATGTGCCGAGGAGGTCCTTTGAAATCCCTTTAACCGCGATCGAATAGGCACAGTCCCTCACGCCAACGATGGCAAAGAAGTTTCGATAGTCGTAATGGCACAGAAGGTCAAAAGTCCGCCGTACCTCTCAAGCGTCGGCGGACGCAGTGGTAACGATGTGATTCGCAATACAAGCTTCTCGAGAAATGATCAATGCTACTCAGAGCAGACGCGAAAGGTGGATGTACAGAGACTCGGCGTAACTGTAATGGAATACTTTATTGCATTGCCATTAGAGGAAAACAAGGAGAAAAGAACTGGTAGATTTGGCCTGGTTCGAGTACCTTCATTCTCATCTATATTCACATGCACCACGCTTTGTATTGATGCTAGCCTTTGAGGCTGGTTAGCGTCCAATGGCTCGCGCCTAATACTATGTCTGCAGTGCAGAATGTGCTCCTAAATGGCACTCGGACGGGTCAAGAGGTCCCAACAGTGGCGGAACAAATGGGGGCCAGGTCTTGGCAAACCCTGACAAGAGGGCCTAAGAAAGCAGTGCAGCGTGCCAAGACAAGACCGGGACGGGCGACAAGATATCGGTCCTCTACATGAACTCACAACGCCTTTCCAAGGAAATCCCCAGCGCACGCGGCATAATGTGTTGAAAGGACTACATAACTCTCCTTTAGAAATCTGTATAGTCTTTAGCATCATAGGCAGCAAGAGGGGCGTCAGCGTCCTCTTTGTATGTAGCATTAGCCAAGCGTGTATTGCCTCGCTTTCGTGATTATCTGTGATAGCTGCCTGATAGAGTCGCAATGAATAGATCAGATATATAGCTCTTGCGATGATTAAGCCGTCAAATTAATTACGAACGATTTACAGACCTAAGTTGATGATATCAGATACCTAACAAATTCCAAAAAAAAAAAAAAAATCCTTATTATTAATTCTGCCACACCTCAGTGGTCACTGTAAGGGGTATGTATGAAGAATACTACTCGGGAACGATTTTCTCACTTCGAGAGACTAAGCCTTAGTTCGAATAAGCTATATTCTTAACACTGCTCTTCAGGCTGTGCTACCAAAGTGTTAAAATACACGCACAGCACTCTCTATCCTTGGTTCCACCTCAGTCCCCATTAGGCTCAAAGAGTTCTGGTATCCGTTGGTGCCGTGATCGATGTTGTTGATATGTAATAGACCTATTCAGTCGTCTGTTATTCTTTCCGCATGTACAGAGTAAGTTTGTTATTTGCTTGAAACGGATTATCCTCATCATCTTCTTTCTGCGACGCAGGGAATTCCAATTTGTCATACAGCGCCTCTAGTCTGTTGGTTCGGGGAGAATCTTGACGGAATTCGAGTTCGCACTGTTTCTCGGGATTCGCATTCAAACTGTGCCTAAGATCAGTACAGGAACCGTGTAAAGTGTTGTTATTAAGTAAGCAGATATGGAGTGGCCTACCGACTGGCTAGCCCCTCCATTTCTTCCCAGGTAATCGGAACGCCCTGCTCCCAGATAATGGCTCTAGGCATACGCATGTGCGGCCCGATAATGGTCGCGTAATCAGCGATGATCTCTTTTAGCGGAAACTTAAGGTGATTCAGCGCTATTATTAAAGTGCTGTCGTCAAAACTGAATACGTGGCGAAAGTTCTTATCTCTAATGACCTTGATCGAGGGCCCTAGCATTTCCAAGGCAGTTTTCATATTAATATCGCAGTAAGTATGGTCCTGAAAGACTACCTCCACCTCGGGAAGATTTGGTTCTGGGCCCTGTAACTTATGGCTGAGATCTAAGACGAAAGCATGCTGTTGTCCAAATACCCATCCATAAGGGTCATGGTACCCTAATCCTATGGCTAGGATCTTGGTAAATGGCTGATGGCTGCGAACATAACAATGACGCAATGCTCTGTGGATAGAGCCTTCAATCCTAGACCTAATCTTCGATTGCTTCCATATCTGTTGGGCATCTGTCAACCGTCTTTGAAAGCACCGCGTCCGGTTACTCTGCGGGATACTCGGACCCAATAAGTCGCCGTAATCCATGGGACGAAGTGAGAAGGCTCTCGTAAGAATGTTTCTAGAGTCGCTGCAAAGGTATGGCATGCAGATTAGCCATTGGATGGACGAAAGATCTAAGGTTGCATATCTATATAGGTAAGCTGTTTAGTTTTTCTCATCTGAACAACAAATGCGAAATATATGATGCAATCACTAAAGAGGGACATATTGCTTACTGCAATGCCGATTCAGAGAAGGTGAAGCGCTTCTTATCACCAAAAAAGTCAATACCGATATAGGATGGGTCAAGACCGTAGGGACATGACTTGTGGTAGGCAGCGAAATCTAACAGCTCTTGAATATGATGAAGAGGATACAACGGCATATCTGACTCGTATGCTTGTCGTAGTCTGAGTAGAAAGTCATGTACCTCGGTATCTTCATTACCTGGTAAGGCCGCCGCAAGATCTCCCATGGACTCCATGATACGAATTTTGAGTAATGGCAACAGAATAACAATTAATGGGTACAAACAGTGCGTATGAATGATATTCCAGATAGCTGGCTTTTGTGTTCAATTCATAAACATTCATGATGGGTGGAAGATGTCGGTAGAAGCGTGGAGTTTTTTCGATTCATCGGCCTGCTGATATCGGTACAGTCGACAAAGTCGCGACTCCCTGTGTACCATCGAACATATGAATCGTATCTTCTGAGGAAGGCAAGGCCGTCTTTTTTTTTTTTTTTTTTTTTTTTTGCAAGGTAAATATCGTTAGATCGAGGCCAAACTACCTGTAACTCCCATCCGAGTCAGCATAAACATTCCTAATTATGGCAATGACGGCATAACATTGTCCAGGCGCGTCTATCTTATGGAACGATCAAATTTGGGGAATCTGAAGCTGGCATTCCTTAACCTTCAAGTGGAGCGTTTGGGGTCGCTGATGCCCTTTTACCATTGCTTGCGTGGCAGCAGACCCGCACATTGTATGTTGTCATCGGCATTCCCACTTTGTCACCCGGGCGGAACTGTCGCGTCGATATCATGAGGTGAGCTTCCCATCTCAAAATTTTGCGAGACGGAGCCGGAAGAGCTTCGCGAGATCCCCGTCCTGCCGTGAAAATAGGGCAATCATTATCACGTGGTGCCACTTCCACCAGCTCACCTGCACGTGGTACTAGACCTCTCGGATCCCTTGGCGCACTTGGATATGGAGCGACCAACCTCGTGAGGTCATGACACCGGAGAAACGACAGGCTCGGGATGCGGGAACCTCATGCACGATGGGGTGTCACCGTTTCGGTTGTTCCATATAAGGGATAGAGTGTACACCCAGACACCGCTAGAAACAGCATGCAGGCGCCGAAGTCGCCTGTTACCGGCATCTGGCCTGCGAGCGTACGTGATATTACAAGTCGTTGGAAAAAACGATACGAGATACTACACATCCACTGGCGGGCAGTATCGTGCTCTTCTTCGAGTAGCGGTGTTTGTCAGAGTGTGTTGCGAGTAGAATGGCAAGGTAGGCGTAGCCACAATTGTGGCTTGCTACCAGTGTGTGAAAGACAGTATTTCTATATCTCCACACTGTAGAGCGGTCTAACTCGGGAGCATGGGAGGAAACTATACTGGGAAAGCCCTGTTGCACAGCATCTATCTAAAATATATTGCATTTCTTTAATGCCATTGTTGATCCCTCTAAGTTCATGAAAAGATGCCACATGCTTCTCTCTCAATACATCCAAGGTGCAGAGGCTGACCAACTAAAGCTTCAACTCGGTAGTGTTTCGAATGGTCATATAGTAAGAATGATAGAGCCACACATAGGTTATCAGGGGAAATGGGAAGATATGGGTATATCATTCCTCTCCTGTTCCTTAGGTAGAGAGCAGCATAGCCCAGAAACCAAGGCTTAAAGCTGTCATGAAATAGTCAGCTTCACTGTTATTTAAGGTCTATAATTATAATCTTCATCTTCGTCTTCCGAATTGAAGTGCTAAATCAACTCTACTGCTAATTCCGGAAAGCTGCTGTGTTTTCCTTCTTTTGCGCTTCTTCCGGCGATACGATAGACTCTGTTCATTTCATCAGCCCCAAGCTCCAAGGCCTGAACTGCATTCCAATAAGTACAAGCTGATTATCATAGTCCTTCCATTTTAGAAGGACCAGAGATATTTCATAAAACTTCGTGTCAGAGATCTGTGGGATTTACCTATGCATTGGAGTATCGTCACTCAACTCGATATCTTGGCAGCGCAGATCATTGAACTTCTGTTCCTGCCCCAAGATACGTTCGCTTAGCTTTTTACCAGATGGCATTTCAATTTTCCACGAAAGAGCTTCGGCAACGGGACCTCCATAGCCAATTAGAGTATCTTCGGTGATTGCACTCACTCTATAACCCTGTTGGTTGGTTAGTCGTATGTATATATGTGTACCGAAGTCAGCCGCATCGATGAACTTTGCTGTAGCTACTATAGTCGACCTTGATAACACCATAATGCCGAAGCTCGTTAATACCCTCGCGTTTGTGCATGCTGTCGCGCTGCTGCCAAGTACGGTCCACGCGACGGTGAAGTGTACCGGGAACTTCGGGCGAATATCGGCTTCCGAGTATGTCGCCGCCATAAACCCAGGCTGGAATCTCGGCAATACCCTGGATTCCATTCCGGATGAAGGGTCGTGGAATAACGCGCCAGTGCAGGCTGAGACATTTGCAGACATAAAAGCTGCGGGTTTCAAGAGTGTTCGCATACCGGGTATGATAAGCGAAAGCAACCAGAGCCTTAGAACGGATTCTGACAATAAGTTACAGTCACTTATGCCGATCACTACGTGGGTAGCTCGCCCAGTTGGGAAATCGACCCAAAGTGGCTCCAACGAGTATCAGACGTGGTCGATTCGGCTGTTGATGCTGGCCTATACGTTTTAACAAACGTCCACCACGGTGTGTGGGAAGTGAAATAAACATCACTACGATTAAACACTAACCCCGAACAGACTCGTGGCAATGGGCTGATATATCCGCTCCTAGCGCAAACTAGACGGCAATTGAGGAGCAGATGTATCAAACTTAGCTCCAGATTAGCGAGACGCTAGGCTGCCAACCATCCAGTGTTGCATTTGAGCCAATCAACGAGCCACCAATTGAGACAGCAGAGCAGGCAGCGGAATTGAACAAGGTCAATGGCCTATTCCTTGAGGCTCTCAAAGTCTCCGGGGGCTTTAACTCGGAACGTGTTGTGACTCTTGTTGGTGGCTCCTCGGATAGTATCAAGACATCGCAATGGTTTGAGGCCCCTAAAGGCTACGACAACCCCTGGGCTTTGCAGTATCACTACTACTCGCCATACGACTTCATATTCAGCGCTTGGTAAGAGGATAACCTCAATGCTGTGGAGTCACACTGTTAACTAGTATGATAGGGGTAAAACCATACTGTCTGATGCTGATATTGCGGCGATCGAGAGTGACCTTGAGAATATCCGTGGTAACTTCACTGGTGTACCACTTGTGATCGGAGAGTTTGACGCAAGTCCTTCCAACACTGAACCGGCCTCAAGACGGAAGTATATGGATGTTGTGGTTCAAAAGGCTACTGAACTTGACACTGCAGTAATTGTTTGGGACAACGGTCTAGATCACTTCAACCGCAATACGAAACAGTGGAGAGACCCCCAGTCTGTCGAAATCCTACTTAACGCCGCAGCTGGTGTTAGAAATAGTCTCGCGACCTTCACGACCGATGCATCGGCTACTGAGCAGTCTAGCTCTACATACATTTTCCACAAGGTCGGCGATGAGGTTACTGACCAAACGATCTCCATAGCTCTGAATGGGAACACCCTTGAATCGATCACTACTAAGGATGGTACAGAGCTCAGCGCACCGATAGATTATCATGCGTCTGACGGAAACATCACGTTCTCGTCTTCGTTCCTTTCCAACTATTTCTCAGTATCAGGCTCACCGGGCATCAAGGCAAGCCTCATGATCTCTTTCTCGGCCGGAGCTACAGCCAGTGTGAATATCGTGCAATGGGATATTCCGGTTCTCGGATCGACGTCATCTACAGCTGTCTCCAGTGCCGACCTGCACATTCCTGTCGCATGGACTGGTCTCAACCAGGTCTCAGCTGTGAAGATGGTACGCAGTGACTCGGTGTACCTCTTCGACGACTGGACTCGGTACCTAGGACCCCTACAAGCGGGCTATGGAACATGGAATGGGCAATGGAATTGGGATGACAGTGGCGTGATTCTGACTGCTGCGACAGTCAACGCCGTCATTGCGGTGGGTGTTCCCACCACTTTCACGTTCGACTTCTTCCCTAGAGTTCCAGGCAACTCTGTAAACTATACACTGAATGTTTGATTTTCCTGTTGGGCTATTTCCTTGCGAGCTGGCTAGTGATCAAGCCCCATTGAGATGTCGATCTCAGAAGGTAAATGCAGTAGATAGCAATGAAAGCAATCTAGAACCTTTTTATTTGTATTGGGATGTTAACGGGATTAGAATCCTCGGATACATATACTTATGATTCACTTCATTTGATCCTATCACGCTACTGATGCAGCTACAGCTAGCTCTTCAGTCGGAGTTACCCCTGAATTTTGCCCAACCGCAACCGATGCGACCTCGGTGATAGACAGACTCATGCCCTTCAAATCGGATACTTCACTCCGGATGGCCCCATACTTATAATCTTGATCTCGGTGAATTCCAGGACACCGGCCATCCCCCCAAATCTTCCGTACCCCGAGCTCCCGCCGATACCTCCATTCGGGGTGCCAGCGGGCAGGTATACCGAGGGGTTGTTAACATGACAGCTGCCCGCCCGAACCTGTCGCGCGATCTCGAGAGCGCGCATCACGTCCTTGGAGAAAACTGCCGCGCTCAGACTGTAGTCGCTGTTATTCGCGAGCTCAATAGCCTCTTCATCCGTCTTAAAGGTCGTTAGACACACAAGCGGCCCGAAGCTCTCACGCTGGAAAATTTCCATACTCGGTGTTACATCATCTAAAACATGCGGCGCCATAATCGTCAGCCTGGGCCCCGAGGCCGCCACGTCGCCGCACAGCAGTTTCGCGCCAGCGGACACGGCGTCGTTCAGAAGCTTCTGGACGCGCTTTGTTGATGCAGGCGTAAACAAGCCGGAGATGGACACGTCAGGGTCTTCTTCGTGGTTTCCTGCTTTGACACTCTCGATGCGCGCCAAGAATGCCTTTTTGAAGGACTCGGCTATGGATTCGTGGAGTAGCACGCGCTCTGTCGACATGCAGATCTGGCCCGCGTTCGCAAAGGACCCGAATGCCACCGCTTCGACAGCATCCTCGAGATTTGCGTCATCAAGGACAATGACGGGCGCTTTTCCGCCGAGCTCGAGCACACATCGTTTCAGACAAGTCGCGGCATGACCTGCGATAATGCGTCCTACACGGTCGCTGCCGGTGAAGTTGACGTGGCGGATCAGGGGATGCTTTACGGCGAACTCGGTCAACGCGGGTGTACGCTCCGCCGAGACAGGGAGGAAATGGAGACACTCCTTTGGTACACCCGCCTCTATCATCGCGCGAACGACGAGATGCTGATTCTTCGGCGAAAACTCAGAGGGCTTTACAATAACTGTATTTCCACAAATCAACGGGGTAGCGATTGCGCGGACCGTCAAACTTGCCTACTCAGTTTTAGTTACACAGCTTGGTGATTCCGGGTGAATGATAGGTTATCATCGTACCGGAGCATTCCACGGGCTGATTGCTAGAACGACGCCAAGAGGCTGTCGCTCAAGCAATACTGTCGTGCCGGGTTTATCCGTCGGCAATATCTCCCCTTTAATCTGCGTCGCCAAGCTAGCTGTTTCACGGAGGTTGTCCACGCCCGAGATGGTGTTGACTTTGGTCCAGAATCGAGTCCCAGATACCTCCGCCGACATGAGTGCCGGCGCCTCAGTCTCCATATATTTCTCCAGGATTTCCGCTGCGCGCAAGAAAATCATGCGCTTGGCGGACGGCCCCACGCGCGACCACGTCTTTTGTGCGACGGCGGCCGACTGGATCGCTCGCTCGTAGTCATCTTCAGTCGCGGATGCGCAATCATACAATTTCGCGCCCGTCATCGGGTTATACACCGGAAATGTACCACCATCCGAGCTTGGCGCATACTCGCCGCCGATGAAGAGTTGCTGTGGCGCACTGATATCTCCCACCGTTGACGATCCCACTGCATCCCCATTGCTATGGCCGTCGCTAGAAACCATTTTCAATTCCTTGCACTACTATCTTACCTAAAAGAAGGAAAAGGCGCATTGTCAGAATATTTCATGGGTATCTGCTGTATATAAACACTTATATTTGAGATATGACAATGATTTGCTTACTCCTGAGTCTTAACCCCGCAGTCCAGAGGATTATCCGACGGCTCAGATATAGCAACTCCAATGGCATTGCATCATCTCCCCGGTAAATCACACAATCGCCACGGCAGTTCTTTGCATTTGAAACTGGCGTAATTTGTCAATGTGAGCATTAGTGCTCACAATTTCTACTTATTCCAGACATAAACGAGCAGATCAAACACGCATTTGGAGAAGGTCTATGGCCGCCATCGAGGGATATGTTAGACATTTACGTCTAGGTAGTTTCTTTGTCAGTCATTACATACTATCTTTAAGATTTTATGTCGGCTTAGAACATTTTATCGGACTCGGTATCTACCCCTTGAGGCCCGCTGTCACCTGATACCAATCCATGTTTTCTCTGCTCCTGGATGGCATTCCGCGCTTCAGCTTGCTCATTCTTTTTCCTAACAACCAACCGCGTCAGTATTTATAGTTTGCATCTTCCAGAGAGATCGAAAGCGATTATGCACATACCGATCAAGATCGCTCGCTAAATCTGGTTGTGATCCTGTAGCACCAGGCTTGCGGTCCACAACATCAGCTACCTGCCCCTCTCCAGCAGCTCGCATTTGCTCGCCCTCGAGTTCACGGTGGCGCCCTGCTTCTTCTGGGGTCCGGCCGAAACGCTCTTCCCCGGCTGGAGCGCCATGTGTTCCCCATCCTAGACTTGATGGTACCGCGTCTTTAATACCTGACGACTGGGTTCCAGGAAGGCGCTCCGCCACAGGGCGCTCGTGACCATGTTGGTGGGCTGCACGTTCTTCAGCGGGGTTTGATGTTACGGCATTGCCTTCTGTCTGGTAGGCTGCGCTCTGAGGGGGCTGTGGTACACCGGAAGGCTCCATTTCTGACAAGTATACGTAAGATTTGATGAAACTGTGTCTATTCAGTCGTGAGGCTTGAAACTTGATATGTTCATTGAGAGGCGAGGATATCGTAGTCATTTGGAGAGAGGAACACTAACTCGCCGCGCTGACGTAACAGATCAGCGCTGGGTCAATGACGTCGACGACAGACGCTACCTACTAAGCTTTCTCGAATTGGCCAATCAGTATTCAGAAGACTGACGCTTTGGGATAACGTATAATTAACTAATGTGTTAGCATATGATCGTGACCCTTGGCGGTTTTGGAAGGCCTTTGCTATTGAATGGAAGAGATCAGAGCTGATGTTGCATTCTATCAGATGTAGATGCGAGCAAGCTTTCTAAGCTTCTTTTATAACCAAGAGAGTCTCTAGTTTTGGTAAGCTTAGAGAGCCCTAGAAGACATACGTTAGGGCTAGTTAGGCTCGACGTTACGGGGATAAAACAAAATTGATCAAAACTTCAATCTGCGCCGTGCTGATATCATTCTTCCAACGGCTACTGATGGCAGGTACGGTGGGAGTGGCTATATTACCCCTCACAGTAGATTCCTTCCGTGACTAGAACTTCTACTCAACAACATTAATACAATCCTTTGGCAATCCATTCATCCATCACTACAGAGTAAAGGAATTGGATAAGGCCAGTACTCGCTGGGTTATAGTTACCCAATCCAGTAATCCCATGGAAGGGCTTCAAATCATATTGGGACTAGTTACTAATGCACCCTTGCCCGCTTTACTATGGTAGGTACCGCTCTTAGCCCAACCCTTTAGTTTGGCATCTGCTCCGCGACCTGGCAACCTGGAAGACATCCCATCAGCCTTCGCACCTCATCTGACGGCGCCCGCCGCTGCGATGCCGTCGAGATCTTTGGCGTCGATATGTTGGACGTCTCTATGATACAGCACTGGGTTGAGTCTATTGAGCCCGTTGATCGTCTGCCGGGCGCAGTCCACACATCGAGCGCTCCTGACATTCGACCGACTAAACGCGCCCGATACGATCACGACAATCCGGTATCAAGCACGCCCGAACGCCGCTACGATCCCGCTCTTTTCGATGATGCGCTACAAACACCCCCAGAGACTACCAGTATGCAAACTACGGGGCAGAAAAGACGTGGAGATGGCATAGCTAAGGGCAGTGAGTCTGGGAGTACGGTTTCCGAATTGCAGCATCGATCGCTGCCTCCCCCAAAACCAACGTCAAGGCGCCCGAGTCCTGTAAGGCCGTCTCTCAAGACGGCGGCCGACCTAGAATTACTTGACAAGCCGGTCTTCACACATGAGATTGCCGCTGAAGAGAATGTACAAGCGATTCTTCCAGACGACGTCCAATCCCTCTACGTCGCGATCGAAAACGCTGCAACACACCAGGAGGAGATCATCCCCAAAGAGGTACGAGACCAGGTTTCGCGCTTGGTAGGAGAAAATGCAACGCGCCCGAGGTTTTTTCGATCGACTGAGACCGTTGGAGGCACCTTGACCGCTGAGGTAACATTGGCAAGACTACGCGACATCGTTGACAGAGCGAAGTCATCAGCAGAACAAGGGCGGCACGAAACGGCGTGGAACCATCTTGTCCACACCCCCATGTTAGACTTGGCGTTTCGTAATAATGGCCCGGTTGGTGTTGAGCCGGCTATGACTGCTAACATCGCGATGAATTCGGTACCAAGACTACGACCTGGGATTGGAGCAGGGTACGACACGGCGCCTCTACCGGCCTGGTCTGCCCCCCACAGCAATAGTGTAACGCTGTCTGAGAATTCGGAGGGACAGCGTCCAGACAGCCAACAGCAAGGCAATATCGACCGTAAGAAGGTCGACTACGTCTTGGTTGCCGACGTCGCAGACCCGAAGATGAAGACGGTCATCCATGAAATGGTTTGGGATCTGGGTATCTCAGGCTGCGGTACTCATTTCAACCAAACAGAGTATCTGCCTTTGCGATATAAGCCGATCGCTGTGACTATCGAGACCAAGGGAAAGTCATCGACGCGTGATCCTTTGCTACAGCTTGGTATTTGGATAGCTGCGTGGCACGAACGCATGTTGCAGGTTCGGACCTTCAGATCACAAGCCGTCAAGCTCACAGCCGAGGAGCGAAAAGAGCTATTCAGCATGAAACTCGTGTCCGTGCCCCTCATCGTCATAACGTCGTACGAGTGGGGGCTCTATTTTGCGTGTGACCACCAATCCTCCATTGAGATGTATGGTCCTATCAGTATAGGGTCTACGAGGAGCCTTCTAAGTGCGTATGCATTGCTCACATCACTCGAGGCTATTGGGACATGGATCGATACAAAGTATTGTGCTAGTATGAAGAAATGGATTCTAGTAGACAAAAGCTAAGAATATACTAGCATGGCTCTGGACGTTCTTGACTCGCTTTGTGCATATTGTTATCCCCCGCATCCTGATACTGTAAGCACCTTTCACAAATGAACTGAAGCCAGAAAACCAATTAGTGAAGTAGACAGCGTTTCGAAAGATTGGGGCGTCCGCCTCCGCTTGGGCGGTTTGGGATGCAATAATTGCATAGAAAAGCCAGTATATAGCAGCATCCCGATCTAAGTTGTGGATTGAATGAAGTTGACTAGCTCAGTATAAGTGCCTTTATATATCAAAACGAAGATCTAGAATGGAATGTTACAGCTCTAGAATTAGCTCTTAGCCATATCCTACCAACCTTAAATGAAGGCGTTTATGGAGCTGTGTATACCTTTCGGGACAACGGGGTGGCCGTTAAAGGGGAATACCTGTTAAATATATAAGGTTTGCTTATATAAGGCAGCAAGCCTGTGCCATATGTTTATATTGACTTCAGAGTGATAGGCCTGTTGCTCCAGATTAGGAAACCATTTAGAGCCACAATTGACCCTTTTTCACCTTATAGACACTTGCCATCTCAGCTCTCATACAGTAGAAGGCAAAATGGATATCGCAAAATTAGTCATATAACGATTATAGCAAGGTCTAATTTTAGACACCTCTAGCTTAGCATAACAAGTGCATTGTACCTCCAAGTACTGTCATCAATGCCATAATCATTCCATATTTGGATCGAGCCTTGCTAGGAGTTTTAGAGATCACTCTTTTTCTGTTCCTTTGCTTCTTGTGGGATGAGGACGGTTCGTGGTCTGCTCTGGATCAGCTCCGTTTTCAATGAGCTGTCGTGCCAGCTCCCGATACAGAGAGGGCTCCAGTAATAACACCTTGCAAGCAAGGTTTGGTTAAAATCCGCGCTAAGGGTAAAGAGATGGGAAATAGACTTTTCGGTCGAATATGGCGATGTGATGGCGTAAATCAATGGTGTATCTCCTTTGCCTATCTTTAGTATTCGGGTTCATTCTTTTGTCCTTTACCAGGTATTCTGTAATATCTGGGAGATCTGAGGACACTTATACCCCTTTCTGATGCTAGAGAAGCACTTTGATCCAGGGCTCGCCACCCACCCACCCACCCACTTAAAGCCTCCAAGTGGGTGGGTGGATAACTAATGAGGCCATTCATAAATGGGTGTACATATGGGTGGATTTGTGGATATATTATATAAGCGGAGTATGACCCTATTTGCAACCTCGCTAGCGCCTACTCAGAATCTGAACCGGAAGCTAAAACCTCACCCTCCTCAACAGTAAAGTCTTTGGAATAAACCTCGTTGTCGCTCTCTAATAAATATAACCTAGCCCTACCGTTGCCTACTATAACAAGGGCAGATTGAACTGGGCTTGGAACTGAGGATTCTGATTACAATGATCAACTAGGGCTGCATTAGTCCTTGACCAACCAACTCCTTCTCGGCTGTTGGTGGCTTGAGAAGACTCTATATACAAATGATCTGCCAGCCCAGACCGCCTGGGTCTCTAGGGTCTGTTTCAAGAAGCGAGGTCTGTATAACCTCACTTTCCAATATTGCCCAATATTGCCTGCATGTCTTGGAAGGTCATGAACAGCCTGCAATGGTCCTTCGTACGGCCGAAGTGCAAGGCGAACTGCATTCTTCAACCGGCACAGAGGTTACACGTGTAACACCGTTGAAGGTTTTACTCAGCGAGAGCCGGCCATGTTTGCCGAAGTAGAACTACAAATAACTACCTGACAGCCGATTCTTCCTCCTTATCCGCTATGGCAGAAATCTGTCCCAGCACGAAATCAATACGCTCGTCGAGGCTGCTGCATGCATCAACAACAATGAAGTTAGAAGCGGGTCGGCACGGATTGGCAACCATAGCACGGAACCGCTCCCGAGCAGCTTCCTTGGCCTCGGCCCCGCCGCCAAACTTGTCGGCGTCTCTGAGCACATCGTCGATAGCGGTACGCTGTACCCTCAGCGGATCGACGCGGGCGCGTAGACGATCATCTAACATAGCTAGGTTATCAGGGTCAGCACGAAGCTCAATATAGCAGTACGTGTACCCGTGCGCCCGAGCCAGCGCGTGGCCGCGGTCGAGGATCTGTGGATAGAGGCAGGGCGTGTCGACGATGACGCTCAGTCCCTGGCGCATGGCGTTCTCGGCAAGTACCCAGTCGAGACCATACGCTATCCTGCCTGCCTCGTCAAAGGAGACACCCGAGTCCAGGAGTAGAGACTTGATGTTGTCATGCGGGATGGCGATGGCGTCGATCCGAGGAGCTAGCAAGTTTGCCGTCGTAGTCTTGCCCGATCCCGGAGCGCCTGACATCTGAATGAATAGCTTGCAGCCCAGACGCTGGTGAGGAGGGATTTGCTGCTGCTCTAGCGCTTTAGTATCTGTCGGTAGGTTAGACATAATAAATCTAAATTTTAGAAGACGAATTAACAGAATAAACACAGGAGGGAGATCAGATATAAGTAAGCGCAGGAAGTAATCATACACATGAAAAAGGTTTCAAAGCAAGTCGTTACCTATTCAAAGTAGGTAAGGGGGTGGTGACGAGTGGGACCGCTACACCGCCACGATAAGTCATCAACGGTTTTCGTACTAAATAGGTAAAGCTCTCCCGTTATCAGAATATCTACCGTGTCGTCGCGTTCAAGAGGGTCTTCTATATACGCGCACGCATCTTCGAATTAGTATTCCTATCTTGGCCCTTTTACAAGCTGTGGCATTCTGATTAAGAATGAATGTATCGCATAATCAAAACCCTGGGTTTCCCAACGACTGTCTTCCCCCTGAAGGTGGATACGAATCTCGAGATGCTGTATTTAAGGCGATCAACACGTGGGCAGCCCCTAGAGGTTGACACAGCATTCGTACGTATAGTACTAGATGGTGCGACCGTTAGTTACCGTTTAATGTTAAAGTTGACCGTTATTATCCGTTTCCCTACCACCCCATGCGCCACAGTCATTTGTTTCTATTAATAGTAGCTTCTTAAATAATACTCACTTTCTTCCACTTAAAAGACATTCTGAATAGAGATATTTGTATGAAAACATTCACCTAGGCATGTTATTTGGGTTAGAATATCTATGCCCTCAATTATGTGGTGAACGCTACAAAAATGGCCGCGATCATTCATCTCATCCAAAATTTCGTTGCGTGAGGCTCATGCGAAGGTCTCCGCCCTATGGGGCAAACATGGTATGGGGGATTCCAGTTTCGGATGCCAGAACCTCCAGCCCTGGAGGCTTCCATACCAACACTTCAACATTTGTATGCAAGATGGTACTCGCCTCGCAGTTGTTGCAACTGGCATTAAATTTCGCTCTGGGAAACGATTCTCCAAAGTAGCGAAGGATTTCGACTCGGCGACAATCCATTTGGTTGTTGCAAAAGGCGATAACTTTCTCTAAAAAGTTCCCCTGCCTTGCTTTCTATGTTTCTCCTTTCTAAGAACCGCATAATATAAGTTTAGACGGTTGAAGCTTTGGGAGAAGCTTTGGGATGTATTGATGGCGAAGCAACGCACATCACATCGGCGTTTGACGAGTTAGATCAGCTTGTGCAAGATAATAAAAAGTAAAATTGATTGCGGCTTGCATTGACAAGTGTCTCACGTGTCGCCAGCGACGTATGAACCTAATTTGCTTTTGGGGGGAGACGAGCGCGTTCGAAAAACAATCTCTGATGCTCGGTCCATGATACGTGAAGGGGAAAAAACGTACCCTAATTCTTAAAACTATAGTCCCAGCGCTGAACGCACCCTCGATATCTTTGATTTCCCTGATGCTTCAACTATCCTGTCTTCCTCGGCCCTCGCGTTAGCTAGCTTTGTTTCTAGTTCAGCTACCCTATTTTCTACCTCAACTCTCTGCTTCTCCACTCTTTCCATTCTATCGTCCACCTTGCCCATCTTTTCATTTACATCCTCCATCTTGGTCTTCATCTCACCAATCTCGTTCTCTACCTCCAAAATTGTAGTCCTTACGTCGGATAATTTCTTGTTTCTCATCGCTGTCCGTCTGCGATTATTTCCTGTTCTTTGCTCCAGCATAATTCTCTCAATGCTGGAAAGTTTTCCCAAGGTATCATTCGCTTTCTTCTTTACTTCTTCAATCTCTTCCTTCGCTTCGCTCATTATATGCCGTCTGAATGAAAATTTATAGAAATCATAGAGTGTCGTTGATGGAATCTCGAGCGATACATCCTCAAAATCTTCGAACTCACCAGCCTGCTCTACGCATATAAAGTCCTTTAGTGAGACAAGTAACTTGCAATGGTCGACAGGTCGACCATTTTCATCAAGAAACTCCTAAGGGGTCATCAGCAGCTTCATAGAGGACTAAAGCATTGGGAGGCTAAAAGATCTGACCATGTTGTCGACTTCAGTGGTCCGCTTCCACCCGCCGCCATCGTGCTGGGCTTTCCAGACCGAAAATGTGGCGCGACACCCACCGCGGTAGATATCATTCATATTTAGACCGATAACCGTTCGGATCGCGCCCTGTTTCCCTTCAATATATCGCGTGGCCCTGTGTGGTAACTTCAGATTGCTCTGAGACCATGCCACCTCGACCACCAAATCAGCATCTGTGCAGTCCTCATTAGTAAAAGAAAGGTCGGGTTCCAGTTGGTCGTCGCGAGGCTCGTTGCATTTCACCCTTGTGGCGAGAGTAGAACTGATCCCACTTGCAATCCTCATGGTTTTCTCTTTGGAGCTATCAACATTGCAAAGTGTTCCATTTGCTATGTTTCCAAGCCATCTGACAATCACGTCGCTCAATTTCCCAGCCATAGCCTCGTGAAACGTCGAAGGCATATGAATCACGAACTGCTTGTCGCCTTTGCAAGGGCGACGTGTATAGTCGAAACTAACATGTCATTAGCCGGTACAGGTTATGATTTCTTGGGTAACCTTACCGGAACTTATCTCCATCGACGTATTTCAGGAGCTCCTGGTTTTCTGGCTTCTTTAATTCCCCCCGCAATAGCTTATAGCCAGAATAGTGAAGGGTCCGTTGAACCAAGTATTTGCCGCCTGGCCCGCCCTTCTTGACCTTATACGTGCACTCCTTGACTTGTTTTATTGTTCGCAGCACTCGCCTTGCATCCGCGGCATCTCGTTGTGCTCGGGCTCCAGAGGCCCGAGCGTTGCTGCTACCAGATGCCAGACTGTAAGTACTTTGAGAAGACACCGAGGCACCTCTGTCAGAGGCACTGCCCAGATCGAAGTCCGGTTCTCCGTCAGATGTTAGGGGGAACAAGTGCCAGGCCGCTGGAGGCACAAACGCCTTCGCTGGTCGAAGCGTGAGAAGCTTTGTTGAGTTGAGATGGGGTAAAAACCGCGCTAAGACCGGACGCTTTCGCGCTGGCCGAAGGGTTGTCGGCGAAGAAGGAGCCGAAGTTGAAGCCTTTCGCTTTGACGAAGTAGGCTCTGATAAAGGCGAAATGGCAGAGGAAGACACTGGTGTGGGACCCGGAAGACTGGACGAAGCGCCGCCTACCTTCTGTGACGCTGCGGGGGGGTTAGTCAATTTAAAATGACTTGTGATGGTGTTAGTCTTGCGATTGTGACTCTCCGACCTGCGGTGCGAGGTCATTTTCACGAAGGAAGGGTTGACATTTGCTGCTTTGAGTCGACTACCGTGCTGTTATGGTTTTATGAGTACTGCCAGCTCGCTTTAGTAAAGACTGAGTGAGGAAGCGGGGTAATGGCAAACACAAACACACACCAAACGCACATATATCCCTTTGTTAATATTGTACAATAGTTTTCCTTTCTTCTTCTTTTTCCTCAAGTAGATTATTTTCTCAATATACTGGGTATAACCTGTCATTGCACACTTGCCCGTATAGCCGCTGTCACACGTAGGCCCCCGTTTAATCTACTTAGGGGCAGTTCAGCCTGGCTTAAAGCAGTAGGCTTCTCAGGTTCCAATCCGGAAACGGATTATGGGGATTCAAGATTGACGTGGTATAATGCCCTATTATTACAGGCCAACCTGTACTTCTTGCTATACCTCTCAATACAAGTCGTCGTGGACTTTTTTTTTTTTTTTTTTTTTTTTTTTTTTCGCGCTCCAACGACTTAACAACCGTTATTAACGGGTGCAAATTGCTTTCGAGCACTAAAAGCATGAGTTTAAGCGTGACATATAATCGGCCCAAACCGAGGGACCTAATTTTGCAGCCTGAAATTAGTGCAGTTTCAAGCTGAACGCTAACTTTTGACAAGCAGCTTGTTGAGTCTGTGCCAATTTGAACCTTGCTGATGTGAAGAATTAACTAAGTAGCGACTATGGGACTCTTGATACTCTATCCGCTAGCATACCTCCTGGGGATCGTCATGATACATTTTAGTGGCACAAGTATATTTCCAATTACCTAACTAAGTCTCTGAGCAATACTGCCCCATAGATTGAACGAGGCTCTGCGCACACTATGCAAGTAGCATAGCCCATTGGCTGAAAGAACTGCGCAAATGATCACTCGTATGTGTCACTTTCGTGTGTGCGAAAGGGAGACTTAACCTCGAGTATTACGAGGGATTAGTTCCTTGTCGAAACTAGCCTAATATGAGCTAGAACAGATATTCTGCGACTGAGATGATTTAGCCCTGTCTATGCGCAAAGGTCCCTCGACAGTCCTACCTCGGATTTCTTTCTATCGTTCTGTTCAAATTTCGGTAAAAATGTTGCAATGAACACGAAGTCTTGGTGACAATTGAGTGGTCAACACCTTTCCAGTTGGAGTGACATTTAATTAGCGACGGACGCAAAGTAATACCTGTTATCACGCGCAATCTTATTCAAATATGAATTCACTAGGCAGTTGAAAGTCATATATGCCCATCACCCTTAGTGCTGGTCTACCATGCCAAGTCTGATGTATATTTGCGATTGAACCGTACGTAGTGGTGGACGAAATTGTGTTTGGTGATTGTTATTTATAGCTACTGTTCCCTTGATCGATACACTGTCAAGAGGGAAGGGAGGAGCTTGGGACCCAGGGAGCTAGCTAACGGACTCTCGACAAGAGGGCATGGCAGACTACCAAGACGAATCAGCGTGACCCTGTTTGTTTAATCACTGTTTGGGGTACCAAAGTTTCATAGAATTCATGGGGTGCTTTGTTTCAAGTTTGGGTAGTCCTTGGCCGTTGTTTTGGAATTTAATAGGGGATTTACTCCATACAGTGCCTCCCTTGCTTCGCTCCCATAGGTATATGAGAAGCAAATAGTCCAGTTCTCGAAAGATTTACCTGACTATAGCCAAGAATCTCCCAGACAATCTCATTTTCGCCGATTTTGGGCTGTTTCTAATATAACATTCCACGATGGTTTTACTTCATTGCTTTCTAGCTTTCCTAATCAGGCTCAGTGTGGCCTCAGCCAGCCATTCCCATCGACCTCTCATACGCGATACAGGATCCAACCATGTATCGTTGCTAGAAATTCCGAAATATGTCGTTCCAGCTGCAGACCGAGAGATAACAGAATGGTTTGCCATTGGTGACTCCTTTTCTACCGGTATAGGTGCAGATGCTCCGGGCGACCTACTCAACGAGGCATGCTACCGTTTCAAAGAGTCATTTCCCAACCAGATGAACCAAGATCCAAGATTACCAGGGAAATTCGCATCCCGAAAGTTCGCCTTTGCATCTTGTCCATCGGCTATCGGTGACCAAATCGACGCGTTGTTGCCCAACACAAACGCGAATTTCCCAAAGCTCGAGAAGCCACAGATTGGAACTGTGAGCCTTTTATGGGATGAAATTGGTCTTGAAGATGTACGATATCCTTGAATTCCAGTGATACTCTACAGTCGTTAACAGTTGCGTTAGGTTTGGAATTCTTGTGTATACCAGTGGGTTGGCAATCGTGTAAGATCTAAAATTTCTTTAATTATGGCCTTTCGTTAGTTAGTCTAACGTGAAATAGACTTGTAATTCGACCGTCACGCATACGCTCGATCTCTTGAATGAAGGCAAAGCTGGTATTACAGGATTTAATATCAGCGAAGTAATACGCAATGATCTGAAGCTGATCCTAAACAAAGGCAGAGCGGCTAATCCTAGCTTCCAATTGTAAGCACTTCCACCATGCGCTTCAATCTATGCAAGTTAGCAAGCGCTGATTATATTCCTTAGATATGTTATGGAGCATCTTCAGCCATGGAATGAAGACAGCAAGCAGTGTAATAATGTCAGCTGGGGACGGCCATATAGAGCTCCAGTTTTTCTCGACCATGATGTTCGATTCAATATGAACTTTCTGGTTTATTAGCAAGTATTCCACCTCGATTACGGGATCGCTGCTCTAGCTAACAATTCTAGTCTAAACGTGGTGACGGAGAAAATTGTCTCAAGTCTATCAGCGGAAATATCTGGCGGGCTATATTATGTCTGGGAATTTAACCCAAAGTTTGAAGGGCATAGATTCTGCGAAGAAGAGAGTGATCTAAGTTATCACATGATGCCCACAGCGGATCGCACTTGGTTCCATCATCATAAGAGCCCCTATGGAGGATTGTTGCCGGTGAAAGAGACTAATCAAAGCAATTTTTTCGACGTGGTTGATTCGATTTTGATCCCAGAAAAAGACGGAAAAACAACAGATGACCAGATCAAGGCGGTCAATGGAAATCTGTCTAAGCTCAACTCAGCATATGACAATATAAGCTCCATGAAAAACGCGTTAATTAACTTAGCACAACAGGACGCCAGGTACAAAGATTTTCCCATGTTGTGGGCGCGAATTATGCACCCGAAGGGTTCGGGCCATAAGGAGATTTCAAACGTCATCATCGATCAGATCTTGGAAAATGTAGGTCCAGTGGACCCGAAATATCCACAGGGCCTTGAGTGCACCCAAACCAACGTGAAGAAGTTCCTCAGACGGGAGGATCTCAGTTCTCGGATCACTGAGTTCTGTAAAACTGCTGCGAATCAGAAGGAACATGACCGCGATAGTGGTTCTATCTCCCGCACGTATTCTCCAGGTACACGATCTGAAGTGAGTCTTAGTATCGAATGGCCCCAAAAGTACAATATTTCAAAAAATATGGAGGCTAGTTGTGTCAACAACATGACGAAGATCAAGGATGGTAAGCAATCCCTTGGTAATGCGTGAAAGATAGAATTATTTCCAAGCATTACGCCCCTATCCCTCGGACTAATTAACATTGGACTAACTTAAATATATAGGGTGCGGTGGCAACGACCCAAAGAACCCGTTGAACTGGAAACGTGGCGGACGACTAGGCGCTGGCTGGGTCAACTACAAAATTGAACCTAAGTTCGATCAGGGTTACACCCCGGGTACTTGTGTGGTCAATTTCCGAGAAAATGATTACTGGGAGGGAGTTAATGGCCCGGGGACAGAGCGAAAGGACGACTTCACTATTGAACAACTGACGATCAAAGACGCCGCGGGAAATATCATTGGAGACGCTGGTTTTGCGCCCAACAAAAAAGACGGCGCATCTATAAGCGCTAGCAATTCAAACGCACTCAATGTGTACTCAAAGCTGCCTGACGTATTGGTCATTACGCCCGAGGCTAGGAATGACTACTACATCCAGTTCGCAATTGGCCCTCAAAACTGGCAAACGACCACCGACACCGGTGGTGCAAATTGTGATAATACTAAGAAATGGGTCTCGTCTGGTTTTAATATCAGAGTAAGTTATCTTTCCTGAGATTCATTTGTTTGGCGAGCTAATGGGATGATAAGTACCGCGACGTAGAATGTACCTTCGAGTGTTAGGGCGAGCACTGCACAACTTCACGACTCTTTGGGAACTTGAATGGGCATATTACTTCAGTTTGAGGTAGACATCAAGTTAATTTAGGTTGTTATTTTTCGCGGGGTGTTGGTGTCTTTCGATCAAGTCACCCTCATACCTTACTTGTGCCTATCATTTGGCTAGTCATCAAGTTGTACCACATAGCTAGAAGTGTTTAACCAAGTCCACTATTTTGGGTACCTATAGACACTAAGTGTCGGTAATCTTGAAGCTATTCTATGGGGGCTGTGATGCATGTGAAATTACTCGCGATTGCTTAACACATAGGTTCGTCGCAGAACATTTTCCTGCATATCACGTCATGAGCTCCATCTCTTATGTCAAGAGGTTACAGCTGCTTCGAGAGATAACACATGTGTTCATAACTTCCATATTTTCCACATCTTGCTTGCTAGCACATAGACAAAGCCGGTTCCCCTCAAATTGTCTAGTCCCATAATTGTCATGATTTCAAGTACAAAGTGAAATGAGTTGGGTATAACAAAGTTAGATATCTGCGTTTCGAACTTCATGCTATTCACAATATAACAATCTATTAGTTCTGCAAAACCTCTTGACTAACTTCTCATTCAAGTATTGCCTGCGTGTCTCTAAAGATCATAAGCAACCTGCAATGACAAGGTGATCTGCGTGTTCAGCTTGTACTCATGTAACATAGTAGGTGCCGATTAGTAGATAGGAATGGAACTAATAGTAGTAGGGCCTTCTAAACGCCTTAGAAGATTATGCAGTAGGATTTGAACACATCTAGTGTCAAGGGTCGGGTGCAGAGTGGTAGAGATTTGACTGAACGCTAGGTATAGGGTAGAATATAACTGAAACCTGACCTTACTCTGATCCTCTACGAGTCTGTCCCTTTTATACCTCATCCTTAGTGTGACCCTTAGTGTTGCCCTACTCGCCATGTGGGACTTTTGACACTTGACATCTAGGTACACATCCCCATCGCGTAGCCTCCATTCTTTGAGACTGCCTGGTCCCCTAGACTCAGTGTACCACGAAGGCTAGATCCTCTCATACCCGCACATTCTGCTTACAAAATAAAACTCGTGATCATTTCGGCAGATGGGAAGCTGGTTGACCTTATCTTCGAACAACTCCATCAACGTTCCATCACCAGCCCATTCGTCTCTGTCAATAACCCTGTCAAATAGCATCAAAGCCACAGCCGCCACTGTGCCACCTCGTTGAAGGTAGTTTTTGGTTGCTGGTGGCCACTCGCTGACTTCCTCTTCGAAGAATTTAAGGACAGTCATTGTGTCGGGTAGGTATTTCTTCCTGAGACAGCCAGCAAAGTGGCTACACATATTGATGAACCCCTCTCTCATTGATTTGTTGGTTTTGAGGTTTTCCCTGACTGCACGAGGGAGATAATGCAATACATCATCGTTGAGCGTGACCCAATCAGCACCATCGGGATCTGGTCTAGGAAATATTCGTAATATATCATACTGAGTCTCAGCTTCAGAGAGTAGTGCAAATCGCATCCTGGGACTTAGAAATCCACCAATGCACTGCCCACAGGTACAGCCGTGCTTGAGCCGTAGTGTGCTGCGAATCAAGTTAGCTTCGGGGGTTCTTCTAGCCACTTCATCTGTTGCTGACGAAATCGCCGATATCGTCCGGTCTGAGAGCTTGGTGAGATCAAATATTTCCGTGCCTGCCAGAGTGGCAAGGCGCGCAGTGTCCGACTGGCAGAAGCCTGCAAAGCTGTCTCCCAAGACTACTCGCCATCTTCTCTGGTCCTCTAGATTGCTCTGCAGTGCTTCCAGAGGCGTGTAACCTTTGAAATTACGTCGTTCTGCTAGATGGGGATTTTGGGACATGAGGTATGAAACTGGTTCTGCTTTTCTGCCTATTGCGGCTACATGAAGGATTGTATTACCAGCTTCGTCGACATGCATCAGCAAGGGTGCGTTTTCCTCTACAGAAAACACCTCTTCCAATTGATTGATGCAATCTACCCCAGAGATTGAAGGGTCAGACAAGGAACTCCAGATGTTACGTATTGGTTCAGGAACTTCAGGCGTCGTTTCCTGCCCTGACTGTTCTGGGCCATCCCAATCTTGTGCTTCAGCTAATTGACGTGAAGGATGGTCCTTGTCATTAGTAAAGGCCAGCCATTCTGATGTCCCTACTCTCCTGAAACCTAATGATCGAAAGAGAAAGGTTAGCTCTTTCGATTGCTCGCGAATGGCGCTCGAATCCAGCTCTTCGTCGTCACGGCTAGGGTCTAGCGCGAGCCGCATAGGATTGGCAAAGGCAAAGAAGCTCCTAGATTTTCGTCGCGCCTTGCCCAATATTCCCTGAACGAGCTTAGTTCCGACATCATGGTGACGACAACGAGGTTCAATATTGATGGTTTCGATCACGAGAATGTCGCCGTCATCAAGCTCGTGGCCCCAGACACCAGATCCTTTCAGAACCTCGTGTTCGCGATACTCGCGGTTCAAGCGACCATATCTATCGAAAAGCTCAAATGCGAGCGAGGAATTTTCTTTGCTGATCTCATCCATCTCAGCCCAAAACGTACATCTGATTTCATCGCGCCTGATCAGCTTGGTGTCACAGCTAGCGACCCGATTCTGGCTCATACTAGCGAAGCCATTGATTTGCTTCAGCCATTTCGGCTCATCGGAAGTGTAGAATAGCGACAGAAGAATATCATTGTTCCCTTCCTGTTCATCACCCTGAGGATCAGTTTCGACGGCGGTTTGCGCTTGATCACTGTACTGTTGTGCTAGCGAAGCTCCAGCGACGGCGCTATTGGGGCAGTGAGAAATCTTGGCGACTTTGGCGTGTGCACCACCGAGGCTTGCGCCTGAGTTGCGATGTCGCTTGCCAGCACCCATGATGGCAAAAGTGAACTCAAAGAATGTAGATAGTAGGTATGCAGAACCTATGGTTGGAAATGCCGAGAGGATGTTTGGAAACTGGCTAGTATGTAGGTGACTACCTCAAATATGTACCTACTTCGTAGATAAGTAGGAGGTGACCATCTCAATAAAAAGGACCTTCCCAGGCAAGAAGGGCATATCAGAGTATTATCCTTGCATTATTCAGACATGAACCTCTCCAAGTCTGCCAAGATACTTTAGGCCACTTGCAGCCACCCACGTCCTTGGCGAAAGTAAAGCTATGTGATTGGATACATGGGTCTGAATGGTGTCAGCAGGTCAGCCTATTATATGCGCATGAAACCAACAGTTAGGCAAAGGAAGTCCTGGAATAGACCCCAAATAGACCAGGTCCATCGAGTAACAATAGGTGCTACCTACATTGCGTTTCATACATATTTTGGTTCTAAACAGGGTAGGAACTATGAAAACAGATAGAAATCACCCGCAACGGCCTGGGATTGCACATTTAGCGGAAAGTCACTGCAGTTTAACCTTGCTCCGAAGAAAGGTACCCAGCTAGCGCTCTAGATAGCAGTTGGATAGCGCGCAGGGACTGATGATATCTAGCTTGAACGTATCTCTTGCTTAGAACTCTTCATCACAGGAAGGGAACTCATATATCTTCGGAAACATACCACTGCTGTTACACGCGTACAAGCTGAACATGCAGTACGCCTTGCGCTTCGGCCGTACGAAAGGCCATTGCAGGCCGTTCATGATCTCCAGAGACATGAAGGGAATATTGAAAGTGAGGTTATACAGACCTCGCTTTATGAAACAAGCTAATGAGACCTAGGCGGCCAGGTCTGTCAGACCAGTTGTCTGAATAGCTTCAATTCCAAGCCCAGTTCTCTGCCCTTGTTTTAACTGCACCTTTCTATAAATTCATTTCAATCTATTTGACCAACTGTTCTCGCTTGGAGGTTCCAATCGATTCTTATTAATAAGTAAATCCGTCTATATATGTGTATTATCATTCAAGACATCCTAGCCTAGCTACTGACGTAGGCATTTCATGATAGTGTACCAAGAGCAGTAGCACATAGATATGGAGGTAATAAATCAATATTTAATCTAGCCAAACTGTAGTTTCAAAACAGGTTAACAGTTTGCACCTTATTCCACTCACTAGAAATCACATGCTGATACAAGCCAATGCGTTGAAAAGTCATGCTGTCAGCAGTCTCCACGTACCGCAGTAGCAGGGAGGCCTTGCTAGGAAGGTCTTCACTTCCGCTGAGCGTTAACATATCAAGACACCAGATATTGTCTAGATCATTTTCCAGAGCGCCCACATCCTCAGCAAGATCCATGAAGACATACGGCGTCATACGTAGAGTGCCCTCCAAGCTCTTCTTATAACTCTCGTCGTCCTTGAGCTTCCCAAGTGGCCCCTCGATTGTGATACTCCCCGTGACACGCGTCTGTGCAAGATCCGACTTCGCGTCAAAAGAGGCTACTTTGGCTTTCCATTGAATCTCTCCTTCTATTTCACTGATATTATTCACAACACGATGCTCTTCGGTTTCGGGTATGACAGAGGCCCAGCTCCATGTTGGGAAACTACTCGTCCTAGCATTCGGTGATGGCATTTCCATGAGCCAGAGCAGGCTTGCCAGAGTGTTTTCACCTTTCCAGATCCCGCCAATGAATTCATGTCCTGAAATTCTCTGCATAATCTGTCCGAGGCCGAGGATGGCAGTGATCCGATCTGAGGGTTTGGTAATTGAGCGACTGCTGTAAGTCTCGAGTAGCCGACAATACGTAGCGAAGGCTATCTTCGAGGCAGAAGCACTGGAACCAGGTAGTGCGCTGTCTGTCAAGGCCTTGGTATTCTCTGAATTGGAGATCATGTGGCTATGAAAATATTGCTTGATCTTGAATCTGTCAGGGAATTGAAACCCGTTTCGGATTCCATCGGGGTCATGCTCAGAGGCACTGGTCTCTAGACATTCCCAGAGGATCGCGCCGTGTCCATAGTATAAGAGCCGCTTACTGAGAATCTGCTCTTGCAGTGTCCAAGCTCGTGTCTCGATTGGGGTACTCTGTGCTCCAATGTACGCATAACCAATGTAGCCGAAGTTGGCATCAGGATAGACCGCAAGATAAGAAAGAGGGTAGTTCGAGTGGACGATTGCAAGATCTATGTCTCTGATAGGTGTCTTCGGCTTCGATCGGTCTCTTCTGGGAAGTCGTATGTGAAGCTGTTGGGGGTTAAAGAAACCGTCTGGGTGTGCACGAAATAGTCCGTCATCGGAGCTTTTGCCGACAGTAGTCGTGATTGTTAAAGTGGCATTAGCATAGACTTGAGTCATGCGGACTGCCTCACGCGCCCAATCCTCGTCGTCATCTTGGATGATACATAGAGCGTCAATCCAAATGTACCGAAACCCAAGAGAGCGGGTAGCATGGATGGCGTCGACTAGGGTGCGCGGTAGTCCTTGAGGCGGAATTGCTTCATAATATCTTGTGAGGTTGGCTGTCGTTGTCTGATGCGCACTTGAAGAGGTACCCCAACAATATGATAAAGCGCAGTACCTATCGTGAGCTCCTTTACTCTCCAAAAGAAACGGATCCCGACTATCATCGCCGACATCAATAACACGAGTGGGAAGAGGACCGGAGGCAGAGCCGCAAGATTGATGGTTAGTGATGCAGTTATATAGCCAGGTTTTAGCGACCTGGAAAGAACTCAAAGATGACGTTCCATTTTCGTAGTCATCAATTGAAGGAGATTCTTTAATTGTCGTTTCTTCTTCCCTGTTAGCATGCCCATAGATACAGCGAGTGGTAACCTACCGTTGAGATAGCTCAGTTCAAGCCCAGCTGCAAGGTTGCCGACAGTAATAATGATCCTTTTGCGAAGATGAAAATGTATAATGACGCCTGGGGTTGTCGGAAGTTGGAGGTACTTAGTTAGCATAAGGGTGACAGAAGAGCGGTGGTTTTTGACGAAATTTAATGATTGCAGAAGTAAGCGGCAGAGACGACAGCCTGATTTGGCAGACGACACAAGGTTCTCCAAGCTATTATGATGCTTAAAGCAGTCTGTCGATGATGCACTGGCGCCCTCATCTAAGCAGCTACACGATGGGTGAGAGCTGTGCGTTTGATACCGAAAGCAGGGAGTACAAAAGGTATCCTCTGCAGCCTCAATATTGATGCTTTCAGCAATCGAAGAAACCCGAGTGAAGAAATCGCGTATCAGTTCATTTGAGCGTATCCCATTCTTTCTGTCGTGTGCCATGGCTATACATTGGCTGATGTCACAGGCTGCAAGCACGGAAACGAACAAGGAGTAACAAGATTGTGGTGGAAACCAGTCACCATGTGATGCAAATTGCAAAAGGGCTTGGGCCGCCTCTTTGCGTTTCTCTTGACTGCAATATTCTGTCTCTGGAGCAGAAGAGAACCATGCTCCTAACTCAACAAGTGTATCAATCACGTCAACTTGGCGATCAATCAGTGCTAGGTCCAGGGGTCGCCAGCCATGGGAAACTTGATTCAGGTCAACGCCCGCACGGGCTAGGATTCGAATCATTCGAGTATCGCCATTCACGAGCGATTCATGGATAGGCATGACACACGTATCTACACCCGTTAGATCATCGTGATCCCCTATTTCATTACCAGCGGTTTGTCCCGTGCTTGGCATGCTAGGGTTAGCACCGTGGGCAAGGAGCAACTCAACGCCCTCATAATACTGGAGGCGGGCTGCTTCTTGAAGCGGCGTCCGTCCTAGGTAGTTCCTGAAATCAACGCTCGCGCCATGGCCAAGTAGAAAGGTAATGCCATCGTGTTGCTTCGTAGCTATCATCCGATGCAGTGGCGTATTCCAATGCGGCCATGCATTTATGTAGCCCGTCGCAATTTTGAGCTCACCCATTGACCATTGTGTATCGGGTGAGCCACCGCTTTTGAGGAATTCAGTGAGCCCAATGACATCTTTTGGGCCGGGGGAGCGGAATGATTCGTGCTGAGACATCGCGATGAATTTGATCTCTACGCAATCGGGCAGCGTCGATCTTGATACAACCATGGTCATTCTTAGGGCCGCTGAAGACAGTGGGCATCAACAAGCTACCTACAGTAGGTAGGTAGTTACGTCAGCAGGGGCCCAGGAGTGGTTCTATAGCCTAGGTGCTATACTATAGGTAACTATCCTGATTAAGAAGCTAAAAGGGCTGGCAATACGAGGTGAGTTTGAATGCCAGTAAAGTATAATTTGAATAGCAATAAAATTAACTAAGAGCTCTGTTTCTCTATCTTCTCGTATATGTAGATTGAAGGCAACTACTTACAACAATACGAGGGATAGCGTGTGCTCATGCTAGTTATGTTAATTACGGTATTGGTCTCACCAACGTTCATTATGCATTAGACTAAAATTGCAGTGAACCCTATAGGGCTGAACATCAATGGTAAATACTAGTAGGGGTAAATATGCAAATTCCGAATGAGGTCTAGCCCAGAGTATAACCTAGATACTTTGTGTGCGAAAGAGTATGTTGTGATGGTGGTTGCTGCATAGAGCCTATGCAAGGGCCAATATAAGACATAAGACAGCATCTAGATCAACACTTCGGCTATCTAGCGTACCTAGGTAGGCGGGATAACTATCTTCAACCACAGTTGGGTTTCTTAAGAGACGTACTCATTATGCATCGTCTTATGAGTTATGGTTACTGTCGGGTGCTGAGTCAGCATAGTCCGCTGTATTTCTCACGGACCAAGACGCGAAGTTCCCTATAATTACAGCACTTGTTCGATTTGGATTATTATGAGAAGTTATTCGCATGCAGACTCTATACACAGACTTCCAACATGCAAGGTATTCAAGTAATTACAGCAGCCAATCCACAGCACTGATTTAACATGGGGATCCGTTCACTCAATTCCACAGTTCGGATATTTGACAGCAATTCGCGTGTTTATCGTCTCCAGCGCAACGTCGCGATCACTGAGGAGCATCATCTCGCAGTGCTTGGTGTGATCATAGCTTCCAATATACCCATCAATGGCGCTCTTCCCCAAGTCGCCCAATATAGCGCGGTGCATCTTCTTCCACATGGTGGTGCAGTGAGCGACATGATACTCCCAGTTGACATATAAGCCTGTGTGCTCGCCCGTCATGATCTGTTCATAGCTGAGCGGGTGCTGCTTATCCGGGTCCACGAACCATTCGAGCTTGTGATTTGCGCGAAATTCCTCTGCTAGCTCGGTGTCGTAGCACGCATCTGGCAGCCAGCAGAATGATATCACGTCGAAGTGACACCCCCGCGCAACCGCCTCTGCGGGACTGCTTCCACATGGGTGTTCCATGACTATCACGGGTCGGCCTGGGTCTGATGTGCTGCCGTGATGGAGCCCTGCAATCCAGACTGTCGCGGCGCCCGAGAGCGACGAGAATATGAATGTCATCGCAACGAATAGAAGGCGACGCGACCATACCCGGGAGGCTATCCGCCGTTCAAGGCCGTTCCGCTCTCCTTTCTGATTTTTGTTCATCAGCGATTGGGACTGCTCGTCGTCTTCTGCAGCCTGGACCTGAGCTTTGCGGTCTCGTCCGCGCGCCCACGAGGGAAGGAAATAGGATGGATACTGAGATTTCAGGCGAAAGGATCTGGATTCCATGATAAAACCGCTCAACAAAATCCAGACGATGAGATCTTACTACTGAGGATGAACCGTAGCCAATTTAGGGAGATAAAGCTTGATAGGTAGTTGAGATATCCAGCTGTCCTTTGCACACCCCTATCATCTAGCATTTGCTATTACAGGTCATCGCTATGCGAAAAGACGATCAGGTGGAAAACACCATGTCGGGTCAGCCGTCGTGGCGAGCCACTGTGTGCACAGTCGGGAAAATACTGTTTGGGTAACACGGATATCTTCGGCGGCGGCGGCACAGGCACGGCGCGGAAGTGAGTCGGATTACTGTGCGTGTCGCTGACCTTGGGTATGGAGTATTTCTGTCCTGCATACCGCGTGCCGAGACTCAGCGATGACATGTGCATATCTCTCAGCATTCGCACTTTGATTCCTGTCAATGTGATGAAGATCAACACAGACACATATGCAAGCCAGAAGTGATTTGAGTGGTGTTGAACCAAATCGGATGAATTGATACGAAAATAGCGTAGGCACCATCATAGGGGCATGGATACTCAGAGAAAGAGTGATGAAAGTATTGATAGTACGTACAGTTTGATCTTGATCCTTTCTGTATCGCTGAATCTTTAAAAAAGCTGGGCTATCTAGATATATAATGTTTGATACCTGTTAATAGTGGACTGAATATACGTCGTATAATATGTCGAGTCTAGTGGGGAAATACTTCTCCCGACATCAACCACCATGCTCCTGTGCATAACCCCAAAGACTGTCCCAGTTCGTGCATTTGTGGGGATAGTACAACCCATCTACCACCGACAGTCCCGTATTTTCATTGACAAATTCAAGAGAAACATCCCCAGCGCATTGTACGCTCTGGCGAAGGTAGTCAAAGCAGTGTGCATAGTGCCACATACCTTGGGTTGCTTGTTCGTATGTTGGGTTATGAACATCCTCTGGCCAAGTCTTGAGTAGCTCTTCCCTATCAACCTTATCAAACAGCATATTCCACATGAGCATCCTCAGTGCACCCTTTAAATCGGTAAGAACTAGAGTATGAGACGACTGGTGACAAAAGCGACGCACTCACTAGGCAATGAAGTTGATGGAAGACTGAAAGTCCTGCTTTTGAGTCAGGGTAGAGTCGCGCCGTCTCATTGTCAAGCCGTATAAAGCCCTCGCCTTCGTGGAACGCTTTGTTATAATGATTCGAAAAGTGTTACCATGATTATGGATGGAATATGATTACTCACGGCCATGTAAAGCACCCCAAGCCTCATTACTCTCGTCTGTTGGCAGTGACAGAAATACAGAATCGACAACAAACATCTTGATTTCTTTAGGAACTAGGAAAACTTAGTCAAACGAAACGACGCATGAGTCCTCAGACGAGAGCAAACGCACGCACAGTCTGGGAGGGGAGAGTGTAGCAACGACTTCGGCCTTGTCCAGCTTTGCTTCTGACCCGTATGCTGCACCACCAGCGTACCAACAAGGGCGAGAACTAGCGCGAAATTGACCAGTAGTGAAGTGAGGAAACGTCTATTAGTTTGACGTTTTCGCTGTGCAGTAGGAGACAGCAATACTTTCTTGTCCTCGTGCTCACCCTCCTCAGAGCTGCGACGAGAAGAGGCGGCATCTTCTCCCTGATGCAGAGATGAGCGTGATGACCAAAACACCTTGTTAGAGGCAAAGGGCCCTGCGGAGAAAAAATGCATTAATACCAAAATCCATAGAAGATTAAAAAGCTTTAGAGAGCTTCAAAGTTAGAGTCAATTAGCCAAAGGGTTTGAGGCGTAGTTCTCTAGTATGCAGGGCAAGGAAGAAGATGACTAGGAAAATAGAGGAAGGGTGTTGAGCTCATTTTGGGATTCCATGGGCCTATTCAGCGTTTCCTGGGATAGGCTCATTGATACGCGCGGGTGTCAGTCGAACAGGCGGGACGGCAAATGCATATGTGACACGGCGGTAAGTCTTACATGTTTATCAGTATTGATAAAATGCGAAAGTTCAACACTAATGCGCTATCCGACGAAATGACCGCCCACTGATTCGTCAAGCTCTCATTGATGGGCATATGACTTTCGAGTCACCTGGAGTCATACCTTCTTATCCATTTCTCTTTCTGCTCATGTTGAGACTCTCATCCACATCACATCCTGCCGCACTTTGCTTATCACATGGTATTCACTCCTGACCAGTTCCTTGACACATAGGAGGAGGAATCATGTCGCATCGCTTTCCATATTCCGAGAATGATGAAGATAATAATGTGAACTCGAGGCCATGGGATCGCCTACTGGCAAAGAGTGTTCGTTTCGAGCGCAAGACTTCCCTTAATCGCTGGGTTCTATGGGGCAGCGTTATCATAGTGACAACCGTATTTTTCGCTGTGTTCGTGATAATAGCATTCTACTTGTGGCGAACCCAAAACAATATCTGTCTTCTCGGCAATGAAAGTGAGTTAAATTTCCCGGTTTGCAAATGTTGGAAACATGCTCAGGCTTCAGAAGGGATCTTCACGGATATCCCGATAGTATATGAATATAAGCGCTTCCAGCGTGCCGGGTTTCACGATACCAAGCACAAAGATCTTACCCTCTACGAGGGAAAGCCGAACAAACATAATAATGCAGCATGGGAGCATCTGCTTGAAGGTAAGTTATCTACTTCCCATGATCGTATTCCTCTCTGATCCTGACCTCCTCATCAGTCGGAGTTGTAGCCATCTCACGAGAAGAAAACGAAAGACTCAAGAATGGCACTGCGACAACGCCAGCCAATTCGAATGAGTACATGGTGGAACTTGAATTATTTCATCAACTCCATTGCTTGGTAAGTTATAACGGAACCATGAAGCCACAGTATTATTCATAGCCCACGATTATAGAAATGGATCCGCGACCAGCTCTGGGAACTGGAGGAGGTAGTCTCTAGTCGCAAGAAACTCGGCGAGTTCTCTCAACGAACAGATCATAATGGTATGTAAGCTCCATGTAGGGCAAGCCAGATGATTGACAGGTTTCAAGACCATTGCATCGACTACCTTCGACAATCTATCATGTGCCACGGCGATGTAACTCCCATCACTTTTGAGTGGAACTCTGAGATTAACAACTATCTGGGTCATCATAGCACAGAGCACCAATGTAGAGATTTTAATCAGATTTTCAATTGGGCCAAGGGACGAGGAAGAACAGGATTGATGGCTGACGGGGCACATCAAAATGTAGAGCTTGAGAGGCCCGAAATGTACGATTAATAACGTTTTAACAAGCAAATCATGAACAGCTTCAGTGTAGTTCATTGGTTTCATCAAAGCTCATATTGCACTATGGGGCATTCCGGTGCTAAGGACAGTCTGTCTATACTAGTGATACCGAGAAATTTTGAGCTGGGTACTTTCTAAATTCAATATACAATGAAAAGAACAATAAATCACTGTACCGTTGCTTCTGTCGTGAGTACAATCTGACAACGCACTTCGTTTGATTACAAGAGCAAAAATGAGTGCCGTACTCTCAGTTGCAGGCTCCATTTGGGGACGGTGTGGGGGGTAACGCGGTGTCACCTTCGTCATGAGACTGTAAGCGGGCCATGACGGGCGTGTCGCCGAGATCAAGGGTCATATGCGACTCGCTCCTCACAAAATGCAGCTTACGTGGGATAGGCGATTCGTGGCGAATTGGTCGAGGGCGGGATGGCAGTGTAGTTCAATTTCGAGACCGAATTGTCCAATATTCCGCCGCGCCAAAGTCGAAGGAATATGGGCACTTTTGGTGGACTTCCTTTCAAGCTCACAAAATTGCTCCTACTACCACGCGCGATGCACACAGTCGATATGTTTGAATGACCGAAGGCATTAAGTTTCCAATTGAGTATGAATATATATATTCGAGTCGGCGGACCTAAGCAGGCGACACCACACAACCAGCACCATCACATAGTCTCAACACCTTATCACATAATCTGAACAATCAGAGAGTTTAAATCTTGAATTAACCAACTTTCCACCTCATAAAAATGCAGCTCATCAAGTTCCTCGTCACTTTCGCCGCTGCAGTTTCGGCCACCCCACCCAGTGCGCTCCCCGCCGATAGTCTCACAGACGACGCTGCTCCCGACACCTTCAAGAGTGAAACCTATAACTGGATCAAGCGCGAAGTCTCACCGGCTCATGCTAGGGAATTTAGGCGTGAGTCTCACAACTGGATTAACCGTGAGGCTGAAAAGTCCGACTACTAAATACGCTTGGAAAGGTGAGTATATGCTGACTGGAAAGTAACAGATTCCATGTTTACTAATTGAGAAAGGCTAATTAGAGTAGCCCCGTTCATGGCTTCAATGCGAATGCGAATGTGGCAGTTCATCGCGGCAAAGGAATTCGTGATTGCTGTGATGTATTACGAGGCTACACCTAATGCTATGTCTCACTAGAACTTGTGATGGTTTCTTGGGGTTGATTGAGCAACGGAGGCCGGAAGCGATCACACATTCATTCAGCAAACTTGCAATACATTCATTCAAAACTCTTGTTCCTGTGCCCAATGTGATCTATCATGAGAGAGTATTTAATGAGTACGTAGGCAGTAATTGGTGTTAAGTGTTTGGTTGACGTTGCGTTTTGCTAGAACGACACGCTAGTCCCCGACACTTGAAGAAGTCCCTTGTAGGACTACAACATCACGACTGAAGTAGAATATGGACAGCGTCATTAGACAAAAAACTTTGATCTTACATCAACTGTATTGTTTTTACGGCTAGAGACCAACGCGGAGTACTTCGTGCGCGCGTGTTATCATGCCGTGTCCGTTGGCCCCGCCATGCGGGTTCGTGTTCGGCTGGTTGGTGTGAGGGTATTCGGAGGTCGTCCCCTTACGAGGGAGGGCCGCTGGGGTAGTCGTTGACGGTTCGTGCGAGCGACGAGCCGTGGTCGTTCGACGTCGTATTCGCCGCGTTCATTGGATCGCGCACAGCCTTCTCGAGCGTGTGGGCGCTCCCGTAACCAGAATACGACTCCTCGTCGTCGCTACAGTCGTTGAATCTCATGGCGAGATGGCGAGGTTTGCGTGGTTTTTCGCGGTAAAGCTCCTCGAGTGTAATATCTGAGGGGGGGGGGGGGGGGGGGGGGGGGGGGGGGGGGGGGGGGGGGGGGGGGGGGGGGGGGGGGGGGGGGGGGGGGGGGGGGGGC